CGATCATCATCTGGCATGCACAGAATCGCTATTGAGACTGCACACTGCATATGTTGACTGCATGGTTCCTGAAGGGTCCAGAGGACGAGAACACAATCACAGGGAACGATTGCTCGGGAGACACTAATGAGTACTTACCACTCTATAGCAGAAGACAATTTCTGGTGTTCGAGTTCAATTGTAGGCGCCCGTAGACCAAAGTGGCGTGGACTCGGAAGGGGGCTAGAACGTTTAAGTCCTAGTCGCCACACGTACTACAAATGTCGCAAGTTCATGCACTGAAGTCTGAGGAATGACTCGGACATGTGACAGTCCGATTCTATGCTTCCTTTTCGTGGTGCTCGAGGCTCTCGGCCACCAGTGTACAAGATGATCCTAGCGTAAAAGGACTCGGCGGACGACGCCGTCCACCGCGCCGACCGTACGTAACGCTGGCCTGCTCCCGAGTCTACTACCCAATCCTATCCGAAGCTTTCGAGTACTGCGCATCGCGACTGGCGGACTGGGTATAATATTGACGGAGCAGGCGCTTGAAGTTGGGGCCAGTGGTAAGTTTGCCAGAAGTTCGTGAATCACCGCGCTCCCACTGGTCACTGAACTCTATGGCTTCGGTAGTCTACGATATTCACGGGAACCATCATGTGAATGTTCGGTACAGACTCGGATACTGCCGCCTGAAATACGGCAGTACTGGTGTTAGCGGTGAGTGCTGCGTTCAAAGGACGGGCCTATCGCGTACTCCGGGGTTCTATTGTTGAGACCGAGGTATGCCATAGTATCTGTATCAAACGTTCTAGGGCCGAACGCAGTCGGTAAAGGCTAGAAAAAGTGCTCACGCCGCGTAGGATAGCTCTTCCATGGACGACCTATCGGTAAGACATGAGAGTGCAAGGTACATCATTGGAGGCTAACGCCCTGCGTTCCGGGTAGGATCAAACATACCGTACGTCAAGCGGAGGGATACAAGACTAGTAACATCGCACTTCATGATTTGTTGGAAGTCTTGTTTTCAATAGCTCTGTCTGGTACCAGGCGCGTCCCCCTGTTGAGCGGGTTGCATTGACGAGTGCCAAATGCAAAGGGGGCCATGAACAGTTCGGCGCATGGTATATGCTTCTCTTCTGCGACGGGGAAGCGCTTTTACTCGGCCGAGATGAGCATAGGTAAGAGTTATGTCAAGGAATGCGAGTACATCACCAGCTGACGTCGGCAACCTTGCAGGAGGCTGGTACAACGGGAGGCGTTCTGCTTCGCATGACAGCGCAGTCGAAGTCGGGGCAGGTCTATCATCGTCACGCCGGTGAGCCGTCCTCGCAGCTCGCTTCACGGACTGTCAAGTGACATGCCAGAAGAGATGACGTCCTTGCATATGGGACGCCCTCTGATCACAGAACTAGCAGTCGTATTCTGTCCCTGAAGCTGTAAGTTAGCGACCGTCTCGGAGCCCCGAGAATGACAGACAGGTCATGGGATGCACCTATAATGGATTGCTAGGGCTTCTTGAGATGTTTGGAGGAATGGAGATAAGGTGTAACTACTATCCAAGGTGAAGCGGGTCTGTCTTGACCGCGGCAAAAGATTGACTGACGAATGGCAGGCCTCATCAAGACGAGTGGCGACTGAGGTGGATATTTCTAGGCTTGCTCCACGCTGGCATGACCCGGCGCGTCCGCGCTCTCCGCAGTTTTGTTCAACCGCTGGGAATCGCTCAACAGAGAGTTTTGGATTCTGTCAACTTCGGCGGTCAAATCCGACGGTGAAGTGGGGCGGTGGTTTGGCGGTGGGGCGAACTATCCAACGGAGCCTAGACTGTGACAGCGCTAGCCTTGCCCCGCTCATGCAAGGCGGAGTGAGTGTGAGCGCCCAACGACCATCGCAGGTCTTCAAAAAAAGATTGGTCGGGGCGGTGGTGGTAACGTGGTGCAGCGGTGGATTCAGCTTCCGCGGTCCGTACAAAAATCTCTTTAGATCCCGTTTGACATAGGTCACGACACTCCTTTTCCCAGCGTGTTATGCAATCCTCGCTTACGAGTCTTTAGCGTGACACCCGACCGAAGACGCCGTCCCACACGAAACGTGAGTCAAAGCTTACAGGGACTATCCTCGAAACCTCTGGAGCCCGGCCACCAGTACCGTCCAACCGCCTCTGACATAGCACCTGCTCTGATTAGTGACTAGCACCAGCAACCCTATCTTCGCAGCGCTGAAGTCGAACTCCTCTCTGTGCCCCATTGCTCTCAGCCGCAAGGTTGTACTACACCGCGATGTGTTGCCTCCATCATGGAAACCGGTTTTCTGTCCCTCATGTTAGCATGATTCATGGTGAGTGCAGCCCTATCGGTTCTCTGCGCAGATGAAAGCTACATTTAGGAAACTGCGTCGGCTACGTGAGTCCTCGGTCGGCGTTGTCCACGGCTGATGCCGCCAGAGATGGTATGTCGTTAATGAGGACACGCGGCTTCACCGTGGCTATACCCGGAAGTAGAGCTAGGAGTCGATTACAGGGAGGAAGCAGCGGTAAACCTAGATAGTGAGTGTTACACTGCCCATCGCCCCGGCCGCGCGAAAGGGCAATGACGTCCGGTCAGTCGATCTTGTATTCACGAGGAGTCAATGCCTGTGGCGCAATTTTGTGTGCCATGATGACCCACAAATGACCCATGGCCAGACGTCTACCGCAGGCAACACTGATCTAACGTTCACCTCGCTCTATGGTCCCCGTGATGGTTGCACGTCCATACGTAGTATCTGTTGACCTCAGAGTCAATTATTATGATGTGAAAGCCTGTGCGATAACCATAGCGCTTCTGTGCTGGGCACAATATCGGCAGAAAACTCCACCTAAATATCCGCGCACGGTACAATACCGCCTGCCAACCGTACTTGACACGTTGGTCCATTATCGGCTCGAGCACATGTTGCACGCCGACACCACCGAGCGCGCTGTGATGGTCTGCGACTGAATTCCCGGCTTTCACTTCGGCTGGCTTCTTGCGGCTAGCTCCTGCGACCCTGCACCGCGGGCGGTACTGCAGAATTTTACAGAAATGATACCATTTCAAGGAAGGCCAAAGGAACCCTTCCTCGATTATACTTCCCTTCTGAGGATTAATGAGAGGTACGCACTTAGACCGTATTCGCTTTCTTTTCAGTTCTGAGGCACGCAATTGATAGCCTGACCATCATGTGCATGACCCTTGGGTGGCCTCATGCTTTTTCCAAGGAGGGCTGGAGCGATTCCGATAGCTCCGGAACTCTGCAGTTCAGTACCTCTTCTGGATGAGCGTACAATGTCGGACAAGGTTGCGAGCGATGTGATCTGGCGGAAGCTTGCGGCGTGGAGGTGGACCCTACTGTCTGGGCTACGACTATCCCAGGCAGGTAAGGATAGATAGTCGATCCATTCGTGAACGGGTCAGACAGGTACCCACGGGACGGAGCTGGGCGATCGCACCTTTTCACTCCGTCGGCGCCTGAGCTTAATTGACCCATCGTGGTCGACAATCCGACAGCCCGCATCATTCAAAACTCACAAAACACAATAATGCATGCATTCACATTGATTGCGTTCTCGAAATTAAGTGTTATGCTCTAGAATGCGGACGAGACGTACATTCTGCCTTGTTCCTTATGCCACACGGGCTCTAGGGGACCCGACCGCGGCGGATTGACTGTCTCTTCACGGGATAGTTTATCAGTACCATCGTTTCCTAGGCTCTTGCGAAACTGCATGGCGATCACCCGGAGGCGTGCTTCAGTAGACACAAAAAGCAGCTCTTGTCTGAGGATAGAACACTGGACGCGTCAGTCGAGGCCTCATTCCAAGTACGTTACCGTATATGACAGCCACGAGAGAAGAAGGGACGGTAACGATCCAAGTCACCGTCCGATCTGCCCCAACATCTACGCATAGTCTGGGCTTGTGCATCACCGAGCCTTGGATGGTTCATCATTGCCCCCGCTCCTTCAATGAAGCCGACGAGCAGTAAACGCCAAGGGTACAAGCTCGCTCAAACCCTGGACCGACTGCACACCGTCCGCAAATACAATGAGCGTCCTGTTGAGGCGTAGTGAGCGATAGAATGAATCGTCATATGGGATGGCATGCGACGGCAGACATACGACGAGGCTGACACTTCAGGGGATGACTATAGGTGCCATACATTCTGTAGGCGTCATCAGACCACTGTGACCGCGTTTGGATAAATGGAGGGCCGTCACGGTTGACATAGCGGCCCCTGTTACTCGATGATACCACACAACCACCCGCAACCAATCCTAGCGGCGCTGCGCTTGTAGCAGTATGCCTAGTCACGATCGGGATAATGAATCCACTGAGAAAGTCGCGAGTGTGACTGTTCCTCATAAGAGTCACAGCCAGAACCTGTAAGTATCGAGGCCATGATAATTTTTTCTAGAAACAAGAGAAGCGGAGGGACCATGATATGCGGAGTAGCGGCTTCCGCGGACTTCGCATTTGGTCCTCATGCTCAGTGCCGCGGTTGTAAAAGTGACGCGGAGTGTGAACACGTACATTTGCAATTGATCATTTGACAGAATGTGAGGCTCGACAAGACGTCGTAATGTTTCGACTCGACCGCGACATCTCCGTTATCGCGATGTTGTTGACACGGTCGGTGGACGTGAGATGAACATGCAGGGAATCCTCCTGTGCGTGACCACATAACTGCCGGCGTCAGCGAATACAAAAATAGCCAGGCATCCTGTATGTTGCGGTCAGTCTGCGAGCAGGGAGCGAAGAGCCATCAAAGCGTGATATGACTCCTGAACCACGCACTTGCGATGACAAGTCATGCATAAGACTGTATCAGGCGACCAAGGGCATATATTCGACACTCACCAACTCGGAGCATCTGAAACCAAGATCGGCCGCAACTCTACTGAATTCAAAACGCAAGGTCCCATTACCCAGTGGGTGAGTATAGCGCGGAGGATGATAGACGGTTTCTGCTAATGAGCATAGCGCGCTGCTGTCCTAGGCAAACAGCTGCTCTCAGAAAGGCCAGATGGCGCTCTGCATGCTCTCCGTCTGGGCTTCCAGTCAAGACACAATCAGACCTGCAAAACCGCCGACGGATAGCACCGCGATATGGAGATTGCGTTCCTGCATGATGTTGTGTATAAGAAATCCCTACGAGTCTAGACTGAGTTTGTACAACTTTCCAGGGCAGTCTGCATGACAGTAACGCGGCACCTTTGACGTCCTGATCGCTTCAAGATCGCTTCCCACACCGCTCAACGACATAGGCCTTCGCCCGTCTCTGTTCCTGTCCGCCAACGCCTTCAAGATCTTCCGGCATTTCGCCATCAAGGTTTTCCTGTCAGCATTCACAGTTGTGTCGTCTCAGCACCGTGAGGATGACACAGACCAGTGTCATGGGACTTACGCGGGTGCGGTCCGCCCCGGCCTCAATGAGTAGACATGCCGCTTCCGCATGCGCTGACTCCATGGCCAGGTGAAGAGGCGTGTTACCTAATGCAATTCAGACGGATAGAAAACAAGTCCTCGCGGCGGAACGCTGTTGCGAGAGACGTACCCACACGGTCAGCGGTGTTTAACCGGGGTTTGGGGGACCCTTCGAGAGGCTTGAGCAAAAGACTAATGAACCCAGTCGACCCTGTGGTGGCAGCACGGTGGCTTCAGACCTTGTGTTAGGTGCGCAGTACCACTCAAAGCAGACGAGGACCTACAGTGGTAGCTGGTTTGCATTGTCCCGCGCGTTGATCTACTGGCATTGTCAGACTTCGTTGCGAGGATTGAGGGATGAAACAGAACTTACGTCAGCCCCTCTGGAGATGAGCAGTCTGCCTATCTGGAGGGGAAGGATCAGGCGCGGCGCTGGCTGGACAAAGCGAACGTCATACGTCGACTCGAGACTTGGAAGCTGCATAGTGCCTGATGATTTCCATTTCACCTGTCAGGCTAAGGAAATATATGGAACTCATACAATGGTGTGATGCCCTTGTCGTTCTTTCGATTGACGTTCGCTCCGGCGCCGAGGAGCTCGCGTACAACCTGTTCATGCCCTGCGCTAGCTTCTCTTCTTATCAGTGGCCGTATCCAAAGCCTCGCGCAGTAGACTTACCAGCGATATGCAGTGGCGTCCAGCCGCTATTGTCCGCGCGATCGACATCTGCTTTCTGATCCAGCAAATACTGGACGATGTCGAAAGCCCCAGAAGAGGCTGCCCAGTGTAGCGGCATACGGCCGTCCTGTAGCCACTCGGGTTAAACAGCTCTTGGCAAGTGCGAGTGGTACAAAACAGGTTTACCACGTCTGGAGAGTTTGCAAGAGAAGGATCCTGGGAGACGAGAGACCGAAGCAGTCCAGTCTGCCCTAGTATCGCGGTTGATGAGCTCAGGATATGGAGCACACAATGAAACTATAGACTCGCTGTTTAGAGCAGCATTGTGCACTGAGTGAGTCGACATTGCATGCAGATGCGACGCAATGGAGGTAGGTGAAGTGGTTTGAGAGCGGTGCGGGACGCGTCTGTGGCATCACACCGTGGGAATCGGGGAGTGTCGGTGGCGGCAGACAGCCCAATTTGGGCGGACGACTACCAAGATGCAGTAGCGCCGGGCATCCTCCGTTCTGTCAGTTAGGCTCAATCGACCGCTGGACGTCAAAGATATCGAGGACGTTGGCGAGCTCGTGGAAGTAAACGAGACACGCGGAAGGTGACCTGACTTACCCAGCACTCTCATCGCGGTGGCCATGCCCTCCGTCGAACACAATCCAGACTCGGTCACGCAGAGTGAATGGAGTCCCCATATCCTCTTGACATTTCTGCAGTCTCAATCGCAGAATGCATTGACTCGGCTTTATCAAAGGCCGTCATCATGTCTCTCTATATTTCGGTACGCGATCTCTTCGATCTTTCTGGACGCAGATCCTCATCGAAGACTAGCCTGTTGAGACCGCTGGAGCGCCAGCTCATCATGAATATTCTCTGGTTGGAATCCGCTACTCCACTGTCGACGATGTCGGCGTGGGTCACACAGGAGGGTAAAAAGTACGAGAGACGCGACCTATCCGCTTACATGAGGTGACCTTCCGCGGTTAGGCCCTACAGCGATTCCCTTTCCACGTTAGCACGCCTCCATATAATCCCAAACTCGACCACGAAGCTGGCCTTGAATGCCACATTCCGAGCATCACTACGACAAGCTATCACAGGCGGGTAAGTGCGTGGCTACGCGCAGACGTCACTGATGCTGATCGATACAGAGGAACGACAGGAAGCTTTGGGGTACCGGCGGAACCCGACCCACAGCATTCGCCGCCGGACATCGCCACTTTGGACGCGTATGCCCTCGAACGTTGGGAGGTGTGCTATAGACGGCCCTGAGCCTCGCGAAGCCGTCTAACAGGCTCGTCTGTTTAGACCATTCTCCACTACATGGTGTCCTCCGGAACGGGCCAACATCCCACGAAGCCTTCGCAGGAAGTTCTTTTCCTCTTGCAGCGCAGCGGGCTCATGACAAGGGTGCAGTAAGTCATACGCAACGTTTCCCAGTGGGAATGGACACTAGGGGCTAAGATCTGTCACAGCGGCGGCGTCCTACAGATAACATCGTCAGGCTTCCAATTTTTGCTACACGATCCTCACGCTCAGCTGTGGGAGCTGTTGCTACAGTTCCTTCATATGGCAGAGGTAGGCGAGCCTCTCCTATGAATGAGGATGAGCTTGACGTCTTCCGTTATGATCAAATAGGAACGACAAATGGACCTTGTGGAGGTCTTGAGCTTCTTGTTGATGCTATCAACCATGGAGCTGGGTCGGGTATGTGTACGACCCATCTTCGCCTAATAGACTTTTCATGAAGATCTGAACAGGAATATTCGACGGAGAACCTTAGTCCAACTCAGAGCGCCATGCTTGCGGACTTGCGTAACTATGGTTTGGTCTGGCAGCACAGTGTCCGTTAAGCCTACGTTCTCCGTCAAGAGATCCTGTCAGTTGACAAGATATCATTTCGTATAGACATCCGCGCGTCAATTCTGTCCGTCCCGCCTAGCCACTACCCTCACGTCGTCCTCACCTCCTCTGCCGACGTCCCGTAGTACGGGTGGTGGCTCTCATGACCAAGGGTTTATTGTATTGGAGACGAACTATCGACTCTATGCATACACCGGTGTGTGGCGCTCTTTTTCGCCTCGGAACGGTAAATTGATCTCTGTGAAGACAATCCCCTGCAGATCGCCGTGCTGAATCTCTTTGTTAATTTGAAATCTCGATTCCCGAACCTCGTTGTCGGTGCGATAACTCGTGAGAGTGTCAAGAAGGCCCTCGCAAACGGTATTACCGCGGACCAGGTAGGTTGAGTCTGCCAAGACTTCTGGGTCACCGTTAGTTATGCTGTTCGAAGATCATCAGTTATCTGACCACACACGCACATCCACAAATGCGCAAGAACGTACGCTCCCTGTGTCCTCACTCCCCAGCTCGATCATTACTCACGGCGGCATTACCCGTAGAAACCTCTCCTCCCTGTGACTGTGCAAGATCAAATCCGCCTCTGGGAGCTGGAGAAGAACAGGCTGAAGTCCCAAGAAGGTCTCGCGAGTCACATTGCTTATGCGCAGGCACTACTGCATGCGGATGCTGATCTTCTGGTTGTCAGGATATTTATATACGGCCTTCGCTTCCCAAGCAGATTATGAATACGTGCTCAACTACGCCAAACAGCTGGATGTCGTGTTATGGGATAATCCGACCAAACGGTGTTTCTTCGGCAGCCTGGATGGACACGCTAATATACGGGGATTCATAGAGAGGCGGTCTGCTGGCATAGCGTAGTGTAGAATTGGCCAACGGGATCAGATGAAATGCGATATATTGACATTCAACCCCTGCGCCCCTCATGCTCTCAGGGATAATCGCTCACATTCGAAATATGACGCAGCACTCTCAGGCCGTGTGCATTCGGTACGACTGGGATCGGCACATGCGTAAGACGAGTCCAATATTCATAAGGTCGTACGTGACACTGAACACATGGTATCATGATATACAGAGAAATATCCATAGATGAAGTGGTAGGAGAGAGCGTGTCGAGAGCGATGAATTCAGTTAGGTGAGTGACGCGCGTCATGCGAAGCGTAGATGGGGTGGGAGACAGGAGGGAGATGGTACAGCGATTGAGCCGACTCCTGCCCCCATGACCACATAGAAGGACTGGAACGGGTCCGCATATGATCGCGGCCACGTACGGCCGGGAAGTGTGCACTGATCGATACGCTGGTCGGCGGTGCCGATGCGTATGGAGAACCTGCCACCGTGGCCGCAGCAGGAGGCCAGGCTCCCGACTCCGGGTGCCCCGCGATGTCGAGCCGATGGATGTCGTGCTCGTATCCGCGCCCCATCCGCATACTGCTGTACGCTTGCTGTGCCCAGGTTTCGTCCCTCGGCAGGTGTGCCGAATTGAAGTGACCGACCGGCATCGGTGCCTGGTACACCGCAGGTGCGCCATCAGGCATGGAGTACGTTTCTGGGGCGCAAGAATAGGAGGGGGACCAGGAATGAGACGTCAGGTCGTCCATAATGGGGGATTCGACAGTGCTGTAAGGCGAATGGACGGTATGCGTAGACTCCGACGGGGATACGGGATGGCCGATGTCAGTTTGAAGCCGGGGATAGACTGGATCGTACGGCGCTCTGCTATGCGCTGCATACGGGCTTGTAGGCGAGCTCGCTGGTGAGCGTGAGAAAGTCGAGGTTTCCAGTGGTGAGGGACTAGCCCCTATGTGTGGTGTCCGAGCAAGTGTCCTAGACGGAAGTGAAGCCATGCCTAATGCGCTTCTACGTTGATGGACAGTCTCTTCCATGTCATCGCTGATGATCGTATTAAGGGACGATGTCAGCATAAGATCGGCTAAGAATATCACGAGATGCTCACTAATGCGTTGGCACTGCAGTGTATTGCGCCTCCAGCTTCAACGGGTATCTGAAGTTCGCGGAGTGCAGAAGCTCCGTCGGTATCTTGAGCGCCATGAGGTCAGGGCGACTCGTAGGTCGGTGCAATCGCCCAGAGCGCACATCGTCCTGTGTGAAGTACGAGATGAGGTGATGGTCCGACCCGTTGATTTTGACTGTGATTGTCTTATGCAGGACACGGTCAGTTCTTTATATTCCGTATGGATGCGCTCATCGCCCACCTTTTTGATCAGTCCGTTAGGCTTCAACATCACATGTCCGTCCACGGAATGTCCGCCTTGCGTAATGTCAGACGTCTCGGACGACTGCTGGGAAGCACGGAGGCTGCTTCTGTCTGTGACTTCTCTATAGATCTGATGCCGACTCGGTGGTGAGCATACGGATGCGCCGAAGTATCGCAGTTGTGACTGTACCAAGAAATTGCCAGAGATACGGGATTGCGACCACGCTAGGCCCTCCGTCCAACGCTTGATTCCGCTTTCTTCGACGCTGAACACGAAGACAGCTCCACTTCTGATCATGGATCGGCGTTCGAGTTCATTGAGGCGACGAGTGACTCGCGGTAGAATCCCCCTTCGAGCGGCCTGTCGATGGGACGGAAAGGCGTAAGCATGTTACATTGCAAAATCACAATCATGAGCGACACACACCTCTATGAGTCGAAGGGAATCCTCGGTTGTATCTACGTAGCCATAGAATGGCTGGACGTCCGTTGTTGTCGTAGCGGATCGCTGAGATGGTGGCATGGTGGTATGTGGGCACTGACGCGGAACAATGCACTACGAGGATCTGGGATGTGGAGAGGGGATGGTGCTGGCGAGATTCCACATTTATGCACGTCCGCCATATCGGACCAGGAACCCTGCCTTCTAAGGTGCCAGTGGCATCTTGCGCAAGAACCACAGAGCAAGGATCGTTGCATCAAATGCATCCGACGGAAGAACGCCCTGCGACGCCGGTACCCACCGCATTGCAGGGTCGCCGTACAAGGCCAAGTTGTCAGAACGGCGTGACGCCGCGATAGTCCCAGGACACTACGGGGTGACACGCTCAGATTACAGGAATCGCACAATCCCACGGCAGCGGTACTATTGGCCAACTCCGCGGCGTCAATCCACGAAAGGATCAAATGGTGCCTGTGCGTCAAGAGTCAGTAAGCCAAGCCGACCTCGCGGCACTACAGGCCAGACAGTTGAACGTTGAAGGCGATGGCTATCGCGTACTACCAACCTGTCACCTGAACTGTAGATTGAACATGTCTTCCCCGCCATTGGGAGCCAACGACCACCAACTGCTACCTTTGTATATTGCGCAGTCGACACTCCACAAGCTCCCGTTGAGCTCCCGCCTCCGGAATCTGCACTTGCTGTGATCCTGTTAGATATCATGTGGTTCTCAGAGAAATGGAGGAAGTCCGAGAATTCCTTCTGTCACGAAACCCCGATGTTAGGTGCCGAAAAGAACACAGTTCTGAAATAGTTACTAAGTCGCCCGTTCTTGGCTACTATTCGTCGGGATGCATCATCGGATGATCACTCGTTGGGTACCTTTCTTGCTGGATGTGAACGCACGAGAAGCCCTGCATTTGAACCAGATACTCACGGAAAGCGGATAACCCCCCTTGTGTTCATTCGGCTTGAGGCGTGTAGGGCGGGGTTCGAGATGCCGTTGAAGCAGTAACTATCATTGTGAGGAACGATATTCAGTGACAGTTCTCACCTCCTCGTGACTGCAGCCGCTGCTTCGTCGCTCCGCTTCAATTATGAAACTCCGCGCAAGGCAGCACGGCGCTTGTGGAACGACTCATTGCGCCGCTCGTTCCATCTGCCATCCAGGCTGTAAGTTGCCGACTGTATTCCCCATGTTCGTGTCGACGTGCTCGTGGCATCGCCAAAAGATAGAAGCCAAGCAAAGATAGAAGCCAAGACGGTACAGACGGTGTCGTCTCTTTCCCTCGAGCTGCTAATGCACTACACCAGGGTTCATATTGTGGCCGGGACTCGTGCTCGCAACTGCTGCCGCCAGTATGATTACCTTCGACTGGAAGTGCACAAAGGTTCAAGTTGGTCCATTCTTCATGGTACGCAATTTACATATGTCTCTCACACAACACATACAGGAAACCGTAATTCACTTCTGTTGAGACACGGCGCATGTCTGGTTATGGTGATCTTCCAAACCAACGGGATACCTGAAGGGGGCCGTATATCGTAAGCACCAGCAGCGGCTGGTTTGCTAATCTATCCGGCTACCAAATCGGACTGGTGGCCATCTTCTTGGTCTTCTCTCAACCTGTGCTGTGCGCATCTCCTCTCGACAAATGAGTACGTACTACCATGTGCTCCGGGATGACAGCCCCTCGGAGCCGCCCGCAGTAGGCCCACGGCATTCGATCCGAACTTCGCACAGACAAGGCTATACCGTGGACACAGACCATTAGGATCCTCCTACCGGCCGACCGTGATCATCCCCACAGCTGGCGCGGACACCAGCCTTCATGCATCGTAACGTCGGTGATTGTCAGCCATCCCTCTTGTACCCTCAGAGCGCAGTAATCCTGCAGCGTTAGCAGAGTCTCGACTCTATGTTTGGACTTGTTCCCAGGCGTTACAGCACCTTTCAGTGCTGGCTGACGTCACAGACAGACGGGCCTGCCGCCTGTCGACGCCCCCCCTAAACCTTCGCACGACGGTGCGTCATACACATGACTCAGCGCTGTATTTGTCCAATAGGAGGAGTCCGGTCTCATCTTGATACAGCAAAGGTCACATCTATCCCGAATAGAACGATCCATTTCGAGGTCGAGACAGGGACAAGTACCACGAGCCAATGCGGTGATCGCGGTGAAGATATGCAGCGCCAGGTGCAGTCCTCTCAGCGGAACTCGGCCTGGTACATATAGATGGACCGCACTTATGGCCGAGCGCAACGGCAGATCCGACCTGGCCTACTGGGCTGTACGGTATGTCCGATGGGCGTGTACACAACGCATTGTGAACGCCTCATTGCCTACGGTTCGATCCTTCGAGGGTCGGATCTGATCGTCATTGGGCTGCATTCGGTCTGCTTTGCAGCGCAGACGGAGTTGTCTGCATGCGGTACCGTTGTCTTCCTGCGGCCATCCCTACCAATGGTGTCCCACGGTGGGGGATATCCCGACGGCGACGGCCGCTACTCATTACGGCCAGCCTACTGGGCATTGCAAGATCCTCGGGCCGTTGGCATACCCACGTTTGCATGGTGGATGTTTCCAGTGAAAAGTGACCCGAGCACTTCAGGCGTCGTATTACCCCGTCATTTGTTTGTCGAGGCTGGCGTTGTAGCAATTGCATGCAACCTGACAACGACCATAATGACAGCGCCTCCGATATGATTTTCTTGTGCAAGATTCACCAAGAAGGTTCGAGCGTTCGATCTACCGACTCATCTAGAGGTTCACTCAGATTCGCGGGAGAAGACGACTTATATACAATCGGATGCTCCGCAAGTTGCGATCACGCGAGGTGCATATGAATCGATCCATCTCTCTACGCCTCTACTTATCGTCATGATCTGACGAATGATCTTCACAGGATGCGCTGGACTGTACAGTAGTCGCGCACTCCGTCTTCCGACCCACGGCATCGCATCCCTGAGTCGTAAGAGCTATTCACCCTAGTCCCACTCCACCTCAGTACATCGAAGCGGTGTTATCCGAATGACGTGACAATGCAGTCGAAACACCGAAGGAACATACCGCTTACAATCGCCCCTCCGTACACGTCGACCATATGCCGGGAGTAGCCCAGGGCAAATGCGAGGGAGAAGTAGAAGCAGAAATGTGTCATGAGACAGTTTACATACATACTCATCTCGGTGCGTATACGACCCGGGCGAGCAATGCCGCTTGTCATCTCTGCTCCACTTCAGTGATAGACAGACGACTGAACAGAGATACCATAGTGAACGTGGAAATTGCACTGTCTTTTAAGGGCTCACGAACACTAAGAATCTGATGATCACCGAAAAGTAACCGGATAAGGTGAGTTCGGCGTGAATACGGGCTCGGAGTACTCGTCAGGTGAGGCTACGAGGACCACATAGTTTCCACAGATCACACATTGCGGAACTACGGTTTCCGCAGCATCGCGTCCTGACTTGGCAACGCTTCCGCAAACCTCAGCAGATCGCCTACAACGAGAAGAGTGATTTCCCATTAGGTACTGTTGAATGACAGGACCCTCGTTCGAAGTGGAAGCAATGAACGAGGTCAAACTCCCGGTAAGATACGTTGATATCTGTTCCGGAAACAGAAGGTCGACCAAGCGGTGAACAACGCCGGTGACGAAGAAACGGAGCCCGGGAGAGGCAAGGTCAATGAAATACCGATATGAATGCCAGTCTTGCAGGCACATGAACGTCACCGTTATTAGAAAGGAACCTGGGCCTGGAGCGCAGACAGACAAAGCTGGCATAGCGACGATGGCTCGAGTGAAGGCTTCCACTACCAAGCTTGGGAACGACGGCACAAATTCTGGAAAGAACCAGACGGTTTTGGCAGGCGCTGTCGCGGTGTCTTATGGTCGCTGAGGTCGCCGCCGCCTCGCCTGTGTGCAACTCGGACTCAGTACAGCCAGATTGCACTTCTCATTTGCAACACTTCGTCTGGACTCACCAGATAAGCTAATTCTAAGCATTTGCTTCGAAGGCCATCTTGAATGAATGAATGTCGTGACCACCTAGACAGCACGAACCGTTTGTTACGTGAAGGTGGTTACTAGATTCCGAATAGCACTTAGGTTGCGTTCCTGCACTGCACCGTGTGGGATGTACTCGCGGCTGGTTCCTGTCAGCCATCCTTTGCGGTCCATGATGCATAAGTACGTGCGTAGGTGCACGTCATGTGCGCGGAGTTAGCACGCCACCAACCTGTGTGTTCCCAATGTCAATAAAAGCTATTGAGCTGGGAAGTTCTGAATCTCTGATTGACATCGTGATTCAGCCATCTGCCAATACAATGTGATCCGGAAGACGTACCACTCGTATGGACTCGGAGGCTGTCGAGCCATGACTTCGGGCTCCTGTGAATGTGCAGCCGAGCAAAAGTTGCGGTCGCAGCGAACGACCCTGCCTGCCTGGCAGCTGGAGACTCGTGACATTCGGCCGGATCGTAAGAATCTACCGTGGCAAGTGCTACACCTCGACATGTTCTGCGCAGGGGCTGACCAGAAGTGACACACGGCGCAGGAATTTAAATTCTTACAATAGCCGTAGGGACCTGAGTCTTTCAAATATCGGCGTATGACTGGCAGTACTTGCGATCATTACCATCTGGGTTGAAGCAGTCTCAAGCGACGTAGCAACTTGGTGACTGAAGGCAAGGAAGGCAACGACAGCTGAGGACACAAGCTACTAATTCTACATACAAAGTGATTGTGAGCGAAGGAGCGGGTTACGGTTTGCACACGTGTCACTGGCACTCCGAGCCTGGGCCTGAGGCCTGAGGGAGCAGTCGGGCAACGAGCTTAAACGTGGCTGTCTAGTACGAAGTCCGGATAGCGGGGTGAGCAGCCTGCTGAGTGCTCATCTCCTCATGACCTTCGAGCACGCGAGCTACACAACACGAGCTAATTCATATGTCATACATTCGTCAAGTGCCTAGTATTACATAGGATGCAGGATAATGATGTGTGCAAGACCGCGAATGGCCTACTGCAGAAATGCGGATCTGTTCATACACAAACTATAGGCTCGAGGGCAGGGTGTAACGCGAGTATGATAAGAATAGCGAGCAGGACAGCGAATGGGGCACGCAGCGAACACGCACACAGCGACTAAGCACGACAGCAACCGCACACGAACGAACCTGGGAACCAATCACTATCAGTTTTGTTTCTCGGCACGCGATCGAACAAGACAGTGACTTACATTCAATCAAACCCTCTCACGGGCAAGAGGGTGGTTTGCAAACTCTTCCGTATTTTCGGGCCATCCTTCCCGAAATAACGCTCCGTCATGAAACTCCACTCCGCATTCGCGATGATCCAATCCTCCAGGCCCTGGACGTACACCTGGACCTGTGCGTCGATCTCGGGGCCCCACGATGGCAATGCTGCCTTCCCCTCGAGGAACCGTTCGACGGTCTTATTGCACAGGTCACCAGCGTAATCGATTGCCGCCTGTCGCTCGAGACCAAGGGTCGCCATAATGGCACAGACGAGATTGTGCGTCTCAAGAACAAATTTCCATCAGGAACAACGCGGAAGATAGGGGATCAAACACTCACGTCTCCGCGTGATTGCTCACGGTTATAAGAGAGGATATCCTGCAACACGAGGGTCGTCAGCGTCAAATGTCTCGCAGATGATAGCGCCCACAAGGCTGGGTCGTGAATGGGTGCCTCGACTTACGTTAGCCCAGCTGACGCTGTCGTTCGTCGCATCAAGAAGACCCTGGATGACAGGGTGTTCGACGACTTCATTCGGCAGGTCAATCCCAGCGGCGTATTCGATCAACGCAAAGCCTGTCTTGCAACCGCTCGTGTCGCGACGGAGGGAGATGTACGCCTCCAGCTCCGGCACCGTCTTCGTTGCCCGGTCAGTAGCTTGTTGCATGATGGCCTTGAAGTAGAGCCCGAGCGTGTCGACAAACCGTTTGCGGCAATTAGGGCCGACGGTCTTCAGCATTCGGGTCCACCATCTATATGGGCGTTCGTCAGATAAGACGGCGACGCATGAGAAAGGAGCGGATGTACGTACGACTTCGCGGTACGAGCAGCTGCTGAGTCCGAATGGTAAGTATCAGGATGGTTCAGGGTGTTCATTACCGCTTCCTCCAAACCCTTCGTCCCGGTGGTGTCGAACTCGTCACTCCAATCGTCAAGGTTGAACAGGAAGCTCATGAAGTCGGAGCAGACACGAAGCTGCTCGGGCTCGCATTCCGCATAGCACATCCCGCAGAGCAAGCCCGCGTTCAGGCCAATGAACTTGGTCAGCTGCTTCTCCGAGAACTTCGCATACTCGATGATGAACGCGTCGGACTCGGCGGACACGAAACGCGTATACGGGTTGAGACGGAGGGGGAACGGGATCGACTTGACGAGATCAGGGAATTTGATGCCTTCGCCTTCCTTGGATCCCGAACACGGGGAAGTGGCTCTGGGGGGCGGCGGGAGTGAGATGCGGCGTGAGAGACGCGGATGTGAAGGTGTTGATTGGGAAGAACCCATAGTTACGGCACAAGTGGATACAGTCAATGGAAGGCAAGGTACGGCGGTGGGATGCGGACGTCGATCAACGCAGATGTGCCTCTTAAGTATGCTTGCGAGACCCTGGATCTGACACCAATGGGGAATTGGCGAATAGCGAGAAGTACCTGTCTGAGAAGGACGAGGCAGCAGTAGAAACATCGAATGGAATGATCTTGTAAAAATACCTTACAAAAGATGCTATTGCTGCGTCTCAGGCCCCATATGTCCCACACAATCCCAAACCTCGGCTTGATCCAGTGGCGGAGCGAGACTCCGAGTAACAAGTGTATCAGGTCTTGAAAATCGGTATGTCGGGATCAAATCCCGCCACCTGATATTGCAGAAAATCACACCGACCGAGTGCGGAGGCGACATTTCGAGGTGGCGGACGCAGTCTGACGAGGTGAACACGTCACTGACATATTGCAACCATGAGAATGTGACAACATGGAATGACCGGTTACCGGCCACGGTTTAACATTCTATTGATTGCGTACGTCAGGTAATCGCTTAGCAGGCCTCGTCCCTGTCTGTTAGCGGCACTGTGTTTGTGCTTTGAAAAGGCAGGAAAGGACCCATATGTTGCCTGAGGGTTTATCGAAATCTGTAGATCAAATCAGTGAGGTGCTGGTGAATGCTAGGGAGCCTTTAGTTCACGCCACAGGCCACGCTGTGTGTACTACGCCATGCATGCAGGATGCCCGTTGACTCCGTCCGACCGGCACGCGGTGGGAGACATGATCGGCAAATCGAAGACTTGCCACCACGCTTTGATCGCATCCTCATGGACGGATCAGAGGTCTACGAAAACGACGAATGGTAAGCGCGCCGCAAGCGCCCCGACGGACACAAACGACATTAAGATCATCCATCGCAACCCTCGGTCGCGGGATACGGTCGGGCGAAAATGAAGGCGAGACATGAGGAAGGAACAGGCTGGAACAGGCTTGTGTCTTGACGCGAGGAATAACAATGTTGCAGGAGGACCATGCTTGCGGAGCGCGTACGGACGGGCGTGCCGACTAAATGAATGAATAAGTAAGCAATAAACTCGGCTACTTACTCCGGCCCATGGGCCGCGGGATCCTGTCTGGACTTTGAACCAGGATTGCTCTGGCCAGCTGATGACTTGCTACCACAGCGTCCCCGCGGTCTCCGCATCACAGCACGCAAGCGGGTGACGACAGTCGAGCCCGCGCAACGCGCAGCCTCGTCGGCACTTAGCACGAAGATCACGCCGTTGTAGTGGAAGCGAACGAGGCCGCGGTGAGGATGTTCTTGTAGCCTTCCCGGTGAGCGACTGGTCCCACATGTATACCGCGACAGTGATAGTTTTGGCGTAGTCTGGTCCTGATTACGTCTGGGCGGCTCGGCCATGGGTCGATACTAGCTATAGCCGATCAGACTGGGAACCTGCAAGCAAACAGAGTTCGTGAGTACTTCAATTGGTGGGAGTGTGTAGAAGAGGGTTCGAAGAAGCGGCGTTGCCGCGTCGGGTCGCAGTTGTGGGAGAGCCACGTGCCACTGCCACGGCCCGATCGACATCGGCCGCGTCGCGAGGCTTGCCGCGAAGAGCGGTCTCATCCACAGCTTGTACCACAACCATGCCGCCGTCGTCGTCTCCCGCTCTGCCGTTGAACGTCAGCGCATCCGGCGCACCGTCCAAGTCGCCTGCCCCGGCGTCTGCCGCTGCCGCCGTCTCCTCCGCGAAGGCGACAACCACGTCCGATATCTCGAGTCCCCACGAGCTGACCGCGTTTGTAAGGATGTTCGCAAGCACTCTGACATATTCAGTCAGATAAAGTGGCTTCTCTTAGGTGGAAACGCTTCTGGAACAGCTTGACGCCAAATTCGACGATATGTCTTCTCAGATTCTCGACCGAAGTATGTCGTATCGCTCCAAACCTCCGTTGCTGCAGGTGACCTCACGCTTGATCCCCCCAGTGATGCAGATGTCGACTAGGGTGGATGCCCTAGAGGCCGCAATTCAGGATATCATTAACGGGGATACGGCACCTGGCCCGCCAAGCATGCCCCAATCGCCCGCTCTGGCGCAGAGACGAAGTGGCGGTGTTTAATTGCCTCCAGCGCAGCGCTCATTGACGCCAGTGGCGCCGCTTGAGGGTTTTCTTCCGAGTGACCCATATGCACTGTACGTACTCTTCTTCGCGCCGGGAACTTATACTCATATGGTCAGAGTTTACCATTGATTCGTCGCGGGCTGTCCTGCTATCGGTCGGTCAGCAGTGTATTCTCGGTCTAAGCGCAATGTCATACTCAGACACGTGTATTGATAGTCTTTCAGATTCTTCATGTGTCATGCCTGCCCCCGTTGCAAGCTCGCCACGAAACGTACGCAGAGTACGTTTACCCTCGCCGAGGGTGGGATGTACCAGCTACAATTCGACCCCGCGAACACTAGTGGCCACGACGTGGCCTTGAGGCGAGGGTCATCAGCTACGCGGCAATTATACGGTGCCTGAAGTGTATGTCGATATTTTTGCCTGGTGCATACTGGGGTCGAGCTGCCGGTCGAGGAGAAAGCCCGTCAAGCATTATGTCATTCCTCAGGGCAAGTTCGGGAGTTGGTCCGAACACGCGGGCAGGGAGATCCCCAAGCGGTTGGACTTCTCGAACGAAGCTGAGTGGTGATTCCACCCGATTGCTGCGAGTCCGCTTCAAGGGCAAAGGCTACCGTACACCGATCGGCGATCGGTCGGTTAAGACTACGCCTCAGAGGATCCTCAACACAAGCGTTTTGCTTGAACGATCATCCTCCTCGAGTCGGACGGCTGAGATTACACCAGCCATCTATCTTGCGCGTCCACAAAACCTCGATATTATTTCATCCACACCAGACGGTAATGTGATAGATCACAAGAACAATTGCATGCGAGTACTGAATGGAGCGACACTGTACATCTCGAACCGGGGTAAAATCGGACCAACTCAATCTAGTCCTAGCGATTTTGTCGCTGGGGGCGGGGATAGCACCCGCCTCGCAGGCTGCGCGGGCGAGGGTGCACCACCGAACATGGCCGACAACATGTCTCCCAGAGGGTTGGCGGCCTGCGTCCTCGGAGGGGGGATGGAGAAGTAGAGCTCCGCCAGCTCAATCAATGCCTGTTTGACGGCGTGTAAGGAAGGTCAGACATGCACTACGGCGCGTAGGGGAAAATAGAAAGCGGCCGCTCGGAGCGACGCACACACACTGGGGAGGGTGATAAGCGACAACGTATTGCCCTCCCCAGGCCTCGCGTAGAGAAATAACGGAGAACGGTACAAAAAAAGCAGAGTGCTCCGACAGATCTCACCTTGCGAATTTCCTTGGTAGCCATGAGCCCGCCCTTGCTCTGATACGTCCCACAGAGCCGCACCCAAGCCTCGCGCATCGCTTTGTTCTGTGCGCCTTGAGCGCGTTGGCACGTCCGCACGGCGAGTTGGGCGAAATTCAATACAGAATCTGTCGTGAAAATTATCTCGTCTGTCTGAGCCTCCTTGCTATTCCCGATCGGTATTGGTGCTGATTGGAGCGTAGACACTAGTTCAGGTCGCTTGGACGTAATCTGGGACACGAAGTGCGCGATGAACGTCCGTGCTGCGAGGATGTTGCCATTGAGAAGATAGCTAATCATGGTTTGGTGAGGGCAAGTGGACGGAGCGCGCGCGTATTTGTCAACAGTGTACTTCGTGCAATGACGCAAGGCACTTACGGTATAGCCCCTCGCAAGGCGAACGTGCCCGCAGTTCCCCCCACAGCTTCCCACTCAACGAACATCTCTGCGAGGAGGCGAGCGCTATCGCGTTGTCCTGAGGCAAGGAAGTGCGGCTCCGCTAGGTCAAAGGAGCCCTCTGCAGTATGATGACAGTCTCGTTAGGATCCAGTGGTGATTGTCGAACATTGCACCGACCCTTGTAGAGCAATTCACCGATGTAGTGGTGAAGACTGGCATCGCCAGCTGGACACGGGCCATGTTTCGCTGACCACCTTCACCCAACACTCTTGGCTTAGGACTTTGGAAGGTAGTGTAGCATCGCACGACTCACGCAACAGCCTTGTCGATGATGGTCTTCCTCCAAGTGCCAGATGGGCCAGTCAACGCGATGAGCTGTGTGATACGACCTGACCGATAGATCCCATGACGTATTGAGATGCGCATTCGCGTAGAGAGGACCGACCTGTACTCGCCTCGACTTTCGTCGTTGACAACCTCGCCCTTACTATTATACACATCCAGCATGAACGACGCCAGATCTGTCCCACTTCCCTGCTGATCCGCCTTCAGCAGCTCGCGCGCAGATTGGAATAAGACGTCGATCGCTGTATCGAATTGGCCCGACTTGTTGTACCTGGACGCGAACGTTCGCGCTTTTTGGTGGGCTTCATACGCTTGTCCAGCTGTAATGAGAGGTAGAATGGCATTGAGGGCACGAGATGAGGGCTGGCTAGTCATCGACGCCATGGCTAGTAGTCAAAGATTTCGGTGTGTGAGGTGAAGCTTTGAAGTCGGACGAAGGGCATTTGACGACCCTACGTACCAGGCACTGATCGGACTTCCGAATATGGTAGTTACGTGGCTGTAGTAGCTACTTACTAGCCTAATACTAGCCTTCTGAATCGCTTAGACTCCTGTACGCCACCATGATCCCTACCTCCGCAGGGATCTATCTTCGTAGCTCATAGTGCTAGGAAGGTATGTATACCATATTTTCACAACGTCATTGATCTCTCCATAGATGCATCGACGTCAATAGTACCCTCTACGGGAGTCCTGGATTGACTGACGGGACTGTAGGTGTCGCCGTAGCAATCCTCGCGAACGTCGCTTTTGTCGAAATTTCGTTCGTCAGAAGTCCTGTAATATCAGCTAAGCTCTGGACTCAGACTCATATACTCCGCCTGGACGTATGCGCAGGACTGGTACCAAGCGATGCCTATATGCACTAGTTGCACCCACCCCACGCCGTATCTATATACGGTGTATGAATCCGCATACAACCTGCGTCTGGAACAATGCGTAAGTCAGTCAGAGATTGCCGCAGACTGTATGGCCAGTGATGCGCATGCTACTGACAATTTGACACCCAGACGGCATGTCATGCATTCGCGGACCCTTACGTTGAGCATGACGCGCTCACGCTCCTACTGGACCTGATCCTCCTCAAACGAGACGTGTATCGTCATTTGCTGTTCAATCGAGGTCGTGGAGCACGCAGGGTAGGAAGGTCTGGGACTGCTCTCGAGGCAGACGCTCCGTCACAGCGAGGACTGGCCTCTCCCGGAAAGCCGCCAAACTACCCTGGAGCCTGGGAACATGCCAGGGAGAGGGTGCGTTCATAGGAAGGGTTGATCAGGGCATTGACCAGATGTGGCTGGTATGAGCAGGCACGATGGTATATGATTGTACGACTCGGTGTGGCACTCATCGTCCTGGATGCATGTACGTCGTCCTCCACTGTGATCAGTGATTGCGCTGAGATTGTTGCACAGTCATACGGTGGACACATCTTAGTGCGCATATGCGTGATACGACTATAGACCACAAAGCAGCTGATAGGCCCAAGTAGACTCTCGTATCGGTGCTCCGGAAGACATCTTGAATTCGAACACCGAGGTCGTGGCCGGCTTTGTCCGCATATTCGTCGGATGCTTTGTAGGTCAATGACACGCGTTTGCATCGATGACAGACGAAGCTGACCGGGGCCGTCGTTCCCTGGGCCACAGAAACGGCCGCGTTTCATGCGGGTATCATCATCGCCTCTTATGTCGTTCTCCAATGTGTAGCCTGCCTTCGACCATCTGCGCTGTTTGCGGCCGATTTGTCACAGGTTTCTGGCATCCGCAAAGAGTTCAGGTCCGACTTCTTCGCACACATGTATTCGGTCCCGATGCTCAATTCCAGTTGCAGATACTCGCATATACCCCTCACACTTCTATATTCGTCATTGACAAAACTATTCCTACTATTCCTGCTGACGATATGGCGACCTGGGCCAGTGGAGCAAGGCACACCTCCCATATCTACAAGCTCGCATCCAATAGTGGCTCAAGCCCTTAGCCTTCTCGACGAAGATCGCCTGGATCGCGAATGGATCGTGAGAAACGTCCTCGGAGGCATGTCTGCAGGCTTCGGGCTTCGAGGTAATGTTGTCCCGGTCATATACACGTCCACATGCGCTCAATGCTGCCGAAGTCGTTCTGGATTGTCATCCCATTCTCACAACATGCATCATTCTCGCGGGATGGGCTGTCAAGACTCTGGTTGCAGGAATGATCAGTCCTTGGGTGGGGATCGGCTTCGGTGCTTATGAGACGGCCAGCGAGATGTGGCTAGCGTATAGCATTCCATGACTACACTACACCACATGCAAGCAACCGGACAGCGATAGCAAGGGCCTGTCTACCGTGTTCGAATGCAAAGGGACAAGGGCACTGCCATTCGAGCCCAATGATATGATTGTGTGGCACACGCCGCGACCCTGAGGATTGTTCACCCTTTCAAGCCCTGTCAGAGGATGAAAGGGATAATAGCTTTTCTATTCCGTGGGTAGGCTTCTCCGAATTCGCGCTTGTACCCTTTATGCTTCTTGATTGCCCACTTCGACATGGTGATGGCGCTGACGACCACAAACAGCCAGGCTGAAGACAGAAGTATAAAGTAAGTTCAGTCGCTCGAGTTCTGATCAGTGTGTACTGACCCGCATAGCTGCCGGTCATGATAGCGATGGCCACCCATGACAAGATCTCAAAGAAGTAGTTCGGAAAAGAGACAAGGGAGAAACCGTAACCGTACGGTATCGCTCGCTTCTTGCTTCCCTCTGGCCGCAGGGAACGTAGGGTGAGGTGCGCAGAAAGGTTTGACAGCTCCGCGAACTGTGGGGTTTATGAGATCGGGATCATACTCAACGCAAGCAACGGTCTTACCGCCCACAGAGCTACGCTGCCCAGCAAAAACTTCGGCTTCTCGCGAGCGGTACCAATGATATATGGCGAGTAGGCGCTGTATGCTGGGCTGTAGACGACGGTGGCGAGGAGCGCGCCGCTCAAGAGCCAGTAGTGCGCGGAACTGGTGATTGATGGGGAATGGTCAATCCCTGTGTGCTAGCATCTGATTGCTGGCACTCACTTCCTAAATATGTTCCTGAACGGCATAGTGCCGTGCGAGAAGCGGTGAACGAATGCGGTTTCCCACTCGCGCTTGACGAAGTGAAGCATGACCATCACATAGACCATCCTAGATCGACATAAGCTAAGGAGACGTGCGGCAGAACGAGATTCTCACTCTTGAAGCCTGCTGTGCGGCACAGGGGGGCCGCCATATATAGCCGGATAATGGAAGAAGAGGGGATGGATGAACAGCGGGCCTGCCTGTTGGTCAATTGTGAGGACAGAACGAAACGAGGCAACTATGCGACGCACGTATTCGATGAGGTAAACCGTCCGCCATCCTAACTGAGGCCCGAGGTCTTTGACGGCGAGTTCATCCCCGTCCTGGATCCCTGCGTCCTCAAGCGAGCTCTCGTCTGCAAGCGCCTTCTTCTCTCCCTTCAGAGAGAGCTTCTGTCGCGAGGTGTAGAACTACAGACGACATAAGGCATGCACGGTTATGTACGCGTTGAGCTACTTACCTTGGGGAATTTAGCAGCGATAGCCGACTTGACTTCTGCAACCGTCACATCTCCGAGCGTTTTGTTGTCGAAATCGAGCGTCACGGGCAGCTCTCGAGCAAGCGGTGAACGCCCCGCCGCAGACACGGTTAAGCTCACCATGTTGGTTCAACGGAGTCCCACTTGCCTACAGCACGACGACTCGGAGCGAAGGCGGTCAGCGCCCAGACCCGGTCGCGCGTGGTTAGCGCTGGAAAGCGCGGTCACGACCACGTGACCTTGACACTAACTGGAATCTCAGCCACCCTCATTGTCTGCCATGTTACTACTGCATCTGTGCATTAATTTGCAGGAATGCTCCCATTGTTCTTGTGGTGTACAGACTGTGCTACAGAATCTGAAGAATACTCTGTGTCATTTGTTGTCATCTCACAGGCCTGGCAGTTGAGATCCCAGGCTGATACAGACTTGTGGTGGCATTTCACTTAAGTAAGTCCAATGCTCTTGCACTGACAAAGTCTTTGGGCTCTCAGTAAACTGTAGTATACTTGAAACACTTGAAACAGCAATAGGTGATTGTTGCAAGATGGAAGAGGACTGAACACAGAGATATACATTGATTGTCAGGCAGACTGGTTGAAATTGAATATTACAGGCTCATAGTTGCACAAGTTGTCAACCCATTGTTTAGGAAGCATCATATGGGTGTGATACATAAAATAGAGTATTAGCACTGTCTTGGAGTATAAGAATAGGAAGAGTATAACTCAGGAAAGAGAGGTTTCAAATGTTGTTCAACCCAGGCTTTCATGTGTACCTCTGAGTACATGATGACTATGAGTACAAATTGCTGTGCATTGACAGGATGCTATGTGCTACATGCTGATATGTTGTGAGTAAATTAGATTTTCAGCATGTAGCGCATAGCATTCTGTCAATGCACAGCAATTTGAACTCATAGTCATCATGTACTCAGAAGTACACATGAAAGGGTTGAACAACATCTGTAACCTCTGATTCCTGAGTTATATAGTCTTCCTATTCCTATACTTCAAGACAGTCCTGACACTCTACTTCATGCATCACAATTATCTGAAACTTCTCCATAATAGTCAGAAACCAGTCTGCAGTCTTGTGAGCATAATCAGTATGTTGTTTCAAAGCTTTTTTCATTCGTGGACCCTTAGCTCAGCGGCAGAGCGTCTGATTCCAGGAGCGAGGCTTCCAGAAGGTCGTCCGTTCAATCCGGGCAGGGTTCAATGCCCTAAAGTTTTGTCAGAACATCGTCTTTGTCTCGCACTGTGCGCCAAGGGGCATCTATGTACTCCGGGTGTTTCTTTACGTCCCTGGTCTCGTTTTAACTGTTGACGAGTATCAATCTAGGCACTTGCGAATCCTGTCCACAAAGACGTGGTAGGATACCTCTGGCAAGCTGAGCAAGCAGCAGCGGTAACCTCTGTCTTCTTGGATACAGGAGCACAGTTCTGCTTTTGGAATGTTATCCGATTAGGCAAGTGTCGTTTTGATGGGCGCTGATGCTCCATCCTTCCGCATGTCTGTACGTTCAGTGCTCGATTGCTCACAAGCACCAACGGGAAGTACATTGCGACTCCGAGAGAGACGAGTCCTGTGCAATTTTACCAATAGACAGCCCTCTAGTCTTCCAGTGCAACTGAGCGTCGTCAATGCCGTTGGCAGCGTTCCGCTGACCGATTAGGCAAGTGCTTCGGTAGGCGCCGTGGCTCTACTGCCAGTGAGTCGTGGTACGTACGTACGGTTCACCCAAGGTACTACACCGCGGGCAAAGCAGGGTTTTCGGGACTCGAAGATGCTAGTGTGCCCGCAGCGGTACTACATACGCTACTCACACACACATGCTATATGCGGTATTCTTACGTGCGAGACACGGGTGGCATTGAAACGGTGAAGACTCTTGAAGAGGCCGCCCTGGATACCCCCGGAATATGACATTGATTACACCTGTCATACATTTGTACTGCATGTGACACCAGCTTGGATGCTTGGGATTGTAGTATGTCTTCACAAGCTGTCATGTGCCACAAAATGGTGGTAGAAGACAACATATGCGGGACAAAAGGGAGGATCCCAGATGACAAATGCAACGAATGCGACGTGAACACTACGCACAGATAAAGCTATCCGGGCTGGTCTGATTCCCTCCGTTATATTGAAGCATCTGCGGGTACTACCGACATAGATCAGTACAAGCGATAAGCTTGTATGCACAGATACTCACTTTACATATGGGCCGCACAAAACCAATACCGCTGTTTGCTGTGTTGTTGTTGTAATACACACCTTTCAGCGTCGTCGGGGCGATGTTTTCCTCGACCCACTGTACAATCGCAGCCAGAATGTTGTATTCTGGGGCGTAAGACATCGGCGGCATGCCGCTCGACGCCTGCTCAACGCTTCCAAATGCGTTGGCACCATACCCGTTCTACATAGGTCAGTCAGCTCGTCGATAAAATGTGCCCCCAGTACTCACTTTGCTGAAAAAGCGAAGCACCATGAGCAGAAGACCGGGACTGAAATGTATCAAACTCACCAATGGTTCATACCCGGAATGGTATACAGGCGATAAAAGTCATCAATCTCCATGTCGGTATTGGAGGTCATGAACGCATGAACGCTTTCATAGTAGTGGATCGAATTGCCTGGACTGATCAATTGATCGGCCCAGCCAACGTACTGCATGAGTTTGCCGTTCCTGCCCGACCCCGCGAACGCGGTAAGGTTGGGGCTGATTGCCTGTCTTGTTGCTCAGCACGCGCACCACAAAAGGAGACTTGGACATCACGTACGTTTGCTTGCCCGGGGTTAATTTCTTCGGCAAGCGCGATTAAGGACGGGTCATACTGATCAATCGTCCACGTCGAGTCACTAGCAGGGACTGTAAGCGTGTGCGAGGGCAGGCAAGAGACGTGACCGCACTTCAGCACAAAGTATCGGAACCAGTCAAGTGCAATGGACAGCGTTGTATTGCCCACAAGTCCATCCGGGAACGCTTCCTCTCCGCCTGGATAGTACGGCCCAAAAATCCATGTCTGATTGGCCTCGTAGTAGTCCGAATAGATGTTGTGGAGAGCATCTATCTGCGGTAGCGTAAGGCATGTTGCCATGTCCTGACCTGGTCGACAGGTCAGGGTCTCCGGCCGGAAGCTGAAGACATCGTACACTATGAGTATCGGGGCGCGCATCATGATTTCGGCGACTCACTTGCAAATCCTAGGATCGCTGATGATGCCGTCGACTAACTATAGATTGAGCCCATGAGCCTCAATGCGAGAGTACACAGGAAATTACTATGTGACACTTACGCCATCAAGTGCATCGCATTGCCTGAGAACCTCAGGGTGAATGACATTTGACCACGTAGATGCATTGATAAATGATGGTGATTCGGCAGGGAGGACATTCAGACTCATCCGAATTCCCCAATCTTGCAAGTGTGTCTGCCAGTTCGCTGGCGACCCGACGACCTATGCCAATCGATCTACGTTAGCAGCCAGTCCGATATCGTCCGATGATCGAACTCACAACACCATCAAAATCATCGGGGAATGACTGAACTTCTTTGAGACTATAACACATCAGGCTTAATGTATCTGGTTCCTGTCAACTACGCACCCTTGCCGACCGCCTACGATATCATAGGTTAGAGTAGATCTCCAATAATCCTGCTAGTTTACCTGTCGAACATCCGATGTAGTATGACTTGTTGATCTCCTGTCCGTAGTATCGACGTACGATTTCTTTTCCGGCGACGATACTGAGGTGTAAGGCGCGCCATGCCCAGTCGATGATCGCATTCTGTCAATATGTCAAGTAATGACTGATTAGATCACGTCGAAACGCTGCGGAGGCGGAGGACCGACATCATCGTCAAGGGCCCACGAGCCACTGCCTTCAGTCGAGAGATGCCCGGTATCCGTCGATACTCCCGCAACTAAATTCTGGACGTGAGCCACACTTTCGAGGGAATGAGCACATCAAAAAACATACAGCCTTGTGCGACGGCAAGGAGCCCCAGCTCCGCAACGTTCACTGTGATGAAATGAGTCTCAGAGACTGTCAGTCTACGAGGGAGGCTAAACTCACCTCCACCGGCGAAACCTCCGTCGCCCACCGTCAGGAAGCGACCCGTCCAATTATCTGGAAGCCAGACTTCTGTAGAGCACGTAGAGTTCGCGGTCGCGTTTGTTGTGACCAACAACTCCACACGACAGAATGCGGGCAAGTCCGCTACATTGATGCTCGACATGTTTGTCGTAATATTGACAGGCGCGTCAACCTCATAGTAGCTGGTGTTGACAAGACTAACGCCAGGTACGTTTTGAAGCGAGAACGACCCGCATTGAGCCTCCCAGGCGAAGGCCACAGGTAGACGAGCCAATGAAGCGAAGAGCACTCCGCATGCGGCGACGACAAAACTGCACATGCCGGGATGTGAACGACGGTGAGCACGACGGCCGTAGGTAGCGACGCACCCTACTTATTTCGTCGGGTTCTCCTTCCCTCATTTCACTAGACCGTCCTGTCCATCACCTGATGATTCTTGAACAAATGGCCACTAGTCTGCGTCACGGCGGCCGCCGCTATACGATGTAGACCGATGCATCTGTACACGCTTATCCCAGTGCGGGTGTACTTAACGGCAACATCCACGTCCGATTCTCGGTCAGTCTCAAACAGGTTCGCAGTTCAAGTTGTAGGTCCTACACGCTGCTACCTACCACCCGTAATGTCGCGTCGGCGTCGAGATCGAGACATTCTGACGATAGCGATGATGGAGTACGGAAGTTCGGACGCGCGCTCACTAGTCGAAAGTCAGGGAGAAAGACACTGTTGGCAGTGGACAAAGACCCGACAGTGCCCCCAGGTACCTGCGCGGCCCGCGGCCATCATAACACCCTCGGGATTGCCGGTTCGTTAAGGTTCGTTAGCACCGCGGGTCCGGCTTTCGGGAGGATTGCCGTGTGGAGCTGACCTAGCGGCGACTTGATGATCCCGACGAGCTGTGATCACAGCGATGAGAGGAAGAATGGTAGCCAGCGCCCCTACGTGGCTTCGGCTCAGAGCAGTGTATGTATGTAGCAAGCTAATTCACCGCAGTCATAATAATTTATATTACTAGAACTATATGTACGAATTAGTCAGACCCCCAGAAATCCGTGCAGCGAGCGTGAAGTTCAGTTCGAGTCCTTGCAAGTATACGAGTTAGGGTCCATCTCGTCGTCGCCAGTATAATGGAGGGATTTCGGGTACTAGAAGATATGTGAGTAATGACCCGGTTAACCAGACACGCGAACGTACTTGGCATAGCGGACGGATTGCGTCGATGCCATGCGCTACGTCGTTGTCCTTGTAGTGCACGGCAGTCAGGTTGGAGGGAGCGACCCCCTGTTCGACCCATTGGACCATGGCAGCGAGTACATCGTACTCCGGCTCATGATTCAGAGGCGGCATGCTCTGGGATGCCTGCTGCACACCACCGAACGCGTTTGCGCCGTCGCCGCCCTGTCCACGCGGTCAGCCATATGGACGGATCGTCTCAGCAATTGAGAAGATCTTACATAACTGGAGAGAGGAAGGACGTAAGATGAGGCCCACATGCACCCATAACCAAACATGCTCACCAGTGCTCCATTCCGGGGACGGTGAACAACCGATAGAAGTCATCAATGTTGACCTGCATGTGATCGCCTGTGAAGTTCTTCACGCTCTCGTAGTAGCGAATGCTTGCGCCGGGGCTGATGATCTGGTCTGCCCATCCGACATAGTGGAGCAGCTTCCCGTTGTGACTCGACCCGGCGAATGCACTCAAGTCGGTGTCGACAGCCTAGAAATCCGTTAAACAGAGCACGCAAGGATAGGACAGGAATACACACGTCCGATTGTCCAGGATCGATGGCGTCACCGACCGCAATCAGAGACGAGTTGTAATCGCCAAGCGGCCATGTGGTGTCGCTGCAGTGGGTGCCAGTGTGAGCGATAAACAGTGATCGACGTCCGCGTGGGATACCTACTTCAAGAGCATGTAGCGGAACCAGCTTTGAGACACCGCAGAGACCTTCTCCACGTAGCTCGTGCTGTAGCCGACTTCGCCGCCTGGGTAGTATGAGCTAAATACCCAATCGTCATTGACGATGTAGTCAGAGTAGATCTTCTCGAGCGTTTCGACCTGAGTGCTGCTCAGACACGTTGACGCATCCTGGCCGGACTGGCACAGGAGTGCAGACGCGTTGAAACTTTTCATGGAACGGTAAGTCGCTGCTATATGTGAGAGCCGTCATGCTTACTTGCAAAGCTTAGGATCGTTGATAATGCCATCCGAGAGCTGCGTAGCCCATTGAGACCCAGTCCGAATGTTACGCGTGACTGGCTTACCCCATCGATAGCATCACACTGTTTCAGCACTTCCTTGTGAATGACGTCCGTCCACGCAGTGGAGTTGATGTAACGATCGGAAGTGCTCGGTTGTACGAGACCATTGAGATGCCCAGCCCACATCCGTAAGTGAGAATGCCAAGCTGCCGGAGAGCCAATGACCTGTTGAATACAGGCATGAGCCGGCGACGACGGCCAACTCGGGGTAGGATACTCTTACCAGGCCGTCAAAGTCGTCTGGGAAGGCCTGCATCTCCTTGAACCTGTGCTGTGTTGGCATCATGCTGACTCAGAGCGGATGAATGTGGACGTACCCAGATCGACCACCTACGAATATTGCATGAGGTTAGTAGAGAAGGGACCCCACAGGAAGCGCACATACCTTGAGAACACCCCATGTAGTACGAGTGTTTTTGTGCCGACCCGTAATATTGCTTCACGATTTCCTTGCCGACGACAACGCTGAGGTGCATGGCTCGCCATCCCCAGTCGACGATAGTATTCTGCTCAGACTGTCAGACAATGGACAATCACCATGATATGGTTCTCACGTCATCGCTCGGCCCGGCCCATGTAGCACTGGTCAACTTCGATGTGTGCCCTTGGTCCGTGGACACTCCAGCATCTGTGGGGTTCGCAGTCAATTAGCATGAGTGACGTGCAGAGTAGAGAGATTGGCGTACAACTCTGGTTGACAGCGATATAACCCAATTCCCCCACGTTGACTGTTGACGACGCCGAGAATTAGTCCGAACACTGACGCAGGGTTACGATAAGCGGACTCACTGCCTCCTGCAAAGCCGCCATTGCCCAGAGCCAGGAACCTCCCGTTCCACGTACTGGGCAGCCAGACTTCTGTATTGCAAGTGGAGTTCGCTGTCGAGTTGGTCGTGATGGTGAGTTCGATGCGGCAAAAACCCGGAAGCTCGGTCGTATCAATGCTCGACATGCTAGTCGACATATTGATCTTCGAGCCATCAGCGTGATACTTGGTGCTTGTGATGCTGGCATGAGTAACGTTCTGTAAACTGAAAGAAGTGCATTTCGATTCGAATGAGGAAGAGGAGTCTGTGCTCTGGGCGTCCGCAAGGACACCGCTTAAGTGAAGGGAAGCAGAAAGGAGAGCCAGAAGGCTGGAGAAAGCGAAAGTGAAGTTGATCATGGAAAACGAGTGAGCACACCACGTAGGCGTTGCGGATACCCAGAATCTCGCTCACCCACTTTATAGGGATATGCCTGGCCTCAATCCGCCGATGATGACGCCGCTTGTGTAGATCGTTAATCCGCGACATAGCCTGTCAATTGGCCGATGCATCTGATCCCTACTTGTAACACCAGAAATGTTGCGACCAGGTTGCGACTCGGCGGTCATAGCGCCGGCCTCAGCCTGCAGGCGGTCCGACTCGGAGGCTCACTGGGCCCAAGTGGCGGCCGTCGGCGCAATGGAATCTCTCTGTATAGCAACGGCGGCGAAAGTCATGCCCCATCGCTCGTCATATGTGATACGCGCACTGGCCGAGCGAGGTTCGGGATCCAGTACTGCATTCAGAGTGCTCGAACATACCATAGTCTACCATGGGATGCTGCGGTCCGCGTTCGTGACCCCGGAAGTTGATCAGCGAGCACTAGTACTGCTCATGCAGGGCCGTCGTTTGTGTCTCATGGTGGCGCGCGGCGCACTTGCTGGCAGTACTTGGCGGCGGAGGGTGGCGGTGATCGAGAATGCAGTACACGGGCGCCTAGTCTGGTCGCCCTCATCAATGACAATATTTCCTTTCTTGTCAGATCGAAGCTCAGGCAAGAAATCCTGCGACGCGACGGTCAAGTAAATATGCAACTGCAAATCCGAACTGTATCTCTGCAGATCTCTGCCTCTCAGACTCCGAGTCTCGACGAGATCAATTGATACCAGATCGACACCTGTCAGTGTCGTAGATAAATTCAGTACTAGTTTCATTGGTCACCTAAGTACTACCGACAGCGATAGCTCCCAGCCGCCGTCAAAGACAAAATCGCTGGCAGAGCCGCCGCCGTAGTCCCGAGTTCAGTCATATTGAGTACCAACCCAGTGAGCATTGACACGTCTTCAAGGAGGCCGCACGCGCACGGGCTGCCTTAAGTACCGAGGGGTGTATCAACTTGAAATCTGAATTCCCCAGTCCGGCTGGAACATCTGAGTCTGCAGGGCCGACAAATAATTTATTCTGTTGATAATATGAAAGTCCAATGGGTAGAGTAGCAGTGGTGTTAAGCAAAGAGCGGCTAGGGCGTGTCGGTTGCACCAGTCCATAGCGATGCCAAAGTGAAATACAGCAAAGGAGCAAAGATACAATTTCTCCGCGACCACAACAGAAAACCCAAAAAGATCGACAGCAAGAGACAGTGCGAAGCGATGTACACTGGACGAAACCCGCATCTCGACGACAGCGGATCACGGGTTTCAGTGCGAACCCGTCGGGCGAGCGAGGTCGTCGTACGGCGTCGTGAACGCCTCGTCCTTTTCTGGCTCGTACAACCGCTGGAATGCCGCGGGCGGGATTGTCGAGCCGACGGGGCTATATTTGTTGTTCCGGTTGCCGACCCAAAGCTTGATGAGCACGCCGAGAAGCAGAAGAATCGCGCCGCCCAGGAGGCCGATGACAATGTACGAGTTGCGTAGCAGCGCACTCCAGTCATCCGAACCCGAGGACGAAACAGACGATGAAGTGTCGAGGTTCGCGGCGAGGTCGCTGCCGAGCTTGTCATCGCTGGAGCCACTCGAGCTTGAGGACTTGGGCGCAGCAGTGGCAGAGGAGCCGCCAGAAGAGTGGACGTGGGTCTTCACCGCAGAAGCGGTTTGCCACCCCGAGGTCGGCGCGACGAGCGAGAACGTTGTCGTCTGCGGTGCGGCCTCATAGGTCGCGGTGATGTTGTACATCTCCGCGAACGTTTCGTACTCGGACTGGATGAGACGTTGCGCGTTGGCGTAGTCGAACTTTGCCCACGCCTTATCGTGATCCGTGATCTGCAACAGACCATTGAGCCTAAGTGCGCCATATGATGGGCTCAGGCAGGACTCACGCTGAGGATCTGCATGTATGGAAGCTCGTCTCCATTGCCGGTGAAGTTGCTGCCGTAGCTGAAGAGCGAGTACACATTACGCATGAACGAATCACCGAGAATGAAGTCTGCGCGGAACGTTCAATGCAAAAATCAAGAATCAGGATTCAGTTACCCACCAACTCCAGCATTGTCAGGGGTCGGGGCGAACGTGCCGACACAGAAGAAGCTACCGTCGGAGTTCACCTGGATGGTGGTGAGGTCGATCGGATCCATGGGGTACTTGCTCGAACTGTTAAACGAGAGTATGTATTCGGTTAGGCATGTCGACTGACAATCGAGCGATCGCGGCATGAAAACGTACCCGAAGGCCATGCTGACATTGAGCCTCGTATCACAAGGTAGGGTGTAGTAACCGATCGACTTGTTGAACTTCGATCCAGGAACATCCTTGTACATGGCATCGACATAGTAACGAGGCGCAGTCGCTACATGTGATGCAAAAAACGTGAGCATACGGCCAAGCCGCGGGGCTAGAGCAGCACCACGTACCGAGCGAAGTACCCGTGTCAAGGATTATCGTCGTCTGGTCCTTGCCGGGCTCAGCTGTGATACCAAAAGCACTGCACAAGACACTTAGCATACTCTTACGCTGGTCAAATTAGCAGTAACGCGTACCTCTCCGAGTGGCCCGTAAAGAACTTTCCGTTGACATAGACACCGTCCATGAACGCCTCCCAGGACGTCGCCGATACCACAGGGAGCTTAGGCTGGTCAAGAACAGATACATAGTCCGCGATCAGTTCACCTATGCAGTGCAATCAGCCGCTGATTCCTCCGTGCACAGAACGAGCGATCTCACCAATCGACATCACACCGCCCTGGGTGATGCCGGCGTCCGAGCGGGACAGGAAGAAGGTCATGAAGTTCGGCTCGTCCGGATCCTGGGCGAACACCTGCGAGAGAACAGTGAGAAGCTGAGAGTACGTGAATCTGGTCCTATGTCTCACGTTGACGAGGAAAGGGAGCCCATCGTACGTCGTGTTGATCAACTGGTCAAACACGGAGGATGCGCCCGGTCTGCGGATTGGGCGGCCATCAGCGAGCTTTCCGCAGTGTGCTGCCACACCGTACTCACGGGCCAACACCCAGCAAGCCACTGTCGAAGCCAGGGGTGGTTGCATTGCTGCCGGGGGCGTTGACTACAGCACGAACGCGTGAGCTCAGTGCAGTCCACTTCAGCATTTTGTTCACGTACTGAACGCCTGTCCGCCCACGGTGAACTCCCCGAAACTAACATTGGCTAGGACAATGGGTCCCGTCGCAGACGAGCCATCTCTGTCAAACGCGGTCTGAGTGTCATGATGCATCCAGTCAAGCTGAGGCCATACACGTAGCTTATGGAACCTGTTGTTCCTGTGTCCTGGAGGCCGTCAAGAGTGACATTGCATGTGTCCAACCACAGATCCGAACTGCCTGAATCGATTTGGACCTGTTGGCACGTTCACATCCAATTCATCGACGCGTTACGTAGGCTACTCACCTGAAAGGGCTGTCCCTGCACATAGATGGTGGCCGTGTACAGGAAGCCAGCGCCATTGGAGAATCCTAGATTTCCGTTATAGTTGGAGTTCACAGACACCGTGGTCGAGCGAGCGGTGGTGGAGCGACGTTCAAAAGGAATAGAGAGACCATAACTGCTCCCAATGAGGGCAAGAAGAGAAAGGGGCAAAAGAGTCATTGGGAGGAGAAGAAAGAAAGCGATAGCGACGGCGACCTCCTCGAGTGCCCTCGGGATATATATTATGTATTCGGACGAGCGCCATCAATCATCCGTCGAAGAGGCGAATTGATGGCTAAGCACACGGCAGGAATGCAGTGTCGGGCGGCGCGGGCGGGTGGGAGGCACAGGGCAGTAGTGATTGTCATCCCGAGGTTGCCGTCGCGGGTCGCAGGAACCAGTGATTGTGTGAGACAGAGCCACAGATCTGAGCCTGAGACTAAGGACGACTCGTGCCTTGTACGTGCACTGTGCCTTGTACCTGCAGACCTGCAGCATGTCCGAATTGACATTATGAAGGCATGCAACCCGAGCCATGTTACTGTGTTGCATAGTTGCAGCAACAGCTCAAGCTGTCAGAGACGTCCTCAGTTAACGTTGTGAAGACATCCCGGCGTGAACCGGTACGATGGGCGTCGGAGAAGCAGCAACGCGGGGTCGGTGTTGGGTCGGTAGGCTGTCGCTGTCTGTCAAAGAAGGCTTCAAGGCGCTGCCTTGGTACCCGCCTCCGACATGAGCGCATCTGGATCCGGATACAGCATGCCTACCGCTTTGCGTGGAATTGGCCGTTGAGCGGCACTCGATAGCCCCCTTCATTTGTCGGACATACGGGAAGCCACAGAGAAAAAAGTGCAGTCGCGACACAGCAAGAGCAGTGTGTTCAGGAGCTCGACGGTGTCTCGTCGAGGAGAGGGTGTCATGGCGTCGAGTCGGCCAGTGTGCTCTTCCGAGCGATGTATGAAACAACAGACGCCCGAGCGCAGGCGGCTGTTCTCGGGCGCCTATGCACCGCTAGGCGGCCCACAGCATTTCACGAACAGGACGTCGACAATACTCATCCTGAGCTTTACTCCAGCTTCCCAAGTCTCTGGCAAGCCGGCAGCTTAGAAAACGCATATGTCTGGAGACACGTTGTCCCCTCTTCCGACGTTCTCTCGACCCGGCTTGTCGCGGACAACGACGACTCTGACGGCGCGCGATGTGCTGCTACAGGCGAGGAAGAATACGGTGCTGAAGTCTCACGGCAGACCACCTTGGTAAACGTTCTACAGAGGCCCCTCAAGGACCTCCTATTCAGTCGCCGCTTTCAGGTACGGGGAGGACGGCCACCGAATCTCGGATGCGTTCGTCATCGGCATTGCTGGTACGCATTGAATCCGGCCGGCCAGTCATCAGCGTTTGACCAGCTGATTTGCAGGAGGATCCGCTAGCGGTAAAGTGAGACTCAGACGTTCGGCGAACAAGGTTACAGAAATGTTCATACATCGCCCGAGAACAGACACATGTAGCGCGGCGTATAGTGCAGTCCCTAGGCTCCATTCCGACTGTTGTCATCCTATCTCAAGTAAGGCAGAACGCTGCCCGTGGCTTTCTTGTACGTTTACACGAGTTGGGCAGGACAGCTTCTACAAACAGCATACGCCAGAGGAGATCGAACTGGCCTTCGCGAGCCGCTATGATTTCGACCATCCTGGTATCTACATTGCTCACTGTTCGTTCTTTGCCGCGGCTAAGGTGCTTCGCGTTCGCAGATGCCATTGATATGCCATTGTTCGCGTCCGTACGTGCACCGACTTATCTCACGCATCCTTGGAATGCGAGGTGTACTTGAACTTTGAAGGTCGCGTGTCCTGTCATGGAACCACACAGTGCCTAGCAGACTTGAAGGATTGTAGGCAAACGAACATCCCTATCTATTCGTTCACTGAGCACCAGCGCCTTGACGAGACAAAGTATCTCTATGGTGCTGCCATAATCATTGGTCTGTATGATCCCGCCCAGCGTAGTCAGCTTGCTGACTTCGGGCTTGCTTCTAGCGGAGGGTATCATGGCGTTACACGACCCCGCCTTGAGGGCATTATATGATCTTAAGGTTCGCGAGGTCTTGTTCTAATGATGCACTGGCGCACTCACATTGGCCCCTACAGATCTTCGTACAATGCGACTCAGACCTCATGCTCGCCCGCCGCATCAAGCGCGACGTCACAGAACGTGGGAGGAGCGTCGATGGAATCCTTGAACAGTCAGTAATCGACCCCCCAACCAACCCGTCCGCGACCCCCGGCTTACGACACCACACAGATATCTGCGTTACGTGAAGCCGTCTTACGACCACTTTGTCCAGCCTACCTCTCGATACGCCAATATCGTGCGCTACTCTACGGTATCTGAGCGCAAGCCTGCCTAACGCAGTCTGCCTCCAGATCGTACCCGGGTCCGACAATGCCGTGGCCATTGACATCATCTCGACGCATATTCGGAGGCAGCTGGACGAACGCGCCACGCAGCTTCGACAACGTCTAGCTGGGACCGGCCCACGCGACCTCGTGGCCCACGGTTCGCCCGACTTGGCCAGCCAGACGCTCAACCTCACTCTGCTGCCCCAGACGCCGCAAGTGAAGGTGCGCCATTTCCACTATCACGGATCCGATGGGAAGTAGAGGTCTAACGGGCCCGATAGGGCATCCTAACCATCCTGAGGGATGCTGAGACGTGCCGGGGCGACTTCATCTTTTTCACCGACCGACTTGCGACGCTTCTGGTGGAGAAGGCAACAGAGTTGCTTCCGTACCGTCCGAAGAGCGTCGTCACGCCCATCGGCGTCGAAGCACACGGGAAGCAAGTTGATGTCCAGGTAAGTGCGCGCATTTTCATCCAGAGGCGCGCAACTTCACCAGATCTCTGCAGTATCTATGTGGAGTGTCCATCTTGCGATCGTAAGTCTTACCGTGGCTATAGCCCGAGCTGACACTGATACCCACTTAGCGGAGGGCCCTTAGAGCGCGGTCTCCGGAGGGTCATCAACGACATTCCCATCGGCTCGATGCTGATACAGTCGGAGGCAGCGTCGGGCGAGCCAATCCTGCTGCACCTTCAGCTTCCCATCTGCATCCGCCAGCGTCACTTAGCACAGAACACCTACGTCTTCCTCGTCGACGCACAGGTGCGTACTCGTCCCTGGCATTCGCCCATGCTACTCACCCTCACCCCACCGCTTCGCGCAGATCAGCACCGGCGCCGCAGCCTTTATGGCCATCCGCATCCTGCTCGACCACGGCGTCCCGCAGGACCACATCATCTTCGTGACCTTCCTCGTCGCGCGCTGCGGCGGCATCTCCGTCCTGCAGCGCGCGTTCCCCGCAGTGAAGATCGTGTGCGGGGCGGTGGATGACCATCTGAGGGAGATGTGGCTCGAAGGTGTCGATGAGGGTGAACAGCCTGCGGAAGGGCGCAAGGTCTGGGTCGTCGAGCCGGGGATAGGGCACATAGGTTTGTATCCGGATGTTGGTCCTTGGAATTTTAGGCTGATTGACCATGGTAGGAGATCGATACTACCTTTAAAGCATGTCAAGGGCAGACCAGCAGGAGGAACAATGTGGCTTCGTTCATGGACATCATCAATGTTCTACACAAGGTCCGCACGTCATACCTCGGCCTCCCCGCTGATGGACGGGAGTTCGGGCGATCACTGTACATTACATTGCACGCATAGGCAGACTGCCATGCTATACAAAAGACACTTGAGGGGGGCTTTCACGTATGTATGGAGGGGCGGTGCGGTATCTGTCTAGTTGCGTGCTGTGATTCGATGGAAGCGAGAAATAAGGTATGCATAATATCTCGACGGCGCGTGCGGAGGGAGCAATCAAGAAGTAAAGTATAAGACAAGAGACCCGTAAGTGGTAGATTTGGACATATCGGTCATCAAACAATTCGTAAAGCTATCAGCATTCATTCACATTATCGTGCACCACCTGCCCTTCTGCTTCTCCTCGTCGATCTTGCCGTCGATTGGCGTGTTTGCTGGCACCTCCAACCCGGGCGACTCGATGGCGCTGCTGGGGCCCTTGAGGAACTCGCCCTCCGCAGTCTCGTGCGTAGTGAACTCTTCGGTGAGCTTCGGCGAGCTTGAGAACCATCCGCCAGGGAAGAACCGCGACGAGGTTGTCGACTCGTGCCTGGTGCGGATCGTAGTCGGAGACGGGGGCTGGACCTCGACATGGGCCACTTGCTCCGTCTGCAGCTGCTCGTTCTCGTCGAGCGGTGCTAACCGTGCAAGGCTAGGCCTACAGAAACATGATCAGAGAATACGAAGCTTCACACGGAAAATGATCCTACTTCGTAGCGACACCCTTGCCATTACCCTCTGTTGTCGGGAAGGCTTGCTTATCGCTCTCCGGGGCCGGCTCATCAACTGCCTGAGCGGCGGAGTTATCGGGTCCTTGTGACGTGACCGTGTACGACGGTGTCCAAGGACGAGACGGAGGTTCCTGACATAGCCATACACTTTCAGAGTCGAACGAGCACATATTGTAGCAGGTTACTCACCACTCTCTCTTCGTGTGAGACTTCCTCCTCTTGCGGCCTCGGGGAGTCAGGACCCTGCGATGTGACAGAGTATGAAGGCGTCCATGGACGAGGGGGTGATTCCTAATGAAAGTCGCGATCGTTAGATCGCAATCGAACACCAACTGCTTGCATTCGCTACTTACAACGATTGCAACGGGAGCCTCTGCGCTGATCGCGTGTTCTTCGACAGGTGAGTCCGAAGACACCGTCACAGTCGGGGCGATAGGAGCGGGCAACTCCTCGAGGTGCTCTACTTCTTTCTCTTCGCTCGCCACAGGAATGCTGAGGGGACTGGTACCTTGTCGGGAAACCGAATATGACGGAGTCCAAGGCGCAGGCGACTTCGGTCTCTCAATCTCAATGGCAGCAGGCGCGGCGGCCGGCACGGGTGTCTAACGGGTAAGCATATTAGTGCGGGAGCAATTGTGATGTTGAGGTAGACACGAACAGGTGCTACCACTTCGGCAATGGCTTGTTCTGGCTCTGACTGTATCAAGACGATGATGGGCTCAGGTATCTGCGCCTCCTCTGAAGGTTCGACAGGAACAGAGGGCTCGACTTCAGGCTGTGACGAGACAATTACTCAGTGGTCAACGAACAAAGCAACAAGACACTTACTTCGGCTACCACCTCAATGGCAACAGCTTCGACGACGGGAGCTTCAGTGGTAGGTTCTGGTTCGCTTTCAACCTGCGCCACCTCGATCTCGACAGGCGGCGGGACGGGCACAGTCACCTCGGCTTCCACAGTAGTAGGCGCGACGGGCTCCGGTGCACTTTCGATTTCGACCGTCGGGACGGTCACCTCTGTCGGCTCGGCAGTCTGTGCGACCTCAATTTGCACAGTCTCGACCTTGGGCGATTGTGCTGGGCTGGCACCCTGGGAGCTGACTGAATACGAGCGCACCCAAGATGGTGACTTCGGCACCTCGACGGGAACAGCGGCAGACTCGTCGACAGTGGACTGGGAGAAGCGCAAGCATCATTAGCACGAGAACCACCTAAGAGAGCAGGTCACTCACCTCCTCCGGCGGAAGGTCACTTGCCGGCTCCTCGACAATCTCCGTCAATATGACTGGGACTGTGATAGTCGTTTCTGCAACTTCAAGGGCGGCCTGAACTTCTGCTACAGGAGGAGGCAATTGTTCCAGCACTTCGACCTCTTCGGGGGCGGCACTTCCTGGACCTTGCGTCGTAACGGTGTATGATGGGGTCCACGGCGATTTCGGACGCTCTATGGTAGCGGGTGCCACAGTCTCAGTCTCGGCGCTAGGCTCAGCCGCGACGGCAGGCTCGTCTGCAGCGCCTTCGACAACCACAGTGATTACTGGAGCCTCCACAGATGCTTCCTCGACTGCATCCACACGTTCCTCTACGCCAACGTCAGCACCAATTGCCTCAATTGTGGCCTCCGTAGGTTCCGCATCAGGTGCCGATACGACGGGAACGGTGACTGAACCTTCGGCAGGTAGTTCTTCCACAGCCTTGACAATATCGACAGCCGCTGACGCAGCCGGCTCCGGTACAGCCTCTTCAGCTACAGGAACAGCGGGCTCATCCGCGACGACAGCATCGGCAGCGGATGGGTCACTGGCGGCACCGATCACAACAGCAGCTACAGCAGCAGCGGCCGCGATAGCCTCCGCAAGTGACTTCTCCACGTGTTCGTCACTCGTGGTAGACTCGGCGTCTTCTCCGGCCTGCAGTGTTGTTTAGGTACTCGATTTCTCAAGATAATCATAAGGTTGAGACACACCTCGACCACGTTGTCGTCCGATCCCTCGACTTTGTCTGCAACCACCTCAGCTGGGGTGACGGCTGGTACGTTATCCACCGCGACAGGTATGCTTTCCTCTGCAGCGACAGCTGCGGGTTCAACAATAGCTTCGGGAACTGCAGACGCCTCATCCATAACGGGGACTACGATAGCAGAAGGCAGAGTCTCCTCGAGGACTGGAGCTTCCGCGGGAATGGCCGCGTCAGTAAGAGGGGCATCTGAAGGTATTGTCGCATCTTCAGCGAGATTGTCTGAAGGCTCAACAAGCGCAGCGTCCGTTGCGAGAGCAGGCTGAGGGAGTACTTCCTGTTGGATAACCTCCTCAACCCCGGGAGCCGTCTCGGTCGCGACTTCGATCACGAGTGGTTCGCCAGCGACTTCCTCAGGCGGTACCTCATCAGCAGCCGTCGGTTCCTGAACAGACTTGAGTAATGAGAATACTAGAAATCCTAACGTTTGATCGTACTCACCGTCGTCGTGTCTTCCACTTCAGGAACAGCCTCGCTCTCCGCCTCTGGCTGTACCTCGACGGCCTCTTCAATTACGACATCCACGGGAGCAGCCTCTTCGATGGCTACTGGCAACTCCTCGGCTAAGGCCGTTTCCTCGCCCGCTGCGACGGGGACGTCTGCAACAGCAGTGACCGTAGGTTCAGAAGCAGAGGTCTCTTCGGCCGACTCTTCGATAGGTGCCGTTGTTGGTTCTTCAGTCACTTCTGCCAGGCTTTCTACAACAGCCTCACAGACTTCGACTGGTGCTGCCTCGTCAATAACAGGATCTGCCGCAGCAGTTTCCTCAAAGACGTCCGCAGCTGTGGGTGCAACATCGGCCTCCGCAGTCACGTCAGCAGCTGGAGCTCCCTCCTCGGCGATGACGACTTCTTCGACCAGGGCAAGCGCTTCTTCGACCGGGGCAGGTACTTCTTCAATGGGGGCAGGCACTTCCGCTTCTTCAACCGGGGCAAGCACTTCTTCAATGGGAGCAGGTACTTCTTCAACGGGCGCAGGTACTTCTTCAACGGGAGCAGGTACTTCTTCAACCGGGGTAGGCTCCTCGATGGACGCAGACTCCTCGGCGACGAGGGTTTCTTCCACATCAGCAACAGTAGGTACCTCAGCGCCAGCAGGCTCTTCTGCTGCAATCGCTTCTTCGGGGGTGGAGAGTTCTACGAGAACCTCGGGTTCTTCAGCTGCGACGGCATCCACAGGTGCAACGTGTTCTTCGACTACAACGGACTCTCCAGCGTCAAGAGGGGCTTCCGCAACAGCGACATCCTCTACCGCGGGTTCAGCAGACACAGCCAACTCCTCAACGGCCGGCACTAGCTCTTCGATAGCGGGAACCTCCTCAACCGGCGCAGAGTCCGTTGAAGCAGGAGGTTCCTCAACTACAGGTACCTCGATTTCTACTTCAGCTGCAGGAGCCTCGTCCACGGTAACAGATTCCTCGACTGGTGCCTCGTCCACAGTAACAGGTTCCTCGACTGGTGCCTCGTCCGCAGTGATAGGTTCCTCGACTGGTGCCTCCGCCGGGACCTCCTCCGCAGCGGGCTCACTTGGCGGAGTAATCTCCTCGAGAGCCTCCTCCACAACCGGTGTTGCCTCCTCTTCAGGCGCGGCCAAGAATTCCTCGGCCAGTGCAGCCGCCTCCACGACCTCGGCCGCCTCCGCTACCACGTCGCTCTCTGCGGCAGCAGCGAGGTCTTCCGTAGGCGCGTCCGCCACCGCAGTAGTCTCGGTCTCGGATTCCGCGGGAGCCTCCTCCGCCGCCAGCGGCGCGTCTTCAACGTCGGTCGGTTCTGACGCAGGGATTGCCTTCTCAACCACGGTGCCGTCCTCCTCCACGACCGGGATCATGTCCGCCAGGATGGTCTGGGTCTCGGCAGCCGGTGTGTACCCCTCTGGCGACAGTGCCTCAATAACGTCGGGCGCAGTTGCTTCCTCGATAGGTTCCTCTAAAGGCTCCTCCGCAGGTGCTGGCTCTGACGGAGCAGCAGCCTCGGGAGCGGCGACAATGGGTTCCTCTTCGACCTTGTCCTCAACTACTTCCTCTGCTTGGGCCTCCAGCACGATCTCCTGGGGGGAAACCTCTTCAACGGATGTGAGCTCGCTGGAGATCTCGTCGGCGGGGACGGTCTGCTGTTCCATCTCAGTTGATGGAGGAACAGCAACCTCATCGACAGGCTTCGTAGCCTCCGCTTCGGGCTCGTGTGCCGCACTTTCGTCAGCGTCCTATAGTCGCGCGTTTAGCTATCAATCACATGGACGACGCGTCAAGAGGAGGCTAATGCACTAACGTGGTGTGGCGCATGACCATTTGGAGCGATATCGCCCTTTACAGCGTGTGACGCGTCTGATGCGGTAGTGTCGACCGCGGTGGCCTCTACATCGATCTTGGCCACTTCGACGTTGGCCGGAGCAGCCTGAGAGGATTGCGACGCGCAGGGGTGAGCCACGTAGGAGCTCTGAGTGAGAACGGGCACACGCACCTCTCCATTCTCATGCACTTCCTCCTTCTCGCCATTCACCAGAGCCACGGGCTCGGCAGATAACGCGTCCTCATCTACCACCTCCTTGACTTCCTCAGTGGAAGGCGCGGCCACTTCTGGCTCTGAGGTAGCCTCCGTGGGTTCTTGCACATCATGCACGTCGACACTGGGTTCCTTCTGGACGACGTCCTCGATCTCGACCAGCTTGCCGATTTCCTGAGTCGTTTGCGGCGCGTTCGTGGCATCCGCCAGAACGGGCCCCGTTAGTTCTGCTTCCGCCACGGTGACGGACATTCCGAGAATCAGTGTCTTGATGTTACGCGTGAGGTGTCGTTAGTGTGTTGGTGTCGACGAAGTCCACTGCTGTTTCAGTCCAGCGGCGAGCAGAGTGTGCTGTCAGAGAGAAAAGAGAGCACAATGGTTCTGCAGGGCGCTCGTGTGCCCATACAGGATTGCGTCGGACCTCGTGCCCGGGTCTTTACGCGACTTACTCACGTGATCGTATGCCGCGACTCTGGGCCAGCGCTAAGTTGACGAGGAACTTCGAGGCTTATTCTTGGCTTATTCGCACCAGCCAGCACTCGGCGAGCACACAGCAATTTGGTATCCTGGACAGCATGTGTGCATAGAGGGAAAGGTACAGAATCCTGATTACCGACAATCTATGACACCGCCGTCCGTATAGGTAGGTAACTATGATTCACAACAACAATCGCAGGGTGCTCAGAAGAGAGCAGCACCAACCAAGCCCATCAGCGCGGCGAGACCGAAGGCACCAACAGACGTACGGCCAGCGCCGTTGCTGCTGCTGCTCTTGGCCGACGAGGAAGCCGACGCTGCGCTGGAGGCAGCCGAACCAGAAGCAGAGCCGGAGGTCTTGGCAGCCGACGCGCCAGTGGTGGTCGCCCTATGCAGTTTAGTCAGGCCAACTGCTACTTCAACTCTCAGCGATGTTGGAACTTACGCAGCAGCGGTGCTGGCACCGCCCGATGCAGCCGCCGCCCCAGAAGCGGTACCGACCGCGCCTGCACTCTCCGTCACGGAGGTGTTCGCACAGCTAGTGCCCCCACCAGAGGTGACAGTCTGCTCATCGGAGAAAGCGGTAGCGCCAGTGCTGTCCTTGATGACGTTCGTGCTGGGTGGCCAGTTCTCAGCACATGCTCCCAAAAGATTTTGATCGCAAAACTTACAAGGATGTGCCCTGACCGAGGTCAACCGTCCACGTCATGCTGGTACCAGTGATCTGACCGAAGTTCTTGATCTGCACAACAACTCTTTAGACACCACGATGAGGCAAGTTCCGAATATGCTCACCGGCGCGGCCGTAGTGTCCTTGTTCGGGACGAGGGACAAGAAGTACGGTGCAGTTCCGCCAGACCAGCTGAAGAGCACGGGCTCTGTCAAGTCACAGACGCGTCAGTACGCGGCCCTCCTGACTACGTCAAGATAACATACCGCACTCCTGAACACCAGTGGTGCTGGAAGGACGTCAGCCTATTTGTTCCTCTCTCGCCCGCTGTGTGTTACTCACATGGTGTTGATGGTCAGGCCGCTCACGAGAGCGGGAGCAATGGCGGCGAGCGCAGCGAGAGACACGAAGTACTTCATTGTTGCCGGGATCTAAGGAGTGTGCGGGTTGCAAAGAGCGGAATAGGTGCGCCTGGAGAGGCTTGTACAGATGTCGTCGTCGTCGAAAAGGACAGAGTCGAGATGGATTGGGCGGAAAGGACTGGTCTGGGTTTATGTAGGAGCGCGCGTCTCCCCTGGTGGCTAACAAGCGGCGCTCCAATTCCTGACAGCCTCTCCCACGCTGCTATTCTTGGAACCCATATGCTGCCGGCGCCTGCCGCTGCACGCTGATAAGTAGCTGCGGATAGTCTCTTCCCTGGCAACGCCTGGGCGCAGGTCCCAGGCAGCCACAAGCCAGCCAAGCAGAGTGTACAGCCACGCAGATACAACGGGCATATGCATCTGACTCCTTGACCTCGATGGAGACTACAAAAGCTTGTGATACAATGATTCTGTTGCTACAAACCACTCAAAGCCCAATCCAACTGCTCCGACCCTTGGGGTTGTGAAGACTCGTCTGTCCGATCTTTATCAACCCGATGTTATTCTTCACCGCATCACCGTCCACAGCTGCATTCGAGTCAATCTCGATAGGTGGGATGTCTACCGCGTCGGCCATCGGACTCGGCGACAAGACAGGCGTTGAACGGACAGACAGCCACCCTTCACGAGAATCGCTCCGCGCCACCGCGAGCCCGCCGTCGCGGGAGTCGCTGCGAGACGGTCGTATGCTCTCCGCGTCCGCCGTCGCGCGTATGGACGTCGAGCCTGGTACTGGCAAGAACGCCTCCGCGTACCACTCGTACCAGACCTGCCGCTGATTTGTTAGGCGCCAGATTGAGACATGGAGTTCTGATGAGCTCGGAAGATATAACGGTTCCTGGCGGAAACGTCAGACAAACAACAGAACCGGCACCGCGACGGATCAGACAAACCTTAAACGGGAAAAGGAGCGGAAACCAGCTCAGCATGTTCTTCGAGATGTACTGCATCCGGTCTGGGTGTATGCTCAGGCCGATGTTGCGGTAGAGTACAGCTTCGAAGTATCCGGCCAAGCCATGCAGGATGCCCGCATGGGGGATGTGAAATGTGAGCTGAGCGGATCGCGCGTTGTGGCTGTTCGTTGGCGGTAGGCCTAGTCCACACGCATCATACATAATCTCCCGGGCGTACAAGGTTGTGTCTCGCGTACCTTGTTCATTTAGCACGGCATCCTTCCGCGGGTGCTCGAACTCCCAGCACTCCTGTACTTTGGGCCCGCAATTGCCGCTTAATCCCCCGCCATTACCGCTCAGGATATTGATGGCCTGGAACATCACCACGTAAGGCGTTTCGGCCGCCTTCACGTCCTTTGTACCCCTGGTCTCGTTGAACAGCTTCGACGAAGATAGTGGCGCTATGTGTGCAGTATACGATGCAGGTATCGAGATGCCTTCCGCTGTTTACAGGCGTTAGCATCGTCCATGAGGAACAGGCATGCCCACTCACGTTTCAGGAAGCGCATCGCCCCATCTAAGCACTCGGGACTAAGTTCGTTGTCTCCAAAAGATCCCAACAGCTCGCTGACAAGTATGTCGACTTTCTCGGGCAAGTCAAAGGTCCGCATATCACCGAAGAACAGCTTTACGCTCTCGCCCCAATCATCGCGTACGCGCTGCTGTAATCTTCACTCCGGGAGGCTCAGCGAGGTATGAGCGCGGATGGGGGTAACACATACGTGACATAGGCATTCGGATTTTTCTCCAGCGCGTAGATCGAGCCGTCTCGGTTCGCTCGTTGAAGTGCCTTCAGACACCGCGCAACCAGAGGACCACGACCAGCGCCGGCAACACATAGAATCCTAGTCTCGGTGAGCACAGATAAAGCTGGGGTAGAACCAGCACCCACAACTTGTCAGTTTTGTTAGGCCATTCCGTGATTGCTGCGTATACGGCCTGCCGAAGTCCGAGGGTTCGTATCAAGGTGAAACTTGCATACGCTTGAGACATACCTCCTCATATTGTCTATACTTGACCGGGTCCTGTTCAAATGTCTGATACGTCATGCTCTGCAAGTTATCCATCAAGGGCTTGCAGTGATCGATCTCAGCCTTACACCGATACCAACTAGCCAGTGATCCCTCACCTGCAGTGGGGCTTGCAAATAATCCTGGTATCCCTGCGCGAAGTTTTCTACTGTCCCTTCGGTTTTCGACGCCTTGTACGCAGGGCTCGTCTTCTCTATATGCCGCACGTATTGCGAATAGACGACCTCTCCGCCGTTCTTATGTCGGCCTGCCGTCGTGCCGGACAGAATGACATTAGGTCTCAGCTACACAACAAACGACGTCAGCGCCCTGTTGACGTGAGTATATTCCAGATCATGTACAGACCTTCATGATGTCGCGGATGAAACCCTGAACGACTTTCGGGAGGACCGGGTATCCCTTCGCGTTCGCGATGAATGTCGACGCGGGTAAGAAGATATGTCGCACGGGCTCTGCCGACCACTGGCTCAGGACGCTGATCACGGAGGGCATCGGTGGTGTCAAGTCGAGTGCTACCAATGACATTAGGCCGTGATTGCAATACGACACTTGTCTGGGTACTCACTGAGTGTCAACCGCGGGTTATACTCGCAGACTGTCCGGATCGCATCCCACATCTCCCAGGTCGCCACACTCGGTTCGTCGCTGAACAGGATACTCGGACTGGACACAGTGGCGGCGCTGCTAGCGGAGCCCGCTGACGAGGAGACGTGCAGCATGACGGGGTCGTAGATGGGTATCATCACGGAGAGCTCCATGTAGGGTACCGCGTTCAGGCAGATGTTCACCGCGCGCGCATAGGACGCGATCTGCGAGCGGTGCTTTGGGGGCGGGAGGATCGCGGAGGTGATGTTGAGGTAGGATGCATATGCGAGCTCTTGCAGGAGGGCCTGTCGACGCGATCGTGTGCATTGCGGTCAGTCATGATCCCTCCCCGCAAACCATCAGCCAGGAGTATCACGACGAGATACACACCGTCTCCGAGTCATGCCGCACCCAGTCATCGCCCGCATCCAGCTCCAGCCAGTCCGACGCAAAGGCGACAACGCCCTCCGCCTCATCTGCCTCCCATCGCCCCGTCAGCCCGCCCGCCGTCTCCCCGAACTGCACACGCACCCAGTCTAGTCATCGTCACCTCATCCCTCTCAAACGCCGGCGTCGCGCGCCACGCCTCCGCGCGCCGCTCGATCGCGACCTTGTCGTGCCCGTCGTCCGCGGGGAGGAGGCACATCGCCCGCCAGCGCGCTCGCCACGCGTCCGTCGTGAGCGGGCAGCATATCCCCGCATAGTCCTTCGCCCGCGCGTCCGTGCTGGCCTTCAGGATCGGGGTCTCGCCGTCCCCGCCGCTGGGGTGCGACTGGAGGTCGGCGAGCGAGAGGTGCTTCGTGAAGGTCGACATGACGGCGTCAAATTTGAGGATTGGCGGGAGAGCGCGCTGGGGTGCTGGACCGTGACGGCGTCGTGGCCAAGACGTAACATGGAGTAGGACGAGCGGACTCAACGCTGTCTCTGGGCTGTTGGTGTCTCGAAAATGGTGTGCACAGCAACTGAGACGTCTTCCTGATGACGACTTGGACTGAACCGAGCAGCGATCACGATCGACCCTAAGTCCGTACGCGCACACAGGACAGTATCCAAAGACGCCTGGGCTATATCTGCTACATGTGTCGCTACTGCTACAATGCCCCGGTCATTGTCAAGCGCGTATGTGCAAGCGCAAATGGACCAAGTTAGCTCTGCCCGTTATCCCCGTCGCCCATCCTCGTTCGCTTCGGTCCCTCTGTCGGCCCATCCTCGGTGTCTTCTCTCCGTTGCCCACCAAGCGTACTCATCCCATACCCAGTAACCATGCCCTCGAGCACCGTTCTCTCCACGACCTGTCGCAACTCCTCGTCAGGGTCACGCCCTTCTGCCTCAGCGCGCTGCATGACGCCCTGGACGGACTGGATGAGGGATGACGTTAGGTGCTCTGAGGCAAGGTTCTGCGCGTGCTGTGAAGGCTGTGTGAGAGATGGGCTTGTCGATGCTGTGTCCGCGGTGGGATTGAGGCCATTGAGGTAGGTGGCGACCTCGGGGAAATCTTCTTCGAGGCATTGCGCTGGCTGCATGTCCATGAGCAGCGAGGCTTGCGCGGAATGAGTACGACACTCACTGAGATACCCTCGCTGTTCTGCCTCTGGACAGCAGCCCCGTGCTCGACGAGCCATCGCGCGGTCTCTACGTTCTCGACCACGTACAGTGGTGTGTCGCCGTCGTCGTCGGTGATGTTCACGTCTCCTCCTGAATAAATGTTTCGGTGGATGAGCCGGCCTCAGGGTACGGGATAATGACCTTTCGAGATGAGGTAGTCGAGCACATGGAGCTGCCCGTACGAGGCGGCGGCATGCCTTGCACATGGTATGAGCCAGGCATACTTCACGATAGCGAGAGAAGCTCACATCGGTGTATATGTGTTGTCATCGGGGATATTAGCTGATAGGGCTGTACACCTTTTCAGCATCGCGTCGCCGGCGAGCAAACTTCACGCTACGGACCTTGACCCTCGATGAGTTCCTGCGATGCACGTCACATAGGCGTCCACGCGTCGCGTCCAACACGACTCACTCTGACACGCTCGAGGTCGCCATCGCCGGCGGCGACCCAGATGTTCTTCTCGCACTGCACTCGCGTCGGGACAGGCATGGCCGTTTTGCGCGACCTCGATCGCTCCCGAGCGCCCGCGGGATCGGTGTCACACAGCGGGGCCCCGTGACTGCTGCGTCACAGGGGAGCCGGCGGTTTGGGCTCGCGCCGATCATCATCGCGGTTCAATTTGGCTCGCGTCCGAACCTCCGGTCCATTTCTCCGGCGTTGTCCCAGGCGCAGGCAGGATGGCGCATTTACACGTATTTCTCGTCCGCACGAACGTAAGACGACGAGGGGCACCGCAGGGCTCATGGTGCAGAGGGCCCTCCAAGGCCTGGAGAATGGGGGCTTCATATGTAGTTAGAGCCCCGCTCCAGGAACAGTACATACTGACAGGACGCCGTCCGCGAGGTGTGCCTGTACCTCCTAAGTACAAATGACTGCTGTGCGAGCACGTCTAACTACTCAGTGCACTGTCAGTGGGAGAGTGAATTGCCTGGACAACTTCTCTTTCATTAGCACGTCGAGCATCCCACGTAGCGCGGAGCCAGAAGGACACCTCGTGCTGCAAGGTCCGTGAAGTGCGCCCTAGCTACGGTTCCATCTACTGAGTCTACAATTCGGTGAAGGCGATAGGGCAGCCTTCTGGTGTAAAGCATGTCATTTCGACGTTTGTTAGTGCCATAGGTAGCACTGTGAAGAGGAGAGATGTATTTCACCCTGGGCTTCATGCGGAGTGATCACTGTTGCGGTGTCAGGAGGCTTCTCGCGTGTCCGGAGGAAGACGTGGGCGGCCTGCGAGCCCGTCCTTGAGGCAGTATGCGCAGAGCTGGTCACGGTGGCCCGTGCGCATGCTCGATCACGTCGGCGCGCTCGTCCCCAGGTGCTGCTGGGGGAGCACGGCGTCCTCGATCGACGATGTCGGGCTTGATTATGGCTGTCCTGACGATCGCGAGAAGCGGATCTTGTGATCGGAGGTTGATCTTCCACCCCACGGCCACGGCCACGTCCCAGTTTGGCGTCCGCCACACCGCGCGCCCGCCAGCTGCCAGCTCAGCGTCCTGGCGGGCCCGGGGTGTGATCGCGGGGGGGCCGGTGGATGTGGGTGCTGTGAGGATTCAGTCGTGCGCGGCGGAGGGCCGCGGGGCATGTGCCGAGGCCGTGCGGATGCAGACTCGTCCTTCGCTCGCCTGATTTGGCAGGAGAACGTGACGCGTCGGCGCAAGGCCTGCGCTCTCGCCCGCCGGGTGTGCGCTGGCAGCGGGGTGAGGAGGGTTGTAGACACAGCAGCGCGCGAGACACGTAATCAGAGTTTGTTTGCGATCGACAAAACAACGCCGGGCTGAGTTCGGTGCGGTCCGATGACCTGGGGTTGTTCGTGTTGACTTGCCTCGCCCGTGTCGCCACAGAGGCCGCTGCCCCTGTGTGCCCTCTTCTTGTTCTCAACAACGACGGCAGCCACGCCCCTCGCCCTCGTCCTCTTTCTCCTCCCACCACCCCGCCGCTAGCAAGCCTCGCTGGCGTCCTTACTCTACTCCGTTGGTTTAAGCCCGCCGCAGCCTACTCTACGTTCCCCTAGTCTCCCGTACCCTATACCATGAGCTTTCTCACTTCTTCCCAGCGGAACTACGACGGCCTTTCCCACTCGGACGTCGCGCAGCTCCCGCCCATCCACAGCTCTGTGTCACGCATCCCCATGCATCCGCTCTCGTCGTTCGACAACCTCCCGCCGGTCACCCAGCTGCCCCCGCTGGCGTCCGCACCCCCGACCCCGAGCAACGCTGTGCCTCCGTCGCCCGTCCAGGATCGACCGGTCACCCTGCCCAGGCTCGGGCAGACACGCTGCTGTATGTCTTCCTCCTTTGTAGCCCTACGATCACCCCTCGATCACCCGTGGCCCGCTTTGCTGCCGGCGCTCAGAGGCTAACCCCGCCCGCACACAGACTGGTGCCTCCTCACCCCAGACCTACAGTTCATCTATCTCGATCCCGTTCTCGCCCATCACCTGGGAGAACAGGCAGACCTGCTCATCAGCAAGTCGCTTCTGACCTACGTCCACCCAGACGAGCAGGCCTCCGCAAAGCTTGACTTGGGGAGTGTGTTGGAGAGTCGGACACTGCATGGGAGCGTCACCCGGTACGCATACACGCACCCTGCATGCTGCCTCCCTTGTGCTAACGTCCACCTCCTGTTTCGTTGACGTAACGATTTGCTCTTAGAGTACGCTATTCTCGCCTCTCGCGTGTACGCAGGCTGCTGGGCTACCAAGGGCCCACCAATGAGTTTGCAGATGCGGATAAGGTCTCCGTCGATACGAGCTACATGGCCGTGGATCTGGTCATCAACTGGGCGTCCGACGGACTAGTGCTGTGCTTCATGCATGCGGTAGTCGACCTCTCGCCTCGCGATAACGACGAGCACAACAAGACATCCTGGACTAACTGGTGCGGCACGCCCTACATGAACACTGAGCAGGTACAGATTTTATATCAACGCCTGCTCGCTGTCGTGCCGCAGCCGCTCTCCATGAGCCGGGTGTTTCAGATCCTCCTGAACCAGCCGGAACGCTCGTTGTACATGAGTTGGCCTCCGGAACACCAGGAACCGGGCGGACCGACATCCAAGGACTTCGCGCGGCTAGCGCAGGACGTTCAAATAAGTAACGCCGTCTCGAGTGGGACGGATGCTAAGACAAGCTGTACCAGACGGTACAAGGCACACCAAACAATGCACTTTGGAGCGGACAATAGCAAGGAAGTCGAGAGCATCTTCATCCCGCATGGTTCGTCTGCCAAGTATGCTTCCTCCCTGAACAATGCTGACCGAATTGAGGCAGGCTCCATCATCTTCGCTTGCCACAAAGTACACCCGAGCACTCGCGACCTCAATCCTAATGACGCAGCATCCCAGTCTCAGCATTATGCCAACCACCCGTACCAAGACCCGGCTCATCCCGCATACAACCTGCCACCCGTGCTCTCTCAATATCCTAGTAATATGTCTTCCGCGCACTATCCGCCTCAACACTATGCACCCAACAATTGGTCGCACGCGCCCGAGTCGCCAAGCTCGCAAGGCCACTACCAGTGGAACCCTCAAGGCAGCGCACTCTCGTCGGGGCCTTCGGTCAGCAGTATGCGCTCTTCGTCCTATCAACAACCTCCGCCCGCCCCCCAGCATCAGTGGCCATCTCAGCCACCATACTTAGATGCACATGCTGGGGCGTCGTCTTACAGCCCGCAAGGGACGCCCTCCGGATCGTCGTTTTCGGCACCGCCTCCACATGACGAGGCCCCTCCTTCCCCAGGTAGCGACTATGTGCCTCCCTCGAGGGTGACTCACAGGCGAGGATCGAACAACTCGAGGGAGCAGTATGGGAACGGTGGACGTAGCACAGGGAACCCACCCGTGGGCGTCCCGCGGTGCTCCAGCTGCAAGGTGACTCAGAGCCCGGAGTGGCGGAAAGGCCCCAGCGGCAAGAAGGACCTCTGCAATGCGTAAGTGCCGTGTTCTTCATTTGCGCAGAGATCCACGAGCTCATGACCACACTTTGATGCCATCGGCTGACCGCTGCTCGCTTCCACGCACCCCGAAACAGATGTGGCCTGAGGTATGCACGATCACGCGCGAAGAAGGAAGGCGGGCCCTCGCAGCAGTCACGCCGCCGCAAGGATCGGGTCTTCAATTCGATGCAGAAGGACCACTCCCCGTCCGGGTCACCGGGCCCGTCCGGCTACCAGCCCATCCCTCGGCGCGGAAGCTACTACGACGATGCGTCGTTCGGCTCGGCGTCGTCGAACGGCTCGCCTGGCGCGCCTGACTTGTACGCCCCGTCGGCGCACGCTGGCCCGAACTTCAAGGGTCTGTCGCCCTCGCCCTCGCCGACGCCAGGCGCGGGCATGCAGCACCACCCGCATCAGCCGTACATGCCCTATTCGCACCCCCATCAAGGCCCGCCGCATCCCCACTTGCACGCGCCGCAAAATACGCACCCAGACGCGCCTGGCCGCTACCCGAACAGCTTCTATTCAGTGCCGCCGCCTGCACCACCGCACCCCCACTCGCACCAGCAGTCGACGTTGCATCACATGTCGAGCCACAGCAGTCTTCACAGTAATGGAAGCTACTCGCAGCCTCTCGCGGGCCCCGGCCAGCCGCCCCGTCTCGACCCTATCGTACCTGTGCCATATGGCGCAGGCGGAAGGATGTCACCGTCGCCCATAGGTGGTTCGCCGCTGAGCACCAGCTTCTCTAGCGCGAGCTACGAACGCGAGAGGCCGTTCAAGATGCAGGATGACCGTGAGGGCATGCCCCCGAGCCCAGTCAGCGTAGACCCGAGGAATCGGAGGTCGCCGTACAAAGAGTGAAGGTGAAGGTTGCAGGCTCGGTAGCGAAGTGCCCTTCGCGCAAAGTATGACATTGTCGTTTCCTCAATCGCAGACGGACCTCGCTCGTGCAAAAAGGCTCTCGCATTGTTCTTCCGTGATATTTATCCTCGAGCAACTCCCCTCCATTTCTCCCTCGTACGTGTACTTTCGCGGCGCGCGCGAAGCTCGCAGTCGCCCGTCGCGCCAGACTCTTTTAGTTTGCTATGTATTCTACCGTGGTCCAGTTAGATATTGATACATTCGGGTCCGCGCGCTCAGCTGCGTGGACTCGGGGTGTTTGTTGGGATGGCTCGATAGGCCGGGAACCTGTGATCGCGATCTTGCGCGACAATCGAAGGTGGATGGCCTTACGGCATCCTCGATCGGTACACAACCAAACAATCAGGTCAAGGATTGGGACCCAGAGCATCACGGGGCGTCGTTTTCGTGATAAGGTAGTCAAGACCGCAATCGGTCGCATGAGGGGCAGGCAGACAGGCTCACACAAGGAGGACAATCAATGGGGACGCGGGGATGTCCCAAGCGCCAGACATGAGAGCACAAGCGCCCATCAATCCCGGGATAATGTTAGGCGCGCGCGAGCGACCAGTGGCTGCTGCGATCGCACTTGACCTCATTCTGCTCACTGGGCCATTCCTTCGTTGACTTGACCCATCACCCAAACGAACAAGCTCTAGTGACTTGGAACTCAACGACATGACAGACCTTAACGCCGTCACTGAGGAGAAGGTCGCTGTAGAGGGAATCGCCACTCAGGCCACGGTTAAGGCTCCTCCGTACGTTGGACTCGTGCCCTGCTAAGCCGCGCGCGCTCATGCCATCACACAGAGAGAAGAACGCACGCATTGCGACGGTCACACTTCCAACAGCTGAAGACGGTCACACGAGCGGGGAGGACGAAGGTGTGGAAGAACAGGCGGACGTAGACGACTCCGAGATACTCGAGGACCTTCCGGACGATACAGAGGTGCGGTGACAGTGGCGTCAGTCAGTCACACACTTCGCAGGATGACACCTTGCACAGGAAATAGAACTCATTCACTCAAGACTGAACTCTATCAGTAGGCTCGGACTGCAACGGTTCGGCAGACACCTGCGGAAGCTATGTCTGCGGCAGAACTACATCTCGCAACTGGATCCGGAGGTCATTCAGACACTGGTGGAACTAGAGGAGCTCGACATGTACGACAACAAGATCAAGTCGGTTGACGATTCTCTCTCCGCGTTGAAGAAGCTCTCGTGAGCACTCGATTTGGTGCGGGACTCTGGCCGATCACTTCTGATCCCCTGTTCGCTTAGCGTGCTAGATCTCTCGTTCAACCTCCTGCGGGACGTGCCCGAGTCAATACAGTATCTCGCTTCGCTGGAAAAGGTGTTCTTTGTGCAGAACAAGATATCACACATCAGCGGGTTGGATCGTATTGGCCAGACGCTGCGCAGCCTTGAGCTTGGTGGTAATCGACTGCGAGTAAGCTGACATTCCCTTTGCTCGTGTATGACGGTTGTTGATTGATACCAGAAAATCGAAAACCTGGACTCCCTTTTCGCCTTAGAGGAGCTGTGGCTGGGGAAGAACAAGATTGCAACACTGGAGGTAGGTTTCAGGTAGCCCGTTCCTGCGGTACGTGTTAATGGGATTGTAGGGTCTGGCCGGTTTGAAGAACCTGCGCATATTGTCGATTCAATCGAATCGTATCACGAAGCTCGAGGGCCTGGAGGGCTTGGAAAACCTCGAAGAATTCTACATCAGCCACAATGGCATCCTTCGACTGGAAGGCCTCGAGAAGAACGTAAGCAGTCATCGTCAATTATGACGGTTTGTGCTGATCTTACACTGCTCCTGTTTAGACGAAGCTGAGAACCCTTGACATCGGTAACAACTTTGTCGAGGCTCTGGAGAACGTGTCACATCTCAGCAATCTGGAAGAGCTTTGGGTCTGTATTACGAATCGAAATGGTCAATGTTCTGCGTACTCATGCGTAAACACAGATGAACGATAACAAGGTCGATTCTCTCGATGCGTTGGAGCCACAGCTCAAGCACATCAGTACTCTCGAGACCATCTACCTCGAAGGGAACCCAGTGCAGAAGAAAGAAGGTACGAGCTACCGAAGAAAGGTGATCTTGGCCCTCCCGCAAGTGAAGCAGCTAGATGCGACGTACGTCCCTTCTCCTCACCCATCTCCATCGCCAATTCACAACAACCATTCATGTGTAGGTACGTAAAACAATTCTAGCCGACACCCCTAGGCACATCAAAGGAGCATCCCGTTCCATCCTCGGTGATTCTACGCGCGCCTTGAGCGCGCCGACTGAATGGCGCGTTCGCGCAAAGCCCCCGAGCGATCGCGGATGTGGGAGATGCATCTTAGTTATCCGCGCAACGATCGGGTCCTTGTACATATCGGTGTAAATGGCTCGATCGCTCACGTAGCAACTCGGAGGTCTGATCGTACTTAGCCTCGATTGCAATCGCTTCGTGGTCACATCATCCCAGCGGATCATTCTGGGGAGTCCCTATGCTTTGGTACGCTGCCGTGACGTTACTTGTGTGACGCCACGCGTTCGTCACGGGGCGCGTCGGTGCCGAGAACACCGGACATGATCAGTCTGCGTTTCATTACAGAATATTGACTCTGGAATGACTCAAACCTGGGCTTCAAAATACCAAACTTGACTCGAGTGGGCATGCGGTCTGCGAGCCCTAAAACAGTAACACCAATATCCGCTGCAAGCTCTGCGCAGACTGTGTACCAGTGAGCTGTTCCATTCTGTTCCATTCTCCGATCGATCGAGACTACGGTAAGTGCTATACAGACTGGTACCATCGTCGAAGTTACGGACCATGATCCCTGCTAGCAGGTTACAGCACGCCGATCTCAAATCACTCATAAAGGAGACAATGGCCGGCACATCAAGATTGTTCCGCCTCGAGGAACACGATTATCCTCGACTGCATGATCTTCTCTCGCCTTTCCTCCCGGAGTCCATCACGATTCTGGGATGGTTCGAACAACATAGGGATGCCCCACCAGTACCGCCGATCTGGGCATCGTTCTCAGTAGCTGAACCAGCGCCGCCGCTCCTCGCACTGTTCGTGCTGGGCACAGAAATCGCTGGATACCAATCGCGACTGTTCTGTTCTGCGGAAGCGTCACCCGGCCAGCCCACGCCAGAACAAGAGACCTTCGTCGCGTCGTTCGTGGAGGCCAGTCTGCGCGCTGCGTTTGAGTACATCGCGGAGACAAGCCGGACGGGAGCGTTCACCAGGGAATCCGGCCTCATAATTGGCTCCATCCACGAGAAATGGCATGACTGTCTCCGCGCACTCCCCTACGCAGGAAGCCACTCTCCGTGTCGCAAGGTGGTACTACCGCCCTCAGCAGCACGAGCCTTTGCGGAGGGTGCGAGCGACGCGAGGTTGCCTCCAGGTGCGCGAGTGACGCAATTGCGGAACGGAGATCTGGAGACGGTTATGAGTTACAACAAGATCGCGCGCACCACGGCTTACGTGAAGAGCAGAATGGAGCAGTCTGTGTGCATTCGTGCGCCAGGTCCGGATGGCGAGGAGGTGCCTGTGGCATGGACAGTCGTGCATGCGGACTCGAGTATCGGCCAGCTCCATGTCATCGAAGCTTTTCAGCGTCGCGGGCTCGGTAGCGAGCTCGTGCGTCGGATCGTCGGGCTGCGGTTGGCAAAGGCAGAGGAGTGGATCGTGGATCATCCGGATGAACCGAAGGATATGACGAACGGATGGAATGTGGTAGACGTGGTGGAAGGGAACCAGGAGGGAGCTGGATTCTACGGACGCTTAGAGGGATGGGAGCAGGCTTGGCTGTGTTCTTGGACAATGTTCACCGCACCGCCATCAATATGACGAGCTGGTAATATCCTTTGAGCATGTACAGATGAATTAAATTGAGTAAGTACTGCATACGCAGCTCTCAGGATCAGTTGGAACGGCCGAGAAGAAGACCACTATTGCTATTATGACCTTGGCCGTGCTGATGTAAGACGTTAACTGTCAATCAGTCCCCCGGGAGGGCTCCGTCGTAGACGAGCCCTGCGCAGACCTCCTCGTGGTCCCGGGGGGTAAGTAACCCTCTCTCGAGGGTGAAACGAACATGCGCTATAAAGGTCGATCGCCTTCATGCGAACGGCCTGAGGGCTAGACTACATCTGCCAGAATGGACACCAATCCACCCCTCCTCGCGACCCCATCGTGACTGGAAACCCTCTAAAAAAGGGGACTGACTACTTTCGGTCGTCGTAATATGATACTATCCACCTACATCTTGAACATACAACAATAGCAGAGTACGAAGAAACTGACGAGGACCACGACAACCGTAGAGCGCCTACCTAAAGCGCCTAATCAGAGCGCCTAAAATTGGCAGATAACGGAGAAGCAAGGTTCAGCCACTATGCATCAACTATACAGGACGAATCGGACTCTCCATCTCACAAGTTTCTAAATACGGAAACCGTTCAAAACGAGCGAAAAACGACACCCACAAGACGCCATGCTCCACCGAGCATGGCCACAGCATAATTATACCCCTGTCTCCCCGCCCCGGCACGGGCGCGGAGACAAAACATACCGAGCATATGTTGACCGCACTGTTAAGACACCCCACTAGGGCCTGACAAGCTGCACAACAGACATTCCATGCTCAACTGAGCACAACCACAGCATGATTATACCCCTATCTCCTCACCCCGGCATGGGTAAAGAACTGAACAAATACTAGCATACTCATAATGTCCAGACGTCTCTCTAGACACCCAGAGGACAACATAAAGGCCATACGTAAAGGAAACGTAAAGGAATGACTTGAAGCGCCTGGCTAACCGATAGTGCCTGGCATATACGTAAAGAAAGCTATGAGTACCTACCCTAAGATACCTAGAGGAACTCACAGCAAGACCTGAAAGCGCCTGGCAATACGTAAAGACAGACTTAGAGCGCTAGACATTGCGTTAAATATGGGACTGAACCAGTGAGAGAAGAGGCCAACCCACTCAAAGACGCACAGACCCAACTCCATCAACCGCCCGCACCTCCTCCCCAGAATGCCTGCTGAACGCAAGCAAAACAGCCAGATTAGAAAGGCTGCCCGCACCAATACTCCTAAAAAACGACGCACCGACACAGACAGACCGCCCCTCTTCCCGCTACCCTCCCTCTCCATTGAGGATACCGGCGAACCTGTTATTTCCATACATGTCCAACCGCATGCCGAAATAGGGAATAGCCGCGGACTGACCTGGACGATGAACGAGCGCCCCGCCGAGCAACTCCAGAAAGGGAGACTGATAACGATGTCGGCGGGCGGCGAAGTGACGGGAATTGGAAGGCTATCGGCCGTCATGGATCTTCGCAGACACTGGGTCACCTTTGCGGTGTCAGGTGCCAACCTTCCATGTGACATACGCGTGCCGATCCCATGGGCGATCCTAGAAGGACTCGAGAGCTTCACGCACCAATACCACTACTTCGGCCTCAATAATAACCCCCCCCCGCACACCTCCTTCCGAGACATCCCAGCCTTCCACGACACCAACTATAACCCGTACGAATTCGACATCGAAGACGAGGACATCGCCTCCTACACGCGTCGTATCGCTGACATCACCGGAGCAAACCAATGAAGGACTAGGATTAGATGGGCAGAGGCGAGTGGGAGCATTATGTACATAGCTCACACGAATGACAGGATCGAGCAGTACATCGGACTAACCGTTGCCTGATGTGCCACAATCAGCGCCCACACGGAAGACGCCAGAGCGGCTTTAAGAGCTTCTCGCCCAAACTCGGAAAGAACCCGCTCTTACGCCGCCGCCGCAGTACCACCTTGACCGACGATGCCGAACGAAGACGCCCGGCATCCCCGCCACCTACCCCATGGCCTTCTCTCCACAGGACGCACCCAAACGGTCCGCCACCAGCCTACAAACGCGGCCTACACCTGCGGACCACACACCTCACTCCCCAAGCAACGCAACACACCCCAGCCGCACGCTATGCAACGAAGCCGTTGTCTGCTGAACGCGAGCGATACCGCAATGTCTATTGGGAGACTCACTTCCCAAACGAGGTACCCGTCTCTCGTAAGTTCGACCCTGACGCCTAGCCGAAACGTCAGGACAGCTGGGGAGATGAATTCACAGATAGGGCGACGTGTCCTACGACCAACTGTCAATAGAAACCTAACCCGCCAAAACCACCGACACAGTACGACTGGTGCGACACAGATTGGAGATGACCGAGCCTCGTAATACGCCCTCGACCTACCAACAAGCTTGTCACACCTCGCGCGAGCACACGCGGCCTATGAGCCCTCATCCAAGAACGACCATGTCGCCACGTAATGCAATTAAATTACGACAACGACGCCGCCCTTGAAGGAAGTACAGTTCCCTTCCTCCGACGACACCACCCGCGCTGTCAACTCACCCGCCCATGACACAGATATGATGCTCCGGAAGGACAGGGCAGTCATGCAAACGCAGAAATAACTCCCCTTTCGTAAGTCGCCGTCTGCCCGCGCTAGCACGCGTCGTGACATAAAAGAATCTGCCCAGGGACACCCCTAGACACCAACCTCTCCTTCATCGCACAGGCCGTCTCCTCGCAACCATGCAACATAGCACGTCTGCCACGGCTGCCAACCCCTCCATGCCTATCGGCGAGAGGCCTCCCTCACCATCGATTCAACGTCTCAGGGACGCCTCGCTCGTCAAGACGGCTGCGAAGCGCATCAATGCCGAACCCAATGTGTCCCCCTCGGTGAACCCTTGGAACTCCACGCGTGCGGCCTCGCCCGTGGAACAAAACGGCAAAAGTAAGATATCCATACTGTACGCTAAACAGCCTGCTCACATACAATCAGGCTATGCGGAGGCACTCTCCGCCTCCCGCCCTCAGTCGCCCGAATCCGCTGAGCTCCCCCTTCTCATCCCGACCGAGCCCTCCTCTCCACTGGTGAAGACGGAGCCTGTGGAGGAAGCTATCGCCGATAGAGCAGCAGCGGGGGCGGGAATGGAGGCAAATGGTGACCACGAAGTGGTTGAAGGTACGCTATAACATGTAGCTACTTAACGCCCCCTCATCGTGACCACTTCCTTACTAGTTTCTGACGCCTCCGATCAAGAGGCCAGCCGCACCCGCTCTGGGCGCCGCATCTCTGCCCCTAAGTCCAAGTCTAAGGATAAGAAGAAGTCGAAGAAAGCTACAAAACTTGCGACGATGCAGCCCCCCTTGATGGCGGTCGACTCCTCCGCCTCCGCAGCCTCCTTGACCGCCACCCCGGCCGACACACCCACTGCTCACTCTACACCCGCCGAGACCGCACTCCCACTCTCCGCCCCGGCCACTCGAACCTCCCGCCTGGTCAGCGAGTCTAAGAAACGCCGTCGCGTCTCTACTGACATCAGCGGTGGCGACGACGCCGAAGGAACCAGCTCTCGAGTACAAGATGCCCCTCCCACTACGCTGACCACTGTCCCTGACCAAAGGGCCTCCTCCGTTGTGTCCTACGCGTCCGCGAACCCGTCCCAGGACCGCGTCGACCAGCCTCTGACCGCGCCCTCTGACGCTGGAGCGACTGACTTCGAGATGATTGACCTCGACCCGGGCTCTGACTACGACATCCCACATACGCCCGCCTTCGCCTCTGCGACGAACATCGCCTCGGGACCCACAGACCCTGATGCTGCGCGTCGGAAACGTCTTGGAAAGCAGCCCATGCGCGACAACCTCTCCAACTCCGACCTCCCCTCCACCACTGCTCAAGCAAGCGGTGCGCAACGGATCGCGAAGCACGCCATCCACGGCGCAATCTACCAAGGGCACCCTAGCCCACCGGCACAATACGCGTACGACGTAAGTTTAACACCCGCATCCGCGCAAATAGTTTCGTCCCAGCTCATAGCTTGCCCTTGTAGCTTGCTCGAACGCGGTCTGGGACACAGCCTCCCCGCACGCCTAGCCGCCTGCCGAACGTCGTCCAACGGCCGCCATCGCCGCCGCAGGTACCCCACTATCCTGTACACTACGCGCCAGGACCCTTCCCCGTAGCGAACAACGGCCTTGCCCAGCCCCCCGTCCCACATCCTGGCCTCCCACCACCAATGGTGCTAACGCGCCCGCCACCAGGCGGCCACCGTCCCATCCAGGGCAGTGACTTCTATTACTTCTTGCGTAACATCCTCTCCTCGCAACTTCACGCCTGGGCCGGCATCGACGACGATTTCGTATTCATACAGTTCCCCGGGAAGGGCGCCCAGGACGCGGGGAACCACAGCCGTATGCATGCCGTAGAGGCCGTGCTAACCAAACACCTTAACATCAACGGAACTACGCTCTTTCAGCCGCTCCCCGAAGTCGCACAGCCCCGGCCCAACGCAGACCCAAGGTGGTACCGCCTCGGCAATCTACAACCTCGAGACCGCGACACCTTGGTCAATGGTGTCTGGTGGGATGCCCCCGAAGGGACCTTCTGCGTCCTCGCACCGAACAAGATGCCTCCGACGTACATTGGTACGTGGCGCCACTCGCACCGCTTGGGTTCCACGACTGAAGACGGCATGGCGGTGAGCTTCCGCGCGACCCTCGAAACCCACGAACCCGCCACGTACATCAGGGCTGTCCTAGACGCCGACCGTCGCGCTGGTGGCAGATGGCGGCACTACACGACCGATGAATCCTTTCAGCAGGTAATCGCCTCTGTTTCCGTACGCAGACTCACCCTTGAAGCGCAAGGCGAGGGCGATTCTGGCGAACCCGTTGTATCGCTGTACATCGAATCCCCGACGCTTGATGCGGCAGAGTGGACGGACTTCCGCTCATACCTCCGCGGACTCACCTACGGAGGCACCCACGCTGGCCCTCCAGAACTAATCGTCGAGACCTTCTTTTGTGCGTACTGTCACAGCATCGACCACCCCACTTACCTGTGCACGGTCCCCACTACCCCCGGCTGGCATGGTCCCTCTCTGGACGCTGCGCGTAATGCGATAACGGCCGAACGACGCAACATGGACCGCAACGCGAACAACGCACGCGGCGGTGGTCGAGGCGGCCGAGGACGCGGCGGTAGGGGACGCGGCAGACGCGGTGGCTATCGAGGCAGGGGAGGCTTCGCCCCTACTTAAGCATGTTGACTGACTCGGATATTGACTCCCTCTGTACAATGTATCTGTAAGAGTTCGTGGGCTTGGAACCCTTGATTGGGGGGCCGGGCTGCCCGTGAACTTGACGTTTGGTGGTCGCGGCGCGACCGGGGAGAATGTCGTGGCTTCGTGAGGTCGTGAGCGAGGCGAGGAGCTCCCGCTAGCGTCGTTGCAGGGCGAGGAGCCTAGCGCGTGGGTTGGTGAGTCCTAGGTCGGGCGAGGAGCCAGGCCGAGAGCGTGTCCTAGACGAGGGCGAGGAGCCGTGTCGAGGGGGAGTCCTGGACGCAGGCGAGGAGCCTTGTCTAGGATTGGTCCTAGGCGTGGCGAGGAGCGCAGGCCGAGAAGGGCTGAACGTACTCGGATGGCGCGGGGTTCGCACACAGACGATGTGGTAGTTCAGGTGTAAGAATGGATTACTTCCCAATTAGGAAGGCAGATGGCTAAGTATGGACAATCTAATCTAATCTACACTATACGGTTCATAATCTTATCTACTAGGGCAGGCATAGCATTGCCTACCCGTCACAGTATCGCTCGCGACGTATCGCCTCTGAAATGACACTTCTTGCTATGCACGAACACGAATACTAACCCAACTATCCTACGAGCGCGGACAAGTATAGGCCCAAATATACTGACCGCCCTGCGGGACAGGAAAGCCTATGCATCCACGCACGTCTCCCATACAGCGCGGCACTACTAGACTTGCCCCCGCTACGAACTAGCGAAAGCTGCCCCGGCAGCATGCCCCCTGAGGAGGCCAGGAGCGCCTCCCGCACCTCGCGAATCGTTGTAGCGAGGATGTGTAAAGCAACGGCCACACATCATATAAGACAAACAAACACGGACGTTACCACGACAACCGGCAAACCGCTCCCCTGTCTGGGAGAGAACTCCGTGTCCCCCGCCCGCGCGAATCTCAATGACCAGACAGAGGAATTTGGCGACGGGGCTGCCCTGCCTAGCCCCACTCCCTCGGGAACACGCTTACAGGGTCGAAGTCAGAGAACACAGAATGAGCCCCGACCTAAACACGGCCATGAGAAGAAGAAGGGCCGTCGAACAAAGCCAAACCTGCACCTTGGCACGCTAAATATCAGCGGAAAGGGCCACCTGTCGGGGCCAAGTAGCATGAAATGGAATGCCCTCAATCAAGCTATGCGCAACGAACGCATCGGAGTACTATGTCTCCAGGAAACTCACCTGACCAACGAAGACGTTGACAGACTGCACGACCTGTATGGCCGTCGCATGCGGATATGGAATATCGGCGCAGAGAACCCCAGCCAGAAACAAGGTGTTGCAATTGTACTAAATAGAGAGCTAGTGGACGTCAGCAACGTCACAGTAAAAGCCATCATCCCCGGACGAGCGATGCTCCTAAATATGAACTGGCACGCCGGACGTACACTGAAGATACTGAATGTATATGCACCTAATCATACGGGTGAGAACGCCGCCTTCTGGGAGCGACTCCTACGCGATGTCAAAGCTAGGAAATTCAGCAAACCGGACCTACTCACTGGCGACTTCAATGTTATAGAAGAGGCGATCGATAGATTGCCGGCAAGAGAGGATAACCAGCTGGCAGTACAACACCTCAGAGAGCTCCTACAGTACCTCGACCTTCATGACGGCTGGAGACTCACTGAGCCTAATAAGAAAGACTATAGCTTCCCACAACGAGCTAGCCCGTCGCGATCCCGACTCGATAGAATCTATGCGACCAACGACCTCCTTAGCACAGCCCAAGACTGGCTAATATCGACACATGGAATACAGACCGACCACCGACTGGTGAGCGTACATCTACGCACACAAAACGCACCGACTATAGGTTGAGGACGTTGGAGCATGCCCACCTCTCTAATAAACGACGACACCTTCATGTCGTCGGCGGCTGGTTTGGGTCGCCTAGCCCTGAACGAAGTAAAAGACCTAACAAGCAGACCGCGCGTTAACACACACACTGTTCAACATATACATGAAAAATTTAAAGATAACATAAGAAAACTTGCAAAGCGACGAATGCGAGAGAAGACACCGCGACTACATACTGAGATACAAGCCTTGGAATCACATCTCGATACAATAGAATCCAATCCCTCCTTCTCCAGTGATGCGTCACTGCAACGGGACTCCGAAGCAATACATGATCGTCTCCTAGATCTCCAGAGGTACAAACAGTCAGTAATAAAACAATCCACCACCACTCGCTACCTTCTCAACGCGGAACAGGTTACCAAGTACTGGTCAGCGATCAATAAGGACAAATCCCCGAGAGACATAGTGTACTCCCTGCAAGCGCCAGGATCGTCACCACCGACATACATCACCCGCTCGGACAAGATGGCTGAAGCGGTAATGACATACCATAATCAAATACAGAACGTAGACATACCGGGCTTCACCGCTGATAAACAAGAAACCGCGATGCGAGAGGTCCTTCAGGACATCAAGGTGGAAATGGACTGGCAGGACAAACAGCTGCTTAGTACGAACGCCACGAAAGACGACGTGAGAGACGCACTTAAGAAAACCAAGACCGGCAAAGCAGCTGGTATTGACGGCCTCCCATATGAATTCTGGACTGCCTTCATGGGTGGCGCTGATGACGATACAACAGCCGATGACGGGGATTTCGACAGCGTAAAATACTTAACAGCAGTCTTCAATGACATCGAGGTGTATGGCATACTCCCACACTCAAAGTTCGCTGACGGATGGCTGTGCCCGATATACAAGAAAGGCGACAAACGCAAGATCGAAAACTATCGTCCAATCACTTTACTTAATACTGATTACAAGATATATACGAGGATACTGACCTCGAGGCTGGGAACGGTAGCAAACACCCTGATACACGAGGATCAAGCCGGTTTCATACCAAATAGACACATTGAGAACCAGACGCAGACCTGCAGGGTCCTGGTCGACTACGCGGAAGCACTAGACGAAGATGGCATCATCATTGCGTTGGATCAGGAGAAAGCCTACAATAAGATCGACCATGCTTACCTGTGGCGAACCCTTGAAGCCCTCGGCCTCCCGCCCCGCTTCATCCAGAAAGTCAAAACCCTCTACTCAAATGCGCGAACATCTGTGATCATAAACGGTGAAAGAAGCAACTCCTTCCCTGTTACCAGGGGTGTAAGACAAGGAGACCCTTTATCGTGCTTACTCTTTGACCTTGCCATAGAACCCCTTGCAATAGCCCTCCGACGCTCGAAAATCGCGGGCTTTCACATACCAGGCACGGCCGAACGCCTGATTGCGTCCTTGTTTGCAGACGATACATCTACCTTCCTATCCAAAACCGATAACTGGGCCAGCCTATGGGCTGTACTCGACCTATGGTGCACGGCATCACGAGCGAAGTTCAACGATGGCAAGACCGAAGTAATCCCCGTTGGCTCGCCAGCCTACCGACATGCAGTTATAAACTCCAGGCGTATCAACCCATCAGACTATGACTCACCTCAAATACCCACGCAGATTCATATAGCGCAAGACGGTGAGCCGGTGCGCGTCCTCGGAGCCTGGATCGGCAATGGCATCGACCAGGTCTCAGTATGGACCCCAGCAATGCACAAGATCAGATCTTTCCTAGAGCGATGGAATAGATGCCGACCTTCAATGATTGGTAAGAGACATATCGTCCAAATGGGCCCTGGTGGAATATCCCAATACCTCACCGTAGTGCAAGGAATGCCAAGCTCTATCGAGACTGAATTGATAAAGATGATCCGAGTATTCATGTGGAACACCGAGAGCTCACCACCTATCGGAATGGACACCTTGTACCGCCCCATAAGCGAAGGCGGCCTTGGACTCCTCGACATTAAAGCACGCAATGAGGCAATACACCTGATGTGGATTAAACGATACCTTACCCTTACGCCAGACAGGCCCAAATGGGCATATGCAATGGATGCCATCCTAGCAAAACACGTCGTCAAAAGGGCAGGGGCAATAGACAGGAAAGCCCAGGTTAATACCTTCCTGCAGAGCTGGACGCCTGCATACGCCGCCAGATCTCTATTGCCAAGATACATGAAGGATATGTTGAACGCCGGCAAAAAATTCGGCGTACAGCTCGAAGCCCTGAAGGTCAGCCCCACCACAAAAAAACAATTACCGGTATGGTACCACCTCGGAGCCACGAAAGCCCTGAACCGCCTGAACAACACGAATATAAGTAAATGCCTCAGGCATACCCATGGAGTGACCATCATCGCCGATCTACTCACCTTAACACGAACAACATGCGGTAACACCCCAGCAACGACTGACGACCTCGTGGATGATGACTGCTCCTGTCCAGAGTGCCAGACAGCCCGACGCCTGGGCTGCAAGCATCCCGGGACGTGCCGCCTTGGAGCGTTCCGTGTCCTAAGTGAAATCCTGCCAAAATGGAATCCGCTAGTACCAAATCAAACCGATGGATTAACACTAACGCACAGACGCACAGAGAAGAACAGCAATGCTGAGGTGGAGAAGGGTGACAGCCTGGTCTTCAACCCATCTGTGACAGAACGAGGCGGAATCTCTGAGCTCTTCCGAGCCTTTGTAAGCCGAAGCACTACCGCCGGACCACCATCTTTGAGAGCGAAGACAGGTCGCTCCGTCCATGACGAGACCGTGACGGCGTATATCTTCAAGACCTACAAGAAACCGAAACCCGGTTTTAAAGGCCAAATGCGAGAACCGAAGGCACAAGCCGCCTTCTTCGGCAAGGACGATCCGCGAAACGCAATCATCCCAATGATGAGGGACCCCACCTCACGCGCCGAGATCCCAGGTACCTTAGTAGCTATGTTGTATGTTGCACAAGTGACCCCCCCTGACGCACCCCTACATCTGGTGCTTGAAGACGACCTACCACTCACATTCCTGTTCGAGAAGCTAGCTGTGTGGGAAGACAAAGGGTGGATAGACGTACCATTCAAAACCCTGCTAATACCCCTCGTTGGCACCCTTCGTCATAGGTGCGCTGCGACCACCCTCAGGAAAGCCGTCAAGGAAACAGATCGACGAGCCATGGGTGTGGCAAGGGATTTAGCCTCTAGTGACCCTCCTCAAGGGTTCCAACCCACACCCGCTCCTAGCATGGATGGATATCCCCACCTTGCTGTGTCTGGAGTTAGACTACAGGTACTGACCCAAGCCCTAGCGTATCGAGGAATACGCCTACAACGAGAACCTCAGCGACGACGCCGAACGGAGCAAAATATTGATGCGGCGCGAACACACCTTGAGTCAAATCAACCCGCGATCCCTGACGACACGCTCTGGAAGAGCCAAAGAAATCCAGACTTCAGTAGACCTTTTGCGGTGCTACTATGGAAAAGCATGCATGATGCGCTCCGTTGTGGTTCATACTGGCTAAATATAACCGGTTATGAGTATCGGGCCACCTGCTCATACTGCGGTGCAACTGAAGACCTATCTCATATACTATGGCACTGTCCCGCGACCGGACAGAGCGCGATATGGGCGATCGTATCAATGCTGTGGACCGGGAAAGGTCTGAAATGGAGTGGTTTGTCCAAGGCAGAACTCCACACTTTGGGACTCACGGTCTGGAAAGATAACAAAGGGCGCGTTAGAACAGGCGCGACCAGGCTATGGCGGATCCTAGTATCTGAGGCTACACATCTAATTTGGAAACTTCGGTGCGAGAGGGTCATTGGACACGCAGATTACGACGGATGGGACCACGATGAAACTTACGTTCGCAATCGGCTCTACACAGCGCTGAATAGACGGCTAAGCCACGATGTAGAAGCCACCCGAAAACGGTATGCAGATCTGGCAATACCTAAGCAAACGGTCCTAGATACGTGGAGTGGACTGCTCCACGATGAACTAGCCTTACCGCTGGACTGGACGACATGCACAGGTTTTTTAGTGGGTAGTGCGATAAGAATACTACGGGATACTGACCCGGGATGACGAGCCCCACACTGGCCTTCGAGCCGTGCGTAAATGCATTTTTTGTCCTTGGATAACCCCAGTCCTACACTCTACACATATCTCCGGCTGGGCGGTGGGAGCTGACCAATTGTCAGTCGCCACCGTCTACAATTAGCCTTCCAAAAAAAAAAAAAAAAAAAAAAAACTGTCAATCAGTAAGGCATACTGACCCCTCTTGCAATTTCCACAAGCGAGGAATTGCGGAGTCTAGATAACACTTACTCACTGTAAGTATCTCTGTGTATTCAAACTTCAATCACCGCACGTCATAAGCGAGACACCTTCCGTCCCAGCCTACTAGTACTACCCTACATACTCTACTGTACACTCGCAAATCTTCGCTGCCATGGCACCCAAGAACAAAGCAAAGGCCGCAGGAGTCAGCACCAGCTCGTTCTTCGACCTCAAAGCAGAACTCGCGAAGCAAGAAGAGGAGTTCGCCAAGAACAAGGCGGCGGGGAAGGCTACCGCGGTCGTGGGCGGGGTGAAGCGGCCGGACAAGGTACACATCCCGTTGCCTCCGTCCGCGCTCTGTACAATCTGACTGGCTTCTGGTAGAAACCGACAGTATGGGCGCGACAGAATACAGGCGTGAAGGCGCGAGCGGCGCGCGACATCGAGCTGGAGGAGATCAGCAGGCCGACGCTCGAGTCTGCGCGGGCGGTGCTCGAGAGGAAGGCACTCGTGTACGAGAAGCTGCGCAAAGGGAAGAGCGGTGGTCTGTCGGATAAGCAGTACGAGGCTTTGTTGGTCGACGTGCGTTGTTGCCTTCCCCGTGTCGTTCGCCTCTCATCTGTCCGCGGATGCCGCCTCGCAGTTTGACCAGAAGGCGATGGACCATTATGAGTCAGATAGCGACGATGTCGACGAGTCACTGACTGTACCCAGACCTGAGGGGCAAGAGGTATGCGGACATATTTGAAACTACAGAACCCTTGGTCTGACGAGGACGGCAGGATGATCCAATCATTGAGTACGAAGACGAATTTGGTCGATTACGAAGTGGCCGACGCTCCGAAATCCCGCGTCACCTATTGCAACAGGAGGAGGCGCAGACAGAGAAAGACGATGAGTGAGTCCGCTACTATCAGCACGCATATACTCATACTAATAGTCACCCCCCCCCCCTCAGCCCCTACGTGATATGTACGCCGCCCTGCCCATCACGCCTTATAACACGCTAACATAACCCCCAGACAACCCCGTCAACCACTTCCCCGTGTACGAACCCTCCGAGGACCGGGTCGCCGCGATCGAGTCTGCCTTCGCGGAAGAGAACAACCCGCTCAACGTGCACTACGACGCCTCAGGCGAGGTGCGCGCGAAGGGCGCGGGCTTCTACCAGTTCTCCGCGGACGAAGAAACGCGCCGCAGGCAGATGGAGGAATTGCGCGCCGCGCGCGAGGAGACGGACCGGACGAGGCAGGAGACGGGCGCGGCGGACGCTCAGCCGGGCGAGGTAGAGGGGATGCGTGGGAGCGCGGGAGAGGCTAGCGAACCGGCGGGCGTGGTGAAGAGTAGGGCGATGGAGAAGCGGAAGAGGGAGTTGGAGGAGAGGAGGAAGATGCTGGATGCGAAAAGACGGAAGGTGGCGGGGGGTGGATCGGCTGCCCCGAAGGCTGAGGCACCGCCCGCCGCTGCTGAGAATGCTGCTATGAAGCCGAAGGCAACGGAGGCTATCGCTTCTGCTGATCCCTTTGCAGCTCTTGAAGTTCAACAATCGCGGACATCCGCGAAGCACAAGGTGAAGGGTAAGGCACAAACCGATCCGATGAATGCGGCCGACGCCTTCCTCGCCCAACTCGAGCAAGAGGTACTGAAAGGTGCAAAGGAATAAACGCGGATGTATGTGGACAATTCTAATCATACTGGTACAAGTCTAACAGTGTCAAATAGATAGTCGTCGTTGATGTCGTGCTTCCTCGACGAGCCGCTCCGGACACCGCACGCTGAACTGTCCGCCTTCCTGCCTATAATCCACATGCCACTCGCCTCTTCTCCACCTTCGCCAGCGGACCTCCACATTCCCCGTTAGGATGTCCGACACGAACTGCCTCGCCGCCCGTAGCACCTCCAACGCGGGCCGCGTCACCGTCCGGTGTCCGCAGTTAATCCTGACGGCCTCCGGAAGTCGGGAACTCATCACGACCGCTTCCAGTTGGTCAATCGTCGCAAACCATACGCTGATATTACCTTGCGCGGGGAAGATGATCGGCTCCCACTCGTAAACGGTGTCACCGACGTAGAGCATCAGGTCATGGGCGTCCCAAAGCGCGACTTCGTCTGGTGTGTGGCCGGGTGTATGGAGCAGCGTCATGCCCAGTGGAACACCGGATACCGAAGTTAACATGGTGTTATGCGGGACCAAGATGGACGCGAACTGGGGCGTGCGGATGCCGAGAGCGGTGCAAAGAGAATTCGCAGGGAGCGCATCGCGCGCGACGAAGGCGGGCGAGTGGGCGGACTGCAAGACCGGCGAGTCGCACGCGAACTGCTCGACACCCACTAGGCCCGGCATCGTCAGTATGGGGGGCAGCACGCGACGAGGCGGCGACCTACGGATGTGGTCATAGTGGCAGTGGCTGAGCGCGACGACGTAGCGCATGCGCGCGCCGTCGTTGATCGGCCGCCCGCCGTTCTCCGCGACGGGCACGCGCTCGAGGAACGCGCGCAGGCTCGTGATCTCGACGGTGCGGTCGCTCGACGCGCTCCCGCAGCCGGTGTCGAGGAGGAGGATCGTGTCGGCCTCGGGCACGAGCTTGGCGTAGATGTATGGGTGCTCGGAATAGATGTCGTCTACCTCGATGATGAGGAAGGTGGTGTTCGTGAGCCGGTATGCTTCGAACGCGCTCCGCTTCGCTTGTGGTTCCGCAGGCGGCGGGGTATACGGGAGCAGCTCCCCCGGCTCTAACTCGCTTTCTTCGTCGTCCAAGGGCCCGCGGTGTCCTCGTATGGGAATGAAGACGAAGACGAGCACGGATACGCCCACGACCCAGACGACGAACTCTGCCAGGGACAGCATCGCGGGCAGTTATGCAGAAGGCGAGTGCGGCAGGGGGTGGTTGCACGGGCGTGCGGCCTGGGCATCGCACGGCGGCTGCTGAAGAGGGAGCGGGGCGTGGGCACGCGGGCGGGAGAGTGAACCGGGCACTATAAATACACGTCCGCTGTGGGCCCCCCCGCAGGGATGAACGTGCGGCGGTGCACTGCGTGCCAAGGCTAGCCGACTCTCCGACGCGCGCGCGTGCCAGGGCGTTCTCAGTCGAGGGTATATGTCTGAGGTATGACTGCATCTTCTGGCAGCCGTCTGATGTCGATATTGGCGCACTATGGCGCGCATCGTCTTCCCAGGACCACTCGCTGTGCCTTGCTCTGGACGGACAACGCTAGGACGCGTCTCTGCTGCAGGGATAGAGCCCGGTTATGCATGCAGCAAGCCTTGCGCTATTTCAGCGACGAGCCGCCGGGATCTGCGCCGCTTCACAGCGTCTGCATACTTCCGCGAGTCTCGACTTAGCTGCAGCAAGAGAACCACCATGCACGTGTTTGGATGAGTGCTACGGATATACAACGTGCTCTTGCCTCTTCAGCGGCACGGCGCCGAGTATGTAGACGTCGAACCGCGCGCAATGACCGCCGTACGCGGCACCGTACAGAACAAACCAGTGAAGTAGACTCAGGCTGTCATGAGTACTAGTACGAACGTTCCTCGGTCCTCGCGCCGGCAGATTCAGATTTGCTACTAGCTTGCCACCGCCGGCCAACAACGCCCCAAGAGGCCCCAAGCCTCCCATCGTCGATCTCACCATCTCATCTCATCATCCACCAGATACCGGGCAGATCACCGCGACCTCCTCCCCGCCCCGCAGGACGACCACCGCGGGGTCGTCCACCATCTCCTCGTCCACGGCCCAGTTGCTCTGCGCGAGGATCGCGCCGAGGCCTGCGTGGGGATGCCGGGCCGAGAGGAGTGCAGCAAGGTCGGTGAGCGGATATTGTGCGGAGGGAAGGGCGACGGACTCGGTGGTGAGCCCGGTCGCGGTGGAGGCCCCCGCGAAGTAAAGCACGGTTATTGTGGGCGGGGGAGGGTGCGGGGGAGGGGCGGAGGAGACGGGTGTGGACATGGCTGGACGTTTGGGTCCGGGGCTGCCTGAGCGATGTACGAGCGATGTCAATGCGAGTGCATCGTTGTGAACGGTCCGGATGGGCGGCTCGTCTACAGCACAGTATGTAGATTGATGCTACTTACCAATGGTGTGGATGGTTTGATGGTGGAAATGGGGTGCGTGCTATACTTGTGGTTGGGGAGTAGAAGAGCGGCCAAGGACGGCATGCCCAGGATGATCCTGCTATAGTCGGAGATATGATCCACGAGTGCCTTCCAACACATCTTGGATACTTTTTTTGCATACTTACGTGCTGCATCATCCAAGAATAAGACATCTAAACCTAGCACCGTCTATTCTGAACACAATCATGTCTACTAATAGTTGTCCACTCCCCTACCGCCTCGAGCCTCACCGCAAGCCCTCCGGGCGCAGCTCCATCGTCCACCATATCGGCTTCGACGTCGTGATCGTGACGGTTTTCTGCTCGGGCACGAGGTGGTTCGACGTCGAGACGAGGCCGCCGAACGACGACTCGGCGTCCGCTGTCAAGGGAAAGAGGTCATGTCAGCGCTGCAAACTCTCGGTGACCAGCGAACGTGCGCACTAAGGTTCCAGCGCAGGCCGGTGGTGGTGAGAACCGTCGAGTCTACCCCAACGGGGAGTAGGCCACAGGTCGGCCCGAAGACGGCATGATTGACGGTTATGTGGTGGGTGCCCTGGGATGGTGGGATGGTGGAATGTGTGTTAGGCATGGAAGCGGAAGTAGAGGCAGGAAATGGGGGTTTGAGGGCTAGGGTGATGGAGCGTACCTCATCTAGGACCCAGGCGAGGTTGTCATCTGTTACGGCGAAGATGCGCATGCGCCCCTTGCGTAGTTTGTGTAGAAGCGAGAGTGTATGAACTGTTTGGTCGAGTCTTCCGGACAGTCCGCCTATGAGAATGAGGTCAGACTGTTCTCGTTAGTGGTCACCAGTCTATACACGATATGACAGAACGGGTACCTGAGTCCCTTCAGCTGTATCCTTCTCTTCGAGCGCGCGTATGCATTTCATCAGGTCGGTTGCGTACTGGTCGGGATCGTGGACCACTGGGACGCCCTAGCTAAGACATGAGAGGTGTCTAGTTCACAACGCATGCCTCGTCGTGCTTTTGGGGCTGCCTTACATGGGACGCATAGTACTCTCTCACGTCATCCCTCAGCGAGTCGAGGTCGCCCTTGATGAGATTAGGTCGGTACCTACGCGCCCTCCAACGTCGAGCACGCAGTAAAGCATGGTATGCACAGACTCACAATGATCTCTGGTCTCTTTGACCGTCACCCTCCTGAATATCCTTCAGCAAGTCGTGCAAACGATTTCCTCCTCCGTCCGCACAACAGCGCCATGAGCACGCGTTCCAGAGCCTCCTCAGCAGAGGGAACGAGAAAGGCTGGTTCAGGATAATCAAGGCATACCGGCGGTCCACAGCCAAGTGAGGAGACGGGTCGAAGAAGGGCAGCGACCACGAGACGTCCGCCATCGCATCCGAGGGTCGCGTACGCGGCCAGGCCGGGCGCCAGAAGGCGCCAGAGCGCGTCGCGAGACGGTGCCCAATGAGACGCGCACGTGATCGATCCCGGACGCGTGCTACTGGCGGCCGCGCCCTCTTCCGCTGCACAGCTCGAGTCCACTCCTCGCTTCTCCCCCTTGCCCTCTGACCGCCACCACGCTCGCGACGGGAGATGCGCAGAGATGGACAGGGTCCACGATTACTACCAGTCGTATTCCTGGCATCAGGTACGTGCTCACGAGCTGATTGTAGGTGGCGTATGGCACTGACTGGGGACGGGTTATTCAGTCTCATGATCAGGTCGGTTTCGTTGGCGATGGTGGTATTGTGGACTAATGGACCGTAGGCGACGGTATTGCTGCTGGTGCCGTATGAGACTGCAGAGGATGATGTATCCGTGAGTGTCCCTTCAGGCATGGCCGTGGATTGACGTAACGAAGTCGGGTTTAGGTCGTCATTGAACGGAACTTTCTTATGGCAGGCGTACGAGGGCAGCCACCCATCGTGAAGGTATATGCGGCTCTAGCTTTGCTCGTGAATCCTACTGAGACATTATAGGGGAGGTTGTACGGCAATGTAGACACAGCCAACTCGGTCTGGCAGCTCGAGCCGCAGGCCTCGCGGACCTCCGCACGCGAACGCACCACCTCAACGACATCCACCGCATCCCAGTCCACGCACTCTTCCTTTGCGGTCGTCTCAGACCCCGGCATCTCCAGTAGCTTCGCGGCTTCCCTCGAGAATGGCCTCCTCTCCGACCTGGACGACCCTATGTCTTCGCCCGCGCTCTCCTCACCCGTCTCCTCCTCCCTAGACGAGCACGGGTTCGTCTTCCCGCACCAGCGTCACCCGCCACGCTCTAACCCCTCCTATCCCGCTTCCCCGGGTCCGTCGAGTCAGCATAACGCCCCGCTTAGCCTCACGTCCTCCTATTCCTCCGTCGAGTCGCTGCATAGGGCCTCCGGGCGCCTACTCACATTACACCTAGAGAAGGCAGAGTCGGTCATCTGGCCGTCGCTCGTTGTAGGGCCTGTTCCAGAGAGTCTAGCTTCGTCAACGGTCAGCTCGTACCCATGGGCGTCCTCTTCGGGATTGACGGTGGAGTCAACGTACAACATGGACCCTACAAGCCTCGTCCTGATCGCTCTAGACCTGTATGACATCCGGGAATCATACGAAGAAGCCTTCGAATACTTCGTGTAAGTCACATTGTATGACTCAGTTGGACACGGTGCTCATTGTGGTACAGGCGTGCATGGCACCAAGCCCGTGTGCCCTCTGCCGCGATCCGCTTAGCGACGCACTATCTCCCCGTGCAATCTAGAGTCCCAGATCTGTCACCAGACATAGCAACGTCCACCGGGTCTCTTGAATCATCAACCGATACAGAGCCAACAACACCCACACCTTCGATCCCCGAGACCTCACCCTCTCCACCGCCAACTCCGGGAACACTCGCATACTACCTTGGCCGTATAGGCGGAACATCAGGACTCGCAGACCTCTTCCTTTCCGCCGGGATCCTCCACCTCGAAGGCGCAGCTGCCCCCCTACTGTCCTCCGCGTACGCCGGGCTGTCCTCCCTGCGCACCCCCCTCGTAGTCAGCGGCAGCACCGGCCACGGGCACGGCTTCGCCGCCTCTAGCGCAAGTCCAGGCGGAACAGAGGGCTGGCGACGAGACCGCGAATGCGCCCGGCGCTACTTCGAACGTGCAAGGGCGCTCGTGCCGTCCCTCGACGTACCGCTCCTGCCGCCCGAGAGCGACTCCGACGTGGGCTCTGGCGTCGGGTCGGGCGCGGAGAACGGGGACAGGCGCAGCACCGGCACGCGCTCGGGGCCGGCGTCGTCAAGTTCCGGGCGACACAGCGAGAAGGTGCATACCGAGGTACACTCGGCCGACCCGCCACAGGCCCAGCCCAGGAGGCGGCGGAAGAGAGAGACGTCCGGCGACTTGTCCAGCTCGATCATTGAAAACTACCGGTCGTCGGACACGGACGCTGGCGACGAAGATCGGACTTGGTATCTGTATGTTCCAGGGCTCGTCGGCGCGGGCGCTGCGCTCCTGGTTGTCGGTTTCTTGTCGCTCTCATCGTGGAGGAAGAGTCAGGGAGGCTCCTAATGCTCGCCCATACATACGTAACACACACTTAGACGACCCGAACGAGAAAACGGCTACACGTTACGATCATCGCTCTGATTGCTGTCATTCTGGATTGCTTGCACGACAGGTTCGTTTGCCGCTGTACTGTATTTCTAGGCCGCTATATACACCGAACAATATATGTGAGATGCAAGATACTTGTGAAGGGGCCCAAGTCACCGAACGAATAGCTATGTGATAATGTAAGCCAACGGCAGCGGCATTGGTATAAACAGGTTGAGAGGCAGGCGAAATGGACAAACGAGTGTATGTATGGGAGGTATTTGCTGGCGTGGGTATGTACAGAAGGCGGAAGTAGAGGAGATATGGTGCAGGGGACATCAGTAAGCTGCGAATTGACGATGAGCAGGTAAGTAGCAGAATGCAAGGTATGAATACAACTGGATGAGAATGCGTAAATAGCAAATAAATGGACGACAGAAGGTTAGATGTATGGCCTACGTACAGTAAACATCAACGTTGTGAACCCGACACGCTGGTGGTGATCCGCTTGATCCGCTCACGCTCCGCCTGCGCGTACTGGTCGAGCATCCCTTCGAACTGCAGCATCGACTCCCGCTTGGGCAGCCGAGGCTTCTGCTCAGCGTCCGCGGTGGCTCGTCTCCGCCTGGGCTCGTATTCGGGAGTCAAGTCGGAGCCGCCCTCACCCTGGGAAGTATTGATATCCCTGAACGGCAACAGCGGGATATCAATGTTCTTCAGACCCTTTTTCTTGGACGAGAAGAAGCTCCGACGGCGAGGCCGCACAGGCACGTTCGAAATGGGCTTTTTCCGGTCAACATCGCTGAGCTGAGCAGGCTCCTCCTGGCGCAATGTCGGGGGCCGCAGCGAAGGCGTAGAATAGTTCCCTAGACGCATGATTGACGACTTCGAAGACGTCGCAGAAGCGCTGCGCATGGTCTGCTGTGAATCGCTCCGGGAATGCGAGAAAGGCGGTCGCGGAGGCGACAACGCCTCCTTCTCCTCCTTCTCCTCCTCCTCTTCCTCTTCCTCTTCGTCCTCGTCCTCGCTGCCTTCGGTCGATTCCAATTCATCCATGGTCGACTCGATCTTGTCGAAGAAATCTGCGGGTGACGCGGGACCTGGCGCGGAATGAATGGTCGGAGGCAGGAACTCTTCCGGAATGCGGAGGGCGAGTGGTGAAGCATGGCCTCGACGATCTGCTAATGAGCGCGGAGAGGAGGGGGAAGGGAACGCAGCGGACTCGGGGGATGTCTCTGGGATTGACCCTGACCCTATGGACCGAATGGAGAAGGGGCGATCTGCAGGAGGTGATGGATGTGCCTCTGCCGTAGGGCGTAATGGCGAAGGTGGAAGCTTGGGCGAGGCTCTGGGAGATGATCTGGGAGGTGGCGCCAACGCTGTCGGCACCAGCGACGAGACAGATATTCGCGGCGGAGGCAACGGAGCATGACCATAGGGGAACTCGGCACTCACGGTAGGGGACACAGGGGACACACTCCGCGAGGTACCGGAGCCTTCAGGCAGGTAACTTCTCCGCGACAACGAGGACGGCGATCTTATGCTGCCAAAGATGGCATCATGGAATGCAGATGCTGTCGGCGAGGGGACTGAATACTCTGACGTCGTGATTGACGGCCTGCCTTCAGTCACCATCGACACTGTCACAGATGGCCTATTCTGCAACGTCTGATCCACGTCCGTATCCTCCGGCGTCACGTACGAGAGGTCATCGGAGACACGCGAGTGTGAGGAAAGTTGACTCATGAAGCTGCGGTAGGACGACTGGGAGGGAATCGCTTCGGCATTCAGCATGACTGGTGATATCCGCATCGACAACCTCTGCGAGATGGACATCGGTGACGCCGCCCGAAAACCCGCTGTCTCGAAAGCCTCGCGCGACTCAGAGAGGCCAGGAGACGACATGACCTTCCGCAAAGCCTGTAGCGACGGACGTGCGGGCTCGATATCTGGATCCGTGAGGTCGGGCTGAGAATGTGAGAACGTCGGGTTGATCATCGGCTTGCGCGGGGGCGGTGGAAGGGCAGCAGTCCGCGTGGGGCTCTCTACGCGTATGGGAGGCGAGCACGGGTCATGTCGCGGTGACCGCTGGCCTGCGAAGCTCGACACACTCGAGAAGGTTGTTTGGCTGTTCGCACTCGAGGGCGCCCTCGCTTGTGTAGGCGTAGTGGGACTTTGCGGCTCATCGGCTTCTGTGGCGACATACAGGTTTTCTAGGATCCGCTGTCCGATCATCTGCTTGGGCGTCGAGTGAATCGCCTGCGAGAATGAACCAGATGGCTGAGACGCATGTCCGGAGGAACCAGCCCGTGAGGGCCCCGAGAACGACAGGGCATTTGTACCTTGTGAAAAAGCCTCGGATGGCTGCGAGGCATGCCCTGACGATCCGCCCTTTGACGCATCTGTGACGGACCGGAACTGCGTCCCTGACGAGAACGCATCTGACGGCTGCGATGTATGTCCCGAAGAGCCACTCCTCGAAGGGCCGGTAGGGGAGGTCAGAGCCGAGCGGTCTGTAAATCCTGACGCAAAGGACGTATCCACTGAGTTGTTGAGTGAATGGTGGACAGCTTCTGCCAGTAACGCCTTCCGCCAAGCGTCGTCCTCCGTGCTGCTCGACCAAGCCCCAGGGCTATGGGGTGGTAGCTGCTCAGCCAGGACCGCGGCGCCAAGTGCGCCAGACACGTTAACACCATACACCGCGGATGCTTGAACTGTGAACGGATAGCCTGAGGACGGGGGAGGTAGGTCGACTGCATCCGTAGGATCAATGACATCCAGATGGGAGGGCTGAGGTCTAATAATAGACTGACTCCGTGTTTTGCGCACGGCACGAGTCCTCAGGTCTTGCTCGGCTTCCTTCGCTGCAGCTGCTAGGTCATCCATCCGTTCACGCACCACGACTACTCGGCTGGTGCTCGGAGCGGGGATGGTGTAGACTGGTGTCTGCGGCAATGAACGAGCATGGGGGCGAAGGATGAAGCCTGATGCTGTTGTCGAATCCGAGGTAGTGCGAAGGATAGGACCTGGTTGGTCCACAGCAGGAGGTGAGGTAGTGTACGGAGTCGTCGGCTTCGACTTGGACTTCCCCAGACGAAAGAAGTCCAGAAATGTAGCAGATGGTTTGGGCGATACCTTCTGGCCGGCAGCATTCTGAGGGTTCAACGATAATGGTGAAGGCTTCGCGTGCGCGGGCGGAAGGAAATAGCTATTGTTGACCAGCAGGCGCAGCCTGTAGGAAACGTCGTCCCCATCGAACTCTGGTTTATCTGCAGAGAAGATCTCAGGAACAACGGGTCTCAGCCGCTCCTCGAGATCATCGTCGATAGAATACGGGAAGGATGATTCCGTGAAGGTCCCCGTGGCCGTTGAAGCAGGATAAAGCGACGAGGAAGACGTCGACAGCATGGAATCTCTGGGATTTCGATAGCCAGGGTTTCCGGTCCGCATTTGAAGGAACGGCTTCATTTCCTGCCCTGGCGTTTGGGGACTCGGTTCAGGGGATGAGTCGGACGAGATATTTGCCCTGAAGGCCTGGCGGGGCAGACTGAGTGCACGCGACCGCGCTTTTATCTGTAGAACGTCAGTATTTAGGTGAACATGGCTCACCTCAGAGCCTGTCATGCACGTACCCCTCTGATAGAACCTCCCTCAGACCTCGTCTCCCAAGGCTTCTTCGCTGCCTCCACCGTACCAGCATCCGCTGTCAGGCTCCTGGTCCCCGCCTCTCGAGTCGCACCCTGTGCTCGGTGTTGCGAACCCGCTGTTCGTGGACGGTGCTGAGCTGCTGGCGCGCTCTGTGGCAAAACAGACGCCAATTCCTCCGGCTCCGCGTAAAGCATGGCGGGGACAGGCGGCAAGGGATCCCCGAAGTTGAGAATAGAGTGTGCATCGTCGTCCACTGTGTTTTTGCGGTCTCCCGGTGGCCCTTGGCTCTTGCCCCGCTTGACCTGTGAGAGGACCGACCTCGACCGCGTGGCCGACCGACGCCTTAACGACGCGCCCCCAGAACTTGCCGTGCTCGTGATGGAGTTCGTCCGTACCGCAGATGGCCTGTCATGGGGGATAGCGGGGACGACGGCTGTCGTCGAGGCCATTCAGGTGGTGGACGTTGCAAGCAACGAGGACGAAGGAGAACTCGTCGCCGACGCCGAGCCTGGCGGTAGTGTGTGCTAGTTCGCGCCGGCATTGGCTGGACGCGGGTCTCTATTTTCCCACACTCAATTTCGGGCGATCCGCGGCCGCACCCAAATCCGGCATGGGCGCCCCAGTCGAGCCAGTTCAGCTCCACGTCTGAGGCGCGACGCGACGCGTCCTGGCACGTCGCGTGCCTCTTTCTCCCCGACCATGGCCTTCCTCGACAGTGAGCAACCCGCTATCCTTCCTCCTGCGCACAAACGTATAGCTAACGACCCACAGGTTTGCTTGGACTGCTTCCGCAAGCAGAGGGATGGCTTCCCACATGGCAGCTTATCGTCGCTGTGATGGCCGCGTTCAACACTGCGCAGAACTTTGCCACCATCAAGTTGACGCGGAGAATATACAACACAGCCTCGCAGCCAGGTATGAATACTTATTATCAGCGCCGCTTCTTGACTGAAGCTCCCGGTTGCAGTCACCCCTCTTCAGGCGAGGACATTCGCCATCTGGACGCTCACCTCGGCCGCCATACGTCTTTACGCAGCGTATTACATCAACGTTAAACCGTGAGTCTGTTCCAGTCTGTGACGACCTGCCAATTCATCCCTTACCTTCATCTTCGCCACGCAGGGTATATGACCTTGCGCTGTTCAGCTATCTCTTCGCGTTCGGGCACTTTGGCTCGGAGATTTTCTTCTTCGGTAACGCAAAGCTCCCGGGTCCAGTTTTAAGCACGGTGATTGTGTCCAGTAAGCAACCAGTTCCTACCCCCATGTCTTCGCTCTCATATGTGTGCCTGCGCTTCCAACCTTCTGCTCAGCCTTCTCTTTGGCATGGATGCTGAGTCAGTATGATTTCTACGTCCGTGCCTAACATCGAAAATCGCGGGTTCAATATGGTCTCTGCTACTCGCCTCTTGTGATGTGCTTGCTCTACTGTAACGCAGTGCTAGTGTATTGTCGCCGTATCTCTGCGGCCGTATCTTGGGTTTCACGCGATGCGTCGTTTTCTTGTACCGTTCTGACTGCTTCTAGATGAGTGTCACTTATGCCCGTGATCCCGACTCCCGGGTGCGTCAATTCCATTCATCTCATAGGCTCACTCGTGTCGGAGGAGTCGCAGGTACCACTGACATGGAATGCAGGGCCAGTTCGCGGCCTGCTCGCAATGGCTGATGCACCATACGCTCGCCGTCGCTACCGAGCAAATGGTGCGTCCACTATTCTCCATAAACCTTGTGACACCCACCTGGCCGAGACCACACTACGTCCCGCTGACCCTTAGGTCCGACGACTGTTATGCGGCGTGGAAGTGGGGACAGTCCGTAGGAGAGCATGCCTGCGAAGTACATGTGGCCATACCGCTTTCCCCTCGGCGCTCATACATCATCCGTCGCCGACATTTGCACGCTAATAGGCCTGCCCCGAGCACCCGATGCTGATGGGCTGATCTTCGCGCGACTGAACGCCAGTGTCACCGTATTGCGCGAGAGAGAGCGTGGCTGCGCAAAGATGGGGTGCCCCGCGGGGCTCGTTGCGAGCGCAGGGAATGTGGGCTGCGGTAGGGCTGGGCGAAACATGGGCTGGAAGGATACCCCGGGCTCCTGGTAATTGCCCACATTATCCGAACGCTTCCCGTTGCTCCTTCCGTTGAATAGCGGGACCAGTGGTGGCATTTAATCAGTGTCCATATGCTCGAACGTGCGAGTATTCATGAGACTCGCTTACAGCTCCTTCGAGAATTGTCTGTTTGCGATGGCTCCACCGACTCAGTGAGGCCGCTCGCCTCCCCGCTGGCTGAACACTAATTCGCTCAATTGACGACTTTTTTCTAGTGTGCCAAGTGGCATGCCTCACGACTCAGAGACATCAACACAGCTGGGTGACTCTGTGTCATATGGCCTGTTCTTTGCTGTAAGCGAATATATAAGGGAATCGCGCAATAAATTGACGGGTGTATGGCTGCAGAAAGACCGACGCGAGCATGGCCTCGCATGCTGGTCGGATAATCTTCACTTCGGGTGTTCAAACGTTCACCACGCTAACCCAGGGATATGGCTGGGGGCATTATTGCATCGCAGAAAGTAGCGGAGGAAGGGCTTCGCGTATTGCGCGAGAAGACCTCCTACCCTCGCAGTCTCGCGTCGTTTGCTCTACGTCTTGCGAACGTGGTCCAGCGGATACACACAAACGTAATAGCCTTCCCGGCCTGGTGAGACGTCTCACCAGCTGGATTTTGCAAAGGCTGAACGTGCATGGCGGGTCAGGTTGCCAATGTATGCAGCCGAAGCATCGTTCCCCAACCAACGATGAACTGCCGTGTAGTAGCGCATGCCTCTGCGACGGCGCGGTCCCCACGAGCGCGTCAATTCTGAGAAGGCGCTGTGGTTGACTGGCCAAGTCGAACAGCCGGTCGCAAGCCATGCTGCTCGGAAGTCAGCAGACGGAAGCGCCCTGTATAAGAGCAAGTCAGGTGCAGCAGCCTGGCCGTCACGATGCGACGCTTGAAACCACTCGCGTAGGTACGCTTTTGCCTCGCCAGGCCCAATGGGCGGATCGCTTCATCCATGACGAGCAATTGAGTAGTTCTGACGCCGGTACGCCTCAATGCTATGCACTCACAACCTATTCAGAACACCACTTTGACAATGTGGGCTCAATAGAACCGTCATGTCCGCGAGTCTAGTCCGATTAGGGTGGATCCAGAACTAGGGAGAGTCTCAATGATTGGCAATAAATTAGCCTTCGTATCTCTTCTCGCGGATGCAACTTTCTGTACTGGTGGGGTTCTCATCGACTCCTGGGAAATGCGTCGTGGCGCCATTTGCCTTCGTATGTACATGATCTGGATCTCAGGCCATGGTCACGGTGATGGCGCGGAACGTTTGTCGGAATGCGTATGGACTCGTGTCTCCTGTTCCACCGGGCGAGCACGTTCACATCATTTTTTTCAGAACGCAGGCAGTATGTACAGTTGCATGAGTGCGCGAAGCGACATCGGAGGAGGGATCTGCAGCATTCTGGGTGGCGAGCGGCGAGCGTGGCACACAACCGAGGGACAAGCGCCGAGCCGAGCATCAGCCACAGGGGGCGCGTGCGCGATCACGTCGATGACTGCAAAATGTTGTCAATTCCAATGCGCGTTGCAGCTGCCTGACCTACCCCGGTGACCTCCGCCTTTGTTCCTCCCCCATAAAAGGGCCCCGGACCATGCCTCGGCCCTCCTGCCCATGCTGCAGTCGAGCTCGCGTTAAATATCCGTCCGCGCACGCTGCACACACTCCGTTCACCGTCCACTAACCACGGCATACCCTAGAATGGCCTCGGAATCTTGCTCACTCAGTCAATACCCGCCGGAATTGTATTCCGTAATCTGTGCTCACATCTACGCCGCTGGCTGCCCCCCTCTGACATCCTCGCTAGACCCCATCCTGCATGCTGAAGGCGATGTACCGACCACCTTACCGTCCTCGTATCCCCCCGCGTGCTGGGTCGACTCCGTCTCCAAGCGCACCCTAAAAAATCTCTGCCTTGTGAGTCACGCATGGTACGAGGCTACGAAGCCGTGGCTATGGCGCAAGGTCGAAGTCAGCCTGCCCCGCAGCTGGCTCGCCCTCGTAGACGAGATCACCTGCGGCGAGGGCGATGACTCCGAACAGGAGCAGGCCGCGTTCATTCTGGGGCAGACCATCCAGGCGGCGGAGACCGCCGCCCTCGCCCAAGAGAGCACAGACAAGATCGCCGCTCTCGACTTGCATGAGAAGGTCCTCCGAAAACTCAGCGCTCCGGACGGATCTATCCCCCCTGAATTACTCACTCCTCTCGCAAGCCGCGAGCCGAGCCCGAGGCGTCTGCGACAGAAGAGCAAGAGCCCGCCGCGATGGAAACTCATTCGCTCAATCAGTGATGTTGTGCGCGACGTCATGGAGCACGAAAATCCTGGAATGTACGGTCAGTACAATCCATACCTTATTGATCGGTTCAAAAAGGAAGCTAATCGCGCTTGGATATAGTCCCTTCCTTGGAGATCTCGCACGTCGGCCGATACGTGCGCCATCTGGACTTCAATCATTTCCGCACGATTGGCATGAGGCGCTCCGTAGAGGAAGGCGTCAACAATCGTTTCGTCACCGGCGAGAGACTGGACTCCGTACTCAAGGTCAGCCGACGCACGTGTGAGATCAATATGGTGGTACTGACCTACCGACGCATCGTAGGAAATGCCAAGCCTCCTGGCATTCGGCGCGACCGAATATATGGATGGGGCGCTCACGTTCCCCGTCCTGAAAGAGCTCCTTCTGCGAGGGTCAGCGTCTCGCGGTCGGGGCAGGCCATCACGGGGCCGTGACCTAGTCATCTTTGACCCGAATGATGCGGAGGAAGAGGAGCGCGAGCGACGTCGTGAATGCAAGGAGCTAGAGGCGATCGACCTTACTGGTTGCATCAGCGCCGTCTTCGTGAACGCCCTCACTCAATTTGTCACGGAGCATCTAATCGACGACTTGGACGGACAGGCAAGTGACAGCGATGACGAAGGACCTCGCGAACGCGGCCGTCCCAAAAGTCGCAACACTGTGGAGGAGCCGCTTACTTTCCCCGGGCTGCAGCGGCTTGGTCTACGAGGCGTGAAGTCCATCCAGCCTCACATTCTTCATCCGTTCGTACTAGCATTCCCCTCCCTCACGCATCTCGACCTCTCTTGCACTCGCATCACTCCCGACCTGCTCGCTCTGCTCGGGACATCTACCACCATCCACCTGCAGTCCCTGTCGTTGGAGCGATGCAACTGGCTTACGGGCGAGAGCATCCGCCATTTCCTTGTGGGCGCACCTTGCACGAGGGACATCCGTGAGCTCAGCCTGTACGGCGACCCGACGTGGCCGTCCCCCCTCTCCGCTGAAGACCTAGACGATATCCTCGCCAACGCTCCATGCTTCACTAGCGGCAATCTAGTCTACCTCGATCTCTCAAGCGCGCCGTTGACTCGTGCCCACCTACGCGACACCTTCGTTCCCCAGCCGTATATGCGTTCGCTCGGCCTGTCTTACATTCGCTCGCTCGAGCTCGGCGCGGTGGCCGACTTCCTCAAGACGAAGGCGCCCAACGTGGAGGTACTCACCCTTGTGGCGAGCACGCCCGAGCTCGGGTATGGCGCGCAGCCTGTGCCGGTGCGCCAAGTACCCATCACGCTGCACGCACAAATCATCCGCCCGCTATGCACGCTGCCCTTCTCGTTCAGCCTGAACCCGAGCAAGAGAAAGGCAGCCGAGCCCCCGACGCGCCTACGAGTCATCGAGCTCGCCGCGTCGCTGTTGGCCAGTCTGGCCTCGGGCGCGAGCTCATGGCGAGTCATGAAGAGCAAGGGCGGTCGGGCGTGGTACGTCGATGTGGCGAGCGGCTGGGTGGCGGAACTCGGCGGGGAGAGCGATGTTAGTGTCTTGAAGAGAGACCTTCCGCCCGGGCACCCGTGGCGCCTTGCGCTCGAACGGCTCTCGGATGCTAACGGCAACGTCAGCAGTGGTATAGGATGGCACTCCCGAAAGCTGGAGGTGAGTACATCCATCGTTCGTACCCTCGGGGTATCCCAAGTGCATGGCGTGCTGACTGAGTCTCGCTGCGCAGGTGTTGCACGGCCATGGACTTCTAGGCCGGGAAGCAGGGCTGTACGGCGCAGTCTCCTTTGCCTACCAGGGATAAGGACGGTGCCTCTCTGCGAGTTTGCAGTACAACACAGGCGTCCTAGGCGACAATCAACCAATTGTCGAGTGACCTTGTTGTAGGACTGAGAAGGCCGCCTTGTTCTTTGATAGCGCGAGGTACTATTGTCACCATGGTGACTCTTGTGTACTCCAGCGTGCAGGACGGGAAGGACTGCCTCTCCGCGTATCTGTTATCGCAACGCGTGAGGCCGCGTCTGCAGTACGGTTTAGAGCTAAACTCGGGTAGTGATAGTACCGCCACCCACCGATAAAAGCCTTCGTAGTGTACAATACTTGTAGTGGATATGAACACAGGACACAATGTCATCGTGATATAAGACAGGGCTCATCCACAACCATCCAGGCTTGCGTGACAATCGGCGCTAAGTTAATGGAGGCTTCAATCGGTGCTCTGAAAGAATTTCATCCGCACAGTTTTGTCGAGAAGCGAAACGCGCACAAACCTGTGCAAATCGATCCTCTGACAAAGGAAACATGAAGATCGCATTAGCTTTACGAGCTCGGAGCGTTACGCGCTTTGCTGGCGCTTCCACCCAGAAACTACCTCGTATGGTGCCTCCGAAGCCCGGTCACACCCATGTCACTGGATGATTGTGGATGAGCCCTGTCTTATATCTACTGTGCAACGGCTGAAAGGTGGGAAATTCGGGACGTGAGGTTTGGAACGTCTTAGCGTATTGATTGAGATAAACCACACAAGTTGTCGCCACGCGATCAGACCGCACCCGATGAGATCTGAGGATGTTTGCGACAAACAGGTTGAACTTGCCTTTCCGGGATTACAGAGGCGCCCAACCTCCTAGTATGGAACCGGACTTGACCACGCTATCCATACTGGCTTGTATTCTGCGACCAACGGAATCGCACGCAAACACTATCCAATACGCAATGAGCACCGAGCTTACCGGCATACCTCCCTTTTTAGCCTGCAGTATGGCGGTCTAATTCACGCTATCTCAGTGAGGAAGATTTGACTCGAAGACATACTGGGCTAGAGGTACGCACTCTAATGTGTCAGTCAGGTGAATGCACAGACTTCTCACTACGCCGATGCTGTGCACCGCATGTTCTGGTACAGGGACGCGTTGCCAGTGACTAGCACAAACTAGGAGAACTGCTACGAGGGAGCATGCTATTCAGTCCAGTCGCGTCTGCACGCCTTTGTGTCTACTATGACGTTTGCTGTGCAACTGAGATACTTCAAAACTTCCAGGCAGTCACACCGGAAGGTATTCAAGCCGGTCGCCCATGGGGCACTGCAAGCGCATCCCAGCTCCGTGACCATTGTTGTACGAATAAGGAAGTGGTCTCCCGAAATTGGCCCATCTGACTCTACTTCGATGTTATGCATCTATAGAGCACAAGTCATCCCTTCCGCATGTCAAATATCCTTTGGGACACACGGTGCCGCTAGTTGATACGGTGAGCGTGCAATGTTGCTCAGAAAGAGTGGAGCAGCCCTTGTACTAATACAGAGACGCAAGCGGCAAGCCTGTGTCCTTGCTGATCCCAGGCGGATGAGAGCTCTGTGTAATAGGTTGCGGTAGTTGTCATCCCGTTCGATACGGTGCGGCCATAACGAGTAAGCAAGATTCCGGTTGTTTAGTTGGTCGCGACTGTCAACGTGTCTATCGTCAGTTGTCAGGGAGTCATCAAACAGTCATCATATTGCAAACCGTGCTCCATCCTTGGTGAACATGCTGTATTTGGGTTCCGTCAAGGTTGGCTGTGTGCCGCAGTCAAATTCCATATTCGCAACACCATGCAACCCCATTTTCTGCTATCTAGCTCGTTCGATGTGGCGACGCGACCTCACGGACAGCTCAGGTCGGCAGGCTATAGTCCCATTTCGAATAGGCAGCTGCGCGTATGCATCTCGGTCTCGTATTCCCACTGCTGCAAGTATATTGGCGGTAATATCATTCAGAAGTGATGAAGTGCTTTTCACTCTTCCCCGTTGCTGGCCAGAGTGAGCTATCTCCGCTCCCATATCCTCTTCATTAAGCTATATCTTCCTATGACCCATTCAGTTTTCAGTAATTGCCGAGTACACTGCACCTTACGACAAGTCGGAGCTCTTCCTCGTAATAACGCCTCGTGACCCGATTGTCCTCACCTAAGCTGAGGTATGTGTGCCCTACATTCCTGCGCATGCATGCTGATCAGCGATTCTCACGGCAGGCAGTGCACGCCTCAGGCAGCTCAGCGCATTGGAATCAATGTCGCGTCAGGGTCAATGTCCATGCCGACTCGTGCTTCTGGGCTCCTCTGGCACAGCCTGAGGCCTATACGCCTGACGCCTGATTTGGGTCTGGGTTCACGCCTGCTGTAACCTGCACCATACTCGCTGGTGTGGCTTGCGTGGCATCTGCGGCGCACCGTGCGTATTGGGCGTGTGGGATGCGGAGACCGTTGTGAGGCTAATGGCAACTCTGAGACAGTCAAGAGGATAGCCCATAGGACGACATTCGTATGCTGCTTTGAACTTCTGCTCGGTCGTATCATGAGTCGCGACCTGTGCGTTGAACCTTGCCACCCGCTTGACCGATGGACGTCTGAATATTTGAATGGTGATCTGATCACAAATCCAAGGATGCACTAAAGTCGAGGCTGTTCTCATTTAGTCAAACCGGCCACATCAGCTCACGGCATATTGACCAGTATATTCACATTCAATACGCGCCATACGTAGATATGTATGCCAGCACAGGCTGTCTTGCTCTGTCACGATGATCTTGGCTAAAACATAGCCACAGCCCTCATATTCTCACTAGCACCCGATGGTCTGGACATATCCAGAAGCATTCCGCGACTGCCAGCCATATACGTCTCGTACCTCACGGCGATCCGTTCTATCTCCATCGTCTGTATTATGCAAGAAGCATCTGGTGCGGAGGTGCATCGACGGTGCTGCGATCCTAGTACAGCTAAATAATCGATCTTCCCTACACCCACCTCGCCCGGGCCGCACCAGGCGATGTGCCAAACGATGCGCCCAACGCACTTGCCGACGCGTCCAAATATTGCGTGTCCGCGGAGGGCCCGGACGCGTTGACGTGCATCATTCCTGCCGGCACAGCCCACATCCCTTCCAGAGACCGCGAGTTCACGCGGCCGTCTGTCGCCTCAGGGATCGTCGGCCCTCTATCAAGAGCTCATGGGCAATCGGGTATGGCCTGTAAGATGACAGAGTAGGATACTTGCCTCGAATGAGACGTCGACTCACATCTACTAGGTGGGGGTATATACCACCTATGGACATCCGTCTTCCCCTTTTGGAGATCGCGCGCCGTGCTTCCGCTTAGGGGATCGTACGTACAGAGGTCGAAACTTCAACATGACCAGAAGAAGCGCCGCAGCACGAAACAGGGCTTCCTACAGCACGGGCGAAGCGACTTGCGATCCATATTATTGATGCGTTCTCCGCCGTGGCGCGCGCTGCTGAAGCGATGGCCGGCGGCCGGGGAGGCCACGGCACCCCTGAGGCCTGTATATTGAGTGTCAGTGTATCCGAGTGCTGTACAGCGCGCACCGCGCAGACGCTGCCGTTCGACTCCGACGATATGTATCGTCGGGTTTGACTCGGTGACAGCGCCACCGCGGTTGGCGTGGCGGGACAATTGGCAGCGACCACAGCAAGTAAGTACCTGTAGCGGGATCTCGTAGGCGAACGTTTGAACGCTTGAACACGAGGCTACGCAGTCTGGCCCAAGCAGAGCGTTGAGGTTGGATACGTCGGCTTTGGCCGCAGGCGCACAGCCTCAGCCTCGAAGCTCGAAACTTTGCATACGGGCACTCCCCATGGCCTTGTCCACGCTGTGTCGACTTCCCGCTAGCTATCGTATACACTTGACTAGCGTAGCACTGTGCGCAGAGGGTCCCGCGATGGCTCTACCTGTGTCGCGACCACAAAGGAAGCATATTCGTTGAATGCAGACGCAGGGCGATCCGAACCTGTTCGCGGCCCGGATCCGAGCATCACTGTACAGTGCGATAAGCCTAGCAAGTGCAGGAGAACCTGATTACTGATCAGCCAACGACAAGTATAATGAAGCAGGGAAGCAGAAGGCATACGATGATCGGTTGCGTACTAATTGTGTTCCTCGATCGAAGGGCCCTACTGTCCTAATCTGATCCGTTACAGGTGAGGTACTGACAGAAGAGTACTGAGGTGGGCGACAATGCTCAGGACACACACGTAGAACTAGGAAACCATACCGTGGCAAGACTCGTGCACAGGCGAGGTGGTGGCGGTGCGTTCTGGTTGAGAGCAAGTCGTCGCGGCCGAGAGTAGGGCACGAGCGTCATGTCTGGCCTGTGGGCGTAAGTATGGCTGCTACTACTATGGCAAGGGCCAGCCGCGTAAAGATCCTGTCTGGTGCAGCATTGCAAGTGACGTCCGGCGACGTCGCTTGCACACATTCCACGCACATTTAGTCCGAAACGAGGCGTTGCGTGGACCAAGCCTCTTGGGCTGTGGCGTGTGACACGCGTGGCTGGGGATATCGGGCCCCTTGGGACCGTTGCAGCCACGACAGGACGTGAGGTATATTTCGCGCAGTGTACATGCTGTTCGCAATGAAAGTTGGTCGGGCTCACCTGAGATTTGAATGTCCAGAGACGATTGATAGACTACGTGAGACTCATCACGACGTGGATAGGCTTGCTCAGTTGCTGCGCCGGGAATCTCGTCTACGCGACTCGGCATCCTCGCCGTCGCGCACGCGGTGGACAGCAGGCACCGGCGTTCAGTCGATGGTGCTGCGCCCGCTGTTAGTCTCCCGTAGGCAGACCGCTAGGACGACGTTTTTGTGGGGAGGTTGGCTACGAGAGCATTGTTGAGCCCGTGTACGCAAATAATATTGGATGCTAAGTGGCCGGATCGGAATTACTGGGGGCTGTGCGGAGTGGATCGAGGCGGCTATCGTAGCCACAGTTCAGGCTGGCTTGTGGCAACCTCCGAGCTGGATATTGCTTGGCGTACTACATAACACTCACAGCCTGCCCCCGCATGCTTCCGCTCCTTTCTCTCAGGACGCTCCCTGCTTCTCTCTGCCGACCTTTGCTTCCCGGGAGTCGCGCTTTTTCTTGCGCCTTTTTGTCCATACTCGCTTTGTCCTACGGAGGCTGTGAGCGCTCAACGTACAGCCGTCAGCCAAACTTTAGCCCACAAAAACCACTTCCACAGGTACTCCAGTCAGGTTCCATCTCACAGCCCCGGACGCGTACGGCAGCCTGCGCTACTAGTCTGCCATTCAGGTGCGGATCATCTGAAGAAGCTTCACGGAACAATATCGAACCACCACCAGACCCAGATAATAGCCTGCACGCACTTGCACTGCACGCCGCCACAACTGTCGACCCGATTGCGCTGCGGATTTCTTTATAAACCGCACATCCAAGATGGGTACGTCGCCACGACCCCTTCCACGTTTCGCGAAACCCGAGAACTGACCCTATACCCCGCACGCCTCTAACGACCTTGTAGCCAGCACAGAAAGCCATAACCTCCACTCCGCCGAAGCCCAGACATTAGTGGCGAGCACCACCCTACCAGCCTCTCCCCTGGTACAGCGTCGCGCCACCTTCAACGACGTCACGGACTCGCGCCGCCAGTCGACACGCTCTCAGGACAATTCTAAGCGAGCATCCACGCTGCCCAACCTCACTCGAATATCGTCCCGCATGTCTATCATGAAGAAGCGTCTCTCTGCGCAGCTAGAGCCTGCTCGCCCCATAGGATCCCCACCGGGAGTATGGCAGGGAATCAAAGCAATTATCATGATGTCATGTAGGTCGAGGCGTGACGAACACCGGGGCGACGAGCTGACGATGGTTTGAACAGGGCTGAACGTTCTTTTAGTCTGCATTCCAGTATCAGTACGTGCCACCTTTGCCACCTCGTGGCGCTGTCGTATCTGACATGTTCCACCATTCAGTGGGCACTCAATTTCGCGCTCCCGCATACGGACTCCAATGATACCCTTATTTTCATCTGTGAGCACTGAACATCTATAGGAGCATTGCAGCCTCTGAGCGCGGCGTACAGTTTCTTTCCTTGCCATCATCCCACTAGCGAAGCTCCTAGCATTCGCCACCGATGAGTTGTCAATACGGGTAGGACAAACGCTCGCAGGCCTGCTCAACGCTACACTTGTGGGCATCCACCATTGTCATGCCCTTTCCACCCACTGACGCTTCTCCCAGGGCAATGCGTGCGTTACCGTGCCTTTGTGTCCTGACCCTGCCACTGACGTCCACCGGACAGCGTGGAACTCATTGTAGCTGTATGTAGCTGGTGGGCTGTGGTCCACCTTCTGTGGCTAACAACGAACTTAGATTATCGCGCTCATCCACTGCGAACTGCAGGTCGTCCAATCGTCATGTACGTGATCCCTGTCACTTTTGGCGCTGTCCCCGCATATATGACATCCTCGGGGAACCCAATCACCCTCTTCGATCGATCCACTCTTCCCATCCCCATTCGGCTTCCCTAGTGTGGTCTGATGACTGACGGTAATCCTATCCACAGTGGTCGGCTCCATCCTGAGCAATCTGCGTGAGTAGCGCCTCGTATCCACCCATCCTCGGGTGGCTGTTACGGAGACACTGACGCCCGGTATCCACAGTGCTGGTCCTGGGAATGTGCTTCTTCGCTGGCGGCGTCAAGTTCTCCGAACAGGGGTTCGGCCAGAGTGCGTGCTACATGTTTCTCACGTCTCCGTCTCCCTTCCAGACTTCTGACGGTGGTACAACTGTATCGCACCGCCTCCTTTACACGCTGCACCGCCGTGCACTTTTCGCCCCGTCTCGCCCGGAACTCCGTGGAAATGCGCGTTCGACAACACTGCAGGCGCGGTACAGCTCAACTCATCGCTCCTGACTGTGTCGGTCATCGCGGTGCTCCTCCCGGCGGCGTTCCACGAGGTCGCGGGGAGTATTATCCCGGATGACAAGGAGGGCCCGGACGTGCTCAGCTTCAGTCGTGGGGTGAGTACCGCCCCTCGCCTCATCTGCCGCGCTTCCAAAGCGTGTATGCGCATATCTAACTTTGTTCTTTCCATTTCCGTCTCCAGGCTGCCGTCATCCTTCTATTCAGTACGTATCCTCGCCCTATGCTCCGCTGCCAACTATGCCAACCAGAATGCGACACTGACATCGTGCCTTGTTTGCGCAGTCTACGGATCGTACCTCGTGTTCCAGCTCTTCTCGCACAAGGAGCTGTACGAGGACGGCGCGGATGTGTTCCGGTCGACGAATTACCCCGCGGGGCGCACGACGCTCCAGAAGCCGCGCTGGCTGCACGTCCCGGCACGCCGCCGGAACCCGAACGCGAGTGCGGAGCCGCTCACGCCGCCTGCGGCTGACAAGCAGAACTACGAGATGGCCGGCATGGCGAGCAGCCCCCGCGCGATGAGCGACGACCCCGCGACCGCGAGCCCCGCCGGCTCCGTCAGCGAGCACACCGCCCCCGACATGGAGGCGCAGAAGTCCGGCGAGGAGGAGGAGATCGAGACGCCGCTGCTCAGTGTGCCCGTGACGATTGGCTTGTTGGTTGTGGTCACGGTCCTCGTCGCCGTCACGGCGGAGTGGCTCGTCGACTCGATTGACGGTCTGACGGATAGCGGACATATCCAGAAGGAGTGGGTTGGCCTCATTCTCCTGCCGATTGTGGGCAATGCGGCGGAGCACGTCACGGCTGTCACGGTCTCGGTCAAGGACAAGCTCACGCTGAGTCTGGGTGTGGCGGTTGGCTCGAGTATCGTGAGTCGTCCATTGACGATTCTTTCGCTGTGGCTCAGAAGCTGATTTCGCCCCGCACAGCAAATCGCGCTGTTCGTCATTCCGTTCATCGTCATCCTCTCGTGGATCATTGGAAAGCCGCTGACGATGCTCTTCGACCCGTTCGAGAGCATCGTGCTCTTCCTCTCGGTCCTCGTCGTCAACTACACAGTTCAAGATGGAAAGAGCAACTGGCTCGAAGGCATGATCCTCATGTGTCTGTATCTCATCATAGCCGTCACGTTCTGGTACTATCCTGGTACGTTGCTCTGGCTGATTGTGTCGTACGTACCTCAGCCGCTTACTGTCAAATTCCCACAGGTGTTAGCATCTCACAACAGATCGCGACTCAGAGCCTGACGTGCTGAAGTGGGCGTGGCCACGGTCGTGTCTGCCACACCTCTCCTTCACTATACTCGTCGCCGGCCCATATTATTCTCCCCTTCTGGCATCTCTCGCAGTGTCGTCTAATTAAGGGTTCCTACCACTTCATAGACACGGGTTGCACGTCGCCGTTTTCTCACAGTCGCACCGTCCTAGTCTCATGTAAAGTACGACGACAGCCTCGGAACATTGAACGTATCATTGCATACCACCCTCATTGTATCATACATCTTAGTCCTACCTTATCTCCATTCTATGAATTCACGATGCTTCAGCCGCGCACGCTTTGCGTTATTCTTTCTGCGTGTCGCGCCCCTGTTTCACCTTTGCACACTTCGCAGCTTGTTGTATGGTCCTGGTCCCCTTATCCAAAATGACAATGTGAGTACAACAGCTAGCTATATACAGGATGGATATCATCTGGAATACATGAGTGAATCGCGATGTCAGAGCTTTGCTCCTCCTAAGTTGAGGTTCTTGTGACGAGATTAGAGCTTTGCCTTGAGAGTACCCTGATCCACCAATGTGGCTGCAGCCGCAGCAAGGACGACAGCGTTACGCTCCTTCACCTTCGTAGCTGTATGAGGGTTCTGGTGAGTCGCTGCGACAAGATGCAGACTAATATCACGCACTGAAGATGACTTTGCTACCCTCCTTCCACATCTCCGTGACGAGAGTCTCACCGGGATAGACGACGCCCGCAAAGCGCACCTTAATGTCACTGTACGGGCCGAATGCCTTCAGTACGTGCTTCCCGGAGATGCCGAACGAGCACAGTCCTAAGACAATGTACCTCAGCTACCGCAGACCTAGAAGCGTCGCTGCGCAGCAGACATGAGACCCGCACGCACCATGAAGGATAGGCTTGTCGAAGCCCCCGATAGCAGCGAACTCTGGTTGTATCTATGACGCCGAGCGTGAGCGGAAGCAAGCGCGGAGAGTGCGCCGGGATCCCACGTACATGGAGTGGGTTGTAATCTCCGCTGAGCCTATGGAGGTTTTGGCAATATCAGATGACCCGTTGTCCGTGGCGGGCTCACCTAGGACGTACCTGTACAATGCAGCCTGTGTCGGCAGCGTCTTTTCCTCAAGGACAGCGTCTGGCTTGCGCTGGGGCGGCGTGTTGGCAGCCGACGCTGCACCGCGATCTGCGAAACACCGTCACGCCAGCGAAAGCCGTGAGCCCGGACTCTGCGCAGTCATTGGGAGGCGGTGCAGCCGGAAGGAAGACGCACCTTTGCCTGTCCGTTTACCGCCAAAACCTCCTGCACCCCGTATGAAGACGGTCGACTGGTTCTCAAAGATCACCGTCCCAGTCGCCTTGTCCTTGGTCTCGGTTATCGAGGTCACCGCTGCGGCTTTGCCCTTGTCCAGTACCTCCAACAACCTGCACATTCCCGCGCGTGTCGTGTCAGTCATCCTACCCATGCACAGGGTTGTAGTGCTATCACCGCACTCACCGGGCTTGGTTGACAAATGTCCCGCTGGTAGGGATGGGACCCTTGATCGCCAAGTACTGTTCGCCATGGAGTAGCTTTGCCTGGCAGCGCGAGAAAGATTGAGCTGACTCGCACAGCTCCCATGCATGCACATCACGTACGGGGTTGTAATTTGGCAGCCAGTCCAACGAGATACCGCCACTCGCAGCGAACTGCGGAATGACGCCGAACGTGGGGAGAGCCACGAAGTCCTCGTCGCCCTCGAACGTCCACTGCAGCTCCTGTTCTGTCGCACCGACACCGAGGTTGTACAGAATCACGTCGCGCTCGGTGTAGCTGTAGTCGAGCGGGTCCTCTACTGTTTTCTTTGCTTCTGCTACGAGCTCGGCGTCTTCTGGATCGGCGTACGGACTGCTCGAGCTACTGCTCTCTCCGCTGTCCTCAGACTCGTTACCGAAGTTCTCCGCAATCTGCAGGCTGTCAACGAGTGCGTCACTCTAGTTCATCGGGTTTTCGCACCTGCATGAACGCCTCTTGCGTCGTCGACGGATTCGTCGCCCTACCATCGTCTTGCAAGGGCGTCAGCATGTCCCACCATCCAGCCATGAAGAGGCTCACCGAAATCAGTGATGACCTGCCACTTCGAGAATATAGCCTCCGGGGTGAGCGGCTTGTTCACCGGGAAGCCATGGCCCCCAGTGCGCTGCCAGCGAAGCTGCGCAATCCACCCCGCGGCGACCTGGAAGAGCCCGCCAGTCGTCTCCTCATTCGCCTCGCTCGACAAGAATCCCACGAGGGGCGCGATGTATTCTTCCTACACAAGCGTGGCAACAGCATCAGCACGATCAGCGTCGATCCCAATCGTAGTTGTGCGGTCCAACCTTGATCGCATCGGTGTTGCTGCCGGGCCTGAGTAGCGTCGATCGCACCGCACGCAGTAGAGGCAAACCGTCAGTCGTGGTACTGGGCGTCAGAGTGGGGTTGAAACACTGTGACATACCGGCCGAGACCAACAATGGCGCCTGCAGAGGGTAGGATGGTGTTTGCCAGGATGTTGTACTTCCTGCCTTCGATCGCAAGTGTTCGCGTGAGGCTGATGGTCGCCGCCTTGGCTGTTGCATACTGGCAATCCTCAATCAGTGAAGGCTCGGACTACTTCAAGATAGTACGAACGTTGGCAAGGCCGGGCAGTCCGTCTGCAAACAAGGTGAGTCGTGAACTTTGACAACTAGGCATCCGACTTACAAACGCCAGCTTGGGAGCCGGTTGTCACGATGCGGCCATACTTCTGCTTCTGGAAGATAGGCCAGACAGCCTTCGCGCACTTAAAGGCCGACCTATAGGGAGGTGTCAGCCTGAGTCCATACGTTCTCACGTCCACCGAGGTGCTTACCGCAGATGGACAGCCAGGACCTCATCCCACTGTTTGTCAGTCATGGATCCAAATGCATTCGGGCGCACCACTCCCGCATTCGCGACGAGAATGTGTACACCACCGAACGCATCCAGAGCTATCTTGACAATCGCATCGCCATCCTCTGCCGAGACGACAGCTGCAACCGCCTTGCCTCCCGCTGTCCAGATGCCGTAAGTAAACAATTTTCTGCGGAACCCTCTGGCAAGTATGACGTACCACCGGTAATCTCCTTCACCACGGTCTGTGCGGCCTTCTCGCTGACGTCGTTCACGACGACATTCGCACCGAGCTTAGCGAAGGTATGCGCGTACGCCCGACCGAGGCCGGCGCCGGCACCGGTGATGATGACCGTCTTGCCGTCGAAACGAACCGCCTCACCTTGCTCGTTCGAAGGGACCCTCTTGCCTGCCTCGAGGATAGCCTAAACGGACAGCGTAAGTCTCAGACAGTCGCGCAGAAATATTGGACGTACGACTGGGTCGAAGTCCGGAGTAGTAGTTGGGCTGTGTGGTGCTTCAGGGGTCGTCTCGCACAGAGCCATACCAATACAACTTACTGTTGAGGCTCCGAGTCAAAGTCCGTGATTTGTTCCCACTTGGCTTGCACCTTCGTCATTCATCAAATGTGAGTTCCGGGCAAGACAGCCGTTCCACTCGACCTACGGCAGACGGGGTGAATGTTGCATCTGTCTTGAATACGACCCCTTTGCTTCGCTCCCACCGCACCTCCGCGATAAAACCAGCGCCGACCTCGAAAATTCTGCCAGAGGCATCTATACCGTCGGGATGGGTGACGGCAGCCACGAAAGGGGCAACGAACTCGGGCTAGAGAAACACGCATACGTGAGAACTGGCACATGAAAAATGCCTACGGCTCACCTTGAGGTTTGCGAGCATTTCTGGCGGCATGATGGTCTCTGTCATAGCGGATGCAGCCATCTGAAGGAGCGATATGAGGTCATGCGCGATATACTGAGGCTTGGACTTGACGTACCGGCGCGATGACTGTGGCCTTGATCCCGTGTCTTGCGCCCTCGAGCGCGAGCGTCTTGGTGAACGCGATGAGACCCATCTTCGCAGCGCTGTAGTTCGCCTGACCAAAATTGCCTACACACGAGTTCAGCAATTCGACACGGGCCTTCGACAGAGAGTAACCACGGAAACGCACCGTAGATCCCTGCAGCGCTTGCAGTGTTGACGATTCGGCCAAATCCTTGTTTGCAGAATATAGGCCAAGCGGCTCTACTGCACGAGAAGGAACCTTTCAAGTGAACCTGCTGAATCTGGTCCCACTCCTGATCGGTCATGTTCTTGAAGCTGTCATGCCATGCACGTCAGGATACGCCTAAGAGCCATCATGGCGCGCGTACCCCTTGTCTCGCAGGATACCCGCATTGTTGATGAGGATGGTCACTCCTCCAAAGGCATCGAGCGCGGTCTTGATGACTGCAGTCCCATCTGCCACAGACGCGGTGTTGACCACGGCCTTACCACCGGCTAAACAACGCGCTGACGTTCAGATGCATTCACAGGAGTACACGGCAAGCTGTGACGCACCTTTCGTGATCTCGTCAACAACCTTCTGTGCAGCTGCCTGATTGAAGTCGTTCACCACGATGTTTGCACCTCGCGACGCGTAGAACAGCGAGTACCTGTTAGACCGCCGTGTTCAGTACACCGTGTGTACGATTGACCGCATCGTCACTCACGCCTTTCCCAGTCCACCTCCAGCTCCTGTGACAACCACTGTATGGCCTTTGAACGACAATTGAGACATGACTGGGTTTGTCCAAGAATACTCGACGCAGCGTACACCCAGGGATCGGTTGTGTGCCAGTGTGGCTTGTTCAGGCGTTATACCCCGATTGCGTCGTTGCATGTGATTCACGAGGGGATCTGACGATGACGCTCGGCGTCTGTCCCAGGCACGGGTTTTCGCCTCCGAGTCCTCGAGCCCGACATGGCCTCAGTCTTTGAGTCAAAGGGCGCGCGGCCTCGCAAGCACCTCATCGCACGCAGAAGGATGGCGGTGATAGGTTAGATAGACAAACACTTCCGAGACTTGGGCGCCCTGCGCGGATATAGTACATGTCAATGCTTTCTGTACGTATCCCACAAGCCGGGGCGAAGGTGGCTGGCCGCGATCACCCAACGAAAACACGGAACGACAACGCAAGACGGGGATCGCCACGGACACCACAAAATGACCAACAAAATGCACAAGAGAATTCAATACTGAGCGATAATAACACAAGCCGACGGCGGGGTGAAGGTATCTTTTGGGCACGACAAAGCAAAAGAGGAAGGACTGCAAACGAACGGAAAGGGGCAAACGAAGGAGGCGGCCGTGTACGTATATCTACGTCGGCGCGGCCATGGGAAGCGAGGAAAAACAAAACGACGAGGAACGATATCGGGAGCGAGAGGCGACGGCGAGAGGCATAGACAAAACAAGCATGAGAGGGCATATGCAGTCCAGTACAAACGAGTGTTTGAGTGCGAGCGTAACCGTCCGGCGACGTGATCATGAAAATGGTGGGGTGGTTGTGCGAGCTTTCAAACAAATGAAGTGGCATGTCGGGCGAAGGGGCGGGGCATCAAACCAGGACGACTTGAAGAAAGCAATGCACTGGACAAACATAGACAAGGACATGATCAAGTGGCAGGGATGTAGACTGTAGTATTCAAACACGTGTGACGATGGACTGCAGATGAGAGAGACGACGAGACAAAATAAAGTAGATCATGGAGGATGGATGAGCCTGAATGGATAGTGGAGATGATATGGTGGATGATGCGTGTGATGCCAAGCAGCTCGCCCTCGCACCATAGGCTTCCTTAGTCCTCGAGGTTCATCTGTTCCCCGGCGAGTTCTTGGTGGAGGTGGTTGTGGGCCCACTCGATGGCATACATCGACGCCTTCAGGAACTTCTTGTGCGAGTACTTCTCGCAGACGTGCTGCTTGGTGAACCCGTCCTCGACGAGCTTCTCCAAGAGCATACGGTGCCCGGGAAGAACATGCTCCTCCGTTACACCGGAGTGATAGACAAAGGCATCGTTCTATCAAACAATAGACGTCAGCGAGTCAGATCATCCCAAAGCGGTCACGTGAGAACATGGCAGTACGTGTTTGGAGAACAAAAACGTGATGGCGGCGTGTTGCGCGCCCACCACCGCGTATATGAGGCCAGACAATGGCAGCGTAGGAAAAGGACTCACCCAGTCACCACCGAGCATTCTCCTCGCAGTGTACATGCCCACCGCCGCGACCAGACTGGGCTTCACCCGCAAGAACCGGTAATCAAGCAGCGTGACCTCCGTGAGGAACTTGCTCAGCGTGCGGGTCTGGATGTCGTAGTCATCTGCCTTGCTGATTTTGCGCATCCAGCTATACGGCGAGCAATAGTGGCTGACCCTGAAGTCCAGCGTCTGAAGGACTATCCGCTCGCCCTTCAGGATCTCCTCGCGTGAGTAGCCGTTCTCCGTCATGTAGACGAACTCATCGACGGAGGGTGCAAGGATCTCCTCGTACTTGGCAGCGACGAACATCGCGGTGACGCCGACGAGCTGTAGCTTGAGCACCGAGACGATACGCTTGGTCAGGAAACGGTCGACGATGTTGACCGCGATCCAGAGCGTCTCGGGCAGCATGTGGTAGCGGAGGTGCACTTGCAATAGCCAGTCAACGAGCGTTTGACGCATCGACCAGTTAATCTCCGTCTGGCCTTCCATATACTCCGGGTTGGGCATAACATCATCCTGCAGAAGGAGTCAGTACGAGCAGAAAAGGCGACGCCACAATTACCGCTCACCTCGAGGTCGTTCATGTAGTCGAAGATGTCTTCGGCATACTCCGAAACCATAGTCATGTCAAATTCATCAACGGGGTCCTTGTAACGGTACTTGATCTCGTCGATCTCCCGTTGGTATCGTTGGGCACGCTCGGTGCTCATCTCGGGCCAGACGCGGGGAGCCTGCTCGGGCTCGTCCTCGACAGCGTCGGGCTCCATCGCCTCTGTATCGCGTTCATCGACGACATAAGCCTCGTCGTCCTCGACCTGGATGTCCTGCGTCGGGACGCCGTCCTGGTATTCGACGTCCATGTCGACTTCATCAACGTCAACATCTTCCTCGTGAACGAGGTATTCTTGTGGGACGGGAACAGGGACACGATGGGCTACGCGGGCAGGAGGATTATGGGGCCGCTGGACACGGATAGATGATGCACGAGCATGAGCCGCGGCCGGGGCATTCGGAGCAGCTCGAGTGGAAGCCAGCGGGACCCTCTGGGGACCACTGGCGAAGGTAGTGGAGGCGCTGCGCTTGATGCCAGCATCAACAACCTCCTTCTCCTTACCAATGCCATTGAGCTTGATGTTCTCCTGTAGATGATGTCAGTAATGCTGCAAAGCACCTGGCAACGGTGGAGGGGGACTCCATGAATCAGAGGATGGCCACATACCTTGCGGTTAACAGCAGTAGTAGTAACCTCGTTGAGAGCCGGACGTTGGAGAAGAGCAGCCTTGGCTGCGTGGCCTGGAGGAATAGCTACGCGAGCTGCGCCGCCGGTAATGCTAGAAGATTGGCGGACATGGCGACTCATGGCGTTTTCGTCGCCGTTGACTTTTCGTTGAGGGCCGATGCGGTTGCGCATGGGAAGCTGCAAGACAGATGTCCTTCGCTGTCAGCACTGTGCTGACAGGAAACACGATGAGGCTGACGACTCACGCGTACAGAGTGGTTTGCCATTGTTACGAAGTTGATTAAGGTTGTTCAAGTTGTCGTCGAGTGGAGACAGCGAGGGAGGCCTGGAAGCTGGCTTGCGTGGGGAGCTGAGTCGACGGAAGATGGGATACAAGAATGGGAAAGGCCCGACACGCCAGTAGATGGAAGTTGGAGAGAAGGAGAGACGCAAGCGTAGGAGACGAAGTCAGCCTATGATGCAGTGACGAGCAGGCCTTGTTCGAACCGAGATTTCAACTTGGCCTGCGACGCGTCCCCACGTGATGGCCAAACTGCGCCAAAGAACGCGCGTAGGCGCTCGTTCGCGCGCCCGTGTGCGTGACCGCGACGCGTCTCCGGACGCCCACGCGGGGTGCCCCTATTGCCCCGCATTCGCAGAGGAAGCAAATCGATGCAGTTCTGATCGCCCATGCCTATTCCTTGTGTGCTGCCTCACCGAGGGATTCCAAGTTCCTCAAGTCGCCGCGCACCCTCCGCACGGTGGCTGGCGCTGATGTCAGCCACACGAGGCGTGGTGCCGAGAACAAATCACCCATCTGCGCAACTGCCAACGACCTCGCGATACCCGGACACGAGGCCCCGAGGCCCGTACTCGCTGAGACTCAGACCGCTCACAATTCGCTCATACATGATACACGTCGGGTGGGGCTTTCGTAATTACAAAATAATCCGCGGCCCCCCGCCGTCCCTTATAGACCGGGACTCGTCGCTGAACTAGTACTGTGAACATGCCTGCGTCATACATTCCCCTCTTGCAATTGGACACTGTGATCTCCATACCTCCCACTTGTTTTCTCAGGCACGTCGCTCTGCGAGACGATAGGACAGCCAAATGACTTGATCAGAGCGTTGCCAGTCAAACATCGTCGGTGCCTGAGCTCCTCCAGAGCTCCTTTTAGTACAGGGTGCAGCAGTGTAAGCGATACGAGTGTCTGGACTGTTTCTGTGAACGACTAGAAGACGTCCGCAACACAGCGATTTCGCCGGATTTGTACCAGACAATATGATTTGATGTTCAGAGGCATCGATTGATCGGTTGCCTTCGTGAGTACTCGCTCCAGGCCAGATACACGAACACTGCAAGAGGGCGGCAGGCATATCGTCCATGGATGTAACGACACAACAGTGCGGTAGTTCCATATAGCCTGAGTGCAGGACGGTCTTCCCAGGTTTCGGTCGTTCGCCAAATGAGTTTTGTGATTATGGGTTTGATATGGTACGCGAGTCGACGACGTTGCGGAACAGTGAATCATCGTGCAATCACAAGATGCCATCAACACGTACTTAGTCATTGATCGAGAAATATGTATAGCACGGTCCGAGAAGTACGACACCCAGAGTCAAGGAGGATCGTTCGAATGTCTTGCCTGGGCTACACCCCAGCGTTGTAGCTTGCCCGCTTCCTTCCAGTCAAGTGCTAGCGAAGACGTTCGACTGTCTTTCCTCGCACCTCCAAGTCCCGTCTTGCCTGTGTGACCCTTGACGTCGAGAGGCTCGACAAGAGCACCATCGCTACTGCCGGCACGACCAAGGCTCTCACCGGGTGACCAACCTTGTTTCATGAGCAAGCGATGGCCAATGTTGGACTCAGGCAGCGGCGTCGGCGGAGCGGAGACCACAGGGGGACTAGGCGGAGGAACGCGAGTGGCGATGGCGCTCTGCGCATGGGCTGGAGTGGGCAGGACGAGGGGCACTGCCTCAGGATGGCGTGCACGGCGCAAAGCACTTCTGTCTGTGTACTGCGATTGGGGAGGATGGGACTGAGGTACGACATGGCGGGAGAGCATGTTCCGTCGGAGGTCATTCAATGCCCTCTTCGGGTCGCGTACCGGGGTTTTGTAGCTGCTTTCAGCCAATTGTGATTCGGCAGCGTCGCGTTTGCGCTTCTTGCTCGCCTCCGCCTGACGATTCGCTGTTCGGCGGTCGAACAGCGGGATCTCGTTCTCAGCAGAAGGGGAACATTCTGCGCACGGCACCTGTTCATGGATGTGGACAAGGAACGTCGTTCCGCCGACGGACAGAACGTCCAGATGCGCCAATCGACGCGGGATGCTCGCCGCTCGGGGCGCAGAGAGCCGCGTGCCTCTCTCGTCTGCCGCGGTCACATGGAGAGTAGCCTGACCACCAGCCTGTGAAGTCGAAGCAGTCGGGTCCCGACTCGACCTGAGGAAGGTACCATGCTTCGACCCCATGTCGACGACAGCCCATTCGCGGCGCTCCTCGTCCCAAAATATCGTCGCGTGCAGTTTGGATATCTCCATCTCCTTCAGGCGGATGCGTGGCGTCTCACTGCCTGGCGGTGTAGCGTCACGTCCCAGCTGGACCTCCGCATAACCGTCCAAAACAGCGAGGATCTGCCTCTTCGGGAGAGTCGCGCTGTGCTGTACGAGCAAACGCATACAGGACGTGTCAGGGTCCCCCCGAGGTGTTGGCGGACCCAACGAAGCATGGCGGAGATACGCGTCCTCGGCAGCGGTGGTAGCAGTTTGGGACGGTAGGGCCTCATACGATACCGACGACTCGGATGTTGTTTCTCCTGGCCATTCGATCTCGGGGGAATACACCACCCCAGAAGAACCTGCCTGCACTTGGTAAGTACAATAGTTGGAGAATTTCCGTCACAAGTCGAACGTGCCAGGGTCATTGATTTCGCCTTCTTCCATGCGTGCGTACATTGTTACGGGCGAGAAGGAAAGAACAAGAAACAGACCGAGCAATGGGACAAGTCGAAGCAGACGAACACGGCAGTGTGTGAGACACTGAGAGCAATGTGAGAGACGCGGGGATCATCTGACGAGCCCTCTGGTGTCACTTGTTTGTCTTACCCTCCACAATAGGTAAGTATGTTCGAGGCCAGTGGCGCGCCTCTCGTCAACCTCCCGTGGCACTCGATCTCGTACACATCACTTCTTTGTGACTCACTTTGTACGTACACAACTCGTAAGTAGGATCACTGGCGGCCGCAATACCACGAACGCGAACTCAAGTTTGCCTTTGGAATATACTCCACCTTGCTGGCCTTGCTATCCTGAGTGGAACAGAACGGAAGCCATTGAACTGGAAGCCCCGGCTCGCTGAGTGGCCCACAAGCACTAGAAGCCAAATTACACGTCATTAAGTCCCCATGGACTATTTCTCAGAGGTGCGCAATCTCAGACACGGTGGATGATGCTTCTGAGATTGTCAACCACAAAGGATCATAGTAAATTGCTGCTCAGCACAGAGTGGCTCGTCAAGATAGATTCTGAGAAATCAATTCCGTACATGCTGGTCAGTCATCAGTTGAATCTCTTGCGTCAACCACTGCGTCAGCTCAACGTGATGGTAGAAAATTTACTCCTCCACCGTGGATCTATGCTGCTATATTCTAATTACGGACACTAAGAATGTGTGGGCTGAGGGTACGCCTATCTCCGCCATACGAGACAGATTCCGAGCCGATCTCCGTAATGCACAGTCCTACAGAGCAATCAGCTGGCAAGACGCTGGAGGGACTGTAATCCTCTCCAAGCACCTTCCTTTGCAAGCGAAGAGGAAGAAGATGAATGGCGAACCGCAATCGTCGAGCTCCTTTCGTCTGCGCATTCTATCGGCGGTATCGCGGATTTGACGTTCGAAATGGTGAAGACGCACTACTCCGTGAGTGATATCACTTCACCCATAAGCCATGTCATTAATTGCTACGGTTCCGTTCTTATTACACGCCTAGGATTTAGCTTTCGAGCTAGGCAGTGACTCTTTCAAGTGGCGGTGGGAGACATGTGCCATTGGGCCAAAACAATCGGCTGAAGTCCTATCGAAGCACCTCATCATGCCGCTCATTAGCTTCACCCACCTCGCGTTCTCTTCGGCAGACCCAGTCAGTGAGCTATCGGAAGCTGATCTAGAGAAGGTTCGTCGACCTCAGTAACCGCTATTCCACGTCTTCCCCACCTTATTGACGCAATGTGGATGCCCTCATTCCCAGGCAGTCGACAAGGTCGGCAGGACAGCTCGCCGAACTGTCGATACTCACGTCAAACATGCCATATCTCGACCACGTGCGGCAACGACGCTGCGCCGTATGACTGCCATGTTCAACTTCTCTCCCGATCTTCGTCAGTGTGCCGTTCATCGGTAGCACTCAGTGGCTGACTTATACTTGTCACTGTAGCATCGATCTCCTCAGAGGCACCAAAGCCAGATCTGCGTTTGCCCTCTATCCGCCCAAAGTCACGAGCTGCTTCCAAGGCGCCGCAAAGGCTACTCTCACCTGTCCGAGCGTCCACGCCTATCGTGAGCATCTTCTCTGTGCGGCGGTCACCTTGCGCTAACACCATACATGCCGTGGCGTAGATAACTTCTCGTGCTATCTCTCCTCCTCCGAAGGCACCGCCGCCCAATCCGCTCACTCGGGCTCCCCAAGCAGTTGACGGCTCGGAGACCGAAAGCGAATCGGGTGAGGCACCGAACGCGCCCGCACCCAGTGCCAGCAGAATGGCAGAGGAGGATCATACCAGGAAAGTTCAAAGGAGTAGCACCAATCCCGCTAATTCGAAGCCTTCGACACGGGCTGCTAGCCCCAGAGCGTCTCGTCAGCACACCCCTGAAAGACGAGGTGGACCGGCGGCGGCGGCGAACCAGTCAACCGATGATTCATCTCCCCCGCATCCACCGCCATCGAAGAAGGCCAAGCGCGTCGACTCATCAGACGAGAACGACAGCGAAACTGAGCGTCGGAGACGAGTAGCGCAGATCAAGTTGCCCCAGCGCGGGGCCAGGCAGCCGATGAAACGAGGGCCAAGACGGTTCTGAGATAGATAAACCATTGCTTCATCTATTGTCTGGATCTATGCACTTACGGTTGTACGATCAGCCTATGAGAAAACCGTTGTCCACACTGTCATCCCAAGGGCAAGTGTTCGGTCTCGAGCTGAATCCAAGACATAGAGCCTGTATAGTGAATGCAGAGGGATTCGTGGCTAGAACCTGTCCGGCTGAGCGAAGGTAGAGTCTCCTGCGATGCGAGTTAGATGTAAATGACTGTCGACGGTTGCGGAGTTCCCGGCGAGCAAACTGTCTCTCACATGCGCGAAAGGGTACTGATATGATCCACGCTCATCGTCGGCGCCAGAGAGAGGGGACTAAGTACCTGCCGACACGCCCGTCTGACTTCGGGGGTGGCGTATGCTAGCCGATGACCGGGCGTCAGATTGTCCGCTGGTGTAGTTCCGGCAGCGAGGTGCTTTGATCTTCCTTCCTTCCGCTCCGTGCTCGGGCAGCCGAGTCATGGCCTGCGCACTGCTCCGTTGTCACTTAGACTACATCCATGGCGACTCACAGCGACTCACTCGTAAATTGCGCACACGAACGGGATTTGGTTCGCGAGGTACGCAAACATAAATTACAGCTACATATTACACCGCGGTGGATCACGCACACCTTCGACAAGACCAGGTCCCCCCTACGGCTAAGATGTCGATCATGCTCCAGCTATGTTACCAGCGTTTTGTTACCCTAGCCGCCAATGCTGCCTCTTTGCAGTTGTCGCAAGGTTCCTGTATGAGGTTCTGGACTCGACGATGGTCATAATAGACCTGGCGCACATAATTAGTCTCCTAAGACTCGTCAAGGGATTTTGGAAAGCCGCTTACGCTGGGACAGCCGCAGTTCTGCGCTGTATGTTTGTGTGCGGAACTAAGCTTGCAGTTTGCTTGTTTGCAATCTTGCGTAACTCCGGAGTAATATGACACGACGAAGTGCTTTGTAAGAGAGATGTTCAGGGCATGCTATAAGTGACAGTTCGTTCATAGTGCTCACCCCACACCCTCTGTGTTGGTTACCGAAGCTACGGTAGCATAGTGAGCGGATTTATATCCTCCGGAAAGGAAAGGCACCGACCATTCCTGGTAGCACATATTCCGATAGAGGTACGCGTACTATCAGCACCGAGGGGACGTCACTTTGCTCTAGCACTACTTGACGGAAGTGTTCGGAGGGATAAGGACGGCGGCATGTCCGCTGGATGCCTTTTGTATTCATGGCCAAACTCACCGATGAATTCGTAGCGTCCTTGTAAGCCGAGCACTGAGTGGCCTCATTGGCACAAGATTCCAATACAATCTGCGAGATGACGGTGGCGTTGCACGCACTATGACACACATGGTTCTTCTTCGGACGGCAGGAGTGGACCATGCCGACGTTTCCCGCATTGAGAAACCCGGCTGAGACTGAATGCTGGCGGTCAGAAGTCTCTGCCGGAGATTGCGTCGCGATAAGAATCGCCGCTTGCCCTGGAAGAGCTTATGATGGTGCTCCGGAACCGTCTGTGGTACTGCTGGACGCAAGCCCAGCGCCATCAGGTGATGGACGTCCGATGACATAGCTTCCGTGAATATGGGCCACGGTACAAGCAATTGTCATTATCGGATCGCTCATCTGTAAGCCCGGATGAGGGAGTGTACGCAGCATGAGCGAGGTTCTCGGGCGTGATCTCACGCACTCACCTCATTCGTAGCAAGAAGTGACGACGACAAACGTAGGGTGAGAGAAACGATCGGTGTGACGATTGATATTGGCTTGCGGCACTGTGGCCTACGGTGGCGGATCGCCCAATGTAGTTCTTCACGAAACAGTGAGCGCTGATCGTCTCGTTACTAGCCCACACTGATATCTTCCATGTGGCTCATGCGATATATCGATGGCAGGCCCTTTCTATCTGCAAGCTGTGTGAGCTCACGTCGAATCGTAGCATGGGAGAAAACATGTCTGGTATCCCGAGGCAGTGAAGTGGCACGGTGAACATTCAAACCGTCACTGAACCGCGGCAAACCGAGTGACATGCCACATAAAAATTGTTGGAGCAACGATAGTCTCGAAGGAGGACCTGCTCAGCGCTTGCATGCGAGTACAACGGGGGTATGAGTACTCACCGCCTTGGGAACTTGCTAATGGCTCAGCCTGGTGGGTCTGTGAGTCCACTGCACTGGCCGCAGTGGGCGATGATCAGCGCTCAGCGCTCAGCTGTGGATATTGCGACCTCCAAAACGTTCTGCGCCGGCTGTTATCATGTACTTTATCACCTGGATATCGATACAGTATTCTGAGTAGTCTCCCCCCAGTCCCAAGAACAGTGGAGGGAGGACTGAGTCGATGCTGGTGCGCATGCAGAGTCGGACTCGGAGCGGCGGCCACCGGCCACCACCCGCCACCGCAACGCCACCGCCAACTCGAGGCAATCGGCTTACCGGCTTACCGGCCCGGCCTGGGAGCTAGCGCCCGAGCGGTGGCTGCAGCAGCTCTTACTTTTGCTCGACCGTTACTTGACCGTTACCGTACCGTCTCTCGAATGAAGTCTACCTAGAAGTAGCATCATACGCCTCGGCATATATCCAAATCTTCGCATCTTTGCACAAGCACCATCTGAACATCCAAGGTCATGGCTGTAGCCAGTGAGCCTCCGAAAGCAGCGGCCAATGTGAAGGTATGTTCTCTGCGCATTCCGGTACACAGCACCTCATGCATTCGCGCATAGGATAAAACCAAAGCGAAGCAGAGGTATCTCAAAGGCAAGAAAGAGAGGCGAAAGAGGCGCAAAATTCAATCCGCACCGAATGCAGCTGCGAAGCAGGATCAGCGTCCTTCTTCTCCTCGCGAGTCTGGTTCCGAGGCAGAGGGTAGTGAGGGATCGTCGGAGGAGAGCGAGGTCGAGGAGAACGTCGTAGAGGTTCAAGAACCCGAGAAGACAGAAAAGGCACGAGAACCAAGGGTGAAGAAGGAGAAGCCGAAGGGGCAGACAGAGTCGCAGAAAGAGAAGGAGGACGCCGAGCGACCACGAAAACGGCGAAAGCTCGAGTCCACGGAGGAGAATCGTCACGAATCAGACAACGATGACGATGCACCTCCAGCATCTCCTCAACTGCGCCGCAGCTCACCAACACCACCAGCCCTCCCCGCCTTCCCCCTCCCTACGCGTCCAGACGCGCCATCAAAACAGACGCTCGCTCTCCAGGGCCTCGACAAGGCACTCATCGAGGCAGAGCTCATCGACCCTGCGAAGCTGCAAGCGTTCCCGTCTGGGTCTAGCGATGATGGGGGGACAGGCCTCAGCGAGAGGACGCGGAAGAGGCTGAAGGAGCTGGGCATAACGGAGCTGTTTGCAGGTCTGTGCAACGTCTTATGCATTATTTCGGTGGTGGGACCTCTGACTCATCGTGAACAGTACAGACGGCTGTCATTCCGTCCCTGCTCACCCCCGAATCTGTTAAGTCACTGTACTTGCCATACGATCCTCCCAGAGACCTCTGCGTCTCTGCCCCAACGGGTAGCGGAAAGACATTGGCATATGTCTTACCCATTGTCGAGGTACGGCCATACTAGGGGGTCACGAGGCATCACGACCTCACTGATCATCTTCAAGGTCCTCTCGCTACGCGTCGTTACTCGCCTACGTGCGCTCATCGTACTCCCGACGCGTGATCTTGTCACACAAGTGCGGGAAACGTTCGAGGCAGTGGCGAAAGGGCGTGGGGTGAAGGTATGCCTTTTACCAAGTCAGGACTTTTGTGCATTTGAACAAAGATGTAAACAGATCGCAACAGCAAGCGGCCAACATTCGTTCGCCCATGAGCAAACACAGCTCGTTGCTGACGGGTCTCCGGAGTGCGTATAGTGACTGTCGTCGCATCTCTGCCGCTAACCTGCGACTACGCTAGCTTACAGGGCGGCTCCAGCAAAGTCGATGTCTTGATCTGCACACCCGGCCGTTTGATCGACCATCTGAACGGCACACCGAACTTTTCCCTACAACACCTCCGTTTCCTCGTACGTCTCATCCCTACCTCACCTTCTCACGTCCATCAATGGCATACGATCCCTTAGGTCATCGATGAAGCCGACCGCCTCCTAGCCCAATCGTTCCAAGACTGGCTCGCCAAAGTCCTCTCCGCCACCCGACCACCACCCGCTCCCGAAGACTCCCCATCCCCGTCTCCCACCCCCATATCCAGCATGCCCCGCGCCGACGCGCTCGCCCCAGCGTACCTGCACCTCCTCCGCGGTGTGCCGCACGTGCGCACGGACGTCGACGAGAAGCGCGAGTCGTCCTGTCAGAAGCTGCTCTTCTCCGCGACGCTCACGCGCGACCCGGCGAAGATCGCGGCGCTGAACCTCAGGGATCCGAAGTACTTCGTCGTGCAGGGGCAGGGCAAGGACGGCGAGAAGGGCGAGGAGGGCATGATGGACTTTGCGATGGAGAAATTCAGCATGCCCGCGACGCTGTCGGTGCGTATCGCCCACTCCCTACCTCTGTGTGAATGAGACTGATGTGAGGCACGCAGGAAAACATGCTCGTCTGCGCGTCCGCAGAGAAGCCGCTCGTGCTCTTCCACCTCGTGCACGCGCACCGTGTCGTCAACGCGCTCGTCTTCACCAAGTCCGCGGAGTCGACGACGCGCCTCGTGCGGCTGTTCGAGTTCTTCGAGGGCGCGCTCGGTGCAGAGCGCGCCGTCGTCGCACAGGCGTACTCGAGCGACCTCGCGCCGGGCGAGCGCAAGACGATCCTGGAGCGGTTCAAGAATCGGGAGATCGACATGTGCGTCTTGTTTTGTGAACAGTGTGAGCTCACGCTCATGGTTATGATGTGCGGTGTACAGATTGGTGTGTTCGGATCTGATCTCGCGGGGAATCGATATAAGCCACGTCTCGCACGTAGTGAGCTACGATGCCCCGGTTGACATGCGCAAGTACGTGCACCGAGTCGGGCGGACGGCGCGTGCTGGTCGGTCTGGCGATGCGTGGACGCTCGTCGAAGAGCAGGAGGTTAGTCCGAAATTCTTTTCCTCAGGACCCGCCTCCTGGCAGGGAATGTCCGTATGATGAATCGGTTGAGCTGATGTGGTGGAATGCAGGCGCGCTACTTCAAGACGATGCTGAAGAGCGTAGACCACCTGGACAAGGTAAAACGCGTGCGGATGGGAGAGAAGGACGTCGAACCGCTGAGGCCTGCGTATGAGGTGCGGTCCCCTTTCTTCCTTTCGTTCATGCTGCATGCTGGACGTCATTTGAACTCTACAGAAAGCGCTTGCTCAGCTGAAAGACGCGTATACTCGCGGTGCCACCTGATAGACGACTTTGGTGGATGTCAGGATGGGGTTTTGTATACCCCGCAAAGACGCGGCCAGCCTGCGCACCGCAATAGCAAATACTGTGCGCGCGAAGTCCAACGTAGGTGCCGTAAGGCTGCCGTCCGCAATGCTTATGATGTCGAAGGGCCGGCCTACCATTCGTGGAAGGGTTTTGAGAAACGGTCCGCTAGTTCGCTATACGTTTTGATCCAAGCATGTTGACCCGAGATACACCAAGGGGACGGAGTCTACTGCATTGTGTCGACTCACTGACTTACCTATATAAGTTCAGGCCTCGCACTGTCCGAGTCTGTTGCCTATACTCAGTCTCGTGACAACACAGACTTGACCCTGTCCGAGTCGAGGCCGACTCACCTCTTTGCACTGTCATTAAGTATGGCTGCGACGCAGGCAGTTATCGGCGTTGCACAGCCTCCAGGACAGACTGCCGTCGAGGTACAATCTCACGCCGTGGTCGGAGGTTGCGGCGTGTGTATGGGGCCGGTTTACTTATCGGCGCGCACGGGAGACTTCGATGTGACTCGGTGTATTCCCGGGCCCCGACAGCCGCCTCGTGCGCGTCAGTGTACGCTGGTCGCTGGGGCGGCGGCGGTGCTGACAGAGGCGGTCGAGGATGCCGGCGGTGGTGGCGGCTGGTGGCGGGGTGGCTGCGACATCCACGCAGGCGATCGGAGAGGATCGATCGAGGGCGGGGATATGTATGTCAGGGGCCCCTCTTGTCAGCAAGCCGCTTTGCCGCGCAGGAGCCCCTCTGACTCCCGAGGCACCGCGCGGGACGTAATCGAGCTGCCCACAACGCTCCTCCAAATATCATATCGCCGGTCATGCCCGCCGCTTGCCTTGTTGCTGCCCTTTCCAGACCGCCTCTCGCTCTGTCTGGCTTTTTCTGCGGCGCAGACTCGACGACGACCAGGTTGCGGCGACCACTATGACATCCCAGAGACGCTTCGGAAGGTGTGCGACCTGTGTCATGCTCAGAAGGCCCGTACTTAACACGATCCACAGGTTCCTGCATGTGCCCGGTGTGCCAATAGACCCTCCCCCTCCAAAAGCCTCACTCGACGACGCAGAACTTATCCCAGAGGTAACAGCCAACTTCTATAGCATTCTCACCTTCGGCTGGATCACCGGCCTCCTCGGACTCGGTTATGCCAGACCCCTCGAAGACACGGATCTCTACAAGCTCCAAGACTCTCGGTCTTCCCAGGTGATCGCCGACAAGATCCTCGCTTCCTTCGATCGCCGCCGGGGGGCCGCAGACGAGTACAACGCCCGCCTCGCCGCTGGGGAGATCAAGCCCGGCTGGAGGTCACTCTGGTGGAGGCTCAGAGGCAGCCGGGCCGAGAGAGAGAAACAGTGGAGACAGAAGGACGGCAGGAAACGGGCAAGCCTCGCACTCGCGCTGAACGACAGCGTAGCGTGGTGGTACTGGTCCGGAGGGCTTCTCAAGCTCATCGCGGATATATCGACGACGTTAAGTCCGTTAGTGGTCAAGGTGTGTAGTCGTCTTCGCGAGTCATTTGCTAGTTCCGCAATTCCTCTCTACGTTCGCATTGGGCCGCCATTCCATCGGGTTCGTATGACACGGTGTCCTACACGCAACTCACGACACACACATCGAACGCACCTTCGTCTCCGCTACGTATACACGATTGCGAACAACACACAGTGGCGCTTAGAGCGTGCTTCTTGATTTTGAGTGATCTCAGATGATCGAGAGGGGTGTCGGTGAAACATAGGTCCAGCTTGGCGGACATACCACGTCACCATCAGCGACAAGACACACAGCGCGCTCGTTGCCACCGCAATGATCGCTCTAGCTCTACACATCATTTACAACATGCACGTTGTTTGTCCAACGGTAAACCGGGCAATCCCTGCCACTGAAGCTCGATCGCGTTCATCTTCATACCCACCTTCAAGTTTGACATTGTGCTGACAAAAAATACCAGGCATTAATCAGCTTCGGCACGACTTCGTATTAGTGAGTATGTTTGTGTAGGCTCTTCGGAAAGCATGCTCACATAGCGACAGTGCCCACCAAGCACACGCATACGACGAAATCCCTCCAATCGGGCGCGGCGTTGGACTCGCCATTGGCCTGCTTCTCATGCAAGTGGTCACCTCGCTCTGCACGCATCACTTCTTCTACCGTGCGGCGAGCACGGGCGTGCTCCTGCGGGGTGGGCTGATCACGGCGATCTACTCGCGCTCGCTGCGGCTCACGACACGCGAGCGCACGGTGCTCACGAATGGCAAGCTCGTGAACCACATCTCGACGGACGTCTCGCGCATCGACTTCTGCTGTGGGTTCATGCAGATGGGCATGACCGCGCCCGTGCAGATGGCCATCTGCCTTGTCATTCTCCTCATCAACCTTGGGCCGAGCGCACTCGCGGGCTTCGCGTTCTTCGTCCTGTGCACGCCCCTACAGACGATCGCGATGCGGCGCCTCATGCGCCTCCGCATGAAGAGCATGGGCTGGACGGATAAGCGGAGCAAGCTCCTGCAGGAGCTCCTCGGCGGGATGAAGATTATCAAGTACTTCAGCTGGGAGGTGCCGTACCTGCGCAAGGTCGAAGAGCTCCGTGGAAAGGAGATGGGGTATATCAGGAACCTGCTGCTGATTAGGAGCGCGAACAACGCGATTGCGATTAGCTTGCCGACGCTGGCGAGCGTGCTGAGCTTCATTGTGTACAGTCTTGCGGGCCACTCACTGAATGCGGCGGATATCTTCTCGAGCCTGACGTTGTTCAACTTGTTGCGGATGCCGCTCATGTTCTTGCGTGAGTCATGGGTATATGCTCCTTGCTGGACATCATACTGACTTTTGCGCTGTCACAGCTCTGGCCATCAGCTCGACTGCCGACGCCCAGAACGCCATTGAACGTTTATACGGCGTTTTCGAGGCGGAGACGGTCCATGACACGCAACTCCAGGACCCTACGCTGCCCGTTGCAGTTGACGCTGTCGACGCGTCCTTCACCTGGGAAGAACCCCCACCGGAGCCCGAGACGGCCAAGAAGACCAAGTCCGCGCTTGGCGGCTTCAAAAACAAGAAGCGCAAGAAGGGCTCACCTACACCCACCGCACCCACCTCGGGCGCACAGACCCCTCGCGTCACTGACCGCATCTTCAACATGTCGGACATCACGCTCTCGATCCCGCGCGGCCAGCTCTGCACAATTGTCGGGCCCGTCGGCTCGGGGAAGACGTCGCTCCTACAGGGCCTGATCGGCGAGATGCGGCGGACCGGCGGGCGCGTCGCGTTCAACGGGAGCATCGCGTACTGCCCGCAGAGCGCGTGGATCCAGAACGCGACGGTGCGCGAGAACATCTGCTTCGGGCGCCCGTTCGAGGAGAGGCGCTACTGGAAGGCCGTGTCCGACGCGTGCCTCGACGCGGACCTGCGGCTCCTGCCCGCGGGCGACATGACCGAGGTCGGCGAGAAGGGCATCAGCTTGAGCGGCGGCCAGAAGCAGCGCTTGAATATATGCAGGGCGATCTACGTCGGCGCGGACATCCAGATATTTGACGACCCGTTCAGCGCGCTCGACGCGCATGTCGGGCGGCACGTCTTCCAGAACGTGGTGTTGAACGCGCCGGAGGGCACCACGCGCATCCTCGTCACGCATGCGCTGCACTTTCTCCCACAGGTCGACTACATATACACCCTCGTCGACGGCCGCGTCGCCGAGCGCGGGACGTATGCGGAGCTCCTCGAGAACGGCGGGGAGTTTTCGCGGTTCGTGCGCGAGTTTGGGGCGAAGGAAAAGAGGGAAGAGCAGGAAGAGGAGGCGGTCGAGGAGGCGAGTGGGGAGAAGAAGGACAAGGACGATAAGCAGGTGGCCGTGGCTGGGAAGCCGACGATGATGCAGGCGGAGGAGCGGAACACTGGGAGTGTGAAAGGCGCGGTATATCGACAATACATGCATGCTGGAAAGGGAGAGATCTTGATCCCGCTCCTCATCCTGTCGGTCGCGCTGTTGCAAGGAACTCAGGTCATGAGCTCGTATTGGTGAGTCGTGTCGATGTGCTGCAGAAGCGAAGTAGCTGAGCCCATCGTCGCATAGGCTGGTTTATTGGGAAGAGAAGTGCGTACATTATGCAGCTCGTTATATGGGAAGATGCTGACAGAGCCTAGCAAATGGCCGTACGGATCGGGCTTTTACGTGAGTAGCCATCCTGCGCCCTAACCTTCGGGGTCTCATCACAGTGCGTACAGATGGGCATATACGCAGGCCTCGGTGTGGGCCAAGCCATATCGTTCTTCTTCATGGGCTCAGGTTTCGCCATGTTGACGTATATCGCGTCAAAGAAGCTGCATAACGTGAGTACCGCTGGGTAGTGTGCTGACAAAGTGACACTGACATGCGGAATTCGTCAGGACGCTCTGACGAGGCTTATGTATGCGCCCATGTCATTTTTCGAGACAACGGTAAGTGTCTTCGTACATGTGCTCATATGGCCTCGATCTGAAGTCAACATAGCCTCTTGGCCGGATCATGAACCGGTTCGCGAAAGGTGAGCTTACTCCTAACAATGTACCGTGTTCCACTCGCTGAAACTGCGTGCCCTAGATATCGACACTATCGACAACCTGCTTGGCGATTCGTTGCGGATGCTTGTAGCGACGCTCGCAAACATCGTTGGTGCTATTATCTTGATCGGCATCGTCATCCCGTGGTTCCTCATCGCCGTCGCCGCAATCCTCGTCTGCTACTTCTGGGCGGCGTTTTTCTACCGTGCGAGCGCTCGCGAGCTGAAGGTGAGCAGGGTTAAATCTCTGCGAAGCATGCATTCCCTAATATATGCTCGTCTGTGCAGCGATTGGACGCCATTCTCCGTTCGTCGTTATACAGCCATTTCTCGGAGTCGCTCTCCGGGTTAGCGACCATCCGCGCGTACGGCGAGACTGAGCGGTTCTTAGCAGAAAACCGAAAGCGTGTAGATATCGAGAACCGGTACGTTTTCACTTCCCTTCTGCCGATGCCCTCTCTTTATTTACCTCTACTTCTCACAGGGCCTACTGGCTGACAGTAACGAACCAGCGATGGCTCGGCATCCGGCTTGATTTCCTTGGTATCATCCTCACCTTCGTGGTGGCGATTCTGTCCGTCGCCTCGCGCTACACAATATCTCCGTCGCAGATGGGTGTCGTGTTGAGCTATATCATCAGCGTGCAGCAGGCGTTTGGATGGTTGGTACGCCAGACGGCGGAAGTGGAGAACGACTTCAACAGTGTCGAGCGCATCGTGAGTAATGTCCGTCTTCTGCTTCTGACCATACTAAGGATCCAACCGCACACAGATCTACTACGCTAACGAGCTGGAGCAAGAGTCTCCTCACCATCTCGCAGACCACACGCCGCCTGCCCCATGGCCGTCCGCCGGAGCCATCGAGTTCAACGAGATCGTGCTCAAGTACAGACCGGAGCTTCCCGCGGTGATCAAGGGCCTCTCGATGTCCATCCGTCCAGGCGAGAAGGTCGGTATCGTCGGACGAACGGGCGCGGGTAAGAGCTCGATCATGACGGCGCTGTACCGTCTAGTCGAGCTGACCTCGGGCTCGATCGTCATCGACGGTGTGGACATCTCAAGTCTCGGCCTGGAGGACCTGCGCCAGGGCCTCGCGATCATTCCTCAGGATCCCGTAAGTGCCCCGATGCAAATTTGAGAAATTTGCAAATGTCATGCTGATTCTGACGTCAAATTATAGCTGCTATGTAAGCTCTTGGATTCACGTACGATTTGCGGGATTCCATTTGACGGGGTTGACAGTTTCTGGCACGCTGCGAAGCAATCTGGACCCGTTCGGGTACCACGACGACGCGCGGCTATGGGACGCGCTGAAGCGCGCGTACTTGGTCGAGGATCGCAAACCGGGCTCGATCGACGAAACTGAGGAAAACGCGAATACTGGCAACCGATTCTCGCTCGACAGCCCCATCGAAGACGAGGGTGGCAATTTGTCCATCGGCCAGGTGAGTTTCGCTCACAGCTAAGTCCACATCCTTCGGCCCCGCACAAAAAGTGCGTATAGGAGCGGAGATCGTCGGATAGTTGGTATTACTGTGCCGCTCAACCTCGGCCGCCGTAGCCAAGATCGCGGCCGCCCTAGGCTATCTGGCTCACCCTGGCCGTTGAAGTCCGCTGCGTCCGATCTGATTCCATATCAAACCCGCTGGACTCCGTCTATGTGTGGTTGAAAGGCGCGGGGCCCTTTGATATGGACTTAACTGCAATATGAGCGGCGATACGATAATCTAATCACTATTTGCAGCGATCACTGGTTTCCCTTGCCCGCGCGCTCGTGAAAGAGTCTAAGATCCTCATTCTTGACGAGGCCACCGGTGTGTATGCTTGGCAGGGTGGAGTTCATTGCATGCTCATGTATACGTTTCCGTGCCTTTCAGCATCTGTGGATTATGAGACGGATCGGAAGATTCAGGACACGATCGCAGTCGAGTTCCGGGACAGGACGATACTGTGCATAGCCCGTAAGTTCGGGCCCTCTTCCGCGTTCCTGAACCGTCGCTGACCAACGCGGGCCTCGACCCCGTTCTCCGTGCAGACCGGTTGCGTACGATCATTGGGTACGACCGCATCTGCGTCATGGACGCCGGCGGCATCGCAGAGTTTGACACGCCTGCGAACCTGTACAAGAGGCCGGATGGTATCTTCCGCGGGATGTGCGAGCGGTCGACGATCACGCTGGAGGACATCCTGTTCGCGGCGAAGGCGAGGGTGGTGGACGACGAGAAGCGGACGTACGTCGGGACACCGGTGAGCCCACGAAGCGAGTATGACGAGAAGGTCGAATATGAAGTCGATGAGGCATGATGGCCTGTGCGGGAAAGTGCAGGCACAAAACAGATGATGATGACAACTTGTAGACGCTTAACTGTGATGAGCATTAGATTGTTGAGTAATGACACCGGGGTACCCTGTATTTTTGGTGGTGACATGGTTTCTGATGTTCGTGCGCACCCTGTGCGCACCGGCGATTGCGACGCAGACCGGGCCACGGTGGTACTGGGCCCGAGAGCAGCCCCGCGTACATATGCAGCCGGACGAGGGCGGCAACTTCACGGCCCCTATTCCCGATGGACGCGTCGCCGCCACGTCGCCCGATAAGGGAAGAGCGAGCATGTGACCGCGATGGGATGGGACGCGCCTGCTCGCGATTGGCCTGTCGATGGGCCGTCGCGCGGCCTCGGAGGCTGTCGGCTGCCATCCTGATGGCACACCTACTGGCAGTGCCTGCAATACAAGCCGCCCGCGCGACAGCGGCAACCGGGTAGTATTTATATCTCCCGCAGCCCGCAACCCACTGCAATCCACACAAACGCGCCCCTCCTCTGCCCACCATGTCCCAGGACCCCATTCTCGCGCGCATCCTCGCCAACAACGCCCAGTGGGCCGCCGACGTCGAGCGGGCCGAGCCTGGGTTCTTCGCCGAGTGCGCGAAGGGGCAGGCCCCTAAGGTGCGAGGCCGGTGAGCGTGCTCGGACAAGACTTGACGGTGTCCCCCCAGGTGCTCTGGATCGGGTGCGCCGACTCCCGCGTACCCGAGTCCGTCCTCACCGTCTCGAAGCCCGGAGATATCTTCGTCCACCGCAACGTTGCGAAGTACGTGACAGTCCCGTCCTGCCATTCTGTCTTGCCCTGACGCCTCGCGCCACGATAGTCAATTCCCCCCGGACGATGACAACACGCTGGCCGTGCTCACCTATGCAGTGCTCCACGTCGGAGTCTCGCACGTTATCATGGTTGGGCACACACAGTGTGGAGGCGCCGCTGCCTGCATTGCCGCTGCGAACGCCTCCCCTCCGGCCGGCCCCCCCTCTACGCCTCTCGACCGTTGGCTGGCGCCCCTGGTCACGATCGCGAAGGAGACGGGCCACGGTCCGGCGGAGCTCGTCGAGGCGAACGTACGCGCGGGCGTTGCGAACATTGTGGCTTCGGACGTTATGAAGAGCGCGTGGGTGCAGGGCAAGGACGTGCAGGTTCACGGCTGGGTATACGAGATCGAGAAGGGCCGCCTGAAGGACCTCAGGATCACCGTCGGCAAGAACAGCGCTTGAGCTACTTGCGCGGGCGTTCGTGTGGACCCATGTACTGTATATCCAGGAAGGGTATACCTAATGGTTTGTTGATACCGTCTAGAGAAAGATGTAACATACAGTAATGTCGTCCGAAGTTCCGTCAAAGTTTCTGACCTATTGAAACACCATCGAAGTCCCGGGCGAGAATTGTCAGTATGTGTCCAGGGTCGATACGGGTGGTAGGACGCCCGGCGAACCTCGGCTTACCACCACCTTCGGACTGGCTAGGAATAGGACTGGTCTTACGTCATTCACAGAGAAGGTTAGGTATCGGCAAGGATCGCAGCAGCAGCAGCAGCACGGCGCCGGTCGAGACACTGCAATCCGGGGAGGGCGTCAGCATTTCCTGGTCCCGTATGGCAACCATTCGCAGGCACTCACGGAACCCAATAGGATAGAACGGAAACGAACAATTCATCTCCGGCGACTAGACGAACCATGCCAACGCTGGTCCCCGCCAGTGAGAGACCGCGATGCATAGAGATCCCTGAGAGTAGTACCGATACCTAGACAGCAGTCGCTATGCCGAACGGTAGAGCCATGAGCATAGTACTATTGCGTTGACTGGGACCGTTCATCCTTCCCAAAATCCTCCCTAGGCCAAGGACACGTGTATGATCGACGCTTACCGTGAGTTACCGTTATTCGACCACGACTTGTGGAGCTTGAACTATCCGACCATGTCCGGTTCCTACTTCTTGAGGAGGAGACTCTTGAGAGACGCGATGTGACACTTCGTGCTATAAGTAGAGGCCGAAGGACAGGACGGAGAGCGATATCCATGGCCGCTTCGCGCCGTGGGCCCGAGCACAACAGCTGGTAATTCCAGCCTCCAGGCAACCTTGTCATCCAGATTCAGAGTATCAAAACGTCACCGTGACAGTAAGTTATCATACCTCAGACTTAGGCCGCGAGAGAACGAGAAGCCGTGACGCGCTCTCGCGCAGTGGAGGATATTCTCGTGGTCTGCCGTCAAGTCAAAATGCTCGCCATCCCATTCGAGGAAGTAAGTGAGGAGGCTGGAGAAGGTGGAGGACGAGGACGCGAGCTGTAAAACACGTGAGCGCGGGGAAATCACAAGCTCGCGGGGCGGGCGCCTGCGAGCGTGTGCACCGATCACCATCCGACTTTATGAACACACATCCGTTGGGGTCGCCTTGCTTCCTCTGCCTCCAGTCCTCTCTTAGAACGACCACTCGCATTCTGGTGGAAACTTGACTATTTGTATCAGAGGTCTACTTTCTACTGCCGGAAGAGCCCGCGCAAGTGCTAGTCATCACTCTCGTTACATCGAATCGGCTACTAGATTAGAGCAAGATGACATCCAAGGAGCTGAGGACGTTCACCCGCGACGAGGTCGCGCAGGTATGCTCTGAGCTCTACTTTTGCAATTACATGGGACACTCACGTGCTACTCCGCGTAGCACAACAATGAGGGTGATCTCGTAAGTAGCAGAACGTCGCTATCTGACATTGACACAGACTGAAGTTGCCTGCACCAGTGGGTCGTAATCGACTCCAAAGTCTACGACCTCACCAAATTCCGGAACCTCCACCCCGGCGGCGCATCCGTGCTCCTAGAAGAGGGCGTCCGTACGTCACCCTCCTCCCTTCATCGACCAACCCGCACTGACGAGCCGCACGCGCAGCCGGCCAGGATGCCACGGAGGTGTTCTTCAGCCTGCACCGCTACGAGGTGCTCGAGCGGCCGCAGTACAAGCGGCTGCAGGTTGGCGTCGTCCAGGGAGAGGAGCCGCGGGTCTTCCCGTCCATCAATAACGGCGCGATTAGCCAGGTGCCGTTTGCAGAGCCGACGTGGCTCGTGGAGGGGTACCATAGTCCGTACTACAGTGAGGTAAGTATGCTGCTGCGGGGCCTTGAGTGGGTAGTGCTGATAGTAAGTGCGTCGTATAGAACCACCGGAGGTTCCAGCGTGAGATCCGGAAGTTCATGGACGAGATCGTCTACCCCGATGCACAGGTCAGCGACAATGACTAGCTGAACAAGCACCTCTGGCACAACAGCTTAACGCATGCTCGTCCAGGCTCGCGAACTCGACGGCAAACGCCCCTCCCAATCCGTCGTCGACAAGATGGCGTATGTCCCTCCCCTCCCGCTCACCCACCCACCCACTGACCCACTAAACCCCGCCCAGCGCGATCGAGCTCCACGCGATGCGCTTGGGGCCCGGAAAGCACCTGCAGGGGCGCACGCTCTTCGGCGGACTCGTCAAGCCGGAGGAGTTCGACTACTTCCACGAGCTGATCATCTCGCAGGAGCTTACGCGCTGCGGCGCGCGCGGCTACGGCGACGGCATCAACTCGGGCATGGTCATCGGCCTCCCGCCGGTCCTCAACTTTGGCGCGCCGGAGTTGAAGGCGCGCGTCGTCCCCGAGGTGCTGGGCGGGAAGAAGTTCATTTGCTTGGCGGTGAGTAGTTTACGTTGTGGAGGGGAGGGGGAGGGGCTGAGTGGTGGACGATAGATCTCGGAGGCGTTTGCGGGGAGCGACGTGTTTGGGTTGCAGACGACCGCGACGAAGACGGAGGATGGGAAACACTGGATCATTACGGGTACCAAGAAGTGGATCACGAACGGAATGTGAGACGGCTCGTATATTTTTGGGTCCGTGGATAATACTGACTCTGCACGACAGGTTTGCAGACTAGTGAGTGAAAGCCTGTCCAAAGTTGTTTAGACGTCTCTGATAGCGCGTTCTACAAGCTTCACTGTCGGGTGCAAGACAGAGGTTCGTGACCTCTCAAATAAATCGCATGCCTGATTGACGCATGCTATCCAGGATGGATTCACCGTCATTCTCGTCGAACGCGGCGAAGGAGTCGAGACGAAGCCGATCAAGACGTCGTACTCACCCGCGGCAGGTACTGCGTATGTCATCTTTGACAATGTCAAGGTACCTGTGGAGAACACCCTCGGAGAGGAGGGCGGAGGCATCTTCGTTATGCTCAGGTATGCATTACCTTTGCGGCGTAGCATGCAGATGTTAATTTCATGTGAATAGCAACTTCAACCACGAACGGTGGGTGATGTGCTGCACGTCTGCGCGCGGACAGCGGTCCATTGTCGAGGAATGCATGAAGTGCGTCCCTACGTTAATATCTACTCCAAGTGAGCTAAGGACATTTGTGCTTAGGTGGACGAACCAGCGGAAAGCGTTCGGGAAGCCGCTGAACTCGCAGGCAGTCGTGCGCTCGAAGTTGGCGGCGATGATCGCGCGGACGGAGAGCGTGCAGAACTGGCTGGAGAACCTCACGTACCAGATGTGCAACATGGTATATACAACATTTTCTACATTTCTGACGGTACACGCTGACCCGTGTACAGTCGTATAGGGAGCAGGCGAACAAGCTGGCCGGGTGCGTAGTTTGCAATCCGCCGTCTTGCACGGCGCATTGACGCGGCAAATCATAGCCCCCTTGCTTTTTTGAAGATGTACAGCACGAGATCAGCACAACAGACGGCGACGGATGCCGTCCAAGTCTTCGGCGGGCGGGGAATCACGCAGACTGGTATGGGTCGTCATATCGAGCACGTAAGTGTCGCAGCGTCCTTGCACATATTATCGTGCACCCTGACGGTGCCTTGCTTAGTATCACCGTACGGTGCCGTTCGATTCGCTATTGGGAGGAGGTGAGGGATCGTGCCATTACTTGCTACTTGCTAACGAAATTATGCTGACGACTCCGCAGCGGAGGATGTCCTCGCCGATCTCGGAGTCAGGCAGGCGATGCGGAACATGCCCAAGAGCGCGCGACTGTAGAGCCGTCGATCTCTTATACATATACCTATTTTGTCCTACTGCTGTAGTCCTTTGCGGACCTTTGTCGTTGTTCTTGCTAGTCGCTGCTCTAGAATACACCAGTACTTGCCGCCGGTAAGACCGCTGCGCAGTGCCCGGGAGAGGGATGTGCACGGATCGTAATCTGGCGTGATGATTGCTTACGTTTCTCTGACTGGATCTCGTTCGATCATACGACACGACGCTTCACACCAGAGCTGACCGCACGGGGCTACGGACGGGAGATGATGACTGTATGTCCTCATCTAGTCAGGTGGCTCGCACTGTGCATTACGCAGAAACACATATGAGCCGCACTCGCTTTGAGCTGCATATATGCGCGCATCCATCCGCAGGATCTCCTCGCTGCAGTCGACGATGACCAGCCCACAGACTCTCCCGATATCTGCGCTGCCGCTGCCACCCTCAAGCCACATCCTCACCCGCAACCTCACGCCGGACCCAGAGACGTCCTCGCCCTCGGAGTTCGCCAAGGTTCTGAGGGAGGGACCGAGCGTGCAGCGGCGGTCCCGCCTGCTCGCGGACAACGCGCACTTCTCGTATGTCACACCTTGTCCGCTTCAGTTCCCGTTCCGCATCGAGCCGCCCGAAGATGGGGGTCCCGTGGAAGACAAGGTCGCGTATGTCGAGCAGTGGTTGGCCCAGCGCGAGGCGTTGAACGAGCGGCCGTCCGCGTCGTCTGCGGCGCCGAGCGTGCTGAAGAAGTACTATGCTGGGAGGAGGGACGAGCCGAGGGTGCTCGTCGCGTTGGCGGAGACTGCACTGAACGATTGCTTGCCCCACCTCGACGTCGGAGACGCGTTCAGCACGCTGGGCACGCCGTCGCTATCTGATGCTTACGGTGATGATACCAAGCCGGAACCTGCGTCCGAGGGGGCGCTCGCAGTGCGCCAGGAACTCATAGACGTCCTGGGCGGACAAGCCGTCCTCATGAACCTGGACGGCGAACAGGAGACGCAGTGGGCGCCGTGGGCACTCAGATACAGCGGGCACCAGTTCGGCACATTCGCAGGCCAACTAGGTGACGGTCGTGCCATATCCATCCGTGAGTCCTGCCTTTCCCTCGTACACACACCCGCCTGAATCCCTCCCATCATAGTATCCACCCCACACCCCTCCGACCCCGACACGACCTATGAGCTGCAGCTCAAAGGCGCAGGGCGCACGCCCTTCTCGCGGTTCGCCGACGGGCTCGCCGTCCTGCGCTCCTCGATCCGCGAGTTCCTCTGCTCCGAGGCGATGCACGCGCTGGGCATCCCGACGACGCGCGCGCTCGCGCTCGTGCAGCTCCCCGCGCTCCCTGTGCAGCGCGAGCGCCGCGAGACCGCGTGCGTCCTCACCCGCGCCGCGCCGTCGTTCGTGAGGATCGGTTCGTTCGAAGCGCTGAATCCGCCGACGGCGGGCATCGGCGTGGCGCAGCAGGAGGCGGACTGGGAGGCACTGAGGGTCCTGGGGGAGTGGGTGGGAAAGAGGGTGTTGAAGCTCGAGGGGGTGCAGTGGGGAGGGGAGGGGGAGGGTAGTAAGTGGGGAGAGAAACTGGTGCTGGAGAGCGCGAGGAGGAACGGAAAGATGGTGGCGGCCTGGCAGGCGTACGGGTTCATGCACGGAGTGATCAACACCGACAAGTGAGCCCGCCTCTCATTGATCCCCATCTTCGTCAATTGATGTCGTGGTAGCGTGTCTGTCCTTGGACTGACCATCGACTATGGTGAGCCCGCATGCGCACTCCTGTCTACTCTCCACTAACGGACCGTCTGCTTAGGTCCCTATGCCTTCATGGATGTATTCGACGCATGGCACATATGCAACCACGACGACGGCGAGGGTCGCTACGGGTACAAATGGCAGCCCAACGCGGTGTAAGTCTCCCGACACTCCCCGCAGCTTGTTTCCTCGATGCTAACCACCAACCAGTATCTTCGCCCTCCGCGCCCTAGCAACCTCACTCGCTCCTCTGATCGGCGCAGAGGCCGAGCTCGGCCACGCCGTCTCCGCCGGGTGGGCGAACGAAGACAAGATCGACGACTGGCGCAAGACCGGCACCGAGCTCGTCAAAGACGAGATGGAGCGCGTCGCGCAAGACGCCTGCGCGCAGGAGTACGGCCGGCTCATACACAAGGTACGTCTCCCCCCCATTCCCCGCCCACGCCCGTCCGACCCGCCCTGCAGCGCCTCGGCCTCCGCCGGCACGACCCCTCCGACGAGGCGGAGCTCTGCCGGCCGCTGCTCGACCTCCTCGGCGAGCACAAGTTCGACTTCCACGGGACGTTCCGCGCGCTGGGCGCCTTCCGCCCGGGCGCGGACGAGCCCGCGCAGAACGTGTTCGTCGACCGCCTCCTCGCGCTCTGCGGCACGCCCCATAACCTCGACATGGCCAAGGCGGTGGACGACTGGCGCGCGTGGCTGCGGAAGTACGGGGCGCGGATCGAGAGCGAGCGCGGGGAGTGGGGGGAGGTTGGGGATGTGGATGCGGAGAGGATGCGCGAGATGAGGGGCGCGAACCCGAGGTTTGTGTTGAGGCAGTGGGTGCTCGAGGAGGTTATCAAGCACGTGGAGCGTGATGTGGATAGCGGGAAGAGGTTGCTGGCGAAGGTGCTTCAGGTAGGATCCAATGGTTCGATAATCGCCAAGCGTGCTGACGCTGCCGCTGCACAGATGGCATGCAACCCATTCGAGCCATGGGGCGGGGAAGACCACGAAGGCGACGAAGCAACATTGGACCCTGAGCTCAAGGAAGAACGCCGGTTCTGCAGTCTCGGCGACATGAACTACCTCGGATACCAATGCAGCTGCTCCAGCTGAGCACTGTCCACCACCATCCAACGATCACACGTTGTGCACCTGTATCGCTAGCCACACATGAATATTCAGAGCGTCCCGATGTTTGGTCTGCATTGCCCATCCATACAGTATTAATACAGTACTTCCGCCTCCGCCACCTCCCGTGGACTTTCCCTTCTCTATGTCGCGCTCCCGAAGATTTGGTATCGCCTGCAGATGCTTGGGCCGACCTCGTCGTATTGCGCTTTCGTATGGCAGAAGTTGTAGAACTCCGGCTGTTCGGTGGCTAGTCAGTATGGTCGCGCGGGGTGCGATCAATGGGCCTTGACTGACCAGAGACGCGAGCAGGGATCCACCGAACCAGACGGCGTACCGTTGGCGCTTGTGGGAGATGACATCTACTTCCACACCGGACGACTGAGGGGTGCTGAGCTGCAGTCATGCATGTGGATAGCGTCTATAGGCTCACCTTGACGTGGCTTCCGCTGGCAAGCACGCTAGCATCTAGCCTGCGGTCGACTATTTGCTTGATATCACGCTTGAGACGCTGACCGAAGTGCTGGAACATTGTCGATCCTCCGGAGAGCACGATGTTCTGAAACTCGAATTGAGTGTTCGCGCTCCGTCAGTTGCGTAGGGTGCGTACCTTGTAGAGACCACGCCGGACATCAATGGGCGACTGCTGGACGACGTTGTCGACGATCTCGGGCAGAGGGGTCAGGAAGTCGGATGAGTAGATTTCGGGGTTGAAGAAGATCTCGGGAGCCAGGAACCGCTCGTAGCCAACGTCGACGGAGTATTTCTGAGACGAATCGTAGTCAGGCGCTATGCAGGCGCGCAACACAAATGACACTTACTCTGCCGGTGACCGTATGCTCACCGTCATACCGTTCAAAGTACTTGTACGGCTCCTCATCATACTTCCTGAACTCCCTGACGATATCCTGGCACACATAGCTGAAGTTCTCCTTCACCTTGCCTGCGACCTTCAGCTGGTCCTCCGGCGGGACCGCTGCCATCTCGCCGCGCTCGCGCATCAGGTTCAGCACGAACTGCGAGATGTCGCGGCCGGCGATGGGGATGTGCTTGATCGCGCTGCCGATAACGTAGCCCTCTGCGCAGGGGATGACGTGCGTGACACCATCGCCGGAGTCGATGACCGTGCCGGTAAGCGTGCGCTCGTTCACGCGGCTGGACGTCCAGGAGGCCGCGAGCGCGAGCACAGCCTGCACGGCGATGTAGAGACCCTTGATGTTGAACGACTCGAAGAAGATCTCGGCGGTCTGCTCACGATTCTCGGGTGGGTTAAGTGGAGGTTCGGTCTAGCCATCGAAGCCGGTGCTGTACGTCAGTATCGTAGCTGGTGAGCCCTCGGGTGAAGTGCACTGACCAAGAGGAAGTAATGGTCCTCAGGCTCTGCCCGGAGGTACTTGAAGATCGTCTGTTCCCAGTAACGCTCCATATGATCCCAATTCTCGATCTGACCATGGCGGATAGGGTAGTACACGCCGTAGCCTGGCGTCTGCGCGTTCGCAAGTGCCTCGTCGCCGATGAAGAAGTCGAGGTCCTCTACTCCGCGCTTGGACGCGAGATGACCTGGTCGTGGTGGAACAGCTGGCCCTGATCGTGATGCCTGTTGGACGGGGCCTCGCGTCGCAATCGCGGTAGGAAACACACTGCAGCATAGATCAGTAGCTGCATCCCCACAGCTGGTTGCGTGACTGACAATGAGGGGTCGGAGTTGCCTGCGAATCTGGAGACGCGACCGTAAGTAGCAGTTAGGGCAAGGTTCTTCTACAACATACCCGACTTTCGAGTACCCGGTCCCATTGTCGCAGATGATGGGAGCCAAGAGAGACATGACGGCGAGTACGCGTGTGTAGAGATGGAAGCAGTAATGCGGAACCGCGCAGTCCTGCGCTACGACTGCAGGTGGCGGAGACCGACAGCGTCAGATCAGCACCTTCGTACCCAATTTGGACTGTACAGCTGATATAAATGCCTTGGCACCATGAGAACAAGGGTCGGTGGCGTAGTTGGTTATCGCATCTGTCTAACATCGCGTTCACAGAAGGTCCTCAGTTCGAACCTGGGCCGACTCATCTTTTGCCAGTCGCGACTAGCTGGGCGTCCAATCGGTCTGTTTCAAGCACACTTAGACTACGATCGACCGCCACCGTGACCTTGTTCAGGCTGCCGTGATACACTGAGTCATTCCTCAACGTCTTGCCCTACACGCGTCGTGACTGCGCCTTGGACGAGGAACTGTTCTGACATGGACGCCGAACAGCCCAATTCACCCGCTGGCCAGCCTCACCTTGTCTCTCTCGTCCTGCAGTCCAAGAAAGCACTGCAACATGGTGAAGCACTGTGCTCCAAGGCCAGCGCGCTCTCCTCGGCATCAGCCCAAACCGCTGTGGATGTCATGAGCCTAGACGCGAAGGTGCAATGGATCAAGAACGCGGTCGTCGAGCAGCTGAAGGTGAGTTTGTAACGACGAACAGGGTGTCCAAGTTACCTAGACGCAGTACGATGTCAGATGGCAGCGCAAGTGGCAAAGATAATCCAGACGAAGCGAACGCAGCTAGAGATGGTCGCGCAGGTATGTCACCTTCTATTGAGCTCGTATCGAGTTCATATCATCCTTGCCTAGGGATGGGACACCCTGCGTACTCAGCGCACAGACGCGCTTGACACCATTCTCGAAACACTGGGAAGCCAAGTCGTCCCACCCGACTTCCATACTACACCCTCATCGGACGTCTCTCCGTTCGGTCTGCCTCAAGATTCAGACGAGGAGAACGATAGCGGAGGGCCGTCTGCAGACCCGCGACCGGGCACTAGCCCGACAGACACGCTCAGAAACGTCTCGCGCTATACAAAGCCGCGCGTGAACGGAGTGCAGAAGGACCGGAGTAGCTGGAAGACATTGCGAGACTTCGTGGACGAACGTGCCATAGAGGACATGCTAGATAGGGTTGACAGTGACCGTAACGCACTGGACGTAGGTCAATCTCCCGGGGACCATAGACCGTCTGCTGACTCGCTTCAACAGACGTTGTTTGCGCGAACATCTGACCAACCAGAATATCTTATGGCATCCATAGGAGCAATTGAAGACGACATGCCCGCTCAGACGTCGCTTCCACTGTTCGACAACATATTCACAGCACAGGAAGATGCCAAGGGCAATATGGCCGCGCATCTTGAGAGCCTGGCAGGCCACTATGACCAGATGACGGCAATACTGCATGACCATGAAGCTGGCGAGCAGTTCAGCGAAGAGGACATACAGGGTACGTAGCTTGTGCCGACCTCGCTGCTGTATACTCACTTGGTCGCTCAGAGATGAACAGAGACACGGAAGAGCTACCTGCTATCCTCTCTGAATTGGAGCAGAACGTGAAGGCGATAGAGGACACTCAGTACGCCTCATAATTATCGGTTCTCAATAAGACGCCATGTTAAGACTATTCCAGCGAGCAGTTGTTGACGGCCAAACGCGCAGCCGAACAACATACAGAGACACTACGACGCACGCTGGACGACCTAGACGAGCTCGGTGGCATCATGACAGACATGCTCGAGCAGCAGGAAGCAGTCGAGGTAATCCACCCTTTCCCTTCTCACACCGTATCTCATACTGAGACGTCGCAGAACGAGAGCACAGAGCACCTCAACCTTCTGCATGACCACTTGGTCACGATCGAGGATCTCCACCACCGCTACACTTCATACGAGTACGCCTACAACATGCTTCTCCTCGAGCTGGCTCGCCGGCGCCGATACCGCGAGGACGCAGAGCGATTAGTCAAGAGCATGATATCTCAGCTTGACACCATGGCCGAAGGTAGTCATCGTCTTTCTGCGTCGTGCAATCCAATATTAAATAGGCATCACAGAGGAGCTCCAGCTGCGCGAAGAGTTCAAGGCGGCTCATGGCCAGTACCTCCCGGACGACGTATGTTTGTACGTGCAGAATGCTCCGACTCGCTGGACAGTCGTCCCACAAGATGAGGAGCAAGTCGAGGTCCTTGCCGAACTGGAGAGCGATCTGCTTGAGAGGGTGAGTCTCGGGTGATCACAGCCGGTACCGCTCTCGAATCCGTCGTTCATGGTGTGTCAATAGGCCAGGTCGAGAATACGGAGGGCAGAGGGCGGTGGTCTTCAGGTCAACGGGAGTCAGTCTCTGTAGTTTCAAGTGCTGTTCCTTTGAGTGTAGCACAACCGTGAGTACACGGATGCCGCCGTACGAGATCCGAGGCATGGCTGTTATGTACATAGCTATGATATGCTCTCAAGGGCGTTCTGTACTGTCCCAAAACAATGCTAGCAGGCAACAAAATGAGTCGGCCCAGGATCGAACTGAGGACCTTCTGTGGCCCATATGTACATGAATGACTATGTTAGACAGATGCGATAACCAACTACGCCACCGACCCATGGCGACAATCTCAACATGCCTTTCTCCGAGTCCCCTCGTCAACTGCTGCTCCGCCACCGGAGACGTCACCGGAGCGGACTGTGCCAGCAGCCACCCTGTGGCTGACCTGCGATTCACTGCGACTGCGGTGTACTATGAGCATCGAGCACTTTCATTTGCATCACACTGAACGAGATGTCGTTGCTGCGTGCTACGGGGCACCATCTACGAAGAGCGACTTGTCCTCATGTTGGTAGCCTGGCGCGCCGAACAATCTCTCATGACGTCAACGACAAAGGTCCAACTGGGGTGAGCACGATACTAGGCCCTGTACGACAGAAGCGTCTCGGTCAGCGCTGATTTTGTGACTAGAGCCGCAGCGAGCACGACACGCAGCCGACTGCAGAACATCTTGCCCAGACCCCTACTGCTCAAGCGAGCAACGCCGGGTCAGCAAACACCGACAAAACGGCAGACAATGCAGAAGAACACAAGCCAGCCCGCAAGATGACTGTTGCCGAGCAGGATGCCGCGCTCATGGAGAAGTGGAAGGAGCGTCAGGGCTCGCTGGCCAACTCCGAGTTTGAAGGCGGTGAAGTGGAGGGAGGTTATCGGCGCAACGTGGTACGTACAAGTTTGGGGTGTGTGTAGGTTGGTGAAATATTGATGGTACATGGGATTACAACAGAAAGCCAACATCTTCCGGTACATATAGAGTGATAGGCGAAGCATCGACTACCCTGTATCATAGCTGAACGTTGGACCTGTATTGGTAGCCCGCCCTCTCCGCGGTGTCGTGATGTCAAGACAGTATGACAATCACCGAGTCAGATTCACAGCACAACGACTTGGTTCCATGGTGCTTGCACAACGACCGACTCGGGGTCATCGTTATACTGAGAGCCTGTTCCATCACATCCAGATTCCGCGTCAGACGAAGTCCTTCAAGAACAACACCATTCACGCACCTTCGCCGCCCTCTGCCTCACACACCCACACCTTCGCAACCGTCGGGTCATGATCGCTCGCCTGGCCGCCCTTGCTCGTCGCCCACGTATTGATATGCACATGCTCCACGGCACCACCCTTCGCCTTCACAGCGTCCGACACGAGGACATGATCGATCTCCTGCGCGTGCTGCTCGTACACGTACGTGTACCGCTCCGCGGGCGGCACCCCCGCGACCTCGTTCATGTCCGTGAGCAGCCCGTCGAAGGGCGCGAAGACGCTGCGCGTCTGGAGGAACTCGTTCATGTCACCACCGACGATGATGTGTGCCGAGGGGTCGAGTGCGAGGAGCGAGGAGACGAAGGCCTACATAGAAGGCATAAGTGTCATAAACATTGTCCAGTCTATTTCGCTTACTGCCGTTACGTTCACTTGTGCCATGCGCTGCTCGCTCTTCCCGTTGACCGGTGGCCGCGCATCTCCTTGCGCGGACGAGCTGTCCCGCTTCGAACTGTAGTGCACGTTCACAGTGTAGAACCGCTCCCCGGTGTTCGTCTGCCATGCTGCCGCGACAGGTTTACGCGCCTCCTCCCACGCTGCGTTTGTAGGATCAATACGTCCCGGGTTCAATCTGGACAGAGAATGCTATCAGAGCACAGAACAACTGAATATGCTCCATTACCGTACCTCAGAGTCACCTTGCCTTCCTCGTCGAGGACAGGTTCAGTCGCCTGCGTAGCGTTCCCAGCGTGTGAACCCGAGACCAAGGTGACCTTCTCCGGACGCCAACTTTACAACATCACACCAATTAACATCAGCGACCAAGAGGACAAAAATCATCGAGACCCACAGGTAAGCTACCCGGATATTCCCACCCGGCTGCCCGCCATCCATCCCGTCCTCCGGCGCGACGTACGCATACTCATACTGCGCCTCGTACAGACTGACACGGGCGATCGCCGCCGTGAGCCGGCTGAGTGTCTTGTCCGCGGAGACGGTCCCGTCGTCCTTCCTGCCCGAGTCGTCTTGAATCTCCTGGAGGAAGACGATGTCGGGGGCGTTGAGGTAGCTGACGATGTGGTCGGCGATCGTGGGGAGGTGCCAGGAGCGCGGGCCCATGTTCTCTACCTGCGGAGGAGGGGAGGTTCAAAACTGGGAAATGGAAGCGGAGGAAACGGAGGAAACCGACGTTGTAGTCGCCGATGGTTAGGGAGCAGGGGCTCAAGCCTGATCGGAGGGTTGCGGGTGAGGGTCGCTCGTCTGGCGTCCAGATGACTTCTGGGGCGGTGAGGGGCAGGATGTAGTAGTCGCCGAACTGCATGTATGCGCACTGAGTAGCACGTTCATGAAGTCATGGCTCGAGCATACCTGGTATGTCACGACGCCTGTGATGTCGCTCATCTCCATGCCCATATATGCGCGCGGAAGCTTGGTATTATCCAAAGGGCGGCCAATAAGGATGGCCCCGGAGTGCGCATCGGGCGGTCCTTCCGACTCTGCATCACATCCCATTAAATACTGGTAAAGACGAGTGATACCACGCACGCAGTCTCACCAGGGAAGTGAACAGTCAACCCGCCCCTCGAGTTCAGCCCCGACACCGGCCAAGCACCATACACCCACACCGCACCGTATCTATCCGGGAAGTTCGCCGCAACGGGCGACGGCACCGTAACGAGCTGCCCCTCCAAGCTCTCCCAAAAGTCCAGCCCATACAACTCAGGCCTCAGCGCATCGTTCTCCTCCTCCACCCGTGTAACGTTATTCGGGATCGCCAACCAGCCCGACCCGTCGGGGCCGTCGTCGTACCGGGAGAGCTGGCCCTTCGGCGGGGTGCGTTCCTCGCCGAGGAGGACGGGCTTGACGGGGTTGTCGTGCGAGAAGATGATGATGTCGCGGATGAGGTCGAGCTCGGTGAGCGAGAGGTCGTTCGGGCTCGAGCGGTACTCCGCGACGCGCCCAGTGAGCGAGATGTCGTCGCCGACGGAGACGCCGCGCAGCGCGTGTGGGCCGTAGATACGAAGCCCGTTCGACTCGCGTGGGTCGGAGGAGGGCACGTCTGAAATCCAGCCGCCGTAATTGTCCTAGACGATGTTCAAGCTGTGTATACGTGACTTGTAGGAGTCGGAGTGCAACACAGAAACACGGAACGAGGAAAGACCACACTAGGTGCAGGTTGTTCCTGCTCACCTAGTCTCGTCGCTCGCCGTACCTACAGGGTCTGAGTCGCCACCCGAAGCATTCGAGAGCACGTACCTTCGCGGTTAGGATGCCATACACCTCGTTGACGGTCTGCCCCTCATACGGAGATCGAAATGACTTGCCTTGGATCTCCGCAACACTGATAGCCCATGTCGCAATGGGAGACTCTGCGAGAGACAGGGCCAGAGAGAGTAGAGGCCGCCAGACTCCGAGCATGCTCGTATATGTTCGAATACTAGTTGAGGCGCTCCTCGTTGCTGTAAGACAAGCCGCGTCACCTCAGTCGTTCGAATAAAGTGCAGAGTAGGTGTTGTAACGCCCGACTGTGCTCAACAGCACATGTCTATCAGAAGAAAGGGTGTATTGTCTGCCAAAGGCGGTGGCAACCGCGCTGCAAGCCCGAGCGGCTACAACACGAACACCAGAACGTGCTTGGTACGGAAACTCACGAACTCGCTGGCAGTACCCTCGCTGCACGATTCTCCAGACGGCGGCCACGCCAGATTATTCCGAAGCTAGCGTAGATGTGTTGCACGAGCTGTGAAGCAACAGCGAGTTCGTTGCTGGTCGTCGTCGAGGACGAAGTCAATCGGCCCCGACTTTCTCGGAGCGGGACAAGGTCGGGACAGCGCACGTGCCAGTGCCCGGCGCGCCGAGTCTTACGCAGCGGCAACGGCACCTCCACCATATCCTCTGCCTCCTCATCCTCAGTTATTAGTAACTTACCTATCAACTCTGGACAACGATGAACTCACCCCGCAGCCCAATTGACCCGGCCATCTCTCTCTGCCTCGCCTGCTCCTCCTCGCTGCCCCCGCGCAAGCCCCTCGCCTCACCGCTCTCACCGAATTTCAAGCCCTCCTCAGGCTCTTCCTCCGGCGACGAGATATTCGTCACACAGTGCTGCCAACGTCCGATCTGCCCTTCATGCGTGCGCGCGAATCCCAGACTCACAAGATACAACCCATGCTTACACTGCCTCGGCGGGGTGGGCGCTGTGAGCGCACGGTCGCGCAAGTTTCCAGCGGAGGGGGAGAGGAAGGGTACGGGTGCGAAGGTGAACGTGGATGGAGCGGTGAGGGACGAGGACGTGTTCGTGCTGGGCGACGATGAGGATGATGAAGACAGTGCGAGTACGGCGTCGGACTCTCCCCCGCCTGCCACACCTCCGCCAGCCTACCGCGACGTCGCATCCCCTCTCTCCGCACCCACCACGCTCAGTCCCTCCCAATCGATTCTTCCGACATTCAAGTCAAGCGAGCCCACACACGCAGAGCCCACCGAGTCGCTGAAGCCCCCACAAGTAGACCCTTCACCGTCCACCAACACAGGCCCACAACGCTACTACATCCAGCCCACCGACACCCTCCTCGGGATCGCCCTCCGCTTCCACATCGACGCCCGCGCGCTCTGCAGACTCAACAACCTCCCTCCCTCCGCCCTCCGCACGACCCCGCACCTCCTCCACACCCGCACCTTCCTCGTCCTCCCCGCCGGCGCGCGGGGGCCCGGCTCTTCAACCGCGCCCCCAGCCGACGACGCACGGAGCGAGGGGGGCGCGGCCGTGAACCGCCCGAGCGCGGCGGACGAGGCGCGCCGCGCACGGGAGCGTGCAGAGAGCCGGTTCCGCGTCTTGACGAAGGAGGCGGACTACCGCGTCGCGAGGGCATATGTCGCCGTCGCGGGCCTCGGGGACTCAGACGCGGCCGACGCGTTCCGCGAGGACGAGATGAAGAAGGTGGGTGCAGTTGACGGCGCGGCGGACAAGTTGCGGAAGCGGCATCCTAGCTCGTCAACGGAAGGGGCGGCGGGAGGGAGCGGTGTGGAGGGCCGCGCGGTGGATCGCTACCTGGATGATGAGGAATGGGAGGAGCGGCAGCGGAGGGAGGGGAGAGGGATTGAGATCCCAGCGTTCCCGCTATTTGGAGGCGGGGCTAAGTCTGGGGACGGGAGTGGGAAGAAGACATGGTGGAGGTGGTAACAGTCGTGCTCACGAAGTCTGAGTGCCGCATCATTCGGCGGCGTGAAGTCTTTCGTGGGGATGCTGCTCGGTGCCGGATCATAGGACATGTTGTACAATGCGACTTAAGAAGCTCGGACTTGTGAGGAGTGGTAATGCTATATTGATACATGCCCGTGGTAGTATGCGATTAGAGGTCCGGCGTAGTCAGTACAAGTCTGAAGAGTACAATCGACGAGAGGGGACGGTGCAAAGACAAGGTACGAATGCAACAAGAGAATGACATCACACAACTCAGCGTCAACAGTCGTCTACGACTAGCTTCCGCGGTCAGGAAGCTCCGAGAGCCTCAGCGGGGACCAGACGTCTAATGCACCCTTCCCGGATCCCGCCAGCGCTTGCGCGATGTTCGAGGAGGCCTGTCCGGGTTCCTGGAATGCCGGCACAGACGATGATGACGTCGTTGCTTGTTGATCGTCTGCGAACTGATCTAAGGCACCTAAGGGCACCAATACGAGGTCTGCAAGGCACGGATCGGTGTGCATCTGAATTTGTGAGGGACGGCGGCGCGCTCACCTACGGACGAGCCCTTGAGGAACTGCGGGTGAGTGAGGGTCGATATGGCGGGGTCGAGCACTTCGCCGTCACATGCGAGGCGCTGTGGGCACAGGTCGTACTTCGATGTGGGGTCGAGGGAAGTACATAGGAGGCTCACCCAATACATGAGCGGGATGCAGAGCATGCCCTCTATCCGCTTCATGAGCGACATCTAGATGCAAACACCGGGTCGGTCAATCCACCGCCGTCGACGCTGCACAGCGCAGCAAGTGAACGCACCACAGTGTCGCAGCCCGTCCATGGGAGCGCGAGCACGTCCTCGCCCGCCGTGCTCGCGGCCCTGATCGCCGTCGCCGCGTGCTGGTCGTAGCCCGTCAGCTGCACGACGCAGCGTCCCTCCTCCGGCCGGAGCGTGCTCGTGTCCGACTCGGATATGCGCCGCGGCGCGCGCGAGCGCGAGCGCGTTCGGGGGCGGCGCGTGCGGCTGTATTCTGCAGCGGGCCCGGAGAGACGGAGGGTGCCGAAGGTCTGGCTGGCGGTGGGCGGGCCCGAGAAGCCTGAAAGAGTGGTGACAGTCATCCGGGCAGGGGTATGCGTACTGGGTAGGTCTAGAGGCTAAGCTGGGGATGTCTGGCCTGTACTTGCGGGAGGAAGGGCGCATATAAACGGGCGTGTGCTGGGCCCAGGCGGAGTCGGAGAGGCTGGAGCTACCAGACGGCCTCAGGCCTCAGGGGCCTCAGGGCTCAGATGCGCTGGCTGTTGCAGTGGCTGCGGGCTGCAGCTGGGAGGTGTTGTTGTTCGTGTTGGAGCTCCGGGGCGCCGTGCGCGGAGCCTAAAAGGCCCGCTTCCTGGCCCGCGACGATCGTCTGTGTGCATGCTCACTGGCAGTGCCTGCTTCTCTCCCCTTGTCGCGCGAGTCATGGCACTCCTGTACACGCATGCAGCGGTCGCCCTCCACCTCCCACTGCCAGCATCCCGCCACCAAACGCCTCGTGTGGTGCAATGCTTTCCAACGTACATTCACTTCCGGCCGGAGCCAACGTCTCTTCCACATACCCTGTGTCGCTTGGTGCCTATGGCATCTGCCTTCTGCGGCTGTCAATCGCACGCTGTGTGGGGAACCCTCTTCTTCGACAGAAGATTGCTCAGCCGCTCGTCAGATAGGCTGCAAGTCTAGTTCCTACTATCTAGCCGGCTCTTGAACACACCCTAAAACATGTCCTGAGGCCGCGCTCGCGCGACTTGAATCGGCAGGATGGAACCACGCCCAAGGTAGGTTTTAAGCGCTACAGGCCTAGAGTCGCTGCTCGAACCACTGTAACGTCGTCGGGAGTAGTGTCGCAACGGCGATGCAGAAATGACCCTTGAACGCAACTTGAATGACCCTGGAATTATTATACGCAAGCACGGTACAGTTTACAGCGTAACACATCGTCAGGCAACTCGGATTGACACACCTCACTCGCTCATGAACAGCCTCTTCAGATAGTCCGCCGCCGCCCTCCTCACCTCCTCGCCCACATCCGGGTTCGCCAGCATCTCCGTCGCCAAGCTCGCCTTCTCCTTCCTATTCAGCCCGTCCTCCTTCCTGCCCACGACCGCGCCCCCCTGCGCTGCCTGCGCGCCGATCAGCGCGCTCAGCGCCGTGATCTGCTCAACCAGCCCCTGCGTCACCGCCGTCAGCCGCTCGAGCGCCTGCACCGTCTGCGCCTGCGTCTGCTCCGCGACCGACTCGCGGTGGCTCACAGCGAACGACGGCACGGACCGCCGCGACGTGAGCGGCTGTGGCCGGCGCTCGCGCTCGGGCTGGGGCGGGAGCGGCGGTGGCGCGAGGATGCTCGCGGTATTAGTGTCGGGTGGGCGGGGGCCGTTCGTGCCCTGCGGGTTCAGTGGAGAGGCTTCAAGTGGAACAGAGTCATCGGTGTGCTGCTGAGGGTGCGGTAGTGGTGGTTGTTGCTGATGTTCCTCGGCTTCGTCCTCCTCGTCTTCATCGTCTTCGCCGTCTTGTTGGTTCGTGAGCTGTGGGTCGATACTCGCGTTGGAGTACTGCGCGGCGGTCGGGCCGTCGGGGAAAGACATCGTAGTAGGGCCGTAGTAGGGCACCGCTTGTCCAGTCCTGATTATATGCGCCAGAATGTGAGCGGCAACGGCACGGAAACAGGAAAGTAGAGAAAGACACCGCACCCATCGTCGACGTATCGTTTCTTGAAGAGTTGGTACCAGCCCTTCTGGTGCCAGTGATCGATCACCTTCACGTTGAGGTTCGCGACCGCGACGCCCGCGGCGCGCGCGTCGTCGAGCTTCTGCTCGAGGTGCACCTGGCGCGCCATCGTCGAGTCGTTGAAGTTCCCGAATGACGCAGCGCCGCTGATCGGCCCGCTCGTCCCGGGGTTGTGTGCGAGGTAGACATCGAACGCGAAGATCTGCTTGAACGTCTCGACGTTCCGATGGTAGCAGCTCTTCAGCGCGGTGAACGACTTGCGCGAGCCGAATACCTGCGTGGCGGCCTGCGCGTCATGCTCGTCAACACCGGTCGCATATACGCCGCACGGGCATAGGTAGGCTCAGCACATACGTCGCGGAAGACCGTGTTCATCTTCGACCGGAACATGTCCCAGTTCTTGTCGCTATCCAGCAGCCAATGGAACAGACTGTCCTTCTCGCCGTCCGTCCAGTGCTTCGGGCCGCCGTTCGGGCCCAAGTCCGCCTCGTCGCGCTCGATCCCGTCGAGCCCGCTCCCGACCGGCACGTACTGCCGCCGCTTGCGCGGGCCCGTCGTCGACCCCGCCGCGTCCTCGCCCTTGCGCTTCGACGGCCCGGGCGTCGGCGTGTGCGGCACGCGCGGGCTCTGCTCCGCGGGCGGCGGGAGCACGGACGCGTTTGGGTGCGCGGGCGGCGAGTGGAAGGGCACGGGGAGGACGTTCGCGCCGAGCAGCGAGGAGCTGCCGTAGGGAACGACGTTGCCGGAGTAGATTTGGCTGCCCGGGTAGGGCACCGGGGACGCGGGGCTGTACGAGCCCGTATGAGACTACGCGATGAAGATCCAATATTCAGCGTCGGATTGCAGCGCGAAGATGGTGGGACGGCGCACCTGGATCCCCTCGCCACTTGGAGATTGATTCATGCGCTGTCCGTTCGAAGGCCCGGCACCGTAGTGCGCATTCACGTCGGGCCTCCCAATGTCATGCGATCTATCAAAACAAAGAAGATGCTCCGGTTCAGCATCATTATGCGGGGCGTATTGAAGATAGAGACTTGCACTTGGGCCATGTCGGGCGGTGTGCTTCGCCAGACCGGTTCGTCTGTGTAGCTGGCTCCGAGTCGGTGTGCGAGCCTGATGGAAGATCGGACGGGCGCTCGTGAGCAGAAGGTTGTTTGGTTCGGTTTGGCCGCACGCAGACAGAGAACACGCGTGACGTCAGTCCGGCGTGCTGGCCTGGTGAGCCGGCGCCACATGAGTGATTCGACTCGGAGGCAGAGGCGGGAGATGGTACATAGCGGGATAGTTATAATGCATACTATGTATATCCTCTGTACATTCGTGTGTGCGCCTACGTATAGCAAGCAATATGGACAGGGAAAGCTGATGGCAATAAAGATCAGAGGTAAAGAAATCGCCTATCTTACGGGAATCCAATCGCGCGACCCATGCCAGACGGTACTTGTACAACACGAGCTTGACCGAGGCCAGCCCCTTTCGTACACAGTCATTTCGTTTCGTTCGGTCCCTGACGCCGATGGGCTTGAGTCGCGCCGCGGATGCCATCGCCCACTCCTACTTCCAAGGCTGCATGTGGAACGGCACCGGCGGGTCGCGGTTGGTAGTCGAATCCCTGCGAACAGCAGGACGTCATCGCTCGTTATCCCTCGCATGTCGAGGGCACCCTTACGCGCCATCCCTCCTTCCTGTCCCGTTCACGCCCGGGCGATACATGTATGGATGCGAGGCCGCGACGTTACCATGCGACGACGCCGGACGCGAAGTCGCGGCGGCGCCATATGGGGTCGTGTTGGACGCGCTCGCCGCAGCGTACGAGGTCGTCGTCGATGTGCCGGCGCTCGTGCCGTACGACGCTCGTTGTGTTGGGGGAGGGCGGTAATAAGACGTGTTGCGCTGGTCTATTTGGGCGGCAGTGAGGACTGGCGAAGGTGTATTCGCGGCCACTGTGGGCATAGGCCAGGGCAGATTTGACGACACCGGCGACGGAATTGTCGTAGTGCGCGCTGGGGCTATGGTAGCTGGCGTCGTGGTGGATGACGGAGGTCGTTGCGGAGGTAATGCCGGAGACGCATGCGTCGATACGGGAGTGGTCGTCGTCGCTGACGGTGCTATTGTCGTCTGACTGTGCGTAGGCTGTGAGTGAGATGTTTGCACATGCGGTGGCTGACTATGCGACGGTTGGCTATGTACAGCCTGTTGAGTATGCGCGGGTTGTGCAAGTGTAGGTTGCATACGGCTTTGCGTATGTGTCGTTGGGACATGTGCCGACTGAACGTGGGCATTGTGACTCTGAGTACTTGTCGAGGCCGCTGGTGCAGCGCTGGCAGCTGCGTGAGAAGCGGGTGTTGGTGTGTGATCATTCGTCTCGTTCGCGCCTGCCTCTGCCTCACGCTTGCGCTTCGTAGCACGAGTTGTGCTCTCTTTCAGACCGAGCGCCGTAGCCCTCAGCAAAATCTGATGCCTTCAAGAAGGTGAGGTTGAATATGTCGTGAAAGGGGAACAACGTACCTCGTCCTGCTGTTTCCCCATTGTTGTACCACCCAGTCCCATTCGATCTCACCCTTGTTCTGCGGTCCGCCCTGTTCCCTGCTCTGTTCTGCAAGCCTCCTTAAGCGGTCTTCCTCCTCTGCAGACCACGAACCCTGTTGCCCCACTGAGGAAGAGGACGCCGAAGCAGATGGCTGCGCTGCACTGAAGGTAGAAGTACTAGAGGCAGGTGCCGCAGCGGTAGGTGCAGGAGCGCTTGGTGCCGCACTCGCTGGGGCACTCGCTGGAGCTGGGGTAGCTGGAGGAGGATAATACGACGCGTGTGGTTGCGTGGGATATGAGTAATACGGGGCCGTCGGGTAGCGTGCTGCCGCGTAGACCCCAGAGTAGTAGGGATTCGGTGCAGCGTGCGCAGGCGGTGGCATGCTGGTACCTAGAGGCATCACGAACGACTGAGGATTGGTAATAACAGACCCACTAGCTGGTGTGCTGCTGTTGGAAGGGGAAGCAGTCGTGGCTGGCGGGGCGGGAGGCACATAAGGGGTAGAGTAGGACGACGGATAAGGATACGCTGGTGGTGGTTGCTGCCCGACGAGCTGACTGGGGTTGGCGAGCTGGGTGCGGCATAAGGCGACGAAGCAGCCAATGGACGAGAGTGGCTTACAAGGTTATCGCAGACACGTTTCGCGTCCGCGATCATGGCTAAGGGGTCGATTCGCGCACCAGGGCCCATTTGATAGCATTGCGAGATGACTACAGGGGACGCAGCTTTCTATGAAGGATCGGGTGAGGAAAGAAGGGCACATAATGAACGCGCGTGACAAGTACTGACGACAAGTTCCTCTGCAGCATTGTAGAACTCTGAGCATAGGTTCAACGCACGCCATTGGAATTCGTAGAACTGCTGATTCGGGTTCACTGCGCTAGCTGGGGCGGGTGGATACTGGTAGAATCCAGGGTGATGGGAGTTCAATGGCGCCTTCGGGGCTGGCGGGGTGACATTGGCCGTCTTGGGTTTGCGATTGCGAGAGCCCCTTGGTCGCCCGGGTTTGCGCTTTGCGGCATCATCACCGTCAGCGCCGGACTGGCTTTGTGCTTGCAGCACTACTTCCTGCCTGTTGACAGTGGAGGCAGACATAGCAGCACTTCAGCCACATCGTCAGTGCGGAAGGCTCGGTGAGACACTCGACACTCACGCAGCGGACGCCGACTGTGCAGCATGGTGTGGTGAATGAGTAGGATGCTGCGAATGATCCGGGTCGTTGCGGTCGAGTTCGTCCTCTACAACGTCCTCCTCGTCATCCTCCTCCTCTTCCTCCTCCCGATTGGTGTGACCGACACCATTGGAGGCAGCTGTGTGTGCATGTGCACCGTAGGCTGCGTATTGTGGTTGCTGAGGGGAGTGGTGGGCAGCGAGGGGAGGATGAAGAGCGTGCGACAGGGGCTGATAAAACTGCGGATTGTCCATTCCTATTTTCAAGAAATAGATGCGGGATGTTGGGTATCTGTAACGCTGGGCGAGCAGGAGACCGAACCGTCGTGCAAGAAGAACAAAGAAAACCCGTGGGAAAGCGGTCGCGTCTCGACGTCTGGGTTACAAACGAATCAGCCACGGCCCGCTGCGCATGCCTTTGTGCACAAAATCAGCCATCGGGATTCGTAGGGGATAGGCTCATGTATTGACTGGCATCGCAGGGCAGCGAGATAGCTGTATATAATATCTGCAGCTTTGCGGAGTGAGCAGCTCGGCCAGAGCGGTTCAGCGGCGACAAACACCGGCAACGCGAGCGGCGAGCCCAGAGTGCGTGACGACCCCGTTACGCGCCGTGACACCGCGTGGACGAGTCACGAAGACGGACGAAACGCCGGGGCCGCCAAGTTGGCCCGCTTAGCTCTGACCGCCACCACAGCTTCCTCTTCCGAGCACGTCCACCCGCCACACCGCGACGAACCACCGCCGCCCGTCTGAGAGACACCTGCAGACACTCATAAGCCACAGGACCTCACACCTTGTCTCGGACCACCATCTACTCGGTCGCAAGACCCTGACTCGAACTTCCATGTATTCCGACACCATACCTGCCTCCGGCAGTCGCAACATCGCCGCCAACGCGTTTCGCAGCGCAGGCATCCTCGACCGGGACGAACGCATGCGTGACGTCTCAGACAAACCAGGCGGCCGCAAAGGTGCCCAGAAGACTTCACACAAGGCGCGAACCTCCCACCGGCCGCGCGCAATAGACGCGCTCACTGGCAAGGACAAGGCTGCCACTTCGTCTCGTACAGCTATGGTAAATAAACCGATTGTCTTACACTCATACACCCCTAGTGACGGCTAGATCTCGCCACACCTGTGACGACGTCTGCTGTGCTCTTGTTTGAATGCGTCGCGCTTACTTTGTTCATTCTGGTTCACCCTTCGCGTCGGCCCCTATCCGTGTGGATCAAAGCTCGCGTCTCGGCTAGCTTCGGGCGATTCTTTGGCAATACGCGGTGCGGCGAAGGGACCAATGAGCCGTGTTCGCAGGAATGCCGTTTCGAATGGCGCCACCGCCGAAAGCTCGGGCATCGTCGAGAAATGGAAGGAGTTTGTGAAGAAAAGATGGAACGCAGAGGCGAAATTCCTTAACTTGGAGGTCAGTTTTTGACTTGCAGTGTACGTAGACTTTAATTTTTAACCTCTTATTAGCGTGTGGCGGAAGATGAATACGTGCAGAGAAATCGTATGTGGGTGCAAGGCAGTGCGGAGAAGGAGTTGTCTGTCATGTTTAAGCTTGCGTCTGTTCTCTACCCGGAGGTTTGTGACATCATATACTTGTCCCCACTACGAATGGACTGAATCTGCGCAGGTGCAAACGATATCCCTGGGATACAACAACTTCATCACCGGCAAGGTGCTCTCGCGCCTGTCGCATTATCTCCCCAATCTGGTCAATTTGTCACTGCAAGGCAACAGACTGGCAACATGGAGGGACCTGGATTACATTTCTGGGAAGAAAGGCCGTTTGACACAGCTGCGAGAGTTGATCCTCCTGGACAACCCGCTTCGGAAAGCTGAGTTCGAGAAGGATAACGGGGAGCGGTACAAGAGGTCAGTTGCTGACTCTTGACCAGTGACCTAACGACTTATGATCTGAACAGCGAAGTCGCGCGTCGACTACCTTCGCTTGACATGCTTGACATGGAACCCATCCCCAAGATTGCCTTCGACGTACCTCATACTTCCACATCACACGCCACGCCTACTGGCCCGGCACCAACCACCTTCCCCGTTGAGATGGGTGAACCATTCATAACCGGAGTAGATGGAGCACTTCTCAGTAATTTCCTCATGCGGTATGTACTCTCGATATTTTACTGTTAGTAGCCGCTCTAAACCCTATGGATGCAGCTTCTTTCCTCTATTCGACAATCAGCGCACAGCACTCATGGACGTCTACCACCCGGCCGCCACCTTCTCGTACTCCGCCAATACAAGTATTCCTATCCGTGCACGAATAGAAGGCCACCGATCCTCCAAAGAGATGCCCCATCAACGAAAACAGGAATGGACGCGATGGGGTATCGGGAGGGGCCAAGGCTCCCGCAATCTCAATCGGTTGGCTGGAGGCTCCGTGGATAAAATAGTGAACTCCTTGCATGTCGGAAATGAGGAGATCGTTAAAGCGATGGCGGAGCTACCCACAACGAAGCATGATGTGGCGGGTTCGCCGCAGAAGTTCTGCATCGACGCTTGGCCGGTACAGCAAGGCGATTCCCCTCAACTCTTCGTGACCATACACGGTCAATTCGAAGAAGGTGCGTCCCTCTCATTTGCTTAGCTTCCGTTCTACCGCCGACGTTTACGTTCATATCAGAACCAACACATTGCGTCATGTCTTTTGACCGCTCTTTCATTCTTGCCCCTGCGCCCAATGGTACCAGGTATGTGATAAACTTGACACGTGTATCGCCGGATGCTTGACTTCGTTCGATTCAGAGCCAAGCAGAGTGGCTGGGACATCGTGATCCTTTCGGATATGTTGGTTGTCCGGCAATATTCGAGCCACGAAGCATGGCGGCCGGGGCCAATGCGTGTTCAAGCGGGTGATCCCCTTCCCCCCACGCCTACGGGTCTTCCGACCATGCAATCACCGGCTTCGCTGCAGGAGATGTTGGCCGCAATGGTGAGTGTTCTAGTTTGTTGACGGTAGCCGCCCGCCATTGCGCCGGCTCGGCGACACCATCTCCTTGAGTTATTTCTTACGTCTTTGAAACCCACAGCCGGAACCACAGCGATCTCTCGTGATGCAGATATGTCAACGCACGAGTCTCAACATCGAATATGCTGTGCAGTGCCTCGAGGGAAATGCATGGGACGTTGAACGTGCTGTTGCCAATTTCGAGCAGGTAAAGGTGCGTGATTTTGAGATCGGTTGAGCGTGCAGATCGATTGATCTTCGTGTCTGATACTTACATCATAGGGTACACTGTCTCGAGAAGCATTCCTGTAACTCCTCGCGCGCGCCTCGTGTGTACCGACGCCGACTATGCTCGGAGCTATCGCGCCGTTACCGATCGTCCGATGCCGACTAGTCCGTCGTCGGTCACTTGGTTCTCGCCAATGCATGGACTTGTGATCCCGGTCATGGGGAAATATTATGTAGTACGGGTTGGTCGCGTTTATCATATCAGCTAGTCTTTTCCATCATATCACCCACATCATCCGAATGTATCCTACTGCAGTACACCGCATCCTCATCTCGCTTGCACGTACCTCTTGTTATAGCAGCATAGGCATCGTTTCTCCCGTGTATACAGATGCAAAACAAGCTCGAACGTCGCAGCATTGTCGCTCTCACCTGGCTGTCATTGTACTGAGGCCGTTGTGCGGACAGTGCGAAGCTTCCATCCTTGAGCCTGCCAAACAGAGACCGTGAGAGCGCAGGACAGCCAAGCGTCCAGGTGTTTGTGCAGCGCTGCCGCTGTTCACCAAACACTGACCTGCTAGTCGCTGCCGACCATCGCCCAGAGCCCCTTTGTTCGTCCACGTTGCCGTACTGCCGTAAGCAGACCGCGTACTATCCCAACTCGAGCGGGCAGGCTGTGACAATATGTTGATGGACTTGATCATCTCGATGCACTGTTCTCGAAGTCAAAACTTCGCGTAAACGCCGCCTCGAGGCAGAACTGTATCCTCCTTCGGAGAGAAACAACCAAACGTACGGAATGTACCGTCTGATCCATTCTAGTGCCTCGTGTGTAAGCTGTCCGTGGCATGCGCATGCAGTCTTATATGGACGACACGGCACCCGCTCTCGCTCCGTCTCGTATTCTCCGGAAGAGCTCCGATCCCGTCTGGCTCTCCTGGTCTCTCGTACTTGCCTCCGCGGGTTGTTTGGTGGTGCTGGAGGATGGCAGAAGCGGGACACGGTCGACAATCTACTCTTGTGCCTATGCCGCTACTCGATGCTGCAGCGCGCGCCGACGTCGACGCAGTTAGGGCGGCCATTCAGTCCGGCGCGGATGTGAACGCGTTGGATCCCGAAGGATGGACCTCTGTTGCGTGCGCGATTGCGGGGAGGAGGTAAGTGTACGTGATCTGGAGTTGCCCTAGCTGCTCACAGGCACTTCATTGAGCAGCTGGGAGAACGTCGATGTGTCGGACGCGTCGTTCAAGCTGGAGGAACGCGTCGAGATTCTCCAGATGTTGTTGGACCACGAGGACATCTCCTTGTTTACTCTGAACTCGCCTGTGCTCGGGGTTTCCCCCCTCTGTCTTGCAGCCTGGCTGGACATACCGCAGATGGTACGACTCCTCCTGGAGGGTAGCCGTGGCATGATTCCAGTCAACGGCATGGACAACTTTGGGGCCACGCCGTTAATGTGTAAGCATGCGTCTTTAATCTCCGAGTCTAGTCCTTTGACGCCACCACATATAGATGCTGCGAGGGATCATAGCATTGAGGTCGTCGAGTACTTGGTGAGTTCAGCGAGTGCATCACATAGGCTCGAAAGCTTAACTATCGGAAAGCTTGCCAATAGTGCTAGACCCGACTATCGAGATATCAACCACCGATCTTCAATACAACATGCCCTACGACACCCACACATCCTCTGGTGCTGCGAGCACTCCTTGCGGCGTTATCGAATCCAGGAGGACATGGTGCGGTCACAACTCACTTCAAGCCGCTCCTTCCCTGATTGTTGTCTTCAGTTCATAAACACTAAACACCTCGCGATCCTACCCCCGCCGTTCATTGACCGTCTAATCGCCACTCCCGCCACGCCGAAGACATTTTGCTTGCCGATGCACTCGTTACGACACTATTCCCAGCGCACTGAATTTCTGGTGCAGGCTGTCATCGTTGGCGATTTCGCCCGTCTCCACACCATGCTCTTTTCCCATGCCCAGTGCCTCACCCTTGGATCGGATCCGACGCTGCCACAGTATCTAGTGAACCTCCCTGACGCAACCGGATGGAGTCCCATCCACTACTGTGTCTCCGTGGAACATCCGTCTGTTGAGGTTTTAGACATCCTTTATCGCGCGGGCGCAGACGTCAACCTGTACACGACGTCTGGGCACGAGACCCCTCTACATTGTCTTGCCTACAAAGCGCGGCCGCCCAAGACGCCGGACCAAATTGCGTCTCTACGATCGTTCATCCTCCATCTTGTCCGCGATCTCCATGCGCCACTATCTGCCAGAGATCACAACATGGACACTTGTCTGCACGTTGCAGCTGAGCACGGACGAAGTATCGAACTCGTGACGGCGCTACTAGCTGCTGATTCCGCGGGCACGCTTCGCGATTTACGCAACACACGAGGGTGCGTGGCTATGCAGATCACACACGCAGTATACATCGACTGACGGCATTTGAGCTAGACTCACAGCACTAGACGTCGCGAAGCCCGACATGCGCGTTGCTTTTGGCTTTGACGAAGAGAACGCCCGACCAGTGTCGTCTGCTTCTATGCGTACTGTAAGGCCGTCTACATCGGATTCGGTGAAGTCGATGCCTCCCTTAACAATCCGAACGACGGATCCCACGTTCGGCCAAGATCTCCCGCTTCCGGCCCATGTGCCGCTGCCAGAGGCCGACTGGATTGCCCTGTCCTACACCGTTCTCGATTGTCTGCAGTCAATGTCAACAGACGCGGTCGGCGCAAGTTCCCTTGACTTGACCGCACGCGCCGGTATGTTGCAAGAGGTCACAGTCATGCGCGATACTCTGCTTGGGTCACTTCGGATACGCGTCCGGGAGACAATCGAGGAGCTGCACGATGCCCGCCGGGCCTTTCAGCAAGCTTTCGGCCTATACAGGGGCGTCCACAAGGCTTCCGAGCGGCTCATCGGCGACGGCGTGCAGGACGCGAGACCCAGTCAGGACTCGGACCATATCAGGAGGCGGACGACCGATTCCAATGACTCCGAACTCACCGCTGTCTCAGAAGCCAGCTATGTCTTGATCAACCGGAAGGCGCGTTCAATGTCAGACCTTAGAGCCTCGCAGCAGGCGCACGCGCTCAAGATACCCATTCCTATGATACCCCGACTACCTCCGACCAGCCCTAGACGCAGCACCACAGTGAAGTACCATCCCGCCACACCAAGTCGCACCGGAACTGCCAGCGCAACGGGGCGAAGTGGGCGGAGCGGATCGTGCACCGTACCGACGGGCACTCCGAAGGAACCCCCGCGCAAGCGGAGTACCACCGTCGGCGAGTCCAACCTCGCGCGTATACCTACGTCTCCGAGCAAGGTGTCTTTGACGAGTAGCACGGCGAAGGTCAAGGCGTGGCTGATCAACAAGATCAGACCAGGCACCCCGCGTCCGGATGCTATCCCCGAGGACGGTCGTCTTTCCAGGTCCTCTCGCGTCGATCACGATGATGGATCGAGCTCGGACGGCGATGACTCCGATACCGAGTCTGACAGGATCAGGCGCGTCCTCGCCTGCCAGAAGGGTCTTACCGCGGCACGACGAGATCTGCATCGTATCGAAGGTCGTCTGGAGGCGGTAAGCAATGTGCTGGTCTCACCTATTCTGAGCATCGTGCCTGACGATGAGATTAGGCAGAGCAGTTCCTCGTGAATGCTAATCGCTCGATCTCGAAAGCGGAACAGAGGATCAACAAAGCGATCTCCGTACGTGTGCTCCATACTGCGCTTGGTGATGACATTCATCGGTCGATCCAGGTGAGAAAGGCCTCTCTCGATTCTGACCGGCTGTCTTCTGAGGCTACTCCCTTCGCGTTCCAGTCGTTCCTCGATTTCCCTTCTGCAGACTCTACGGGAGACGGCGCTGGGAAACCCCTTTCTCGCCCTCCGTCCTCGCGCCCACGATCGCAGTCTGATACATCCGTCATGTCTACCTCTTCGGCCTCGTCGACGCTAGTCGAGGGCGAGGATGAAGATGTTCGCAATCTGCGAAGACTCCTCACTCGAAAGGTAGCGTCGTTCATGGAGGGAGCGGACGAAGAGGTCGACAAGGCCGTGCTGTGGCTGCGCATCGTGAAGGAAGTGCTCCTTGAACTTGGTAAACGGACCTGATTGGCCGGACTGGAAGGATATTGCTTTGGAACTGAATTGTCGGACGTGCTAACTGTCGCAATCGTTGCTATACCACAGCTGTGTTTATATCTGTAGCCATAATGTAGATATGTATCCTTATGTACATATGTGCATGTCACTGTAGTTCGTCGTGTTGTCTGTATGTATTCGGCGTATATGGCAGTTCATCGACTCGTGTATCTTGTCGAACTCCGCGCCGCCCCAATGCAATCTCAATGTCTTGAGGTCGCGCTGTGTCTATTACGAGGTAAGATGACCTATATAGATGAGGTTCATACCGCGCATCTAAGACTCAAATATTGGTCTTTGCACAGCAAGTACTCCAGGCAGGCCACTCGAACTTGAACTGCCAATAAGATCCGCTTCTCTGGGGCTGAAAGAAAAAGGCATTGACTCTGTACACTTAGGATCGAGCAGTCCGGGGTGCTGGTAGGTGCTGGTGGAAGCCTGAGGCCGCAGTCTGACACATATTCAATGTTCATGAGCGCGGCAGCATAAACGCGGCAGCACGTGAATACGACGCGTCGCGACTCGCGCGTTCTTACACGATGGCACGACGCCACCACGACCCGCTGGCCTGCGCACATTTCTGGTCTGTATAAGGCTTGCGTACTCTACCACTTTTTCCGAAACCTCTCTACTCTGTGCTAGGCCTCCACAGCATCGTCTGTCCTGATTCGAGGGCCTGCCTGGGCCTGCTAAGTTAACCCTACTCGGTCCTGGGAATCACGCGAGGCCGCCTTGACTGATGGCACCGTTTCTTGCGCCGCATACAGTTCTGAATGGGTTCAAGGAGCGAGCAGAGGCAGTAGTCGTGCAGGGTCAGGGTTGACATGGTACATCGCTGAACGTTGCTGACAGAGCGCAGGCGATAGGTTATATGTGGGAACAACCATAGGGAACCTGCACATCTATGCTCTCAATCGCTCTGTTGGTGCGTCGTAATATGGGTGTCATAGTCACTCACTACTGAAAAAATGATACAGAGGATGGAACAGAGTCTCCGGCACAGCTTGTGGAGACCAAGAAGGCTCTAAGCCGGAAGGCGATAGAGCAGCTGTGCTACGTGAAAGACGTTAGCTCCCTCGCGGTTCTCTCTGGTCAGATATCATGCTACGCACTGTTTGTGCTGAAGCTGAATCACATTCAGACTCGACCGTTACTCTATACCCTCTCCCAAGCTTCTCACCCGCTACACCCCTCACGAAGAGTAAACAAGCACTATCCATAGCGACGTTCACGGGTGTAGTACACAATGCCGACAAGCTGCAACTCTCGCCTGGAGAGTTCGACAAAGGCCAGGACGTGCCTTCGGTGGTGACGCACCTCGCCATTGGCTGTAAGCGCAAGATGGTCATCTATTCATGGAAGGATGGCGAACCGCAGGAGCCACAGGTAGGCACCACATTGGTCTGGAGCACATTCACATGAGGCAGAACAGTGATCACAGGAGACAACTCTTTCTCACTCTCCACGGGCGATGTCATTCCTCGGCGAAGACGTGATCTGCTTCGGCTATGCGATCTCAGACTATGCTCTTTACTACCTCAAGACTGCCACCATGGTCGAGATCGCTGCTCCCATACCGTCGGTGACATCCGGCACGAGTATCAGCAACATGGGCATGGGCGCACTCACAAACCTCGGTGGCTACATGGGTCTCGGCGCAAGGGCGAGGCCCTGGATTGTCAGCATACATGAGAGCGAGGCACTCATCGCAAGAGACAGTGCGTGCTTCATTTTCTGATCATTTAGAGAGATCCTGACCGGTACAGATATTGGACTATTTCTTGGTCCCGATGCCAAGGTGACAAGGGATACTCACGTTGACTGGCCTGCACCACCCGAGGAGTTAGGTACGGGAACATCGACACCCACGCATGTCCATACCTATTAACATCGCACTAGCCTTCATCAGACCATACATCTTCGCAGTCATGCCTTCGGGCACCGTACCTACCTCACGACTCGACGGCTCCTCAACATCTACGTTCACTTCGCAAGCCTCCACGAGCTTCGTTCCCTCCCCCGTAGTAGAGATCCGCTCCTCGATATCTCTTTCTCCCGTCCAGTCCCTGCCTTTCCCACCTCCGCCTGCAGATGACGCGTCTTCTGCCACGCCGATGCAGCACTCCGTCCGACTTCTGACTTCCCTGCCAGCAAAATCTTCCCTCTTCCTCGTCACAACACCTACAGACCGTGCTGCCGCGACTGCGCAAGGGAGCTCGATATGGCAGTTCCGCATGAAACCATGGCATGAGCAGGTGGATGAGCTCGTCGAGGCAGGATCCTATGCAGATGCGCTCGCGCTTTTAGACCTGCTTGACGCCGCATCTCTTCCCGACAAGGTACGTGATGGTGACAACGCCGCGAGCCATGCTGACGTGGTCATGGATCGTGTAGGAGCAACGACGAAAGGTCGTGCGCGCGTTACACGCCGTCTCAGAATTCAAAGCCGAACGCTTCGACCGCGCAATGGATACCTTCATTGAGCTCGACATCAATCCCGCAAAGGTCGCTGCACTCTACCCGCCTAACATCGCCGGACGGCTTTCCCTTTCACAGGAAGAATGGATCCCACTGTTTGGTGGTCCCGCTCCTCCCAAGCCGGAGAGCAAGCCACCATCGGTTGACGAGAAGCAGGATGGCGCAGAAGGGCAGGAGCAGCAGAGACCTCCGTCTCCGAAAGGGTCCATCCGTGCATCTATCTCTGGGTTGCGGACCGGGCTCGAGAACATTGTCTCGCCGACGAGGTCGAGAGACGACGACACGGCCTCAGTCATTGGTAGGCCACGAGGACCGCCAAAGGGTGAGTTCCATCTACATACGCAACGCCTCGGATACTTCAGATGCTGACGTCCCTACAGACGCATTCCACCGCTCTGTAGAGACTCTGATGCGCTACCTCTCCGACCGCCGGCCAAAGGTCGATGGTGCGCTCAAAGCCCTCAACATCACTTCTGCTGAAGCGCATCGCTGGCCCCACCTTTCTGGCGCGTCTCGCGATGAACTCTTCGCACTGCCGAACGTGCCCCTTGCTGCATTGACCCCCGAGGAGCTCGTGCGCTTTGCGCAAATCGTGGACACGGCACTGTTCAAGTGCTATCTGCTGGTGCGCCCGGGTCTCCTTGGCCCCTTGTGCAGGGTCAGCAATTGGTGCGAAGTCAGCGAGGTAGAAGAAGCCTTGCGGGCGAGAGAGGTAGGCAACTGGCACCCGTCGTTGTAGTCAATCGTTAACACTTCATGAGTCTCTAGAAACACTCGGAACTCATCTACCTGTATAACGGGAAGAAGATGCACGAGAAAGCACTCAGCCTTCTGCGAGAGTACGTAGTGATTTTCATCCTCACTGTCTCTCGATGGCTGAGTGACGGTCACAGCTTGAGCGAGAAGGAAACGGACATGCGGGATAGGCTCATGCCTTCCGTGACCTACCTCCAACGCCTCGGTCCGGAGCACCTTGAACAAATCTTCGGTGCGGCCCGCTGGATCTTCGAGCAGGATGTCGATATTGCGTTTGAGGTACGCCCCTTCGGCTGCCTCCGTGCAATGCACACTGACCGGAGTGTGCTGTGTAGATCTTCACCTCAGAGGAAGTGGAACTTCCACGCGAGCCGGTCCTTGACTTCCTTGAGGGGATCAACCTCGGCATCGCTGCACGATACTTGGAGTACTTGATTGACGAACGTAAGGAAGACGGTGCAGGATTCCATGAACGACTGGCAGAGACCTATTTGCGGATGGTTTCGGATGCCAGGAGAAGAGGGGATGAAGGTGGGCTGAGTAAGATCGGCACGCACGGCTTGCTAAACGCTTCAATCTTAGAGACACGCAGAAGTGCATATGAAAAGCTTCTGCAGTTCATCGACACCACGGATCGGTACAACGCAGATCGCCTATATGCGCTCTTGCCATCGGATGGTCAGTAGATTTTGCAGCTCGTACCCGGACAATGTCTCATGCTTATATATCAACAGGTTTCTTTGAGGCGAAGGCCATTCTGTTGGGGAGATTGGGAAGACACGACAGCGCACTCGAAACCTATATCTATCGACTTCGAGATTATCATGGCGCAGAAGAGTATGCTCTTTTTACACATTAAACGTTCTTTGAACTCACTTTGACGATCCAGGTACTGCAAGCGTGTCTACAAACCTAACGCCGAGACCTCGACCATTTTCCTCACCCTTCTCCGCATCTACCTCCGACCCTCACCCTCTTCCCCACTCTCTGCCTCTGATCTCCTAGCTCCCGCACTAGATCTCATCAGTAGGCATAGTCCCCGGCTTGACGAAGTCGAGACATTGGACCTACTTCCTCCGCTCGTGACCGCACGCGACGTACAAGCCTTTCTGAAGGAAGCCCTCAGAGCGCCGATACTCGATACGCACATCGTGAGGGAGGTGGCAAAGGCGCGGAAGGATGAAGTCAACAGGAGGCTCATGAGCCTGCAGATGCGTCGGGTAAAGGTGACGGATAGCCGGATGTAAGCATCAGTTGTGTTCGACGAACAACGAGACTCATGTGCGTCCTAGATGCCCTCAGTGTCATAAGCGCATCGGATCCAACAGTGTCATCGCTGTACATGCTCCAAGGTAGGTTTGCTGCATGAGCTGCTTCGGGTCATGCTGATAGAATCTAACAGAGGGGAAGTCACGCACTATCAATGTCGAGAAGCGTTCTCTCACAAGCTCAAGGAGATACGAAGATGATAGTAGGCACTGCCGCCGTTCACGTCGTGTTCATAGTACATTAGCTCTAGTTCTATCAGTTCCACGAATCTCAATATTACTTCCAGTCTGTCGTTCAGCATCCAGCTCTCAGCGTTCCTTCGCTGCTGGCCTGTAATGCGCTCAGGGAATATCTTAGTATGGAAGGATGTTGAATTGCCCTGATACGGGCAGGAGTCAAATGAGGGAAAGATCATGCACACGACGCAAAGCAGTAACCGAACCGCGCATTTTCACTGTAGCATACATATATCAATCCTCGTCCGACAACGGTTCGTCCATGAACAAGCAAGGTCCTTCTATGCTTGCCAGGCGGACAGCACTAGTCGCAAGATCTTCCTGTGACGCAACTGGCCTAGTCGTCGGGGTCTCATCCGTGGATTGAACAGCTTTAGACTGAGTGGGTTGTGTACAGAGACTAAGTTCTGGTGAGCATTGGGATGGTGTTGCGTCTTTCTCATCTTGAGCGAGACTGGCGACGTCCTGAGAGGGACATTGGTCTTGATCTGTGGTAGAAGAATTACCGTCATCCGCTGAGCCATTTGGCGATGCCGACCCACCGGTGAACGACCGAGGCCCAAATATTGTTTGAACATCAGCAGGGTACTCGCCTCGCCCCACGCCATGCGCTACCTCGTTGTATGGTTTCAGACTTCCGGTCCCCGCTGTAGCTGGACTCCCTGAGACAGCTTCATTTGGGAGATGGCTGTGACCGTTTCTGATGTCATTGTCGTTGTCTTCATAGCTACGAGCAGCAGATGCAGAGATGCATATAACTTGCGAGGAGACAAAGTCGAGTTTCGCAGGTGAGCTTGTAGGAATATGCGTTTCGACATCTTCATGGGGTCCTAGTTGATTTATGAAAGCAGATTGACCCAGGATTGACGGAATAGCCTCGAGCCTGCCAGTAGGTTCATTGACCCCTGCATCGTAACCGCTATCCTGGCTGAGATCGACAGGAGGCTGATCCGAGTGAAGCCCTAGTACGTCGTCGAGCGCACGCCATGGATCCGCGCCTTCGAAGAGTTCGCCATGGAGAACGTCGTAGAGACTCTCCTGAACAACGCCGGAGTCGTAATCGTCGACTGAGGGCAGGCGGTCCGTCTTGCTTTCAGCGGGCGGAGAGTTCGTAAGCAGCTTCGGCTCGGAAGGCAGAAGAGCGAGCTGCCATGCACTATTGGTCCATTGGCTTCTACTTGTCACAGGCCGATCGAGCGAGCTGCGCCTCGAGGTAGCCGACAAGAAGTGACTGTCCTCGCTCGGAAGTTCTAGAATAGAATCATACTCGTCCAGGTATGCTATCGTTGAGGGAGGCAAGTCATCTCCCTCTAGACGGTCGCGCGCTGCGCTGAAGACAGATCGCTCAGCATGAACTGTCACCGGTGACTGAGTATTCGTGAGGAACCGAGAAGTTGACTGAGAAGGGACCTGAGATCCATGAGCAGGAGAGCCAAGGCTAGTCGAAGACGTGTCGAGCGACGGTTGACTAAAAGGCAAGTAGAGTGAACTTGGAAGGGCCGAGGAGGTCGCGAGGCGTTCTGAAGCATGAGGGCCGTCCAGCAAATTACTATTGGCCGGACATGCAGTCGATGCCATTGCGCTACGCCCGAGTTTCGCCGCGCAAGGGCTCTGTGTGCGTGAAGATGTGTCTTGGACATTCCGATCGCCGTAGAAGGGATATCTTGCTCGTTCGAAGTCGCGACGAACGTTTGGTGCTGCAACATTCTTCTTGTTTCCGAAAGTACTGGGCCCTGGCGCTGGAAAGGATTCCGAGAACCCAGAGTCATTGAAGCTCTGAGGCACCGTCGGGCTACTATCAAGGGGCATAGGCTCGAACTCCGGGTCCACTTGCGCGAGATGACCGAAGTCGAGTTGGTTGATGAACCCGGGCATATGTCTGGAAGTACTGGCGTGAGGTGGATACCCTTCGGAGAGGTACAGCGGTGTAAAATCTGGCGTCGGTCAATCCGAGGTCACTGCGTCTCATAGCCACGGACCAACCTTCATCACTGGCACCGCCCGCATATGGATTGCTTTGTGGGCGCATGTGAGGTGATCCCATAGGGTCGCTAGACGAACTCCTGGTTGCACTAGGCGATGTCCTCCGCTAGGCAAGCTCGTCAGACAGATCATCACAATCATCGGTGCAAGGTACCTTCTTGCGAGGAGGTTCAGGCGTTTCGGGAGACGACGAGTCTACTGTTTCTCCCGCGTCCTCATAATCCGCAAGGTGCGGTCTACGCTCCGGTTTCACGGCCAGTCCAGCAAGATTAGGGATGTTGCAGATGCGATCCATCTCCGCGCGGAGAGAGATTGCTATTGAACGCCACAAGATGCGTTGCATACAATGTTAAGAGCGCATGGGACGCATATATGTGCGTGAAAACATACGGACAGAGACGTCCAGCGCACTCAAGATCGTTGAGGAATGCGCACTGCTGTGACTCCTACTCTTGCTGGATGCGCTATCAGAAGCAGGTCCTCTACACAGCAGGCGAAACGACCCAGGTGTTCGTGGGAGCAACAGCGAGCCATCGTCAGAAAGAGGTACGTTCCCCGACTGCACCTGGAAGTCGTGTTGCGCATGTGCCAGGGAGATCCTGGCCAAGGCGTTCGCACCGCCCTCTGTCGACTTCAATGCCCCGGAGTGGAATTTGCTAAGGCCCCTTGTCAAAATGCCGAGTCGCTGCTTCCCAAAATGATTGCGCTGTGCTTTCCCGGTAGCATCCTTTGCGCGTGTCTTGACAAAGTTCCTACAATGGGCAGTCAATATTTTTGGTCAGTAATGAGGGTCTAAGTTCTCACCTCTTCCCGCCCATGTAGTTTGCCCCTCCCATCTTGCTTTCGTCTGCCTCGGTCGTGGAGAGTCTATGCGCGTGAGGGGTGACGCGGTTGGTGAACACAGCAACGCGGGCACCGACGCGGGTCTGTGGACGCGTTCGTGTGTACCACGGTCACATGGGCCTGTCACCATGACGGGAGTCTCAAGTCGATGCCAACTGCTCTGCCATGCATTCCACTCGCTGATCTCGGTTCGTCTCCTGCCGTGACCCCGCCGACTTGATTGTTGCGTCCTAAGCAGCATAAGTTGTAGTGGACGACGAAATGGACGAAGAAACTGACATCGGTTTGATCAATCTCTCCCGGCCATCCGTTTCTGGGTCTCCAAGCATCGCGCGAGCATATTCGTCGGGATTGAAGTCGCCCTCTTCACCTAACCTGTTGCCTATTCGTCCCAAACCCCCTGCAAGGCGCAATACAAATCCACGGAAACTGTCCATGTCCATACAGCCCGCGAACTTGAATTTGGACGGCCTGTCGATGGAGCCAGTAAAGGTGGCTAGCTTACGGAGGTGGATCCTGAGCTTGGCGATAGGTATGTGCAACCTAACGTGGCAATTTCCTTTGTGAGCTGAAGTAAATGAAGTCGACTTCGACCTGGAGGTTGGGCCTAAGGTCAGTTGTGTATACCCACCCCTCAACCTATCACCGTCCGAGGAAGTCAACATGTGAGTCTCCTCGGTACCGAACCATGGGATTGGCGGTCCTAACACGGTACTTCCCGTAGTGCCTTCTCTTCATTTCCAGACTCGCCTCAGTTCGAGCAAGGCTCGCAGACGCACTCCTTCCGGATACGCGTCCACAGTCCCGCTGAGGACAAGCTCCTTCGCCCTGGCGACCAGCGGCCTCAGACAGAAGATGGCTTCCTCTACGGCTTCTCCCAGTTCACACAACGTAGGGACGCGAACTCGAAGCGTGGATACCAGCAGGTGCACGATACACTCCCTAACACGCATCCCCGCTGACCATGCGTGTAGCGATCCGTAGTCATCCTGACCCATCTAGCATACCCAGCATTATTCTATACTCTCGTAGAGAGGCTTGGCCCAGCAGTTCTGGCGCACGGCGGCCCTATGCTCGAAGCGGCCTGTCATAATATTGCTACTTGGTATGTGCGCTATGTGGCGGTCTGTCATGGTAGAGTTGACCGTGACCCTACACGAAGAGAAGGTTAGACCCCTCGCCGGGTGCAACGCTAGAGCTAGGGCTCCTCGGAAGTGTCATTATTGCGGAGCTTCCCGCTGGTGTTGACACCCAGCAAGCACTACCAAGCTCCGCGATCAGTAGGAAGAATGCGCGTCGAGAGACAGAGTACCAGGTTGGTTGACGCTCTCATCTATGACGCGCAGAAGGCATGGTCTCACTGGCGTATTCAGTTATTGGTATCTCTACCTCCGCCAGAGCCGCCAGTGTTATCCCTGTTCGAGGCCTGCCTACCACAACTCTGGTCAATATGGGAGTGCCTCGTCTTATGCGAGCCTATCCTTGTCTATGGTCCCTCTCCCGTCATGACCAGTCAAGCGATATGGTGGTTGCGTGACGTGCTCCGACCAGTATGTTTACAGCAGATTACCGTGGGTGGACGCTGAACAGATGCCAGATCCCCGTGGCGGGTGACTTCCGACCATTCTTCACCATCCATGATGCAGACCATGCAGCACTGGTCAACACTCGCCCACCATCAAGCGGGCTGATCCTGGGCGTGACGAATCCATACTTCGACCGTGCATGCAAGCACTGGCCACATGTGTTGAGTCTCGGACGAGCATCATCGTGAGTAGACAGTATTTGCGATGTCCTCGCCTTTGTTTGACGGCTCGCGGTGATAGGACCAAGTCGGATCCGAATGCACCTGCTGGACCTCCTCCAGGGTGGAAGACAAAGCATAGTCGCTACGTCTCAAAAGACCAGACGGTGCTTCAGCAGCTCCAGGCGGCTTGCTCGGGCTCGGAGCAAGCAAGTACGTATGCCTGTCGTTCATGTCTACCACGGGCTCACGAACGCGCACAAAGAACGTGAAGCCTCTGCGCTCATGCGCCAGCACTTCTCATCACGTACGGCAGCATTACTTGTGCCGCTCCAGCGTTACCTGCAATCTCTGATCCCGCTCCCGTCGTCCTCTGCCTCCACGGGGTTCCCGTCCCCAAGCCCATCTTCCGCATTCCCTAGATTCGCAGCGAACCCCGGATTTCCCAAGTCCTCGGCAGCGTCCGTGTTTCCTAGGTCAGCAGCATCGGGGGCCTATCCCAGATCGTCTGCCTCCAGCCTCTTCCCGCCGACACCACTGCCCGGGGCGTTTCCCAACTCCTCTACGTCCTCGGGTCTCAACTCGCCGGACTCATCGGGCGCAGAATCGCCCAGGGGTACATCGTCCAGGTCGGTCTCGCCGTCGCCGAATCCCGCGCCCATCACAAGCCCAAGCACGCAGCGCACGGTGCCTCCCGCTCTGAACATCCCGCCACGGGCAACCGAGGGCGAGCTCGACCCGCCCTTCGCTACCGCGTCCGACGTCGCGCTGAACTCCTCGCTGCCCTCGGGGCACAGCGCGTACTACACGCCGCTGAGCACGACCTCAAACGCGTATGCGGCGCTCGGGACGAGCAGCCCCGCGTCCTCCGCGACGCTCACGCCCGCGACGCCGCGCCTCGCGCCGTTCAGCGAGAAGGCGTTCCTCGCCAACCTCAAGCCGCTCGCGCTCCCATTCAAAAGCAGCGGGAAGGCGAAGGAGTTTTATGGCCGCTGGATACGCAGCCCGGCGTTCGGCGTGTGGATCGGGCGCCAGGAGGAGGCAGTCGACAGGGTGCTCGGGGCGAGGGCTGCGGGGCTTGCGTAGCGATCAGCTAGGTTCTCATCTTGTGCTATGTTCTGGAGGTGTCGTGTATCTCTATATTGGCAATTGGAGCTAGGATTTGTCTCGCTCTTGCGGAGCGTGCATTATTTTCGTGCAGTAATCTAGGTTGCGCGGCGTAGGACGCGAGCCGGTATATACAAGCCAGTCTAGATGCATGACGCTATACCCTCTGCACAGTCCCTTTTCATCAGCAATAAAGACTACCTCACCGCCAAGCTACTTCCACTCTGCTGTCCGGAGCCCGGCGCCGCCCTCTCGCGCCCCTGGTCGCGCACGCTCCCGCGAAGACGCGGACGAGCTCGACGATCGCTTCCCCCAGCCGAGCCAGCCGACGAGCACCTCCTTTGCGAAGATCTCGCCGAAGCCGAGCATGACGCCGTTGATGAACGGGAGGCCGATGTTCACCGCGAGGCTCGCGACGAGCGCGAGGACGCGCGTGCGCGGCGAGAGGGACGAATCGAAGAGCGCCTGGGTCGTGGAGGGTGCCTCGCGCCGTTGTTCATGCGCGTGCTCGTGGCCGTGTGGGTGCGCGGGGTGGTGCGCGTGTCCGTGGTGCGCGTGTGGTGGGAGTGGGTGCGGGAGGGAGGAGGAGGGCGAGTGGGGGTCCGAGGGGAAGGATAGCGAGGGGTAGGACGATGCAAGCGAGTCCGGGTCGGAAGAGTGGATGTCCTCCCACTTGTGCTCTGCCTCGGAGGACGCGTCTGGCGGCGTGGAGAAGCGCGAGCGCGCCTGCGCGTGCGAGCCTGGGAGGATCGCCTGCTAGCACGGGGGAGAAACGCAGCCCGGAGTTAGTGAGGAATCGGTCAGACACCATTGGCCGCGTACCTCTAGCTCCTCTTTCGTCTTCCTGCCCTGCCCCTCTCCGCTCACGAGGTCCCGCGCATCAGCGACGCTCGGCTCCCCTCCCGCCTCCCCACCGACACTCGCAGCGGTGCTCGTGCTCGCCGTAGCGTCCAGCACCATGCTTGCGCTCGTGCTCCCGCCCACGCTCTCCCACCCCTCGCTCCGCGCGCTGCCCCGCGCCTTTGCCTCCTCCCTCTCCTTCTTGCGGATCTCCTCCCACCGCGCACGTTCCCCCTCGGCACGCTCGCGCTGCTCTGCCGAAGTGCGACGCCATTCTGCTACATGGGCGTCGTAGTCAGCTTTCCAGACGTCTTCTGTGGATTCGGGCGCCGGAGAAGCGGGTGCAGGTGCTCCAGCGGCCTCCTCTTGAGCAGGGACTGGTTGAGCAGGCTCTGGTGCTGGAGCAGGCTGCTCTGGCACGGCGGACTGTTTGGGGAGAGGGACGGGCGTGAAAGCCGTCTGCAACGCAGACTAAAAAGACGATGCTGTCAGGAAAATCGACGGGATATTCCGTTGTGTGCAACGTACTTGGAGGAGGCTCTCCTCCTCTGCATTGAGAGCGTCTGCCATGGTGGACGGATTGAAGGACAAGTCACGGTCAGCAGGCGCCCAGGAGAATGACCGTCCGAGCTTCCGGGCGCTGCGTCGGCTAACCCTAGTTTATGGGCTGGACTCAGCACGAGGCAAGCATTTGCCGAACAGCACGCTCGACCCAGTCAGGAAGGTTCTCTTGAACTGTGTCGCTGCACGCAGCGGGAAATGCACAAGCCGACTGCGCCTTGGTAGGCCCACGCCAACACATCCGTCCCAGATTATGCTGATTTCTACTTCTAATCCGTTTATTGTACACCGAGACGTGTTGATACAGTCATGATACAGGAAACCCGGTCTAGATTTTCTTGACAATGTTCATCTCCTACAGGAGCGACGTCAGAATGGCGACCAGCCGCGCGTATATGCTGCTCCCTTACCTGGTAGGTCGTGCTCTTGCCCGTGTTGGCATTCTTGATGGTGTAACGGGTAGACTAAAGTGGAGACCGTTGTCAGCTCCGGTATGCGGGAAGCCACAACGGGTGCCAATTACGCCGTCCTCGGCCTCGCTCACGCTCTCGATGGTGCCGGTCGAGTGCGCGACGTTCTCTCCGCTGCCACCGATGGGGCGGTACTCGACGTTGTCTCCCTCCTAGTAGCACCGTGAGTCACGTCCTAGTATCGCCCAGCCACAGGTGACTGACCTTGTAGCTGGCCATGACAATCGATAGGTAGTAAGAAGGTGGTTGTATGCGCGAGGTGAAGGTACGGGTCAGAGTTGCTGAACCTGCCCTCCGTGCATCCCCGCCCTTTATATACCGTCGCCGTCGCCGAGGGCGAGGATCGGCGGCGATGTCGTCACAGCGCACCTTGAGCGATGATGACGCTGAGCGAATTTGCGTCATGGTGTACGTAGGGCCGTCAGACGACTGACCGTTATGGAGTCCCACGCCCGCCACCTCCCGATGCGGATGGCGCGCCGCCATATTGGGAGGTGATGGAGCGTTCTAAGGCCGCTCTGAATCTCGAAGTGGATCGCGGAGCCAGTTGCCAGGTGATGTCCATCCCGCAATGGGTCAACTCCATCAAACTCATGCAGCCCGTTCTAGAATCCCGAGTACACGGAAGTACTATAGAGCTGCGCTGCAGCTTGTCTCTAGACCTGCTACCAGTTTAGATTACAGGTGTCCTAGTGGTGGCGAGATGCAAGTACTATCTCAGTGGACTGACTTGGAGCGGGAGGCAGCCACGCGCATAGCATCCCGCATAAGCTCATCCATGCTTCCTGCTTGCCCTCCGAATGAGTCAGTCCCACGACGAGCGATACGCAACGGTGACGACAGACGGACAGCGTCGTCCAACAGCTGACCGTCTAATCTCTTCGGTGCGTCTTTCAATCCCGAGGTAAAGTTGAACACGGCTCACTGACTACATATGCTAGGACACACGTTCTGGAGTACTACTCGCGATAGTCCACGTCCCATCACCCTTTCGCACGGTATGTTCGTGTTCCTGAAAGGACATCGCCGACACGGTAGCAATCACCATCTACGCTATCTTCAATCGAAGTCGGCTACTCTTCGGTCTGGTGTTGTTGTCGGGTCTCGTGAACCCGGCCATATTGGTTGTAAGCGATATTTCCTGCGAACGAACGCGATGTTGATAGCAAGTCATAGTATATCTTTACCAGATCTCTGGCGAACTTGAACGACGTATCACTGTATCTGGCGGAGCTCCCTTCCTTGAGAGCTGATGTCAGCTATCAGGTCTGCTCTCTCGATATCAAGGGAAATCATGACAGCTACGAAAAGTAAGCACGCATGTCCGCCGTGTAATATGTGTCTTTGCGGTAGAGTGCTATGTTGACTTCTGATCGGTGTGTTTGCAGCGGTGTGTCACGTCCATGCTGTCACCAGCTTGCATTTCATTGAGGCCCTCGGTATGTCTTGAGGGATGATGGGAGCGCGAGCCGCTTCTCTTTTGTCGGACGGTCTGGTTTTGGCTTTAACCGCCATCAAGACGTTCAATAGGGCGCGTGGCGCTGACCTCATCACTGGCAAAGGGCCGATTATCAAGCAGATTCTGCTGCGAGACAGTGCGTTGCAGTTCCTCTCTCTTACGGGCAGCCGTTGACAGCATAATAGCTGTGCTTTGCTTCGTGTATGTCTTGAGTTTCCGCGGATACATGATGGCTGTGTTCTACTGACGATTATGATACTTGCCAGCCTCTTGTGTATCGTCAATGTAGTCGGGATTGCGACTGGACACCTCGACCAGGTACGTGTGGACAATGGTATGTGTCGCAGCGCAATCAACGATCATCATTTCCACAGTTCATTGAGGTATTGCAAGTCTGGACAGCCACGTAAGTTGTATGTCAACGGCAGTTGTTCTTGTCGTATGCATAGACTACCTCTGTAGGCTCACGTCAGTCCTTCTGTCACGTCTGGCTCTGGACCTCAGAGAGGCCTCTGCTGCAGAAGAAGGTAACTCTGGCGAGTTCTTCTCTCGTACCTTGCGGAACGTCAGCTACGCGATTCCCGATGAATACGAGTCGAGCGATTTCACGGCGTCCGGAGAGAATGCTTGGGAACTGGAGCTCAGCGAATTGACTAGCTCTGCTGTGAAGATATGACCAACTTCCGCGGTGAGAGATCCGGTTATACACCGATTCCGGACTCTGGTGTAGTGGCGACGTGTCGTTCGGAAATGAGCTAGTGGATTTACCATTAGATCCCCGTTTGTTGTGGTCTCAACCCTTGGGTATGTGGTACCCTTTTAAGTGTTATACTACAGCTCATTGTGTACCTCAGACTTTTATTTGACTTAGGCTGTCTGTGTTACTCCTTCAAGTTCATTTCGAGTCGTTTGGAGTCGTGATCGTGTTCTGCCGAAGTCAAGCGCTAAGCGTCGGTCAGACCGGCCCGCGCCTTCGCGCCTCTGACTTCGCCGCGTCGTCGCTGGCAGTGGCAGTGGCACTGGCTTGGCACTGGCAGTCTTGGGCTTGCGTTTGAACTTTGCACGTCGGTCTTGTCGAGGCCGCTGCTTGTCATGATTGTTCATGAAACTCTTGTGTCTCCCTCCTATGACTCATCGGACGCTCGTAATTGCCAGAGCCGTCTTAGTGCGCGCGCGCTCCATGTCACGACGCGGGTCTGCTAGACTCCAGCCTGGCACGGCTCGGCCAGAACTTGCGAAGCCATGATCGCGTCATATGCATGCTTTACTTACTGCCTTCACACAGTTCCGTATGGGACGACCCAACCTTGGGGCCTGAGGCCTGAGGAATGCCTCACAAACGTTTCTGCCATCCAGTGCCTAGGCGCATGAGATGTCCTTCAACGGGACGAAGAACCACTGCAGCGTGTAACGGTACGTGGACCTGGACCGAACGTTGGATGATAGATTGAAGGATCTGAAGTTCGCGCATGACCACAGGTGGAAAGGGAGCGTGTTACTTCCGTCAACGCGCCACCCACTACGCATTGATTATCCACGAACGTGCCAGGCCTGCGAAGTCGAAGCCCTTGTTCACAGCAATATAAGCTGTTCATAGATCTTAGACACGAATGTTGAAGCGGCTAGAAATCAGGCCCGGGTATCATTGCAGATGACGCGCTGTGGTTTCAAACAGATATCGTCTTCATGGCTGTCGACTTCCTCCACAGCAGTTGTTGCTTTGGCAATGACTAGTCTACTCGCGCAGCCAATCACTGCGGCCTCTTCAGGTGCCACGGCATACACCGCTCCAGGCGTCTTCCCGACGTCTCTATACGAGTCCTACTATAATGATGCTACCGCGACATCTGCTGAGCCACAGCCAGTGATCTCGGACCCTGTGACGGTGCGTCGATCGAAATAGTTAGTATCTGCCATTCGTTGAAAGCCTCGTTGTCCTCTAGCACAAAATATACCCATATTGGCTGACGAATCCAGAGACAGTCCCAGGAGTACGACGAGTGCTGCGACTGCTCAGAGCGAGACATGACTAACACCACCCGTAGAATGACACTTGGGAGGCTCATCCACTGCCTTCCCCTGCGGCCCCCGACCAACTCATCGACATCGCGTACAATCAGATCCTATCCATCGCAAACAATTCTGTCTTCGGGAATGACACTTGCAGCCGTTGCTTGGCTGCGCTCGAGATTGTAAAGTTCGTTGCGCTCACAGCTCCGGAACAAGGCTCGAATCTGGTGGTGCGCGTTTGTGAATACTTCAACTTCAGCAATACCGGTGATTGCGGTGGCTACTACGGCCAGTACAGCTTAGGTCCTGATATCATGCAAGCGCTTGCCCTCGCAGATGTTGGTGGCTATGACGGTTTGGTAGGATTCGCTGCTCGCAATCGAGACAAACTCACAAATACATACTTCATTAGGCTGCGTGCGCATACTTGATCGGCGCATGCCCTTACCCTGCGGCCAGCCCTCTCAATTTGACCAACTGGTTCGCCAAGCCAAAGCCAAACCCTCTGCCACCTCCGAAGCAACCAACTGGTGAAAAATTGAAAGTGTTGCATCTGTCTGATCTGCACATCGATCCGAGTAAGCCGATGCATAAACTATGTTCAATTGTCGCTTCGTTCACAAGCGTCTCATAGGGTACATGATTGGAGCAGAGGCCAACTGTACGTACGGCTACTGCTGCCGGGCGAACAGCGTTCTCGAGCCAGACTGGACGAGCCGATCCGCTCCTCGATATGGGTCCTTTCTCTGGTGCATCATCCCCGCTCTTTCTACATCTCAACAGTGTTTGACCTCCATCTAGCGACTCACCCTATCCGCTCATCACGGCTACATTCCAGGCCATCCCAGTCCTAGCAGGCACAGAGAACTCCTCGTTCAACTTCTCGATCTATACGGGTGACCTGGTCTCTCATGACCTCCTCAATGAGCTATCAAGGTACGCGCTTGATGCCTCTCTCCCTGCGGTCGGACTAATAGAATGTGTCAGGGAGTATACAGTGTACACCGAGGTAAGAGAAGCAAGTTTGGGATCCGCGCGCTCGCTGATTCACTCTGACGCAGACCGTTCTGTACGACTTGATGAAACGTATGATCAACACGGGTCCCGTCTACGCAGTCCCGGGGAATCACGACACTTACCAGTCGTGCGTATGCATTTGTTGCTCTGTATGTGATTGTTCTTATCCTCCACAGAGGGCAAAACTCCCCATACAACATCGGAAACGGCCATGAAGACCAGTTTGACTGGTGCGTCACAAGCATTCCCTGGTGGCATTGGCTGAAACATGACGTAGGGACTACGAGCATTTGGCTGATTTGTGGGAGCTCGAGGAATGGATCTCCCCAGAGGCTGCGCAACAAGCCCGGAAGAATTATGCTGCCTATTCCGTGCAACGTCAAGACGGCTTGAGGATCGTCACACTCAATACTGACTTCTGTATGTTTTGCTGACGGTGTCCCATGAGTCATTACTGAAATGCCTTGATTGCCAGGGTTCCAGTATGGTTTGTTACTCTGGGACGAACAGCTATGAAATTCAATGTTTCCTCTCTAGGCCGAACGTCTTTAACTACTTCAACCTCTCGTCTTCGGATAACTCAGGCATGTTGCGTTGGCTTACTGATGAATTACAAGATGCAGAAGATGCAGAAGAGCGAGGTACGCCATGACAGACCGTGGTGTAGTGACGACTAAATTACGACTATTTGCAGTATGGATCTTGGGACATGTTCCCAGCGGCTGGGATGACACCGATCCTATCGCAAATCCTACAAACCTATGTATATATTTCATGTCGTCCTTCCGTGTTTAACTAGTTACTCATGCTCGTGCAGTCTACCAGATGTGAGCCGTAAGGTCGAGTCATGAACTGTCTTACTCATTCAATATTAGTGTCGATCGGTACTCTCCTCATGTCATCGCAGGCAAGTCAAAAAAGCGCATTCACGAGGAGTCGAAAGCTGATTCGGTGCTAGGCATCTTCTTTGGACACACCCACATGGACATGTTAACGGTGAGTCGGATCGAATAAAGATTGGCGTTGCTTGCCTCATTGCGATGTAGGTGTATTACACAAACAATGCCACCGTACTGAGCGCCGACACCGCTCAAACTGTCGCATGGGTGAGTCGTCGCAGCTCTTGCTATTCCTTTTTGTGTATCAACAATGTCAGATTGGCCCGTCGGTTGTGCCGGTAACAAACTACAACGTCGGCTTCCGGGTTTACGAGGTTGACTCTGGGGTACGTCTCTGCATACTTACACGTGCAGCACTCTCTGACACATGATGCGTATAGACATTCGAAGTCCTTGACTCGTACACGTAAGTAGTGAGGTCATCAACTTCACACATTTCCGTAACTGACCTCGTGTTTCGTACACAGCTACTATGCCGATGTCAACACTTTCCCCGACCTGGACGGCCAGACGGAGTTCGGTCCTACCTTTGAGCTGGAATATAGTGCTCGGGAAGCATACGGAGCGACGATCCAATGGGGTGCCAATGACCCTCTGAATGCTACATGGTGGCACCTCGTGACAGAGGGTATGTACGCAGTTCTCGTACTTCCCCTCGGTGAAAATCAATCATTCCATACAGCGATGGAGACAAACTCGACTCTCGTTCAGGTCAATCGCATTCATGTACCTCTCTTGAATTTCTGACAATTTTTAATATAGATGTTCAGCAACTACCAGTACAAGAGTTCAATTCGCTACCCACCATGCACGGGAATTTGTATTCCCAACAAGATCTGCTCTATCCGGAGCGGTAGCGCTAGTCTGTATCTGCAGAATTGCGCATGAGCTGTAGAGCGCGGAACTGCCTGGTGCTTGAGGGATGCGCCCGCCCAGAGTCATGTCTGCTAAGAACCGGATCGAACCTAGTACTTATAGGAATGCATGCATACATTCAAGCATTGGTCAGATGTAAGTCAGGCGGCGACTGGACATAAAGGTTGCCCTCGCAAGGCTTCGCCGCAAGGACGCCCGCTGAGACTCTACTCGAGCCGGAGACCAGATGTCAGCGGACTCTACACCGCGAAAGTTGCAACCTCGTCTCGTGTTCGGAACGCACTCGCTCAATGAGAGTACAGATCAATAAACAAGGAACAGATGGTGTTAGCCGCTAAGTTCTACCCAGGCTGCTGTCAACTCGTCATGAACAATTCTCGATCAGAATGCTTGCGCTTCCGCTACGGATGGCGCAGATCGTCTGGTTTATACAGCTGCCAGTACAAGGCGGCGTTTTGACAGAACTCTTGGTCATCAGCTTTGTGTATGTCTAGACACATGTTAGACGAGGCAAGACGGCGCTTGCCACCGACAAGTATTCGTACCTCAACTAGAGCCGAGTCGGATTCCATAGCTACCATGCATCATGCGACTTCAGCAACTAGTAAGCAACGCCGTGATGCCAAGTACCACTGACCTTCCGTCACTCGATGCCACCACGTAGCATTCAGAGGGTCATTAGGTCCCCAATCAGGAACAGCGGAGCCATAGATGTCTCTGGCGCTGTACTCGAATTGGAATTCCGGCCCATATGCTGCCTGTCCGTCAAGTCCAGGAAAGCTGTTCACGTCGGCATACCACCTATGAGGTGACTGTGAGGAGAAAGTGCGCACGACAAGGCAGCGCACACGAACGTATATGAATCGAGAACCTCGAATGTCTACGATAGCCGTTGTGAGCCGTCCACGACTTTAGGAGCTATGCGAACTTCAACGCACCCCAGAGTCTACCTCGTAAACGCGGAAACCAGCGTTGTAGTCGGTCAAAGGAGTGACTGACGGGCCGAGCTATGGCAAACTGTTGAAGAGGTGTAATCGCGAGCGCTAGGCCAACTGTCTCACCCATGCAACTGCCAGCGCGGTCTCGGCGTTCATAACCGTCCCATTATTCGCGTAGAAGAGCTGGGGGTGTCACAATCTCGCTGAACATCGAACCAGACCCAGAAGCACTCACATGCAGTTGGTCCTTGTGTGTGTGGCCAAAAAAGACACCTGAAAAACGTATCGGCGATGATCAAGCGCAATGAGCGGTATACATACCTGCGATGACATGCGGAGAGTATCGATCGACTCTGCCGACGGCCTTTAGTGACAATGATCGTACACGAGCGAGGGATGCTTACATCTGGTAGACTGCCAGTGATGGAACGCTCAGACGGTCAGGCGTGCACGGAAGCCCACGATCAGAGAGGAAACGTACACAAGTTGGTAGGGTTGGAAATCGGATCCGCCGTATCGTAGCCACTTGGAACGTGGCCCAGTATCCAAGCTACTATGCCGTCAGACCCCGAGCGATTTCCTCCGAGTCAGTCGATCCCTACGACGCTCACCTCGGTCACCAGCATCTTCAGCCGCTTGCAGCTCATCGGTCAAGAAGCGGAGCATGCCCGAGTTGTCGGAGGACGACAAGTTGATGTAGTTGTACGCATTCTGACTGAAAGCAGGCACCGTGAACATCTCTCCGATGTCGTCCCGCATTCTCAAGAAGACACCTACGTGTACCCTGCGAGAAACGTTCGTGGGATCAGCGCAATTCGTGTAGGCTCAGTGAGGCACGTGGACGCACAGAACTCGGTGTTCAGCGTAACGATACGCAGCCCGTCCTGTCGTTGCACAGAATATGCGGCGTAGTTCGTCCGGGCTTGCTGTGCACTTTCCGGACCGATCCACCCCTCGAGTTCCCACAAGGCCGCGAGGTGCTCGTAGTCCCTGAGAACAGAATTTCAGGGTCGATAGATGGTGAGAAATGACGAGAACTATTGCACCAGTTGAACTGTCCCTCAAACCCACCTCCGATGTTGTAAGGCGAACTCATGGCCCTGTTTGATAAACGTCAATTGAGATCCGGTACGATGACCAAGACGGTGACGAACGTCATGTAGGTATCATGATTCCCGAGGACCGCATAGACAGGACCAGTGTTGAGCATGCGCTTCATGAGATCGTAGACAACAGTCTGTTATCCCCCTGTATAAGTGATGACATTTAGGACACGACCCCATAGACCTGACCTCAGTATACAGCGTGTACTCCCTAGCATTATCAGAGTTAGGCTGCTGATTGTCCGAAGCGTTACATACCTAGACAATTCGTTGAACGCATCGTGCGAGAGCAGATCACCCGTGTATATCGTCCAATTGAACGGTGAATCCTGCGTTCCCGTCAAGACCGGGATGGACTGCAACGTCGCAGCGACGAGCGACAATGGAGAGTCACTAGATGAACGACTCTACTCAGCGGCATCAAGAGACGACAAAGCATGAGTCGTACCACAAATACGATCCAAACCAAGGCGCTGGAATACTGGAGGTGTTGGACGCAGCCATGCCGCCGGCACGGCAGCAGAGTCCAGTCGTGCAGTTCGCCTCAGAGCCGACCATGTATCCTATAGGCGAAATGGGCAACTGAGATCGAGCTTAGAAGGCGTAAAACACCAGAATACTCACGGGGGTCGATATGCAGGTCAGACAAGTGTAAGACCTTCATTCTCTCGCCAGTAGCTTGTCGAGTCGCAGGCAAGGAGTTGGGTTTGGGCTTTGCGAACCAAGAGGTCAAGTTCAATGGACTGGTGGCCGGGACGGGGCACAATCCCGCATAGTACGCGCATATTGCCTGTCCATCGTAGCCACCGACGTCGGCAAACGCAGCGACCTGAGTGATGGTTGCACCGAGACTATACTGTCCATACTCGGAGCCGCAGTCCGCGCTCGCTTCCAAGGCCTCGCATAGGCGCACCGCCAGCCCAGGGCCTTCACTCGGTGCTGCAAGAGCGACTATCTTGGCTATTGAGAGGGCGGCCTGACAGCGCGAACATGTGTTGGTCCCGAAGATGGGGTTGGTGATGACCTCGAGGATCTGCTGCAGCGCCGCATCCGCGATCTGTGAAGGCGACGCTGTCGGCGGGAGCTCATGAGGTTCCCAAGTATCATTCTGGAAGCGTCAATGTTAGCGAATGCGCAACTGAGGGTGAAGTTGAACCCATCTACCTTCGGAATGGTTTCCGGATTCGTCAGCCAGTAGGGGTAGACTTGATGCTGGCGGATAGGTTGTATGAGCGACACCAGCTGTAAGCGCGAGGGCTTGTGCTTACCGTGACCGGGTCGGAAATGATAGGCTGGGGCTGAGCGGTGGTCACAGTGGGGTCGTTGTAGTAGGACCGGTACAGCGATGTTGGGAAAGCCCCTGGAGCAGTGAAGACGGAAAAACCCAGTGCATTACCTTGGGCTGCTGCGACAGTGATCCATAGCGGGAGCACCAGAGAACGCATGTGCGGCATGGTGCGCGCAGAAAGCAGGGCGACGCAAAAGAAGAGGATGAGCAAGATGCTTCCTCGGCGTGCCGCTAAAGCTACCGTATACCTCACAGACATGGGGCGTATAGGCACATGTTTCCTCTTTTCAGGGTGCTATGTATTATGTGGGAGCGCAGAACCATATTCCGGGTCAAGCTATGCAGATGCTACATACTTCGCCGAGTGTAGATCCGAGTCTGCACTTTCCAATGCTTCGGTCGTTTCAAGACCAGTGTTCAACTTGCGTACATTGCGGATGTAAAGTTTCAGATGTGGTCGGCAATCAGGAGAGCGTCAACTCTGTTGCAATATGAGGCGAGCCGAACATAGTGCCTATGTACCAACTGAGGAAAGGTAAATTCGTGAGAAGCTCAAAGATGGTGAGACGGCCGACTTCACCATTTCGACTGTCGTCGGAGCCACTGTATGTAACTCAGCAAGACTTTTCAGACGTGACAGTTCAATGGGTCTATGGAGCTGTCTTCAATGGAACTGTTCACCTTTGCAGCAACGGTACAAACCAGCTGGTACACCGTTGCAGGCGGGTCGGCGGCCGCGCAACGCGTCGCGTTTGTGGCGTGGCACACGCTGGGCATGTGACCGATAGAACGCGAGACGAGGGTTATTCCTGGCGCGTCTTTCGCAGCCCGCACCGAGGACCTGTGCGCATTTACTTTGAGCTCCTTGCGATTCGCGCCACGAACTGGCGGTCTAGAAGTGTACAACACTTGTCTTCACTTCAGCGACGAAGCGGAGGCGACGTGACTTCATTCCCGATTGCAAAGCCGAATTACGGAGATGATACGTACTACGGAAGTTAAGTAGGCCGCCTCAGCCTCAGTCTTACGAAACGGAGCTCCTTCACCCGCACCTGGTTGACTTCTATCGCGCATCATGATATTGCCCTGAAGTCGGATAGCCTTCGATTCTCCTAGTCAGCTTCAACTCGACCCTGCTGGACAACACACGCCCTATTGCCGTCAACCTTTACTAGTCTTGCCCATCTATCGTGCCATCGCACCACGAGCTCAACATGCACTTCTGTATGCATCTGTTCACGTCGTAGCGAAGTGCAGCACCGCGCCAATTTGGCTCTGATGAGGGTCAGGATCGTGTGTGTCGAGCAACGTTCATTCGAACAGGCGGATGCATTGTGTACGTTGCTTCTCTTTTCGAAACCCGCGGCTCGTGGCTAAATGTCTCATTGCACTTCCAGTAAGTACATAGATATCCTGACCCAGGCCAACCCGTAGTCCGGACACTGGCACGGCTTGAGAGGACGGCCGGCTCGTCTTCTGGTCCTCCTGACCTTGTCCTCTGCGCGCACGTTCGCCCCTCTACTGGACGTGCCATGCTCTCCCTAGCTATGGTATACGCCCCGCGCTATATATTCTACACTTAACGACAGCGAATGGGTTGTGCGTCGCTCAGTCTCGACGTTTGGGCAGCTCGCGGTCGCGATGGTGACTAAGGCTTTGACCCTCGTCCTCGCTGCTGCATCTCTGAGAGCTGTTGCTTGCTTGCCTAATGGCTTGAAATCCGCTTACACTGCCCCTGGAGCATTCCCGACATCGTTGTATGCGTCATACTACAATGATCCCACTGCTACTACAGCTGAGCCCCAGCCAGTCGTCTCGGATCCGGTCACAGTGAGTTCTATACCTCTGCTCCCGCTCCCGCTTACCAAATGCACATCATACTATCTAGCATGGAGTATATCCATACTGGTTGACGGACGCGGAGGAGATTCCGCAGGTTCAGTACATGGTCTCTAGTATCCACCTCCCGATCTAATCTTTCGCTAGAACAACACTGAAGAGATCCACCCTCTGCCTCCTCCAGCGACCTCCTCCGTTTTCCTCGAGACGGCGGTCGCACAGATTGTCTCGATCGCAAACAACCCTGTCTTCGCCGATGATACCTGTGCAGCCTGCCAGGCCTCCTTGGTGGTCGCGAAGTTCCTGGCGATGGCAGCGCCTGAGCAAGCCCCGAACCTCGCCGTGCGTCTCTGCGAGTACTTCAATTACAGCACGACACTCGACTGCGAGACGACGTACGGGATATATACACTGGGCTCGGTTATGACGCAGACGATCGCGGCAGCGGACGTCGGCGGCTATGATGGACAGGTCAGGGATACTGCTTCGTGGTTCTTGACGCTTTGTGGCTGATGACGGACATAAGGCGATCTGCAGCGTCTTCCTCAGTCTGTGTCCGAGGCCGCCCACAAGCCCGCTTGACTTGGACAGCTGGTTCGCGAAGCCGAAGCCGAACCCCCTTCCGCCGCCTAAGCAACCCACGGGAGAGCGCCTGCAGATCCTGCATTTGTCTGACTTGCACATTGACCCCCGTACGTACCTTGTGTTCCGCTGAGTGCCTTGCTGTATTGACGGGGGACGCGATAGGTTATGCTATCGGGGCGGAGGCGAACTGCTCTCAGTACCTGTGCTGCCGCGTGAACAGCTACAACGAGAATAGTCTCAACCATACCGTGCAGCCTGCGCCTCGTTTTGGTGCCTTCAACTGGTACGTGCATGCTATGCATGTATAGTATCCTTTCCCCCTCATGGTGCCCGCGTACAGCGACTCTCCTTACCCTCTGATTGTGGCGGCGTTGCAAGCGGTGCCAGCACTGACGGGCACGGAAGAGACAGGCTTCGACTTCACGATCTACACCGGTGATTTAATCCCCCATGACCCCGCCAACGAGCTTTCGAGGTAGGAGGGCGTGCTCGTTCCGCATGCTGCATCCTGACCTGCATTTACGCAGGGCTTACACGGTCTACTCTGAGGTGAGCATACGGCGCATCGCACACTCTTACCCTGTTAATGGTTTTGGATAGTCCGTCTTGTACGATCTTATCAAGCGCCTCGTGAACACCGGGCCTATGTACGCCGTGATGGGGAATCATGACACCTATAACATGTAAGCATAGCGACACAGCTAAACGCACTGAACCCTGACCATACCTTGCCTAGGGCGATGAACTCACCCTACAACATCGGAAACGGTCTGAGAGACCAATTCAACTGGTATGACGCAGACATACAGTGTGTCACGCAAGATGCTGAAACGGCGAAATGGCAGGGACTACGACCATCTCGCTGCGCTGTGGGAGCTCGAAGGCTGGATTGACGCGAATACAGCGCAGCAGGCACGCACGCATTATTCCGCGTACTCTGTACAGCGCCAGGACGGACTGAGGATCATTACGATCAATACGGACTTCTGTACGTATTCAGGCGATTATCATTCTGAGCTTCCTCTGACGGGCTCTACACTGGCAGGGTACACGTACGTTCGAACGGCTGCGTGTGATGTTCATCGCGAGACTGAAAGCCGATGCACAGGCAAAACTATTTCAACTACATCAGCCTAGCTTCCTCGGACAACTCGGGAATGCTGAGGTTCTTGACCGACGAGCTGCAAGATGCAGAAGACGCGGGTGACAGAGGTGGGCCTCATGTAACTCCGTATACAGCGTTCTGACAATCGACCCACTAGTGTGGATTCTGGGACATGTCCTGAGTGGTTGGGACGGAACGGAACCTCTGGAGAATCCGTCGAACCTATGTGTGTACCCTTCGAATGCGTGCATATTACCAGCTCATGGTTCATACGAACAGTCTATCAAATGTAAGCTCTCATATTCCTTCGTGGCTTCGTGCCTAACGTCTCGAAGCGTCGATCGTTATTCGCCACATGTCATCGCAGGTACGTCTATCCTCTACGTTGATGTGGGTGGTGCTTAGCATCACATCAGCGATTTTCTTCGGGCATACACATGAGGATCAACTGACTGTATGTTGACATGTCGAAGTGTCAATGCGTGGCTCACCGAGTTCGCAGATTTTCTATACAAACAACGCCACAAACATCAGCGCCGAGAATGCGCAGACTGTAGCATGGGTGAGGGCAGCTGTCCACGCGGTGATTTCTATGTCTTGACGTTGACCATGCGTAGATTACTCCCTCTGTCACGCCTCTGACGAACCTCAACTCGGGGTTCCGTGTCTACGAGGTGGATTCTGGGGTGAGCCCATTCGTACTCGGTAACATACATAAGCTTGGGAAGCTGACTGATGTGTTAGACGTTCGATATTCTTGACGCCTACACGTACGTTGCCCGACAGACTTTGATACCATGATCGCTTGACTTTCCGCTGCAGATGGCAAACGGACGTCAACGCCTTCGGAGGACTGGATGGACAAACCGAATACGGCCCGACGTTCGAACTCGAGTACAGCACTCGTGAGGCATACGGCGGCAGCATCGCCGGATGGGGACCGGACGACCCGCTCAATGCAACTTGGTGGCATCTCGTCACGGAAGGTGCGTGCGAGACCGATCCAAACTACCTCGTTCACCGACCTACTATCTAACCAGCTATGGAGACGAACTCCTCGCTCGTTCAGTTGTACAACCTGTACCAGAGCAAGAGCTCCGTCATGACACCCGAGTGCACGGGAGAGTGCCTCAGCGCCAAGATCTGCTACTTGCGCAGCGGGAGTGCCAGTCTGGCATTCGCCAACTGTCCGGCTGGGTATGGCAGCACGCAAGGTGGTGCATATCCCTAGTTGAATGGCGGTTTACACTGTGTCCTGATAGTAGAGTTCCATTCCTGACAACGTATGTGTCGCACGAGTCAGTGAAAGACGGGGCGAACACGAACTCACGCGACTGTCAATCAATCTAACGGACACTGCTCCTGTGAGCCAGCTAGCGCAGTGTCAGCCTCACGTACGAAGACGAGTCGATGGCAATGACTGCAGCAGAATGTTGGGTTTGCAAGGATCAGAAGGGTCTCGTGAAGAGAGATCCCCGCCCAAAAACAGTCAAGGGAAGTTAGAACCAAACTTAACGTGCCTGGTGGAAGCAACTCGTAAAAATTGAGGGATGGTGTATGTAGTACATGTCAACTCGGGATCGCTAGTCGTGTCCGGCGGATGAGTTTGGGGGCAGCAGAAAGCAAAACCGTGTTCATGTATTGACTGCTATGCTAAGCGCTGTAGGAGTGTGTTGCAATATCATAGTGTCTCCCATCTTCCGCCCGACGGCGAATTTGTACGGTCTAGCTCGTCAACAACGTCAACGTATGACGCCGACTGTAGAGCCTAGCTAATATTAATATGCACGCATGTCACTGCGTCACTGTGTTCGACGCCAGGAGTATGGCGAGGTCATATTGTCATTGCTTGATTGCCGTCACTGAAATACACGAGCTGCGAACAGGGCCATGTCCGAGTCGGTCCGGGAGCGAGAGCGACATGGTCAAGTTCCGGAAAGCATGAGTTAGTGGTGTCACAGGATCGCGTCGCACCGCGGGACACATGTGATATCCGTTCGATCGAGCGGTAAGTTATAAGGCATCCGAGACGAGCGACTTCCCGTCTTCAACTGCTCCCCGCACGCCCCCTTGCCGCCCTCCCAGCAACAGACTACGACTAGACAACAATGGCCACGAAAGAGCTCAAGCAGCTTACGCGCGAGGAGGTTGCGCAGGTCAGTCTTGCCCCCGATCATCTCAGGAGCGTGACAGTAATGTGCCTGTCCCGATTGGTCGAGTAGCACAACAAGCCCGACGACCTGGTATGTTCGTTGTATATATCCGCTCATTTCTGGTCATGCTCATAGTACGGATGTTTAGTGGATCGTCATAGACTCGAAAGTGTTCGATGTGTCGAAGTTTATAAACCATCATCCTGGAGGGGCGAACGTCTTCCTCGCCGAGGAGATTCGTGCGTCGTCTACCTTGCTCGTGTACCTCCTATCTGTAACCAGGTCACTCTGCGCTGCAGCTGGCCAGGATGCCACAGAAGCTTTCTATGGCCTTCACCGCCATGAAGTACTCCTGAAGCCTCAGTACGCACGGTTGCAGATTGGCACAATAACCGGCGAGAAGAGTCAAATCGTCGGCAATGTGCCGGGTCACTTGAGCGAGGTTCCTTACGCTGAGCCAACCTGGTTGTCGAAGGGATACCACAGCCCATACTACAATGAGGTGCGTCTCATCCCTTTGTTTCTAGGCAGATGCTCAGTATTCCGCAGAGCCATCACCGATTCCAGAAGGCGATTAGGAAGTTCGTTGACGAGGAGATCATCCCGGAGGCGTTGGTAATTGACGTACTGATCGCTCGTGCGGCCTTCACTGACAAGCAACCAGGCACGAGAGGAGGACGGCAAACGGCCGAGCGTCAGTCTTATCAAGAAGATGGGGTACGTCACTTTGCCAATTGTTTGACACCTGTCCAGGTCTAACCTTGTCCTTCAGCGACAATGGCTTGAACGCGATGCGCCTCGGTTCCGGGAAGCATCTCAAGGGCCTGACGTTGATGGGAGGGGCAGTGACTCCCGAAGAGGTACACATCCTAACACATTAGATATTAGTGACTAACGCAGCAATTCCCTCTGCAGTTTGATTACTTCCACGAGGTAGGGGTTCTTCACCATGAGTACCGCCATCAACGTCAATCCTCACCCAAAACACTAGGTCATCCTCAACCAAGAAGCGTCTCGTGCCGGTATGCGTGGCTTCCAAGACGGTTTCAACGGCGGCATGGTCATCGGTCTGCCACCTGTGATGCATTTCGCGAGGCCAGAGCTGCGTGACCGTGTCATGAAGGAGGTCCTTTCCGGCGAAAAATATATCAGCTTGGCGATTACGGAGGCGTTCGCGGGCTCGGATGTCTCGGGCTTGAAGACGACCGCGCGTAAGACTGAAGATGGCAAGTTCTGGATTGTCAATGGTACCAAGAAGTGGATCACGAACGGAATGTGAGTGCAGTGTAACGGCGAGGCTTCGCATGACCAAACAGTTTTGTTCCTACAGGTTCTCGGACTAGTACGTACACAAATCATGACCTCTCACACGAAGTCAGCTTATTTATTCTCATGAACAGCTTCACTGTTGGGTGCAACACCGGCGTAGGTCTAGGTCTCGGCGTGATGTCTAGCAGGATTACTCACAACGTGCACTCTACAGAAAGGCCTGACAGCCATTCTCATTGAGCGTGGCGATGGCGTCGAAACGAAGGCCATCAAGACCTCGTACTCTCCAACGGCCGGAACGGCGTACATTACCTTTGACAATGTCAAGGTACCCGTTGAGAACACGCTCGGGCCCGAGAATGGCGGCGTCTTCGTCATCCTTAGGTACGTCGATCGCTTCCTCCTTAGACATGGAGGTGTTGATCACAGCTGTCCAGTAACTTCAACCACGAGCGCTGGGTCATGGTATGTGCATCCATTCGAGGACAACGGACTATCGTCGAGGAATGCATGAAGTACATTGTTCCATCTACGTCTATCACTACAAGCTTGCTGACTGACTGTTCGACAGGTGGGTCAACCAGCGGAAAGCGTTTGGCAAGCCGCTTAGCTCGCAGGCCGTCATCCGCTCGAAGCTCGCAGCGATGATCGCCCGAGTGGAAAGTATGCAGGCGTGGCTCGAGAACATCACATACCAGATGAACAACATGGTCTGTCTTCGCTGTCTCAGCTGCAGTTGCACATGCTAATACGGACCTACTACAGTCGTACAAGCAACAGGCGGCTCTTCTTGCCGGGTAAGACATCGCGATATGAGACTCGCGAGCAGCGAAAGGTCTGATGCACAACGTACAGCCCGATCGGTCTGCTCAAGATGGAAGCGACACGTACTGCACAAGATACTGCCCGTGACGCAGTGCAGATTTTCGGTGGCCGCGGTATCACGAAGACGGGGATGGGTCGCATGATCGAACACGTACGTCTGCATCGTTTCTGATCCTGTCTTGCGTATCTGACACGTACCGTGTTTTTAGTACCACAGGACCGTGCCCTTCGATGCTCTTCTGGGCGGAGGTAGGCTATTACATCACCCTCATTGCGGCGTTGAGTGCTCATGCGTATCGCCTCGTACTAGCGGAGGACGTCCTGGGCGACCTCGGTGTGCGCCAGGCGATCAAGAACATGCCGAAGGGCGCCAGGCTATAGTCGTGATTGTCGCGCATGGTGTACTGACGGAAGTAGCACTCGGCTTTCGAGGCTTTGTGATAAAGTTATTGGCACTCTTATTCCTCTCATTTCGCGACGTTGGATGTATATTACTCTCAAGACGTTTGCAAATCATCTGGGCATTTGTACTGTTTTTGTGTGCTCCTTTTCCATGTATGTCACTCTGCTGGCGCTGCTCAGCGTTGTCGTCTTAAAAAAATGGAATCCTCTTGGCCGGGGACCACAAGTTTCGTTTACCAGAAAGGAAACTTGATGGCACCTGTACTACGTAAGCGCCCCTGTACTTCATTCTTGATCAACACCGCTGGCAGCGGGCGTGGCCATGCGACACAATGGACGATGCTCAGAGCCCTCTACGGTGCCCCATTCAGTCTCAGCGCGAGCGGTCACTGTTGTGTGACTAGTACTCATGATCTGCGGCACCGGGGTGTCAGGCTTGATATCGCACTACGTACGCGTTTCATGGCGAAGACTAATTACCATGACGGTACGTCTACTACTGCGCGACACCGGCGGGGACTCTGACTGACGTCCCGCGCAGGAAAAACAGAGTACGGTGGAGAGCCTGGCTCGGTCGGCGCGCATACTCTGACGATAGTGTCACTACAGAGAGGTTCCGAGTCTGTGGCGCCCATAGAAACGACTGCGACTGCGAGGACGAACGTTGTCAATACGAAGACGCGTCAAGAGCTATCTTCATGGTGCCGATCGCGCAGTGAAATAGCCACAGAGATGCTGACTCCTTGACAGCTCAATGCATCAGGAAGACCCGAAGGCCCGCCAGGGCCTTGGAGGGCCGCCCGTACGAGGCTGGCGCTATGACCACGGTGTCACCGCATTCCGAATAGCGTTTCAGGGAACAGATTTCCTGGCCAATGACGGCCTGTGACGCAGAGCAAGGATCTCCTTGAGCGCCTCACGTCGGTGAATTGAGGTCAGACAGACCTATATGAAACGGGTGAGCGAGATATTTTGTTCGTGACCACGGCGGTGCGCTCAATCGGTTCCTTCCAGTCATGGTCAAGTTTTCCATCGCGCTTTCTGGCCTGTTAGCTCTCCTCCACGCTGCTCTGTACTCCAGGGGTGTCTACGCGGCTGCTCAGAGTGTACACGATCGCGACTCTTCCTCCTTCGAGTCGAAATGTTCCTCCTTCAGTCTGCTAAACATCTCTATCGCTAATGTTACGAGCACCAAGTATTATCCTCACGGTTCGACGGTCAACATGTCGACCACTATTTCCAGTATTGACACGGACGACCTTCCGGATTTCTGCCGCATCGAACTCACTGTCACGACCAACTCCACGGCGGACTCCAGGTGCAACACGGAGCTCTGGCTGCCCACTACATGGAACGGGAGATTCTTGGCTATAGGCAACGGCGGCTTCGCTGGGGGCAGTGAGTTCGCTTGTCTACATATCTCTGCGCCCGCTGTCAGACTGACCCCGTCGGCATCACCGACAGTCAATGTGGGGGAATTAGGTTACGTCGCTGTCAATCAGAGTTGTGCGTCGATATTTCCCTACTTACACGACGCGCGTATTGATGCGTTCATGAACTCCGCAGACGCTGGAATGTCCACGAACCAAGGCCACAACTCCACAGTGACTAGTGTTACGTGGGCCGGGCCGCATAACGACGTGAGCGCGGTACAACCGTGGTCGTCAATTGACTGACAGGTCAGGTACATAGAACGCTATCGTTGACTGGGGTTGGCGGGCTATGCATCTCAGTGTGGTCGTTGGCAAGGAGGTTGTTCAGCAGTACTATGGGTCAGCGCAGAATCACTCGTATTACATTGGGTGTTCTCAAGGTACGTGCGCTTTTTTGAGTCGCTTTGTCGACCAACCTCCTGATATACTTATAGGCGGTCGTTCTGGGTACGTCCACATTCGTCCACTTTGGGGTAGTACGATTCCAACAGGCTGCAGGCTCAAGGAGATGCAGTTATACCCTGACGAATTTGACGGCCTAGTAAGTGTGCTGTGCCTGGTTCCGGCGGTTGCCAGCTCAAGCTGGCACAACAGGTCATAGGCTCTCCGGCAGCCTGGCATTCTCACCTACGGATGTGGGCTGGGTATCTCTATAAACTCGCAGAACCGAGCACCTCCGATCGCTATATCGACCCCGCTCTGTGGACAAACGTCATCCATGAAGAAGTGCTGAATCAGTGTGATGCTATCGACGGGGTAGGTCGATCACACGTCGTAACAGGAATGAGTCTGAATCTGTGATGTAGCTCTCGGATGGGATTATCAATGACCCCAGGCTTTGCGAGTGAGTAGGGCAGTTTTTGCTCTCCATACTAACGGAATAATCTTCGATCAGCTTCAACGCATCTGCACTCGCTTGCCAATCCGGCCAGAATTCGACAACCTGCCTCAGTAGCATTCAGGTTGAGACGTTTGAGAAGGCCTACTCTGACTACATCGTCAATGATCACTGGGTATTCGGCTCATATTACCCAGGCGGAGAAGTCGGATACAGCACGGGCTATACGGAGAAAGTCTCTACAGTGTCTCAAAGCTGGTTCCGCTACATGCTTTTAAAGTAGGTGTACCACGCAGACGTCAACTACGTTTCATAGTTCACACCCATTGTAGCGACACCACATGGCAGCTTCGCGAATACAACTCGTCTCTGATTGCTAGAGGCGACGCCATCGACCCTGGACAATCGGACGTTCGTGTTCCTATTCCCGGCTTGTGTGCTCTGTTGACCGCGAACTCCTAGGCTATTGACCCCGACCTCGGTGCGTTTGCCGGGTCGGCGCATAACGGGAAGCTGCTTCATTATGTCGGATGGGCAGACCAGATCATCAGCCCTGGTGCAAGCATCCACTACTACGAGACTGTGAAGAACTTTACGCGCGACAATATGCAGGTCGAAATTGATGACTTCTATCGGTTGTTTACTGTCCCTGGAATGGAACATTGGTGAGTACATTCGTTTTTGAGTGCATGCGTGGCCTCGTCTTAACTCTCCCTTCTGCAGTTATGTGAGATCTTCTCGACCGCTGTAGCGATGTGTCCATATGGCTGACTGCACAGTCAGGGTGGCAACGGCGCAAACGCGTTCGGTAGCGTGCAGCAGGCGTCCAACAATATGCCGCCTCTGAACCATGAGCCCGAATATGATGTACTCGCTGCTATGGTTCAATGGGTCGAACAGGGAATCGCTCCTTCCAACCTGACCGCCGTGCACTACAAGGACAATGACGTGGCGAATGGCATCGACGCAATCCGTCCACTGTGCCAAGTGCGTTTGTGTTCCCAGTTAACAGGGCCACTACTCACATCTTTTCTAGTACCCGAAATCCCTTTATTATACCGGCGGCGACGAATTGGACCCTGACTCGTATACTTGCAAGGAGGCGATTTGAGCCCTATATAGCCTATACGGAGTTCTTGCGGCATTCGTGGAATGAGGTGGTACTGATACGTACATCGGTACACAAGGAATCGGTGTCGTTCGGCTTCACCTTCATTACAGTACTCGATCTATACGGACATCACTGTTGCATCCAGATTCCACTAACTTGCTTAGCTACTGAACCTAATACCACGCACGGACTTTACTACCGTTCGAGCTATGATCAAAGGGGGTGGCAATGAAGTATGTATGATCTCATCGTCGACAAGTTCCAATCATAGTACTTGTGAGACATTCGCACAACAGTACGCTGAACCAGCTGCAGGGCCAGAAGCCCCGAAGCAAAGTAGGGGAAAAGATAAAAGATAACGGTTTACTTCGCAAGGAAGTATGAGTCCAAAGATTGTAACACGGCTTTGATATGGAGATCGTACACGGAATCCCCTAGTAAAAGGCGAGGGGATTGTTTGTTGCACCATCTCCAGCCGTTATGTGGTGAGTTAGGGTAACAGGACACGCGACGTAGTTTTGCATTCGGTGTAGTCCGCGGGGTGGGCGTCTCCCCAGATCTACGGCCGGTGATTGGGCGCCATCACTCGTTGCTTGAAGTTGTCTGGCCCCTCAATATACTAGTCAACGAAGTCGTGAATAGCTATTAGCGGACAGGCCCTACTAGTACACGCAGGCTTGCACAAGTTATGATTGGAACATGGCTACTGGTCACAGTACATCGTCGCCGTACTGAGAATCATTCAATGCTCGAGAGACCATTCAAGAAGTCAACGTAGACAGAGCCCGTGTACACTACATTGGTAGTACTACGCGATGAGTGACCTCACATGACGCCGTCAGCATCCCGTCTTGACGCCTCGGTACGGCCCATAGGTATCAGCAAACCTGCCCTCGAGAACCGAGCTGACTCGGACAGCGCCCGCAATACACCGCTTGTCAGCGTTGTCCCGACCAGGGCATGAGACCCGCGCTCGTAGTTCTCGATGCGTACCTCGCCCCCCGGCTGCCCATAGTATTCGCTGCGTCTTCCTGGCACAATGGGCGTCGGCGCTCTCTTGTTGTGTATGCGCGCGATGTTGATGTCCTAGAGGTCCAAAATGTCCAGCATGCGGCACGCGGTATCCGACGAAGCTCACTTGCGCTCCGATCAGCTTAAGCTTGACGTATAGCGCGTCGAGAAGAGCAACCGCGCCAACTTCAGCGACCGGTCAGCTGGGTCTGAGAAGGGGACGGCAATGAACGCACCGGTCGAGTGGCCCACAACCGTCACCGTGAAGGTTGCCCCGTGAGTGATATAATGAATAACCATCGTTTGCTGCACGGCCGACAGCACATAGTTCGCGGATCTAGTATAGCATATCAAGAGCAAGTCCTACATGGCCATGGACTGGATGACTTACTTCGCATAAGAGTTTGCTATGCCGGTATTGCAGACTACGGCCTGCGTGAAGATAAAATGGCGCGCGACCAAATTTCGTCTTCGTAAACTGTGCGGTCCTCAAAATGCAAGTCCCGTGTCTCAGGATCCAGGGCTAATGGTGAAGGACATTAGTAGAACACAGATTCTGAGAAGCGGCGCTCTGGCGCGAGATAAAGATTGGATCCAACTTGGAGTCATAGCCGACTGGCAAACCCTGCACGAAACATTGAGCATGTTGATAATCAATGACTGCATACTCACAAGATGGGTGCCTCGGAACTGTTTACCTCCTGATGCGGCGGGCTTGAAGCCTGAATTAGCTTCGCAGTTGGGACCCCAGCTCCACGACTTCATTTTGTCCGGTTTGCAGTAGCCTGCACTAGGTATAGCCTAGGAGGCTGCAACGTCCTTGGAGTTCAAAAGAGTGATCGCATCGTGGCCGACTCTGCCGTAATTGACGAATGAAGGTACTATCCACCTCGAGCTGGCAAGGCCGCCTCTCGCCTAGCTCCCTCAATAGTAACCTGCATGCGAGAGGCCAGCGGTCGCACACTGTGTGCGCGGATGGTCAAACACAACTCATGCGAATTAATATATCTGTCTGGTGTGCTTCAGCCTTTGACAACTGTGATCGTGATATTCATGAGTACCTTATACGAGTTACAGCCGCCACGTCTGAAGCTCGAAGTCTCACCCATCTAATGATGAGACCGAGAACTGCCCTGTCTGCCGACCGTGCGGTGCTCTGACAGAACGGCGCAACCAGCCGAAGCGTTGCCTCATCTGCATGCAATCGCTGTGATTTCTTGTTCCATGCTTCTGACAGACGATTTACAGTTCCTATGATGATTGCACTGCATGACCGTGGATGGATACCTAGTTTCACAGCGATCCAGCATAGATTCTGAGACACGCCGGTCTCAGTATACCCGGCGAGTTGAGCGTGGCGATTTTCGTTGGTAACACAGAGTCTCGAATCGCAGAGTCGTGGTGGCTGCATCAGTTTCCTGATTTGGCATCGACAATCAAGGCACGGCAGATGCCGAGACGGGTGACGAGCTGGACTGGCCGTGGGCGTCCGAGCCTCGTCTTGTTCTCCATCCTTCCACCTCCTCGTCTCTACCTCCACCCGCGACCACCCTCTGACGGTCTCTCTATCCTCCAGCAACGCCGCCCACATTCTCCAAGAAGAGGCAAATTCTGCCAAGTCATCGGACGCCGTCATCTGCATCCAGTCCTAGCCTGTAAGAAACCCCTTCACTTGTTGCGTCGACGTGCCAGTCATCCCCAGCAGATCTTGTTATCTGACCCGCTGTATCCTGTCGCATCGCTGTCTATTTGTCTGTCGATACTCGCACCCTCCTGTCGTATCCTCAGAAGTGCAACGAAGTTTTATTCCACTTCACCTGCCTGAGTCCTGCAAAGATGCCTGAAGACGATTTTGACATTTATGGGGAGGATGAGGGGTTCAACTCCACTAAGCCTGTAGAGGTGAGCATGCGCCATGTGTTCCGTTTCAGGTGCTAAGCGGCGGCGAGCATCAGGGTCTTGAGGAGGAACAATACGCACCCGACACGAACGAAATCAAAAGTGAACACCGCTCGAGCTCCCCCGTCACTGGAGAGAAGAGACAGCGCGAAGACGACGATCATGAACCTTACGAGCGGGCGAACGGCGGTCATTCATCGCCACCCAAGGAGCACGAGATTCTGTCTGCATCCGCTGATACACGGAGCCCCGGAGCGTCTAACAGTTATCCTGGCGGGACAACACCTGGTGTGCAGTCGGTCAACAGCGGTACAGCTGGACAGGGTGCCTTTGACGCGTTGTACATCGGTGATCTGCAATGGGTCTGTTTGTTCATACGCCTAGGTTCACACACGCATGTCATTCTGAGATTTCCATGCAATTCGTTTTCCTTTACAGTGGACGACTGATGAGGACTTGCGGCAAGTGGCGCTCAACGTTGGCGTATCACTGGACCACAAAGACTTCACCTTCTCCGAGCATAAGGTAAACGGCAAAAGCAAAGGGTAAGCGTGAATATATGCGTTCCATTGAGTCGATATATTCATGACATGTTCGCAGAATTTCATATGTGGAATGTCATAGCTTCGAGAATGCGTCTGCGCTTAAGAATTGGTTCGACAACAAGTAAGGATCGCCCTCTCTCTCGTTCGTGAGCAGTTTATTGACCTCTTTCACAGCGACTTCCAGAACCGCCGAGCCACGGCGAATTATACAAGCACGTCACAGGGAAACCCCTTCCGGACGCTGCCCAAAGGTTCGTGAATCGCATACATATGGAGCCTGTCGCTCATCATACGTCGCAGAGCCTCCGCCGCGTGAGATGCGCCACGGCGGCGGCCAGATGCAAGGAGGATTGGGAAACACCGGACGCGGCGGTGGCAACTTCCGCGGTGGCGGCGCCGCGGCCGCGCAGAACAACATGGGTATGGGCGTGCGCGGCGGCATGATGGGCAACGGCGGCATGATGCGCGGCGCTATGCCCAACATGATGGGCATGGGAATGGGTACCATGGGCGGCATGGGAGGTATGGGTATGGGTATGGGCGGCATGGGCGGCGGAGGCATGGGCATGGGCATGGGCGGTATGGGCGGCGGGCGCGGCGGGATGATCCCGCAGGGCCCGCGCGGCAACATGATGGGCCGTGGCGGCGGCGGCATGATGAATGGCGGAATGGGTACGGTGTTCTAGGACGACGTCCGTTTTTTGTACTGGTGACTTGGTGACTGATCCGTGTCGTATGTCTGTGTAGGAATGGGCATGATGCCGATGGGCGGCAGAGGCGGGTTCGGAAACATGCAGGGGCACTTCAACCCTGCGTTCATGCAGGGCGGTGGGGGGAGCGGGCACTTTGGGCCGGACGGTCCGAGGAAGAGGTTCAAGATGGAGGACAGTGCATGAACATAGAGCATACGGAACCACGTCCCGGGCGTGCAGACCTTCGGACAGCTTCATTCCGCACACACACTTTGCCCTCCCCATTCGCTCGTCTTAGCTATCGTGAAGCATTGTTTCCATATTGTAGTCATCGTACTGTAACTCCCTCGCAGCTCAATCGCATCTGGTGAATTTTCCTAATTGCATTTGTCCATGGGAGGCTGATACATGCATATGCGTGATCTACTAATGTGTCGGTGCGAGTGGAGAATAAGATAGGTGGCGATGGTACAATGATGCAGCAGTATACGAATAGACATACAGAGAAACATGGTAAGATCTGAAGTTAGAAGCCAAGAAGAGTAGTGTCGAGTTTGAAGGATATGGTCATACCGACACTGGAGCGTGTCGCTGTGAGAGATGGAAAGTATCAACCTCTTCGGTCCCGCGATTCCTTCTCCTTTCGCTTGCGCCGCTTCTCTTCTTCGTGGCGCTTTTCCGCCTCCATCGCAATCTCGTCCTCTTTCCGAGCGATACGCGCACTGCAGACAAGCATCAGCAACAGTCATAGTGAGTCAACAGGCAAAAATTGTTCTCCGAGACGAAGAGTGAGATTAACACTGACCTTCTGAGTTCCTCCCTCTCGAGGTCACTCGCACCCGCCTCCATGTCCTCGTCGTCGCTCATCACATCGGCAGCGACATAACGGGAGCGATCCTTGCCAAACAATTTCCAAATTTCGGAGCTGATATCGTTCCCTGAGGATGTACCACGCTTCTTGGCAGGTGGCGGAGACGGGCTCCGCGATGAAGACGACGAGAGGGAACGCTGCCTCTTCCGAGGGACAGGCTTGCTAACTGGGGCCGCGAGTTTCGATGACGTGGTCGCAGTCACCCTGCTAGAGGCTACCGGTGTCCTAGAACTCGTGGAGGGTACCGACTTGGTCGGCAGCGGCCTTGACGGGGCTGGTCGTTGTACTGAGGAAGATTTGGGCATGGTAGTGGAGGACGACGGGCGAGGCGGATTCGGAGTCTTGGCGGCAGGAGACGCAGACCCACTCTGGGTTCTCTGCAGAGCTGTCTTCTGGCTGCTGCCGCCTGCAGGGGTATTGGCTCGCGACGTCGACGTGGAGCCGACCTGCGAGACAACCTTCGTCTCCTTGGCCTTCCCGAACCAGTCCTTGAAATCCTTGGCCTCCTCGCCCTCCAATGTCTTCGCTTTTGCCTTCGCACGGTCCTGCAGAATCTCGTCAATCGTCCGAGTGTCTCGTTTGTTAACGTTGAGCTTTATGAGCGTGGCAGGCGCCTGCGCGAGGCGCTGCCGCACCGACATCGTGCTCTTCCCATCCGACTGCGCACCGTTGTTGCTCGTCGTGATGTCCACCGCACCGCCCGGGAGGCGCCTCCCCGCCTTCGAGTAACCCGACGAGTTTGCGCGGCGGCCGCCGTTCGCCCCATGGCGCATCTCGAGCTCCATTCGCCGCTTGCGCTTCTCCTCGCGCGTCAGCGCATTCGCGCCCGCATCCTCGTCCTCGAGGTCCGAGCCCGAGCGGCCCTTCCGCCCGCCCGCCCGCGAGACGGGGTAGCCGTTGGCGTCCGTGCGCCCTGCCTTCTTCGGGCCGTGCAGCACGCGGGCGCGCTCCTCGTCCTCGCGCCGCTTCTGCTCGTGCTCCCGCGCCTCGCGCTCACGCTCGAGCCGCGCCTGCCGCTCCTGCTCCCTCTTCTCCTCCTCGAAGCGTTTGAGCCGCAGCTTCGCCTCCATCTCGCGCTCCCTGCGCAGCTTTTCCTCCTGCTCCCTGCGCTTCTGCGCCTCCCGCCGCTGCTTGTCCGCCAGCGCGGACTGCACGGCGGCCTCGGACTGGCGTGTCTGTGTGGCGCTGAGTGCCATGAGCGCAGCGAAGGAGGACATTCTGGGGTCGTTAGATCGTTAGGGAGGGCAGCGAGTGATATAGAGACCGTCCAGGTGTCGAATGGGGGGAAGGCGAGCAGGGCAAGGGCAGTGAAGATGGTCGTTTGTAGTCAAGTTGCAGTGCCGCTCAATGGGCTGGTGGCTCGGCCGTACATATACAGCAGTCGCGTGCCCGAGGCATCCGGGCGTCTAAGTATCCCACTTCGCGCGGACAATAGGTGGGTCCTGAACAAAGCAGTCCTCCTGTATTTCTTTCTGTCTACGCAGTCATGGCACGGTACTACCGAGAGGTGTCGCACTGGGGATAGGGTAGATGCACAACAGATATGGTGTGAACGACGCGCAGCGTGCCGGGCTGCGGATCATGAACTCGAGTCCTCGTCTTTCCAGACCTGCGCGGGCAGCAGCATTGCTCCTCCCAGGGCTATGATGGCAAGGAATGTGAGGAATAGATAGATGAACATGCCCCCTAAGAGGTGATGTGATTCATCGATGGAGAGGGAGAAGATGGAGTTGGCCATGGCGGGGCCAATTGCGCGCATGATGGACACGCTCATTTGGGAGAGACCGTTCACGGAGCCCAGTGAGGCTCTGTTGGGTGACGAGGCAGTGATGAAGATGAAGACGCTTCCTGAACAATCGATGAGTAAACATCCTCCCATGTATAAGACGTAACGTACCATAGCAGAAGTTCACCGGGATGGAAATGAAGGACTGCAACGCTATGAGGGCCCACATATTGACGCTATGACCCTCCTCGCGTGCAACGAAGTTTATGACGGGCATCAACGCGAATACGGGGAAAGCCGCGATCAGCCCATACACATAAATCCTCTTTGCGCCGAAATGGTCGGTCAACTTCGAGAACGTGAGGATTTGCAGCGTCCCGTTCGTAATTCCGTACACCGAGAGGATTGCGCCAATGGCCTGCGGCGACAATCCGAGGCCGCCCAAGGCGATCGGTGTGGACATCCACACCGGGAGAACGCTGCGGTAGCTGATATCAACTACGGCAAGGAGAGCGTAATTCCCGGCGGAGATGATCACACGCGGGATCAACAGGGCTCGAAGCGGCAGTGGTTCTGAACTTGACGTTTTGCCTGACGCAATGGGTGCTACTGGCCGAGGGCCGTCTGCACCCGCGACGTTTTGGAGAGTGAGATTCGCCTTGCTCTTACGGAGGTTGAGCAAGCGGCGGAGAGAGATAGGTGTTTTTACGGTCTGCAGATAACCTGAATTAGATTTGGAACGGGTGATGATGGTGATCGACGCACCTCCTTCAAGAGGAACAGCGTTACGAACAAGGCTAGTGCTGAGAATGTCGCGGGTACAGCACAGGCAAGGAAATAAGGATATTTTGCCATAAATTCGTTATGCCCGAACAAGGTCGGGAATCGTTCATGAGGTCGTGATAATGAGCCACCGATCATGGGACTGATGCAAAGAGCAACATCCGTCAGAAATTGCCAGCAACGCGTCGGGCTACTGTTGACTCACCCTAGAGTGCCGCCAGTCATCCACGCAAGTGGCAAGTATGCGTATGCATCCGCAATATTTGTTGAGTCTGTAATTTCCGCCATCATGCTCTTGAGCACGCCGATATTACCGTTCAAGGCTCCGTTGAGACTCCGGCTACGGTGACGCGAAGGGGAGTATGCGGGGGACGTTGAATGTGTGCGACAAGGGTACTGAACACTGAGCTTACCTGATTACCAGACCCCAGAATGTACGCGACATCCCGAAGCTGTACATGGATAATGACAGTCCAAAGAGACCGATCATGATAACGGGCTTCCGTCCGACGCGGTCAGATAAACGGCTCCAATGCAGGACGGTCATGGCCTGCGTGGCGAAGAAGAGGGAATGCTGAAGGCCGTTGCGTTAGCCCACCCGCTGCGGAATTTCTTTGCAGATGCGTACCATGAGCCCAACGTAATACCCGACCTTGGCTTCATCCCCTCCGGTGATACCAATGTTACGGATGAGCTGTCAAACGCTGTGTGTCAGTCTGTGCAACCTTGCGGCTCTCAAGAAGAGTCTGCTAACGTCGGGGGCGAAGGGGGAAATGACTTGGCTCGTCAGTGGCTCTGCTAATTGCAGGACGAGCAGGATGGAGAGTTGTGCCCATGGGATGGGCGTTTTCGTCGGCTTCGCTCGCTGCTGGCCGTGCAGTAGGGGAGTCTCCTCGTCACGGCGGTCGACGACGGTCATCGTAGCGGGAACGTGAGGTCGTGGACACTTTAGTAGTACAGACTAAGGCGCCAGACGGGTTGGAGGACGTCCACCGGGAGTACGGGCGAAGGAACGCGACAGCAATCGGGGAGACATTGTACGAGGCCTTATATAGAGTGCCATGGGACGTCTGGAGGTTGTTAACTCGACCGGCTGGGCTCTGCGCGAGTCAGCGAACCGATCCTTATCCTTACATAAGCGCTTACGCTCCCGCACACCATCCACATCGATTGTACGTCGTCGCTTGCCTTGGCCTCTCATCCGCTTCCGACCTGGCTTCTGCTCGACGACGAGAAGGCCGTATGACGAGGGGGGAGTAGAGGTGGGAGTAGAGAAGCAGGAGACGGGTGGGCGAAGGCGCGGACGAGGTATGCCATGGTTTGAACCTTGCGGTAGCCTCCCGTCGTCGCGTCGCAGCAGGACCCTGACGCGTCATTTCTAGATTCTACAGGCCTCTCCTCTTGTTTTTACGGTCTGGCGATCTTGTTGTCCTCCATGACAGTGCGCGGGAGACGGGGGACGAGCGGTGAGACGGGGGACTATCATAGACTAGTGGAAAATAATTTCTGGTGCGCGCTCGCAATTCACAACACCTGACACAGACGCACTACCCTCCAGCGAGCTCCCGGTCCGTCGCGGCCGTGGACTGACAATTTTAGGACGATAAATCAGTCCCCCAGATTTTCTTCTGTTGTTCTATCATATGGCTTGACAATGACGGTAAGAAATATTGATTCCCCGAGCGAGCCACGGTCAACGCCACCCGCTCGCAGAGGGGCTGCGATGCTTCCGCTAGGAATGCCAATGGGACCTTGTGGGCGTGCACCAGCTAGGGGCTGCGAGGTCTAGGGGATTAGTTTGTCGGTCCGCGCATACCACACCCATAAATGTACGTACTCGCCGTCTCTTCGATTTCTCCCACTCGTCCCTACCCCCGTTTGGACTTCCCATTGTTCTACCAGTATAGGCGGTCGTTGCTTCGCGACCACCGTATTGCCTTTTCCCGTAAGCTTTCCCTCGATGTGACCATGCACAATCCGAATAGGGACATAGTCTCATCGCCATCAGTGCTTCTTCGGCCAAAGGCCAGGCGGATTTCGGATTGTTCCCGCTAACACGAGGCTCGCATGCGTCTTCAGGGTCCAGCCAGCGTAGGCGAGCATAGCCTCACCGTGTCTTCCCCCTTGTGCAATTTCCGCCGGCATATTCGCGGACTCACAACAGCGCATAAGCGACCGCTAACCAGTCTTGGCCAATGTTCATTCGTGGCCACAATCGTGATACGCGCCCGAGCCACACAACCCTCCCGGAAAGGATGTATCGTTCTTGTCCTCTTTGGCCTAGCTGACTCGTGCAATTGGCCAAGTAGACGCGCACAAGGCCGCTTCGCCACAGTATAAATACCCCGCACTCTCTGCACAGGATGGACAACAGCTCCAGCACCGCCTATAAGGACAGCTCTTGCTCTCTTCCCTCTCCTCTTATACCGAGCCATCATGCATATGCGCAAGAACTCGCCCATCGCCATGGTGTCTTCTTGCACAGAGCCCAGCGCCATGCTCGACCCGGCAGACGTCCCTCGAACGCCCCGACTGGCGCACGCCACAATCAAGCCGTCCCCTTCTCCCCCAATCACCAAGGAATGGACCACAGGTATATCCCGCTCCTCTAGCGCCACAGAGCTCTATCGTCGATCATCGCTATCCCCAGATTACAGCTATACGTTCACGCCACCGACCAGCAATGGACGAGGCAAGGCTCCCGTACATGGGAAAGCGGCGCAGCCATACACTACTGTGCACCGTAGCGGGACGCCACCACCATCACGCTCAAGACAAGGATCTCCTCACAGCCGCCTATACAACATCTATTCAGTCCCGGAAGACAATAATGAAGTTATATACATGACGGGTAACCGGGCGCCACTGATCACCGCCGATCTATATCGCGAATTATCAAGCATAAGAGAGCCATCTCCCAGGCCACGCCCACAAGTGTCGCGCCCGCAAGTATTGAGTGCACGCCCGCAAGTCACACGCCCGCAAGTCACACGCCCGGAAGTCGCACGCCCGCCCGCCTTGAGTTCACGTCGCGCGGAAAGCGTCCTTCATCGGGATGTTGCGCAAGAGGCTGTAGTCATATATGAGACAACGCGCAAGGCCTCCACGCCGCCGGTGCCAGACAAGCTTTCAGACAAGGATTATACTCAAGGCTCTCCTTCGCAATCTCAAGAAGACAATAAGCAGTTGTCATGGCCCCCGGCGCTGTCGCAGCAAGACAAGCCCGCATCAGTCGCTACGAATGAAGCAGCGGAAGTGAAGGAGCAACTCAAGTCCTGGCACCCTGGCAAGCCGTTCCCCTCACCACCCGGCCTCTGCCTCAGCCACGCACCGCGCAAACAAGGAATCTATGACAACGAAGGCATAACGCTGTCGCAACCCTGGCCATCTCCAATCGTCGGCGCCAACGCAAGCCCCGGCAGCGACAAAGCTGCGGATGACGCATCTGACAAGGCTTGCGACGATGAAGACAAGGAAAACATGCAAACGGACGATATTGTGGAATGGGTCCAGCTGCAGAGAGCCATCTCTGCAGCGACAACTGTGCCCGTCGTGCCCGCTGTGTCCGTCACGCCCGCCTTGCCCGTCGTGTCTGTCGACGCCGACGCAGCCCCGCCTATCCATCGGAGGCTACCACCTGGCGTTTGGAACGCGCCCAGGATGCCGTCGCGCCTGACACTGGAAGAGATGGAGCGGCCCAGAGGTGGCTACTGGCCTCCGCGCAACCACAAAGGCGTACCATGGCGGTCCTATGCCACGAAGCTGTCAATGCTCGAGTCGGAGCGCTTGAAGTACGTACTGTCCCCTTCGTCGTTGCTTGCAAGAGCTGACTTATATTCTGTGATTAGTGATAAGTGCATCGAGGGGACATGTGGGCCATGCTGGAGGTGTGCACATGCATCGGAGCCATGGCTGCGAATGTACTGGTGGTGGGGTTACCTCGCTAAGCACCATCCGGAGCTAGCTGAGAGGAGGGAGCAGCGGGAAAAGGTCAAGGGGTCGGACTGCGATACAGGTATTCAGGACAAGGCTTTCTAGTTGTATGCTCACGGACTCGGAAGACACTCATCACGCATCAGTTCATGTAGCCATATGTGCAAACCTCGTACTTTTATGCTGTATGTCACGCGATACCTGTAGACACTATGAATATACCGTATCATTTCTTTGCACGAACTTCATGCACTACTTACCAAGCTAAGAATACACCATGCGCGAAGTTTCAGAACAAGTTGTATGCCCTGGCCAAAGGCAAGCGCTCCGCAGGCTCGATATCCATCAAGACATCATCCGCCCGTACTTCGTAGCTCTCCGGGTCGACCTTCATTGTCGGGGTAGCAAAGTTCCACTTCATGTCCTTCTTCGTGACATTCCTACAGTTCTTCACAGGTTCGCAGCGCTTGTTGAGCCCATAGCGCTCCTTTATCCCCAGCTCGACCGAGATGCCAGAGACGAACGCCACCGAATTCAGTGCGGCCGACATGGCGTGAGACCCCCACATCGGTCGTCCCATGAAGGGCTGGACCGTTGGGATGGACGCGTTTGCGTCACCCATCTATGACTCTGATGTGAGTGCTTATACAATCTATTGAACGTCGAGCGCTCGTGACGCACCTGCGCCCATGCGATGACTCCAGACTTCAGCACCATTTCGGGCTTGACGCCGAAATTCTCTGGCTTCCAGAGGACGAGGTCCGCAAGCGTACCCGGGGTAAGCGAGCCCACCAGATGGCTGATTCCATGGGTGATCGCACTGTCATTCAGCTGCGTCAGAGGAGAGCTCGTCGACTCGGGAGGAACTGACTCACGGGTTGACAGTGTATTTGGAAATGTACCGCTTGACCCGGGAGTTGTCCCGTCCGGCGACGTCGCCCTCGAGGGTCAGCGGGCCGCGGAGCTCCCGCAACTTGCTCGCGGTGCGCCATGTGCGGCTGATGACCTCGCCGACGCGACCCATTGCCTGCGAGTCGGAACTGATCATGGAGATCGCGCCGATGTCGTGCAGGACGTCCTCGGCGGCTACTGTCTCTGCGCGAATACGCGATTCAGCGAATGCGAGGTCCTCGGGGATGGACTTGTCCAGGTGGTGACAGACCATGAGCATCTGTCGAATAAGCGTGACACATGGGCTCGAAATCTTCCGCTGTATGACTCACGTCAAGGTGCTCATCCAGAGTGTTGTTGGTGTATGGTCGCGTGGGGTTTGTGGACGAAGGTAGTACATTCTCGAGCTCGCAGACGACGATGATGTCCGGAGCATGCCCGCCACCTGCGGAACTGTCAGGAAATTGGCATTTCAAAATATGAGGCGCAGCATACCTGCTCCTTCTGTGTGGTACGTGTGGATTGTTCGGCCACCGAACGCCTCGATGGTGCCTAGTCAGATAGTTTAGAATGAATCACCCAGAAACGGTAAACTGGTTTACTCTCGACAAATCCACTTTCATTCAAGGTATCAGTGTGGATGTTCACCTGGCCCTCTCGATCAATACATGGAGTTACCAATTCAGACCTTGTGACGTACCTGAACATCATACTTGTCACCCACGTCAAGGGCCTTCGCAATCACCGAGGGAGTTGAACCCCAATCCTCATGCAGCTTGAGCCCGGCAGCACCGGCCTTGACGATCTCCTCCAGCGCAGTCTCGCCCGAGTCGTTACCTTTGCCGGTGAATGCGAAGTTCATCGGCAGCGTGTCCGTCGCAGCCAGCATATGCCGCATATAGAACGGACTCGGGGTACACGTCGTCGCGTTTGTGCTCGCACTAGGCCCGGTCCCGCCACCGATGACCGTCGTCACGCCCGATGCAAGGCTCTCCGTTATTTGCTGCGGGCAGATGTAGTGCACGTGTGCGTCGATCGCGCCCGTGGTAACAATGAGCTTCTCGCCGGCGATGACTTCCGTGGAGGAGCCGACGATGAGGCTCGGATGCACGCCTTCCATCACGTCTGGGTTCCCCGCTTTGCCTATGCCTACGATCTTTCCGCCTTTGACTCCGATGTCGGCCTGTACGGTGATAATGAGCATATATGCGCCTGCCTCCTCGAGGAACGTTGCTCGCCTTGTAAATTCCAGTCCAGTCGACGATCAATGCGCTTGTGATTACCAGGTCGAGGCAGTCTGCCTCCGACCGATTGGTAGCTTGGCCCATGCCCTCTCGGATAGTCTTCCCTAGAAGAGAATGTAAGGGATCCGGATGCGACCGAGATCAGTTCTGGCTCACCTCCACCGAACTTGACCTCATCTCCGTAGACAGTCTGTGAACCCCTGTGAGACGCGACAAAGGTCGAGATACGCGTGACCGTACCTCATCACGTTCGACCTCGATCCACAGCCCAGTGTCCCCCAACCTCACCCGGTCTCCGACAGTTGGTCCGAACATGGCGACATACGACTCCCTGCTGATAGTCGTGTCTTCACTGATCTCAAGCGCACCTGGCTGGGGATAATGGCCGAAGCCCCTCTGTACCAGAGCCGCTACGATCTCAGCTGTTCTAGTTGGATCGAGTACGCCCGTCGCGAGACGGTTTCCGCCTGTGATGAGCTTTGCGCCTGCAATCGAACAGAGCGTGACATGCTTGGAGTCACCAGGCTCGAAGCGCACAGCCGTCCCCGCAGGGATGTCGAGCCGCTTGCCGTATGCCTGCGCTCTGTCAAATACGAGTGCCTTGTTGGTCTCGATGAAGTGGTAGTGAGAGCCGACCTGCACATCATCATTGGTACCTCAGAATGTGTGTGATACAGAGGCGGTGAATTTGACTGGTCTGACCTGTATCGGACGGTCTCCATTGTTCGTGACACGGAGCTTGACGCGTTCACGTCCGCGGTTGATAACGATAGGTTCTTTCTTCACAATGACGGCTCCGGGAGCCTTGTCTCGAGAATACTCGTGGTGGTCGATCACCGGGAAGGCATGATCCGGAGGTACAGGCAGGAATGAGCCGTACAGCGCGTTCGAAAGCTCGACGGTGTCATTGCAGATGGGATCGTGTACAGTGACCAGGAAGACACTTGTTGAGATGGAAGATCAGGCGAGACGAGTGCTGAGTGGCATGGTACGTACCCGTCTGGAAACGTGCCCTCCACCTGTATCTCGTGTAAGAGGCTGGGAACGCCTGGGAGGACGTGTCTGCGGCCGAGCAAGGTCTTGCCGTGCTGCATAAGCTCGGCTACGGAGTGCTTCCCATCGCGGATGCGCTCTTGCAGCTGCGACGCGATGAGGGCGACGGCCTCTGTTTGGTTGAGTTGCAATCCCCGCGCGAGCCGCTTCTGCGCGAGAGAACCTGCCTATGTGGTGTCTGGCTCACTGCGGACATAGATAAAGGTAGATGCGGGCATACTTGATGCAGCAAGAGTTTGGCCTCCTCCCTCGGAGATAACCTCATTTCAAGCGTTCACAGCCCCGAAGCAGGATGGTTGGATCAGTGGCAGACCAAGTGAGTGTACTCGGTCATGGAGGTTGCGCCTCACGCTCTCCTGCCAGTCGTCGACGAGCCATGGCGAGATAAGATACTTAACTGCAATTGTCGATCCCCCGCAAATTAGCGCGTCGCTGGAAAGGGGGCAGATGCGAATCTTGCCTCGTGTCGACAGCGCGCGCGTCCCTGGGCTCATCTTCTTCTCCCCTTCCAGTCTTCTTCGTGCTTGCTCTCATCCACCCAACCACCACAACGGCCACCTAACAGCTGTTCTATCGCAATTCAGTCCATCTCTCGCTGTGCGCTGCTTAGGCAACTATCAACAGTCTTGCATGGCATGGGAGTCGCGAACTATCTTTGACTATCTCGTTCGCCCTGACTCCAACTCGACAAGCTGGCTGGCGGCTTGACGGTCGCTGGAAGAACTCGGCGACCCCCTCTTAGGACTTGCCACTGGATGACTCGAGTAGAGTTCAACTACGCAAGGGCGTGTATCCCGTAGGCTCCGAGGCGATGCGCGTGATCGAAGCGGTGCTCCCTAGCCTGGCGCAGGAGGACGAGGAGAGTATCAGACTGCTGGGGATCAACTGGCTAACTCTGGGATGATCAATGACTCTCTGGGATGATCAATGACTCTCTGGGATGATCAATGACTATCAACAGTACGAGTCTCAGCTGTTCCTCTTCTTGTTGGCATCATGGCTCTATGCTGAACATCAACTGACATCGTACCTCCAATCACTTGATGACTCCCATGCGACAAGTTCCAAGCTCACGCTCCCGATAACCCGACCCGACCGCCGCGAGCAGGCCCGCACAGCCAATTTCAAGGGATAGGATTGTATCGGCGAGCATTGTCCTCGGCTCGGACCAAGGGCGGCGTGCATGCAGCACGGCGGACGAGCGGCGTTGAGGCGCTGCGGGGGAGCGCGGAGCGCCCGCAAGTCCGATGGGAGGCTCTGTCCGCGCGGCCCATCTTTGGCAACTTTGCACGTGACTTTCATTTTGCGACGGACTCATATCCGCTCGAGACCTCCGAGCTTTCTTGTCTTCCGTTCCATCACTCCCCCGTCCCCCCATCACCCGGGACATCACATAAACCCCTTCCATCGCCAATGGCCTGCTCTTCGACCCTCTCTGCGACACCCACCCCCTCTCAGCCCGGCAGCCGCAAACGCACAATGTCGTTCTCCGCCCCACCACCCCGCAAAGCCGCTCGCACCGGCCTTCAGCGTACAGGTTCCTACCTGTCTCTGGAAGACATGCAGGCTGCCGTGACCACGTCTCTGTATGGCTCCAGCAGCGCTCCATCTTCCTCATCTTCCTCGTCTTCGCACTCGGAGCGCATCGCCAACGTGCCCCACTTTCGCACCTCCCGGCATAAAGACCAGCGAGGCCGCAGGAAAAATATTCAGCGCTCGACGTCCACCCTCTCCCTGCCATCCACCGCCGTCACACCAGCTCCTACCCCCGTCTCCATCACCATGAGCAACTTCCGCCATTCGTCGCCTCTCGCGTCCAAATCGTCCATTGTGCCGCCGCGCACATGTTTCCCACGCTCCAAACCTGAGCCCGACCTTTACCGTGTGGCCATTACGACCCGCATGCGCATGTCGCCCGAGGGCCGAAAGATACTCTACATGGGCCCGCGGCTGGCGCTATCGATGTGCACGGCGACTCGGGAACTCGAGCGCTCGCTGCAGATGGCGACGAACGAGCTGGAGCGGATAGTCGCGTCGCAACGCGAGGCTGACGGCGATATCTCGATGACGGAGGACGTCGGGCAGCCGTGGGTGGTCGTACCACCGGAGGACTGGGAGATGGTTGATTGCGCGGCGTAGGGCGTTCTCGGTGGACAGGCTTTCGATTGACGGAGGACGGCGATTTCGACCTCGATGACAACGGCGACCCATTTTCCGCTGAGCCTCGGCCTCGCGGCATGCCTGTCGACTTCATGCGTGTTGCACGGATACATGCTTCCCCGCTTTTGTTTTCTCACCGGACGTGACCTGCATCTGGCTCGCGTCCTACTATAGTTCTTCTGGCCAATAGGCCAATGTGTCGTCATATGGAAAAACTGGGACTTTTGTTGTAGTACTATTGTACAGGAACTGGAATCTTACATATGTAGTCTGCGTGTAGCTGTAATCAGGAGTGTACCTCGCTGCGGATTTTATCAATTGTTGACCGCGGGTGGTCATTGTTTGCTTGTTGCCATTTGTATCCTGGGTATGACGACAGCAAGAAGTCTCGTTTCGACACGGAGGTGTGCGTATTCGGCTTTTTGTTTGTCTACGCCTTCTTTTCCATTCTCTCCATTCCCTGACTTTGGTTATGGCAAACGGACAACAAGGTAACATCCGGACACGGCAACATGAAGGAAACAAAAATACAAGGAGCGTTCACCCAGGCTAGTATCTCGTTCGTCTCTTCTCTGTGTCCTGTGGGGCGTGGTACCCTTCGGTGCAAGCCTCTGGGTTGTCGCCATCCCTATCGCAGCAGGACCAAACGAAATTCTCCGGCAAAGCTGCCCTGTTCTCTGGTGTGTCCATCGAACCGTGCACCTTCTCGTCCCAGTCCGGCAATCGCATTTCGACGGCTTTCAACGCACCTAGCAGAGGAACGTCAGTCGACGAGAAGGTAGCCGTATACTAGCTGGCGTACCGGGATGGTATACACACTCGAACTCTTCCCGTTCTGCGGCTAGGTCGAATTCTTCGTCGCAGTACTTGCAGGTCGCCCAACGTGGACCTATTTCTGGGGCAGCTGCCGCGGCGTGTCCTTGAGCAGGTTCGGCGACGAGATGAGGAGGATGCACAGCGACCAGGTGCTCGAATAGCGCATGCGCTGACACGGCGTCGTCAGCTACCATGTTTGCTAAGATATCCCGGAGTCGTTCCTCGGGACATGTTTCTATGGCCCTGTAGAGCTGCTGGCGGGCTGCCGCGTCCAACGGTGGTCCAGGCGGAATCAAGTCTGGGGCAGGAATGTGCTGCAGTATAGCCTGGGCAGGTGCCGCAGGAGGTGGGACGCCTTCTTCATCGCTGTCGTTGGTGAGGTCTATGACGTGCTGTCCCGCTTCGTGAGGCATGGTTCGATAAACAGATTCTGGGTCATATGAACGTCAGGTTGCCGGTCCCATGCTCAGGTGCAATCGTCTGGACGTACCTTGCAGTCACTGAATGTTGATGACGAGCGCAGCGACAGACAAGTAGTAGCAAGTTTCTTTACGTGTACGCGAACCGTCTCGACGTCACCATCGAGGTCGGTCTATGATCCCCGACTAAATCGGAGGAAGTTCAGTCGATTGACGCTAGGTCGTATGAAGTGCATATAGACATACAAACAAGACAACGCGCCCAAAACCTCGCAGGAGGACGAGATAGAAGGTACTATTGTGGCTTCAAGTTGCCCCAAGGCGGCCTTTCGACTCGTTGGTGCTTCAGCTTGCCCAAAACTTGCTTGGGCTCAAGCGCTTCCATGGAACCCTAAATCTTCGCGTGCAGTTCATGACGTTAGCCATCGTCTGTCCGTCTACTCGGTGAGCCTCTACGCTCATATTATATTCAGGGTTCAGAATTACTGGCGATGGAAGTTGGAGGGCTGAGCGCTGAGCGCTGAGCTTGCGGTCCTTCCAGCCAGGTTGGAGGAGAATCAGGAGATCGCCGAGCTGCCTCGCGTGGGGGTGGCGGAACCGTGATTGAACAGTTCCACGATTCAACGCCCACGCCCACCGTCGGGTATGTACATTACGGCTCGTACGCTCTGTGTACATCCAACCTCACTCATTCTTTTGTCTTCGGTACGTTGTATGCTCAAACATAGTATATGCAGAGGCTGACGCTGGGTCCCTTAGTACCCCTCCCAATGTCGGCAGGCCGGTCTGACAGGGAACACCTCAAGCGGATCCGGAGAGCAAGCATGGCCGACATGGACCACTGAAGATTTACTGCATGACGTGATGTAACGACTCAAGATTCTCACCGGCACCCTTGGCCATGCCCGATACTTTCAAATGGAAAATGGGCATCAAACCCAGAACGAACCACGCGAAAATCCGCTGCAACCGGTCTGCCACGCACGTCACTGTCCGCGCGGACCCACCCGCTCCGATGGTACAGTGGGCAGACACGGACCATACTTGCGGTAGTCTCACACCAAGACCATGGCACGGCGCTAGTGTAGAAGGGGTTTGTGTCGAACCTAGGCCATACGGTGCGTATATATGCACTTTATGCGCATGGAAACGTCATTCCTCCCATGTACTAGTCCCGCTACAATGCAGAGAAGCTGACAGATTTCCGTGCTAGATGTTTCTCGGCACACGATCTATCGTGTTCTCCGAGTCAAAATTTTCGCTGCCGGCAGCTACGAAGCTTATGCAGCACAGAGTAGCACAAGGGCAGCAAGCAGATAACTCATGTACGTGCTCCTCGTATGCCATCGCATGACGGGGATTTGCTCAATTCACCACGGTCCACCAAATCATCATTCATCCTGGAATACAAGTCCCGCAATTCAATGAGCAAGGTATTTGAGACACGTCCCACCATCATCTCCGTGGAATCATGGTCATGCCTCTTCGCGTTCCGACGCGGGAAAGCGACCGCCGCATTCATGCAATTGGCACCAGAATCACGAAGACCATAGTTGCTACCGTGTTAGCACCCAACAGCGTCACTCCGCTCCTTCGACCAGCACAGCAGTTCACGACAATTCACCAAATCATTCTTGGCCTCCGATAGATCATCGGAATATTCCTTCTATCCGGGCGCGACGAGGACTTGAGGCGTACGCGGAAGAGAAAATGATACGTCTGTGGATTGCGCCTCGTAAAGGGACTACCAGATTTGTTCGCAAGTACGGCTCTCGCAGCGTGTCGTCCGTGCCTTCAGAACCGATCGGTACGTAGCTCGCGCGAGCTTTCACAAAAACTCTCATTCGGGATGCTCCCAGCCGTGTCAAGAAAGGGAGCGCAAGGTGAGTTCGAGTCTAAGCGAGGCAGCCAGCCCCGGGGCTTACAAGGCTTACACACATTCCGTCCCCGTAAGGCAACGCGGCTCATCAGGCACACCTCCATGAAGTGCCTGAAGATGAATCTCGTACGCGTACCGCGCGCAACCCGGGGAACAACGTGGTCAGTCGGCCCCCGCTACTATCGCTTAGACCACCCAGATTCAGTCAGTGATCATTGCAAAGCGCTAAGTCGCCGTTCATTTTGCTGACGCCTTGGTAGTGGAGGCGCCATCGTACACGCACACGCCGACCACATGCCACAAGACAATCTAGTACTACTGTGGGATAGCCGCATGTCTTGGACCCTTGCCAGCAGGGTCTGCTCCCACACGCGGCCCTATGTGGCTTTGCGAACCAGACCTCTCGCCCCCTCGATTGGTAGGAGGCGCGGAGAACTGAGGCTTCCGCATACGTGTGGCCCGAACACGGAACGCGGTTCCGTGGGTATGGTATGAGCGCACATTAAAGCAGGACGCCCGTTGCGGGACGCTGACTGTTCCGACTGATCAGATCGGGTTGCACGAAGCGATCAGGAACCTCAACGGAACAAATGCCGAGCAATATGTCACTCGAACCCTCAGGAACCGTATGGTCATTTAACGTTCAACTGCGGGGCGAGGCAACTGAGTTACCTGGATGTACGCATTAGGGCCAGGTGACGCGACTCGAGTCTGATCGAGCACAGAACATGAATAGAATCGCGAACAACGACAAGCAGATACACAGAGCTACAAAGCAAGCTACTTCATACAAATATCTAAAACGGGCAAATTTTATGTGCCAGACGTCGCGTAGACGAGTAGCATGTGGATGCACTCCGAAACGAGCCTACGGAGTTCACGGAGACCTCAAGGCCTTTTCAAGCGGAGCGGCCATCTCCTCCGGGTTACCGACCCAATGTACGACTTGGTCTTTAGTGGTGATGATGAATGCTAATTATGCCAGGGGTCAGTCTTCCAGAAGCTGTGTTGGATGGGAGGGAAGCTCACCTAGTGGGATCGATAGGTTCTGCCCAGGCTCGAACAACCCTGTGGAACGAGTCTCAGTCGCCTCAAGAGGCTAGCCAGCGCGAATTGTTCACCTTGCACAGCGACACGATGCGAGTCAATGTATATCGGGTAGTTCATGTCGCCGCGGCCATCGATGAAGTTCTGGACAATGGACCGGTCGATTTCCGTTTTGTTGAAGATGCCTTCGTGATTGAAGGTGATGACCTTGGCGTCCGGTTTGGTCGCACTAATTCTGGAGAGAATGTCGCAGACCACATGACAAGGCTGCAGAAGATGGGGCCCATTGAGAATTGACATGGAAGCGGGACGGAGCCGCGCGCACGTACCCGGCACCACCTGAGAAGGGATATATTGCGGTTAGTTATCTGACGTCCTTCCGAAGAGATAAGCGACGAGACTCACGACGCCCAGAATTCGATCACGACAACCTTCTTGCTTCTCCACCCGTCCTTGCTCGGTCGTACGCACTCAAATGCGTCCGAATCGAGCCACGACAGGTCCACCCTCTTGCCGAGGAGGGGGCTTCGCCATCCAGGGCGCAGGAACGCTGGTGGGCCCTTTTTCATCTGCTCCTCAAGGGCTTCCCATGTTGGCAGCCGTGCCTTTTTCATGAAGCGATCCACGACCGCAGGGTCGTGCGCTGCCCTGAAACGCGCTTCGGCGAGCTGGGGTCAAGATGCCGACGCGCGTGCTAGCGAGCTGGTGCATACCTACGGCGGCATCCCACCTGGCTGGCGTTCAATGGACAGCGAGCGATGTTAGTGTGCGATCGTCGCAGCGACATGACGGTGCGCACCTTGGTCCCATTTGTCCTCGTACAGAGGCTGAAAGACAGACCAGATGCTGGTGCGAAAATCGTTCATGGCGGCCAGCTCCTGCGGTGACTCTCTGCCGGTCGGAGATGCCATGGCGCTGCGTGAACGGGTGAGGTGCGAGCCGACAACTCGAGTGAGATGATGCGGACCGGGTCGAGTTCAGGCTGCCGTTTTATGGGAGCTCGGAGGGACAGACAGGTGGTTCATGGAGGGCGTGGATTCGGCGGCAAGTTGGATAGGAGCTTTAAGATGAGCGGCAGGACGGAGAGGGAGATTTCTAAATGCGCCTGCATGGAAGAGATGTCGGCCTGGACCAGCCAATCAATCACACCAGCTAGAATACCCCTCGGCGCTTGCCATCATCATCAGCCGTAACGTAATCTCTCGTTCTTTGTTCTTTTCCAAGGCCCTGACCTCTTCATGAACATATTACGTGTTGAATCTAGATTGCCATTCGTCGTTCGTCCCCGGTCCGCAGCATGGCAACAACTGACCATCGCGGTGCAAGGCGAGCCTGCCCGTCGAGTGCTCCACAAAGCAATTGTCGTCATGGGCGTTTGGCGCAGTGGTAGCGCGTATGCTTTGCAAGTTGTGGTGATGTGGTCTTCGCTCTAATCGCTATGACGTCATTGCATAAGGTCAAGGGTTCAAGCCCCTTAACGTCCATATGTTTTTTCTTTGTTTGCCTTGTCTGTAGCCCCGTAAACCCACTGCGAGTCTTTGAGCCTTGTCATATTGTATAGCACAGTAATCTACTAGGTCTGACACGGGTGCCTAGGAACAGCATTTGCTCAGGCAAACGACCCCTTCCGGTTGTAGCACTGCATTGGCAGATGTGCCAGAAAACACTCGCCTACGTCCTTCACTTACGGAACCTCTGAGTACAGAGTGCGAGAACAAGGCAACTCACACGATTGGCGGGTCGACCAACCAAGTCTTTGGATATGGTAGTGTCACGATCATGAGTTACGCCTACACCTGTACACGTGCACTGGGGTCCGGTTCACTGAGACCATGGTATCCCTGTTCGACAGGATTCCTGAACGTTCTCGCCGGATATTACGAGGAATCGGGGCCATACGTACATCGGCGCTACTGTACCCGCGCGCTACGAACGGATGCAATTGGTACACAAACCGAGGAACATGCCGTTTCGGGCAAGATAGGATAGCCAGAACCATCGACTCCAAAAGGCGCGCCAACGCTGCGCACTGGCAGAGGCATCTGAGCGTGGTGGGTGTAGTGCGGCTCCAGAGCCTCAGCTTCAGCCGCGCGAGCCCCAGGGCCAGAAGACGGGCACGTTCCTGCGTGGGACGAACACGTCAGTATCCTGGTTCGACTCAAGCAATGCGCCCTGCAAGGGCAGTTATGGAAGCATACGTAAGCCTCGCACTGGTAGCGAGCGTCCAGGGAACACGGAAGGCATCGATGTCTTCGGATGCCAAGAATAGTCAACAAAATGGATGCACCTGCTGTTGCGTGGGGACGCTGAGTGGAGGTGACTCGAATTCCTTGCCAATGCTCACACGGTAAGGGTGAGAAGCGACATCAGAACGTGAATCACAGCAGCCCACAAGGTACAGCAATGAAACTATACGAGGCGTAGAAGGTGCAGATGAAAACACGTTGCACCTAGGACCGCTGTACAGGAGCCCAACCACGTTGGGTTGCGCTCATTGTGCGTGACGAGCGGAGACATCGAAGCGCAATACAGCCCTGACACATGTGTGATATAGTGGACGAACTAAAGACTATCGGTGCGGCAATCTGCTCGCAACTGAATGCCTGGGCAAGGTCCCAGGGGCAGAGATGTACCGGCGAAATATTGAAAGTGTTACGCACCGTTTGTATTCCTGCCACTTCAGGTCATTTCCATATTTCAAGTTTCCCGCCTTCTGTGTAGTACCACCACACCGCGGTTAGCTTGGTGAAGATTGGCGAGGACGAGGCCTCATTATCAATCTCACCTCTAACGGCGGCACGCCCGACACATTACGCAACAGGAACCACGTCATGAGCGGACTCGCGCCTGCGAGTAGCCAGGAAGCGCGAGGGAACAAGGGTGCACACAGAGAATTGACAGACAATAGCCAGATGCCGGTCCATAATCCCACCTCGCCTACGTAACTGAGAAGCAGGAGGCCGGTCATCAGACCATCCGTGTCGCAGAGAGTTGACACGTACTTTGGGTGGCGACTAATGCTCCATAAGCCATTGGTAATGAATCTCTCGTTATGCTCCTTATTGTCTCTGGCACGGCGCCAGGCGGTCTTTTGCCTGTCAGCAACTGCAAGCGGCAAGTCAGGATTGGTACACCTTGTCTTTCAAAAGCGTCAGGAAGAACCGCGAAGCACGCACCTATCTCAAATAGCCAGGAACGGGCAAACAAAGCAAACGAGAAATAATCAAATGCACGAAGCGGCGGATGTGCGGAGGCAGGTAGCGTGTTCACCTTGCGACAATTACTGCGTCAGGACGCCTCGACGGGCCAATCACGTCTGGAACCTGCTTACCATATACACTGGCAAGCCCACAATAAATACCCAGGTAGCTGTACGATAAATCAGTTGACATGTCAAGAGCATGAAATGCGCAGCACGTCACCCTGGGCCATCCAGAAAGCCGTGAACTTCGCCGGCTTGTGCTTGACCTCGTCAAACCTCGAGTCGCCACCTGCCTTCAGCGCCCTCTACTCCACGAATATTGCATTACGCTTTGATTCGTCTCAGGTACTCCAGGACTCACGGTGACAAGGAAACTTCCAAGTCGCGTACTCCACGCGACAACGGCGGCACTCAACAATAGCTGTCTTGGCGCAAAGCTAGTGATCGGCGGAAGCTGCGCGTTTGGAATGCGCTCCCAGTACTTCGCCTTCAAGGACGGGTAGTACAGCGAAACGAAAGTACTGGTGGCAAATCCGAGAGCTCCACCGAGATCGTAGAATTTGTCATTTGCTTGAGGGACGAAAATAACCGCCAGTGCTGTGCAGGTGATAAGTCTCGGGATTTCGCAAATAATCACAGAGCGCACCTGACTGTAGGCCATACGATACCACGGCCGTTGGGAGCATGCTCGAAGATGACGGCATTCTTCACTAGGAGTTCGTATAGAACTTGAGAGCGATTCTGTCATCGTCAGCCACGCCATGTAGGCATCTAACGGACTGCATACCTGCGTACAGCGAGGAGATGGCGAGGAGATGGTGGTAGCGGTGAGAGAAGGGATGCGGACGAGAAGCAGCATCATGATTGTCCCAATTGGGAACCCGAAGTGAGCGGATTGACAGGAAGTCAACCACGACACGCCCGCACGTGACCGTGATGCGAAACGGTGACATCATGCGGGGCGCTGGTGCGTCTCGCCACCGACGCGGGGGGCAGCCACTGGGAGCATATCAGGCCCGCCTGCGCCCTCCTACACGAATGCCTCCGACACCTTCTGCCTACCCCTCGCTACGTCGCTTTCTCGCGCGACAAACCATAACACGAACGCAGTTGTCAGCCAATATCAATCGACAAATCATCGGACAAACCGATTGCATACGCCTCATGTCCACCAACGGTCGCGTCAGACCTAACGTCCACCCCGAGGCACCCGTGCACAAGGGGTCTCAGTCACACATACCCCACCCGCCACCCGAAGACCATCCGAAACGAGACACGTACCAGACTCACGAAATTGCCGACACCGGATGGCGAGGTGAGCTGCCGAGCAAGCAGGGTGGGACGTACGAGAAAGATTACATGCACAAGCCACCGTACGAGTGGAAGGGCGAGGATGACTTGTTCAAGCCGAAGTACTACTCGTACGTATCTTCCAAGCTTGGTCTTGACACCTTGATCCGACGCACTCCCGTGTAGGCAATGCTGGTGCGGGCACGTAGCGTTCGAGTTCCACGGCGACCCGCTCGACGCAAAGCACTGTCACTGCCGACAGTGCCAGCGCCTACATGGCGCTCCCTTCCAATGGGCCGTGATCTTCCCGAAGGTGAGGAACGACCTGCACCTGGCCGAGTACAACGGACTACTCACCGACGCGTTTGAGTAGACCTCAGTCCGAATGGTCCGCAACGAGGCAACCGCGCTCCACTTCCTCTCCACGGAGGATCAGACCGCAGAGCACAGTGTGCCTTGCAAAGTTTCATGCAACGTCTGCCGATCACCGATGTTTGACGAGGGCCGCAACACAGTGCTCGCATACCCCTCCTCCTTCCGCTTCAAGGACGCCAAGGTCCCGCTCGACTTCCAGCCGACCGCACACATATTCTACAGCCAGCGGTGAGTGCTCACAGCATAAGGAAGTATGCAGGCGCGTTGAACAAGTCATAATTGGGACCAGCGTCATGGACGTACCCGACGGCGTACCCAAGTGGTCTGGCCACAAAGGCGAGAGTGAGCTAATACAAGAGATGGAGGATGAAGAAGGGTACGTCACCTCCCGGATCACCTTGTTCCATGACATTCATTGTTGTTCTTCAACTTGCCAGGACCTTGCCGAAGTATAAGGGAAAGCAGGACTCGTATTCCAAGGTAGAGAAGGAGGACAAAGGGCCAGAGTTGTGAGTACCAGCGGACAACGAACTATAGCTGTTGACTCGCCTTTGTTGTACACGGCGCGTTGTAGCCAATCCTCGTCTGCCAAACTGTGAGATTCGACCGTGTTGTCTGCATGGTTATTGGAATGGATACGATGCGTATTGGGCTCCGAAAGCCAAGTATGCCAGCATACATATATATGCATTTGGATGTTCGATTGAATTGTGTTCCACTCAACATCAGTCTCCTTCAGGAAGCGTGGAGCACATGAAGCGTAACAATCGCGTATGGCCGCGCTACAGATAAGTGCAGAAGCTTGCGCCAGTCTGGCATTTAGATCATGAGGTCGGAATTGTGAAGGAGACTGCTACGTGGCCATGGCACTGCAAGCGAGGTCAACGTATGTCTCCAGACCCATTGAATGCAATCACATACCGTTCCCTCTCGGGGATGACTTGCATTTGTAGATCACTTGCCGCGTCCGGATCGTCGCCGACTGCGCGTGCAAATCTGAGTAGCATACATATAGCTAAGTACTCAAGCTGAAACGGTCGCGTTATGTTCTCCTCGAGTGAACAGTATGATGGAGAATGAGATTATTCGGTGCGTCGGGACTCCGCGAGGGGGAAATGGCGAAGCGTCGACGAGATTCACAATCAAAGTAACGACTCGGACGTCGAGTCTTGGACTCAACTTGACGGCTCTTGGACGCGTCGGTCACATGCACGTGCATTGTGACATGCATGATGTCACTGTCGGCCGCCGCCACACCGCTCAGAGGGGCGCACCCTTCCTCGACCCACCAGTGCAATGCTTGAGCGACGTCTTATTGAGTCTGTAATGTCGCCTAGACGACTGAGAAATTCCAAACATAACTGATGTCAATGTGTTCGGAAACATCTACGGTTACAATATGACCATGCAGCCTCAACTAGTGCACAAGACTAGAAATACAGATGTTTCTGGCTTGACGCGTGCGACTACTAGAGAGGAAGCCATTCGTCAGGTAAAGTATGGTTGTTTGAGGTAAGATATCCTTGCCTTCGTGTCCGAGTGCACGGTCAACAGCGTCGAACAATTTACTTGCTCTTGGGGGGCTCGGCGCAGCCGCACGTCGGCCATGCGCAAGAGCCGCCGTTCTTCTCAGTGGTAGCGCACTTCACGGTGTCCTATCGAAAAAAACGATCCGTGAGTGGTCAAGGACATATACGGAAGGGGACTGCGGTGTGGACGGAGTACTCACAGACATGGTGTTCGAGTGTGTAGTAGTCGAGGACTGGGGGATACGCCGGTCCTCGCGACGCGCTTTTATACCTAGAGCAGCTCCGCGGACGCTATCGTGTACACACCTGCAAACGCCAAGTCAAGTATTGACTCCGTTCGTCTTCCCAATCGCAGCGATCAGGTATGTCAGCGTCGCATCCCCAGTACCCCGCAACACGCGGCTCAGCACTTCGCCATATCGGCCGCCCGACGGACTGACAAGGAAGCACATCCCCGTTACCTGTGAGCACCGCCCCGACTGTCAGCAGAGTCATACGTCCTCCTGAGTCTGAGTGCTTGCAAGCTACTATCAGTCGCCATCAGCCCTTCGTCTCCGGACCGACACATAGCCGTATTATTCGACGCTCCTGGAGCGGCGACGTTGTACGTTACCCTCTCAGGCAGCGGTGACGTTGGCCTTCGACGCTAGCCCGCCATCGATTGCAGTTGCGCACTAGGAGACAAGTTCTCCAGGCGATTGTACCTCGCGCGCATGATCGATAGTTGGCGTCGGCGTATGGTGACGCAACGAAAGGATGGCTACTGCTCTTAGTTGGCCGCATAGCTGGAGCAATATCCATCGAACCTGTGAGTTGGCGCACTGGGTAGACGGTGCTTCCGGAAGACAATGCGGTCTCTGCTTTGATACGCGTAGATTTCCCAGAGCTGTCAGCAAGTTCGCCTCGAGACGACGTACCCAATGATGGTGGTCCGTTTAGGTTGACATCTGCTGAAACGGAAGAACATGACGGGGTTCTGCACTTCCTATGCAGCATCACGAGACCGTCGTGTTCCGCGAGAGCATTGCCAATTGCCTATGCATGAGGACCTTCTCCTCGTACGATTGTGTGAGTGCCTCAGATTCCATGTTTATTCAGCGATAGCGTACGTTGTTTGTGGAATCGACAATCAATTGTACAAACGGGACAGATTGCGCGACCGGCGGCAATGCATGAAACAGTAGGCGTTATTCCTTGAGCCTGATGACTTGTGTCAGGTTTGTCCATATACAACAGACAGATCCGTACCAGGCAGCTCCGCACCTTAACCCGGGCGCCACAACTCCGCCGCATTGTATTGCGACCCACAGTCCAAGGCCAGTCTTCGTTGACGTCGTACGGGCCAATGAAACGACGCTGATAACATTGAGCTGGCCATTCAGCACGGAATGGGAAATAGCCGCCTTTCTTCGATGAGGACGAATCGTCGACCTTGCATTTGCCGACTTTCGGCTCGGAGCTCGGCTTGTCAGCTTGTATAAAGCATCGCACTTGCGAACCACTGGACTTCAGTCCTCGACTACAACCCATACCTGAAATCACCATGTCTGTGAGTGGCAGACACCTACCGTACACATCGATATACAGTACTGACCAGATGGCACAGGACACCGTCAAGTGCGCTAACGTTGAGAAGAACGGCGGGTCCTGCGCCTGGCCGGCTTGCGGCTGCGCTGAGCCCCCGAAGAGCAAGTAACACTCAGATCACTTCCCGCGCCATGGCATGAGGTGCGTCCGTGTCTCCAAGCGTGCAGCGATGTTGTATTGACTTCGTTGCTACTGGTGGTAGCTGTGGTCGGATTAGTGGCGTCGTGCAGTCTTGTGAGAAGTCGTTATATGTTGCAGCGGAATACATGCATTTCTGCGTTATGTTGGCAGTGAAGAACGTCGAGGAACCGCCGAGTCTACGTCCGGCGGGCGGAATGTTTTGAGTGGTTCGATTCATCTGTCATGAGAACGTACACGTGAGATATCCACTGAAGCAGTGGACCACTCACCGATTTTAGAACCACTCGCGAGCCGGCGGACGCTGCAGATATGATACGGTGTCACTCCAAATGACGGATACGATAGGATCAGCCCTACCTAGAAGCGGAAAGGATTTGGAACCATCTGTATTTACCTACGTCACGGCGAACGTTGTCCGAACAACAGACGTACGTGCATCACATGCATCCCTCAACCAGGAGAAATCAGCTATGTTGGTCTGCTAATTCACAGCGTCTGTCAGAAGAGGCGTCTCAGAGCAATGCGGGCAAGGAGAGTGGTGGTCGTACGCGCCAAATATAGGTTAGTCCGCGTGGAACCACATCCCTACCGCGAAGAAGCACTCTGCCGTCCGGCGAACCATCAGGCCTTCAGGATGAGCCGTCCGACAACAGGGACCGTGTTCCGAGGTCGGCTTTATCAGTCGAAGAGGCCCGAGACCAAGTTGCGTGGTAGGGCAGCTGACACGATGCAGAGTCCGAGAAGGTTGAAACGCATATAAGTATGGCCAAGAAGCTCCCAGAGGGCTGCACGGGCGTTCTTGGGCTGAAATGACTCATTAAGCATTGGTCAGAGGTCCCGCCATGCTGGAAAAATACCTAAATCTAAACCAGTATGACAGAACTCGCCGTCGTGATTGGGACCTACACACACCAATAGGACATCAGCTATTAGGTTCGCGGCGCTCTATGTGGCTCACGATTGCCACATGCCCGGCCTGTGGCCAGACAGCTGACGCTTACGCACCGCCCAACAACAGCATATAAGGCGGCCCTGGTGTGGTAGATTGACAGCAGTCCTCGACTACTACACTCCTCTACACACCAACATCATGTCTGTGAGTAGGCATCGGCACAGATACCCGTACACAAGTACTCACCCGCCTCTGTAGGACACCGTGAAGTGCGCTAACGTTGAGAAGAACGGCGGGTCCTGCTCCTGGCCGGCGTGCGGCTGCGCCGAGCCCCCGAAGAGCAAGTGAGAAGTCATAGCCCGGGTGCTGAACAACCTGTCGCGGTGCGTCTCACCAATGTGATCATACTTGTGGTCGGCTGGCTCATTATTCTCAATCTTTTCCCTCAGCGTCCTGCTGCATGGTGCACTTAGCGCGCCGTCGGGGTAGTTGTTAACTGGCGGGCTAAGTAGTGATGCAGATCGGTCATAACTGTACCTGATCAGGAGATGGATATAACTCTTACCAATGTGCTGAAAACCGTCTGAAGGCTATCGAAAGCACTGAGTAGCGTACAGGACGACGCATTATGACACCCAGCTCAGCCTTGGGATACACACTCAGGCTGCAACCTGCAGCTGCGCCGCCGTACTAGTGGTCAGCTTGAGAGTGAATACGAATGAAAGTACTCACCGTTCCATTACGTGAAGCGTTCTAACGCTCTGGCGCCTCCACAATATTCCAGTCAGAAGTCCAACGGACGCGCAGTATGGGAGAGACAACAGTACTAAGTAGCCGCAGCGCCATGAGTAAAGTAGAAGCCATTGAGAAGCCAACTTGAAATCCGAGTTGTGGCGCCTAAGCGCTGTCAGAATTAAGGTCACACTCACGTGCCGTGACTGACCGCGTTGCGTGCACAGTAGGTGGCGTACTACTTACTACTTATGATAGCACGATCGTGAACGACTCCCGCTGAATATGGATCTGGTCCGGAAGGAGCTGGACATCGCGTTCGGGCTGTCCAGCCTTCGGCCTGGTTAAATTGTACCTCTGCCATTCTCCCAGGCTATGCGCGTGCATATCAGTACGTCCTCCCCGTCGAATGATGAATATCGAATAGCTCCGGCTGCGGTCCCGCGGCTCTGAGAGCACCGGTTGCAGTGACTCTCTCCCGGGCTGTCGAACCTTTCGGTGATCGCTGGAGCGACGTCGTCCACCGATCGCGAGCGATAGGCCATAGTAAGTACCATCTCTAGCCAACCATCTAGTTGCCATCCTAATCGGCCATTGCTGAGAGCGCGAATGCTGGAGATCGAATCTTCATAGCCCCGGCCGGTCCGTTCGCGTCTAGATACACCGGTCATAGCATTGCTTTGGTATTGCTGGTCACGATGATATGGCTCCGGGCATCTATTTGTCAGGAGCAATTTTTGACATGACCGAGTCGGTATGAATTTGCACCAAGGTTTGAGGGCCGCGAGCGCATTATCGCCTCCACGAGCCATCTGTGCTACACGCACTACATCACCATTCTGTATGACGGAAGTCAGTCATACGTACAGTACGCCGTTCAGTCTCCGTCGGAACACTCCATGCATTACCTGTCGCATCGACCCGCAGGGCACTGTATCGCCGTAGTACCCAGGGTTGGTGACCGCCCCACGTAGATCTGCACCAGCACGGTATTGCGTCAATATATATGTACGCCTTTCCAACATACGTCATTCAGCCCTACTTACTGAGCAGCTGGTCAGGGACTCCGGAGGACGACAATCGATGATGTTGGAATCACTGCGAGCGGTCCGCCAGTATTGCCTCCGCACCCCCATTTTGAGGACGAGGCCCGCCGGGGTCTGCGGACACAGAATCACATTGCCTCCCTGCGGCCCGCACTGCGGTCAATGATAATCGCACGCACCCTTGAACCTTCCGCAGGTGACGGGTAGCCCAGCCCATGGGAGACGGTCTACACGAAGGGCTCGCTTCAACGTTCCACGCTCGACGTACAATACATGGCCGAGCCTCTGCCAACCACTAGTCCATACCCATACCCGACACAAATACAGGAGGAAGAGCGCTGCATCTATAAGTTCAGTACGAATATGTTAAACATAGAAGACATAGTAAAAAGGGTGGGCAGGGAAGAGGGGGGATCCCGGTATAGATACGACATTACTGATGCATTGTGATGAGCGAAGGTATTGAAGAAGGTGAGGAGAAATGCTACGGATATGAGACGGGAGGGAAGCATCACAATGCAGAGGGACAAGATGTCGAGGGAGGGGAGAGGTGCGTACGCTTGCATATGGTTGTACATGTGGGGGACCTCCAAAAGCGCGAGACAAGACGAAACGAACAGCAGCGGCATCACACAGCATTATGTACTCGTATAGAGTGAGGTAGGGACGTGGCACCGCCTGTCCGCGATAATACCCAAGGAAGAGAACGGGCATAGGCTTGTTCATTGTTCGTTCGGGACCGTTAGCGAGAAGTAGGGATGGGCCAGCGCGTCTCGCACGGATATCCGGAGTGCAGGGTCGAAAGTCAGCAACCTCTTGACGAGATCGAGGAAGTTCACGTTGATGCTGTCTTTCGGAGGGATGATTTCCTGCTTATCGAAGGTCGATCAGCACATTGTCAAGCAGAAGGGGTCGTCGATGCTAACCTGCAGGCTCCGGCAAGCACGCACATCCTTCTTGCTCTGCCGTGAGACCTTCGGTTTGGGCCAGTCGAGTTTGCCCTCCCTGAAGAACTCTGGCTTCGTGCGAGCACCTTGCCGAGCGAAACGGTCCGGCATCTTGCCCATCACCTGTTCCATCATGGCTAGATGCTCGAGGTTGTCGTGTGTCTGGAACAGGGCCATCCCAGTGTAGAACTCCACGAGGATGCATCCTAGCGAGAAGACGTCGCATGGGTACGACCACCCAAGACCTGCGACCATCAACGTCAGTGCAAGGATAAGCGAAAGTATCCGGGGGGACCTCACCAAGAATAATCTCAGGTGCACGATAGTGCCGAGTCGATACGACATTGGAATGGTACTCATCCTCGAACGTTGCCGAGCCGAAATCGATTAGACGGATATCCGTAGACTTCAGCACCCTCTTTGCTCTTGTTCCTGTATTACGCTGGCAGGATGTCAGTACGGCGAGTGGCGCCATACGGTTGGTTGTGACGTACTCCTCTGCCCGGTATAGGGATCTGAGCGACCCGATAATCATTGTTAACCAATAAGATATTCTCCGGCTTGAGATCAGTATGGATGAGGTGAAGGTCGTGAAGAACTGTAACACAGGAACGGTCAATATGAAACTTGCTGTCCATTTGAGGATCACGTACATGCTACACTGCCGAGGAGCTGCTTCGCGAATGACTGTATGTGTTGCCGAGGGAACGGTGCAAACGCGTTTTCCTTGAGGAAGTCGTAGACACACATCCCGAGCAACTCCGAGACGAGACAGATATGGTTGCGGTGGTCGAACCACTGTATAAGATGGATACATTTGCTGTAACGCATGCGATTCACTCTCTGATAACGACTTCACGTCCACGGATACTCACTTGTTATTTCTTGGATCTTTCTCCTTCAGCTTTTGTAGGACGCGCACTTCCATCTTACTTGCATCGCGGTACTTGGGAATGGCTCGGATGATCTTGATAGCTACCTTCTTGTTCGTTTCGATGTCGAATGCCTCGACTACCTTGCCGAACGTCCCTTGTCCAAGGAGCCGTACCGTACGATCTGAGGAGGAATCAGCCACACGTAGTGTTGGAGACAGCAATCAACTTACAGCGACGGTGGATGATATCGTCGGGCACAACGATGTAATGGCCTTCCTTGTCGTCGCAAGAGACCTCCTTCGAGACCTGATGAACGCATATGAGCACGACCGTCCCGTTCCGGATTGACTACTCATACCTCTTCGACAGTAGCGCCGCTGCCACTAGCGATTGACTTGTTCGCGACAAGTTGATGCTGCAGATGGCTTGTGGCGGGCTTCTTCGCGACAGTGCCTGCGTCATCAGCGATATCCCGCCTCCGCTTCTTGGCAGCAGGTCCGGGGAGCGTGGCAGAGGAGGTGCTCGTGGACAACGCTTGGGCCTCCTGGGCAGCGCGAGCCCGTGTGCGAATGGGGGCGGAGTACAGCGGGGGCTGATACGACGCCGAGAACATGTGCGTTGTGGATGGGGAAGCCGTCGTGGGTGGGGGAGTGTCGTCGATGACAATGACGTCGCGGACCTTGCCGGCACTGTCGACCTCCTGGACCTCGCTGTAGCTGACGGTGTACTGGTGGGGGGCCCGCTTGCGCTTGCGCGTTGCGGGGGGCGTGGGCATGCCGGTGGAATTGCCGTTCAGCGGGCGACTGAGGCCCGCATGGGTGTACAAGGGCACCAGCTGCGGTACCATGGCGTGCACGGCACTCTGCATAGCGGTGAGGGTGGTTGTGGACGACGTGGTGGTAGGAGTTAGAGAGAGAACGAGGGCAGTTTATCGGGCTGATACATCCAGGACGAGTGCAACTGAGCAGGAGACGCTGCCCACGGAGCCTTATTTGTTGTTTGGCTGAGCCACGCCTTCAGCCACCCTTACGAAACCGCCCCTCTGCCTCGGTCTGCTCGCCTCGCAGACCCAGCTCGCGGCCAGGGACCCGCCGGGGACTTCTTACTCTCCCCTGCGACGGGCCCGCAGCGTTTCTGGCCCGGGCAGAGCAGGGCAAGCGAGCTCAGGTGGCAGCGCAGTGTTTGCCCAACGTGGGCGCCTCGGCGTAGCATGTTCCGCCTTTCCCTCAGAGTCACCCATGCTTGCAGGTCGCTGCCGGCGCACTGCTCTCCGAGCATACCGTCCCAGCATTCTCGAGACCCTGCTCTGCTCTCCCTGCGCTCTGGGGCTGTCAGCTGTGGGGAATGCGCCGTGCCCAACTGGCCGCCGCGGTCATTCCCGAGCGTCGATCCGGCACGTGGACCGTACAGCGGCCGGCTCCAGAGCGCGCGAGGTCGCTCCCTCTCGCGCAGAGCCACCCATATCACTGCCATCCGATACGTACATACGAATTTCCATACCGCAGTCGCCGGAGCTGGAGGAGCGCAGTGTCTGGCAGCAAATGCATGAGTCGTCGCGCGTCTGAGTGTTGACAGAGTGACTGCCAAAAAAGGAACAGTCCCACAGCGCCAAACAAGGCCCAAATAACCTGGACTCAGCTCACTGCCGGGCACGACGACGGCGCCGCCAGTCCTTGTCTCTGCACCCAGAGGACCGTTCAGAGGCGAGGAGCCCCGTTGCTGCGATGAGCGGTGCAGAGTACGCGGCAGGCTCGCCATTCCAGCCGGACCAGGGCCACCAAAATCACACCTCCAATAACGGCGGCGACGACATCCGCATTGATCCTGCTCTGCACGCAATACCGGTCGACCCGGCACTGCTTGGAGAAGAGGGGCGGGCAAGTGTGGAGGTGAGTCGCTTTGAAGGTCTCAGAGAGGCGACCGACGCGGCCGTACGTGAACGCGTCGCGTCGCGCTCCGCACTCGACCTGCACGAAGTCGAGGAAGGCACTGACTATCCCGAAACAGGTCGTCTCGCCGACAATAGTCGCGCCTCAGCCAAGGATTTCACAGTTTCGACAGTACTCTCGGGGCCCGCAGGGAGACCCGTTCGCACCCCAGCCAAGTCCTTCGTACTTGCTCGTCGAGGAGCCAACGCCGCCACCAACTGCGAAACCACCGAAGAAAAGGCGCCAGCCGAAGCGCGAGGAAGAGTGCGGGTTCTGCCAGGGTAACGACTCGAGGAACAAGGGTGGTCAGGCCGAGCGAATGGTCAGTTGTGCGGAATGCGGACGCAGCAGTGAGTCCTCCTTCCAGGGGTCCAGTCGGAAGCTTCGTACTGAAACAATCACATATAAGCGCATCCGAGCTGCCTCAATCTAGCAGATATCGGCGACGTGATGCGCTCGTACCCTTGGTTGTGTCACAATTGTAAGAGGTGTGAAGTTTGTCAGAAGAAGGAACGAGAGGTATGTCATCAGCTGCTCTGTTATACACATCTTCTGAATGTATTTGTCAGAACAAGATGATTCTGTGTGAGCGATGCGACCGAGGTACGAATGCGAATTTCATTTAGGCGCCGTGCATAATAACCTTGGTCTTTTAGGCTGGCATATGGACTGTCTCCAACCACCACTGGAGGAAGCTCCGCCGGGAACGTGGTACTGTCCGTTATGCGAGGATGCCCTCGCTCAGGATGCTCAGTCCGCTTCCCAATCCGATATACACCACCCCACCAAGGTGCCTCCTGTGGCCAATCCTCCTTTCCCCTATCCTTCGCCAGTTCCCGAACATCCAACAAAGCTTCCGCCAGAGCATATTGCAGCATACCGTTCATCGTCAATCGCGTCCTCTTCTCGCCTTACTGGACGCGGGCACGACATGGTCGGCGTAACGGATGAGTCCGAAGTCGACGCAGACGGAGAGGCGACCCCTGCCGCATTGAGACAGAAGAACAAGAAGAAACAGCGTCCGAAAGGGAAGACACCCATGCGCGACGAACCTGACGCTGATGATGCGACACCGTCAACTCGCGCTCACAAACGTCCGCGCGTCCGAGTGGCCTCTCCCGCGCCGCCATCCTCACCGACGCAGAGGTCTGGGACCGGCCTGCGGATCCGCCTCCCCTTCCGCGATAAGGGCAAGGCGCGCGAGGATGACCCGGGTGACGCGCCCAAGGGCATGTTCGACGACATCCTCAGCCCGGAGGACCGCGACATGGCCGAGACGTCCATACTCCCAGTGGACAAGCAGCGGTTCGAGAAAAGCCGCGTCGCAGCAGAAGTGAGTTCTCTTCCTGTGTGATTTCGGATGTTGCTTGATGTTGCTACTAGGAACGACTGTACCCCAAGCCGCCCCCAGCTCAGTTGGAAGCTCCAGAGACCCCCGGTGCTGGCCCATCCTCGCGCCCTTTGCGCTCATCGCGTCAAGCCACGCTCCCAGCCCCTCTTTCAGAACGATCGGAGTCTCCTGCGTGTTCGACGCCAGGGCCGCAAGTACAGAAGTCCCCGGATGGCTTGCGGATACGCAAGATACGGTTCGGTGACCACGACATCGACACTTGGTTCGATGCTCCGTTTCCCGAGGAGTATGCAAACATTCCAGACGGTAGATTGTGGTATTGTGAGTTCTGCCTGAAGTACATGAAGAGCAAATTCCTCGCGAACCGACATTTGGTGAAGTGATCTGTGCTATGTTCATGTACTACATTGCTGAACATTGACGACGCAGATGAAGTGCAAGATGCGGTTCCCGCCAGGGGACGAGATCTACCGCGACGGTCCGATCTCTATATTCGAAGTCGACGGACGCAAGAACAAGATCTATTGTCAAAATCTATGTTTGCTGTCGAAGATGTTCTTGGACCACAAGTCCTTGTTCTACGACGTGGAGCCGTTCTTATTCTATGTAATCGCAGAGTTCGACGACGTCGGTGCACGCTTCGTAGGGTATTTTAGCAAGGAGAAACGTAGTCCGAAGGATTATAACGTCAGCTGTATCATGACGCTCCCAGTTCGGCAGCGGCGAGGATGGGGTCAACTGCTGATCGACTTCAGTAAGATCGGCTTACTCGCGGCCCGCCGACCAGCTCACTCATAGGTTCACAGGTTATCTATTGTCGCGAAAGGAGCAACGACCAGGGTCTCCGGAAAAGCCCTTGTCGCCGTTGGGAGCGATCAGCTACAGGAAGTACTGGACATTTGCTCTACATAGGTACTTCCGCACAGCGCCGCCCAATCCTCGCCTCGAAGGTACTTACCGTAATTGTCATGAATCTGTACGTCATACTAAGTGATACATAGACATCAGTGCCGCCACTGCGGTGACGATCGAAGACATCTGCAACACTCTTGTCCAGCTTGGGATGATCAAGATCGACGATCCGGCGAACCGACCTAAGCCGATGCCGGGGCAGGCCATCAAGTTCCCAAAGGGCAGGAAGAACGGTATCGCGCGGAAGCACCTACAGCGGCGGGAGACGCACGACGAAGAGAAAGTCAAGGGGCCGTTTGTTGCCCCGACCAAGTACGAGATCCACTGGGATTCGGAGGAGGTAGAGCGGTACCTAGCGAACATGGAGGCGAAGAACTACGTGACGCTCAAGCCCGAGAAGCTGAAGTGGAGCCCTTTCATCGTGTCGAGGACGCGCAAGTCAGAGCAGCTGCCCTCTGCGAACTCGGAGACCGCGCGTGCCGTGGGTGCGCAGGCCATGGCTGCATCCGACGCTGTACCTGCAGTCGTCGAGACCGCGACGCCGACGACGCCGAGGCCTGTAGGGGACCTGCGAGACTCGAGCATTATGCCTTCCGAATCGCCGTTTGATCTGTTCGACGACGACGATGTTGTAATGGCAACTAGCCCCACCCGCGAGGTCTCAAGGGTACGACCAGACACGAATGGCGGTCCCAGTGCGATTGTGGCTGTGAATTCGGTTCCCAGTGACATGTCGCCGGACTCTACATCGAATCCTGCCCCGGTATCAGCATCGGATCCACAACCAGGGGAGACCCAGACCGACGAGCAATCGCAGCTCGAGCTGGACGAGGCTCTCGCACGGCAACTGACGCGGGACCTGCAGTTTTCTGACCGGTCCCTGCGCAGGCGCGGACAGGTCGACCCCAAACCCGCGGAGGACATGCGCGCGCGGGTCCCGGACGACTCGCCCTCCGCACGCAAATCGCGCCCGGTGGCCAATCGCCGGCCGGCCCTCCGTGCGACGACAAGCGTGTCACCCGTGAAGACTGGGACCGGTGGGCGACGCATCTCCCAGGACGAGCATGACGAGTCCGGGAAGCGGCCCCTGCGCTCCCGCGCCATAACGGACCCAGATGTGAGGGCGGCGTCATCTGCGAGGTCCGCGTCGCCGCGTAAGCGTAGACGCATCGACTCGCCCGCGCCGCAGGAGGTGGAGGAGGTCAGGATGCCGGCGCCGTCCACCCGTAGGAACTCTCGCCGTGGCGTGACCGAGGACCCTGCGCCGCCTCCTGCTCTACCGCGCAGTCAGCGCAAGCCCACCAGGAGGAACACGGATGGGGTCGTGAGGGTGGCATCGATGTCCCCCGTCCAGACACGCCGCTCGCCGCGGAAGCTCACGAGCGACACCCGGTCGCTTGATGGGCCTCGGGAGCCTGAAGAGCCTGAGGAGGATGAGGGCGAGCCTGATGTCGAAATGCAAGATGACAGTGCGAACAGTCCACTCACAGGAGTGACGAGCCGGCACAGCGTGCCGAGCGAGGACACCGTCGTGGTCACGCCGAGTGCTGGTGGCATGAACAAAGCATCCCCCGTCGGTGGCGCAGTCGCCATGCCCCCAGTCCTGCCCGCCGTCGACGAGCGGCACGCGTCGCAGTTTGACGGGGCGGACCGGATGGAGGTCGACGAGGACGAGGACGAGGACGAGAAGGACGACAACTACACCGGAAACTTCGATGATCAGGACGCGGAGTGGGAGCCGGACAACGGCGGGGAGCCCGACCTTGGCGAGGGCTGATCCTTTCATATACGTTCTTCAACTTATTTTCTTCGTGGTCTGTATTGCGCGCGACCTATGTCATGTTAGACGGTGTACGATGTATTTTACCTGTGGACATGGTGCTCTCTGTAGTTTATTGTCGACTTGTGCTGAAACGTAAAGGTTTGACGGGGACCGTGGCGCGCTGGGGGACCCGGGATCCCGTTGACAAAGGTACTGCTAGGATAGGAACATAATCCGTCAACTTTCTGCTCTCCGTCGGATATGTTATCTGCTGTCTAAAAACGTACAGTGTAATAAAATCTGCTTTTTGTATATTTGCCAGTGAGCCACGAAGCTTTGAGGGGCACCGGGCCTGGTGCGCCTAGGTCTGTCGTCATACCGGCCCCTCGGCGGGCAGAGAGACCGAGACTCAGCATTTTCCAAACTGTTGGTACAGCGGCTTCGCGTAAGCGATATCCTGAGAGGGGGGAGAAGACCGTGTGGACGGAGAGTGCAAGTCGAGTGAAAGCGCGCTCCGACTGTGCAAGGCAGGTTAAGTACCGCGATGAGATCGCAATCTCAGATTCTGTTTGACTTGGTGGCGTGAGTGCGAAAGGAAGATGGCCGGGCAACTTCAAGGCGGTCGTCTACCATCTCTCGCCGCGAGGCTATTCGACGTCCTGCCCAGAGGGGTGTCGCATCTACCGCACACGAACCCGATATACGGTGATGATTGCAAGCAAGATGCCCACGCCATGACAGTCGAGAAGCCTCTACAGACCGACTTTAATCGACAACCGACACCATGTATTCACGGGATGACCATCGGAGTCGAACGCGCTCCGTTAACGACGGAGGGTCCTCCACAGAGGGTAGTTCTGAGGACTATGCTAGGCGTTGAGCATGAAGGGTCAGCGTAGCATTTAAAATGTACTTAGTGGGTACGCACGGCCACAGGAGGCTAACAGCCTGCTCTCTCAGCGTACGTGCGCGTCGACGATATTGAATCAGCCCAGGTGGGGCATTCGGCTTATGCATTCAACCATCAATTCTCAAGTTCATTGCAAGTCCCTCATGCACACGAGGACGTGATGGCGAAATGGCTCCCAGCCCGGACACACTGCTAGTGACGCGAGCCATCAAGTCGGAACCCTTCAATGAGCACATACTTACGTCCACAGATGCGGCATAAGGCTATGTGTACGTATACAGAGCGAGAAACGTTTCTCGTCATCCGTATACGAGCTGTTGAGGCACAAGTGCGTACGTACAGTAGTACTTGGAGAGCGATGTAATGATGATGATGTATACGCGGTCTGTCACGCACACGTGACCGTGTCACTGGTAGGCCTGGGTTCGCGCATAATGCATCCAATCGCTTTCTCCAGTCGTATCTACGTGCATCGACCCGGCCAGCAGCACAAGGTTTCATGGCATGGTACATGGATGACTTGTCGGGCACATGTTGGGCACATGGTGATTATATGACATAGTATGAGTGCTCAATTGGGGTGGATGTCGAGGTCGGCTCCCAGCTTAATATAGCCTGAGCTGTGAACCTGGGTGTGATGTCGAAGTCTGTGATGGCGACGCGAAGGCTTCTGCGCGAGCGGCCATCGAGGGAGGCGGATGCGAGGCGGTCGGGAGCGGAAGGAAGGGCATCGACAGGGCGTCGACATGAAGACGAGTGGAGCCCTGCGCGGCTGTGATTGGGCGTCGGGCACGTCGGTGGGCGCCTGTCTGCTGGGGCCAATGGGGAGAGGCAGGGGCCTGGCAACGGAGGTGCGAGGCGTCGCTCTCCGCCGTCGAAGCACCAACGAAGGGCCCCCGACCAGGCCAGCCGACGTCCAAGCGACGCCAGCTTATATACGCCCGCCTCCGCTATGCTGCCCCGCTTCCCCACTTCTTCTCTTCCCCCTCTTTTCAAGGCCGGGCCTTCAGCTGTGCTTTCCTTTCTACGGCTGTCCTCTCTTTCCCTGTCCTCTCCGTTCCTGTCAGGCCACAGTTCATCCAACTTCGGCAGGTCCAGTCATGCAGCTTCCGATCTCCCTTTCCGTCCTCCTGGCTTCCGTCTTTGTCTCGCTCACTTTGTTCGGCGATCCTGCGATCGCTGCCCCCGCAAAGCGTAATGCGAAGATGATCACGCTTCCGTTGAAGCGTGCGCACCAGGCGCGGACCGATGTCCACCCGCAAGTGGTATGTCGATACTTTGTGTGCAGCCACCCCCAAATTGACCGGATGTTCGTGCAGTTCTTGCAGCAGCATCTCAACCGCAGTCTTAGGCGCTACGCGCGCATGACCGGAAACATCCAGCCTAGCAAGCGCTCGCTTGAGGCCAAGCTCCACAAGCGTATGGAGGCAGTCGAACCTCTGTTTGGCCGCGCGAACCGCAAACGCGCCCACAAGCACAAGAACAACAAGAACAACGGTGCTGGCGCGGCAGCGAACGGCACCGCGTCCACAGCAAATGCCACTGCGACCAGTTCGACCGCCGCGGCGGGTAATGCCTCGAGTTCGGCATCCGCCGCTACTGGCGCCGATTCTACCGCTGCAGGCTTCCCCGAAATTGACCTCGAGGCTCAGGCGAATGGCGGCCTCACTGCTGCCAACACGCCCACAACGGCCAACACTCTTGGTCTTAACATCGAGTGCGTTATCTGCGGAACTTGTTGCTACGCGGTAGAGGCTGAACGCGAACTGTAGGGCGAACGATGTCGGCTACATCGCGACTGTGCAAGTCGGTACGCCGGCGCAGGACTTCAAGTTCCTTATGGACACCGGCTCTGCAGACATGTGGGTTGGTTCCGAGGATTGCACAACCCAGGGCACGACTCAGGGCTGCGTACGTCATCCGCGTTAGAGATTGTGTCGCGATTAATCCTAGAGCGCGTACTTTGCAGGGCAACCACACTTTCCTTGGCACGAACACCTCTTCGAGCTTTGCGCAGATTGGCAAGCAGTTCCAGGTTACCTACGGTACAGGTCAGGTCCAGGGTGTGACGTGCTCCGACAATGTCAACATCGCTGGCCTTGCGCTGAACAACCACACCTTCGGTGTTGCGAACGTCGAGAGCACTGACTTCTCTGCCGATACCGTTCCGTTTGACGGTCTCATGGGTCTCGCCCAATCTGTACGTCTACGCCCGCTCTGCGCGTAGCACGAGGATCGTCTGACCGGCTCGCGCTTCTCACAGACCCTCTCCGAGGAAGGCGCCAACACGCCGCCAGAGTCCCTGGCCCAGAACGGCCTCATCGAGCAAGCGATCACGTCCTTCAAGATCTCGCGGCTCGCGGACCAGCTCAACGACGGCGAGGTGACCTTCGGCGGGCTCGACACGGCGAAGTTCGACCAGGCCTCGCTCGTGACCGTCGACAACGTCAGCCAGGAGGGCTTCTGGGAGGGCGCGATGGATGCGGTCACCGCCGACGGGCAGGACCTCGGCCTCCAGAACCGCTCCGCGATCCTCGACACGGGCACGACGCTCATCGTCGCGCCGCAGACGGACGCGGACGCGGTCCACGCGGCGATCCCCGGCGCGCAGAGCGACGGCCAGGGCGGGTACACGATCCCGTGCACGAGCAACACGAGCGTCGCCCTCGCGTTTGGCGGCGCGCAGTTCGCGATCGACCCCGTGGATCTGCTCTTCACGCCTGTGGACGCGACTGACCCCACGGGCGACTGTGTGTCGGGCATCTCGGCGGGCGAGATTGACGGGGCGACGACGTGGCTGGTGAGTGGCGTTTACTGGCGTCGAGCGTTCGAGGTTCGCTGACGGGTGTGTGAAGGTCGGCGACGTCTTCCTCAAGAACGTCTACATGTCCGTCAACCAGAACACCAACCAGATCTCGCTCGCCAAGCTCGTCTGAGCGCGTGCCCGACGCGCCCAAGTATCTCTGACCTCCGCCTCGCACCTGCGCCTCCACGCCACGCATCACGATTCACTTACCCTACACGTACTGTATCGCTCACTGCTCTGCACGGACTCGCTGCCTGCTCTCACGGACTCTGCTCTATCACACTAGCCACTGCGGACACTCCCGGACATTGACTGCCCCGACGGACATCGCTACTTACTGGAGATTTGCTCACTCGTAGTGCTCTTCACCCTCGTACTACCGCTCATAGCTGCCTTGACTCGGATACACAGATTGGACATTCCCCTTCCCCTTTTGCCTTGCATTCCTGCTCTTCTCGTTCGTTTGCCCATCCTTTTTTGGCTGCCGCCTGCTTGCTCATCTTTGGGCGGCGCCGGTTGCACACACAGTACGTTGCAATGCAATGAGAGCAAGGCCCGCTGTAGCGGGGAAGCACAGATGAATCTTTGCGTGTGCGAGGGTGTCTGTCGTTCCTGGTTAACGCGTAGTAAGTGTTGCGATGTTCTGGAGTATGCGATGGTTTGGAAGTCCACTGTTGGACGCGCGTCGATGGGTGTATGGTAGTCGAGACGACCGGATCCTGGCCGGGGCCAAGCGCGTGCCCCAGTCGTTCATCAGGTTAAGCAAAGGTTACGATTGCAATACACAGCGACGGCATATGCGGTATTACTATACGGTCTCAGAGACTATCAAAGTGTTACTACATGATTGACGATACGCCTGCACCTGGAACATTGTATCGAGCGACAAGACATTGTAGCAACAGGGACCACTCCGTAGACGTAGACGAATTCGGCGCGAGTTGGTTTCCCCTCGCACTCGCACTGAGCGAGGCGAGGGTACTTATCCCGAGGACCACGTAAAGGTCCGCGCCCGGACGGACACCGCACGAATGCGAGTACCCGCCCGCCCTCGAGGGCCTCTTGTAGGCTCTTGATGCAGCCTCACTTTCGGCGCTTGACCCTTGAGGTTGATGCAGCCCAGATGTTGCCCAGATGCAGCCCCCCTTGACGTCGATACAGCCCAGATGATACCCAGATGCAGCCCCACTTGACATCGCATCTTGAGGCAGCTCGTCTTGCAGCGCTTGACCCTTGCGTCTTCGCCCTCCGCGACTTGAGGCTGCCCCTCTTGCGGCTCTTGACAGTGGTCCACCTTGATGCAGCCTCCCTTGCGGCGCTTGACCCTTGAAGACGTTGAGGCAGCTCGTCTTGCAGCGCTTGACCCTTCCGTCTTCGCCCGCCGGGTTTGAGGCAGCCAACCTTGCGGCGCTTGACCCTTGACGACTTGCAGTTGAGGCTGCCCCTTTTGCGGCGCTTGACGACGGTCGGCCCACCTTGATGCAGCCATGCTTGCGGCGCTTGACCCTTCCGCCTTCGCCCACCGGAACTTGAGGCAGCCCGTCTTGCGGCGCTTGACCCTTGACGCTGACGCAGTGTAACTTGCAGATGTATGTCTTCGTCCAGCGTGATTTGAGGCAGCCAACCTTGCGGCGCTTGACTCTTGCGCCTTCGCCCACAACGACTTGAGGCAGCCAACTTTCCGGCGCTTGACCCTTCCGTCTTCGCCCTCCACGACTTGAGGCAGCCAACCTTGCGGCGCTTGATCCTTGAGGCTGACTGACGTCGAGGGTGGTCAGCGTGTGGCGAGCGAAGGATAGACTCAGTTACGTACCGCCACGGACGCCGCACAAGTACTACGGGACAGTGTATCTTGAGGCAGCTCAGTTGCAGCGCTTGACGTCCTGGTCTTGCCTCACGGTATTCAACGCTGGCGAGACTACCGACGATCAGCAGGAGCAATAAAGAGAGCGATAGAGGGCGCACCATTCGAGGGACCACGCAGGCTGCCGCGATCCCGGCCTTCAACTCGGCACATACGACGACTACGAAACATGTGGCACGGGCAGACATGCAGTACACGAGGAGCCAAAGAAAGAAAGAACGAAGAGAGAGAGAGAGATCGAAGCCATCTTAGTTACACGACGTTGAGGCTAACCGATGTTGGGTGACGCCACTGGGGGAGGCTGACGACAGGAGTGGCGGTGGTCAAAGCTTGGACGAGCAAAGCTGATGCAACATGAGAGAGCTGTCAAGAGTAGTCAGCACGTACTTGCGGGCAGGAGGATATGACATACGTTGGCGAGTGGCGAGGTGGCGTATATCCTGGTGGGCGGTGGCGCACTACGAGGGAGGGAGGTCAGTGGGCGAGGACCTAATGTCCCACCAAAGCCACGACGACATGACATGGGACAGCCCCGACATGACCGGGGAGGGGGGGAGGCGGAGGGGGGGAAGATGATGGGAGGAGACAAGGGCGAACTGAGTGGCACACGGGCAAGGCTGCGTCCTTTATACGTTCTCAGCCTGAAGCCACACGGCCAAATCAGCGCTATTGTCCGACGGCAGATATGAACACGCTGATACCATCGATGCGCTCGGTCCAATCAGTTGCTTCTGGGTCGCCTCATGGGCCTTTGTGGGTCCACATCCCGTCCGAATGTAGAAGCATGGATTGCTGTAAATGGTAAGTCCTTGGCACACTGGTCCCGGACCGCGCCGGGCATGTGAGACATAATGCACTGCCAAGCACAGGATACATGCGCTCTGCCGCGGTGAGGCTGTGTTTCACATGCTGGAAATCGCGAGGATGGGTAGGCTGAGAGCAGGAGGTCAGGACGATGCTCATTCAAAGGTCGGGACGATCCGGAGGCGCTCAGTAAGTCGTCGCGCCACACGGAAGAGTGCGTCGATCTAGATCTATGGCATCAGAGTGGCGCAGGTGGTCACGCGTGATACGTACGCGCCACCCGTGTGTACCGCCACTCGATCCAAGCTCCTTCCACACGCACGCAAAATTCAAATTGTCGACGTCGCTCATATTTGGGTTGCAATATTGCTGCCAGGAGTCATGTCCTCCGCGAGGAGCAAACCAACATCCAGCAGCGGAGAGCCGATTGCTAGTCGTAGACGGTCTCAATGGACACTGTTATGTACTACAACACGATCCTCCTCCAGCCTCCACGTCTTTATTGCTACAATGACCACCCGATAAACCTGCCCGTCGCCTTTGGCAAGATCTTCTCCTTCTCCATTTGGTCGAACACCTTCTCGAAGCTGTCCCATGTATCATGGTACCCGGTCCACCCAGCAGCTCTCGCCTTGCTCATGCTAACGATAGTGTGGAAGTTGCGACTCAGCACGAACCCCGTGAACATCCACGTCGCCTTCTCAAACGCGTCTTTCTCCAAGCCCTCCCGCTCTGCGAGGCGGTCCCAGGCCGCCTTCACCTCCGGTTTCTGGCTCCACTTCGCCAGATCGATCGTCTGCTCGATGCGCGACTGCGGCGTCCTGCCCTGCAGCCCCAAGCTCTTCGCCATGATCGAGATCGGCGGGTTGTCTGCCATGGGCACGTCCGACGCGTCCGGCGCGGGGCGCGCGAACTGGTCCGCGGGGACCTTCAGCTCGTAGCGCGCGGCGAGCTTGGGCCACAAGTTCGACCAGGTCTCGACGTCGCCGTTCACGACGTTGAACGCCTGGTTGCGCGCGCCGGGTGCCGTCATGGCCCACACGCAGAACTCGGCGTGCAACGGGCTGTACGTGAACGAGTCGAACATCTCGTAGAACGCGGCCCCGCCGGGGAAGGGCAGCTCGCCCGTGCCGAGCTCCTTGTGCACCGCAGCGTAGAGCCCGATGGTCGCGGCGAGGTTCATGAAGTTGCCCTTGGCGAAGCCGACGACTTCGTTCGGATAGGTGACGACCCAGTCGACGTTGTGCTTCGCGGCGAAGGCGTGTAGGATGCGTTGCTGGCGGTAGTAGAAGTTGGGCGGGTAAGGTGGCTCGGGAAGCCAGGAATCAGACTCGACCATGGGGTTCTTGGCGCGCCCGAGGTGGACGCCATACTGCTTGCAGCCGGTGACCAGGATGACGCGCTTGATCTGCGAGACGGTGTTGTTGATCTCAAGCGCCTTGAAGAAGTTCTCCAGCATATCACCTTTGCACGTTGAGCCTCGTCTACTGCGATGAGTGGGAGCCACTCACCATTGACTTTGGTGTTATCCTCTTCGGAATCTTTCTGTAGGTATGCAGCGAAGAAGATGTAGTCAGCAGACACGTCCTTCAGTTCCTTGGCCATCTCTTGTGCATCTGCAGTGAGGTCGATGTAGTTGTGAACAATGGTCGGTGGGTATGCATCCTTCTTCGAACGTGACAGAGCGTGGACTGTGGTCCACTCTTGTGGGTGGCGTCCGAGCTCGTAGACGATTTCACGACCGAGAATACCTGAATGGAAGTCAAGATCAATCCAAGCTCGGAAGGTCAGATCTGTTACTGACCAGTCGCCCCGGTAACGATTGCAGTCGGCATAGTGAAGATGATGATAAGTTGTCAGTAGGGGCGAGCTCAGACAGTGACCTCCGAGTCGATGGTACTGTAGAGAGCAGACATCTGAACATATATACACCCAGGCGGTGTGGAGATGTGTAATCAACAAGAGCGGCGATGTTACAATCGCATGATGTCATCGCTGAAGTCTCCTCCGAGCCGGCATCTAGACACAGAAACATCTTCCTGCTGGTTCTCGCTTGCGCGGTTTATGCATCGTCGGTTCAGCGTTGAATATCATGGCGAACTTGGTCTGCAGACACTGAGACAGTGGTACGGTCCTCACACGGACCAATGTCGGGTTAGCCCATTCGGCAGCTCACCTTCCTGAGATGGACGTATGTAAGGAATCAACAGACTCGGAACGAAGAACAAGTACCAAAAAGCTAGCGTTACATCATATACAGCAGGCTACGTGTCCGAGCCAGCAAATTTAGAGCCGTGCCTTCGCGGCCGCATCGTCTGCGTCAATCTGCTGCAAGAGATCGTCTCGCGCAGAGGCCTCCAGCGCATCCCGGTACAAGTCACGCTGTGGACAGAGCATCGCTTTAACCACACAAATATCACTTGTCGAGGTCCATGGCCGCCTACCTTGATGACACCCCAAGCCCCAGCCGTGGCCATACGCGCAACCGACTCGCCAACCGCTTGCGCCTTCGCGATGACAGCCTCTGTGTCGCCCTTGACCAGGAAGTCCACCAGACCAGCTTGGAGAGCCTCGGGGGGCGTGAAATGATGCCCCTCGAGTGCAACCTTGCGTTGAGTGCGGGGGTCTGGGACTTTCGTGCGGATGATGGAGGCAAAGGACAATGGGTAGGCGGCGCCGAAGTGGATCTGCGGGCGGAGACGTGTCAGGGCGGGATATTTCATACAGAGACTGTGAGGCGGTCGTACCTCGTTCATGCACATCCATGCGCGCCGACTGCTCCCGTCTGTCATGACCCGGTAGTCGCAGCAGAGCGCGAGCATCATTGCCGCAGCGAAGCAGTGGCCGTTTATTGCGGCTACGGTAGGAACTGGGGGAGGACATTCCAGTTCGTATCAATGCGATACTTGAGCAGGACACTGGTACGTACTGGGAAACGCCAGCAGCCTCCTGAGCCAAGGATTATGTACGACTGATTCGGGTAGGTGAGCCAAACATCTGAACCAGCGTATTCCGAGCTCACTCACGAGGCGTGAAGTTATGCGCTGAGTGCGGGTCGCTCCTAAGCTTGTCTAGTTCCAGCCCTGCGAACGGTTCCCACCTCACACCCGTCACACGCACATAGGAAAGACAACCCCGTACCATTGCTGAAGAACTTGTTCTGCCCCCTCTTTCCGACGATGATCAACGCACCGCCGCCGCCGTCCTTATCCTTCGCCTTCCGCGCTGCGCGCCACCCCTCGCGCCAATCGCGCTCGACGATGTTCAGCGCGGGCTGCAACGCCTTGTCGATGAGCGTCTCGTTGATCCTGCTGTCCTCCCCGTTGTGCAGCTCAAGGACCCATATGATGGGCGTAGCTGTGACGAGCGGTCAGCAGCGACACGCTCTTGAACCTTGAATCGAACGACATACGATGCGTCAGGGTGACGATTGGGTTGTCGGACGGCAGGCCCACAGGGTAAGACATGGCTGGACAAGAGGAGCAGTAGACACACCGAAGCGAAGTCAGCAGGACCAGGATCAAGCAAGTAGCCTTGGCAGGACGGTGTGCGCGGTTTCTCGATCTCAGCTCATCCGGTGAGTCCGGTGACAGCTGCAGGATGTATGACAGTACTAGGTTTGATGATGGCACCTGAAATGAGCAGGATAAGAAATATCAACTCAAAAAACCACATAGTATTCTGGGCAGTAAGAGCATCGCCGTCGTGATGGAACATCCCAGCTGTGAACACAGTATGCTGCAGAGAGAGCGAACGGCCATGACGCATCGAACTCGGGGCGACTCAGCTGAAGCGCCCGATACCCAAATCTGGCGAGCGGGCGCTTCGCCGCAAGCCGTCCCGCAACGACCGCCGACCGCCCGCCAGCTTGCAGCCACACGCACATCCACCATGGCCATCGACGAAGTACGGGCAGAGGAGCTCAAAGGTGCGCTCTCCCCTTCCAGCCACTTGTCTCGTACGCGCGGGGTGCTGACGGGGACGACGGACAGCCCGGGTAAAGGAGCGCGAGGACCTCATCCGCGAGTCGTGGGTGCGCGCGATGGAGGCGAAGATCGTCCGAGAGAACATGCAGAAGTGCTACCGCATCGAGGGCGTGAACCACGGCGAGAAGTGCAAGCACTTGGCGGAGAAGTATACGCAGATGCTGCAGGAGAACAAGGTGCGCTTTATGGTGTCTCTTTGGTCGAACGTCAGGGAGGGGCTGACGGCTTGGTTTCCTCCGTACAGGTCAAGGGCTACAAGCACATTGATGTATAATGCTTGTCCAACATTGACCGTACACATTGCGAGCCTCATTCAGTCTGTCCCTGCGGGGGCGCATCACAAGCCATCGAGCTGAGAGGTCACAGCATGCGAGAGGGAATAATCAGACGAGCACCGCAGACCAACAAAACTACGACAGCGACGGATGATCGTGTGCTAATACACAAGTATCCTTTTGTGATCCCAACATGCCCAAATGTACCCTACTTCTTCCCCTTCCGCTTCCTGCCCTCCGTGCCGCTGAACTCCGTGCCGCTCGTCTCGTCCCCACTGTTCACCACGCCCGAGGACCGCGTCTTCCTTGCCTTTGTCTTTTTAAGGTGGTGCTCGGGGATCCACTCCTCCTGGTAGCCACCTGCGCCTGTTGCGGTGACAGTGCCGACGGGCGCGCTGACTGCGGGCGCCCGCTTCTTCTTGGGCTGGGGAACGAACGAAAGGTAGGCGTAGTAGCCGAGGCCGCCGAGTAGGAGGGAGACAACCAGGTAAGTCGAGAGCCTGAGGATTGAACCATCAGTCGTTGGCCCGTGTTGTGGACGAGGAAACCACTCACATCTTAAAGTCGAGCAATGCCGACTCGGGCTCGACGATGGTGACTATAGAGTCATAGGCAGTCACACGATACTTGTGACCCTGTACACGTTTAGCCCGTCAGTTGAGCACATCTTTGCATGCGCGAGAGCATACGAACGTCGGCTTCGTGATCCAACCAGAGGTTCAGCCTGAGATCTCCTGGCTACAGTGCGCATGTCAATGTACGGTCGGGGTTCTACGCGCGAGTGTCAAACCTTGAACCTGCGTGAACATTAGCATCATGGGACTCAGCGCGCCGAGATGGACTGGCACTCACTCGCTATAGAAAGTATAGGGGAGTTGCATCTTGGCACCCTCGAGCAGCAGGACATCGTATGCCAACGCTGAGGCCTGTCAGGAGTCAGAGTCTCCGCATAAACTCAGTTCTGCTGCACACGCACGTTCTTGATGAGTTTGTTCGAGTCTGCGTAGTGGAAGGAGCCACCGACGCTCTTGATGGTGATGTTGAGGTCTGACTGGTTCTCCACGTTCAACAACAACTTATTCCGTTCGCCGTTCACGACGTCTGTAACCCAAGCCTTCAGCACCACCTCCGAAGCCCACAGAGCGTAGCTCCTTACGTCCGAAAGCATTGTCTTCGGGGAACTGTGCAGTAGCCAGGACCACGGGCTCTTCGAGTGCAACCGGCTCAGGAGCTACGTAGGGGCCAAACACGGGTTCAGCAATGCGCGCACGCCGGGAAGACGAGCGCACGTACCAGCCATGGCGAGCTGCAGCAAAGCAGCCGCGCCGACGGTGTAACCAAGGAAGGACTGGACGCGCATTCTGCCTGTGCCAATGAGTGTCCGGGTGAGATGGGAGGAATGTGAGTAGAGGTCTGAGGAGGGTTGGGAGAGCGCGGGGCGGGTGACGTCGAATATCCTTGCCACGTCCGCCTGCCATACGTGGCCTAGTCCCGCCCTGGTCGCCACCCTCGGGTTAGGGTCAGCGCATCGTACTAGGACTTCATAGTAATACGGCGGATGAGCAATACAGACTACTGCGTGCTTGTTCGACATGGCACGAGTCGGGGAATGCGCTAAGCGTGATAAACTATGTCATGAAATGAAGCCAACTCGCAGACATTGACTTTCCAGCAGAGTGGAACCTATATGATACATCACGACAAAACCGACTGCTCAGCGAGAGATACATAAATTAGGATAGTGTCACAATCATGGTTGGCCTCAGCTAGCCCCCATCTTTTTCTGTAGGAATTCTTTCGCGAACTCGTCGGGATCACCGGAGTGGTCTGGGAGCCAGAATGCCTGAGAGTGTCTGATGAGTTGCTGGTATCCACGAGGACAAAGCAAACATAAGCTCACCAGCTCGGCGCCTGCCGTACACATCATCGCAAAACGAGGGTTGAACCTTACGCATCTGGACGGGCCAGGGTGCCCATCCAGAACTGCCACAGGTTTCAACCGCGTAGGCACATCCTTCAGATTGATCGGTCCCTCCTTGACCGGAAGGTGTTGCACATCCCATACAACCACTTTGCCATCGGCGCTCCCGCTGATGACAAATCTGCTGTCCGGTGTCCACGAGATTTCCTCACCACTGCACCCTCGTTCAGGCTCAATCTTGAGTGGCGTGCTCAGCTTCCTGCGCTCTAGCCCGACGTGGCCTTCCAGCTTCACGAGCAGATGTCCTTCGAAGGCATCAAGAATGTAGTGCGCGTCGCCGGAGCAGCCAACAAGCAAGTACTTCCCGTTTGTCGAGAATGAAAGCGAGGTCATGTATATTGCGCGTGGAGGGAAGCTGATGAGCGCCAGAGTCGGGTCCTCCAGCGTGACCACGAGGAAAGGTGCCTTGTCGAAGTTCGCCTGGTCGTACAGCAGTATACGGGAGTACACATTGACTGCGACGGCAAACACGAGCCCCGACGCGTCGTACGCCACTATGGGACAAGCAGGGAGGTTCAGAAGGCCTCTGCAGGTCGGTGTGCGTAGATCCCAAAGACGCACGGTCCTGTCCATCGAGCCGGACATGAACCCATCATCGATCGGAGACACCTCGAGGGACACGACTTTCCCCTTGTGGCCCTTGAAGTACTGCAGGTACTTGTTGTCGTGCAGGGAGTGGTACCGCACCGTATCGTCCTCCTTCGTCGACGCGTGCACAATGGCAGTGTTCTTGTGCGTGAAGCGCGGCAGATCGACTCCGTACTTCTTCGAGTACAAGGTCTTCAGATGCCTGTGCCGCGACGATCAGTTGAAGCGGACACGAGCTGCGAATCGAGCGGAACTCGCTTGCCGCTTTTGCAACTGTACAGGCGGAACGTCTCGTCCTCCGCCGCCGTCACCACCTGGTCTCCCCTATCGTCGAAGCTGACTCCAGTGATATGTTTCGGGCCCGCGTTGGGCGATCGCGATGCTGACGTGCCCGGGGACGGTGGCGCCTGCGGCTGCTCGACCGCGGCCTTGAAGATTTTTGCGGGCTTCAGCCTCGTCTGACAAAGCGCGGGGTGAGGATTGAATAGCAAGGCATTTGACTGATGGCATACCATCAGCTGCGGCGTCAGCACCAGCAGCGCCGCTGGCGGCGGTGCGGTCGTCGCGTCGGGAGCGGTCGACATCGTCGGTGGCAGAGAGAGTGCCCGGGCGCTTGGCCGAGTCGAGGAAGACGGGCGGTCCGGCGGCGCGGAGTTGCAATAAGTCTGTAAACAATTTTGGCGCCCATTACTTGTCCTCCGACCACTCGCCATGTCTGAGGGAGACGAGTCCGCGAAACTATGGAAGGTCAACCGCACGATACATGAACTCGTAAAGGACAGGGTGCGTCTATCTTGTCTTGGCCCAGTCAGCTGATGTGAAATGGGCCTTCAAACGCGCAGGGTTTCCAAGTCTCCGACGATGAGATTAACATGGACCTCGCTACATTCCGGGAACACTACGCGAACAACTCTGGGAGTGTAGAGTACGTCTTTTCGCCTCTTCTCAGGGGTGCCAGCGGTTTATGTGCATATAGCCGGAGTCAACTCAACTTCTTCACGAACCACAAGAACAACCCCATGACCCAAATCTTCGTGTATTTCTCTGAGGAAAAGAGTGTCGGAGTGAAGACGATGCGGAAGTGAGCGACCCTGCATTCAGATCTCAGGGACTGTATTTCTGATCGACGTGGGACGCGTGCAGAATGCTGGGTATCCTGGAGGAAAAGAATATTCAGCAGGGTGTCATCGTCTTCCCGGGAAACATGACACCATCCGCACGGAAGGTCGGTTTTTGCTGCTCCTCGCCTTCGCAATTTGAAGTGTCAACTCAGCTCCATATTCATTAGGTGATTGTGGCGATGGCATCGCAATACAAGTTGGAGGAATTCTCGGAGTCCGACTTGTTGGTGAACATCACGCATCACACCCTGGTGCCCAAACACGAGGTCTTGACGCCTGAGGAGAAGAAGGAGCTACTGGAGACATAGTAGGTCTCCATTCTCTGATCGCTCCCAGTGTACGTACTAACGTATTTTGGTCAAGTCGGCTGAAGGAGACACAGTTGCCCCGAATCCAACTGGCAGACCCGGTAGCCCGCTACTACGGCCTCAAGCGAGGTAATGTGGTCAAAATCACTAGACCCAGTGAAACGGCTGGACGCTACGCCAGTTATCGCATATGCTTCTGACTTATCTTTATTTGGCGGGTGGTGGCTCGGGTGTTCTATTTTGGAACTTCGCTTCATCATCTACGCTTTCTTCTTGGAATGCTCTGTTTGTTTCCGCCTTGTAGTCTAATGTTCATTTCCTTCTCTCGTGCCTTTTCTTTTCGAGAACCTAACGCCGGAACACTCAGTGACCTGCCATGGCTGTCATACGTGCATGATCCGATACTGAAGTAGCTTCCCCGTGATGAAACGTGCAAAACAGCGATCGGTGAGTTTGTTGCGCGGTTCTCCGTGAAAACAACGTACAGGTCCTCCGGACGCGAGCTGACAATCCTCAAGATAGCAGGTCGATTTGCTTCTACCGAACAAGCGGTATCTTGGATCTCGGCACGATCTGTAGCACTTTTGTGCGGCTTGCAAATAGGATGCCAGCATTTCTCTGCGCTGACAGGTGACATATGGTGAGTCTGCTCCTATGCGGCGGGAAACAGCGTCCATAGCGGCCCGCTGGTTGTTCGAGGCGGCCGCTCGCCCCTACGCCTATCCCGCCGACCTCGACGACCTCAGCACGGGGTTATCCACCTTGTCTGCTCCGTCGTGCAGGGCTCACCGGTGTTGACGACTCACTGGAAGCATGAGGCCCTGCACCCGCACTTGCTTGCTCGCCTTGCAATTCATCGGTGCTCGTAACGCAAGTGCGGATGCAGTAGGCCTTCGGCCTCCTTACCCCTTCATGGTTTATCGCCTGTATCTGCGAATTCGGGTTCATATCGCCCTTCCTTGTACCTCTCCTCTCTGTCGGCATTCAGGGATGGTCGCCTATGCCCAAGGGTTTCATGTGTGCCGACTCTAGTCATGTATGCCCCCTGAGTCGGATCCGATGCGCCGCTGCATTTACGCGGAGAAATTGCCTCACAGCAATATGTGAGGGGCAGGAATAGCACGATGCCAGGGAGTGGACATCGGTGAGTAGTATCAAGCCCGCCGTTGTGGCGCAACCCCAGTCGACGCTCACGTTGCAGGGGTCGCAGAATATTCACGGGTGTACCGAAGATCCGTACACAGTAACTCTTTCGGAAATAAGCGTGCGTGTAGGCGTGTCACGATACCTCGGGTTCACAACAAGCATGCGCAAGACGGAGCCCAGTCCCAGGCTTGCTCAGAAAGTTCGAATATACGCTCATGGCAGCCCTCCGACCAAGTCCCTTGGTTCTATAGAACATTTGTGAGGGGTCCCCTATCAGACCGACGTGCGTATGGAGCCACTTGTATCAACAGATTTTTTTTATTGCCGTCAGTCCCGCCGCATTAGCACCAGGACAATCGCTGACGAAGTTTTGAAGGTAAGCTACTGGCCAGGACTCAAAATGTTGCAGTGTTTTGCAAGGCTGTGCGATAATTGTCGGCTGGTACTGATTGATTCCACCAGTGTCCACGACGTAACTTTGTACTCTCTGTGGCATTGAGACAGGCTAATAAAACTTGGCCTAGGTATCCACATACAACACTGTAGATTCAACTAGGGCTCCCCGAGCCCCAACTCCGTCGATTTCCGCGGCGTCGGACGCTGTCACGGACGTGACGGCTGACGTGCATTTATCAGGTTACACCTCGCCCCACGTAGTTTGCATAGCGCCATGCGCCAAGTTTTCGGACAGTGCTCCTACTGTTCAGTTTTTCGACCCGAGCCTCGTTGACTACGACTCATCTAACGCATTTTCGAGGTATGAAGATTCGCTGTTGTTGGTATGTATATTGCTGAACGTGATATCTCGCGCGTGGTCACTGACCTCTCCTGACTTTGCCATCGAGCGGCTGCCTTAGCCGCCACAGATGGAGATGTGACCGCGCCCCGTTAACAGGCTCGGAATGGGTGGTACTTCCCGTCGAGGCAACTATTCCACGGAAGTCCACCCCGCGTCCCGAAACTCGGAACCAATCGGTCAACTAGAGCTCCACATCACGGCGATCTATTGGAATGCCTAGTACGCTGGCCAAAATTTTCTACTCACACTGTGCGTGGATTGACACTATCGCGGATTGTACATAGTCGCCGCCGTTAGGCGGTGCAGAAGAGAAGTGGCTACTTCGCAGCGAGCTAGAAGCCAAGCCTCGTCCCTGGACCTTGGTCAGTAATTCCACAATTCAGCAACCCCATACCTCCGGAAGTATACCTCCGCACCCCTGAGCTCAGCACCGCTTGATCGAGTCGTTCTTGGAATGCGGCGTGAACCCTATACCATTCAGCCACCCCGCCTGGGAGGTGAGCCCGCGCTAGCGCAAATAGCGCGATGAATACGGTTCAGTCATGCTAGGACTGAACGCCGAATAATGGAGGTGCTGTATCGTCATTTTATCTTCACAGTTGAGAGCGCGGACCTACGGAAGAGACTGTCTATGGTGAGTCCTTTCTCCGGAGTGGCGGCAGGCCACGTGTGGGATCGAATGATTGACTCGATCTGCCTTACCTGGATCTCGTTGACCATTCTCGGCCGTGCGGGGGCGTACGGCGTTCAGCTCAGCAACCGAATAGCGGCGGCGAGTACCGCACCCTGATGGCGTCGCTAGCGGTGGTGCGGTTGCGGTAACGTGTTTCACGTACCTCGGGGATTCGAGTGAAGCAATCGACTGCAGGCTATTATTTCGAGGCATTGTATGCCTCGCCGATGACCTCAGGCCAGCACCCACCGCACTGTCCTCAACCCGGCCGCGATCGCACCCCATAACCGATGTAATCCGGCAAGAGGCCTGGACGATTAACGTGGTCATGTTTCAGCTTGGTTGAATCTAGGGGTAATCACCGCTGTCCTTGTAGACTGATATTGATGTCTGCTGAGATCTGAGGCGGTAGATGCACATTACACCACAATCTGCGAACGCATCGGGGCTGTCTCATCCGCTTGCCAGTACGTTTATTGCATTTACGGTGATCTGACACCCTTAACTCTGTCGTCCGTCGTCCATGTAAGGCAAAGCAGTGCACGGATTAGAAATATGGGCTAACGAACTCAGACGCTTGCTCTGCATTCTATACGGTGCTGCTACTCGCTGTCCCCCAGAGCAAGAAGCCCGGATTTGCCATGGGCAGTGTTCCCTTGTTGGTAGGTTTCCGCGATTTTTCGCACAGGGTCGATGCTCCATTTTGGAATCTGATTGAACGGCGGTAGGGGCTCCATTGGCTCCATTCAGGGATCCAAACACCGGCACGCCTATCCAGGTATGGCATGTCAATTGATGTTGTTTGTCCGGACATCGACCAAGTCCTCTCAGCGTTAGTGTCGTGGCTTTCGTGTCCATATAAAAACTGGGACTGTTGTCAGGTTTTCAGCATACTCGACCTCACCAAGTGCCCCGCCATGTCTTCGTCTCCTCGCTACTTCGTCCTCCCTGACCTCTTCGCTCTCTGCCCCTTCAGGCCTTCTACAAGCCCCCACTACGCCAAAGCCGCAGCGGAGTCATCAGCATGGATCAACGCTTACAATGTCTTCACCGACACAAAGCGGGCCTACTTCATCCAGGGGTGCAACGAGCTACTCGTCTCCTACACCTACCCGAACGCCGACTACGAACAATTCCGCACCTGCTGCGACTTCGTAAACCTTCTGTTTGTCGTCGATGAAGTCAGTGACGAGCAGAACGGTGCCGACGCCCGTTCCACTGGCGAAATTTACCTGAAGGTCATGCGTGACCCGACCTGGGACGACGGCTCCACCTTGGCTAAAATGACCAGAGAGTGAGTGTCTTGCCTCCGTGATTTTTTCTTCCGCGACTGAGCCGTAAAGTAGATTCAGGGCCCGGTTGATTCAATTCGCGGTCCCGGGCTGCATGCGCCGCTTCTTGAAACATTGCGAGGACTACATCGACGCAGTGGCTAAAGAGGCCGAGTACCGCGAGCGCGGAGTGGTCCTCGACATGGCCTCCTTCGAAACGCTGCGCCGTGAGAACAGTGCCATCCGCCTGTGCTTCGGCCTGTTTGAATTCTGCTTCGGTCTCGACCTCCCGGACGAAGTCTTCAATGATCCGACGTTCATGGCTTTGTATTGGGCTGCTGCGGACATGGTTTGCTGGTCCAACGTAAGTCAAATGCAGTGTCCTTGTCCATCAGACCACCCTGACCACGCGCGCTCCTCCTTCTCCCAGGACGTCTACTCCTACAATATGGAGCAGGCGAAGGGCATCGGCGGAAACAACATTGTCACAGTGCTCATGCACGACAAGGGCGTCGACTTGCAAACCGCTGCCGATCTTGTGGGAGATCATTTCAAGGCCTTCATGGCCCGCTTCCTGGAAGCCAAGTCCCAGCTCCCTAGCTGGGGCCCTGCCGTCGACCGGGCGGTCCGCAAGTATACAACGGCCATGGAGCATTGGGTCGTTGGCAATTTGGAGTGGAGCTTCGAGACTCAACGCTACTTCGGGCCGTTACACACTGAAATCAAACGCACTCGCGTCGTGCGCGTACGCCCTCGGGAGATAGATTGTTAAGGTGTGTCCGTTGTGCCTACATTTGTCGCGAGGCAGTTGACTGAAGTTCAGGTAGTGTCGCCTCCCTCCGACGCGCCGCTGTCAAGCCCTGAAAGCCTGATACGGCGTGACATACGCATGTCGTATTTATTGTGTCCCAGCGTCCTGATCTGCATCTTGAATACGTATTATACTTCCCACTAGTTCCACACAAATGAAATGCTATGCTTTCATTGAAATGCTCGATTGCTTTTGTGAGAGCTTGTTATTCAGCAGGCGTTCATCGACATCTCCATTCCGGGGGGGGAGGGGGGTTGGAGGCGCAGTGGCGCTTCGCGGTGTTAGTGGGCAAGGCCACAGAGGTGGCGAGGCAGCATATAGCTCCTTGATGTCTTACCTTGACATGTCTTCAACGAGTCATCATCCCGGAACGTGTAATTGCGACGCTGCGTGATGAGCAAGCTTCCGACAGATGAGATGCGGCGGGAGGCTGTATGAGATCGTACAGTACCAATGACATCGGACAGAGAACATCTACCGCTCGTGGGACCACCCTCCGACAAGATCGTCAGAACCTTCGGCATCTGCGCCACCTGCACGACACGTCCCCGAAATGGTACACTGATTCCTATTGAATTCGCGGATGTCCCGATGACATCTTTTGCTGCACTACTCGTACATGCGACGTGTTACACAAGGGGGTGGAAATTAATGCCAATTAACGGCACTGTCGAAAGGAGGTTCAACCGATGCAAGGTTCGAGAGCCGGGTGCCCCGTACGCCGGTGAACATGAGGAGAGAAGCAGGTAGATCTGTCAGGGCTCACAATGCTACCCACTAATTTTGCTGCTTAGGCCACAGGCCAACACCACCGAAGGACACAAATGTTCGCCCTGACTAGTCCCACGCTGCGGCCAGATCTACCGGGGGAGAATCTAGGCGGCGACCGGTGCCGGGCTCGTGGGTCTGCTGATGGATGCGTCGCGGCTGTCCATGGTGCCCTCGCGATGCTTGCGCAGCAGGCGGTCGAGAGCCTCCTTCTGTCCGACGGCAAGTTCGCCCGACTGGATCCCGGAGTGGTACACACGCAGCAGCGAGTCGACGTCATCCATCGACTGTGTGCGGACGTCTGCGAGCTCCTTGATCTTCGCTGTCGCGTCCTTGATCTGGAAACGCGTACGTAAGTCAGCCGCAACTTCCGGCAGGATCAAGGGATCTGTACACACCTCCTCATCAGTGAGCGTCAGGCCGAGCTGCTCCACGCGACTCTTCACAGCATTCCATCCGGTCAACCTGTGCCCGATGGAGACGTAACGCGTAAGCCCGAAGTCTTCGGGCTTCAGGATCTCATAGGTGGAAGGGTTGTTGAGAATGGCCTTGGCGTGGATACCAGCCTTGTGTGTGAAGGCACAGTAGCCGCTGGATGTCCGTCAGTCAAAGTGTGCACCATCGTCGACATTGTACATACGTGATGGGGTTCATGAATGGTATGTTGACCTCGACGGCCTCGGCGACCAGATTTTCAATCTCACGGAGCATGGGCAGGTTGTACTTGCTCTTGACGTACTCCGGGTCGGCGGCGTACAAGCAAGCAACAAGACCACCGAGAGGAGTGATACCGACACGCTCGCCAATACCGAGGACAGATGTGTCGATGTGGGTAGCACCGGCCTCAAGCGCAGTGTACGCGTTGGCGATGGCTACGTGGCACCGGATGGTGAGCCTCCGTACGTGTTTGTGAAGAACGCCTGCTTACCCATGCCGGTGTCGTTGTGCAAGTGGATCTCGATGTCGCAGCCGACGACACCACGAAGCGTACGGACGAGGTCGTACACCTGACGAGGGTTGGCGCAACCGACAGTATCCGCGATACCTACCCGGTTGACACCAATCTTGTCCACGGTCTGGTAAATGGACAATAGGTCGACGAGGTCTGAACGGAAGGAGTCTTCTGACGAGAACCGGACTTCGATGCCTATCCAACAAAATGCGTGAGTTTCTGTTTGGACTATTAGACGGACTCCGGGCGCACCCTTGCTCTTCACGAACTCGATGACCTCGATGGCCGTCTTGGTGATGTAGGCCATGTCCTTGCCATGCGAGAACTCGCGGAGGAACGACGACGTTCCAATGACGACGTCGACGCCATCGACACCTGGGTGCGTTGTTCAGTAGGAGAGGTGGTATGCTACCGGGTATGGCGTACCAGTCTCAACAGCTATCCGTGCATCATCCATATGGCAACGAATGTGCGTCAGAATCTTAGCCTTCAGGCCGAGCTTGCAGATCGCCTCGCAGTCTATGGCATCGTCAATACTTCCGCCTGTGCATATACATTACCACTTACCAGACCGTGATTGCTCAGACGCAGCGGGGCTGGTGAGCTCAATGTACTCCACACCGAAGGCATCGAGTGCCTTGGCAATAGCGATTTTGGTCTTGGTATCGAAGAAAGCGTTGGCGAACTGCTCGCCCTCTGCAAGTGAGATGAGGACCAACTTCACAATATGTCCTGCATGATCACTGACCTCGCAAGGTACTCTCAATGATCTTGAAGTTGCAGACATTGCTCAGGAAGTCCGATGCGCGAGGAGCATAAGGGTTCTGTCGCTGCTCGGGCTTCTTGGCAGCACCGTTAACGCCATTTACATGGCCATTTGCGTGGCCATTCACACCATTCGTCCTGACCGATGATGAGTGCGAGGTGGAAGCGTTCGCCAAGTCTACGGGGACCATTTCGGAAGTCCCGTTCGGGAGGGCGTCGCCGTTAGCGTGGGGGCACATGTTTTGAGATATTCGAGGTAGTGTGTATAGTCTGAAGTAGGGAAAGGGGTTGCAGCGGTGGGTGAGGGAGGACGAGTAGCGAGGAGGTGATCGCGGGCGGCTTCAAAAAGTACTCATTCAGACCGAGTCATTGCCGCCAGTGGGAGTCAGGTCACGTGCGCGCACTATACTCTAGTAATCTCATTACGAAGGTGCCCCAGCCCAGCCCTTTACTCCTTTCTTCCACTGGCGCGAGTCAGCATCGTATGGCTAGTGTATGTCCGGGCAGATGCAGCTGGATATAGGACACTCGCTTCATGTCTTCCACTGATTTCTCTCGCATTTGCTGGCACTTCCGCTGTGTACTCACGCCCGCCTCTGTGCTGACCAGTGACGAAGAGTCCATTTGCCTCGCCGGTCGCCGGTGGTGTCGTAGTCCGAGCCGCTTTTGTGCGGGATAACATTCAAGGCGGGAAAACCAGTTGATCCTGTATGACTGGCCCTGCTTTCCCCTCGCTGGTGTCCAGGTACTACCGAGGCACAGTAATAGTCGGCCATCTATGAGACGCAGGATCATCGTTCCCGATATGTACAGTTGCTCGACACGGCAACGGAATTGGGTGCTTTGTGTCCGTGCGCCGACTGCCAGTGAAGATGAGCGCACTTCCTAGTACTGTAATGGTTAACGTTATGGAGATTGAAGGCGCCGCGTTCTGCTCGAGGTATGATAAGCGTGCCGAGTCGACAACGCCTACCATGATTATTTTGTGAGAGTCTAGCTCCCGATTCGTGAACGTACTGACAGCACTACGCAGCGATACCTTGGCTGCCAGGCTCGGAGCAAAGTCCTCAGGCCTCAAAGGTTTGTGTCGAGGATTTCGGGTGTTGATTGAACAGTGCATAAAGCCTGTGCCTTCGTAATCAACCCAACGCTTTGTAAATCCCGAATTCGAGACCACTACTTATGCGACTGAGGTGCCGATCACAACTGGATGCCTTCCCGCAGGCTTTTCAGCGACTCTAAATGCATGCGCGGGCCCTGAATCTTATGCTTAAGGAATGTTTATCTGCAGTGCGCCTCCGTAGCTCCACTCAAAATCCATGGATAATACCTTGCGGAGCTCAAATGATGCCGCGCTGCCGTGGTGGCACAACGTTACCGTAAGACACAGCTGCGAACATACTTATTTTCGAGCATGGACATCTCAGTGGCACTCACTGACTCGCATGTTCCATGGCCGAGGACAGCTTGTCTGCTGTCCATGTCATTGTCGATCTAGACCGCTACGAGACGGCTTCGTCGAGCAAACACGCTACGAGATAGCCTCGTCGCGTGGACATGCTATGACTGAGACGGCTTCGTCAAACAAGCACACTACTACAGGACGGTACCGTTTTCGTCGAGCGATAAGTACGCTATAAGACGATATCATTGCTCGAAGCGACTCATCGCGTAGAAGCGGCACTGTCGCTCGGAGGCGGCAATTACATAGAAATGGCGTCGCGCACTGGCAGAGGCCCCATCGGGGCGGTAGATCCAGGGTAGCAGGCTGGGTAGGATGCACAGTTCTTATGCAGGTCCTGGCGGTGCACTTGGCGCGGCAAACCCAGAGCCCAGGACAGTACGGTTATCACGTAGTTTCGTTGAGCAGGCTCCTGTATTGTCGAGGGGGCACTAACCAACGCCCCTCTGTGCCTCTCGCCGACACCATCGACGGGTTAAGCGCCGTCTTCTGACCATCCCGGCGCCCATCCACCCAATATCCCCACATTTCCCGCTTGTTTTCGTGCGAATACGGCGCAGAGCATAGTCGGGGCCCGGGTGCCGCGACGGTAAGATCCAAATCTCGTCGGAGGCTCAAACTCAACTTTACGGACGTGTTTTGTACCTAGAAGGGGGGGTCCTACCCCCCTTCTAAATGAGCTGTTTAGAGGAGGGGTGTACGGATCCGAAGCAATGGTACACACGAGATGCCGACTTGCCGCAGAGATTTACAGTGCGAATTTAGGATAGAACGCGCTGTAAACCTCTGCGGGAAGGCATCCACTTAGTCTGGGGCGAATGAAGTCGATCGAGGTCAGCTCGACGAAGTGACCGTTCGGAAGTCACCTACAGATCGAACGGATCAATGGGCTTGGGGTAGATTGGGGTAGATCTGATGATGGCGGCCTTGGCCTTGGCAATTCCCAGCAACGCTACCCGCACCTTGCCCGCACCTGACCCGCACGAACCGTCTCACCACTGCACTTCGCGCTTTTCGCCGCCTTAAGACCGACCAATGGCTTGCATATCCAATGGATGCTGGCCAAGAGTACTATGGGATCCTGATGCGCACGCACCCACGCAGCTGCGCATTGACAGGTCATAATTATATCATGCGAGACATAATCTCCGACCTGCGCCGTTCGTCTTGACTTTGGTCTCTCACTGCCAGTGTTTCGTTGTGCACCAACTTGAACACCTCTTGATTGGCCTAGAGGCTCTGGATCCTGCTCAAATCAACGAACGCGAAACCGCTGAACGTGGAACTTGAAGATGTCTTCACCGTCAGTTGAGCAGAATGCCGTTGTCAGGGAAGCGGGTATGCTGGTTTGTCTTGTCGCTGCGTCAGTTGAGAGCCTGAAAAACCATCACAGGTATGCTGGAGCGATGGCACATTGTCCGTCAAAAGCTGGGCCTGCTCGGAGCCGTCGTCATCTCTGGGCGATACGCGCGCGCGGATGGGAGTATCTTCGACAAAGCCCACCTCTATGCAGCTCTGGAGAAGGTTATACAGAAACACGGATCCCTAGCCATGTGCATAGCTGGTGAAGCGACGCTCAAACCGGCGTTCGTTCGTTTGAACAAAGTCAACTTGGACGAGGTCGTCACCTTCGTCGACGGTGACCTGTGCGACGTCCTCCAGGCCGAAATCGGCAAGGGCTTCGAGATGACTCGGCCCTTGTGGCGACTCTTAGTGCTGCGGGACGGCACAGTAGCGTTCAGCTTCCACCATGTGATCGGAGACGGGCAGAGCGGGATGGCCTTCCACCAAACTCTACTCGCCGTTCTCAATGAGATCGATGAAGCCCCGCCTTCGCATCCGGCCCTCGTGTCCGGCCCCTCGGAAATTACGCTCCTGCCACCTATCGAACACGCCGCGGATCTTTACGTCTCGCCCTTTAGGCTCATCCGCGAAATCATCAAACAGTTCTTGCCCATCTCTTGGACCTCTGCCTACTGGGCGTGGACAGGCTATCCGACTATTCCAGAGGCCAAGCTCGGCTGCAATCTGCGGTTGTTGTACCACAAGCCCGAAGCAGCGCATCGCGTATTGCGGGTCTGCAGGGCCCACAACACTACCTTGACAGGTCTCATCCACACTCTAGCGACGCTCATCATCTCCGAGCTCCTTGCAGAAGACCCCTCGGTTGCCGACAGGTACACGTCGATATCGACAACCATCCCCGTCTCGCTGCGCCCCCTCATCAACGCACCCACTGATGCGATGTGCAACTATGTTTCCGCTCACCCCTCATTTCCTCCTTTCATCAAGCGGACGCCGTCTGCAGACAAGTCATGGCTGCGAGAGTTCCCCTGGGACACAGCGAGCGAATTCTCGCGGACGCTGCGGGAGCAGCAAGCACGAACCACGGAGAATGTAGGGCTCGTCAAGTACGTCTCGAGCTACGAAGACTACCACAAGAATAAACTCGGGAAGAAACGCGAAACTACCTTCGAGATCTCAAATGTCGGGAGGTTCCCGGCGGGTACTAGCGCCGAGCCGGGTCTGTTGAAGTGGACCCTCGACGACGTCTACTTCACGCAGTCGAGCCCGTCCTCGGGAGCCGCGATCCACATGAACGTCGCGGGCGACCCGGCGGGCGGGGTCGGGATCTCCGTAACATGGGCCGAGAGCGCAGTAGACGACTCGTTCGGCGAGGCGTTCTTCACGGCACTCAAGGAAGGGCTCGAGGAGGTCGTCCATCATGACGTCGCATAGGCACGTCGCGGGATGGGGTAAGTTCGCGTTTCCCGCGCACCCTTCGCGAACCGGCTGACCCCTTCGCGGCCACGCAGTCGGCAGGTGCACCCGCTTCCCTTCCTCGAAGCCCGAAGTCAGACATATTATTCCGTCTCCTTCTGGCCTAACTTGATCGGGACTTGATCACCTCGGGCGAAACCTGTGCTGCTCTGTTGTTCACCGTTGTTCATGAAACCCACTGTTAATGCTGATACCGACATCTGGACCTACGAGCACCGTCATTGGTCAATGACTCACTCAATGCGCGACACGGACACCCTATTAGTAGACGATCATTGTCGTTTCGCCGAACGCCCCAATGTTTCGCTTCGCGCTACGAGTTTGGTCAGCATGGCTGAAGAGTGACTTACAGACTGACTGCCTTGTGGGGCGTACGAGGCAGAAGGCTTGCTCGTAGGGTGATTCACACGACGACACAGGCGATGACTTCAATCATCGTGGGCGAGACTAGGTGTCGGAGGAACATGAGTCCCGCTCGATCGCTGCACCCCGGAATGGGAGCGTGTATAATTAAATCTTCGTGTCAGATTGGCTCTGAGATAGTCGTCTTCTAGCTTGAGAAGACACCCTCAGGAATTGTCAATTCCGGAGGTACCTTACGTCTGTCTTCGCTGAGCAATCAAATACAGAAAACTTCGACTTCTCCTGGCATACAATTGTCCTCGAACGGAGGCACGCGGATACCTCCTGCTTTCATTTCGCCGACTGCTATCTTGCGAGTCGTTCTCAATACAAATATCACAGCGTACACGTTATCCAAGAGTGTTGTACAATGCATAGATGCAGCAGCCGGCTTGCAACTCGGAGCCGCCTTTGCCAGAAAGAAATACATGTTGATGCGCAATCGAAGCGCCATCCTGATCATACGAACATCCAGCGGCCAAGGTCCTCTACCCAGCTCGACAACGAACCTAGCTCGACAGCTTGGAAGGTGTCCTTAGCCGACCTGCGAGAGGGCACCGCAGGCATGTCCTGCTCCAAGGGAGTCTCCGGAGGCGTGGCAAGCGCTGATTCGTGTTCCTTGTTGTATGGCGAGAGGATGCCCAGGCCTGATCCACCGACGGAGGTGGTGTATGTCCTGAAGCTTTCACCCTCGAGAGCAGATACGAGGGCCTGCAGAGACGCGTCGCTGAAGTCTGATACAAGTGTAAGATTTGAGGCTTCGGTGAAAGGGCATAAGTAGGAGCCAACGTACCATCTGGAACGAGTGTGACAGCGCAGCCGCCACCGCCTGCACCGGTCAGCTTCGTGCTCAGGCCGAACTGGTCGGTCGCAGTTGTCGACCTGATGAGTTCCAGGGAAGGGTGCGATACTCCCAATGACACCAGGTGGGCGTGATTCTCGTCGATCAGTGCCTAACAGGATGTCAATTAACTGAATATGCTGCATCAGGGCAATTGCCGTACCGAGAGTGCGTCGAGCAACGAGGGCCGAGGCAACTCGGGATCGGCGAGAGCACGACGAGCCTCATCGCTGATAGCCTGGATGGCATCCATGATCTTGTTGACGACCTCGGGCTCCTACCAGGATCAATGCGTAAGCTACAAGACGTCTGCAGCTCTGAGAGTTCACACCTCCGCTTTCTTCATGGCGACACCCGCTACGAGCTTCTTCGTGTCGCGCGGTACCCTCGAGTCCACAAGCAGGAAGCGCAACGACTTGAAGCTAAAGACAAAGAGTCAGCACCATCCCCACATCCCCTGCACGCACTACTCACCCTTGGATCTGCTCCATCCCGCTCTTCTTTCCAAACCCAGGACGCGTATACGCCAACGCCCCACCAAAGACTGCCACCGAGTTATCAACACCGCTCGGGTTCCCATGCAGCACCTTCTCAGCGACGAACGCCCAGCGGTTCACCTCCTCCGCAGTGTCAGGCGGTATCGCGCGCCGGCCCTGATGCGACATGTGGAGGTGCCCCGGGTCGTCCGCGCCCGCAGGCCGCGTCGGTGCCGGGAGGGGCGGGATCTTGATGCGCTGGTGGAGGAGCAAGAGCGCGGTCGCGATGCACGCAGAGTAGGACGCAGACGAGCCGAGGCCCGCGCCGATCGGCAGCGTCGAGCGCGCGGCGAAGTTGAACGACGGCCGCTCGCCGCCGTGCGCCATCGTCATGTACAGGTACAAGAACGCGACGGATGCGGAGTACGCGCCCTTGGGCATCTCAGACTGGGCCGGGAGTGCGCGGACGGCGATGGCCTCCATGAGCTTCTGGTCGAGCTGGTCTGCGTGGTGCTCGCCCGGGAGCACCGGCGTGACGGCGTCCCAAGGAAGGTCGTCCAGGTCCCACTCGTGGACGTAATCGCCGATGTCCGTGAGCTGGAGCGACAGCCTGTTGTCGTGCCGGGGCGATGTGAGCCCGTAGCATCGGAGATCTACCGACGCTGCGATCGCCGTCTGGGTGGTGAGTAGGCATGTCAGTTAGTACGGAATTACCGGAGCGAGAGGACGACGTACGATACCGTGTACGACCGCGTGCTCGCCGAAGAGGATGACCTTGCCCGGGGCGCTGACGAACCACTCCCGGTCCTCTCGGGGCCTGCTCGCGTTCGTGCGCGACTCGTTGAACGCGAGCTTCTCGACCGCACGGCTGATTGGGTTCGGCAGACGGATGAAGTCGTCCGCGGCGTACGTGATAGCACCGGCCGCAAGTAGGGCGTGTTGCAAGTCGTCAATGAGGTCCGCCGGGTCCTCAATACCGACACAAAGACGGATGAGGTCTTCCGGGAGGCCGCGAGCGGCACGCGTTGCGGGGTCGATAGATGCATGTCTTCGATGATGGTTGAGACAGCAATCAGGATGAGGTGAGTGGAGGGGCTTACGACATGACGCAGGGCATACTGATGAGACTGTTGACGCAGCCAAAGCTGACACTGATACCCCAAAGACGAGTAGCACCGACGATGCGCTCACTGAGCTCCTTGTCACCAGTCTCAAACGAAAGCACCGCGCCGTAGCCTGTTTCATGTGGTGAGCCGCAACCGAACGTGAATCAGTACCGCGTACAGACCATCAGCAATACGCTCGTGAATCTCCCTGCCAGGGTGGTTTGGCAGACCAGGGTAGTGTGTAACGAAGCCGAGGCGAGAGAGCAGCTGAGCGACGAGCATAGCGGTAGACTGCTGACGGTCCATGCGGATAGCGAGCGTCTTGACGCCTCTTAGGAGCAGGAAGGAGTCGAACGGCGTAAGCGCGTTCCCGACCGAGTTGATCATGAATGCGATTTGCTAGGACGTGAATGTGAGGGCACGTCCCAGTTGCACAGGACTTGCGAACATACCTTCGCGAGATCATCCCGGTTGCAGGTAATAATTCCCGCCATAAGATCATGGTGCCCGCTGAGGTACTTTGTCGCGCTATCATACACAATGTCCGCGCCATGCTCGAGCGGACGCTGGAGGTACGGGCTCATCATGGTATTGTCGACCACGATGACCGCGTCCGGGCACTTCTCCTTCACCATAGCGCTGATCCGCGCAATGTCCACGATCTTGAGCAGCGGGTTCGTCGGCGTCTCGAGGAGCACCATGGCGATCTTGGGGGAGAGGTGCGGGACGAGGGTCTCGGGGTCGGTCGTGTCGACGTGGTGGACCTTGATGCCCATGTGGGTGCGGAGGTAGGTGAGGAGACGGTGCGTGCCGCCGTAGATGTCGTCCCCCGCGATGAGCTCGTCGCCGGGCTTGAGGATGCGGGTGATGATGTCGAGGCAGGCCATGCCGGAGGATACGGCGAACGCATGTTCGGCGGAGGAGATCTTGGCAATGTGGTGTTCTGTGAACGTACAGTCAGAGGGGTTATGATCGCTCGTCGTACGAGCAGATGCAATGAGCACCAGAAACGCGTAGCGGTTCCGGTTACGACAGGTGACACAGCACACTTACCCAAGTGAGTCCTAGTGGGGTTTCCGCTCCTGGTGTAGTCATACTGCCCGCCTACACCCTTGAAGGTCGCGGTCTGGTAGATGGGCACGCTCGAGCTCCCATGCTGGTCCTTGTGGTCCGCGTTCGGAGTTTCCACCGTCGCACACAGCGTCGAGAATCTATACGGCTGCCGGGCGCGGGGGATCGACGGCGACTCGGGCTCTGGAGTCGGGAGGTCCTCGGGCATTCTGAACTTCTGCACACCCTCTGCAGACATCACGAGCAAGCAGGTAGACTGAGGGGGGAGAAATGGATGGCTGGTGCGTGGCGGAGAGGAGGGTGGGATGACTCGTTTTATTGTGGGCTGTGTGGGATGGGACGGGCGAGGGGTGGTTTTAGCGGAGCAGTCGAGCCATTCTGCAATACATGCACATCCCGATCACGTGTCGCATGCGATCGCGCAATCGCGCGTCCTGGATGCTCACGCGCCCGCCCGACTCTGTCCACTCCGTCTTGCTCAAGTCGACCACCATGCCACCACGAAGGCAGCGTGGGTCTCCCACCAGCTCTGCTATGTATTATGTGATAATGGGAGTTCGCAGATAGCACAACGCCAGACACAGGTCGCCGCGTCTTACCTCGACCCAGAGGTCATCGCGAAGCGCAGAAGGCGCCATCTCGATGAGCTCGAGGTGTGTCCCAAGACACCTCCCTTCCCATCCTCTGAATAACCACCTGTGTCCCAGAGATCGAACTACGCGGAGCCTTCTGCCTCTCTTGCTGGTATCGAAGAAGACGAAGACGCCCCGGCCGGCCGCTCCGTGAAGGGCAAGGCCCGCCAGTTCGTCATCTCGGACAAGCGCGAATGGCCGGGCATGCCCAAGAAGAAGTCGAGCCACAGCGTCCGCACGGCCGTACTCTACAAGAAGAATCTCGAGAAGCTTATTGATGAATCAGTACGTGTACCCTCGGACGACCTGTCCAAGGACCACTGCTTACAGCGACGAAGGGCATAGCGAATTACCCACCGGAGGCCCCGACGTACCTTAGTGCTGTTGCATCTCCTCCGAGAGAGCCTCCGCGCCTGATTTGCTCAGTGTGTGGGTATTGGGGCAAGTACAAGTGCAGGAAGTGCGCGATGCCCTACTGCGACCTCAACTGCGAGGGCGTGCACAACGAGACGCGCTGCGAGAGGCGGGTCATGTAGGTGCGGTGATCTCAGCACTGGAAGCTCCTCGCTGCCTCCCTTTCCCGCGACCGCGAGATAACTGCGACGACGCTCGCGTGGGGTCGGCTCCTGTCGAGGTTTAAGACCGTGACCACAACCGACCAGCGATCCACGTCGATGCAGTCCCGCGCATGAGACGATGCTCGTCTGACTTCGCATTGCATCCACATCCTTGCACCGCACGTCTGTCAGTGAGCGTGCATGCTGCGTGTAGGCTCTCTTGAAGAGGTGACATAATGGTACACGTATATTCCTATCAAACCTGGTAGTTCGATCCTTGAAATCAAGCAGTGAAGTTGTATTTCCTGCCCGCCAACCTCTCCACAAGCCTCGGGACAAGCCAGTACCCCAGCTGCCCGAACCTGCCAAACACATACGGCATCCACACGAACTTCTCGCCGTCGTCCACGGCTCTGACACAACGTGCCGCGACGTCCTCCAGCCTCAACCCATGCGTATCCGGGTTCGCCTCGCGCACGGGCCCGCCGTCGACCGCGGACGCGCGGAAGCCGCCGCGGACGGTGGCGGGGACGGCGAAGGTGAAGGCGACGGTGGGGTGCTCGATGGAGAGGGACTGGTAGAGCATGAGGGAGGCGGCTTTGGTGGAGCCGTAGAGGGTACGTGTGGGCGCGGGGACGAGGGCGGCGAGGGAGGAGATGAGGAGGATGGAGGGGGATTGCGAGGTGTTCTGGAGGAGAGGGAGCTGGGGGCGTGCGATGAGTCTCCTGCGCATGCGAGGCGGCAGGGTGACATACTAGAGCGACAGCAGAGACAAGCGGCCCGAGGTAGTTGACGTTCACAGCCTTGCGTGCGACGTCTACTGTGTGTTTGAGGCCCTCCGCCGTCGCTTGTGAAGGCGTGAATGACCGGCCATCTCGCTCGAGGCCAGCGACCTCCATGAGCGGCCGCAGCGCACTTACGCCGGCGCAGACGATGACAGTGTCGACTCCGCTCCAATCTGACGCATGTCTGTAACTTCGCGTCATGAAAATGGTTGATACGGCGGCGGTACACACCACGTTCCAGTACGTCCCGCAGATGGACCATTTCATCTACGTTTGTGAAGTCTGCCGCAACGCTCAGCGCTCTTGTCTCCTTCGCGGAAGCACCTCTAGTCTCTTGCAACGCGCTACACTCCTCGACAACCTTCTTCAGCTCATCAGTTCTGCGAGCAGTGACGCATACTCGTGCGCCACGGCGTGCATACTCGTGTGCGAGCGCGCGTCCGATACCGCTGGACGCTCCGAGGATGAGGACGCGTTCGTCTCGCTTGGAGACCTTCGTCGCACGAGCAGAGCGACGGAGCAGTCTGCGCGAGACAAAGAGGACGGCGAGGGCAAGGGCAAGGACGGAGGCTGAGCCCGCGCCGAGGGACATGCGGGGAAAGGGCAGCATCGAATTTGACTGCAGTCGCGCTTCGGCGGCCCGGGAGTGGGCTCGTCGTCAAATTCACAGATTTCCCATCGCAATGACTCCCGCCAGCGCCTCTTCACTCTTACGCCCTCCCCGAGTCGACTTGTCACTCGCACACTGCCCACAGCCGTCTCGTAATATGAGCCATAGGCCATTGGACGGTAGAGATCAGACCAAGCTCGTATAGCACTTCTCCTCGCAAGGCTTCACTAAACTACTTCTTACTGCTCCGAAACACTCGGACAACCATCAACCGTCGACGAACTCGCACTCAGCAAGGAACTAGACAGGCCTACGATGTCTTCTTTCGCGGGCCTCATTGACCAGGACATATACACCGTGCCCTCTTTCGCGCTCGAGTCGGGGTGCGTGCTGAAGGAGGTCCCCGTGGCGTACAAAACGTGGGGAAACCTGAACGAGACCAAGGATAATGTCATGATCATCTGTCATGCATTCACTGGCAGCGCAGATGTCGAGGACTGGTGCGTATTGGCGTGTTACAAAGTTCGCGTCGCGATTGACATGCTTCGGTAGGTGGGGTCCTCTCATGGGCCGTGGCAAGGCCTTCGACCCGAACCGATTCTTCATTTTCTGCGCAAACGTCATGGGCTCGCCCTACGGCTCTGCATCGCCTGTGACCACCAACCCTGACACAGGCAAGAATTACGGCCCCGAGTTCCCCGCGACGACCATCAGGGATGACGTTAGGTGCGTCAATATCTCCCCATTACGTCCGCCCCTAACGCGCCATTTGTAGACTGCACAAGCTCGTCCTCGATCACCTCGGCGTCAACTCAATCGCCGTTGCCATAGGCGGATCCATGGGCGGCATGGCCATCCTCGAATGGCCCCTCTGCACGCCGCCAGGCTACGTCCGGCACATCATTCCCATCGCGACCTCCGCGCGGCACTCCGCGTGGTGCATCAGCTGGGGCGAGGCGCAGCGGCAGAGCATCTACAGCGACCCAAACTACGAGGACGGCTACTACACCGCGCAGCCCGCGTCGGGGCTCGCCGCCGCACGCATGGCGGCGCTCCTCACCTTCCGCTCGCGCGACTCCTTCGAGCGCCGCTTCGGCCGCAAGCCCCAGAGGCTCCCGCCGCCCGCCGACGGCGTCCCCACCCCGCCGCTCTCGCCCGCGCCCAGCGAGACCGGCGACGCGCTCGCCGCGCACAACGACGGGCAGCGCAAGCGCGTCGGGCCCTCCACCCCGGGGACGCCCCAGGCCTCGCGCCCGCTCTCGCCCGCGCCCGTGCAGGCGAAGCCGATCTTCAGCGCGCAGAGCTACCTGCGCTACCAGGGCGACAAGTTCATCTCGCGCTTCGACGCGAACTGCTACATCCACATCACGCGCAAGATGGACACGCACGATGTCGCGCGCGGCCGGCTCCTCCCCGGCGAGGACGAGCGCGCCGCATTCTCGCGCGTCCTCTCGACGCTCCCGCCCCGCGCGCTCGTCATCGGCATCCAGACCGACGGACTGTTCACCCCGAGCGAGCAGCGCGAGATCGCGGAGCACATACCCGACGCCGAGTGTATCATCATCCCGTCGCCGGAGGGCCATGATGGCTTCCTCCTCGAGTTCGAGCTCATCAACGAGCATATCACGCGCTTCTTGAAGCGGGAGTTCCCTGAGTATTACAGGGTCGAGGTGGCGGAGGAGCCAGAAGAGGGGTTCGATGTGAAAAAGACCAGCCTGTTCGGGGAAGCGGAGGCGGATATCACTAGGTGGTAGAGCACCCACCTAAGGAATGGTACTGAGGTAAACACTGACGATCACAACAACTGTCATGTATGTCGTGGTTGTCTATGTCACGGCTAGATGATCACAAAATCTCCTGTCCCACCGAGCACTCGCCAGATTGAAGGTGATGACCGTATATCTCTTCTTCGATGTGACACTCTTGTAGTGATATCCCATGACCGAACCTCATTGCGGCAGCAGGGCGGTGCGCTGAAGCGTGGCAGGCATATGTATCATTGAGCATGGCTCGCCTCGGATGGTAATGAAAATTTCCGGGGAACTGGCAACATTGCAGATACAATATTTGTGCGGACGATCACATCTATTGCAGCGGTACCTTCGGCATCAAGAATCCGTATTGTATCATAATATGTGGTTAGAACGAGTGCTAAGTGGCTACAGTGGAGTGGGATGCAGAGGACCAAAGCGTGAGGCGACATCATTACGAAGAGCAAGCAGCGGTAGAAGATATGCTTTACATGGTGCGTAGCTGTATACGAGTGTCATGAGTCATCAACAGGGGGTATGCCTGAGAATACTAAACAGGATGAGCAATACGACAGGGAGAATGATACCGATGTGACCACGCTCGTCTTCACCAATAAACATTCGATTAGGATAGGGCCAATCATGGGACGATGCCCAACTTTTGGAACATGGTGTCCAAGGTTTTGAATGCAACCGGCTTGACCATGCTGGGGAAAGGCCATTCAGATACACCAGCGTCAGCTCAAACTCAGACCACTCACTATCCATCCACGCCAGCCTCGAAGGCACGGCGTTTGTCTTCCAGGGACGACATTCCAGTGAGCGCCAGTATTCGGGCTGCATTTACGTTCTCGTCAGAAGCGTCTGATGACGGGTTGGCGAGCATTCGCGTAGTCTCGATCGATCGCATCTGTATCGTAGCGCTGACGCCTAACAAAATAGAGATCTGTCAGGAAGTAAGTTCATCGGAGAAACGTATTGGACCCACCATCAAGCACCGGCATAGACAAGTCTACTAAAACCACGCTAAAGCGAATCGTCAGATCGTGCACAGAGAAAGAGCGGCTCATCGTGCTCACTCGAAATGCCCATCGGTTTCAAATATTCGGACACCCTCCTGGCCGTCAACGGCCTCACGATATCCATAACCCTATCCCTTGTTAGCAACATGTCAAAGCCCCTGTGCTATGAACTTCACCTTGTTGCTCAGCCACTTTATACTATTTGCGACAGTAAGCATACAACTTTTGGAGACCAGCAAGAGCGTACTCACAGTAAGTTCCGCAGTATGCTGTTGTCTTCAATTACCAAGACACGCATGGTACTCCGGATACCGAGGGAGCCAACAGATGACTTGAGCAGTGTTCCACCGGTTCCAATGTTGACAACGGGACTAGCCGACCTCGGCGACGATGGCGCCGATTCAGGGGGTTCGGGCTCGGTCCCATCCATTTCCTCTGGAGGGAATGTCATCATGTGTGTCCAAGTAGCTGAAGGATGAGCGGTGGCGGCGCGCTGACCCAAAGGCGGTCTTGTCGTCTGCATCTGCGGGGTCACCTCATCGGAAAAGCGGCGGGGCAAGCTTGAGTAGACAGCGTCGTCCGAGAGCGCGGCTGGGCTGACCGGCTGAGGCGAGCCTGCTCGGACTTGCAGCGTAGGCTTTTTCTTGATGCCTTGGCCAAATCTCAATACTTGCAAGCACAGCTTCAGCGCAGCATGCAATCGCACAGGGCCGACCGGCTTATACACGATCCTGCAGAAGCCTCCAATACGCTCGTACTCTCCGACCATGTTCATCAGCCGCGGATCGCCTCGCAGCGATGAAAGAATGATGAATGGCCGGGTCCCATCCTTGTTCTCGATGGCCTGGGTGATCGGCTCCAGAACCTCGTTCACAATGATTATCTGGCCAGGTTCCCCATCTTCAGCCACGTCGAGGCCCCATCGCGACGAGAGATAGGATGTGGTGACATTGCGCAAGAGTTGGATACCACGGTGTGAGTCCGAAAATCCGAGGAGGGACACAAGGGGTCGGTTGAGGGACTTGTACACCTTGATCAGCTCTTCATCTGCTGCCGGGACATTTTCATCTTCGACCACGTCGGCGGCGAAGGTGATTTTGATCTCGGTCCCAACGCCCTCGGCGCTCCAGACATCCACTTTGCCGTCCACGCTCTTCGAACGGATAATGCTGTTGACAATGGCCAGTCCCAGACCCGTGCCTGTCTGCAAAGGATTTTCTTGAGAAAACGGGTGGAATAGTTGGTTCTGAGCAACGTTCAGCAATGGTTCACATAACGGTGTGGATAAGACACACCTTTAAGAAGTTTTGGCTGATACCCTGAGAAAGTCGTCAATCGTGTGAGTGAACTGCGTAACGCAGTTGGGCTCACCTTGCCGGTGTCTATGACTGAAAGCTCTATTTTGACCTTGTTCCTAGGAGTGTCATCGCCGGATGGTAGTTGGCGGAGCATGACATGCACATAGCCATCCTGAGGAAATCAGTCTCAGTGCCTCAGAATAACCACAGGCGCAGCACTCACAGTCGTAAACTTCAGACTGTTCCCGAAGACGTTCATCAAGACTCGACGAATGCCACCCTTCTCGCAAAGGAAGGTCCACCCCTGAGAACGAGCATGAGATCAGTTGCCTTACACGCCACGAGAAGTCTCACAGTTTTGCTATGACCAATGTCGATAACGGTCTCGACATGATGTGGACGCGGGTCCGAGAGCGCAACCGAACCGTCGGCCTTGGGAGGCGAGTAGACACTTCCGATTTCGGACGTGAACATCCTCGCCCGATGCCCGATCCAGCACCCTTCCGTGGCCTCCTCGACGAGCTGCATCAGGTCGACTCTGCGCCGCAGTCAGTGTCACGCCACAAGCAACCGTGACGGGAGGACAAACCGGCTGTGGTGAATGGTGTGTTCCACGCCTCCGGCCTTCGAGTTGCCGCTCAGCTTCGTGAAGTCTAACACATGGTTCACGGTCTCGACCAGTGATGTTCCACACGCCTGAACGGTCTGCAGGAAGGACGCCTGGCTGTGGTCCAGTGGCGTGTCCGACAGCAACTCCGCCGATGCCAGGATCTGGGCCAGAAGTTAGCACGGTGATCCATAGGCGCGGAAGAACGGGTGACATACACCATGCAGCGGGGTTCGCAGTTCATGCGATATGCTGTAAACCGAAGCTCAGACGGAGCGCTGCACAGACGTAAAAAGGAACGCACTTGGAGATGAAGAGGCTCTTCGCTTTGTCGGCTAGGATCATCCTCCGCTTCAAGACCGCTGAAAGGATGATGACACCTGATATGAAAGAGTTTAACAGACAAGCGACGTGGTGTCATGCGGGAACTCACCTATCGCGCGAAGGTATGACAGCTCATGACCCTCAAGCTGCAATCGAATGAATACATGCTTTCATATCGATGAGGAATGATGCTTACGAATGGTGTTGTGCGCTCGCCGGTGCTGTATGCGCACAACAGCGCGAATGGTTGCTTGTCGATGTTGAAGATAGGGACAGCTGTGTCAAAGTTCAAACGGACGCCATGTCCTACAATAGCAGCTGCACATACCAAGTGCATACTGTATGCGCTGCGGCAAGAATGGCCTGAGTGTCGCCGGCACAATGCCCTCACATATCTTTCCCTCCGGATTTTTCGTGAAGAACTCCTGCAAGCGCGAGTACTCCTCCTTGCTAAGCGACTTGTTTACCGTCACGCTGCCGGCTTGTCGGTCAGCGTTATGCACCGTGACGGCCATGGCGCTCTCGGCGCCCACGGTCTCCACAACGTCGACATGAGACACATCAAGCACGACGGCGCCTTCGACGTCAAGTGTCCGCTTGACCAGCCGCGCGGCGCGCAGGTAAACCTGCTCCATTGACGTACCGGCGAACATGCCCTTGTCGCTCTCGACCTCCTTGTCGAGGTCGAGGCAATCTCGCGTGAATTGCTCCATCTGCACCCTGTGTCAATAGCATCCACACACTTCGCTTCGGGACACCTACGGAGTTCTGGATACGATCACGAATGCGAAGCTGGATCTGCAGAAGGCCATCAGCTGTGACTTTGAATTATCCGCTGCAGAGGTCGCACCTTATCTTTCCACAGCTCCAATTCCCGCATAGCCACTTGCTGCAAGGAAGTGAGCCACAAAGTCACCATCTCGTCGCAAGACACTGACCGAGAATTCTTTGAGCGTGTGCCTTTGCCGGGGACTAAATTCGCGCCGCGGAGTATCATCGATGATCGACAGCCTTCGGGACTCCTCAGGATCACGCTGAAGTGTGAGCAGTGGAGTGAGACTTACGTCCCGATATTGAACCCTTCTTGCGTGCGTAGTGGACAGCCAGCGTAGAAGCGAACATGCGTGTCCCCAGTGACCAGTGGCTACATCACTGAGTGAGAACAGTGACGTATGACGGGAACATGTACTCACATTCTTGGCGAACCTCCAGTCTTCCGACGCGTCAAGGACAACAGTGGGCTCGTCATCCCTTCAAACGCGACCGCACCGTCAATCCCGTATCCAAGGAATAAAGGAAGGAAGCTGACCTCTGCAGGATGGTATGGGCGTCGAAGCTTACTGATCTTGCCATGTTCTGAAAGCCCAAGCCCGCTAGACAGCGGCATTCAGTACTCACACTAACTACCCCGACATCCGGTCACCAGCATTACTTACATTCCGACTTGAAGAATCTGGAACAGCACCAGTGAGAATTTCAATAAAACAAGAAGCTGTTGGCATAGACTCACTCCTCCATGCCGTCCACCAACGAGATCGTGACGATCTTCGTGCTGAACACGAGCTTGACGAGATGCACGATCCGGTCGAGGTTCAAATCGCGCCCGGTGCCCCAGATGTTGAACCTGTCAGACCCCCGCGTCAGCACGATGAGCCGGCACGTTGCTCGGAAAACTTACTTGTAGAGCGCTCTCCGGCGTTCAAGCTCGTCGGTCGGGTTCGGTGGCGCAAGGTATCCCAGCTCCGAATACATCTGCTCCTCCTTCGCTGCCCTCCCCGTCAGGTTGCTCACGTAGCTCTCCGAGGCCGGCCGCATCGAGCGCATGCGGCGCTCATACAGCGACTGCGTCGGTAGTGGCGCAGAAGTCTGGCGCGTGAGACATATCCTCCTCGGGAGCGCGGGCACGGTCTGGGGGTCGGCGTCGAACGGCGGCGCCGAGACTTGCCGTTCCGGGTGATGGTCCAGGATGACGTTCGTCGGGAACGATGGCTCGCCCGCCTGCGCGTGCGGCTCGCCTCGCGGTGGCTCCATGGGTCCGAAGTAGTCATCGTCGGGTTCTTGCGCGGTGAGCTTGACGGGGGCCGTAGCAGGCGGTATCGGACGGTGTTTGCCGTCAGGTGCGTCAGGCGGTTTACCCACACCCGCAGGCTCCGTCTCTGGAGAGGAATCAAAAGCACTTTCACTTGAGTCTGGTGGGCTTTGCTTGATCGTAGGTAGCCGTCCATCCTCGACATCCTGCGTGCCCTGCCAAAAGCTGCTGAGTCGCGACTTGCGCAAGGTTCCGGGAGAGTACAGAGGAGAGTTCGCAGGACGGGTAAGGTACGGGCCATCTGGAGGATGCGAGCCAGGGATGGTAGCGGTTACGCCTCGCATGGGGTCGGTCAATTCGTGCTCGGGCGACGGAAGCGCCAGGGGCGCCACAGAGACACGCGCTCCTGCCCACCGCATCGCAGCTGCCGCTGTTGTAGCATCTGTGGCTGGAATACCAAGCTCTTTCAAGCTTTCGGTAGATGCTGATGATGCATAGGAGGATCCTGAGACAGACGAGCGTAGGTCCGTGAAAGAGCTCCGTAGTCGGTGCGAGAACCCTCCCAAGCTGAACGGGACGTTCAGACGTTTCATCTTGGACATCTCATTCGGTTGCGCGGAGGGTGCAGACTGGGAGATGGGGAATGCATCCTGGAGGTTGTCAACACTTAACATACCACCGGCGTCACTATCGAAACCCGCGATGCTGGTAGCATCGCTAGCAGAGCCGGTCGCCAGAGAGCCTGCGGCGAACGAATGAACTTCGCCCGGGTCTTGGTCCGGAGATGCACACATTTCGTGTATTGGTCGATCAAGCACGGATGCCGCAGAGTCCGAGCGTGTTGCTCTTGAGTGAGTTGGCGCGTTCAAATGCGATCGTGGCGGGTTAGGAGTTCGCAGAGGATCCCAGCGACCCATGGCATAGGCACTGATAAACGTCGCCCAATCATATTCTCCCTCTTGGTCGCGTTTTTCGTGTGCCAATTGAGTCGTGGAGAGCGGATCCTCTGCTGGTGAAGGATCAAACGGTGTTTGCAGCATGTCGACTGGCCGCCTCAGCTAAGGCGCACGACACGCTGGAGCGGCACGCATGACTCACCAGTGTATGCAAGACGCGACGCTTCCTCCCGGAGGCCCTCCACCGCGGCGTGCGCGCGTCGATTCATCTCGAGGATGCGCGCATCGTCGGTAAAGTCACACTTACGAGGTTCCGGGTCCACCGCACACTCGCTCGCCTCCTCGCCATCGGACGCAGGTGTCACTGCGGTGATAGATAGGTCGGTAGTGGACAGGGATCCGGAGGACGGCAATAACATGCCTCGCTCCTCCGCAGAGGAGGCGGTCGAGGGTCTGCGCGGCGGGCGCTTCCTGACGGGGAGAGCGATGTTCGGGATCGGACGCAAGACTACGTAGGGCGTCGAGGACGAGTTGAGGGACAGAGAGAGGTTGTTGAGGGCGGTGTTGGAGCCGGACGCAGCGGAGAGAATGTCGGTATTGCGCTGAGCCTCAGGAAGATGGTCCATCAGCCCGCACGCCGCGAAAGGGCAGTCGGGAGAACAGAGGGGGCAGGGCGCAGGCGGCGGCGACGGGAGAGGGCTGGGGTGCGAATGGGAGACCGGTGGAGGAGGCGAGCGACATGGACGCCCTGGCTGGCGGACGGCTGGAGCGGCTGCGTCGCTGCGAGGAGCGTGTCTGGGCGCACGCAGGCGCCTACGAGACTAGATCGCCCGATTTGGCAGCCCTCCTCTTCGCCGGCAACCCTCGGGCACCGACGTCATCCCAATCTCTGATCGCGCGGTTTGCACTCCGCGGCCGTCCACCTGCGACGCAGCACGCACCCGCCCCGCCCGGGCCGCCCCTCGCCCACACAACGCGATGTGCACTGTGACCTGGCACTGGCAGTCAATTATTACATCGATTACACATCCGCAAATACAAGCATGCTCCACATATACAGGGGCAGCATTACATTGTCGTTCTGCACCGAGAACGCCTCCAGCGCGGCCGACAGCCCCGCCACCACCGCGTACCGCGATACCTGCACACGTCAGCGCATGCTCCGGCCGAGAACACCAGCATGCACTTACCGAGAAATGCTCCGAGAGCCCGCACAGGCGCAGCAGCCATGCGCACGCAACAATGGAAACCACAAACGCAGCACTCCCCTCCAACGTTTTCGGGCTCGTGGCCAGCCACCGATGCCGCCCCAGCCGCTTGCCGGCGATCGAAGCCTGACTATACTCAGTATGGCATTCTTCGTTTGCGTAGAACGAGCCTACCAGAGCATCGCCCACTCCAAGCACCAACGTGCCTGTGTACTGTAGTAATTGAGACGGCCTGCACATGCCCCACCGCGGCGCATCAATATTCCGATCTGCACAATCACCGACGCGACTCACCCTTCAAACCATACCGTGCCCGCGCATCCGATCAGGAGGTAGAAGTGGCTGAGGATGGCCGTACCACTGTCCTTCTGATCGAGAAACTCGTTCATGAAGAGATGCACCGACGCACCGAACGGATAGAGCGCGAAATATCGTACGTACTCGGCAAAGACGAACAGCGCAAAGGCCGCACTGAATGCCAAGTGCGTGAACGCTGGCTAAGTCGGTCCGCCGTCAGTCAAGCTGTCCACGAGCATCCAGGGCTGCGGAGTCTGCCGCGAAATATGAACGCTCACATCAATCACTATGCCAGGGAGGAACATCAGCACGGCCAACGCATGGAAGAACTTGCGCCGTGCGTTGACGCTCAGCGTAGGGACGTGCTTGTCCGCCGCGTCAAGCCAGTCCGCAACATTCGACATATTCGCGCCATTCGGCAGGCCCGACAAATTCGACAAATTCGGGAGGTTTGGAAAGCTCAAGCCCAGCGGGCCCGGCGACTCCGGGAGCGGCGTCGGCGGCGCACTCGGGTCGCTGAACTCGCCACCGCCTCCCTCGCGGTTGCTCAAGTTCGCCCCGCGCACGGCGCCGTCAAAGCCGCTATGGTGGTCAAACACTACCTCACCCGCGGCGTTGACGACGCTTCTGTGGCGATACCGCCGCGACCTTGCGAGCTGTCTGCTCCAGCCCGCTACAGATATGCTCCCCAGCGCAGCCCAGTACGCCAGGAGCGCCGGGCGGCTCCACTTCGTCTTGCCTTCCAGAATCCAGAAGAGCGCCCAGAGCCACGGGTCCCGGCTGCCCAACAGCCAGCGAGTCCAGAGGCCGATGAGACCACCGACGATTAGCACCGCGCCTGCATAGAAGCCGAGCGCGAGTAGCCTGCGGTGCCTCTGCTTTTGCTCGGGGTAGCGAAGACGGCGGACGGGCTGCTGCGCGATATGTCGCGAGAGGTAGAGCAGCGGGGAGAGCAGGACGCCTACGAGGAGCGAGCCGGGGATGAGGGCTATTTGGTAGATAAGAAGCGGAGTGGGAAGGCGGTAGGTCTTGATGAACGATGTGGTAACGGGCCAGATCTTGGTGAGCGTCAGTACGTGTGAACCGGGTGAAGGCGAAGACAGTATCGTAGGACGTACACGGGCGATAGTGAGGTTCATCGCTTCCAAAAGCAGCACGGTAGCGCCAAAGCATACCACCGCGAGTTCGCCGAGGGTGAATCCGTGGTGGGCCATGCGGATGGACACGTACAGAGAGAACTGGAAGAACATGGCACACACGAGAATCTCATAGTAATTGATGTCTAACAAAGTTGTTACCCTCGTACCTCGCCCGAGTCAAAGGAGGAAACCCGCTACGCACTTTGCCATATGCCCAGTCTCATCTCGGACAGGGCGATTCGCACGCAGAGAACCCATAGACTCACGGATAGCGTGAAGAGCACTGAGAGATATGTTCGTCGGGTCTCCTTGCGCGGAACAGAGCTCACCTCGCCCTCGGGAACCTTGAGCTTCCGGCGATGGCGACGTTCTGTCATCCATGACGCGATCACATGGACGATGAGGATGGTCGAGCACACCGTCGCCATGTCTACCAAGTTCCTCCGAGACAGAACGAGGGCCTGCAGTGCCGTAAGAGGATACGTGGACCCATCCAGAACATTGGGCCGTTCGATGATCCAGCTCTGAGGGAGCGGATCGAGCGGCGGGCTCTCGGCAGCAGCCTTCTCAGAGAGGTACAGCAGCGCTGCGGACATCAGCGGCCCCGTCAACAGACCAAACAGCATCCCGTCGTCTGCAGAGTCCCTAGACGGATGCGGATTAGTCAAATTATGGCATGGAAGACAGCGGTCGTTTTACCTATAATTTTTCGGCACCGTCATCCACACGAAACCGATGTAGTTGCTCTTCGATGCCACATTGGGAACAAGGTTCGACGTGCGTCTGTTGTCACGGGCAACCAGGCCGGGCGATGCAGGTCTGTCTTGGCCGTTCGTCTGTTGTGTCGCTGAATCATCATGGGGTGGTATCCTGGTCCAATAAACCCGCGTGACGCAGAAGTAAATCACAGACGCAATGATGAGGAGTGCGAGTTCTGCAAAGCGACCGTTCAATCATGCCTGTGCTGCGCCAGACAAAAATAATACCTATTGAGATCCACATTTCAGGTGAGAGCTTGTCTCGTGCATTCCACAAGTCGGGTGGCAGGCGTTCTCGGACGCACCCCCGCATTTTGGCAGCGCAGTAACCAAGAGAGCAGATAAGCAGGGCGTTTTCCATCACTTGACGTAGGTCAAGCGTAATCTTCCAGCTAGTTGCCGAGAACGGTGGACGGAACGTAGTGTGTACAAAGCTAGGCATGAGATGGCGTATCTCAAACGGAGCGATCTTCTGGAGACTGAAGAGGGAGGGCGGGCTATTCCCCGGCATGGCTGTCTGGCTTGAGAATGAGAAACCATTCGGGCTGGCACCGATTGCAGGTGATCGCGAGCGAGTGAATGGCCGCCGCTGTACCTTCGTCGGACTGCTCTGCATTGCGCTCCCTTGTCCAGGCGCCGCGGAAGCTTGCTGAGTTGTGCCCGGACGCGCCGTCTGCACAGGGAGGTCGTCCATGTTCCTACTAGCATTGCCGATCGCATGCTGCCCGGCCGGCCTTCCTCGGGACTGCTGAAGCCCTTCGTCCGTGTCGTCAGAGTCGTCCTCAGTGCTAGTGTCGGACTCGGAGCTGTGGGGCGTAAGTCGCTCGAGGGGCTAGCAGCTGAAGGAGCGAACGCACCCGGAGGACCCTGCTTGGTAGCTGGTGCTCCATCCCTGCTGCCGAGCCTTGTGCTGCACGGCGACGTTGCCGGAGCCCTGCCTGCGGACGGCGGGGCGGCGAGGGGCCTCGACGCGGCCAGAAGCGTGTCTGGCGGCGGGAGGAGAGGGAGATGATGGTGACCGCGGCAGCTTGGCAATGGTAGAGGGGGACGTTGCGGTCAGTGCATGGAGCGGAACACTGCTCGGTGGCTGCCAGTCGTCGAACACACAGTCGCGGCCTTTGCCCGGGCGCAATGCCGATCACCCCCGCCCACGTGGCCCATTTAGCCTTCCAGCCAACCAGAGCGTTGAGATTGACGGTGCCAGATGCGGCCTCTCGCCCACCGCGCCCGACATGGCTGCAGAGATGTAACTCTGCCAGTGCTAGCTACCACCTCAATATTCTTTGGCGATCCTGCCTCAGACGACTTCTAGCGGCCTCGGCGCTGCGAAGAACCCACTGGCGCGCAGACCACGTGCCCAGCGCGATCGGGGTTTCGTTCGGGCGCTCGACGCGTCGCGTTGATGTTCACCGCGACGCGCCTCACCTCCACTGTCCGAGCATCTTCACGCGTTTTCTCCTGCTTTTCTCGTCCTTGCCTAACCATGTCAGCCAAAGAACGTGTCGTCTACCTTGAAGACCTCGAGGGTTCAACGGAAAAGACTGAAGAGGCTGTGCAAGATGCCACCACGGAGGTCAAGTCCACTGACGCGCCCCAAGTCAAAGGAGAGGCCGCTGTCAGCGAGCAAAAGGCATCCACCACGACAGCAGTGAAGCGGCAGAGGACCCTCGTGGACATGTTCTCTGGCGGCGCGTCCCCCAGCGCGCCCGCAGCCAAGAAGATCAAAGTTTCCAGGACACACAGCAGTGCAACGTCGCACGCGTCCGCCGTGAGCGCGCAGCCGTCCCTCAACTCCATTGCTTTCTCTATGTCGGAGTTTCAGGCCGCTTTGTCAGACGAGGAGCGTAAGCTGCTCACTCTCGAGTGTGAAACCCTTGGCAAGAGCTGGTGAGTGGCCACTGTCATATGGGCGTTGCTCCGCTAAAGGCGGAACTGATGGTGCCGTGGGCAGGTTCAAGCTGCTCAAAGATGAGATTCGGAAGCCTTATTTCCTGAAACTCAAACAATTCCTCTACGACGCGGGCGTCCGCGGAGTCAAGGACAGCGCCCCAAACCTGAAAATCTATCCTGCTCGTGAGTCACAGCGTCAACAGTCACTTCGATATCCGACTATTAACGGAGGTTACATAAACGCACAGCGAAGAATATCTACTCTTGGTCCAATCTTACTCCCCTTGGGCGAGTGAAGGTGGTCATCATCGGCCAGGATCCCTATCACGGTCCCGGGCAAGCCCACGGTAAGCATAAGCATATCAGCACCTCCGTCATCTCCCGTCTGATAGAAGTGCCCGACTCGTGCCAGGGCTGTGCTTCTCCGTCCCTCCAGGGGTGCCCGTGCCTCCGTCCTTGCGTAATGTAAGCATACATTTCCACCGGCGACGGCGCACGTTTACTTACCGCACCCGGTGTGTAGATTTACGCAGAAATTAGGGCAGAGTACCCGCAGTTTGAGCCTCCTAAAAGCGGGTAAGCATACTCAGCATCTGCCTGACTCATCGTGCCGCCACAGGCGCGCGGTCTGAATCTGCATTCCCACTTACACGCCACCCCACAGAAATTTGACGGCATGGGCCGAAAACGGTGTCTTGCTGCTGAACACATGTCTCACCGTCAGAGCAGGCGACGCTGGTTCCCACTCCGGGAACGGCTGGGAAGAGTTCACGGACAGGGTGGTCGATGTCGTTGACAGATACGGCGGCGCCAATCTCGCGAACCCAAACGGCGCAGGGGGGCGCGGCCGGGGCATCGTCTTCCTCGCCTGGGGGGCCTGGGCTGCGAAACGCGTCGCGAAACTGGACAAGGTGAGCCCCATTCGATCAGCGGTTCCCGCTCTTCACCTCATCCCGCGCGCCTGACCATGCGGTCCCCGACCAGAACAAGCATCTCATCCTGAGGAGCGCGGTGAGTGGCGCATTCCGTAGGGACGTGCACGGCGGTGGGCCGGAAGTTCTCACATAAGCACTCTCTTCTCATTGGCAGCATCCGTCACCGCTGAGCGCGAGCAGGGGCTTCCTTGGTAACGGGCACTTCAAGCAGGCAAATGAATGGCTGGAACAGAAGTACGGTCCAGACGGCTGCGTGGACTGGTGCAAGCTTTGACACCAAGCGCGCGCAATTCATTGTCGGACCTGCGAACACACTTGTAAGCCGATTTTGTTACCATCTTATATGGACGGGCGCTGATGAATACCGCGAAGCATGATGCCCCGCCGCTGTTCTTGGGAGGACCATCGACACGGACCAGGGCGGCGTGTCATATGTGCCATATGTACATTTTGACGGACGGACATATGGCGGCCTCTTGCTTCATAATTAGACACTCCTCTCGGCGCCGCCCGCGCGCCGCCCCACTTGCGCAGACGGGGATAGCGCCGCGGGCGCGCCGAAGGAGTTGATACAATCCCTGCGGGTTGGGAGATCGGTGCGCGGCATCGAATGCGGCAGGACCCTGTATGTCCACAATGGTCAATACTATTCCCAGATACGTTACACTAGCAGCCAGTAGATATAGAGTATGTATATACAACCTCGTAACGCGCATCATTACGCAAGACACGCCCCGAGAGACGGCGCGGATTCACATGCGTCGTGCGGTTGCTAGAGACAGAGGAAGGGCCGGCCCCGGATGGCGCGTGCGCAGGGCGCGAGCAGTGCCTGGCGTGCATTGCGCGGGCAGTCCCTTGAGATGCACCCGATCAAGCCCGTAGGGGAGCGCCTCGGCGGTGCGCAGAGGTCATCGATCTCGCGCGTCCGCAGTTTGTTGAGACGCGAGGCGGGTCTGTCATCACGTTCAGGCTCTGTCAGCGGTGGCGAGGGCAACGGAGATGTGCCGCACCTCGAGATGGCATTATTACGACGGGCCTTGCCCGTACGTAGTGGATTCTAAGTAGACAGATGCTGGTACATGTATATGCAGGAGAGCGGATGGAGAGCGGCTGCACGGACGGGCGCGTTTGGGATAGTAGCGATACAGTATTATGCTTTTGTGATGCGTAAGTCCTAGAGGTGCGACGACGGAGATAGATCCAAAATATAACCTGGAGATGCGATTAATTCTAGCGCATTCTGTCGAGATTCCGTTCATCGCCGTACTCGTAGCCCGGGCGTGGCGGCGGCGCGCCACCCGCTCCAGCGAGCTGGCTGGGGGAGGGCAGGCGGTTTGGCAGATTTGGCGGCTGCGGAATGCGCATTTGAGGAATGGAACTAAGCTGAAAGCCCGACCGATAACCCTGCGGTTCGGTCACGGACCGACGGTGAGCGTATGGTGCGGATGACTGCATGTTCGCGCCTCCTGCAGACGGCATCGAAGGAGAAACAGCAGAAACCGGAGAAGACTGAGCGTGAAGCTGGCCGGCATGCGTGGGAAACGAAGGTTGTGGATACGCGAAAGGGCGGCGCTCATCCCGCAAGAGAAAGCCCGACCCGGCGGTGCCAGAGTAAGGGTCGGCGGAAGCCATAGATCTCTCTGGAGAGTATTGATAGCTCGTAAGGGGGACGTACGCTTCGTCCAGCGACTGGCGTGATGCCGACGGTGGATAGGCGGAGGAATGGGAAGTAGACGGGCCCGGTACGGGCGGGAGTGTGTAACTGGTGGAGGCGGTAGAAGAGCCGGGCTCTGGCTGATCCTTGCTCATGAATGCAGAGCCATCCCAAGCAGAGGAGTCCATCCCCGACACGGCGCCGGTCTGGCCGAGCGCGGAACTGAAGTTGGTCGGAGACAAGGAATGTGTTCGGGTCGACGCGGACGACGGAGAGTCGTGCCGACTAACGGGCATGGAGGGGAGGGAATTAGTCGGGGACAGCTGGGGGTTGAATTGAATTGGCGGTAAGGTCGAAGAGCCTGGCTGGGAGGCGGTACTCGCCTGCTGCGCTTGTTGCGACTTGGGCTTGTCCTTGCCCGTAGGCCCTCTGCCTAGCGGCAGTCGATTCGCGGGCGGGAGGCTCAGTGCCGCGCGCAGGGTGTTGTTCTCTTCCTCAAGCTCCGCCACTCTGGTCTCCAGGGCCTGCGGGGACGTGATTAGCATGGATACGAGAGGAGCAGGGGCGACGAGTGCACCTCGAGATGGGCTGCGCGGCGGGCGCGGAAGGCCCTCTGGACGTCTCGTGCGCGATTGGGAGGGAGGTTGTCATTCCGCTTGCGGCCCCGTTTGGAGGACATTCAGAGAGGGGAGCGGATGGGGAGGCGGGTGGCTGGAGGAACAAGGGCGAGCGGGGAAGGGGACGGGGAGAGAATGCATGTGACAGATATAAAGGCGCTAGCAGCTTGGAGGAGCGAAGTCAGTTTGGCGCGTCGATCAGCATGCGGCGCGGGAGGCCAGAGGGGCCTGACCGAGACAGGCAGGCGCGGCCACGTCGCCAGGAGGATGGCGGCTGCAGCTCTGCCAGGTCTGTCCGGCTGTCCTCCATGTTTCGTCTCCTCGCCGCCCGCCGCCGTCCCCGCACCTCGTCGCCCCCGTCGCCCCCACAACCCCCCACCGACCCCGCCCCCCTCCTGCCCTTCCCGCACCCGTCCGGCGTCCGAGCACTTCGAGACCGGCCGCCATGTGCTCCATTAGGTCACCGCAATCCGTCGCATCGCCTTGCCGGCGGCTCAGTTGGCGCCCGTACGTTAGCTTCCGACTCCCAGCCTGCGTCGTCCAGGGTCTTCTCTCCATCTCTCCGGTCGATGCCCAGCGGCTGCTGTACACACCACAGCCTCTGCCCAGGGCCCTCCAGCGGCACCCGCCCCCGCGCGAGGCGTCTGTCGCGTCCAGAGAGCCCGCCTCGGCATCTGCGACCTATTCGGAGATTCGAAACTCAGGCACTCCGACTCACCCTCCATCGTGCTGCGAAGCCTTTCCACATCGTCACCGATCCGGTGTGACACCGACGCCATATGCGGCAATTTCTGCATCACGTGCGTGTCCATCGTTATTAGCCAAGATCCCCCGTGGCTGCCCGCTCGCCTAACTCTCAGATCCGGCTTTCGCGTACGGCGATTGTAGAAGCACCTCTCAATAGATGGTCTTCTCCCGGCCGCAGCGTAACGGTTGTTGCTACTACAAGGTAGTCACTCTACCCAATGCGCTCCGGGACTCGTCCGCAGCAAACGGTCGAGGCAACGGGACCCAGCCTAAGGTCTGGCCAAGCGGTACTAAGGCCCTTGACGCGCCTCCCAACGGCGGAGATGCGCGGTGCACCCTTGCTCCAGCCAGCCATCGGTCAACTAAACGTTTGTCTGGCCTTGGTCGCATCTCCTATCTCCGGATCATGTCCAGAGTTCATACTGCACTGTCACCGATGACTCTGTAGAGTAGCAGTGCCTCGGGACCCCACCACGAAGTTTTAGGGTACCGTACGTGGTGGCGAGAGGCCCCACATCGGTGTGGTTGGGCGACCGTATGTACCGCTCCGCAAATCTTTCCGTGCTGTGCAATGCCGTGCTGCTGCTCTTCATGTTCCGGTTCTAGGGTGACAACCATAAAATTTCTATGCCTACCGCAGCTAGACCTTTGTTTCTTATTCTTGCCGACGCCTTTGTTGCTCCGTCGGCGAAGTACACGAGGTGATCCAGACTGCGCGCCCGCGGGCTAGGGTTACAGAAACTAACCTACTCGTCCGGCCGTCGTGTCGCGTAGCCTCTCGACGTGTCACTGCCCACTATTCATCGGATGTTTTGTCCTATTGCGGCCTGTCGAATTTTTGCGAGGGTGTGTTAGCATCCGGGCTACTGTGTGAATTGGGCCTTGTTGACTGCACAGGCGTACCTGTTGAAACTGGTGTCCATTGGCAATTTCGGAGAATAACAAATGCGAGATGCATCGGGACGTGGGGAAGCAGACGAATTCGCAAATTTAAGTAGCGACTGTGTCTTCGGATTTGTCTCGACGCAGCACATCCTGTCCACTGTCAAACCGGCTCGATCAACGGCCACTACCCGTAGCGACGGTCACTTCTGTAGCGCCGTTGGCCTTCCCCTCCTCACAGACCGACGAGCGCGTTCAGATTACCGACATCGGACGAGGCCGTCAGTACGTCACGAAGTCTGTTCCTCATTGAATTTGTCAAGACGCGGACGTCCGACGTTCACACCTGATCGGACCTAGTGCATTAAACAAGCTGTAGATTGCACGATCCCGTAGTGTACATCCGATTCCCAGATACGCCGTCGAGCTGGAGCCACTCGAGCGCCGTCCCACGGCTAGCCCTAGCTTCGCGCAGCCGCCTTCGCCTCTTTCCGCGCGGTCGCGACGTCCTTGTCGCGCTTTGCGAAGAGCTTGTGCCGCGGCGCCTGCTCGCGCGCGAGCTTCTTGTTCGCGGACTTGTTCTGCTCGACGTACGACATGTGCTGCGCGCCGCTGAGCGCGGTGAGCGAGCCCGACGTCCGCTGCACGGCGGGGAACTTGGACGGCATGCCGAAGTCCTTTGACGTGATCGTGCCCGCCAGATCACCCTCGCCCGCGCGCACGTCCGTGCCGAGGTCCGCCTCGCTCTCGTTCGCGAGGAGCACGGACGAGAGCAGCTCGATCTGTTCGTCGCGCGACTTGTAGACCAGGTCCGGGAGGTTCTCCAGCCCGTCGAGGTGCGTGATTACCTTGAACGCGTACCCCTGGTCGATGAGGAATTGCTGGCGCTTCGTACTGTAGAACATCTCCTGCGTGTCATTCGAGACGAGAGAGTAGAAGAACGCGTTAAAGCCCTCGTCGTTTCGCCGCTTCGCTCGCAGGATGCGCCCTAATTTGCGGTTCAGAAATTAATAGAGCGCGGTAGAAGACAACGTGTGGGGAGACGTGCCTAGGCGCTGCGCCTCTTGTCTGCGGGAACCGAAATGCGAGGAAATCTGAATAAGGCATGTGGCCTCGGGCAAGTCAATGGATGTATCTCCGACCTGATTACGCGTGACAAGTTCAGCTTCCGACGGTGACATGTAAACGCACCAGTGGACACTTTACCTTCGACAGGAAGATCGTATTGACATCCGGACTGTGTTGGAACCACTGTAATATCCGCATCCGCTCTACTTGCCCCGTTCCACCGTGAATGTAGAGCTTTCCGAGCTTCTTAGCGTAGGCCTAGCTCCGTCTCATGTCAGCCGCGCCAAGGCTATCCCAGGAACATAGCGGCGTACCTCTAGCGCGAAGACGTTGTCCGAAAATACAATGATCTTATCGCCACGGTCCTCGTGGTACTTGATGAGAAACTGGCATGCTTGGAACTTGCGCGGATTCATGCAGTACAACAGCATGCGCTTCCGCGACTGCTCGCGCAGGTATTCACGGTAGAACTCCGGTGTCATTGGGCACCATACCTCTGCGCACTGGTCACGTGTACCCCATCAGGGTTAGGACGACAGTGCTGCCATGACAACGCACCTGGACATTCGCAATATGTCCCTTGGCGGCAAGGTCCATCCAGTTTGCCTCGTATAACTTCGGCCCAATCATGTAGTTAAGGTCGGCGATCTTGTCATCCTCACGAACGAGTGTCGCTAGTGACACCGTCAAGTGGTGCCGCGAAAATATGTGACAGTGAGCGCACCTGTCAACCCCAACTTTGAATGTGCCTTGATGGTAGTTACCACCCTGCGGAACATCGCAGCGGGCACAACGTGCACTTCGTCCAGGAGGATAAAGCCCCATTCGCGCGAGGTCAGGAACTCCATCATCTTCTTGGACTCATGCGACCTGTTGTGCGTGTTCGCGACCATGGAGTACGTCGAGATGACTATGCCACTATCACCGGCGAACTGTACGGTAGATGAGATGGATAACGATGCGCCCGTATAGTGCTGCCTGCGAGACTTACTTTCTCCTTCTGGTCAGCGGTGAATACGGCGATCTGACGGTCGGTGACATTGGACCATTGTTGGAACTGTTGTTTCCACTGCATCACCGACACCCTATAGGTGCGCGTGGCATCAGATAGGGTGCAGAGGAAGAACCGACCGTGAGGCAACTTACGACGACGTGCAGAGCACTAGGCATGACTTCTTTATCGTACATGCGGCAGTAATTCCGACAAGGGTCTTGCCGGCGCCGCACGGAAGGACGATGATTCCAGACCGTGCACGACTAGGTTACGGGGTTCGTCTTGACAATTGATGGGAATTGACTAAATGGCTTACCCGTTACCGAACATCTTACTGAGACTAGTCTCCTGATACGGCCGGATGACGGTAGAAGGCTTCAGGTCGATGTCGAGGTTGGCGTTTATGGTGTCATTGCGGAAGTCGTATTCCTCTAGCATCGGGTATTCGAGCTCATTACATCGCTTCTTGACATCCTGTGGATATGGCAAACCAATTCAGCAACCAACGTCATGCGCTAGATATTGCAGCGCACGTCTATCTTCCCGTCATCGATTTCAAAGGCATGGACATTGTCGTCATCTTCGTCTACTTCGTCTGTAAAATCAACAGATTCAAGATTTACCTCCGCGCTCTCGGTGCGAATTTCACCGACGCACCTCCTTCTACGCCGACTACTGACGTGAAAAGCTCGGCATCCGTGGCGGAAGCGTTCGCTGAGCCTTTGCCAGCCGCATCGTCCTTCTTTTTGTCCGTTTCTTTTGTCCCGGGTATAACAAGGTTTCCCTTCACGGGCGCCTTTGAGGTCGTGAAAGTGGCCGCCTTGATGCTGTTGTCCGTGGGTTGCGAGTGTACACGCGCCTCACGAATGACCTTGTCCTTCAACAAGACTTGGAGCGTTTCAGGGTGGCTCGACTCCACGTAATACTTGTTGTGTTTGAGGACAAGCTTGACTTTGCCATAGGATAATGTCCGTTCCCTGATGAACCTGACGATGCTTTCGGGCACCGGAACCTTGGTGGGAGTGAAGCTGTGCAATACGTGGACCTTCCATGACCACTGACCTTGGATAAACGGTTCAGCACCTTCACAAACGGGCTCGACCATCAGCGTCTGCATGGGACATATGAGCGCAAGGCGCACGAACTTCTATTATATCCTCCGTTTGGAGACCGACAGAGACGGCGGCATACAGGGAATACGAAGTGAGCTTGTACTCGTGGATGAAGGCGGGTCTGGCAATTTCTGTCTAGTTCTATTCCTACCGGATGGTCAAGGCATGCATACCTGCTGACAGGCTCGCTAATAGCCACTAGGAAGTCTTGCGCTTGCTCGGCTATGGGTGAAAATGCTTCAAGTATGATGTGCCCGTCTTCCGGGCTAATCCAGAGAGGACGTGAAGCATGGTCCGGCTTCAGATGCAACCACGAGAAATCTTGATCTTGAAACATGTGTGAGACCAACTTGTCCTGCTGACGGTGGTGCACGTCGAGATCGCCATCTTCCACCCCATCCTTCGGTATCTGCGTCTCAGCTAGCTTACGAGTCAACGCGCTGAACTTTATCGTCGCGCCGCGTGGGATGAGAGACGAGTCTGGGGGCGAAGGCGCATCATGTAGGTCGTCGTCGACATCGACGTTGACATAGTCATCGTCGTCCCTCGTCCTCCTTGACCGCTTGGATGAAGAGGCCCAGTCCGCAGAATCTAGTAGGCTGAGCATTGCATCCCGACCAAATGCCATCCCGACGTACCTTCCGCAGCGCGTTTGCTAGGCATGACGAGGATAGTAGTATCGAGCCAGAAGGGATGCAGCTGGTAGACTGACAGGAACAGGAGACCAAGAGGTAATCCGAAGATGACGGAGGCGAGCTGAAGCGAGGGTGAGTAAGCGCCAAGGCAGGACGCTTGTTGACGACGTTTGTGCCACCGCCACCCAGAATTTGGGCGGAGTCTCAACTGGATGAAGGGACGCGAGATCTGGAGGACGCCCCTTGGAGGCGATCTGTCATCGTCCCGCGTGTTTTCCTCATCCCTCCCTGTTTTCCTTCTTTTTCTCCCAGCATGTGGAGACCTGCTACTCGCGAGGTTTCGGGCACCAACGAAAGTGAGTTCTTTCTAGTGTGTTGATTGGGCCCTTGTTGACAGTGATGTAGCGCCCTTGGGCAACCGTCGTCGCTTCGGACCTGCACCTGCGGAAGAAACCGCGCCCCCTCAGCTCGCGCAGCCTTCCCCCTCTGCCTATCCACGCCCCCCCATACAAAATGACAGAGAAGAGTCGAGGGGAGACCGAGGAGAAACACCGCAGTCTATGAATGGCTCTGGTACGTGTCCTTTCTCGTGCGGACTGGCCGTGTTCGTGCCTTCCCTAATTGCAGCAGATCATCCAATCTACGGCATATCTCGCATGCATCATTTCTTATGTTATGACTCTTCATACTGACACCTTACTAACCTACGACCTGATCGTCGTCTTCTATGTGTAGCTGACCCTAACGCTCCCCGCAAGCGCCGTAGTCGCTGGGGTGAAGCCAAGACCGACATTCCGGGACTGCCGACGGCTATCAATGCCAACGGCGTCTCCCAGGCGCAGCTGGACAACTACGCGATCCACCTTAGGCTGGAAGAGATCAATCGTAAGCTCAGACTGAATGACTTCGTTCCTCCGGAGCGCGAGAGGTACGCAGCTGTCTGTATATGCGGGCTGTTCATCTCACAAACGCCTGTTCTAGATCTCCATCCCCTCCGCCAACTTATGACTCACATGGTCGCCGGACTAACACCAGGGAAGTCCGCTACCGCAAGAAGTTGGAAGATGAACGCATCCGTCTCGTTGATCGTGCTATGAAGAACGATCCCAACTTCAGACCCCCTGTCGAATATCACCAGCAGAAGCGTTCCCAGCGCCCTTCGGAGAAGGTGTACATCCCCGTGAAGGAGTTCCCGGAGATTAACTTCTTTGGTCTCCTTGTCGGCCCCCGTGGCAACAGTCTCAAGAAGATGGAGAGGGATAGCGGTGCAAAGATTAGCATTCGAGGCAAGGGCAGTGTGAAGGAGGGCAAAGCGAGGCCAGAACAGTACGCTGAAGACGCCGAGGAAGATCTTCACTGTCTTGTCACTGCTGACACAGACGACAAAGTCACTCTTTGTGTTAGGCTGATCAACAAGGTTATCGAGACGGTACGTGCTCATTTCTGATTCGCATTCGTCGACTTTCCTCTGATGACTGTACATACAGGCGGCTTCGACCCCCGAGGGTCAGAACGATCATAAGCGTAACCAGCTTCGCGAGCTTGCTGCACTAAACGGAACTCTTCGTGATGACGAGAACCAGATCTGTCAGAACTGCGGTGGCGTTGGCCACCGGAAGTACGACTGCCCAGAGCAGCGTAACTTCACGGCCAACATCATCTGCCGCGTTTGCGGAAGCGCAGGGCACATGGCTCGAGACTGTCAAGTTAACAGGGACCCTAACGCCATTCATAACGCACCTCCTTCTAACTCGATGGCGGTTACAAAGGGTGGCTTCGACTCCGAGTACGCAAGTCTGATGGCGGAGCTCGGAGAGGGCGGGAAGGGTCCTGGAGACGGCCCCAAGAATTCCTGGATGGGAAGCGCAGGTCACGATATCACTGCCGGCGGTTCTAACATCCCTCCCTGGCGCCGCCCGGAAGTCTGGCAGAGCAGCGCCGTGCCTCCTCAGCAGAACAACGGCTATCGCCCGCCCCAGGGTTACGGCGGTTACGGCGCCGGCTACGGCGCCCCCCAGGGCCAACAATGGGGTGCTCAAGGCGGATACGGAGGTGGTCAAGCCGGCGGTTACTATCCTCAACAGGACTACTCAGCCAACTACGCTCAGTACTACCAGGGTCAATACGCTCAGCAGCAGACCGGTACCCCTTCACACTGATCCGATTTTCGCTCTGACGCTCCTCGTCCCCGTCTAACCCCCGGTTCCCATCGTTCCACGACCTCCCCATTCTCCCCAGGTCTTGTTGTCGACTCTAGCTCGTTCACAGCTCTTACTACACCCGCTCATGCCCCATTCCCGTTGCCGTCATCACCGAGACTGCAATGAGGTTCGTCTGCGATAAAACTGACCATCGCCAACTGACACGGGCAGTCGACCGCTTCCGCTCTTGTCCGATATGTAGCCCCGACTTTTCTGACTATAGCGTTTGGCGATATGTAACCTGCGACGAATAAAATCTGGTATTGACTCCGCACGTACAATCAAGGTCACGACGATTCTCCTGCACCGCTGGCCTCCTTTCTCCTGTGTTTGCTGCGTTTCTTACGTGTTGTATCGGTGGTTTCATCGTCGATTCGCCGTTTCTGTTTTACGGCAGCTGCGCCTCCGCCGCCGTCATGTTTCGTTACGAATAAGCATACGAAGAACCCGTTCGTCGCATCTCCATCCGGTGAACACCGCACGAGCGATTGTGCATCATCTGCGACTCAGTTGACGATCAGAGGCGCATCGCAATGTCGCTTAGTAGGCAACATACCCGGACTGTTCATCTCCTCGACCAGGCCTCGCCGTCTCCATGTCGGGAGGACATCCGCCAGCGGAGCGAGGGCGAAGTGTCCATCAGTTGCTTCAGGTGTCTCGAGCGCCTGCCGGACCACCCGCTCGTTCTCGATGGCGTGGATGCTGCATGTTGAGTAGACGATTCGCTTCACTGATGGAACTGTGAATGTGGTCAGTAGTCTAACGATGGCGGAGCTAGGTGAGGTTTACATTTCATGGCGTGTCTGATCATCATGAGTTGGAACGCGGCGAGCTTCGCCAGTCGGTCCTGTCCTTCGTCTTCCTGCGTATCTATGGTTTTAGTAAGACGTGTATCAGCATGTCTGGGCTGTCTGATATGACAACGGGGACACCTACCCGACTCCAGCAAGTGATCCATTCGGTTCACGATGCCAGATCCACTGCATGAGGGGTCGAGTAGGCTGACGGTACGGTAAGCACAAGCCAATCTGCCCAGCGTGGTCCGGCAACGCACATATGGGTCACTTTGCTGTATCTCTCATCGGTCGGACTCGTCGTGAGGAAGTCCGCGTTGACGGCCTCAACGTTCTTACACCGAGCTTTGGCGAGCATCATCTTCAGTGTTGAGAAGCGCTTGCGGTCGCGCTCAAAAGCGTATAACTTGTGCTAGAGATCAGTTCACTGCGAATATCAGTGAAGAACATGACACTTACTCTGCCTTTGTTGCCCATCAACGCACTCAAGTGCGAAGTCTTGTTTCCCGGCGCGGCAGTAGCATCAATGACATGGCAGCCTTCATCGGCTGGCGGGGCGAGAACGTGTGCAGGAAAACATGAGGCCTTGTCTTGTAAGATAATCTTGCCTTCCTTGTACAAGGCGTCTTCGGCGAACTGCACTTGGGGATGGAAGGCGAGGAGGTCAGGGATGTGTTCATCCTTGGCGAACGCCTTGCTGCAGTCAGATCAATAGGCGAACGCGGGGGCGTCTGGGAATCTTACTATGAAGAAAGCGGGTCAGCGAGCTCGTAGCCACGCGATGCGAATGTCTCGACCGCTTTTTCCGTCGTCCAGCAATTCCGGTTGACTCGCACATAACGTGGTATTTGCGCTGCCGGGAGGTCAGCACCTAGGGCAAACTCCAGTACCAGTAGACTGACCGGCTCTGGAGTCGTCGGTCTGCGCGAGTTCTGCGTTCGTCTTCGCGCCCCGCTTGATCTTGATCCGCGTGAACTCGCTATGGAGTCTGGTCTTGTGCCGTAGAATGCCTTGTTTGACGGGCCCATCCCCTGCCTGTATGCCATTGGCGAGTAAGAGGTCATGTATCAGCAGTAGCGCGAGGTTCCGGGACGTGATCTTGCGCTCTTCCTTCAGAAGCTTCGCGGCATCAATTACTTCGTTCAAGACAGGTTTGTCTATCAAACAGGGTCAGCTCGAAGACGTGAATCGCCGAGTGTAACCACGGGCCTCACACTTGAGGGTCTCGATGACCAACGCCGCTGTGCGCCTCCTGTCTTTCTCAGCTACCGTGGCGATGATGCTCTTGATCGAGCCCTTCTTCGAGTCAAGCTTGTCAAGTACTTTGGCTGCCTCAAAGTAGAAATTCATTGTGTAGTGCTAATACAGAGGCATAAGTCAGCCTGATGGAGGACTAACAGAGCTGAGTGTACACGACAATGTAGAGCAAATTGGGCCCTAGCACAGCTCCCTCAGGCGCAGAATTGTCTTGAGAATGATCTGTGTGTAGCCGAGTCAGCGTAGGTCCTATGACATCGGATCGAGGTAAATGGAGGATCAGTGTATGCTTCGTCTTCATAACTGGGTTGACCCAATCGGACAATGTAGATAAGTATGCAAAGAGACATCATGTCCACGTCGCGAGTTGTGAGGTGAAGCACACGTACCAATACTCATACACGATGTCAATATGTGGTCGACGCGATGGGCGACGACACGGGGAGGGATGGGTCGAACACTGGCGCTCGCTGTCACCAGGAATTTTGTCTGTTGGGTCACCTGACTGAGGATCTCGATAGGCGCAAGGGTGCCAGGTTCGGGCTGCACAGTTTCTGAACGCGCACAAGAACAATCAGGGAAAACATAGTCTCGTTAACGCTACAAGGAGTTTTGAAGTCGATGCGTACATCAGAAGCTAGGGACGGTGTGGGGTAGAGGGACGCCTCCGACGCGGAGGACATGCATGAGCATTGAGTGCGTCGCCACAGGCGCGACGTAAAGTTGCCTTCTTTGGAGGAGAAACCCGTGCGGCGCGTGCCTCGTGTGCATCGCGAGTCCATCCTGAGTCCATCTCTAAGTCTCCGATACCATCTCCCTCAACACTGCAGAGCTGCTCTCACTTTTGGCCCAAGTGTCATAATGCCACAGTGGATCGATCAGCTTGATGATCTCAGCAACCGTCTAGACACGCTGGATGGCGGTATGGACGACACCTCTGATGACCGTGACGACGGGGCAGCCTTGAAACAGACTCTACAGCAAGTATGCGCAGTCGTCCGCGAGGCTTCGACACAGAACGCAGACGACTTGAATAAAATCATAGCAAAGGCGGAAAGCATCCTTAACAAAGGGGTCAATCTCGCCTATGGCGGGGACGGGCTGTTTGACTTTTTGCCATCGTTCGCTCACGGGAGTGATTCGGATTTGGTAGAAGATAGGATGGGAGTTCGCGGTTTTGGTGAGCTCCTGAGCTGTGAAAATGCGACCCTCGTCCATTAACCCTACCAGGCCAAGGACTCTTGGATGAGTTCGTATCTCTCTTCGGCAAGCACTTTACTCGCAATGGTTCGTAGCGGATGCGTCCTTCTTGGACTACGCTTGACAGAAGTTCTTCCCACAGGAGCTGGCGGGATCCCTGCTGAACTAAGGGGGCCTGCTCCTTGGAGTCCGCACATGCAACCCCATGCTAAAAGCACCCGTCTCTCTCGCTTTCGTTCGGGTGTCGTGACGTCGGTGACCGACGCTATGCCACTTGCGCAGGCTATCTACCAAGCTCGCTGCGAGATCACTGATGACAGTATCGCATCGCCCTCGAGGATGCTGATGTCGTCCGGGCAGACTTGTCTTGCAGTCATGGGGGCGGGCGGATGGAAGAACCGGGATCCCATCTTGACTTGCTACTTCCCAGGTCGTGACGACCACATGCAAGAATCAAGGAGCATCTCTCCTGGTCTCTCCGAAGTTGCATACACAATGGCGATGGACGAGGAGCGAAAGCTGGTCTTCGTCGCAGACAGCTACAGAGTCAAGTCGTATTCTTGGGCGCTGGGCCCTGATGCGTCACGCCACGATAAACTTCCTCCAGTCCACACCCTCGACTGCGACAACTGTGCCGGCTGCATATCTGTCCTCCCTGACGGACGCCTCGTCCGTGCAGGAAAAGGCAAGGCATACGTGTGGAACTTGGATACTCTGGAAGAACATGGGCCCAATCAGAAGCGTATTGGGAAGCGGCGATTCAACTACGAGGACAGCTCGCGCGATCATGACACCGGGACGGAGATTGAGGACTCGAATGGGAGCACCGCACATACGTCCATCGCCTTTGCAGACTCAAAGTTCTACCCCGCTGTCTGGCATCGCCACGCGCCGAGCGGACACATGATTTGCGGGACTAGCGGGCACCGCGATAATACGTATGTATGCACGTCGATTGACTTGGAGCACGGTGGGCAATTCGTGGCGCGATACCTGGGCCATGGCGGAGATGTACTGGACATATCTACTAGCGACGGCGACCCCAATGCGTTTATGACGGGTGGCAGTGACGGCTATGCGCGTCTGTTCGATGTGCGACAGCCCCTCCCAGTCGTCACCTTCAACCACGGAGACGAATCGGGGTATTGTTCTTCGGTCGTCCTCATTTATCCGGATGGAGTGCCCAGTACGTGCACCTGATTGACTTGTTGCAAATAGATGTTTACCCGTGCGCATGGCAGCTCTGTTCACTGGAGGCATGAACAGCGAGCAGATCAAGATGTGGGATATCCGTGCGCGCAAGGCGGTGTACGAGCTAGCCACCGGAAACAACGCCGTAGCCAGCATGGCCTGGGACCCGAAGCGATCCACGCTCTATGCAGCGACCGAATGCGAGCGGATGGACCGCATGGGGTTCACCCATGACTATCGGCACGCTCGTATCCCTAGGTGGGCTGACATCGAGCGTCATGACGACCCTGCAGTTGGCCCAGACGAAGACGTGATAGGCGAGGATGGGGGACAAATGGACGACGATGAAGAGGACGAATGGGATCGGTGCTGGCCAAAGAAAGCGTATCACAACGAACGCTATTTCGGCTACGCCTTCGATGCAGGCGAGCATAGGCTCTGTAAGTACAGGTGCAGTGATGTTGGTCTATGTGATCTGACACCTCGACTAGATCGACATGCATTCAAGGAGGATCCTGACCCGACCCAATTACCTGCGTATGGCCAGGCTACCGTGCAAGGAGATTACTGGTAAGGACTCCGAGTGGAACTGCCTGCAAATGTAATAGTGTTCAACGCGACGATTGCTCGACATGTATAAGTATTGTTCAGACGTACCGTGTTTCTCAATCACTCTATTGCGCATGACGGAAAATATTGCGTGGGTCCCGGAGGAAGTGGGTATCGCACTGGGTCGCTTTGCTTTTGTCGTGTGCTTAGTACTTGACCACTCTATTGCGCATGACGGAAAATATTGCGTGGGTCCCGGAGGAAGTGGGTATCGCACTGGGTCGCTTTGCTTTTGTCGTGTGCTACTTGACCATTGTGCACCTGCTGGTGATTCAACGCAGTGAACCGTCTTCTCTTCGCAATTGATCCTTGACATGGCCCTGGTTTCTCCAGACAGGCTTACTTCACAGGGACTGTGACCGAGCATGCTACTTATCGATGGCCCTCTCGAGGAACCTCGGTGACTTGGCTGAGATAGCACTGGAATACGCTGCTGATAGGTGCTCCTGAGCCTCCTGACCCACGAGCCTTCGCCGGGGCCGGTAGTCCGCATCCTGCTCTTAATGTAACCTCATGACCAGACTGTTCATCTTATCTAAACTCGGACATACTGGAGCTCTCCCGCTCGCCACGAACGCATCGTCTACCATCGCACACCATGAAAGTCGCTGTGACGGGATGCACGGGGGACGTCGGGAAACGCGTCGTGATCGTCGCCCTGAAGCAGGGATACTCCGTCGTAGGCATTGACATGACACCGGCCAAGGACGTGGAGTTCAACGCAGATCCAAACTTCAAGTTCGTCCAGGCAGACCTGCGAGACTACGATGAAACGTTGGAGGCAATACGAGGATGCGATGGAGTTATTCAGCTTGCTGGCGTGCGATGGCCTGCAGACTATGTGGCTACGACCCACAACACGTAGGCTTGTCGCATCAACTCCGTGATGAACTAAAAGCTCATTCTTGTTGATCAGCAACGTGACTATAACATGGAATGTCTTGCGCGCTGCAGCAGAGGTGAGACAACACGACGAGCAGGTCATACGAGGAGCTAAGTGTCAGTGTCCAAATAGCTAGGAATTAACAGGATCGCTCAAGCCTCCTCCGTCAATGTGATTACCCTCGTGTTCGCCGTGCAAAACAAGTTCGAATATTTCCCCATCGACGAGGACCACCCCGCTGAACCGGACGAGCCATACGGCCTGTCGAAACTGTAAAAAATGCACTCATTCCGAGCTGACCGGGCGTTGACGATGTCTTTTCAGGATCTGTGAGATCCAAGCGGACGCGATCGTGCGGCGATACCCTTCTATGCGTGTTGCTAGCATTCGCTTGCACTGGTCGGTCCCCACACGCGAGGCCGCGACGCGCGACGATCCAGCAAGGAGAGCCAAAGACCTCTGGGGCTGGGTGCAAGAGGACTCCGGTGCGGAGGCATTCTTGCTGGCGGTATTCGGGGAAACCGGTAAATGGTCAGGGCACGAGAGGTTCTTCGTCGCAGCGCCAGACATAGCGACGAACGAGGAGACGATGGGTTTGAAAGATCAGTTTTGGCCGGACGTGCCGATACGAGATGGACATGATCTGAGCGGGAGAAAGAGCTTCTTCGACTGCTCAAAGGCGGAACGGCTGCTTGACTGGGTTCATAGGGTGCCATGAAGTTATGATGGGTGGAGGAATGTTTGCAGCTGTCGTCGGACGTGAGTGCACTCCCGCTTTTGTACAGAGAAATCCTTACATATTCATCATAATGATGCAGCACCTCTCGTAGCTGTTTTCTGGATATATCCGCTCTGAAGAGGATTTCATCATCCGTACACTTGCCGTCGAAGTATTGGTTGATCCTGATGGACAGTCGTGCTGTCAGTCACTGAAGTAGCGCATCTCCACGGAGGAACGCACTTCTCAAAACGTGTCGCGATATAGGGATCCTTGCCTTCCGACATAGCGGCCAGCCAGCGTCTCTCTAGTCGAGAAGCACGCGCAGGGTCAGTGATCATAGAAGAATACGGGTTGTTATCATCTCCATAGCCGCGATACCAGTCTTCAACATCTTCTGCGCCTGACGAACCTACGTCTTCCTCAAAGCCATCTTCTGCATTCTTCTCTGCTACATCGGAATGATCCTCGGTGTTTTGCTGACTGCGCGCCCCGACAGACTGTCGCCTTGCGAGCGCCCTCGCAGTCTTCGGCGAGAACGACAGCCAATTCGTACCGGGGCTCGACTCCGAGGCTGTCTCGAAACTCGGAGCCTCCTTCGACTCCACAGTCTTCTGGGAGTCGTGCGAGTTCGACTCCTTCCCGGACGGTGCGGTCCTCGCCTGCATGCGCTCCCGCTTCGCGCGCGCCATTTCGTATTTCATCCGAACGCGATGCTTGAGCTCCTCCGTGGCGACGATGCGGATGCGCAGGTGGAGAGTGATGAGGAGGTCGTGCTTGAGCATCCACACGACGACGTCGTGGTACAATGGAATCCGCTCTCGCGATTGAACTATAGCCCCGTAAAAGTGGTTCGCGCTCTGTTGATGTGTTGACATGGATACCATGGAAAGTATCTTTGGGAGAGGGGGAACTTCGGTTTCCGCGAACTTGTGGTCGAAGTCAGCGGTCAACTGGGATATCCTAGATTTGGTGAGCTCGAGCTGCGACAAACAAGCTGAGCTACGTACGGTGCGTTGAATCTGGGAGGCACGGTGAAGATGGTTCTCAAGCCGGGGTGAACGATATCGACCACCTTGGCTCGTCGATGGTGGACTAGCCAACGTACGGTTGGGTAGACCTGCGACTCAAGATCCCAGTCGAGCAAGCTAGCCATGTCCGCGAGCCTGCGATCTGTCAGTGAGTCTACCAATAAGTAGTGGAATCACAGCATACGCACGATAGAGTGACGTTCGCGATCTCCAAGAATCTTACAAGCTGTTCAGCAAGTTCGTTGTCTTCGGCTGTGAGCTGAGGGGCCCTGAGCCTCCTGTAGAGCTCATCGTCCCCACGCTCATCTTCGTTGTCCAAGCGGAGAAGACTCTTCCAGGGCTTCAACGCAGGCAGTCGCCAGCCAACGCTCATGCTCCCCCAAGGGTTGGGCAGTCCATCTTCGCTGCGTGGGTCCAACAAGTCGAAGTCGCATTCGTCCTGAGCATGCAGCAGGTTATCAAGATAAGGGGGAAGCTGTAGCTCAAGTGGTAGGTCGTGAATGACTATGTGAGCGATTGACCTCTCCTTCATGGCCTCGTAGAGGGTCTTCATGGATGCCGCCAGCGATGACACATTGAGTGCTTCCCGAAGATATTCAGCGAATGGTACGCCTTGTCGTGTGTAAGCCCAGCATACTTCAAGTAAGACATAACTCATACCTTTCTTGGAGTATTCATCTCTGAGGGATCCGAGAGTGTCGCATTCGTCCTCGACGAAGTTGTGTAACACCTGTTCTTGGTATAGAACAGCGGTCACGGTGAACGCGATTTGTTCGTAGATCGTGTCGAAATACTTCCACACCGTTCCAGATGTAGAGGATGATGGGTCCGGGCGGTCAAGTACCAGGACGAGGTGGAAAGTCTGGAGCCAGGTTGAGTCTGGGAGGGGCCGCTTGTTGCGTTCCATCCTGTCTGGCGTGAGCGATGGTTCTGCAGGCTGAGGAGCCTCGCCCTTCTTTGAACCTCGTCCGCGGGGCATGAGCTTCGACTTTTCAGGTTTAAATCTCCAAGAGCCGTCGGGCTCTGCACAAACGGGGTGTCCGATGAATGCCAAGTCATCGACGAGGAATTCGAACTTCTGGTGACACATGGAGCTCTGAGGACAAAGCAACCCAGCGAGGAGTTCTGCAGAAAACCCAAGCACAGTGTCGTACTCGTCGTCGCGAGGAAGCCCAGGATTACCACCGGAGAACGAAGCTGACATGTCTGGTGCTGGCGATGCTCTCCTCGAAGTCGGATGCGAACGCGAATGTGACACCGACGACGACCTATGACGGGACGCCCTTGGCCTCTGCCACAGGTAGCCTTCATCTTCGTAGCCAGGGGTGTCACGACAGACCCTGTTCTCGGGTGGGTTTTCGGAGCCATTGGCTGCACGCCATGGGTTGTCTCCGTAGATACATGTGACGTCGTGGTCCAGCTTTGGACGTGCGAGCCTGGGAGAAGACTCGGGTGAAGGAGGCCAACGGTAGACCAGGCTGGATCCTTTCGCCGAGGAAGTGACCAGCAATAGAGCAATCAGTGTTTCGCTCATTCCTCGCGTGATTTGCCGCGACGGGGGAAGTAGAACTGTAGAACCTCAAGTTACGAATGGTTTTAGTTGAAGTTCACCTACTATCGAGGGTAAGAATGCATGTTCAGTCGGGTTCGTATTCGGGGTTTGGAACTCTGTACTCACGGAAGGAACGTGGACGGTGGCGGCCGGTTGACCGACGGACTTCGCGTTGAACGCAAGCGCCGACAGCTGTGGCGGTGGCAAACGGGTGAACTTGGATCGGAGATCTGAAGGAGGCTCGACGGTTATGGCAGTCGTCCACGTTCACCTCAACCCAGCATCTTCCTCTTGGTTCCTGTCGGCCAAGACCATCCTCTGCTGCTGCCGCAACAACGTGGTACAACCATCTTGTTTACCCCGCTCCTCAAGATGCCACAATTGCCATTCGACCCTCTCGCGGCAGTAAGCGGTGCTGCGTCTGCTAAGCAACGACCTCAATGGGGCGCCATCCCACGCGTCCGGGGCAGCTGTTACTTGGTATATTACTGTTCAGGGCATGGTGCGTTGCAGAATACGGCTGCCAATTCTGACTCTACTTATCTCATTCACTGAAGGATATGGCCACGCTACACGAGTGTCCGCCTTCGCGCGCCATCTGCTCAGTCTTGACCCGCGGCCCACTGTGCACATCGTCTCGTCAGCACCGAAGCAGGTGTTCGCTGATAGTATAGCTGCAGGCGGTATGTCGTTTTTGCGTATATTGAATTAAGGCGACTGCTGCCCGACGTACAGTGTCATACAGGAACGCAGATATCGACCCTGTGATCGTCCAACCATTGGCGTGGGTTTAGGGCGCACACGCGCATGCATCTGCACATCTGATGAAGCTACACAGGTATCGAGTCGATCGCCAGAAGAGCGTAGAGGCGCTCAAGTCTTTCCTGAGTAAGAAGGACCGCAAAGTCCTCGAAGAGTCACACTGGTTGAGGGACATAGGCGCGGATTGCGTTCTCAGCGACGCTGCATTCCTTGGATGGTATGTCTAATCCGAAGGACGTGTAGACCTATATTGACTGGGTGAACAGCCTGGCCGCTCATCAAGCTGGGATACCCTCTGTGCTGATAAGCAATTTCTCCTTCGACTCGGTGTACAGCTACCTGTCCACTCCATATATCGATGCACCTCCTACGCCAGAACCAGAGCTCTTTGACAGTCTCCCTACACAAGCGGCTATGACTCTTCCACCGGATATCCCAATTCCTCAAGAGATCTTGGCACCTCTAGTAGACGAGATCTTAGCCGGCTTCCGCTGTGCCGACCTGCTTCTCCGCTTACCTGGGGCTATCCCTATGCCGTCGTTCTCCATCGAACCTGGACTGCCATCTCCAAACTGGGTCGACCTCAATACACGGATGTTCACTGAGGAGGTCGCCATGCATCTCGAACAGTCCCCGTCATCCTATGCACTTCATCCAAGCTTAGACTTTCTGGAGCAACACGATGGTCACAAACCTCTCCCTCGTGCCGCCCTCTCTGCCCCGCTGCTAGTGCGCTCGCCAAGTCCCACTGTCTATACTGCCGAGGGCCGCAGGCGTCTCCTCAACAGCGTTGGCGTACCTCCGTATCTGCACAACCCTGACAAGACCAAGATCCTGATAGTCTCTTTCGGGGGCCAAGTCTTCTACAAGCCTTGTAGTCGTGCCCACAGTCGCTCTCCCTCACGCGTAGGCACCCCTGGGGCATTCGCAACAGCTATGACGAAGTCGCTCAACGGAATTCCGCGCGAGGTTGCACTCTCCAAGCCGTCTGACATGTCGAAGGAGTACTTCCCTGATCCAGATCGGCTCGCTACACTTCTGCGATCTTCTTCTCTCTCTGAAGGTCCTCCCTCTGTTGTAGCGTCTCCGGGCCTTCCTCCTCCCAAACCGGTGACTATGGCTCGCACTTCGCCGCTGAAAATCCCTGGTGCACCGCCTGTCGCAGTACCCACGTCTCCGTTGGGCAAGTCTTCTAGAAGGGTGTCCCTCCCAATGCTGCAAATGATCCCTCCCTCTCCTTTGTTAACTCAGGAGGCTAAGGCCCAAGACGATTATCCTGGCTGGTCATCTGCGCCGGAAGATGAATTCGAGGAAGAGCTTCCTTGCCTGCTCCCAGACGAAAGTTGGATCGCTATCGTCTGCGGCGTGTCGAAGGAGTGGGGTCGCGAGGATGGCGAAGAGCTCCCTCCGGGCTTCTACGTCGCCCCGCGCGATATCTACATGCCCGATCTGACCGCGGTCGCAGATGCCTTGTTGGGCAAACTGGTAAGACGCAGATTGATGGTAGTGGCAGAAACGTACTCAAGTTGGTGCCATTCTACAGGGATATGGTACTGTTTCGGAGTGCGTCGACGCCTGCACGCCCTTCGTCTACGGTGCGTAGGTTCATCTCTGCCAGAAACACGACTGACCCCGTCCTTCAGTGCCGCGGCCGCTGTTCATCGAAGAGCACGGTCTCCGTTTGCTTCTCGGGTCCGAAGGCGTAGGGGTCGAGCTCTCAAGGAGTTGCTATGAGAAGGGCGACTGGGCCGACGCTGTCCAGGAAGCATACATGCGAGGCAAAGACGCGAAAGCCAAGAAGCGACAGGAAGGAGAGACAGGAAAGAGACGGAAGGAAGGCAGAGAGATGGCACGAGGACTGCTAGACTGGCTTGATCGATGGAAGGCCGGGGCACGCGCCATGAGTTCCAGCCCTGCAGCTTAGATTGATATTGTGGACGACTAGAGGGCTGGGTACGATTGCATGATTGTTACTTTACACACTGTATCTCTATTCCTCCGTAGAGCAAGTGTCCCCCATACAATACGACGCGTAGAGATTAAGTAGTGTAGTTCCTATAGGTTATTGTGTCAAGCATGGTGTTGATGAAATGCATTGCCCTCTGTGAAATCAAGAAACATGCATCTGGGACGGTCTTCAGTTGCCTCCGGTGAATAGGCCGTCAGGGATCTCGCAGTTTCCCAACGTGGGTGGCACAGCGGGAGCCGGCTCGACCATGAGCTGTAACAGTCGTCAGCGAAACACCGAGTCCAAAGGAGGTGTGCAACGTACGCGAACAGTCTGGATAGTAGTGTAAGTGGCGGCGACCATGCCAAAGATCATCAAAGCAATGTCCGCAATCTTCTGCCTGCGCGTGTGGGCACAGGCCTTGTAGTGCAGCAGCGCCGGATAGACGTAGCAGAGCGGAACACTAGTGGAGAGTGACATGCATCAGCATTAGCCTCGAAGCGCACATTGACGCACACTCACCAAGCGAAGCTACCGACGAACGACACGAATTTATCCAGATCACTCGCACCCGCCCAGCTGAGCGCGCAGCAGAAGACGACCGTGATGAACCGGAAGCAGTTCTTCGTCCACTTGACGCGCGCGTCCGCCTTGCCGCTGCGCTCGAACAGGCCGTTCTCCATGATCCGCACGGCGGGGAAGAGCTGCAGCGGCACGGAGAGCATGATCGCGAGCGAGTAGAGGAACTGGACGGCCTGCGTGAACTTGCTCGTCGCGTCGAGGTTGACGATGACGACGGTCTGCACGTCAGAGCCGAAGGTGAGGTAGGACATGACACCGCCACCACAGAAGAGGACTGAGTGGAAGGTATGGTTAGCGGTCATTTTGCACAGATGTAGTTAGCCGATCGTACCCATGAGGAACAGCATGACCCCTGTGAGGACCTTAGGGAACTTGCGAGGCTCCTTCATTGCGTCAGTGATCGGGATGACCTAGCAAAGATGGTCTGAGCTTCATGAGCTTTATGCATCTCATATCGACATACCAAGCCGATACCCTCGAAAGAGAACACCGCCGTTCTGCACAGTCATCAGCATGCCACACTCGCCCGCACCTTAACCAGTCACATACCCGATCAGGAGGGGCCAATCCTTCGCATTGAAGTAAGCCACATCCGCATGTCCGCGGTCCGCCATGATCGCCGCCTCGCTCCCGAAGATATATATCAGGCCTGCGAGGATGAACGCGTCCGCGATGAGCGCGGTCGTGCTCAGCTTCGCGAGGTTCCGGATCAGCACGAGCGGCAGGAAGATGAACAGCTGCAGCAGGATGAAGTACTGGATGCCAAGGAGCTTCGCGCAGTTCGTGATCGCGAGCACGAATGCCTGCAGGTTCTCCGAGACGAAAATGATGTACGCGGAGACGAAGCCGAGCTGCGAGATGGTGATCGAGGCGAGGATGGCGTAGCGCATCCAGGGGCCGTAAAGCGTTCCACCGATGTCTGCGAAGGGGTTGAGCGGCGGCCTGATTTGGGAGGAGAGACACATACCACCGAAACTGCCTGATACCACAAACTTCGTCTTCACGAGCAGCAAGAACGAGTACAACGAGATCAAAGCAATGAAAGTGAGGACGACGCTCGAGAATATGATACCGCCATTGAAGAAAGCCTTGCCCAAGAACAGAATACCGGTACCAACAAAGGACTTCAGCAACTGATGTCGAGGAGTCAGATCACCAGCCAATAACAAGGAGGTGATTTCAGTACTGACCATGAGCACAGCTTGCGTCACCGTCGCATCTCCGTGCGGGCCCACACTGCCGGACCTCGCTCTCCTCGAACGTGAACGGGGAAGCAATGGCGAACGTTCGCTCGCCTTGTGAAGGTCCGTACTTGTTTCCGGCGGCAGACCAATGGAAAGGGGGGCGGTTACCGCGAGGTCCCTCTCCGCGAGCGACGGCGTCTCGACCTGGGCTTCCATGTCATCCCATCGGTACTCGTCCTCCTCTTCGATTTCCTCGAGGTCTTCTCCGGCCTACCAGGGATCAGACAAATCCAATGAATTTAACCGGAAGATGGCACTTACGAAATGTCCAAAGAGATAGAGGAACTCGATGAAGTTGCGCGGGACGTGCGGCAAATCCGAAGTACCCTCTTCGCCGCGCCGCATGAGCAGGTAGTTCCTGCGGAAACCTCCCGGCTCGTGGATGTGCTGGAACGCAGGGTCCGAGGACCGTGTCGAGCCAGCGAAGGACGCAGAGCGGGGACGTGCGGCTTGCCGACGCTTGTCTGCTTGCCACTTGTAGATGCTGTGACTGTGTTGTAGGGTCAGTACTTGTCTTTTCAGGAAGAGGTTCAGGACGTGGTAACTTGAAGGCCTTTCCGGAATTAAACACTGCGTGCAACCCGCGCAATCCGGCTCCGACCAGAGTACAAAGGCATGTACCATGTACGAATTGAGCTACACTCTCACAGCTAGGCCGAGGTCGTGCGCGCTCTGACAATGCAGAAAAAGTGGAAAGTGGTTGGTACTCACGTCACGTCAGCCCCTGGTGCATGATACGGTACGGGAAAGGTTTCGGATTCTTCTCGTTGTGCTCGCAAGTGCGACGTTGACGACCGTTTCGACACTGCACCGTTATCTGAGCCTCCGCTCACGGACGCGCGAGACGATTGTCCTGCTGGGCCGCCACGATCTTGACGCGAAACAAGATGCCGTCTCAGTATCCGGGCTTTCTCCTCGTCAGTGAGGTCATCGAGCCCATTGACCTCACTCCCGGGTGTGCCTGCACCCGAAGGTCGTCGCGCACTGATACCGCCTATAGAGACCATAGAAGATGGCTCTCCCGCTCCTGCCAATGGAGCGGGCATGAGCATTGGCGAGCTACCCGCTACACTGGGAGTGCCTATGGGTGTTCCACGTCGAGGAATATTAGGCGGCGGTGGGGTGCCGGCATACTGAGCTCGGAGGACGCGAGGATTGGGGGAGCCAGAGATGGCACGCGTAGTCGGGGGTGTGCCCGCAAGCTCTGCATTGTTCTGGCGAGGACTGACGATATTGACTGGCTTTGAAGGTGTGGACATGGTGGTGAGCGAGAGAGAGAGAGGCAGGGTACGTGGAGGAGGACCCTCGGAGCGCCTCTTTCAAGCCGCTGAGCGGATCTAATCTCATGACTCCTTTGGGCCGCCCGCCACCACGCCTCCGTCCCCCAGCATCCCACTTGGACGTTTGCAACACCACTTCTAGGTCGCGCTAGTCCTCTTCCACACCTCGTGAGGGCATCATAGCAGCATCCGCCAGTGGTGGTCGAATAGAATCGCCAGATCACGGACGCTTTCAATCAAAGCCTCGGTCAATACACTTTCCCGAAAAGGAAAGCCAGGCGTCGATCGCGTGGTGATCGCGTGGGGGTCATCGCCAAATTCAACCATCTCGTCAACAACCGCGACAGTCACCCGCAACAGCACTCTCAACATCGTGCTATCCACTACCTATGTGCCCTGTCCTAGCTCATCGAATATATCCAAGCTATTACCACTTCGCTCAACCGGCCTGTGTATGATATCCTGGCGCAAAAGTGTCCGTCTATCAAGTCCTACGCGCGCCTGTGGTCTTGCACAGCACTGAGTGGATCGCTGTCCCAGCTGGTCGGCGTCGTACTCAGTGACGGTGTCCTTCAGGGGTCGAGCAGAAGGTGGGCGCTGTACAAACTTGCATCCGTCAACGTCAGAGCAACCGATGCCGGCGGGAAGTTCTGCATATGCAGGAATAGCAAGTTGAAGTATTGGTCCTAACTTAGGAATTGCTCTATGCGACAGCTGAGTCTTCTCACGTACTAGGTCCTCGTGTTTCCGAATGGGTTTTCTGGAGACGCGCCTTCAATCTCCGAATCGTCCGACCGTCAAATCTTTAGCGGCATGTCTATCATTTCATTGAATGCTTCTTCATAAAGCGCGCCAGGGATCATTTGGCCCAGGGCCAAGAGCCATCATGCCGCAACGTGTCTTCGCACGATGGCAGACTTCTTCATTGCCCCTCTCAGGCAAGTGCTACGCTTGCAAATTCCTTGCTTTAGGAAAGGATCTTGTCATACCACATGCATGAAAACAAGCGAATACTTGTGTCGTGGACCCACAATACCATGGTAGGGATGGTTTCCCATCTAAACCGTCACATCCGACAGAATAACCCTTGCTCCATCGACCCAACGCGTGTATACCGGAGGCGCCGTTGTGCGTATACAACGAGGCAGAAGAAGTCGCAGACATCAGGCAACGGCCAGGCCTACACGAGCGGTTCGAGTCTTATGGCTTCCCCCTCCTTTGCGCCGTTGCTCGCCACGGCCACTCCTTGGGCCCTCAGGAGCTCGCCTACCATCCTTTCCCTCGAATCTCCCCGATGTCGTCGAGAGTCAGGCGCAAGCCGCCACCGGCGTTCCCCTACTCACCGCGCTACCCTGTACCGGACCCCCTCGACCCCTTCGCACCTCTGAAGGTCTTACGCGAGCGTGCCTCGTCGAATAGTGCGCTGCAGTTTCGCTTAGAAGACTCGTCGCAGGGCCAATTCCTTCCCTCGCTTACGTCCGATGTGCTTGGTGTAGGTCTGGACATAACTTATCCCCCCAGTAGCTCCGACCACCATGGTCCCCATACGCCTCCGCGTCCCTGGCTGGACTCGGCAGCGTATCTCTCACCCCCTCGTCCCTTCCAGGAAGCTCCAGGAGGTTACTACTCCGATACACCTATTACCAGGCCGACTCGACCCCTACGTCCTCGTAGCAAGTCAGGTCGAGAGTCCAAGGCCTACTTCTCCGAGGCGGAATTGCCCCCGGTACCTCCTGTCCATCGGTACCAAGAGCCGCAGCATACTGAGCCCGAAGAGCGTACAGAGTCGCTGTACCAGCTCCGTCGGCGGTCGCAGTCCGTATATATCACGCGTCCCCCAAGCCAGGCAGAACTACAGGACCAAATCGAGCCTCCTCTCGCTGAGGTGTCGCCCACCAACGCGAGCGCAGAGGCCCTCACCACACCGCACACAGAGCCCAAGTCCGACACCGACACGGTGCACGACCTAGTCCGACAGTACATGTACGATGACCGGCAGTCGCACGGCTACATCTTCGACCAGTTCGCGAGCGACGTCTCGGATGCGCAGGACTCGCCCACCATCGACGCGCACATCCCCGAGCAGGCGCAATCGCAGCCGTCCGCGACGCCGCCGATGACGCCGGACGACACGCTCAGCCTGAGCAGCTCGAGCGCGCGCGGCCGCTCCGCCTCGCTCTCGCCGCGCTCCCCCATGCCGGACCTCCCGCGCGTCACGTCGCAGCCTGCCCTGCGTCCGAAGACTGTACATATCGATGACCACGCGGTCGTCGTGCAGCAGGAGGAGACACCCCTGACTGACGCGATACAGAGTGCTGACTTCCCGCTTCTGCGCTCGCGCTCGCGCTCGACCTCCCCCGTGTCGACTCCGCCTGGGCTCTTGGTCGACTCGCATGTACCGGAAACGGTAGAGATGGAGCCAGAACCGGAGCCGGAGCCGGAAACGGAGCCAGAACCACAACCACAACCACAACCACAACCAGAGCCAGAAATGGAGACGTCGACGCTGCGCAGGCGCACCTTGAGTGCGAGCAAGTTGCTTCGCCGGTCGTCCAGCACGGGCACTGGTGGTAGCCGCAGGAGAAGCAAGATAATGTCAGTGCACGAGTTTCTGGTGAAGAAGCCCTCGACTGGGAGCAACACGTCGAAGTCTAGTCGGCGTGCAGGTAAAGCACCTCCTCCTCCACAGCATGTGGACGCGTCTGTCTCTACAGAAACTGCACGTGTGTCTGTGGTCGTTACAGCGTCGTCCGTGCCCGTTCAGCCGCCGAAGCCACAGGCGAAGGCGGAGGCGAAGCCGCATGTTCAGGAGCATAAGCAAGCCAAGCTGCCTCCACCGACAGCTATGGTGACGCGCGCGAGGAACATCTCTAACAACCGCGACCGGGGTGCGGACAGCGATCCAGGACACGGTGGCAAAGGGTCGCGCTTCATCATGCACCGCCCGAAGAAGAGTCTCAGTCAGGTCAGCCTGGCGTTGACGACGCTTCCCAACCTGAACGCCGGGCCTCCCATGGCGCGTAGTGCGAACCCAAGCGTCGGAAGCGCGATGACGGGGGGCACTGGGTTTGGTTCAACCGCTGGCTTGAGTGGGGACGAGATGTCCACGCAGACACATGAGCTGACTCTTCTGCAGCCACCTCCTCATAGCGCCCCTCCGGTCCCAGTGTCGGTCCAGGCGATGCAGAATGCAGCGCCAGTAGCGGAGCCTCCTCGCAGGTCTGCGGATCAGGAAAGGCCTGCCGAGGCGCGTCAGCCAAAGGCATCTGAGAAGCCACCCTTGACCGAGCGCAGTGCGAGGCGGCTCTCGGGCTTCCCGGTGCTAGAGGAGAACAATTCTGTTGTGGAGAGGAAGCAGGAGACCAGCGAAGTGCGCCCTCGTGTTGCCGAACGGAGACCGACGCAGACATATGCGATACCGACAATTAGTAACACACGTCCACTCACCATCATCTCATCGCGGGCAGCGTCCCCAGAACAGGCCACTCCCGACAACTCCTTCCAGCTGCTGGAGCGTCCGCCGACTCCTCCGCGCTCGCAATCACGCAATGCTGTCCCTCCCATTCCTGCACTCGTCCCGCGCACGCCTTCACCTGACCGCCATCGTCCATCGTATCGCAATTCGCCACTCCCGCCTCCGCCACCAGACTCTCCGCAGTTTTATGTGTCGCCAATCCCTCCTGCCACGGACACCAGTATGATGCAGCCCGCGCCGCTTCCGCGCTCCCCTCCTCAACATTCTGAGCCGCCGACGCCGCTTCCTGCTCCTACGCCACGAGCCAAGTCCCCTGCGCCCCCCATACCTCACACTCATGCTCCGACCAGAGAGACTCGCGATGCTGTCCCGACGGTGATACGCAATGATGTCGCCACGGAGCGTACCGTACCTATGCGCTCTGGTACACCGCCAATGGAGGGCAGGCAGCGCAGGCGGGAGCCAACTAGGGAAGAACGCTCAGATTCGACGCCATACATGTTCGCGGTGCCGCAAATCCGCTCTCATCCTCCACCTGTCCCTCGACCCGAAATGTATACGGAGTCGCGGCCAAAGGCACTCGAGAGGCGACGCATAAGCACTGCGCAGATCTCTGGCCCAATACAGACGTCAACCCCGGCCGCTGAAGTACAGCAGCGCAATCTCACACCCGTGTCTCCGCCTGCTCAGTACAATCACCACAGGCCTCAGTCACCAGAGCCCGAGACGCCCTACCAGTATTCTTCCTACCCGCCTCATGACTACGCCAGAGCCCAGTCTCCTCCTCCGGTACCCGAGTTCCGCGCTCAGTCTCCGCCACCGAATGCATCTCACTCTCGCGTGCGATCTCCTCAGGCCACCTCCCGCGCGCAAACACCCGCTGGAAGAAAGGCATCCCGAGCGCGCTCTCCGCAATCTGCTCAGGACCATGGAACAGTGACCCGTGGACGGAGCTACGACCAGCTGCAAGGCTTCGGTTCGCTCACTAGGCAGGAGACGGCGCACAGTAGTACGCAGGGCTCGCAGTCCCACACCAGACACCATGACACCGCGCCAGCTACGCCTGTCCCGCACCATGCGACACCGTCACCGACAATGTCTGCCAACTCGCAGCCTCTGCAGCTGTACACGCGCACTGACAACTCGAATGAGCCCCGTCGCGCGCGGTCGTACCAGCCGCTAAGGGAGCAGCAGCAGCAGCAGGATCGGCGCCAGCAGCGGCTCCTGGGCAACCTGAGGTTCGACGAGTACGCCATACCGACGCGGGACCAGATCAAGCACGCTGGCTCGCTGTTCGTCGTTGCGCAGAACGGGCTGCGTGTGCAGTTCTCGGACCTGTTCAGGGAGAGGCGGACGGTCGTCTGTTTTATCAGGCATTTCTGGTACGTACACAGCACGCTTCCTCGGAGAGTCGCTTGACTGAACTGCGCTTTAGGTGTCCGGCAGATCAGGACTACATGTACTCTATCGTCAGGAACGTAAACGCTGAGGAGTTGAAGCGCGCTGGCATTGACCTTGTCATCGTTGGACTCGGTTCACCTGCCATGATCAAGTCTTATAGGCGTAAGTCGACTCTCTGACTTGGCCATGTACCATGCTGACATCGCATTCAGAGATCTTCCGCAGTCCGTTCCAAGTGTACACTGACCCGACTCTGCGTCTGCACGCCGCCTTCGGTATGACACGGCAGACCTCCGATTCAGGACCAGACGATGAGAGGGGCGAGTACATCCGTCATGGACCACTAGGTGGATTGGCCATGGTTGTCAAGAACGCGATCCGCGTGGGCATGCCCGTCTGGGAGAGGGGCGGCGACGTGACGCAGCTCGGCGGAGAATTCGTCTTCGGTCCTGGGTAAGCCTCCTTCTCTCCCGCCCGCGCCAAGCTAACCGTCACAACCCAGGTCTACCTGCATGTACGCACACCGCATGCGCACCACGCGCTCGCACGCGCCCATCCTGCACATCCTTTCCGTCGCAGGCTTCACCCCGGGCCTCCCAGGGATCGCCACGACCTCTCCCTCGTACATGTCTCAGGACTACGACGACGAGGCGTGGATGGAGGACCGCCGGCGGAGCTACGCACGCATGCAAGCTCGGCGCGAGAAGCGCATAGAAGCAAGCGGTGGCAGGGACAGGCAGCAGCAGCCGCAGCAATGGCACCGGCGCGAGGGTTCGCAGGACACTGCGGCGGGGTACGCGAGCGACGCGGGGAGCGGGAGCGCCAGCGGGTGCTGGGGGTCCTCGCCCAACGCTACCGGTGCGCCTACGAACATGAGTGAGGTGGTGCGCCTCGAGTCGCGCGGACGGTCGGAGAGGGGTGAACGGAAGGCGTACCTGAGTGCGCTCGATGCGAAGCGCGGAGGGCGGCGCGGGTTCATCGTCGCGAATCCGGACTTTGGCCCACCGACGCCGCTGTCGGACGAGGGCACGTATGGCGAGCATGGCTGGGAGGGCGATACGTCGGACTTGCCGTACATCGATGGGATCGGGCGTACACACGACGAGTCGTACAGGCTGACGCAGGAGGTGCTGGCGTATTCGTTTGGGAAGCAGTGAGTGAGCATGGACTTCGTCATTTACTTACGATAGATACGCAGGGATACGTAACTTATTCGCGTTGACGAGCTTTCGTGCTGTATTTTATGCTATGTAGCGTTACCTGTTATCATATCATCGTGCTGTCGTGCATCCACCGAACAAGCGTCTGACTTCAGTCCGACTGCCTCACCGGAAACGTGATGCAACTCAGAAAGGCGAGGTACCTACAAGTCCCAGGGCATTCGCTCTACCCACCGCCCCTGACCTCCTCTTCCACATCACATATCTCCTGCACACCCTCCCTGAAGAACACGACGTTGTACTCCACCAATCCCCTTCGCTGCTCCCACACTGCAGTGGGGATCAGCGCGAGGAGCGCCAAACGCCTCGTCACGACGTGGTACGTGAGTGTCGTGCCCGCGGGCACGCCCACCGCCGACGGCGCGAGAGTCGTAGACGCGCTCGGATAAAAGAGTGCCTTGGACTTGCCGTTGGCAGAGGGTGGCTGATCGAGTACGGGGGGAGGTGCGGGTGCGCCACGGTAGGAGAGGAGGGGGGAGCGGGGGACGGAACGTGTGCTGTGAGAGCCCGAACTGAGACGGGGAGATGCTGGGAGAGAGGAGGTGGGAGATGTGGTGAAGAGTGGCGGGGTTGGCGGTTTGTGGCGGGCAGGGCTTGCAGAGATAGATCTAGGGGAGAGCAGAGTGAGCATGTACAGATACGATTGTACGAAGAGACCGTACTTATACAATGATCCGAAAGAGTTCAGCATGAGAAGATAGTCATTACAGAGACTGTGCGTCGGCGCGTCGACGGGCGACGCATCTGTGGCCACATAAAGTCGTGAGTTAATGTCGAACAAGAATGCTTTCGACGACTGGGAATTCTGTTCGACGCCGGTCATGTCAGCGGCGCTCACTATGTCCGCATGTACACTCACAGTACAGAATACATTGAGCAGGTCTTCTAGATAGGGCAGAGATTCGATGGACTTGTGCAGCGTGCGTGAGAAAGCGTCATGCAGGGTATGGTCGTGTATGGACGTGAGATGGAAGTTGATGGGTATCATCTGCTCGTACTCCGGAGAGATGTCGCCGAGCTCGTCCAGGATGCGCTGTTGGGTGTATCGCCAGTTGTCTGGCGCGACTTCTTAGAACGTGATTAGGTTGAGGCGGAGATAGCACGCACCCATCCTGTACTCTTCGGATAGCGTGTCGGCCTTGTGCACGAAGACCTCCAAATTGATGCGAGGGCTCTCCTTGTAGGCAGCGATGACCATCTTGACGATCTTGGTTATGGAAGGTTGGTATAGATCCTGTACCTCAGTGAGTACAGCAGTATATGCTGACAAGAGTCCTGCGCACCTGAATGTCAATAACGAAGATGAGAGTAGCGAACTGGGACAGCGGGACATCCAGCGAGTCCAGATTCATATCTCCCGGGCAGTCCCATATTTCAAGAGGTATCACTGTGCTAATACGGTGATTGAGCGTGTCTGGGTGCGCATATAGTCGGGTACAGATGCACGCACTCGTAGGTATGCTTCGTAAGTCGGGTCGTGCGCTCGAGGTAGAACGTCTGCTTTGCGGGGAGATTTTTGAACAGTACCTCCTGGATGGACGTCTTGCCGCTCCTGCACGATGGAACAATGAACACCGTGCGTTCGAGCGCGAGGGACAGGAACGCACCTGCGCATGCCGAGGAGAAGGATCTTTGTGCGCATCACGTCGCTCTTGGGGCGACCATCTGTCTGTGAGGATGTCCTGGACGTTGAGCCATACTCGGGGCGCATGTCGTGGAGGGCGTTGAGGACGGTGGGGAGGACGTCGTGGCGGACGTCGAGGACACTCGGGACCGCGGCCGGGCTGGGGCGGGCCGCGCCGTCGTCGCGGAGATGTGCGAGTGGCGGATGCGGGCGCCTCAGGGTGTTTGACGTCTTAGCGGGATGTAGGAACCTCAAGAAGCACACACACGCACGTTCGTAGTCTTATTGGCTGCCTTGGTCCGTGTCTGACTATATCCCTCCCGTCATGCAGCCCGGCACACGACCGCCTTCTCTCCCCTCCTGCCATGAAGTTTGGCCGCAAAATCAGCGTGAGTCGTCCTCCCTGTTCGCACCGGCGAGCGAGCGCCCTGAGCAGTTGCACAGAATGACCTCTATAACGAGTGGAGACCGTTCTACATCAACTACAACCTACTCAAGAGAGAGCTGAAGGCGAGGCGCTGTTCGCAACATTCCTCATGGACGCCCATCAGCTTACTCGCTCGTTATAGGAACGCACAACCGCTCACGTATGGGCCGATGACGATGAGCGTGACTTCACCGCAATGCTGGAGAAGGAGCTAGACAAGATCCATGTCTTTCAGAAGTCTAAGGTGCGGCGTCTACGTGCGTCATCAAGTCGCCTCACGAATGCTTTCGCGCACAGACCTCCGAGCTATCAAGGCGGATAAAGGATGCAGAACGGGCCGTCAAACGTCTGGTCGCAACGGAGCATATCAATGGCGGACACCCTGAAGCCGGCCCTTCGTCTGACCCGGAAGGTCGCCAGCGAGAACCGACTTCTGTTCAAGACGCCGGCTCAGATGACGATGACACGGACGACGAGGAGAGTACAACCATGTCGGTGGATGCGTATGAAGATCAGTTCCTGGCGCTAGAAGAGGAGGTTGCTACACTCGTTGCGGACGTCCATGACCTCGCGCTGTACACGAAGCTCAATATCACTGGTTTCATGAAGATACTCAAGGTTTGTCGTGGTTGCAATGCCTCGCGGACCGGATCTCACTCAAATCACATTCATAGAAACACGATGTATGCGGCATGGTGTCTCATATCAACAGCTTGACCCGCTAACGTTCCAACCCCGCCTCCCACAGAAACAAACTACCCGTCCCTTGAAACCCACATTCATTCAAGACTATTTGGAGAAGCGACCGTTCTACAAGTACAACTGGGATGGCCTAATAGTCAAGCTCTCCAAGCTCTATGACCTCGTTCGCACCCGCGGTCACCCTGTTCAAGGAGACGCGAGTGCGGGCGGTAACCAGAGTGCATTCGTGCGTCAGACGACCAAGTATTGGGTGGGTATATGCGCTCGTATGTGGTCCAAAGGTCTTATCTGAGCGCGTGTCTCGCATCTAGGTACATCCAGACAACCTTGTCCACCTCAAGCTTGCGATTCTACGGCATTTGCCTGTACTAGGTGCGCAGCAGCGGTACTTCTGTGCCGTATGAAAGAAGATAGCTGACCATAGTCTTAGTGTTCAACCCTGATAAGGAATTTGAACAGAAAGACGCAGGTGAGCTAACCGCCTGGAGATGAGATACTCCCACAAGATGTCTGAAATGAATTTCCAGCTATCACCTCTATTTACTTTGATAACGAGGACCTTGACCTCTATCTCGGCCGTCTCGAGAAGACGGAAGGGGCGGAGGCAATTCGGCTGCGTTGGTACGGCGACACAGATGTCAAGACGGTTTGTTTTGCCTTCCCTAATCAACGCACCTATTGCTAACCATATATCACGGACATGTAGATCTTCGTCGAGCGGAAGACGCACCGGGAGGACTGGACGGGCGAGAAGTCGGTGAAGGCGCGGTTCCCAATCAAGGAGCATCTGGTGAACGCGTTTTTGCGAGGGGAATACACGATGGATGCGGAGTTTCAGGCGCTCGTGACGAAGGGGAAGAAGACGCAGCAGGAGGTAGACACGATGATCCAGCTTGCTAACGAGGTGCAATATGCAGCGTTGACCAAGAAACTCCAGCCGGGTGAGTACTGCGCCCTCGAGCACCAACTTTCTAGTGGGCGTGGGCGCTGACGTTCGGAATCATCAGTCATGCGTACGTTCTACAACCGCACGGCCTTCCAGCTTCCTGGCGACGCGCGCGTGCGCATCTCGCTCGACACCGAGCTCACGATGACCCGCGAGGACGACTGGGACGGGCGCATACGTTCCGGCGGTAACTGGCGCCGCACGGACATCGGCATTGACCACCCGTTCGACCAGCTGCCGCCCGAGGACAAGGAGCTCTTCAAGTATGGTGTGCTCGAGGTGAAGCTGCAGACGCAGTATGGTCAGGAGCCGCCAGAGTGGGTCACCGACCTGGTCTCGTCGCATTTGGTGGAGGCGGTCCCGAAGGTGAGCGGTTGCGTATGGGAGGCGGAAAAGTGGGAGGTAGCTAACGGCTGCGAGCGCAGTTCAGTAAATTCATCCATGGATGTGCTACTCTTCTCCCCCACCGCGTGGATCTGGTGCCCTTCTGGCTCCCCCAAAGTTCGTCTGACCAAACACTTGCTAGCCATTTCGATAGACTGACGCTGTTGTGAAGTGGAGACGGACATCCTCAAGCCAGACACCGGTGCGCTCACCATCGAGCGGCCGATGCAGTTGTCCTCGTCCAAGGGCACGTCTGAACAGTCTGCCGGTCGTAGATCGTCTGGTGTCACAACGCCGGAGGATATGCCTACAGCATATGCGGAGCCGGTGTCTGAGGGCGAGGAAGACGAGGCGATGGATCTTGCTCCAGGTACGTTTTATTGTGTGCCTACGCTATTCTATAGGCATGCTGACGGGCCCTTGTAGCAAGAGACGAGGTCAAGCGCACAGGCCTCAGCAGCAAGGACGTCGCCGCTGCCATCGCCTTCCGCGAGAAGTCTCTCAAGCAACAAGGCGACCCCGCGCAGCGCAAGAAACCGCCTCCCATCGTCGTGCGCGATCACGCGGTCGCGAGCGGAGCGGACGACCACGCGGATGAGGCGGACGACGAAGAGGAGGTCGACGAGCGCACGCCGTTCTTGCGCGGACGCAGGGCGTCGAAGCCCACGCTCGCGGAGCCGAGGCAGGACCGCGCGCTGTCGATCGACCCGCTCGCGCCGTCGTCGGCGTTTGACGAGACGCTGCGCGACCGCCTGCGCGAGGAGCAAAGGCAGAAGCAAGTGGACAAGGGAGTAGTGGACGACGAGGAGGACGAAGAAGACGAAGAGCCGGAGTCGGCGATAGCGGAGCGGAGTCAGGGTCAGGGTCAGGGTGATGATAGGATACTGGAGAGGAGCTGGGTCGCCCCGCCTGGCAAGCGGATCGCGGTCCCGGTGAGAGTCGAGCCGAAGGTATACTTTGCGGCAGAGCGGACGTTCCTCGTAAGTTTGCTCGCACCTTCCCGTAGACACACTCATACTAAAATGCCGCTCCAGAAATGGCTGCAATTTGCGATATACATCGGCACGATCGCGACGACGCTGCTCAACTTCATTCCGCCGGGCGACAAGGTCGGGCTCATCAGCGCAGGACTGTTCACGCTCGCGGCGCTCGTCGCGATCGCGTATTCAGCAGTGATCTTCGTGTACCGCGCGCTGAAGCTGCGCAAGCGGCACGCGGAGGGGCTCTACTACGACAAGTACGGGCCGACGCTTTTGTCGGTGTTTTTGATCGGCGCGCTGGGGGCGAACATCGTGTTGAGGCTGAGAGAGATGTCCGAATAGTCTAGCATGGCCGGGCCTGGACTTTGGATGGTGTAGTCGGCGTGTCAATTGACTTCCTTCTCGTGAACTCGCTGTCTGATCTTAGTCCTGTGCGGCTAGCTGTCTTCCTTTTCAGGTCCCCCACCACTCTCCCCGCGTGGAGCAGGAGACAAAGTTGGAACAGAGTGATGGGCCTGTCAATGGCCTGCGCGTGCTCCCACTGCACTGACGTGCGGCCTTTCTGCATACTCATACTGCCTCCCACTCCCGCGTCCTCAGCTCTTTCGTACAATGCCCCCTCCTGAAACCGAGCATATCCTTCTCGCGCCTCTTCGAGGTGGACATCCTCATGCTAATGCCGCCGGACCTCACAAGGATTGCGCGCGTCTGCAATGTGCATACTGCTCGAAACGGCAGACGGACGGTGTGATGATGAGAAGATGTGCTGCATGCAAATCAGACCAGTACTGTGTGCGTTCGGTCGTACCCATCAGCCTCTATGGATGTTGTGTACGTAACTGACATGCGTGTGTAGGACAAGCAGTGCCAAAAAGCCGCCTGGCCGGTCCACAAAGATATATGCAAAATGTATCAAGACTTCGGTGTTTCGCCCGAGACGCTCTCAAAAAAGGACAAGGAAGTTCTGGTGGCTCTTCGTGTGTTCCACCGCAAACACCTCCCCATTTTTGCACAAGCGGCCGGAAACTGCATTCGCCCTTACTACTATACGCCCCTGTGTGCGGATCCTCATGCCGCCTCGAAGGAACGCGAGGACGTCCTTGTCATCACCCTGAGGCCTCGACCCGACGCCCAGCACGGTGCACGGGCAGAGCCACGCTTCTATGTCACAGATGCGGAGCTCCAGACGGTGTCCTTTTTCCCCCAAGGCATGCGCGATGGGATGCGCTTGAGACTTCACACCTTGCAGCAGGAGCAGTCGAGGGTTCAGGGTCCGAGTATCTGCATGTTTGTCGTCTTCGCTCTGGCCGACACGCCGCATGCCCAACTCGCAATACTCGTGTTCCCGCTCAACGAAGAGTTTTTGGATAAATCGAACCTCATCCCGTGGAAAGAGTATCTCTTCTTCATGGTGAACGAGGGGATTCTGCACTCGAAGGTAGGAGAAGACAATCTGGTGCCTTCATTTTGCTGCATACTGACTTCTCCTTGCATGTATTTCATGAACCTGCCTTTCTCTCGTTCGATCACTCCGTGTTCTCTAAACCACAGTGAGCTGCATTCGTCGCTGTTACCGACGACCTCTTCTTCCAATCCCATCGCCGCTGCCTCGAGGGAAGGCATTGAAGACGTGCTCATCGTCGACTAGCAGGCGGGCTGGTGCAGGCTACAAGCGGCTGGAGATGTGAGTCTACGTCACGGGCACAAGGCCCGAGGGGGATATGTCACAGTTTCCACTGGATTGGCCCTTGGGTAAAGAAGATGGGGTTCAGGCCGAGGAGCATGAAGATACTACACGGACCACAGCATGATCGGCCACTGTACTGGATTTTCTATGTTATGTGCTTTCTCTTTGCTATTCTTTCATACTTCGCTGGATGCAAGTGGTTGTACGAGCTCAAAGAGTTACCAACGGCCCCTCGGTGGCAACGAACAATTTAACTACGGCTCTTCAAGCGACTCTCGACATGACATCGAGCATAGGCAACCCTTCTGAAAAAGAAGAAAAGCAGGTCCTAGTAGGAATCGAACCTACGTTACCGGAACTCACCAAGTTCACTTTATATCAGAATCCGATGTGATGACCGCTACACTATAGGACCACTGAGGCGACTCGCTAGCAAAATTACAGAGAATATATATATATCACAGTTAGAAATGGTCGGGACCTAAGTAAGTAAGGGAAAAGCAAGGGTTCATAATGATACAGCCTAGAGACCCAAGAGGCAGCACGTAGAGGGCTCAAGGCGTTATGCCATCTGAATGATCACGAATTCCCGATGCAAGTTGGCAACAGTTGAGCGAACCTGGAGCGAACTGCTCGCGGGATTGCAGGGGCGCAACAATATTATCCGATAGTGTTGGTGCTTCTTCAATTAAGCAGCTTCTGCCGGCGCCCTGAGGCGGGCGCTAGACGCGACCTGGCCTTGTTTAGAGTGACGGCTTTGGACTGTCTTGTTCTCTGGGACAATAAGTTGTCTCTGCCCTCCGCGCCCTATCCCCCACTGTCGTTCTGGTCTTATGGGCGCCGCGCTTTGCTGCTGCTCTGACCCCGTCGATCTGGACGGCGAGGTCGACCTCTACCACTTCGACCTCCTCCGCGCCGTCGGCAAGGGCGCCTTTGGCAAGGTACGTCTCTATCCCCGCGCCGTGCTGGCACTGCGACTGACCGCGTTCGCGCCTCAGGTCCGCGTCGTTGAGCACAAGAAGACGAAGAAAATATATGCCCTCAAGTACATCGAGAAGGCAAAGTGCATCAAGCAGAAAGCGGTCGCGAACATCATACAGGAGCGGAGATTACTAGAGGAGGTGCGTGTCCACCCGGCCATCTCAGCTTCTGCTGACCACCAGCCAGATTGACCACCCGTTTGTGGTCAATTTGAGATATGCCTTCCAGGACGACGAGAATTGTTTCTTCGTGCTGGACCTCATGTTAGGGGGTGACCTCCGATGTATGTGGTTTCGCGAATCGTCATTGCTCCTTCTCATGGTGGTTTCCAGTCCATCTGGATCGACTGGGTCGTATTCCAGAGGACATCGTGCGGTTCTGGACAGCAGAGCTGTCGTCTGCGCTCTCGTACCTCCATAGACAACGTATCGTCCACAGGTGCGTACCCCTCTTTCACAGGCACCCCACAGGCACCCAACATCTAACCATCTTCGGACAGAGATATGAAGCCCGACAACGTGTTACTCGACTCCATGGGGCACGTCCACATAACGGACTTCAACGTCGCCATTCACTACTCCGAACGACGCTTGCATACAAGCGTGGCCGGGAGTATGGCTTATATGGCACCCGAGGTCATTGGACATAAGGGCTACACCTGGTATGTCGACTGGTGGAGTCTCGGCGTCGTCGCATGGGAACTGCTGTTCCACAAACGGCCGTTCGACGGGCGCACCTCCGAGAAGATGAAGCACTCCATCATGAAGGACGCTCTCCGGCTCCCCAGCAAAGCCAATGAACTCTGCAGCGCAGAGGGTCAGGATGCCCTACGCGGGGTACGTTCCTATCACGCCACCCCCTGTTGCCACTGCCGTTGCCGTCAGTACTGACATATGCGCCGGCAGTTCCTCGACAGGAATCCTAAGACGCGTTTGGGGTGTAAAGGCAAGGGCCGTGACATTCCCGACATCAGGGTGCACCCGTGGTTTGCGACCATCGACTGGGACGCGCTCGAGCAAAAGGACGCACAGCCTCCTTTCGTCCCTGATGTACGTCTCCACCGCGTACACAGCCGGTCACCGGAACGCTGACAATCTCCATCACAGATCAGCAAGGCCAATTTTGACGTGTCGCACGAGCTGGATGAGTTTCTGATGGTCGAGAAACCACTCACACATTCGAAGCGCAAGGCGCATCCTGACCTCGAGAAGATGAAGCCCGAGCTGCGGCAGCTTGAAGAGCAGTGCGTATAGCGAGTCGACCTTTGCTCCCCGTGTAGCTCACACGTCTTGCGCGTGCAGGTTCACAGTATACGACTTCACGAAGAACCGGCGAATGTCGTATTACCCACATAACCAACCGATCACGAGTGCAGGGCACGAAGAAGATGCAGAGCCCATCCAGGTCGCTCAGTCAGCAACGAACACTGTGCAGCCAACGGCGACCATCGTCGAGCGATCGCGGCCGGGGACCCCCTATGAGGAACAATCAGGGCGCGAGACGCCAGATCCCATGCCTTCAGTCGCATTGACCTCTGAACGCCATCCATCGCAATAGCCATGGTCCGGCGTCTTGTCTTCCTCATTCACTCCATCAGCTGGTCCTGTCGTTGCTGCCCGGTGCCAGGCGCGCGCTCCACCTTGTCTACTGTCTCGCACGCACGGTCGGACATTGTCTATTGCTCTTCGCTGTTGTATCATAGCCCGTTCTCGTCATCGTCGTGGTTACCCGGCTTGCTGGCTTAGCCTGCCTCATTGCGCCCAGCACTCCAATCTCGGGACTTGGATACTTTGTACTCGGCGGCACGCCCACACTACCCACTGTATCATCACCATGCGCATCTCATCTTGCAACCCGGTTGTCTATGCTTTGTTCTCTGTCTTGGGCATGCTTGCTTCGTTGCTTCGCTGCATTCTCCGTCGACTTCTCGTGGTTCGGATCCGGATACAGTTTGCTTGGGATTACATCGTACTCTATCAGCATAGGCATAATACTCGGCGTAATCACACACTCGAAACAAGGGATACCTTTTCGGTGCGAGCAAACTGCGTCATAGCGTATCGTGTCTGGGAGAATGATGGTAGGTGCTCTCGTTGCGCATGCCGCGCGTGAGCATGAGCAGCAAGTTCTCAATCCGTGCTTGCCGGTCCTGCGAGAGATAGTCAGCCCTTGTAAACTACCGCCATCGGCAGCGGTTGTACAAGGCCAAGCCGCCGACGGACAGCGACTGCACCCACGCACCTGCAGCTCCTTCATTTCGTCCTTGAGTTTGTTCACGGGCAGGGCCTTCACATCTTCTACCATGGCTTCCAGCTTGCGAACGCCGGCATCCATCCCGGCCGCGGCAGAGCTTACACGATCCATCTGGCTCGCGGACCCGTTAGACCGGAGATTGTACAGCCTGCTCAGCGGGCTGCGCGGCCCGAACGTCTGCACCTCGCCAGAGCCTGACGCTTGCAGTGTGGGTAAGGTCGTCTTGCGCGGGCGTGGCGAAACACTAGGTGAGACGCCTTCGCGATGGCTGCGACTCCTGCCCAAGGGCGGCGACCGTGGTAGGCTAGTGCGCCGCCTCTGTCGCGGAGTCTCCGGCTGTTGGTGTGCCGTTGATGGACGCGAAGGGCGCGTCGGAGAGGCCGGCAGAGGGCGCAGGCTGTCGCGCGAAGGGAAAGAGAGCAGCGCCTCCCCGGGCGCCGCTGCGCGCTCGGGTTCGTGCTCGTCATCTGAGTCGAAGAGGTCGGTCTCATTCGAGACTTCGACGTCGAAGATAGCGTCGTAGATGTCGGCGGATCCCGACCCAAGCAGGTCGAACAAGGGTATCTTCTTCACATTGCGCGTGAGACGTGAGTAGAAGCTGCTCTGGTCGGCGCCGTTCTCCCGCCATGTCTGACTGGGGACAAGGTATCTCTCGTAGAGACTGATGATGATCAAGAACGGGAAGGACTGCTGCGCGTGAGCTGGAGATCAGCTTACGAGACAGAAGATCATACCGTCACTTTGATCAGGAAGACATTGACGGAGTGCAACGTTCGCGGAGAGACGACAAAGCTCATCGGCCAAAGGATCGCGAATGCGAGTAGATTGAACGGCGGCTGGTAACTGAAGAGCGCATCTGACTTGACACTGAGGTCTGGAAATCATTATAGGTTCCACTGCAAGACATCATCGTACGCACCCTTCAATCGTTGAGATTGCGTATTGAAACAGGTACTGACTCAGGTTAGCTTTGATGTTGTGCGGAAGAGGGATACCCTCACCTCCTGTTTGGCATTCTACGAGAAATGGGTCAATTCAGCTTCGCAGTCTGCCACGCGTGTCAACACCTACTGCGTCAATCTGTGCGAACGTGTTGCTGAGAATAGATATCAAAACTGGATTGATGGGGGGTAAGCTCATGCAGACGGTCACAGTCGATTGACGTACTCGTGAGTAAGAGCGTATTTGACAGTGCAGCGAACATGGTCATAAGGATCGGTCCGAATATTGGATGGAAACTTGATGCTTGTGCGAAGCTAAGGTATGTGTTGCCAAACCAAATCTGAACCATGAGCCAGGTGATAGCCTTGACACTCCATGCGTCCTCAGCTTCAGTACACAGTCAGCAGGAGTATTGTGAAAACAACCAAGGAAGGAACAAGTTACCTAGACTGTGGAGCGTAAAGAGCAGCCCTGAGAAGCATATCGCTGCGATGCCGACGAAGAAAATGAAGTCTACGATCATCGCACGCAGGGCTCTATTTGAAGGTTAGTGCAAGGGCGTGAAAAGGAGGAGGCTGTCTTACAATACTACCACGTTATTTGAGACGGCGAAGAATGCGAGGCTATAATGGCCATCAGCAAAGACGAAGCAAGCGTATGACGTTGACTGCGGCTTACCGAGGGAATAGGATACATGCACCACAAGCCAAGATATCGAATCCCATTTCAGATGCATCCACTGCACGAATGAGACATGAATGCATGTCGAGACCAGCGTAGTCTGCAACATACCGTCATGATGGACGAGGCCTTTGATCCGGAAGCCGAGATACACAATAAATAGTACCACAAATGATGTGTCAAAGACGTTCCACAACTAGAGCATAGTTCAAGCGCATATAGTCACCACAATAGATGCATGAAACGTACGCTTGCCATATAAACTGGCACGAAAGCAGTGAGTATCGACCATGCGTATCCGTTAGACCAACTACTCACTTCCCCATCCGTATTCTTTCGAGGCTGTGTACTCCTCCAGTGTGAACGCTGCAGCAAACATAATGAATACTATCTCGAAGCCATTCATCCCGCCTACTTCGCGATCTAAAGTAAATTGTCATTATATGCGCGTATACGCGTCGGAAAGACTTCTACGACTCACTCGAAAGACATAGGAGGAAGGTTGTCAGTAGCAAAGCGAAGTTCAGGAATTCGAGGATGGCGCCGTATCTGGGTACGCGTAACCGGTAGTGATCGAGGAAAGGTGCCTTGCGGTAGTCGTACATTTCGATAGCACGCGGCTTGTAGTTGTCAGCGAGAACAGAATGAGTTGACGCCATGGAGAATATGACCCGTCCTGAGTAGATGTCGTTGACTACTGTTTGCACCACCGGCGAGGACAAGAAGGCCTTGGCCTCCGTGGATATTGCGAGCTGAGCCTTATATGAGACATAGCATGTCATGTCAGAGGAGCAGTAGACTGACCTCAAGGGCGCATTGCGGATCGTCCTGCTCGTCGGTCCCCATTATTGATTTTACTTCCTGCACCACGTCTGGCGGGGCACCTGCCAACGGGCTCCACGTAGCCGTCAAAGCAGCGACTAGTCGCATCTTGGTCGAGGCGAATGTTCCAAGCAATTTCATAGCGAGAATCTCGCATAGGCTTGCTCTAGAGTACATGACTCCAGAGTAGGCGAGGTCCTCTGCAGCTTCTGAAAGGAAGTGGGCACGGACCACGAAACACACATACACCACTGCCATGTTATCCAGCTTGGCGTACTTAAAGACCAGCGGGCGCACAACGGCGAAGTTGATGTCGGATGCGGTGAGCTGACTAGTGGTGAATCAGCGGCACTCGTCATGGTCAGACATAAGAAGGGACGTACTCCCAGCTCAATGCCGTGTCTGCATAGTGGCGAGATATGCATTCAGATAGATGCACACGAGGGTCTAGTACTACGCACCGATGTCTTTCTGAGGTACCGGTTAGCTCATGCGACAATCCTCTGGAGTGCACTCACTTCCACGTCGCGCCTGATGGCAGGTATGAGCGGAAATACCTTGACGGCTGCAAGCATTTCTGGGGTGGGACCGAGCAGCGAACTTGTTTGCTCCTCGTCCATGGTGCTCTCCGGAGGGCCTTCGGGTATTCAACTTCCAGTGAGATGGTCCGACGCAGGAGTTGGGTATCCGAGTAGCTATATGAGACTGAGCACAAGAACAGTCGAGCAGGTCCCAACCAAAAGTCGACGGCGGGCCATGTATCCCCGCAGTGTGCCTGCGGCCGAGCCACGGCGCGATGGTAGTCGCGAGTCGCGACAGCGGGTCCAGTGCGTCAGACCACGTGACGGCCCTTAGACCCAAGTTACCGAATCGACCGATCGAATCCTGTTGGTGTTAACGTGTTCACGAACTTTGAGTCTGCACGACTCTCAAATTCCTCATCGACATCCCTTGCCTTCGTGTTAGCAGTCGAGCATGTCCGCTGGGTGGGCCATTTTTGATTCCCTGTTCTCATCTATGTATCTGGTTTTTCACAATTGTCGCCGACTTCGCCGCAATCCTGCGTAAATTGACTGCCACCTCCACAGATTGGCTGTTGTCAGCCTGTCGAGAATACCCACCCTGCGTGAGCTGTACAAGGCGTCAGCTCTTGGGGCGATCGAGCAACGATACCAGCCACAGGATGCATACTTGGACAGGGTGTCTTTGTAGTGGGTAATTTCGCCTTCGAGCCATGCACATCGGGCTCTGTCCGACGAACAATGCTAGCCAGGGAGACATCACAAAACTTGATGTAGATGCTATTGTCAACGCAGCAAACCATTCTCTACTAGGTACGCTCGATCTTACGATGGCTTCAGCGTTTCGTGTAGGACTGACCACACTGGAGGCGGCGGCGGAGGTGAGTACATAACCGTGCTCTGTATCCCCTCGATGCCAGCGAGATAATGCAGTCGATGGCGCCATCCATGCCGCGGCGGGATTCGGACTGCTGGACGAATGTGAATGACGTTCACGCTCATGAAAAGTCATGCTTCGATTTACTATCAACACACAGGCCGTACTCTGAACGGTTGCGAAACGGGGAACTCGAAGATTACGAAAGGTTATGATCTACCTGCGTGCGTAAAATCTCTGCTGATCAAGTGAGACGTCCTCAAGGAAGCTATACAGCAAGCATGTCATACATACTGTGGGACCAATCTACTCTCGCTCCGACTCGGACACAGAGGAGACGGCGCAGCAGTTGCAATCGTGCTACAAGACGAGCTTGCAGATAGCAGTGAAGAACTCTCTCAGACACGTCGTGAGTGTTGCCCTAGACGTTAGGACACGATTTGTCCATCTGAGCGCCGGGGACCCGCAGGCTTTTCCTTCAGTCTCTACTGGCATCTACGGATATCCGATCGTAGACGCCACCCACATCGCTCTGGATACTGTCAGGCAGTTCTTAGATTCAGAGAGTGGTAAAATCGTACGTTAAGCTGCCCAATCATGGCACTCTAGGCGGCTGACAGGACTTCACAGCTGGAGCGCGTCATCTTCGTTGTTTGGAGCGACAAGGATAAGGGTGTCTACGAGTACGTCCCCCGCCGTATCAGCGCAGTGCGATTCTGATAGTTGCGCGTCATTCAGGGATCTGATTCCTCAGTACTTCCCTGCGTCTGAGCAAGAATGACTGCCTAGGAAACATGCCCTGTGATACGGCCTCTTTGCCAAATGCATGCAGATGCCCTGTAAGGCTGTTTCTGGGACTCAAATGACTGTATCCGACTGTGCATATACGCTCATCCTCATTCTAATCGTACTCCCATCCTTGCGCTGCAAGCCTCGTGGCCCTGAGCCTGTGGCGTTGTACCCCGCATGCACCCACACGCAGCAACAATATATGATCCTTGCTTTCTCCGATAGGTTTTGCTGCTTTGAATCCGAGCTCAAGGGTCTCTTGCAATGTCTGTTACTCTCGACCCGGATCAATGGCGGGAGCCACGGGCCGCGAAACTTGTTATGTCTCCCCGCATGACCTGCGGAGCAGCCAACCATCGGTCTACCCGCTTCTTCACGTGCGAGGGTCTGTGGCGAACCTACCGCCTCGGAGTCAATTCCGAGTCTTGGACTCTTGGTGTCTCACAGCATACCTATTACATAGGTCCTGTGATCCAGAGTAACCTATGGCTCACTGGTGCTCGATCCTCCCTTGGTGATAACGCTTGTGCCTGGAGTCTCGCCCGAAAATGGCGTATATAACGTCGAGGATGCGTTCTCGTGTGACAATTGAGCGGCTTCGTTCCATACAGCCAACGAGGTTCATCGCTCTGCCATGGGACGGGCGTACAACATCTTCATTGCCCTGTTCTGCTCTATAGGTGCGTTTCTTGGAACTTCGGATAAATAGCATGGACGCAGTCTGACTACACGGACAGGTTCATTCCTCTTCGGGTACGCGGGAATCCATACTACATTGATATCTAGGCTAAGCGGATGCGCCCACAATGTGAACGTACAGCTATGACAGGTGAAGAATCCGAACCCGCTCGCCGTGTCAGCGACTGATTATTACGGCAATGTAGCGGGATTATTGCATCCGTTATCACGTTCAGTCAATTCGAGGACTTCGTTCATGACCCAGCAAAATATAGCAGTCTTTCCGGAGCCGTAGTTTCTACCTTCACAGGTACGACAGAATATAGTGAATGACGCATGAGCCTGATACTGAAGTGCATGCAGGCGGATGTTTCTTTGGATGTATGATAGCAGGGTGGTACGTCATATCATTATGTGTTCCGGACCACGGCGCCTCAGGTTTGCGCCGTATTCCAGGACGAGCGACAAGTTTGGAAGAAAGCGTAGTATCCAGGTGATTCATTATACGTCTACGCTCAACGGTCCTGTTTAAATGCCCTCTTGTTCAGCTAGGCGCTCTGATCGACCTATGGGGATGTGCCATGCAAGCCGGAGCGAATAATCTGGCCTGCATGTTGATAGGTCGTATCGTCGCAGGCTTCGCCATAGGGTGCGTATAGCTTGGAAGACTGAACGCTGATTCTCCTGACGACTCTGCGACTGCAGGATCTTGTCGATGTCTGTACCTCTATACAATGTCAGGTGTCTCGAACTCCTCGCGGAAGCACGTTCTGATACGGCCTTAGACGGAGATCGCCCCGCCGAAAATCCGTGGTTTTATCGTCGGTCTGGCTCAGCAGATGATCGGCATCGGGTTCATTGTAGCGAATTGGGTAGGTGTCGCACTATCGAAGCACCAGTGCGTGCCAACGGAGCATGCATCTGACCCCAGCCTCCTGATAGGTTGGCTACGGCTGCCAATACCTCGACGGCTACGGAAGCTGGAGGCTTGCGCTGGGTCTACAGGTCAGCCATAAGTGCCGTCCATGTCGCGCAGCGATAGTAATGCCTTGACATAGCTCATTCCTGCCTTCATGCTCCTTGTCGGCATCCAATTTTTGCCGTACTCTCCTGTGAGTCACAGACGCCCATGCCGGCCGGGACCATACGCTGACTTTCCGTAGCGGTGGCTTCTTGAGCAATTGCGCGACGACGAGGCACGGGCAGTCGTTTACAAGCTGCACGGGGTAGACACTGCGGAGAAGAAAGAGTCCGCCGATGCCGAGTTCATTGACATGCAACTCACCATCAGGGCGGAAACGACAACGAGGTCTCGACGACTGAGTGACCTGTGGGAGACGCCGGCGATGCTCAAGCGTACACTGGTCGCCGTAGGAGTGCAGGTTTTTGGACAGTTCTCTGGTATCAATGGTGGGTTCTCTCTGCCTGTGACCGTGCTTATACACTCAGAACCCAAAATGTTGCAGTCATCAACTATTTTGGGCCTTCGATGTATCAGTCGCTCGGCTTGAGCCCCGGCCAATCTTTGCTCATCCAGGGCATCTACGGTGCCGTAGGACCTATTACCAACTTTATGTCTGTCAATCTGCTCAGCACCTCTGCAGTCACTGAACGGGTTTTCGCAGATTCATTACATGCATCCTCGACAGGGTCGGACGAAAGAAACCGCTGATGTTCGGCGCAGCTGGCTTCGTCGCAACTTATTCCGTGTTAACAGCGATCGTCGCATCTTTTCCGCCGGGAACATCGGATAACCATCCTGCCCAGCGTGCTGGAATCGCCGTGATCTTCTTGACGAGCATCCTCTTCTCACTGAGCTTTGGGCCCATTAGCTGGGTACTAACATCTGAGGTGCGTCGATGATCGTGTTTCTGTTGGGCTCCATTGATGGAGGCCACCGTGGTGACTGTGCGGTTAGGTATTCCCGACCAAGACTCGATCCATCGGCACATCAGTCGCGGTGTGCGCGAATTGGGCATTTAATGTGCTGTTCTCTCAGGCAAGTCATCTTCATTGCGAAGTTGTACTTACAATTTTCATGACCTGTATTAGGTGTCTAACATGGCGATCGAGGGTGTGGGCTGGAGGTATTACTTGCTGTTCATTCTCCTCAACCTCGTCGACTTCTGCTTGATCGCACTCTTCTTCCCTGAGACGAGAGGTGCATTTAGTCTCATCGTTTTCACACATGCATTGACGAGGTTAAACAACAGGGAAATCGTTGGAGCAAATGGCTGAAGTCTTCGGTGATGATATTGACCCTCACGAGGTGTTGGGACACCATCCCAATGCTAAAGAGAAGCTGGATGACGACGGGACGCATAAAGAAACGTGAAGAATTCTTTACATTCCTCCACCCTTTTTGAGGGCATGTTGTGTCCCAATCCACGTAATGTCAATGTCATGACTTTTATCGAGTATGTATCGGCACAATCGAGTTGTACCAGCGGCGAGTTGCATTGCGCATAACGACTCAGCATTGCTACGTAGAAACGCTGCCCTTGCTACTACCTCTTTCTCGCTTGAACCCGCGGCGGCACGCCCGCAAAGAATGCGATCACATGACCGTGATTGTGCGGCCTGCTTCCGTGGACCGTCAGAGCGATCGCAGGATCTCACACTTGATCTGCACTACCACAACAGTCAACTGAGTGCCACTCAGCTTCTCGACCAATCACTCAAGGGTCATGGAACCGACTAGCATACTGTCGCTACCCGTCGAGGTGCGTCATCCATACTTGATTCGCACTCATATCTAAGTTCGGATCATAGCTGCTTTACGAGATACACATCCACGCAGCATCAGAGCAATTCCCCCTGACATGTAAACATTTCTACGCAGTATGCAAGTCTGCGCCAACCACCGTCCATGCTCAATATCTCATCGGAGTCTATGAGTATCTGTGTCGGAGCCACCGCCAACGCACCGACCTCGTCTCCACGGCCCTCCGATACCCAATCTGCAGCCAGGCCGTCCTTGAGGCGATTACCAAGAGCCCCGACTTCCCTCGTTTGTATCCAGACCGCCGAGTGCAGAAGACGGAGCTGCCACGGAGACTCTTCCGCAACCTGTCACCGCGTGACACCGCGACGGCGGGCAAGCGAAAGCGCGAGCCCGAACCAACACAGTGGACAGAAGACGAGCAGCCGTTGCCTTTCCTTCGCTACCTCTTCGCCCACCCGCGTATCCTGACGCCGAGTGCCAACTCTTGGGATGGTTACGCGCTGACGAAGGCCGTACACGCCGGGTTTACTCCCCTCGTGCAATTTTTGCTCGAACATGGTGCCGATCCTCACACGAAGGCTGCGCTCGCGGTCATGGTCGCTATTCGCCGCAAGAATCTGCTGTTGGTGCGTTTACTCATTGAGCGCGATGGACCGCGGCACCCACAATCCAAGCGACGGAGGACGAGTGAGGGACGGTCGCATACGTCGACAGGGAGGGATGGCACGGCGGTAGATCCAAGACGAGGGATAGATACATCTCTTGGGAACAGCGCGAAGAGACGGAAGTTGGGAGACAGAGTGAAGGTGGACCAGGAGATGTTGAAGACGGCGGTACAGTCCGATGCACGGGACATAGTGGACTACTTCATTCGGGAGAAAGGCTGCGTACCAGACATGCAGACGGTATTGCTGATGGGCGCGAGTGGATGATTACTCGCCAACGAGGGTTTGGGAGCACGACAATCAACAAGTCCTTCATTCGTATTTGTTCTTGACTATAGGTTGGGATGCGTGTCGATTGTAGTTGCATAGCCGATTTACGTTGGTATCGCTCATGCCGCTTGCTTGATGCAGTCCGATCACACCACTGAATATCGCCCAAACAACACGACATGATACAAGTCTGAGGGATTCTCGTATAATCAGACAGATGAAATGCTAGACTGAACACAACAATGCGAAGAGCGAAACGTAGCTAGTCGTCGAAGATCGTCTTCTAGACGCGGAGGGGCAGGAGGTACAGATATACACGCACGCCGGGGATACAAGTGATAGAAATACACTTCAGATATCGTCGATATCGACCTCGTCTTCGTCGCCGAACTCGAAGGTGCACTCGCCCTCCTCGTCGCCGAACGTATCCGTCTCGTTGATCTTCGCGTTCTCTGGAAGCTCACCGTATGCTTTCACTGAGCATAGACATAAACACACAATCGTGATGGAATCCGATGGAGACACTTACGACTCCGAGCCTCATCGGAAGTATACTTCACAATGACATCTGCCTTGTCATCCTGGAACTCTCGGAGAGACAAGAGGACGATATCGCCCTGGTTGATCCAGACCTACAGGGGCAGCGGAATCCCGTTAGCGAATGAAGCAGATGTGATAAAGCGAGGGCTACAGACCTTCTTCCTCATCTTGCCGCGGATATGCGCCAGTCTCTTCTCGCCATCAAAGCACTGCGCCTCCAACCGCCCGTTACCCAGCATCTTGATTACTTGAGCGTACTCCTGGCCATCCTCTCTGAAGACCAGCTCGCGCTTGTCGGCGTCGTTCTCGTTCTTTCCACGCCTCCGGTTCTTTCCACCCTGCAGTCAAAGTTAATGGATGTCCCAGCAGGATCGATGGGCGGTTGCGCTAACCTTTCCCTTATTCTGAAGAAAATGAGTAAGCGACGGTACCGATCGCAGACTCTGGGACGTACCTTCGGCATGGTTGAGGTCTTCCAAACAGCCTAATTTCACTGTGATATATAGGTCCGCCTGCTAGCACGGACGAGTGATGGATATCCCAGAGGGATGGCGGTAGCGAGCAAGAGTCAAGAGAGCGATTCGGAGGCGCGGCCTTGAGTGCAGTCTCGCGCCGGATCTCGATCTTTCGCACGCCCCGTCACCCGTCACGCCCGTCCTTACTCGGGCACTATCGGTCACATGTGACCTCGCACAGACTTGCACGCGCATCACCAGCACCCCTCATCCCACTTACGCATCTTCGACTGCCTGCCCGACCTTGCCGACCCAAAAGCCATGGAGAACGAGATAGACGGATGGATCGCACAGCTTAGCCAGTGCAAGCAGCTCGCGGAGCCCGACGTGAAGCGGCTATGCGACATGGTGCGTGCCAGGTTGCACTTCCGGGGTGATAACGGTGGTTCGCCACCAGGGCGCAGGCGAACTGCTGTTAGCACCCGGATGCATGCGATGTACGAGGGGTGCTAACATTTGGTGTACGCAATCCCAGACGCGAGAGATTCTCATGGTCGAATCAAACGTCCAGCCTGTGAGGTGTCCTGTGACTGTCTGCGGCGATATCCACGGCCAATTCGTACGTGTACAACTATGGGATCGATCGGGGGTTTGGTGAACATTGACGTTCGAACATGCGTAGCACGACCTTTCGGAGCTCTTCCGCATCGGCGGGAACTCACCCGACACGAACTATCTCTTCATGGGTGACTATGTTGACCGGGGTTACTACTCCGTTGAGACTGTCACTCTCCTTGTTGCGCTCAAGCTGCGCTATCGCGACCGCGTCACCATCCTCCGAGGCAACCACGAGTCGCGGCAGATCACGCAGGTGTATGGTTTTTACGATGAGTGCTTGCGAAAGTATGGCAATGCAAACGTGTGGAGATACTTTACGGATCTCTTCGATTACCTCCCCCTTACCGCTTTGATCGAAAACCAAGTGAGTCGCTCATCTTGCCATGCTCTGAATGCTATATTCACACGTCATTCCCCACGCCTAGATCTTCTGCCTTCACGGAGGCCTCTCGCCGTCCATAGACACCCTCGACCACGTCCGGGGCATTGATCGTGTGCAGGAGGTGCCGCACGAAGGGCCAATGTGCGACCTTCTGTGGTCCGACCCCGATGACCGATGCGGTTGGGGCATATCGCCGCGTGGTGCGGGATATACGTTTGGGCAGGATATCAGTGAGGCGTTCAACCACAACAATGGTCTTACGTTGGTTGCGCGGGCGCACCAACTCATTATGGAGGGTACGTCAGGCTTCGGTGGCAGTAAGGTGTTCTCTGACATTTTCACAGGTTATAATTGGAGTCAGGACCGCAACGTCGTCACGATCTTCTCTGCACCAAACTACTGCTACCGCTGCGGCAATCAGGCGGCGATTATGGAGATGGACGAAAAACTATCGTATAGCTTGTGCGTGGCTCATTGTGGCTGTGCTTCCTCGCGCGTATTGCTGACTGACGTATGTCCTGTAGCCTACAATTCGATCCTGCGCCCAGAGTGGGAGAGCCTCTCGTAACGCGGCGCGTCCCGGACTATTTCCTTGTAAGTAAGGTCTGCCATACATTGGGAGGAGATGCTGACACCGGTGTGCAGTGATCTTTGCTCTGATTCATGCATTTGGCGGCGCACCACATGTTACAGTACAGTACATAGCAATTGTCAGATACAGTGTAGCACACCCAGAAGACGAAGTTGATACCTCATTCTCTGTATTTTGTTCTTTACTGTGACGTCTGCTTTGGGCCCAAGATGGACCTCTCGAGGCGAAACAATCTACTAAGTTATGGTGAACCGAAGACGCAAGGTCAACGTTCAACATTCAACATCATCAACGACTCATCGATGCTAAACGGGGGTTTTCCCGCAAGCTATGAGTTATGCTCAGTTAGACATGTCAGGTCAACAAGAGCGCTCCCGTAGACCGTCCACAATCATGAGAGCAAATGCGTGGATTATGCGCAATGGGTTTAATGATACAGATTATTGCTTGATCTACTCCTCGGCTTGTCCAGCGACGATGACGTCGTCTGTGGTAGACACAATGAGTACAAGATCGGCCTACACTCACAGCTCGATGCTCACCTATTTTGAGTACAGCCCGCACCAACTATCACACAAGCAATTGTCAGCCTTCTGTTACCAATTGTCCCGTCGCGACTACGCACCTGTGTCGCCAAAAGATATTGCTGACGCTTCGAGATGAGCGGGTCGTAGACAAACTGCTTCTTCATATCTATCAAGTTCCAAGTGAGACAAGTCTTCCTTGCTTTATTGACAGGACTAGAATGAGATGGACGTACCATTGTCTCCCCGACCCATGCAGTCGATACCAAGGACAGAGTTGCCCTCTTTCACCTGCCGGCTCTTCACCTCCGCGAGCGTCTCGATCGGCGGCAGACCGCTGTTCTCTGCGAGCGCAAGGGGCACAGCATCGAGCGCGGACGCAAACGCCCGCATCGCATACTGCTCGATGGACGGAGTCTAGACACGAATCGTGGATCGTGAGAACGCCATGGGCACCTGGGGACGACGGATCTCGTGCGTACCTCATCCGCAGCTTTCGCGACCGCGAGCGCGCAGCTGATGTCCGCCGCACCTCCACCGTACACGACGCGATTGTCAACGACGAGGTTCCGGACCGCGCAGAGCGCGTCGTGCAGGGCGCGCTTCGCCTCGTCCACGATCTGGGTCACGGAGGCATCAGTGAAACGTGCCTACATGGCGTGGGGTGACGTACCATCTTGTTGCTGCCCCGGACGAAGACGGTGACTGTGCGGGCGTTGGCACACTCTTCAATCACCAACATTTTGTCCCTTGTGGTGCCGAACGATACTTCGCGGACGATGCCTGCCTTGCCGAGCTTCTCTGCCGTAAGGTCCTCAAAGCGCGGCACGATGCGACCTTGTGTAGCGATAGCGATGAGCTGGTGTGGTCGTTAGCGTGTTGTAACCGACTGACGAGAATAGGATGCCCACCTCGATCTCAGGACCGCCGACCCATCGTACTGCAGGCAGATCGTTCTGCATGAGCAAGTGGTTCGCCTCGTCGTCGAATCCCCACTGGCAGATGACCAGGTTCGCGCCAGTGTCCTTCACACGCTTGATCATGTCATGGAACTTGTCATGCTCATACTCCCGTAGGAGCTTGTACTCCTCCACGCTAGTGATATCAAGCTTGTGTTTCGTCTTCGGACGCGGAGGCTCGAACGGACAGGTGAGAATAGCAATCTTCGCATCCCTTACTGAATGGGGCATCTGGGAATGTGAGAAGTCCTTGTCTACGAGCACACCCTTGATGAGCGTCGTGTCGGCGAGCGACCCGCCGACCTTTCCATCGACCTTGATCATGTCAAACGGAACGTCTTTCCGCTCGAAGTCCGCTACCGCCAGGACAGCATCCACAGCGATCTCAGCGAACTTGTCATGCTCTTTTGAGACACTGAAGGGACGTCATCAGTACGGCTGGGACCCTGAGACGTAAGTAGACCGACATTTTGCTGCCAAGACTGGTCTTTGCCGTTTTGACGAGGTTCGAGGTGTCGGAGAGAGTGAACTCCACTTTGTCAGAGATCTTCTCGAGGTGTTCGACTGCAACGACACATGCGCGGTCGAAGCCATCTGCTATCCGGATCGGGTGGATACCGCGGTCGAGCAATGCTTCGCTCTGTTCCAGTAGCGCACCAGCGAGGACTAGGCGAGGCGTTGGGGCCATCGTAAAAAAACGAATGTTTTGAGAACTCACCGACGACACCAGTAGTACCATCACCGATTTCATCGTCCTGACTCCTCGATAATTGCACCAGCAGCTTCGCAATTTGGTGCTCGACCTCCATCTGGGTGAGAATAGTAGCACCATCGTTCGTCACAGTGATATCGCCATCCGGTGAGATGAGGATCTTGTCGAGCCCTTGCATTCAAGTTAGGAAGTCGTAGAGGTCGTAATATACGATACTAACCTCTTGGACCGAGAGATGTGCGGATGACGTTCGCTACGGTCCGTGCAGCCAGAATGTGTGACTGGACGGTAGTCAATGAGCATCGTGAGGTGCACTGGTGGTATACGTTGGACTTACCTTGATTGCCTGTACACCGTGAGTGCGAGTCTTCTTTGCTTGCTCGCGCAAAATGATGAAGGGACGTCCATACTAAATGACTATGAGCAACGTTGCGGTACGACGCATATGGCAAGACTTGCCTCGTCCGTAGCGTACATAGCTTGTGGTTCGGCCATCTTCGATTCTGAACGCGTACAAGCAAGAAAGCAGAACGCCTAGTGCCGTGACACGATCGCGCCTGAGTAACGTGTGACAGAGGGAAACACGCGTCGCGTCGCTCAGGTTGTCACGCGGTCGGTGATAGCTGTCACTGTCACTGTCAGGTCTGTTCTCTCCTTACACTGAGTGTACACATGGGCCCATCCGCATTCAATCCGCATTGCTGGCAACATACTGTGCTTCTCTACCTTGCACAGAACAAGCCTATGCCACACATGAGGAGCACACCGCACCTGGCGACAACGCAGAATAATCGCATCGACGATTCGAAATAGCCCGGTATCTGAACCGCACGGTTCTCTTCTGTTGGGCATGCAGGCGGCCGCGTTTTGCAATCACTTACCAAAGGAGCTGCAATCTTCCATCAGCTACGGCTACATACCCTGCTGCTGCTTCGTACGGCGTCGCCGGCCAGACTGCAGGCCGATGCTTCCCCCGACAAGAACTCCCCGTCAAGGACCTACTCAACTATCCACTTCCCGTCACAGTTTCCAAATGGCACTGCGGAACGATGTGTGACTAGAACCTCAAGGCGTTCTGGAACTCGCAACATACACCGAGCGCCGTCCATCATAGGCCGAGAAGCAACATGATGCGACCAGCGGCACAGGAAGCTCGGACATCAAAAGGTCTCACATTCTCACAACGTCTGTGTATTAACGCCCTGGCCTTCCCGAGGGAAATGATCAAACTGTCACTTGATTCGATCCCAGCCTTCATATACAGAAGCCATGCCAGCGTGACGGCAAATCCCCTTCGTCCCTTACCCCCGCGCAAGGCCCTGCATCATGTCCACTTCCCTGGTCTATACCCCCGTCGATGAGATCCCCCAAGTCAGTCATCTCTGTGTTCCGGGACGAAGCTGCTTATACTGACTTTCCCGTCTTCAGATCCACCAAAGCTTGAAGCAGGCCTTCGCTTCAGGGAAGTCTAAGGATGTCCACTGGCGCAAGCAGCAGATTCTGAAGCTATGGCACCTTGTCGAGGACAACCTCGACGGCCTGCGCAAGGCTCTCTACGAAGATCTTGGCCGGGCGCCGGATGAATCGGACGGGTACGTTACCTCTTGTTCGGGTGCCCAGTCCATTTACGGATCCTTGAATCCTGTTGCAGCACCGAGCTGAACTCGATCCTGCTGGAGATCAAAAACGCATATGACAACGTAGGGAAGTGGACCCAGACCGAAAGGGCATCGTGGCACTATATGTGGTTTGCCATGTCTCCTGCCACGAGGATTGAGCCCAAGGGCGTCGTGCTCATCATCACGCCCTTCAACTTCCCACTGTACTTGTGCCTTGCCCCACTTGTGCGTTCTACACTCCGCTGCGCTGGGAACAGGACTGATCACGGAGACGTGCCTAACAGGCTGCAGTGATTGCAGCCGGTGATGCTTGCTTGTTGAAACCCTCGGAGGGCGCTCCGGCGTGCGCCTCGCTCCTCGCGGACCTATTCCCAAAATACATGGACCAAGACTTCTTCCGCGTAGTCAACGGTGCCATACCCGAGACCACTAAGGTGAGCCCTAGTGCAGACTAAGAGATGCTGGTCTTGACGATAGTATGCAGCTCCTCGAGCTTCAATGGGATCACAGTGAGTTTCTTTATCTTGTCGATGCACTGCTTGCAGCCCTCTAAGTGATGGCTTTCCCATCAAAGTTCTATACACTGGTGAGCACGCAGTCTTCCTTCTCGCGCCCTATCGCCATTTGTAGATATTCACACGTGCGGTCAGGAAACAGCACTGTTGCGAAGGTTGTGTGCACGGCTGCCGCACAGCATCTGACGCCAGTCACGCTTGAGGTGCGTCCAGAGCGATGTACATGTCATGATGTAGCCTCACTGAAACTCTCCGCAGCTCGGAGGTATGCGTTTCCACTGATTGCTGTAGCGCGTTGTGCCCCAAGACTAACCGTCCCGCCCAAAGGCAAGAACGCCGCGGTCTTCGATCCGCGAGTCAGCAACCTCAGAGTGGCCGCGAAGCGCTTGATGTGGGGCAAACTGACGAACGCTGGGCAGGCAGGTTTCATGCGATCGATCAGATCTAGACCGGGTGATCTCACCATTCCGTGCCTTTAGATCTGCATGTCGCCGGACTACGCGATCGTGCCGGAGCACTTCCAGGAGCCGTTCATTGAGGCATGCAAGGAGGCGTACTACGAGATGCACCCGAAGGACCCCAAAGAGACGGGCAACATGGCACGCATCGTGAACGAGCGCCATGCGAAGCGCGTTAAGCGGCTGCTCGACAACACCAAGGGCCAGGTTGTCCTAGGAGGCAACATCGACATGGACACGTACTTCTGCGAGGCGACTATTGTGAAGGACGTCAAGCTCGATGATATCCTTATGAGCGAGTATGTTGTGGAGTCGCGCGCGGCTTGATATGGAGGCTGAACGTTGCGGTGACAGGGAGATTTTTGCACCGATTCTGCCTGTCATCCCTGTGAAGGACGTCGATGAGGCTATCAAGACCATTAACAGCCTGTGAGTTGAATTCGGAATGTTTCGTTGCCAGAGGGCTCATCCTGAATGCTATAAGGGGCCACTCGCTTGTCCTTCATGTCTTCTCGAGCGACTCGGCATTCAAGAAGAAAGTCTTCGACAACACCCAGAGCGGCCTGGCGGTCGCAAACGAGACCCTTCTTCACATTCAGAGTACGCCCCAGCTGTTCTGGCATTGACATGCGCCTTCTAAATGACAATTGCCTCCCAGCCGTGGGTATTCCATTTGGCGGTGTCGGCGCATCCGGATGTAAGTCTTCGCTTGCACTGAACACATCGATAGACGTGACTCACTTATATGTCATCCAGATGGCGCGACGACTGGGAAAGCGGCGTTTGACCAATTCGTTCACCGGCGCGGCTCGATCGACAGTCCGTTCTGGCTGGACCCTATGATGCTCTTCACGCGCTACCCGCCGTACACAGTGAGTGCCGTCATGTTCGGCGATCTCGACATTGCCGATTGACTGACTGATAAATGTGTTCCTCTCCAGCAACGGAACAAGACGATGTCCAACATGTTCATGCACCCCAAGCCGCCAGCATAAGCAACAGCTGCTATCTCGCACGCCTTGCCCTCGGTAGACCCTCTGTACTTGCATCATCATACAGGCAAACCGGGGACTGTCATGTTGTTACCATTCATTGTATTTCCGGGATAACTTCCCTGTAGTCGCTCATTCGGGGTTTACTAGTGTTGACACACTCCTTCGCCATTGTTTCTGTTGTCTCGTAGCTATTGCATACTCGTGTTTTCAATGCATTGCTGATACCACTGGCAAAAGGAGATATGGATGTGCGCTACTAGCTGCTTGGTGCAACAGGTGACGAGTGATATGGACCTTGTGTTGTTCATTATCTCATTGGGGCACAGTGCAGTAAGACGACGTCAAACCATCTATGTAGTCGGTTAGGTCAACATCTCTGCTAATTGTCTAGCAGCTTGACGTCAACTGAAATGACATACGTGAATACTAGTTATGTGTCTACGGTACGGTTCCTCGGTCTGCACTGAAATGCAAGAAGGTCCATGATGCGAAGATGAGCAACAACTCTACGCCCAAACATGTCGTCACGTCGCAATAGCAACAGCCTGCGGCTCAGACTCCACAATCGCGTCAGTCTCGTCGACTTGTTTCAAGTCGATGCCCCTCACACCATCCGACAACGTCGCAGCCTCCGACCGGTCCGCCACCGCGACATCCTGGTTCTCAGCCTGCCCCTGTCCTTCCCCCTCTATCTCCCCCTCCTTCACCTTGATATCCCACTCGCGGATCCCGACCTTCGCGCCCATCTCGCGCCACACCTCCAGCCTGTGCTGCCTATGCTCGTCGCACATCCGGACGACCGCAGGCCAGTACCGCGCGTGGTCGTACTCGAAGTCGCACGCGCCGCCCCACTCGCGCATGAGCATGTCTGGCGCGAAGAGGCCCTCCTTGATGCAGTCCGGGTTGAAGCGAATCTTGTCGCGCGTGCGCGGGTCGACGAAGGGCATGATCAGCTTGAGGAAGGCGTGCACTAGCCAGGGGACGTTCACGACGAGGGCACGGCCGAGTCGTTCAGGATCTGCGTGAAATGTCAGATTTGCCAGGCCAGGATAGGAGGGATGACTGCAGGTTCACAGTGATTTTGCAGGATATTGAGAGTCTGCAGAGCGATTGAATGAGCGGGAGTTATGGGTATAGTTTGAAAAGACCCACCGCACGCGAGGTCTGCATAGATGGGTTCTTCGCTCGGTCAGCGAAGTCCACCATCAAAGTGAGATTCCTAGCGACCACGAATATTGATTATCCACCATTGATTGAATGCTCGTGCAGGGACGACATACTCAATTCCAGGACCCATGAGATCCTCACAACGCTCCAGTGCCCACACGACGAAATGAAGCTGCTTGGGATTCTCTTCCGTATTCTGCTTGCTCGGGCGGAGGTATAGGGCTGGTCGACCGCCTTGGTCATAGCCAAAGAGAATCATCTTGCCTGTCAGGGCCTACGCGCGTCATTGCCATTCACCCATGTGCTTTCGGACATAAGCGCTAACTCACCTCGGGCTCGACATGGTCTGCAGTAATCATGTCATAGACACCATATTCTCGGCGCCATATGAGGGTCTCCTCGAGACGCTTGACTGCACTCTTGGCTGATGCCCACTTCACTGCACGACAGTACCTAGACGGGTCTCAGTTCAAATGTAGAGTGGTGTCGAACGTGCTGGACGTAGGGACTCAGGATAGTCCCGCCGCCTGGACGGCTTGGGCGCACCTGTGTATACAGTCCCACGTCTGTCATATGCGTCAATACTCCTTTTCCACAGAGATAGCGCCAAAATGATGCATCAAAGAGTGATGATAGCATGTTCGACGGGGCCCATGACTCGGCGGCTAGGCTAGGAGAGACTTACCAGCCAGAACTTCTCCGCCTCCTTCAATGACCTATCCTCCTCGCAAGGAAGTTGGTAATCCTCGGCCGCAAAGTGCTCGAGTACTTCGTCAAACACCTTCTCTTGTTCGGACGTAAGCTCGAGCTCCTTCGGTGGACTTGCGAGCTTCTCCACGAGCTGAGGTATGGGAAGGGGCTCGTAGACGCGTTCAGCGTCGGATGCATCGCTGGCAGAGGACTTCTTGCTGAACACGCTCATTGTGATGGACGACGGGGAGGGGGTCAGACACAGCCACGGCGGCGTGCGTATAAAAACCAAATGAAAATGGTTCGATGGCGGCGGTGGAGATACAGCGCGTCCGAGTCGAGAAAGGCAGCGTCCGTGCCGTGCCCAAGCGCGTCTGCACGGTCACGTGGTCGCACTTTCTGGGCAACAGCAGGCGCTTGTCCCCTGTGCCCGGACGACGACGGAGGACGCGCGGGTCCGCACACGACTCCACTAAATGCCCTTCGTCAAGCCCATGGCGAACAAGTCCCCTCGTATGAGGGCCCTGGCGCTGTACAAGGAGCTGCACAGGCTGGGCAGGGACTACCCAGATCCCTCGTACGCTGTCTGTCTTCCAGGAGTGAGGGGCTAATCAAATTTGGTCGTGTGCTTGTTTGGCAGGTATAATTTCCACGGGAAGCTGCGAGGTCTATACGAGAGTGCGTCTCGTGCATATGCACCGATGCAAGTGTAGGCTCACGATGCTTCAGAGAACAAGAACTTGCAGGACCCGGAGGAGATAGAGAATGCCCTAAAACTCGGGGAATACATTCGGAATGGTATGCAAGAATCCTTTCATCGTAGTCTGCTCTCATGACCGCTTATCCTCCTTCGTTTCGCATTGGCAGAAACACTCGCGCTGTACTCACTACGCAAATATCGACATTTGAGGCGGATGTATCCCAACGACTCGCACAGCGATACCTTTCCCTGAACTGCGTACCTCGGTGCCTCTGACATGCGACACCTCCGCTCTCGGCCGATCTGACCCACATGTACACTTCGCACCCCATCTGTCTTGCCCGCCCGGTTGCCTCATCCCAGCCATCATCTATCGGGGGACTGAAGGTCGAGGTCGGGCCGCTGCCACCCGCCATTACGAAGCGATGGCATCATACCAGCAGCTAGCTGGACATGTACCTGACACAAGGGCGGTTCTTTTGTACTATATTAGTGCGTCTATTTTATCACCTGCACACCATGTATGCGTTCACTGTTCTCACACATCTAGACGAGTGTACTGTATCTGAGTCGGTAGCTGTACGCTGTTGTGCGAAGTTATACAAGCAGACCCCTACATCTCGCAGCTCTCAACTGTCAATGAGGCCGATCATAAGCATGCATCAAGATTGGATAAGTCCACACCATACGTCACTCAGACAATCATTGAAGCTCTACTTGCGCCGAGGGGGGAGCCTACTATAGGCTTCTTGGTACGTTACTCGGAGTCCTCATTACGCTTACACTCAATCAGACAACCGAACCAGGGTAGCCATCGGTGCCTGCGACAAGATGAATCGTCACAACATCTTCTGCTTCATGGATCCGTGCCTCCATGCTGCAGCCTTCTGGGTCTATTGCAATCTGTTCCTATGCCTGAGCTAAGTCAAATCATGCTGCGTTATTCATTTGATACCCTGCATGACGCGTATGCTCAGGAAGACCTCTATCTGCTATGACTTAGATGATCGCCGCAGACACCAGAGGAAGCCGAAGACGTACATACATGGTCACAAGCGCATCTCCATGGTCAATGGTGAACGCTGCATGGTATCACACGTATAAACAGAGCTCCCAGCACGCCAGGAGACGCCGGACGAAGGCACTGCGATCCTCGGGTACCGGCGTGTTGTGTCAGATTCTTGCGCTTTACGAAGGGTCGCAAGCGGCAGCTTACAAACGCGCCTCTTAGATACTGTAGTAGGGTATCGTGCTCAGAGGCCTCTTGAGGCATCTCTGTGATCCTTGGTATGTCCACTACTGGATGTCCGAGATGGCTGAACTTTTACTACACTCAGCATATGTGACGCACTATATCTGGCTTCCTTGACCTTGAAGCTTGAAGCTTGATGTTCGCTGTCTTGCCTGACATGACGCGAACGTTACCTTTCGCGTCGAAACCTGACTATCAGAAATAAGAGACGCAGTCCACCTTCATCGCGCAGAGCCAGCAAGTAGCTTTTAATCGTGAAGATGGCTGCAGGCGAAGACTAAGTTACAACGTGTGTGCAATACAATTGACTTCGAGTCAGAGGGTGTGCAGCCGAGGTGGTCAACTGGGAGGCGCTCCAGCTACATCCGATACTCGTGCGCTCTTCATGCGACAATGTCAACGGACGCGCAATCCGCTCGGATGCACACAGCAATCTGACCATCGTATCACAGGTTCTTGACATAGCAACCCTCGATATGATTTCTCTTATACATGTCCCGCTGCAGGACCACTCAGGACCGTAATGACTTCTGATCGTAGCTCGCAGCCAGGCTGCGTGCTTCACGCATCATCTGCCAAAGGCCGCTACCGTCACTAATGGGTGCAAGCGATGCAACGATAAACACCTACGATCTGGATAGCGACCGGCTTATCCGTCCAGGCCGGGTTGTCCTCCCCCATGAGTACCTCCTTCACAACCACGAACCCTAGTGCCTCGTAGAACGGCGTATATGCGGTGTCGGTTGACATTAGCCACGACGCGCAGCCCAGTTCATCTGCCTGTAAAAAACAAAGTCGATAGTTGAATACATGTCAAGGTGAGTGCCCGAAGGATGGTCTTCTCACCCGCGCATTCGCGAACGACATGAGTGCGCTACCGTAGCCCTTACCTTGATGGTCTGAAGCTGTAGCTAGATGAATCACTTGAAGCATTTCCCTGAATTTGTCACCGAAAGCGGCTAGCACTGCAGGGGTGGTCTTGTCATAGAGTTCTTTGAACCTCTGTAACAATGTACTGATCAGCCAAGGTCTACCTACTGAATCAGAACATGACAGTGGCCAAGTCACCTTCCGTTGCTCTGGATTCTTCATTGCGTTCAGGACCCCATGAGTCACTGAGAGCATTGGTCTACGATAGACGCGGTGCGCTGGATAGCGTCTACAGACAGCAAGCCTCGATCATTGACTGCGAATGCAATGGAAAGACGAAGACGCACATGGCCACAAACGCGTCTCCACGATTAACAGTGAATACGGCATGGTAGTGCACGAAGTAACTGAGCTCCCAGTACATAAGGAGGCGCCAGGTGAAGCTGTTGTGAGGAATCGTAGCACCATCCTGTCAACGATGCAGTCGGATTCTCAAGCTTGTGATGCGCACGAGCTCGAGAATAACTGCTGCTACTTACTGGAATCGCCTTTAGGTATATGCGTAGAGGATGATGCTTATAGGCGTCCTCAACCATCTGCGTGATCCTTGGTATATCCTCTGTTGGATGGTCGACTGGTTCAATGCTGTAACTGGGCCGTTTGATCAGGACGTGCAACATACCATATCTGGCCTTCACGACCTCGACGATTGCCTTCTTGACTGACATTCGGACGTCGAAGCCACTCTTCAGCTCAAAGTCGCGAGAGTGAGACGCGGGGCGATACGGGGGTTGCTGACAGACGATACGCAGCCTTATACATAGAGGAAGGTGATGCCAACACGCTGTCATATGAGACGCTCGCCGGCTTCGATGGTCTGTAATGGAGCATGTGGCCTCGACTTGTTGGGTACACTGTAGAGGTTGCAGAGATCCTCGTTCGGGCACGTGGTGTCTTGTGTGTTAGTAGCCCTGATAGCAGCAGCATACCATCCAGCTCGAGTGCGCAGAGCAGCAAGTTTTTCACCAAAGGCACCCCGCAGCAGGCTGGTACTCAGTTTCGGACTCGTTCAGTGTCTGTGTTGAGGGTTGATTGAGCCCTCCGCAAGAGTCTTCATACAGTTCGGGTATGTTGCGTCCAGAATGAAGTCGAAAAGCAGAGGGACATTGTTATCCACCTGGCAGGCGCTCCATGCGGCGAATCTGTCATACGTGAGATTCAGAATTCAGTGGTATACGTACATGTCGTCGAACGTAACGGTTTGCACTAGTATGACATGACCGACTCATAGATAATCCAAGGACGTCGCAAGTGCTCGCTTCGATTCTCTCACCATCTACATAAACTCAAGCCAGTTAGTCTCATGGACTGTGATACATCAGATATAAGGACACGCACAATCCTCACGACAACCGGCGGTCTGGGCCATCTCGGGTTATCCTCCCCCACCAGATACTCGCGCACAGTAACGAAGCCGAAGTGTTCGTAGAAGGCTTTGTTCCTGACGTTGGACGTCGTCAGCCACGCATTCATACCGAGCTCATCTGCCTGTCACGGCCGTTAGTGCTCCTCGAGCGGAACTACTGCACACATCAACGCACATGAATATTGGCGGCCGCCATGAGCGCGCTTCCATAGCCTCTGTGCCGCTGGCTAGGCCGTGTGGCGAGACCGTCCACCCGAAACATGTCGCGAACTCGCTCTCCGAAGGTGGCTCGAATGGCCGAGTTCTCCTTTTCCTTGCATTCCTGGAAGCGCTAGCAGATGCCTCGGATCAGACTCTGACCAGCCCGATTGACGAAGCTGAAGAGACCCACGGCCCTCTGTTCTTGCGATAGTCCCCTACAAAGCAGCTCGGATACCCTATAGAGTGTGCGCTCCACCGGCCGAACCTCTTGCCCGGGGATCTGGCTAACACCCACGTCAGTATGATGATCAGCAAAGGGAATAAAACAGACGTACAACGTCAGGAACGCATCTCCATTGCTCACACTCAACACCGATGCACTATGCACCTTTGCCGCGTACCACCCAAGTCGAGTAAAACATCTTCTCCGGGAAGATTTCGGGTACTATGTAACATGAACCGGGTTTGTTCCATAGAACTGAGGAGAGGTTAGATTAGGACTCACTGGTCGGTCCTCAATGTAGTCGTACAGTGGATCATCAGCGAATGCTGTATCCGCGGTTCTTGCAGCCCTGAAAATGCCCACTACGATGAGCTGCACGATATGCACTTGCCTCTATGCAAGTACGACCGACGTACTGTATCCTAAGGGATGCACCTCAATGCTGCGTAACGTCGGGGTCGTCGGTTCATTACTCTTGCATGTTACCAGCGGCGTAGTCTCGTCGCGTGAGATGCGGCACCTCATCTGGGGTCGTCAGCGAGTGAGGTATACAAGGTGCGCTCCCTGCGCGAACGCAGTGGACGATAGTCAGACCCAGTGGCAGCCGGAGAGAAAGACAGAACACGGACGGAGCTTTGAGGGTTATGAACCCTTTGGCTCAGGGACACTGGCAGGCTTCCATCGAAGACCGTAGTGATCGAGGTAGGGTCTCCGTTGTCGTATAAGTACGCTAGGTGTGTTTTGATAGCCGCGGTAAGTGCGCATTTGCGCGAGGCGGGACTCCGCCGCTCAATTGAAGGATAGTACTACTTGGCCATCCTTGTGTGAGCAATTGAGCTGGTACTTCGGGGTCCGGACAGGACCACCACATTCCCGCGTGTGGTACGCGTGCGGGCTCGTTTCTGATCGGATTTGTGACAGACGGAAATCGCGTACTCGGCATATGTGTTTACGTCCTCCGTTGTCCTGCACCAGCAAATGCTCACCTCGAAGTATGACAGAGGAGCAAAGAAACGACGCTCGGTTCTGATCTGAGCTTGTGCCAAGCGACGAACCCCAGTAATTCAACTTTGACCCTGAGCTGCAACTCAATGTGAAGACAACGACACGGCCGCATTTGGTTGGATACGCACCAGTCGCCTCCTGGCTGGGTATCGTCCGCAATCCGCATGGTGCCTGCGTGTTACTCGGGCGGGTCAAGGACGCCATAGAAATACCGGACCGTCTAGGCACGCATGCTACAGTCTTACGACATTGTATATTGAACCGTTGACACCTTGCTGAAGCCGCTGTCATATATGTCTCAATCACGCATCAGAGGGTCTTCTGCAGAAGACACAGCCTGAGAAGACGACTTGAGAGTCTGGCTTCATGTGCCAGGGGCATTGCTGTAGAGTAATCGGAAGTCGAGAAAGAGGTGCGCAACGTCGACCGCGGCGCGTGGCAAGACGCGCAGCGAGCGTGAGTGCTATATTTGGCAAGTCAAGACATTCTTCCGACGCTATCTGCGCCACTCCCAGACCCAGTGCCCACCACCATGATGATGCGTAGCTCAGCTGCAACCACGGCTTGACGAACACGCAAGCTACGGTTAGTCAACTTCTTTTAACATGCTGATGCAACTGCTGTAGATCATGTTGTGCCGTGGAAACGTCTGACTCGGCAGTCGTCACTGCAAGTGGACACGAACGACGAGGTGAGTCATGTCCTACGTGAGAGCCTTAGCAGCATTGTCGTGTGTTCTCTGGACACTGTTCGCCCTCCTAGCTGGAAGGATGTGTACATGATGCATCATCAGGTAAGGCCGGCCGGTGGAAGTCAATACAGCTACACGTACAGTACAGCGGGGAGCGATGGACGGGTCATGAATGCGATATAATTACAGGATGCTTGCGGCGAACAACGTCCCTCTCGATTACTTTCTCGGTGTTTTGGTTGACGTGAACTTGGTTACTTCTTCGACTTCCACCGAATTCTCGTCCCCAGCCCCGCCCAGCGGGCCGCTAACCTCGTCGCGCTCATACACAGCATGAACATTCTCGCCGTGTGCCATGTGCGATGTATTCGTACCTTGCTCCGGCGAGGAGGTCTGCTCCTGCGGGTTTGGCACTGGGGAGTCCTCTTCATGGTAGCGTCGTTTCACGTGGGTGACCGTGTTCTGCTGCATAGCAGCAGTCCCGCCGTCGCCCTCCCCGTGCGACTGGTCGGCCTACGCGGACATCAGCGATGGGTTTGTGGTGTGGCTGTAGCGCATATACTCACCTTGACGGCAGCCTCGGACGCACTGGCGAGGTACTCGTTCCACCCTGGAGCAGTCTTCTCATGGGGTGCGGAAGTCTTGTGCTGCTTCCCGGTCAAGTTACGGTGTTTCTCTTTCTCGATAGTCTTTGCAAAAGCGTCAGCCGGCGTCTTGGTATTAAGGTTGAAACGTTGACCACTCACGTCGGGATCATGCTCATGCATGCTGCCCGAGTAGAAGCGCAGCGCAACGGCCATACCAGGCTTGGGCACGGCAGGGACGCGCCTGGCGGCGGTGCGGAGGGTGTTGATGGTGACGGCGGACATTATGGGATGCGTATGGAAGAGAGAAACGAGTGCGAAATATAACGGAGATGATTCGTCGAAGTCGTTGAGGGGAGGCTTGTGCAGGACGCGCCAGGCGGGCGGGCTATAAGAGGCAGGCGGGGAGGACATGACGTTCCCTGACGTCACCCCGCGCCGCCCCAGCCATCAGCCACTTCGCTCCCATGACGGGCGCCTCCAGCACCACTTGCTTCGTTTGGCGTATGTTGCGTTGCTCCCGGTCGCTTGCATCACGCAGGGGAGGCCCGGTTCGTGTTCATCCGGCTGACTGCGGGGGCCTGGAAGAACAAACATAGAACGAGAGCTCGGCCGATGCACAGCGGAGCCCTCAGGTGGTGCTAACTAATGTATGCATGACCGCGACCGCCCCATGATGATAACCGGCCTTCGGAAACGTAGAACGTCGAGGCGTTGAGGCCAGAAGTCGCCTCGGAAGATGACTGAGCCCTAATTCTGCGACTTACTCATAGCTTGCATCGGAAGCTCCCTCGCCGGAACAGGTCTAACGTTCAAATTCTATCAGTCAACACCGTACTTCAGTCAAACCGTCGGCAGCGCACCCGGCGAGGAGAGAGTTGTTTGGGGAAGTCCGTGTTAGATGGGCTTGAGGGAGAGTACTCCCGCGAACCCTTCAGCGTGGCTCGCGCTCATATACGTGACGCTCTAGATTGTTGGCCTCCCCGCGCACAGTGCTGCACTATGTGGCCTTCGTGTTGTCACAGGGGCACGCGGCGCTACCTAGCGTATCCGTTTAATTAAAAGTTCACAGAAGCAGCAGGTTGCGGCCAGGGTCACCTTAACCCTCCTCCGAGTCGTTGGACATAGTACTGCAATCCGAGAGACATAGCCGCATGGTGCGTCAATCCTCCAGCCTGTGCCGCTGCGTTTTCTGTTTCCAGCTTGTTGTGCCGATTCCATTGATGCGTTGCGAAATCATCCTCTGCCGCCTGAAAATGATGCATAAACGTTTGAACATTGGTACATACCTGCCATTTCGAAGCTGCAACGTCGGCCTGTCTGCCACAATTCCCAGAACGGACCGGAATTGACTGTGATATTTATCAACTTGTTGCTTGACAGAAAATGATACGCCGGGAAGGGCGCTGAAGAGTTAACGTAAGGGTCCCAGCCTAGAAGACGCCCGTCAAATCATTAAATGCAGGAGGGGATGAGGGGATACGCCGCTCGTCAAAGAGCCCTCCAGCCCAGCCCTGCACGCACCCGTCGGCCGAGCCTGCAAATGCCTGCAGAACGCAAGAAAAGAGCAAAGCGCGACGGCGCGGCCATATCGGAGACCTCCAGGAGCATCTCGGCGAAGAAACGACAGCCCTACTCCCTACCGTCCCTATCCCTCCCCCCTACAAACAATACGGCAATCAACGTCAAAGTACTTCCCCTCCCTATCGTAGGGAAAGGACTCGGGCGAGGACTCACCTGGACGGTAGACGAGCGCCCAACGGAGCAACTCCGAAAAGGAATAAGCGTCAAGTTGTTCACAGACGTGCAGACGTCCGGGATAGGACGCCTCTCCGTGGTCTCCGATTTGCGTAGGCACTGGGTCACGTTCATAGTGGTTGGGGCTGCACAGCCGTGCAACCTACGCGTGCCGATCCCGTGGGCGACTCTAGAGGACCTAGAGAGTTATACGCACCAGCGCCACTACTTCAGCCTCGCGATCCTCCCTCCCCCGCACCACTCCTTCACCAACAGATCGGCTTTCCTGAATGCCGACGACAACCCGTACGAGTTCGATATCGAGGAGACCGACTTGCCCTCCTTCTCGACTAGGCTCGAGACCATCACCAACGACTACTAGACGGGGAGCGGGAGGTAACACGGACGAGTCCTTGACCGTAGATCAGCGTATGTAACCCCACAGACGTGACTCAGACAGAACTGCGCTAGATAGTGATGCATGATGAATAAGCCCCGGTGGGATGCGCAGATGGAAGTCAACGCACAAGCGGACTCTCACGCCGTCAGAGCCTTTTTAGGCTAGGAAGCAAACCGTACTATCCCCGCAACTTGATAAGTCGCACGCCGGACTCGCATCATTGCCGAAAAAGACGCCCAATGGCACAGAAGCCAATTTCACCACATACAGCAGGACGCCGCATCAAGCGGGATACTAGGAAAGACCCCCAATGAATCCTACAGGAGATGATCCCAACGTGCAGGAAGCGTTACAAACTTAGCAACGGCACTACCTGAACCGCCGGCCTAGAGAGATGAACGCGAAGTCTGGTCAAAGTCAAGACGTCTTAAATACGAGATACAGACACGAGTCGATCTAACGTTCTTGAACGGCGAGAACGGATCCTCTCATAGCGCCGTCGCAGCGCCGACGACACGATCTCCCTTTTGCCGTAAGTCGCCTACACAACCATGGGCGCGACGTCTGACATTCTCCGTCGCTCATGGCCTGAGCAGATACTATGTATGCGTAAGTTTGAGTCGTCGCAGCAAACAGCGCGGCGTTCGGTTCATGTCGCGATCTACTCACCTTCCATTTATGGACCGCAACGTCGGGACGGGCGCAGCACCCACGCTGCGGCCCGATTAGGCATGAACAGTATCTGTCACCGACGCCCGGCGATGGTCAACCGCACGGGAGGGCTCGCAGCCGTGGTCCCTTCATCAGCTTGTCCGCTGTCAGTGCATGGGACCTCGACCGCGTGGTCAAGCCGGCTGCAATTGCAATCGCGCCTCCGTGGCTGCACCGTGCTGCGAGCGCAGCGATGCGCAGACTCTGCGGCGGGCAGCGGCAACCTTCATCGACGCACGCGTACGACCGCGACACTGCATAAGTAGTGCCCTATCGCTCGCCAGGCAGGGCGCCACACCTCGGACCCTCGTCATACTACGTGTTGCGTTGCTTTTGGACCATGCACTACCTCAGGTTGGACGATACTCACCTGGAAGTCGAAGATGCTGGTGACCTCCCACTCGGAGTCAAGCCAGAGGGTCATGGATTGGTCCCCATCGACTTGCATTCGTCAGTGCATGTCAGGCCAATGAGATATGGTGGGCCACGTACACTGTAGTCAGTCCTAGTCGGCGTGTTGACAGCAGCCTCGGAAAGCCGATATCCCAAAGGTTGTTGCGACGAATAGGAAAGCGTTCGTACATGACCCCCTCCTTGGTTATATGCTGGACACACCAGTACGTATACGCTGCATCCCTTGACGATCGCATAACCCTGGTATTCATGCGTTGACTCGTCATCTCAGGATGCACCACACTCACGAGGGAGTGGATGGGTCGACAACGTGGTGTACGCCCTGCAGTATTTCGGACATGCCCATGCACGGAAGGTTCTGGTGGTAGACGTTGGAGACGCGTTTCTATACTTGTAAGCCCGCCTTCGGACCTGGAAAGCTCATGACGCCTCACGGGAAGACCGACATGGCAGCGGCCTGCCAGGGAACAAGCCGACCACCTTGGAAACCCTCATGCTTCGCACCATCTCCTTCATACGGAAGTCGCGGACGGCGGAACAGAGGAAGGTACGCATCTATTCGTGCAACTTGTAAGTTGTTAACGCCGGTCCCAACGACACCAACCTCAGCGCATCGCGGAGGTGATGTCGAAACAGGATGCAGCCATCAAGTCCGCGTTGGGCGACAAGATCCAACGGATGTTCGCCGTGGAGGGTCTTGCGACACATCCCAACAAACAAGGCAGGGGGTACGGAAGCGCACTCATGGCCGCCGCTAACGCCAAGGTACATCCCATTTACTTCAGCCTACCGTGTCTTGGTCTGATCGTACACCTGTGTGCAGGCCGACGCTCTCGGCGTCGCCTCATGGCTCTCGTCCTCGAACATCGCCAACACCGCGTTCTACGAGAGCTGTGGATTCGCCGTTGTAAAGGAGTTCGCGATCGGGGAGGACAACCCGACATGGACGGAGCCGCCCGTCATCGTCAGAATCGTGCGTGTCTCGCGATGATGCACTCCTCCCTCCATTCAGCCTGACCACTTCTTTGTAGATGGCAAGAGAACGAATGGGCGGAACGCATGACGCCAAGTCGGAGATGGTCTGAAGGCGATACCTAGCTTAAACTATACTTTACATCGGAATCACTCTCGAGCTCGTTGACAACGTTCGCACCCCGCACCTCGGCGTTGCAGTCTTCAGTCGATCAGCATTAGATTCTATCATAGAACAACAATAAGTGTGCAGACAAGACCAGCGACACTTTTGACCGACCACACAGGGCTCCGAGTCAACCTCCCGCTACAATACACGCAGCTCAATAAGGATAACGTCAGTAGGGCTCTCAGGCGCAGCCGAAAAGATTCGGGAGATCATAACAGTGGTAGCACAGGGGTAAGGTTCGTGACAAGCGACACGCACGGCGTACAGTGAGGGGATGGCGTGGTATGCGGTGATGATGAGGTGAGCAAGAACGAGCGTGCGTGAGGGCCGCGGAGGGGCGATCGGGGTGTCCCGTCGAAGGAGAGGAGTGGGAGTGCTTATGCGTCGCCGGGCGTGGCGACACCCTTGACGAAGCCATCCTGGTCCTCGTTCGAGATGTCCTCGAGTGACTTCAGCTTCGTCTCCGTGATGAGCAGTGTCGAGAACACGCCCGTCAGCATGAACAACGCGAGGATCTCCAGACTGCGACGCGACTCCACCGTCAGCGCCTGGATCGACTGGTGACGAGGCCCGGTGCTAGTACTACTCACATGTGCTTCACAAACTTGTTCGTCCCGCCGATGTTCGCCATCTGCGCGAAGCCGACCTGGGAGATGACCGCGCCGAGCTTGCCGCTCGCGGCGGAGATGCCGTGCGCGGTCGAGCGGTAGCGCGTCGGGAACGCCTCGCCGGGCACGATGAACGTCGTCGTGTTCGGGCCGAAGTTCTCGAAGAAGTTCGCCAGGCAGTACAGGAACACGAACGCGTTCTTGCCCGCGCGCGTCGCAGTCAGCGCGTCGTACCCGAAACCTGCCCAACAGTCAGCATGCCGCTCGGCGCGAAGTACCGACGGAGGGGACGCACCCATGATGACGAAGAGAATGGTGAGCATGATGAAGCCCATGAGCTGGATCGGCTTGCGGCCCCACCTGTCGATGAAGAGGAAGGCGACCCAGTAGCCCGGGATGAGGCCCGCGACGGAGAGGATGATGTTACCGATGCAAATGTTGCGGAGATTCTGGTACACCAACTCGGTGCCCGTTAGCGTGGTGGTCACCGTGCCGAAGCCGATCGCGTTGAGGATGATCGAGCTGTTCAGGCCGAGGCCGTAGAACGCAATCTGCGCGGGGACGGGATGTCAGTGTGGGAGGCAAGGAGTGCGGGGAGAGGTAGGCGTGCACGCACGTCAAGGGCGAACCAGGAGTACGCGCAGCCGATGAGCTGGCGTGCGTTCTCCCACTTGCTGAAGTGCCTGAAGAAGTCGCGGCGGCTCGCCTTGGGTGCCTGCACGCGCTGCACGACGGCGTCGGGGTCAACGTGGTAGCTGCCGGTCGTGAGGAAGTTCTCGACGTCCTGTGCTGCCTGCTTGACGTTGCGCTCGACATCCATGGTGAAACGGGGCGTCTCGGGGATCGTCAGACGGAAGTACAGCGCGATGACCCCGGGAACGCAGCCGAGACCGATGAGGAGACGCCACATGTAGTCGACCGAGTTCATACTCTCGACGTTGTCGCGAAGAAGAGAGTGCTTCTCGGCGGCGACCACGACGTATGCGACAATGCAACCGGCTGCATAATCTGTAAGTACAGGATTCGCGAATATGCATTTGCAGAGACGCCATACCGAGCTGGCCCCATCCCTGGTTGGCGAAGACCGCCGTCATGAGCCGACCACGGCTCTGCCTCGACGCGAACTCTGAGGAGATAACAGCAGAAAGCGGGTAGTCACCGCCAATACCGATCCCCATCTGCGGCACGTTATCAGCCGTGCGCAAAGCAGACTACATCCATCGCCATACTGACAATAAATCTCCAAACGATGATGACACCCAGGATATTGATGGCCTTCGCCTGGCCTGCGACAGCCTGACCGAAAGTCGCGATGATGATAATCATGAGCTCGATACCGTCTGCGGTCCAAACACTATAAATTGCCAGTCACTTCGAAGTAATGGAATAGTCCTTACACATTCGCTTACGGCCGACCAAGTCTGCCATCCAGCCGAAGAAGAACTGGCCGAAGATGTTACCAATCGGGGTCGCGACTTTGACACCGAGCGACTGGTTTGAGGTGAGGATGCGAGATGCCCCCGTCCCCTTGCCGCCGTAGAGGTATCCCAGCATAGTCGACGCGATGTTGATGGCGAAAATGTCGTAGCTAAGGTGGTTTTGTCTTATCAGTATGCACAGCTCGAATGTGCTGGGAGAAAACGCTCACGCATCGGTGAAGAAGCCGACACCCGCCACCATGGACACCTTCACATGGAACCAGCTACGCTCTCGCGTGAGCTGCCGTAAGTCCAGTGAAGCGATGATCGTACAGACCTGAACTTGGCGTTGTCAACCTCGGCGAGCGCTGCACGGCGCTTCTCGTCGAGCGCGTACACGGCGGCAGGGGGCGCGCCCTTCTCGAGCTCGGGGCCCGTGCTGGATGTGGAAGCCTTGTCCATTGCGGTGAGTTCAGCCATCTCGCTGGGAGGAACGTCGAGCGAGGAGGTCGGGCAGGGAGTGCGGGAAAGAGCACGGGCTGGCGGGTGGATAGCGCTGCATGTCTTTTAAGTTGTGCTTCTGGAGGACGGCAGGCAGTGTTCCGGGCCTGATGAAATTGGTGGCTGCTTGGCCCGCCCGCGTCCCATTCTGCGTCCGGCGTTGTTCCTTGCACGTTCGTAGTCCCCAGCCAATCAGCGTGGCCGCGCTTGTGGTGGCCTGTTTGCGTGTGTTTCCCCTTTTGGACGCGCGAAGCACGGTGGCCTGCGTCGCGGTGCACGTTCTCACCAGTCCACGCTCTCCAGCCACGGCACCGCTCGTGTGCCTCGAGGACTATATTTCTTGCTTCCACCCGTCTCCGTCCCTCGCTCACCCGCCGCCGACGTGCGCCCCAGGTGCCCTCGACTTCCAGACATCGACTTGATGGCTCGCGGGTGCCTGGCTAGTGGCGTATTCAGCCATCTTCTCTCCCTGACAGACACTTGCAAGCACATGCTCCCGGGTCGCAGAGCGCCGGGCTATTTTCCTGTCGCGGAGTCGACCAGACAGCGGCACACCGCTGCGGCGATTTCTCGTTCGGCCTTGGTCTTTGTCGGCGTGGCACGCCTGGGACCCGCGGCATGCCATTGCCAGGTCCTCAATGCAGCGCACTGAGAGCCTGTTCCTGCGAAGAAGCACCGCGTCGACACAACTCTAATCTCACCAGGCATCTTCTCCCAACCCCCCAGATCTAGGGGCCTATGTCCACCGATCGCCGCTCCACCCTTGCACTCGATCTGCATTTCATTATATGCGCGCTGCGAGGTTCCGTGCGGTGCCGTATGCGTGTTCGAACCGCTCGAGGCCCCAAGGACCGTCTTGTACTTATGATGACTGACTGAACCTCATCATCATGCAAGCGCGCGGGCTTCATGCATGTCAGTGCTATTCTAATCCTCGAGAGTCAGCTCTCGGCTCTGTTACGTATTCAGCTGGCGTATGAGCTGATCTTATGCATCACATCGTGAACCATGCATCCAACGTCTCGGTCACTCGTCAGGTTTTCCGACTGCGAAGGGGAAGGTCTGGATGCGTACTCATGCGCCAAGGACCAAGTCAGACTAGCCCAGCAGGTACAGCCATGGCCACCGCGTCTCTGTCCGCATCCACTTTCGTCCAAACGTATGGCGCACTGCTCAAATTGTACTAAGCGACTGGGCAATGCTGTGGCACGGTGACGCGGGGCACACATAGGTGAGTTTGTCTACGCGGTATCCAAGGCCCTTATGCGTGTCTGACGCCAGAACCAATGCTGTGAAGAAACGAGTACGACCGCCAACTCTTCTCCTTTGGCAACTTGCCATTTGGTCGGGACGCACGGCCTCCGGTACATCGACCCACTGCTCTGGCTCTCTGTGCCGGACCGCGGCGGCTGCACGCTAAGGTTTGTCTTCAGGCTTCTGCTGACTGTTGACATATTGACGAGTTGTCTGTCTGTCTGTAGGAGGAAGTACAGTACACACCGGACCATGACTCTGCCCCGGTACTGTCACACAGACCGCCCTGCGGTCCACCCCCGCTACACCCGTCCTCTGCTTGCACTAGTGAGTACCCCGCCCTTGCTCGTACTGCTGTCATTCTTCCGGTCGGATCACAGATGTTCACTACGAGCTCGGCGGCCTGCGGCACACACCGGCACCACCTCCCATCCTCGAAGGCCACATCCATCGCGAACTTGCGCCAGCCACAGATCCGGCTTCCCCCAACGTGGGCGCCGGCGCTCACTACCACACGTTCGCCCCGCATCTGGTTGTCGCTGATCGTGGAAGTTGAGGCCTTCTTGTGCTCAGTGGCCGTCACGCGTTTGCAGTGGTTCGCGGATAGCGGGCGCGCGGCGCACTAAGCTACCGTCCTCTGCATGCTTGAACCTTATACGGCGCGGTTTTCGGTTCGCTGATCTCCAGGATGCTTCTTGATCCCCGTGCTTTGAAGCTACCCGTGGTTCGCGGTACGGGGCGTGACGTGGTGATCGAGCTTAAGGAATGGGGGTGAGAGTCGGTTGGTCTCGCCTGAGTGGAGTCGATGCGATGATAGGTCGGTGAACCGGTTGTTGTTGCGGGCGATGAGGGGGTATTGCTTATGCTCATGTCCGGTTCGGGCTGTGCTCTGTCGTTTGGAGGTTGAAGCAGTGTTCAAGTTACTCGTGCAGGGACCGGAAGTGTGCATGATTTTGTGAGCCATGATCCTGGCCGTGACGTGCGCTGACTGTGTCTTTTTAGGTCTCCGCTGTCCGCTGTGAGGATATGACGTGGGTTAGGTATTACCCATAAGTCATGTCAGCAATCCATCTCCGCTGTTGGATCATGCGTTGCGTGAATAGCCGTAATGAATGACGATGTTCGCCCTTGAGCTTACCGTCATGGGGCAAGACCGATCGATTGTCGCCGCCATCTCGAGCACGCAATGTACCCGTCAAGATATCAGTTAACCAGGGCATAGTCCAATCTGTACGTCCCCCATCCAAATCCTGAACGGTCCCGAAGGCTCAATATGCATATGAACGTCTGCTATTCATTAGCCAGGGTTGCTGCGCGATACAGAGTAACCGTGTTCGAGTCCCGTCGCCTTCTTCATCACACCACCTGCGTACTGCCGCTTCTACCTGCGGCGTCCGTAACGTAGGTACTTGGTGATGTATCGAACTGGCAACTCCGCTGCCGTACGTCCTTGTATGTTCGCCTTGAGTGCTGTCGCTAGCTTTGACGGTGCCTCGCCCATCCAGCTCATCTGCAGGCCCCAACAACAGGGCATCTCAGGGATGGCTGCCCTAGGAACCCAGGCCCCATCTCTACCATTTGAGTTCGTTCCTTCGCCTACCGCGCAGAACGCAATGATTGGTAGGCGGATCTCAGTAAGTCTTTCTGTTCATCTGTCATATACGAGCTCGGAGCCTGAAGCTGCATTGCCTTTGCCAGTGAATGTCTAGGCTTGTCTGCCAGCATATATGTCGAATTGCAGGGATCATGGCCTCTCCGGCACCGATTTTGCGTTACGGCAAACCGTGAGTATCGCACGGTATGATCCTGCGTATATGAAACTGATGCAGGGTGGGCCATAACTCAATAGTATTGCCGCAACTTTGGCTTCTGTTTGGGGAAGGTGGCCGCATTTGGCTTCCATTTCGACCGTTGGATGCCGATGTGCCACAATGATCGTCGCCGAAAACTACGACTCGATCGTGGCTGGTGCAAACGCTCTAGCTCGCGTTGCCCGAATGATATCAAATTCGACTTCAGCTTCTTGATCGCTTGACATGTGAGTCTCTCTTATTTAAATAGTTGCTCAGCAGCTAACGCGACTCTTTAGAGAGGACGACGATTCTTGAAACTTAGGTATCATTAATGTTGCGTTAATGTCCGGTCGAAGTGCACCTAAAGCCTTTATCCAACATCTGTCATGCTTGCCGCCGCCGGACGGTGGCCCGTCAAGCGCTGTCAAGCCTGCCTCATGAGCAGTGCACTGCATGAATCGAATGTGGCGGCCGAATGGATCGAGCCGATCTCGACTCAGATCTTGCGCCCGGCGCTCCCTGATCAGAGAGGCTTCTCGAGCGTCTATCATTATGGCGTACAGGCCCCAGGGGCGGGCGCACGTTCGTGGATGGGTCGACACACTAGGTTCAATCGTTCAAACGTTTCAAACAGCCAAGGCACGGCTGCAGTCTTCCTCTCGCAATCTCCACGGTGCGAGACCGCATCGGTGCTCCGATGTTGCTCGTGTTGCCGTGTGAGGTGTACTCAGGCTCTCAGCCTGAGTACGCCGACCCTCAGAAGAAACGACTCGGACGCGGGTCGCTATCGCGGTGGGAAGGTGAGTGGTCAATCATGCGCTCATTCTGCGTGTGGCGTCCAATCCAAATTTCCAGGTTGTCGGCGCGCGCAGCCAGTGTCGAGTCTTCCGACGTTCTGGTCTGGCGCTGTCCGATGCGATCGTGTGCCAGTGCCTGCTGAAATGTGTGCGAGTCTGGGCAGCCCGCCATCCAGCGTTGAACTCTGATGAGCGGCTCAACGCTCTCTTATTTCTTCCTGCCCCTCTCTCAGTCCGTCGACATCACTACCGGTGCAGAATCATCTCCAGCTCGGGCAGGGGACCGTGGCAAGACCTCCGGCTTGACACCCAGTGTTGAATGGCCGGAACCGGTGCGAGCGCCCCCGAATGCACGCCAATCATACTATTGGAGGTATAAAGCAGTACGGGACACGTTCCGCCGTACCTGCGCCGCCCTTCTGAGCCTTCCGCGTCCGGTGCACTTGACTCCACTCGTCAGTTGGGCACCAGGGCCCGCGCCCTTGTCCATATGGCGACATCACCCAAGGTTACGGTCTTCCATAGGCGGTCCGACTACGATGTACACAGCTATGTCGTAGGTGGACCCGGAGATAACGCGGTGCACCGTCTGAACGAAGAGCGACGCGCCATTCTCTCTGAAATCGATAATGCCAAGTTCTCGTACGTATTTCCGTGCGTCTTCTTTCCTTTTACTACTTGACGAGTCTCCCTTCGCTGTTTCTAGATGGTTCCACATCAAGGTCGCGTTCGTTTCTGGTGCGGGGTTTTTCACCGACGCGTATGTTTGCATTGCCTTCCTCCTTCACTGTTCGAAACTGACACGCTGCCGCAAGGTATGACATCTTCGCCATCAATGTCGTCACCATCATGTTAGGATACGTGTATGGCGACGGTACGTACCTCGCTACTTGGTGCCGTCACGACGCAAATTCCTCATGTCACCGTTTGGCTCCACAGATCAGAGCGCGTCGATCCCCGGAGTCGCTGGCCGGTCGCTCAGTGCGATGCAGCAACTCGGCGTGAAGATTGCCACGCCCATAGGTATCATCGTCGGCCAGCTGCTCTTTGGATGGCTTGGGGACGTCATGGGTCGCAAGCGGATATGTGAGCACTCACTATCAGTTGTGCAGTGCTCGTTGATACTGAACAATCCATGAATGTACCGACGACCAGATGGGTTGGAGCTGTTGATCATCATTATCGGCACGTTCGGTCAAACCATTGCTGCTCCCAGCATGGCTGTCAGCTTCATTGCGTTATTGATTGTCTGGCGCACCTTCGTGAGTACTCTTCTATGATACATCCGATGTGGTGTCTCATACTGACTGAGGCCATGCACAGATGGGGATAGGTATAGGAGGGGACTATCCTTTGAGTGCGGTCATCTCGTCCGAGTTTTCGTCCACGCACATCCGTGGTCGGGTCATGACAGCGGTCTTTGCCAACCAAGGATGGGGCCAGCTCGGTGAGCACCGACCTCCGCATTGCCCTTACCACACACAGAAGCTTACACTCTTGACAGCTGCAACCGCTGCCTCCTGCGTCGTCGTGCGCGCCTACAAGTCCAGCCTCCTCTCCAACGGCAACACGCTGCTCGAGGACATCGACCGCATCTGGCGAATAATCGTCGGGTTCGGCTGCGTGCCCGCGGTCGTCGCGCTCTACTTCCGGCTCACGATCCCGGAGACGCCGCGCTTCACGCTCGACATCCAGCGCAACGTCGACAAGGCCGCACGCGATATCGACGAGTTCCTCACGCACGAGGGGTACACAGTCGACCCCGAGGCCGTCTCACGGCGCCTGAGCGCGCAGAGGGCGACGAAGGGGGACTTTCGGAGGTACTTTGGGAGATGGGAGAACTTGAAGGTGCTGATCGGGACGAGTTATTCGTGGTTCGCGCTTGATGTGAGTCTCCTTTGCGTTCCGGTGAACGGTGTTGTGTTGATAAGTCGACACAGTTTGCGTTCTACGGGCTCGGCCTGAACTCGTCTATCATCCTCCAGGCCATCGGCTTCGGTTCGCCTGACAAGGGCATCACAGGTGGGCAGGCGATTTATCAGAACCTCTTCAACGTCTCCCTTGGCAACCTCGTCCTCTCCCTCGCGGGATTCGTCCCGGGATACTGGGTCGCCTTTCTCTTCATCGACCGTTGGGGCCGTAAGCCGATCCAGCTCATGGGCTTCTGCGCTCTGACTGTACTCCTCGTCGTCATGGGTATGTCTCCTATAGCGCATGTTTGGGTCATTGATGCCAACGGTTCTTCCCATGCTTCGTAGGCTTCGCGTATCACAAGCTCACGTCGACGACACGCGGGACCGCCGTGTTCGTCTTCCTCTACTGCCTTGCAAACTTCTTCCAGAACTTTGGGCCGAACACGACGACGTTCATCGTCCCCGGTGAGGCGTTCCCGACGCGCTACCGCTCGACTGCGCACGGCATCTCTGCGGCGAGCGGCAAGTTCGGCGCCGTCCTCGCGCAGGTGGCCTTCCAATGGCTCAAGGACATCGGGGGCCCGATTGGATCCAATGCTTTCCTGGATCATATGTACGTGTTCGATATTCGACCGTGAAGTGATGACTGGGTGTGCTGACGGTGATTTGTGGTGCAGCTTGCAGATCTTTGGGTTCTTCATGCTGACGGGTATCATCTCGACGTTGATGATACCGGAGACGAACCAGAAGACCCTGGAGGCGCTCTCGAACGAGCGGCAGGATCGGTTCTTTCGGTTTCTTGGTAAGTCTTCAAGTTATCCCTTCCGTATCCGCACTTGATACCGAGCGCGCAATGGAATGATTGCAGATCCCCGGCGCCGCTCCAGTGTCAAGACATTCGCAAGCGACTTCCCACTGACGACGATCAAGCTGAAGCCATTCGAGCCCACCCACGACCCTGAGCCTGAGGCGGATCCGCCAGATATATGTATTGATACCCCCGTCGCCCCGCTTCACAGACCTGTCTTCGCACATGTACATCAAGAGCACGAGCAGTTCGTGAGCTCGCCGTATTTGTGGAGCCCCTCGGCGTCCTCACTCAAGTGTTGATGGCGCTCAGGCTTGTATACCTAACTTATCCGACTCCTTGCTCATCTGCCGCGCACGCTCATTCTGTCTTCGCGCTCATTGTGTTGCTTCCTTGCGTACTGGTAAGATCAGATTTCTTCAGACTACCTCGACATTCGTTTTTCTGTACAGCGGCTTTGTTTGCGTTTGGTACAAAAGTCCTGGGGCCCTTGGCATCATCGATCCTTGTTGAAATCTGTGTAGAGTAAGACGTGCTTGTATATGGAATTTGTATAGATTCAACACAGACTGTCGTTATCAATTCTAAATGTTGTTGGGATAATATTTGGCATATTGTGCCGGCTGCACGCCGCAACCATAAGTTAGCGACAGTAGAAGCAAAAATGACCAGCCCCCATTATAGCGGAAATCCCATAGGTTCATGCCCGCGAACCCACGAACTAGACCGCTCATGCTCACATCAACATAGTGCCAATATACAAATTACCGAATGAGCATGATAGGAGTTACCGGGCAATTTAAGTCGATCCAGTCGACTCCTTGTGTGTGTTGTCGAACGCCCGCGCCACACCAGGCAGTTTTGAATTCTGTGCACCATGCTGCCCATCACGTGAGGTACGCTCGACACGGCTCGCTGCTCTCCTCACGACTGGCCAATGGCCGTCAATGTTTCAAAGCATAAGGGCGAGGGGGCGTTGACCTGGGAAAGTCTAGTAGTAGACCAGATATCATGAGCGCCAGCCGTTCCGTGGGTTCAGAGGCGTTCAGTAGCAACGTGCTACTGAGTCCGTGATTTCGTTGACACGTGGGAAGCGCCATGCGTGCTGGAGGAGGTTGCGTATCCGGCGTCGTTCCTTCTCTTCGTCACTCGTCACGGCCTGAGAGTTGGCAAATGTTCCAGCATTCACACCAAACTTCGACCTTCTGATGTCGGGTCAATAAGTTCGAGTTTTCTCACAGATTGCATCTCACGCACGCCTGCTTGATTGACAATCATTGCCAAATCAATACCATCTCTCCACAGTGTTTAAGCGCCGATTATATGGCGCGGCAAGGCTCTTATCCGTCTCTTTATTTTCAGAGTTGCCTTGCTGTCTGCCAGAGTCTACCAGGCTACTGCCAGGGTAGTCCTTCGCTAGCATTACACAGGAAGATATGACTACAGCACCTACAACATCCGCCGGAGCCACGAAGCGGACGGAATGGGATTGGAACAGGAAGCTGGACAAGCTTCAGAGACGCTTCGATGCGTACAAGGACAAACCAGCACCCGATCCCGACGCCTCTGACTATGACTCGCAAGAGGAAGAGGAAGAGAAGGACGTGCTTTGGGACATACTGCGGAGTGCATGCAAGCTCGTGAACATGGGCCAGGCGACCAAGCACTCGGATACACCGCAGATCGTCCAGCAAGTCCAGGCATTGATTAACAAAGTCGTAGAGCTCAGCATCAAGAAGCATTTTGGGTATAATGGGCTCAGGAGCTTTGCAGACAGGCCAGACACGCTGGTTGAGGATTCCATGCACTCTTTCATGGGACATCCTAGTGGCAAGTTGTTCACTCCCTCGACAGAATTTCTAAATTTCCCTTTTTTGTGCAGGGGACAGGCTTGCGGACGCGATGTCGAATTTTATGAGCTTTTTTGGATTACCGGCATGTGAGTGCGAGTTTGTTCCGTTACGCCTGTGCTCACGTATCCTGTCAGCTCCACCGTCCGGGCGTACCATTCTCCCTTGGACAAAACAGCAACAGCCTCACCCGGGATCCACACGACTCTCGCGTTTCCGCACTGGCGTGGAGCTTCCTTCCTATACAGAGCGCCCTCTCGCTACCGCTGTCCTCCAGGCCCGCTGCGAAGTTTATGACGCTGCCATTTGTCAGCCCATCCGGATGGCGCTGTCGGACAGCGGTGAGTGTCTCGCGGTGGCCGCGCACGCGGGGTACAAGTCGCGCGACCCAATGCTGCTGTACTGGCTCCCGAATGAGGGTCCGAACCCTGAGCAGAACTCCGTCGAGCCGCCGCTCATTGAGCCGGGCTTGAACATCGTACTCGACGACACGCGCAAGTTGATGTTCGTCGAAGACATCGACCGCGTCAAGTCCTTCTCATGGGCGGACAAATCGGGTGATCCGGTGCATACGCTTAACTCCTTCAGGTCGCACCGTGGCCCTCTCGCACTCTTGCCCAACGGCCGGTTGATTCGAGGCGGCGAGGGATCCGCGCTGTGCTGGACCCTCGACGAGCTCGAGACACATGGGCCTGACTACCGGCGTATTGGCGCAGGGGTCTATCGCTGGGACAACTGCCTGCGCAGTCTTCCATCTGATGAGGACGAGGAACACAGCACAGGCAGCCGACCAAGCACGAGGATAACCTTCGCGGATCGCGGCTTCTTCCCGCGGATCTTCCACCTTCACCAGCCCAGTGGGCACTTGCTTGTAGGCGAGGACCCCAACAGGGGACATGCCTGCGTCGAGCTTGACATGGATCATGGTGGTGCGGTTGCGGGGCGCTATCTAGGCCACGCCGCCACGGTTGCCGACTTCTCGACCAGCGAGGGCGACGCAAATGTCTTCCTGACGGCTTCGGCGGATGGTTATGCAAGACTTTACGACCGTCGGCAGCCACTCCCTGTCCTAACTTTTGACGTCGAGAAGCGCGAGGGGCCACTCTTCGCTGCGATGCTAGTGCACGTCGACGGGCTCCCAAGTAAGCGCCTCTCTACCTACCATCAAACTCAACACTGACATACCATAGTCATGTTCTCCGGCGGCCGCAAAACGGAGGGGATCAAGTGCTGGGACATCCGCGCCAAGAAGTGTATCTACGAGCTCAGTACAGGAAACACCTCTGTCGAGGGCCTCGCCTGGTCGTCTGCACAGTCGACGCTTTACGCCGCCACATCCACTTCGTATCAGGACTGGATCGGTAATCACTTCAGCTACCGCGACTGCAAGGTGCCCAGCGGGACGGATATATTGCCGCCCAAAAAGATGCACAACAACCTGTACTGGCCCGACCGCGCGATCCATGTCGAGAATGCGTTTGGGTATGTGTACGATGCGGGGACACACGTCATGCGTTAGTATCACGTTCCTATTTGTCTCGAGCAGAAAAAGCTAATTGTTATGCGCAGTGAGGTATTCGTTCAAGGAGCAGCCCGAACCCGACATTCTGCCCATTTACGGTGACGCCAGACCACTGAGCGAGGACGACTGGTTCTGATCACTTCACTCCTTGATCACCCTGTGCCATTGTTCATCGCTCGGTCTTGCACCTTTGTCATCTGTATCGTTCACACCACGCAGACAGTAAAACCGTTGTATCTCACCCACAAAGAAATACGTCATAAAAACAATCTCCAACGAATGTGAGTCAGTGCTACGCCTGTGGCTTGATCTACGAGACCTGCCAAATCGGGACCAATGCATGGTTGCGAAGCGCCCGCGTCTCAGGGACGTCGCCGTCACTTCTTCACCTCGGACTCGTGCCCAACAGTGCTCTGGATCTTACTGACTTGTCCAAGTACCTACCGAGATATCTCAACCACTAGGTAAACACGCCGGAGGATGGCTACAGCTCCAACAACGACCGGCTCTATCCCGAGGTCTGAATGGGATTGGCAGGGGAGGCTAGCTCAACTGCAAAGACGGTTCTACGCACATAAGGATAGACCAAAACGCGACATTGATGACTCGGACTATGACTCAGAAGAGGACGAAGACGAGGAGCTTGTACCCTGGGAGACTCTCCAACGTGCATGCATGGTCGCGAACAAAGCCCAGGTGACAGGACATCCGGACACGCCAACCATTCTCGAGCGGGTGCAGGAGCTACACACCAAAGTCATACAAGTCTCCATCTCCAATAGGTGGCGCCCTACTTCCCTGAAGAGCTTTGCAGATAGGCCGGGCACGCTGGTCAAGGACTCGATGCACGCGTTCATGGGACACGCGAACGGTAATTCAGGCATACACCTCTTCGACGAGATTGGTCTTGACTGGCCAACCCAGGAGATGCGATGGCTAACGCTATGGCAAACTTCTTTGGGGGCCTTGTGGGCAGGCCGGAATGTAAGTGCATATATGCTGTATACTACTGAGATGCTCAATCCTCCTCGCAGCTCCAACGAGTCAGGCTGTACGTACCATTCTGCCATGGAAGAAAGAACAGCAGCCCCATCCGGCATCCACGCGTCTCTCGCGCTTTCGCTCTAGGCTAGAGTTCCCTTCCTCGTCGACCCATCCCCTAGCAACTGCAGTCCTCCAGGCGCGCTGTGAAGTCTATGACGACTTCATCTTGGAGCCCTGCCGGATGGCACTCTCGGACAGCGGCGGCTGTCTTGCAGTGATCTCGAATGCTGGGTACAAACAGCGCGATCCGTTGCTGCAATATTGGCTCCCGAATGCGGATGCGAATTTCAAACAGGAGGCTCTCATCCCACCACTCATTGAGCCGGGCATCAACATCGTGCTTGACGACGAGCGCGAACTCATGTTTGTCGCAGACCGCGACCGCATCAAATCCTTCTCGTGGGCAGACAAGTCGAGCCGCCCGGTGCACAGCATGAACTGTATGAAGACGCATCGAGGTCCGCTCATAGTACTACCTGGTGGCCGCTTACTCCGCGCCGACGACGGGTCTGCCCTATCTTGGACACTCGACGAATTACCGACACACGGTTCTGGTCCAAACTACTCGCGGATCGGTCTAGGCAGGTATAGCTGGGCAAACTGTATGCGCGACCGCAACGACGACCAAGAGGAATACAGCACGGGGAGCCTGCCGAGCACGACCGTGCCCTTGCGCTTCCACCCGCGCACGTTATACCTACACAAGCCTAGTGGGCATGTCCTCGCGGGCGAGGACCCCAGCAAAGGATACGGTTGCGTTGCGCTCGACCTCGAGCATGGCGGTGCCGTGGCGGCGCGCTATCTTGGCCATGCTGGAACAATCGCCGACTTCTCCACCAGTGAGGGCGATGCGAACGCCTTCTTGACGGCTGCTGGGGATGGCTATGCGAGGTTGTATGACCGCCGGAGGCCACTGCCTGTCCTGACGTTCGACGTCGAGAAGCGCGAGTCGGCACTCATGGCCGCGGTTCTCGTGCATATCGATGGTATACCGAGTAAGTGCATCGCACTCACCACCTGTTCCCAGTCTGACCTCCTATAGTCATGTTCTCGGGCGGCAACAGATCAGCAGGCATCAAATGCTGGGACGTCCGCGCAAAGAAGTGCGTATACGAGCTCAGCACCGGGAACACTACCGTCGGGGGACTCGCCTGGTCATCCGCGCAGTCAACGCTCTACGCCGCCACCGCAAGTCCGTATCTCGACTGGAAGGGTGGTTATTCGAGCTACAGCGAGTTGCATATGCCCGAGGTTGCGGACATCTTGCCGCCCAAGACGCGTCGCCCCGGCCGCAAGGTGTTCTGGCCCGACCGTGCGATCCACGTCGAGAATGCATTTGGTTATGTTTATGATGCGGGGATGCACGCCATGTGTGAGTTCACTTTTCGTGGTGCGTCGGGTGGCATGGGTTGATCAGTCTTTGCAGTGAGGTATGCGTTCAAAGAGCAGCCCAAACTCGATGTGTTGCCGGAGTACGGGGATGGTCGACCAGGGCGCGATGATTATGGCTCCCTGTTCTGATGCTTTGACAGTCTCATCCTTCACCAATGTTTATCTCTATCAGATTCTATTGCTCGACCTCGCGCCTTCGCGCCTTACGAATCACTACTGTATTGTTGCCGCGGTATCTGTAGAAGCTCGTCTTCCCCTTGTACACGATGTATCATAGCAGTGTAGTATAGCACGAATATTGTACATGTAACATATAGCATGACTTTGCTGCCGCAAACTCTGCCTTCTCCTGTCTGAGGACAATAGGGATGCGTGAAGTTCTGGTCGGACGCTCTCGTTCAAGTGTCAGTCGGCGAAGTTCCCACTAAAGGTTTACTTAGTATTCGATACCTGCGTCAAAGTCTACTTCAGTGAGTCTAGAACCCTCCATTGACGGCTTCGGAACTTCAGCCCAATGCTTGATTGCTAAGGCTGACTAACGCGAACTGAGGATGCTGTCTCCAGACCTGCGGGCGAGGATATTTAGAACCTCTATGTTGGCTATACAGTTCCCGCTATACAAGGACGACTCAGTAGTAGCACGGTTTGCAAGCTGACACACTCTATGTTGAACTGGGAAGACGGAGTGTCTGGCTGTCGGGTTATGTGATGCACCGCGACAATCGTGGCACGCGGAAATGGAAGCGACAGCCAGGAACTTACTTGACCACCAGGGCCTAATGGTGAGAGCGCGCATTGCATAGGTGCAGACATGTCATAGCACCCTGTCCCAGTACTGGCACCAAAGGCCCAGGCGTGCTTGCATACAACCGTAAATACGGTAAATATCCCCGATGCAAAACCGCAAAGACGTAGCGGAAAATGGAACACGGGCCATCCGGCCGGGTCTTATGCCTCTACAGGCTTAGACTTTTTCTGGAGCAGACAACAATGACGCTCAGCAACGAGGATGGGCAACGTGAAGAGACGACGCACATATGCTACGGCACTGAAGTCGTAGTTGATGCCTGCCTCCTCTAACTTCCGTTTCCGCTGCGCCTGGCGCTTCAACAGACGCTTCTCCGCTCGTTCTTGCTCCTCCGGTGTACGTGGCTAGCATGAAGTCAGTGTGTTGCTCGTCGACTGATAGTGGCTGAGGTACCTTGTTGTGCTGCACACGCGCGATCCGACTCCTCGGGACAACGCGCCACTTCCTATTTGCGCCGATCCAGAGCTCGGGATGAACTTCGTCTTTAGGGATGATCTTGCATGTCAGGATGTGCCCCATGAGCAAGTAGTTGTCCATCGTCTCCGCGACGATCTGGGCGACGGAAGAGGAGTCGAACTCGATGAAGGCGTAGTGCTTTGAGCGACCGGTCTGCAAGAGTGTGATAGTTAGCTTTGGAGATGCACAGGATGCGGAGTGACTAGCCTTCTTGTTGCGCGATAGGCGCAACCGAGTTACCGGCCCGAACTGAGATAAGTACTGGCGCATCTGGTCCTCATAGAAACCGTGAGGTATCCGGCCAAGGTAGATGACACCGCGATCCTCTGTCTGTCAAAACGTCAATACTGAGTGAGGCTCGAGAACGACTTGCGATGCGTACCGGATGCCTCTTCGCCTTTTCCAACTTTTTCTTCACCACCGCGTCATCCTTCGCAACAGTCGGTAGTTTTGAGACGTCAATACCGCCCCACTCCTCGCCCATCTCTTCGTCCGATGAGTCATCATCATCTGTAGAGAAACCGTAGAGATGGTCCGCCTCGCCGTCGACCTCTGCATCCTTCTCCACTAATGGCGCCTCGTCGTCGTCAGACGCGGACGGCTCAGGCTCGGGGGAGGGCGCCTTGTGCTTCTTCTTGTCTTTCGACTTCGACGACAAGATTGGATGAGAGATGCCTACGGAAGTAGCTGAGGACTCCTTGTGTGCCTTCTTCGATGGCTTAGGCTGTTCGTCCTTCGCGGTGGCAGCCTCTGTAGCCTCCACACCTTCCTGCTTTCCCGTCGCTTCAATGAGGGCACCCTGCGCAGGGTGCTCAGCCTCCTTTGCGGACTTCCGCCCTTTTTTCGACTTCGCCTTCTTTTCCGCCCCCGCGATCATCTCCACATCCTTCGCCTGCTCTTCGGCAGCAGCGCTCTGGTCAACAGCATCTGTTTTCTTCCCCTTTCCCTTCCCCTTCACCGGTGCAAAGTCGACTACCTCTTTATGCTCTTTCTGTTGCTTGTCCTTGCTCTTCTTCGCAGCCGCCTTTTCTGCGGTATGCGCCTGGACCGACTCTGTCGGCGTAGCAGCCTCTTTCTTCGTCTTCCTCGACTTTCTCGAAGCAGACTCGCTCTCCACAGGTTGCGCGTCGTTAGATGCCCTTGGAGTAGCGTCTGCTCCTGCCTGCGACCTCCTCTTCCTCTTCTTCGAGTCTGCGTTGGATGGCTCCGCGCCGGGAGACGTCGGCATAGGCTCTGCTAGCTTGGCGGACATAGAGTCTTTGGACTTTTGCTTCTTCAGTTTGTCTAGCGAGCTCGGAGCCATGACGGGATATGCAGCAGCGGAAGACGACAAGGAGGCAGCGGGCGGCGGGCGCGAATGGTCGAGATTATTTGTCCCGATGCGATCTATAGCAGGCACGTGGGTTTGTTTACCAAGAGCCTCTGAATCAAACAACCGCTTCGCCTCTTTTGGTATCTTCGTCTCTACTGAATGCCTCCGCCATGTTCGCGCGTTTCGCCAACCCTCATGCCCTCGATGCGAAAATTGAAATTGTCTCACGCAATACTATAACAGAGGACGACACAGAGTCTACCGGTGAAGCTCTCCGCGACGACGGACTGTTGAGCGAACTGGACCGACTTGTGAAACGCTCGCTGGGTGAGCTTGATGTCCCCGGAAGCGTCGAAGAAAAGTCCAGGAAAAAACGCAGGAAGATAGAAAAGGATAGTACGAAAAACTGTCAGGAAGGGAGTGCTGAGTCCATGGCCTCCATACGTACGCACGAGGCATTCGTTCCACTGTCCAGAGTCCAGACGCACTGACAAGTGTGACGTTCGTAGCGTTCCGCCTCGTATCACGTACTCTGCCTCCAAAAGAGATTGAACTCAGGCCTGCGGGCCCTCCAGTGATTGTGTGAGTTCGTGCTCATATCGCTTGATGTCTTAAACGGCTTACTGAAGGTCCGTTAGTGTTAAGGAGCCGTCGTGTGAAGACAACAACGAAGAGGCAGAATGCCGCAGAGCTCGAGCCCAGGAAGCTGCAATAGATCTCGGCCAAATAATGTCTATGCAATCACGAAAGCTCGACGACGTATGTGATTTTCAATTGGGCGTATCGAAACGTGCTCACTCTCCCGCCAGTCTCATCGGACAAACGGCAGAGGCGCGATCCACGTTACATGCGAGCTCCCTTCGCCTTCGTCGCCGGTAATAGTCGTGGAACAGAGCAAACCTACGCCACAACGGCCGAAGATCGTTAATTCTAAACCATCCCTGGAGATCCGACCATCACCGCATACCCTACGGCCCAACATACATGTCCCAGTGGTAGCAGTAACTGCTGTGCCAGAGGATAGCAAGTCGAAGAGCTCGAGGAACATCCGACGAGCGCGAGCGAAAGCGCACACAACACCTCCACGGCCTCCAGCAACGTTCTGGCGACCATTACGAGAATGGGGTGTCAAAGCCGCTGGCTACTCGGTGGGTTATGAAGGCAGCTGGCCTGTATACGAGAATGATCAGTCGCGATACAAGTATCAGCGCGATACGATGCGGAAGGGGGTACACGCGACAGAATGGCGATGACCTGCTGCATCCTGTCATGCACGGACTTCTAGAGGATATGCAGCTCTGCTACGATGCTATAAAATACAGTTCCCTGGGTATCTATCGATACAGGCCGATCACTCGTCCGGGTCTCATTCTACACTCATCTCGTCAGCGTCCTGTTGATGTGGGTAGTCTCTCGTAGCGATCTGTTTGCCCTTATCCCGATCCCTATGTTCCCGCATCTTCTGTGCCCATTGCTCCTCGCCGCCAGGCACGCCCTTGCCACCGAATGGACCTGCCTCTGAGCTAGCCTCGAGGGCAAGTTCAAGTAGCTCTAGCACTGGGCCATTAATGGGATCGATGCTTAACGTCTGGTAGATACCATGAGCATCGCCCCACTAGCATATGATGATGCAATTCTTACCTCGTGGTACTTGACGATGGCGCCGTCGATGTCACCAAGTAAGTGGTACGTCACGCCGAGGAAACCCATCGCCGTCTGATTACGTGGATCCATCTTCACCACTTCCTGGTATGCTGCTTTGGCCTCTGCTAGACGCCTGGAAGCATTCACTCGATGAGCGACGTTTGCAGCGCGGGAAAGATATACCTACCCGAGCTTGCGATATGCCGTGCCCAAGTTCAGGTACGTGTTTATCCACGCCCGTTGTGAGGTCTGCACGATTTGTGCTAGCTCGAGTGCCCCCAAGAAGAGCGTCACAGCAAACTCAAAGCTGGTCATTCAGATCAAACAATGAATGCTGGCGACATGAAGCGGATACTCACTCTCCCCGGTGGAACGCAAGCACGCCACGCTCATTAGCAAGTAGCGGGTCAGCGTCGCAAATGAGGTTTGCAGCAGTGAACGATTCATTGGCCATCTGAATATTGGAGAGGCTGATGTGCTCCATTCCGACGAACATCAGTGGAAGGTGCGAGCCGGTGAACAGGCGGGTACATGTCGAGTATGCTGTTATCGCGTGGTCATGCTCGCCTTCATGTGCGAACGTATGTGCGAACGCAATCCACGCCGGTGCAAATCGCGGGTCCATGAGCGACGTCTTGCTTTGGTGTGAACACTACATCTAAGCCAGCGCTCCGCCCTGAATGAGAACGTGCATACCTGAAGTATGTGCGTGCCTCGGACCACTTGCCCGACGACAGATACCATACACCCACTGCGTACCAGCTAATCGGGGACTCCGGTTCTTGATCGACGAGCTCGTGCGCGAGAATGAAAAGTTTTGAGTTGAGATGAGAGAGATGATGCATGCATGCGAGGTGCAATGGCATGGTGGGCACGTGCACTGTGACGAGACCCAATATCCTGAGACGATGTTCAGACCCAAAACATGATGGCTATCAGGCAGCACGTACCTCGAAGTAACGGTGAAGCAGTCAGCGAATCTGAACTGCGTGTAGAGCGCATCGGCAAAGCTATACAAGACGTCAGGGTTGTCGCCGAGACCATACTCGTCTACGAGACGTGTCCTTGCTAAGGCATGTTCTTCCGCGTGTTTCAACTTGCGCAGTCGAGAGGTGTACATGAGACGCATGAAATCGGCGTCTTCTGGCGTTTGGTCTTTGTATGCAAGGCCTTGGACGAACTCCCACTCTTGTTTTCTGTCAGTATATGCCCGCCGTATGAGAAGGCCAATATACCTTCGTCTGGAGACATCATTTGCCCGTCGATAAGCTGTTGGAACGCCTCGAAACACTTGACGTCCAACGCAAGAGCCTCCATGAAGCATGCCTTTGCTTGGTCTCCCCGATTGAGCTTCAGCATGAGCAGGCCACGAAGGTGACACATAGAGGCTTCGATCTGTGAGCAACGTCAACTTGACCCTTCCAGCGCAACTGAGATACATACTTTGATTCCACCGTCCATGTTCGGTACATCAGGCCCACTCCTCCCAGACTCCCGGAATGGATTGGCCTCGCCCAGAATCTCAGTCGCCTCGTTCCACTTCCCCTGCCTCACTTGACATTGTGCGCACAAATAGCGGCACGCGACGCTCATGTCCACCAATCTCGACACGCCATCTTGATAACGAGCAGCGACGTCAATCAACTCGCTGGGTCCGATTGGCAGGCGTTCCATGATGGGCGCATTCGCGGGTGGCACAGGGAAAGGAACCTCCTTCTGCTTTCCTTTGGAGTTGATGGGTCCGGCCTGTGCATGGCCATTCATACCAGGTGGCTGATATGTACGCTGGGGTGGACCGGTGGGGAAGGGACGCGTCAGAAGACGTTCGGCTCGTGAGTACTGGTGCGTGAGGAAGTACGTCTGCGCAAGCCAGAACGCGTCATTCGGATCATCTGGATGGGCTCGTCATGAAAATGAAGGAAGAGGACGCGTCAACGACGCACTTGTCCAATCAACAATCTTGTCTCCCCAGAATGCCGCGGTCTCATACAGGTGCTGCATGAGCGCGTCGTGTCTCCACAGTCGCATACGGTCTACAATCCCAGCCTCCGGCTCCCCCTCTGCGTCCTCCGCATTCATGTCTTCGTCGTCTTGGAACACATCCGTGGTGTCATTGGCAAGCGGGTGTCTGGAGGTGCTGAACTTCGCCTTCCGCGCGACATGGGGCGAAGCGTACAAAGGGGAAGCCTGAAGAATCGAGCGGTTGGGATCAAGCGCAAATGAATGTGGGTTGGAAGCGATGCTATTGTTTGCTTCCGCGAATGAGTTCACGAGCGACTGTGGCCCGAAAGAGAAAGACGAGTTCAGAGAATGTCTCGGTGGACGCGAACCCGAGGGCGAGCTGAACCTAGGCAGCGAGGAAGCAGCAAAACCACCAGCCGGAGGTGGCGTTGAGCCCATTATGGCGACGAGCACAGCGAGGGTGATGGTGGTGGCGGTCGAGTGGCAGGCGCGTGAAGGACGCGTGAAGGGCGACGTTGAGTCTCACGTGGCGGCGTTTGTTAGGATCCGAAGCTCTTGCCAAACAATGCTCCCGATTTGGCGAGCGCTCTCGTGGCAATCGATTCCTCCACGCGAGTCCACGGTGACGGAGCAAAATTATGCATAGCCGCCGCAGGTGTTTTTCATTTTCCCCCTTATCGATGTCTGAGCGATCGTATAAGTATCCGTCGACGGTCCAGGTACTTGTCTCCCGCCCGCCATCTGGTCGCTGTGTTCTCGAGTCACTTGTGACGCTGACGGTCGAGTCAATTGTGTTACTGAGTCGAAACCATACGATTGGAGACAGCCCAGCCTGTTTTGCTCTGCTTTGACCCCTGCATGCTGAAGTTGGACTTCTCATGTGTCCCAACAGGTTCACAGCCAACATTGTGAAGACCAGTATCATATACGCCGCGGTGAAGTACTGAGCTTACATCGCTGTTATGGGAGCAAGAGGCTGGCATGGCAGAAAGAAGGAAGACAAATCGACGCTCCACGGGAACGGAGCAGACCAGAGGCTATGGTACAACATGTCAGAGAATAGGCAAAGAATCCTGGTCCAAAGGTGTCCGTAGGCCATAAACAAGAGTGACAAATGCAAGCATCGGTACGTCATGGTATCGTCCTGGGGACTGCGGGTGTTGACTCGAAAGCGTTTAGATATCATATATTTCAACCACTCACAGTGGTCGTCATATAGCTATCGCAGCTCTGAGACCCATCGCCCGAGCACCAGCACCGACAGCCCCTTCCCAGCCCAGGAAGCGCTCGCTCCTCGAGCTGTAGTCAGCCTCGTCCGCCATCTCCTCATCGAGCGACCACTGAGCACTCCTCGGCCGACGCGACCACACGGTGATGAACAGCACGCGCTTGAGCTTCCTGTTGTAGAAGAAGTAGTGGCTGCTCCAAAGGAGGGATCCCCGACGATGCATCCGTATACGCGTGGGCGACGGTATCCGGAAGGCAGATTCGTCACTAGACGTAGTGCGCCCACTACTGGGTGACATCCGCCCGTCAGCAGGTATCCGCCGCGAAGGCTGGTCGCCAGCCTCATCGACGTCATAAGGGTCGGCGTCGAAGAGCAGCTCTTCCTCGGAGGATGCCGAGTCCTCCTCGCCGACAGAGGCGACGTCGTCCTCGTCGTCCTCGTAGTCGTTCGCGTGCGGGTCGAACTCAACCATGCTTGGCTCGTACGAGTAGACTTCGCACTCGGCGACGCCTATCGCGTCGTCGATCGCGCGGTAGAGCAACGGATGCGTGCCGGAGACTGCCTTGGGAGGTGCGTTCGGGCTCTGTCGAATATAGTCTACGGGTGACGAGGACGTGGGGAGCGAGGAGGGGAACATGCCGGGCGCGGAACGTGGGTAGGCAGAGTAAGCCCGGGGTGCGTGCGTGCCGCGGTATGTGAGGAGCGCCGTGCTGAGCGAGTTCAGCACGTCCGCCGGCTCCTCGCAGTGGAAGTCGGTAGGCTTCACGTCGGAGAACTCGTGGTCAGGGTAAGCGACGTTGAGCATCGCGATCACGGTGTGGAACGTCTTGCGCGCATTGGGGTCGGACATTGGCCCGAAGGCGGTCGACTCGTCGAGCGCGATGAAAGACGGCACGGGTGGCGAGTTGGAAACCTCGTCGTTGTATGCGCTCTCGAGCTGACGGAAGAGCTTCTTGTCGCGTTTGATGTTCTTGCAGCTGTATGCTTCTATGCGGGTGCGCACAGAGCATTCGGGTCCGTCATGGTCGAGGCGCTGCGCAAGGCGCGAGAGGTCGGGTATGTCGATATACTTCATGGAATGGTCTGTTACTGTAAGTGGTTGTCGGCCTGGGGTGAGGCGTCTTGATGCTGTTGGTATCGTTGCTTGCCAGCGGGGCGGTGGATGGGTATGCGTCTCGGATAAAGGGGCGGCGGAGCGCTGGGAGCTGGCGCGACGCGCTAAACGCGGACAGTGGCAGCCACAGCCCACGCTCCTGCCTAATCCAGACCGACCCGGGGTGTGTTAGCCACGCACGTTCTTGACAAGCAACCACTACTGCCGCTTCCCTCTCAGAACAGGAGATAGGTGTGACCTATTAGTACTTCAGCTTCAGTAGCAGACTCGCTCACAAACAGATGACGACTTTGGTTCCGATCGTTCACGTTCGTCGATTTACTGGCCGGAGACGCTTGCTTCCCCGAATTTGACGATAACCAAAATGACTGCGAACAAGGGCGTATCCCGAGCATATCATGCGAAAGTGTATCACCTCACGTTCAAACTGACAGTCAAGACAACGCAGATACTATGACCAAATCCCGAACACGTATTGTTACAAAACCACGCCCCAATCTACTGGCAGAGTTTCTAGTGTGGCGTTTCGGTCATCGTACAACGTGTAGCTCGATATCGTCCGATATTCTATCCGCAATGGGTATATCAAGGCTGAGCGTTTCGCTCCCTGACAGTGTAGATGAAAGCAACGAGTTGGACGCTGCCCTGAAGTCAGTCGAGGTGCCCGAGTACCAGTGGTGGTCAAGTAGTTCGCCCATATTGCCGATCATACTCGTGCTCCACCCCTTAGATTGCAGGTAGAAGACGTGTCGGAGGTTGAGCATAAACCGCGAGATGAGGATGGATGAGATGCTGATCGCGTTAGGTCAGTTTATCAAAGACGAACGGAGTATAGAGACAAGGCATACGGGGCGACAAAAACTGAAACAAAGTTTGTAATGGCCTGGAGAGACGCGTCAGTACACTTCCAAAGAGCAACATCAATCACATACTCCATTCACCGACTTCAACGCCATCTGCAGGACGTTGAGGAACAACAACGAACTAGGTGACGAACGTTGGTGATCGAAACCCGGCGTCCAAAGCTTAGACATACACGAAATATAACGACCCTTGGAGCATAGCTTCAGTGGCTGACCGATGGTCATCGTGTCGCAACAACGTACCGTCCCGTGCCAATTGCGTTGTGAGGGGTGTCCTTGTCCTAGGGTTGATCACCCGCCGTGTTCTTAGAGTGGTATACAGCGTAAGGCCAATCAGGAGGGCATCCGCGAGGATGGCGCACAGCCGCGTGGCAATGAGTGCTTTGCATGGGACTCAGTACGACCTCTTTGTGGTGCATATAGCGATACGTACCGCTAGCAGTGATAGAGGAAATGTTAGATGACATCAAGTAATTGTTCGAATAGTAGGCACACACTCGTCATATGACTGTACCGAGTAGTAGTCTGTGTAATTGCAGACAGGCATGTCGTCGATAATAAGAACATAAGCATTTGATGACTTCGCGGCGAAGTACTGTCGAGCGAAGTCAGCGCCGCTCCCGTAAAGTGTGGCGTAGTATGCGTACTATGCTTGCTATTGCTATCGCAAGCCCGAGGCCTAGAATGACAGAAGCAATGGACCATCTGCGTCCGCCAATGGCAAAGGCTCGGAGAGCAGAAAATACTTTGAACGTACTCCTTAATGATCATTAGTCAACGGCTGGCTATTAGGGGCGACTCACCTGCGATTATGATATACAGTAGGATAGAGACTACATCATACAGCATGATGGTCGCTTCGCAACTACAATCATGTCATTGACGTAATTATCGCGAGGGACTCGCGTACCTCTGCCAGCGGACTATCAGTAGGGTGTAAACAGGGAGGCATAAATATCAGCTTACTAGAGGGGTATCCCAAGCAACAGTCTGTAAGACGATAGTGATGCCGAGTATCAAGACCATATATCGGTTCAGTAGAAAGATGATCGTCGCTCCGGTCAGTCGCGTCCCCCACACATATCGTATTTCCTGAGCAATTGTCACCGTGTGTTCGTGAAATATCATGGCTGGCAAAGCCATCTTAATTTACGTGGAATGCTCGAGTACAATATGAAAGCTTACTGGCCGCTGCCAACTGGCACGCCGTGTTGGTGAATCTAAGGTAGTAGCAAACATCATCAGAACCATGTCAAGCTCGTAGAACGGTATGGTCACGCACGTTAGCTTGAGGGCAGTGATGTCTGCTTGTGTTACTTGCGTGACGCTTGATGACATTGGGGATGCCGATGGGAGGAAGGGGGCATACAGTGCTGCTGGGAACGAGTCTGCTACGCCCATCTGAACACGCCGAGCCGGTGTATATGCGCGCACTCAGTGTGGGCGGTAGTGGCGCTAGGCTATACTCGGTCGCGGTCGTCTAGCATGTCACGATGCAAATCTGTTGAAAGAGGATAGTTGCGCTGACCGTGAACCACCCACCGTGAAGACGCGTGCGGGGCATCCAAGTCGATGCGAGTTGACTTTTGACAGCCTGGAATGCAGCTCGGCCCCTACAGCGACCGCTGATAGACAAAAGCGCAGCTTTGGACGGCGTCAGAACCGTCTGGAGTAGCGACGGCATACCAGCTGAGCTGCAATTAATGTTGCAGAACTCACCGCAGTCCCTCGGGTCTTGTGCGGTGGCCCCTTGAAGCTGTTGATCACGACCGCAGGACGTGGATAGTAACAAAGAGCAGTCAAGGCGTAGTGCGTGGTCGAAATGTAAGTACCGCAACCTTGTTCCTGGCCTGTATACGAATCAAGGACGCGCCTTACAAGCCGTTTCCCTCAGAGAACGCCTCGAGAACGCAAGGGACTCCGATTCTCCAGCGCTCGGCGGAGTAGTTAGTCCCCGGGCGCGATAGTAATAGTACCAGTGAAGGTCTAGCGTCCGTCGTTACGGAGTTCTATAGTATTGGCTTCCCCGCTGGCGGCCGCCTCGGTATCTGACCGCCTCTTTGCCGGGGTGCACACAACACAATGAGGCGGCGAGGCCAACATGTTTTGACGGAGCTGGCACTTGTCTGGTACAAGGGCCGGCGCAGCGCTGCAACAACATCCCCGGACAGTCCCCGGACCTCGCGGGCGAACGAGATCAATTGACCGGCCGTCTGTATTCAGTAGAAATGATCTGACCATCGTACTTAGATTCTCAGACGCGTCGGTCACGTGTAGCGCGTCAACGCGTTCGCAGGTGTTGAATCCGAGTTCATAACTTACCTATGTATGTCAGATGCCCGACGTTGAGGGTCTAAGCTGTCGCCATGGCCTCGCAGATACACTAAATTTGATTTGCAGACAATGTAGTGTCGACCCTAAACCCTGCGCGATAATCTGAATTAGTCAAGATGTTACGCTAACGTTGTCGCGTCTGGAGTTTGGCACCTGCAGTCAAGTATTGTCCGGCGCCGAGTGGCCAGGGCACCGGTGCCAGCGTCAGCTTGTGCAACACCGGTAAATAGAAAGCGAGCGGACGCTTGAGTTGCCATCTGACATTCCTGGGCGCGAAGTCACAAATCGTCGCTCAGGTGAGGATTTATTTGTCAAGGTGCGTCCCGAGGGATCTATCGATTTGCTCATTTACAGCGACTTCTCGAGCACAATCAGCTCGTCCAGCTTCGTGGTGCTCGTCGGCGTCACAACCGCGGCACTCAGGGGCGCACGAACAACCGTGCCTCCATACCCGAAATGCTTCGACACCACCGCCTTGATACCGCCAATGCTACCCAGCTTGCCCAGCTCCCAGTCAGCGTGACCGAGCAGTCCCTGGATCTTCTCCGCCTCCTGGATCTTACCGGCCTTGTACAGACGGTACACCTCCATGTGCGCCTTCGGTGCAACATTGGGGAGCGCACCGATGAGACCTGCGCTGCCGGATACGAGGCCCTGGAGGAAGACGTCGGACACACCGGGGAAGGTGGCGAACTTTGTGATGGGGACGGTCGAGGTCAACCGGTGAAGCTTGCCGATAGTACCGCAGGACAGCTTGGTGCCGACGATGTTTGGGTGCTTGGCAAGCTCCCCGATAATGTCGGAGTCCAGGTTCAGCCCTGCGGTGACGACCGGGAAATTGTACACCATCGTCGGGATAGGTGAGGCATCCGCGACCTGTTAACCGCTATGAGGGTGAGCGGAAATGATGAATCAAGGGACCGACGTACGTCGCTGTGGAACTTGATGATCTTCTCCGGCGTCATCTGGGTTGGCCAGACAGACGGCGTGAGGACGAGGCAGAACGCCGCGCCCGCCTCCGCGGCGTCCTTGCAGAGCTTCTTCGTCTCACGCGTCGATTGCGCACCGGTGCCCGCAATGATCACCACTTGTTGGAACCCATTGTCGTCGAGGGTCTTCCGCGTCAAGCGTATTGCCTCCTTCCGCTCGTCATGGGACAGGTGTTGCGCCTCGCCGTTACTGCCCTGTACGAGGATACCCGTCACGCCGCCCTAGCATTTCCAGATTCGTAAGCCTGCTTCCGTGCAACTAGATGCCTTGGTACTTACCTTCGCCAGCCGGAGGATGTGCGCCTGGATAGCGGGCACATCGAAGTCCTCGTTCTCGTCGAAGTACAGGACGGCTGGGACGTAGACACCCGAGGGCGGAGGAGTGCTGTTGGATGTCATTGCGGGGTCGGTGCGCTATCTCGAATGCAGCGTTGAGTCATTCTGGAGGTCTATATATCGCATCTCGATTTCTCATCGCGATAGAGAGTGTACGGAGACTCACTGGTCCGCCGGCTTGCCGGCCCTTCCGCTGAGCACTGTCCAGTGCTCACTCGGAGGCACTCACACTGGGTGGTGTATCGTCTCATGATCATCCTAGTCCATGGGTAAGTCCGAGCGTGTCCTCCAGAAGCCATCTGCTTGTAATGTTCCCATGTATGACGAACGGAGTGAACAAAGAAGACTACCGTGGTGCGCAGATGTTGCAGTTATCGCAGGTTGCCAAAAGGAGTAGATCCAGGCAGCGTCGGGCTTAGTCAGCAGCGGACCGAGTACGCGCATCGTCGCGGCAACACGTCCATCCACTTTCTTTCATCTCTCTTGCGCATTCTCTGTCCGCGTCCTCGCCACCAGGAAGCCCGCATGCTGGCTAGCTTACTACACGCGCGACACCAGTGATATCCGGTCTGGACCTACTCTGCGACACGGCCCAATGTACGCCGCCGTGCGCCGTCGTGTCTCCGCGTTCTCGCTGAAGAAGACCATCGCTTATGGCCTGAAGACCCCCTCTCGGAGAGAGCTCGATGCCTCTCGCCCGGCTCATCGACAATTCACGACCTTTCTGACGTCTAACCACCTCCGTTCACGACCTCGCTATGCCCCGTCTCCAGCCGCTCTGCGCCATATGCACGTCCGCGCGCTCTCGTACTCGTCTATCCCCAGATTCGTGCTCCGGGCCTTCCGCGTCCCGATTGCCACTGCGACGGTAGGTGCAGGTGGCGTCACATACGCGAACTACAAGTTTGAAGGTGAGTGCGCTTCTCACCTTCGTGCAGGAGAGAGCGAGTAACACCGTCCCGCTGACAGAGTTCAGGAAGAAGTCTACGGACTGGATCAATAATGTACAGGATACCGCGACGGACTTGTTTGACACCGCATCCGAAGCTGTCAAGTCGGCAAAGTCTCTCATTCCGGACGTGAAGCTCCCTGATTTCGAGACACCACAATTCCTGAAGGAGCTATTCTCAGGAGAGGGTGCCGGCGGCGAGGGTGGAGGAGAGGGTGGTAGGTCAGGGAGCTCCGGAAAGAAACAACCGGACGGGGATGACGCCGCAGCGTTGGCTGCCATGCTCGCTGCTACAACACTGTCTGCATCGGACTCAAAGGCGAACAGTCAGGATGACGGGGCGTCTCCCGATGTACGACAGAACGGTCTCATGCACCTCACAAGGAAGCTCATCGAGATCCGGAGCATGCTGCTGAGCATCGACCAAAGTGACGCTCTCAAACTCCCGAGTATCGTAGTCATTGGCAGTCAAAGCTCAGGCAAGAGCTCGGTCCTCGAGGCGATTGTCGGGCATGAGTTCCTTCCCAAGTGCGTGCAGCTGCTCTGTTACTCCTCTGTCTCGTCTCTTATGCTGCTGCAGAGGCAACAACATGGTCACCCGTCGTCCCATTGAGCTGACCCTCATTCACACCCCCGGGATCGCGGAGGAGTACGGGGAGTTCCCTGCTCTCGGCCTCGGCAAGATCACGGACTTCTCTAACATCCAGAAGACACTGACTGACCTCAACCTCGCGGTGCCCGCTTCAGAGGCCGTCTCCAATGACCCCATTGACCTACGGATATACAGTCCGCGTGTTCCGGACTTGACACTGATCGACCTGCCGGGTTACATCCAGATCTCTTCCATGGACCAGCCTGAGACGCTGAAGGAGAAGATCGCAGGCCTATGTGAGCGGTACATCCGCGAGCCCAACATCGTTTTGGCCGTCTGTGCGGCAGACGTCGACCTTGCCAACTCTCCTGCGCTGCGTGCGAGCAGGAAAGTGGACCCGCTTGGCCTGCGCACGATTGGTGTCATCACGAAGATGGACCTGGTTCCCCCAGAGGCAGGCGCGGAGATCCTCAGAGGCAACCGCTATCCCCTCCACCTCGGATATGTCGGCGTCGTCTGTAAACCCCCTGGCAAGAAGCCGCGGAACGAGTCGACCGCGCTCGTCATAAGACAAGCGGAGGCTGAGTTCTTCGGCTCACATCGCGAGCAGTTCGGAAGCAAGTCGAATGTCATGACCGGCACAGACACGCTGCGACGCCGGCTTATGGAAGTGCTCGAATCGAGTATGGCATCGTCGTTGCACGGCATCACGAATGCAGTCCAGCTCGAGCTCGAGGAGGCGCAGTACCAGTTCAAGGTTCAGTACAACGACCGACGCATCACCGCCGAGTCGTACGTCGCGGAGACGATGGACGCGCTCAAGGCGCGCTTCCGCGAGTTCACGGGGCAGTTCCGCAAGGCGCACATTCGCGCGAAGCTGAAGGCGATGCTCGACGAGAAGGTGCTCAACGTGCTCGAGCAGCTCTACTGGTCAGACAAGCGCACGCCCGAGCTGTCCGCGATCGCGGCGGACCCGAAGGTGAAGCCGGAGAGCATCGAGCCGTACTGGCGCTACAAGCTCGAGGCCGCGTCGTCGCTGCTCACCAAGTCCGGCGTCGGGCGCGACGCGACGCTCCTCGTCGCGGACGGGCTCCGCGCGCTCATCGACTCCATCGCGGCGGGCGAGCCATTCACGTACCACCCCCGCGCCGCGGAGCGGCTCATCCAGTTCTCGCACATGCTCCTGCGCGACCGCATCGGGATCACCGCAGACCAGGTGGAGAACTGCATCAAACCGTACAAGTACGAGGTTGAGGTCGAGCCGCGCGAGTGGGAGCTCGGGCGCACGCAGGCGATGGAGCTCTTCGAGAACGAGATGCAGATGTGCGAGGAGAAGCTGAAGGAGATCAAAAAGCGCGTGGGCGGGAGCCGCCGCTTGACGGGCTTGATGACGTATGTGAAGGGGGTCGAGGAGAAGGAGAGCGAGAAGAGGAGGAAGCGGCTGAGCGGAGTGGAGGAAGAGGGCGAGGTGCAGGATCTCAACGGAGACGACTACCGCTACCCACCAGGACAAGTCCTCGATGGTGAGTCTCTCGTATGCGTGCGGGCTCCTATTCGTTCTCATGTACCTTTTTAGCCCGACACGCCATCCTCTGCTCTGACAGACTGAGCATCCTCAAGCTCCGTCTTGCAGCGCTGAAGTCGAAGCGGTGCAAGAGCGGTCCCGAGAGTGATGTCTTCTGCCCCGAGATCTTCCTCAATGCTATCGCAGACAAGCTGGCTTACACGTCGTCGATGTTCATCAGCATCGAGCTGCTCGACCACTTCTTCTATCAAGTGAGTTCGTGCTATGACACCATAATTATAGGTGGCTAACCTGTCTTGTCAGTTCCCTCGCGAGATCGACTCTCGACTCCTCTATGACCTCGATCGCAGAGAGATCATCGAGTTCGCCCGCGAGAACCCGGCCGTGAGGCGGCATCTCGATCTTCAGGAGCGCAAAGACAAGCTCGAGGAAGTAAGTCGGCTTTCCATGCCCGTATTCGTACCGTACTAATCCGCCACGCTAGGTCATGAAGCAGCTCAACAGCTTAGCCACTCTTCGGCCAGACGTCCAGCCCACGCCCCGTCGGTCTCGCGGCCTCTTCGGGAATATGTTCGATTAGACCATCTTGCCCTCTCGCTTCCCATATTTTTGGATCTGGATACCGGTACTTACTGTAATCACGGCTTGGTTCGTCGCGTATGTTATCTCCACCTCAAGCTCAATTATACATTAGGGTTCCTTCCGGATATAAAACAACAGGGATATACGACCGATAGATACTAGCGGGAGGTGTCTACAGCTTGGCCTTTGTCTTGGCCGCCTGTGAAGAGTAGTTTAGCGGGCGTAAGGTCTGAGTGACATGGGGCTTGCCTTCAGCACTCCGTCCAGCTTGGTAGCGAACATCATGTTGCCCTTCGTCTTGAGCTTGCCAGTCATGAACGCCTTTTGTCCGTCGAGCTGTGTGGTGATTTAGCTCAGCAGGGGCGTGAATCCGCTGAGGACGCAAGACGCACCTTGCCCTCCGCCAGTTGCTGGAACGTCTCGTCGGACATGATGAGCGTCACATTCGGCTTCGACTTCGCCGCGCCCTTGTACACCGACCCCGTAGACTTCAAATCGATCGTCCAGACGCCCTCCTTGCCCTCCGCATTCTTCACGCGCAACTCGAAGATGCCGTTGGTCTGAGGTCGCGTACGGTCAGCTCGAGGCGCGAACAGAGCTGCAGACGGACGGTGCGCGTACCTTCTTGATCTGCGCCTTCTTCTCCTCGTCGTTGTAGCCAGCGAAGACGGCTGCGAGCGCTGCGAGCGTCTCAGACGACTGACCATTCCTCAGCTACTGGGACCGCGTTGGTGCGGAAGCTCTCCTACCTTGAATCCGGGCTCCTTGATATCAGACATGGCGATTTCAGCGGACAGTAGTCAATAGGGATGAAGGAGACGACTTCAGAAACGCGCCAGAGACGTTGCTGGCGAGTCGGAGGTCGGGAAGGAGGTGAGACGGGGCAGAGATGCTTCCCCAGCTGAACTTATGATGCTGGGAGCTGACCGCACTCGACCTCCCCGAGTGGTCTCCGACACATGTGATAAACGCGCTCGAGGTCGTAGATGCGATCGGGCACATCACACTCTCCTCACTGACACTAACACTAGCCAGCTGACTCTCGTTTACAGAGGTTTTGGATGGGGAGGGCAGCATCATCATTGACATGATGCATTCCGATAGGCAATACAGCGGTGGTGGGGCCACTATGCGCGACAAGAGCGTGATTGTCCTAGTTCTGAGACTACTTGTAAGTAGTATCGTGTACTTACTACTGGTGCAATGAGGCGTATGTAATATTCCTCCGTCCATCCAATGAGACGGGGCAGGTTCTAGCCGTCCATGCGGATGGGAAGCGAAAGGATTCGGCTAAGATGTCGTGTCGCCTATGGCCCTATGCCACCGCGGTGACTGGATGGCGGAACTGCACGTTAGGCAGCATACCGGACGTGTCCCTGTACGATTTGAATGAGTATTGCATTCCAGGGAGCACAGCGCGCAGATTGACCTTATACAGCCGTAAAATATGCCCTAGGACCAGTGCCAGTCATAGTCATAATTGAACTGCATGCGATCATTCTGACTTCCGCCCGTCAATGGCTTCCTGGCCGTGGGTCTGCGGGCCGGGGATGGAGGATATCGTCCAGCTTAGCTGCGACCTGTTGCCTCAGATCCTCCTTCTCTGCCTGAACGTCCCGCATTTCGGCATCACGGCGGTTGGCGATTTGCGACTCGTCGGACAGCAATAGAAGCAGCTTCATAGAGTGAATAATGGACACCAGCGAATGCGCCGCACGTATCTAGAAATCCTTGGGGTTGAACAGAGGCCTCGACGCAAACACACTGGGAACCCACCATAGACTCTGCCCGGCACTCTGCCTGGTAGGCCTCCTGAGCGATTCTGAACTTGTCCTTGTCGCCGATCTGCCCCAGTTGAGAATCCACCTCACAAGGCTATTCGAGGACGCTCACCGAAGCCAGTCCAACAAGATCCACCATCCCATCCACCAGAGTGTCAATCTCAAGATCGACCTTCTTGTTCCACTCTTCCTCTATGGCATCCAAGTACTCGTTCGAGTTTTGGTCGACGAGCGGTTGGATAGGGCGCTGAAGGAGATGGGCCGTGGGCAGAGCAGACGGGCGAGAGACGTCGCTCTGAGGTACAGCGTCGGTCATTGTACGAGCTACGGTTCAAAGAGGTGTGGAAAGCAGCAAGGGAGACTCGGGAGATGGTGGTCTGCGTGCAAGTGGCACGGTCGAAGCGGGCCGGAAATGCAACGCGTCTGTGGCGTGGGAAGCGGCCCGCCGTCGCGTCTTCACGCGTTCGAACGTCCGGGACTCCGTACTCATCTCCACAAGTCTTCTTCCAGATCAATTCCGAGTTGTAGGCTTAGTTGCCAGAATGCGCCTCCAAGCTATCTCTCCCTCGCCTCCCCGAGCGCTGCTCGACGCTCTGGCGCAGCTTGGGATCAGAACGGATACGGACTTGCTCTTCTCCGCCGACCCTATCGACATCTTCCGAAAGCTACCATCTAGTACTTTGAGCCTCCATGACTTCCATTCATTCGTCGCCCAGGTGTCACAACAAGCATCAGCGCCAGCCGTGTGCGGAGACGTGCTTTTTGAGCAAGAGAAGAGGAAGGAAGAAAACGACCTATATAGTGATCTCACTACAGGAGTGCGAGAACTTGATGGGCTACTCGGCGGACTCGCACCTCCCCGCGTCATTGAGGTGTCCGGCGATAGAGGGTCCGGAAAGTCGGTATGTTGTCAGAATGAGATGCGCTACTGAATAAACTGGACGACTTCTGTAGTCTCTTGCCCTCCAAGTCGTCCTGCGACATCTCTCTTCGGACCACAACGTCGGAGCGTTGTGGATTGATACAACCGGCGACTTCTCCGCTGACAGTATCCCCCGTCTCTTGGAGTCATATGAGGGCCATGTAAGATGCGGCCCTGCTCCTGGAAACCGCACCACGAACTGACTCAAGAGCCCTGAGGCTGTTTCCACCACACTGGAAAGACTGCAAGTCGCCCTCGCCTTCGACATCGAGACGGCGCACGACGTACTTGAGATGCTCCGGACGACTTTGAGCGTAAGTGGTCTACTCCCGGCGCTGAAGACGCGGCTGAAAATGTGCAGCGCAGACTCACCCAGATGCCCCTCCGGTAACGCGCTGTGTGGTCATAGACACTGTCACATCACTTCTGGGTTCGCTGCTCAGCGCAGTCTCCTCCCAAGGTCCCTCAGCTTCCATATTTACAGTAAGGCCACCAGCTTAACTCCATGCGCAATACAGGCCACGCCATCATGACCACGTTCATGCGCCAACTCCAGACACTTGCCGAGTCCTTCTCTTTGACTATTCTGGTGAGCCCCCTCACCCCCACCCTCAAAATCACACTCACTCATAGAGCCTGGCCCACTCTATAGGTGATCAACACGTCCACGAAATGCACGCCACGCAACCCCGACTCCGTATTCGCCACAACGGACAGGAAACCCGCGCTCGGGCCATCGTTCACCTTTCTCACCGACACGACGCTCTGGCTGGCGAGGCGCGAGACCGCGGAGGATGGAGGTGCGACGCACGTCGCGGAGGTCTTCCGCTCGAGACTGGTGGTACGTCTGCGTCTATCAGGGTGGGACTCGGTCAGCTCGGTCAGCTAGGCTGACGGATGTGTAGCCTTCTCGGACGTGGTGTAGTTTCAAGATCCGGCACGGGATACTGTCAGATACGTAGCATGTTGCAAGAAAAAGAGCATACAGCTCATCGCTGCACCGGAGCTAGGCACACAAGCTTGGCGATTATTGGACTCGCTGTCGCGGACCGCGCTGTACCTACGGAAAAAACACAAAGGGAGGCAAACCTCGTCATGTCGAACATTGGGCTGCGAGCTGAAGTCATGTCTTGTTCACGCTCCTGCTATCTCCAGGTGCAGCAATTGCATAGCTATATCAAAGATGTCCATGCACTAATCATACAATACTCGTAACAAACACATCCGTCGCTACGTGCAACGTACTATAGGTCATCGAACCTACATTCGACGCGTCAATATAGGTCTTCTTTCAAGGCGGATGGAACCACATACCTATCTGGCATGATGACCGGGGCAAGCAAGCTCCACATGTACAGGAGCATGCAGACCCAGCTCGAGACGACGCGAACCCACATGGCGATCTCCGAGCGGCCGATGTAGACGTCGTCATCGCCACTATGCTCGGTCTTGACCACGTTCCTGTAGTGGTATGGGTTAGCTTGTATGTTGGTGCGCATTGCGCGAGGAAGAGACATACCAGTCTGTAAGCAAGACGGCGACATACATCGCACCCATGGCGAAGATGATATGGAACCAGGAGTACTGCAGACGCGGTTAGAGTAGAACGGAAGTAGAAGCGAGTAACGCAAGCGTACGTTGTATCGTGTGCCGGAGCGTTCGTCGTCACGGGTCTCACCGATAACCTCGTCCTCATCTTCGTCCTCGTCTTCATCGAGTGCAGAGGCAGGGATAGCACTTGACATCATGTCAGCACGTAATACATGGGCAAGAAGGAGATCCAGCACTCACCCAGCCTCGACCGCTGCTAGCAGGGCCTGGTACCTGGGCGACTCCGTGCGGCCTGGCTGGGTGTTCACAACGCCCATCTCCGCATGTCCGTCATCGATCGGCAGCTCAATGGCACCCTTCTTGTTGTTGCCCACCAGCGCGCGGCTCTGCGTCGCAGCCCTGCTGGTCGAGTACGAAATAGCCAAGAAGGTGAACAGAGCGCCGAGCACGACGGTCGTGTTCTTCGCGCCCTCGCCGACGCCGCCCTTCCTCAGCGGGTTGCACGTCTCGTGGGCGTGGTTGCCGACAGCGGAGGTGATGAGGTACGTGCAGTACGCGGCGACCATGCTCGCCTGCGCGAGGCCGCTGCGGGGGTTGTGCTCCTGCACGACCGGGTGCACGCACATGATCGTGATAATGACGCACAGCGCGAGGTTGAACGAGATGAAGAACCGGTTCAGTGTGCAGCCGCTGTCCGCGAAGAACCCGTAGAGCACGCCCGTAAGCGCAATTGCGGCGATGTACAACCCCGCTGTGCTCCCGATCAGGACCCACTGCCACAGATTCGAGTTAGAGTTCTCCCAGTTCTCGAGGCACGTCTCGGACCAGGAATGCGCGAAGTCGACGAGGAGGACGAGGCCGAGGAGAATGAAGATAGTCGCGCCGATGAGGGAGACGTAGTTGCCCCAGAACATGAAGAAGCCGTTCGGGATGAAGAAGGACGCGACGACGAGGACGAGCCAGAGGAAGACCTTGGGACCCCACCAGCCGTTCTGAATGGAAGCTCGCTTGTCTTTGGTGTCTTTAACGCCAATGAGGGATGCACCGAGGATGAAGTGTAAGAGGGAAAGAGCGAAGCATATCCGGTGGACCTGTGAGCCGAGGTGATGATTCATTAGAGCGCGTTCTCGGGCAGTGAGTATGATACGCACCGCGAGAACGCCATAACATCTGCCACCGTCGCAGTCCATCTCCAAGTAGCCATGGCTCCATTTCTCAATGGTCTGGATCGCGAGAGGTGTCTTCATGAGCCATGCGAACATCGAGTTCAGGCAGAATATAATCTATGTCGCACCGCCTTCATATCAATCCCCTGAGCATATTGACAGCCAAACTACATGCATACCGCAAAGCCAACACGCGTGGCAATAGACGAGTTACAGTTACATGACTTGAAGAACATCGACGCTGAAGATACGGAGTCAGCCTTCAGACCGCATCTGGTGAGGTCCGGGCGCACTGACCAGCTGTCGAGGTGCAGAAGAAAGCAAGGCCGCCAATGCATGACGATGCAACAGTCCCTAGGATGCCCGCGAAGGGCAGGGAGAGTACGAGGCCCATGGCGTGAATGAGAGTGAGAGTGGAAGGTATCGCACAGTCGGAGCACAGGCCCGGTTATGGCGCAGAGACCGGTTACGTAATGCATATGCAGTCCTCCTCCTGACGTCGACGCGACGGTACGATCATGATCCGGACCTGTATGAGGGCAGCTTGAGGGCAGCTCAACGAGTCAATCCAATTAAAATATGAGTGGGGGGTAAGTGATCACGAAGTCCATCCTATCGCGTACAGCTACGACGAGTTCAGCTACTACGAGTTCAACTGAGGAAGTAGGAGTGTGCACCCTCGAAAAGCGGGAAAGGACCCTTCATAGCCTTCTCATCCCACCTTTCCCGGCATTGCTCCATCGCTTTCTGCGCATCCTCGAACTTCTCTGCCTCCACCGACCCATCGTCCAAGCAGTCAATTTCGCGGTAGAGCTGAGTGACGTTGCGCGTGTACTCCTCGAGCGCCTCTGCTGCAGCTGCGTGCTCCGCAACCTCGTCTGCCGAGAAGTCGATAGGACACGGCCCATCGGCAAACTGGTCCCATTTTTCCTGGAGGTCCATGAGCATTCCGCGTAGCTCCAGAGGCCCGTCCGCGACGCAGCGTGTGATGAAGGGCACTAGGTTGCTCAAAACACTGCTGTGAGGCAACTCCAATGTTAACTGCCGCACCGAGTGGAACGTGCTTATCCGCTGAAGGTAATACCGTGTGCGCATTGCGAACCGATGATGGATCCGTACAATGCCCTGCTCCTCCTCCGACATCATGTCGAAGTTGTCGGGCCACGGCGGCGTCGACCCATCCCTCGGCACCGGTATCAGGCCTCTGTTTAGAACGGCCGGGGGAATGGCGCATTGCATGCAGAGAGGTGACACGGTCGCGCCTTGCCAGTCGATGGGCGCACGCACAAACGCCTTTCCGTCTTCCGGCACAATGAGGTTGTTGAGATTCAGATCCGGATGATTGAGCACGCAGTACCTCGACGCAACAGGCTCGCTGGGGATGATATCTGGCGCGATGCGTATGCACATCGCCAGAAGCCGGCGAAGAAGAGGAGTATCGCTTGGCTTGGACTTGCCGAATGGTGGTGAGATTCCTAACCCGGCATCGAGGGCGCGTAGCTGAAATTCGGCAGCACTCTTGATCATTGTCTGCATGTCTGGCCCTGCATCGCAAACTTCTGAGTATGCATCAGGACAAGTGCTATGAGTACTTACATGGTCCACGGTCTGCATCGATCTGCCCATAATCACCTCGCCACCATTCCCGATTGGTAGTGGGACCAATGCGGTACTTGGCTGCAAGCTGCGCCTTTAGGGCCACCGAACCCACTCTACGCGCATCGTGGAAAAGAGGGCGACTTCGTAGTTCGTCTGTGACATCGTCTGCGAAGTAGAGCGATCCGTTCTGCGACAACGGCTCGCCCAGCAAGCGTTTCTCAATCTCCCAGATGCTGGCTAGCGCCGCCCCAGCAGACTCGCCCTCAATCCAGGGCCAGCGAGACATCAAAGTTACACCAGGTGCATAATCGAGTATGATGTAAGGTGTCTCCGCTGGATTGCGATAGCTTGCATCCCACGCAATGACTCTGGGTGGCAAAGGCATCTCGGGGACGTCGGCGTATCGCTCACGGATGTAGCACATCGTGGCAACCTCGCTGGCGGTCGCGCGCTCGACGTTCCCGACGACAGGACAAGGGATGCGCACGACCGCCTGCGTCCCATTGTCGAAACGGAGCATAAACACTTTGTTATACGATCCTAATGGCACAGTTGGTTAATGCAACGGAGTCAGGTTGACATACGGGTGCCACACCTTCGCCGATCTTGTCCCAAGCGATGCAGCGCTCAGCATCTACGCTACGACAAGCTATTCGTTCAAGAGCCTCGACGTTGAACAGAGTATATCGAAGCTTCTTCTCTGCCATTCACGGTGCGGTGAGCGATGGCATGATGCGACGAACGGAAGCGCACCTTGCTCATCATTGCAAAGCCATCTCGTCGTCGTGTGCTCAAACAGCGACTTGGAATCAGGCCGAATCGACTGAGCACTAGCGTGCACGCTGTAAGAACGCAGAAGTTGTGGTTTGGGGATTTTAATCGCGTTCACGTTGAGCTTGAGGGAATGAAGGATAGGAGGGATCCGCATGTGAGTCCGAGTCTTGACCACAACCGGAATAGCAGCTATGCTACTGTGAGTGGTAGTGGTAGTCACACAACTCAGGTCGGGGAAGTGAGTGAGCTGGCACTGCGTAGTAATTCTAGAACTCAGGGTAGACCGTCTAAGTAGTACCGTTGCCCGCTATTAGTCCGAGGCCGCGCTCAAGCTCAAGCCGGGCTTGCGCGCCTCGGCCACAGCGCGTCTCGGGGCCGTCGCCTTCCTACGTATCGCTCACTACCTCATTTCATACTCCTCTCAGAGTTCCGACTTCCTCATATTCGGATTCTATGCATCAGAATTACTGCGGGAAAGGTCTCGGAAAGGTGGCATCGCCAGCCAAATGCCCGCAAGACCTTGCGAGCGTCCGGAAGGGTGACCAAAGCCTCACTCGCAGGAACCACATCCCGCGAGCCGTACATCGCATCATGTTGGGCGAATAGATGAAGCCTATGCAAAAACGGGATGGACCACTTACAAGCCACCACAGATTTATCGTTGATCTCATTTACGTAGCGGGTCAGTCCTACATCGATTATCTTACACTGTACAACACTGATAGCTACGCGGAATGTCAGACGATTCGAGCCCACTTTAGCCACTCGGACGTTTGTTAACTCACCATAAACAGGGACATGGTACGGCAATCAATTCTCGGCGCCGTCAGACTTCGCGGCCTCCGAGTCGGTGGCACTGCTGCGTTGGATAGACAACGTGCAGAGCTGAGAGACTGAAGATGTGCGAAATTGATCAATGTACTTACTCGTGCAGCAGACGTTCCTCGGCGGGCTTAATGACTTCCTTGAGAATCGTTTTATAGATCGTCTGTGATCGCAGGATCTGCAGCGGATGGTTTCCTCCCTTGCATGCAGACTTATGCTCCTTCCAATGTGCCTTCTGGCACGCTGCGTCGCAATAGAAGATCTATACTGCCAAGTCAGCGAGGGTAGTAGCGTCGCATATAGGAGAAAAGTAACGAACCCTTTGGCATCCGTGACAACGCTTCATCTTGGAGCCAGGACGTTCGATCGCTGTGCACCCCGTCGCTTCACATCTCTTCCAGAGGGGCTGGAAAAAGGGATCCAGCTTGGCGGCCTGTGCAATCTTGACTGCACTACGAGTGTCTATCCCGAGCGCGATATACTTATCGACGCGGGAATTCCAGCCAGCGGACATCCTCTTGCCAGCCCATTCTCCTCTCCATACTTCCCCAGGCCTGATGATATAATATGAACATATTAGACCAAGTTCACATTCTGGAGCATTGAAGAATACTGACAGAGGCAGGAAGTCCAGATCCGTTGTTGCATATCGAAACGCCGGGTCAGCCTTTTCTTTACTTTCAGTGTCGTTATACTTGACGGCCATTCTAAGGAGCTCGTATGGCTTCTTCTTCCCCGTATCTGGCCACCGACTCGACTGCAATGCGGGCACGCTGCACAGGGATATGTAGGTTGCCGTCTGCCCGTCGGCTTCTGGAATCACGCGCTGCATCAGAACTTCTCCGATTTCGGTTACGGGCTGTAACGGGCCGTAACGGTTGCTAAAATTCCGATTTTACATAGCGTCAGCGTATCACTCGTTAGCAAGACCCGTCGCATTTTAGAAGGTTGGGAAGATGTGGCAATCGCGTCGCTAGATAGTCGTTACGTAGCCATAACCGTTCACACAATCCTCAGCAAGCGTCACTGCTGCAGCTCCCGAGTCCCATTCTCCGGTTCTGTGCTCAATATTTCTGGCAATAGATTTCATTTTCGATGTATGCTACACATTGTGTAGTACTAGTACTGTATGTAATATAACTAAACCGAAGAAACGCACCCGCCCGGGTAAAGACCCACCGCAGTGGGCACGGGTTGCGTGCGGGTAACGCGGGTTCGTGGGTCCACTGGTGGGTTTGCGGTTGAGTCGACCACCGGTGGGCGAGTGACCGTGCGGATGAGCGTACGAAGATGGGGCCGAGCGTGCAGATGTACAATCGCGCGCGGGCGTCCGTGCGATCGTGTGGGCAAGTGGGTGAGCGAAGGATATCAAGCGAGTCACCGACGACCGTAGGCGGTAAATTTGAAGGAGCGTGCGGGATACTCACCAGTCGGTAGTGTTTCCTTCCCTCCTTCTCAAACCCGTGCTTCACGCCCGATTGGGCTTGCCATTCTTATTTTACCTCCTCCGTGTCACTCTTGTGTACCAGGCTCGCGTGATCCTCCGCGACGATCTCCTGCTTGCTGTCCGCAGGGTCGGTGTATTGCTCCTCGAACTTCTCCGTCCACCAGATGAAAATTTCCCTGCGAACTGGTCCGTGCACGCGTCAACGAGGAAGCCGACCGTGCGCACGGTCTCGAGTGTGGGGAAGAGCGTGTGGTGCCGCAGGAGTGAGGGTAAGTGGTCTTGCGCGTGGCTCGGCCGGTTCGGGTACAGGCGCGAGATGCCCATCCCGCTGATGCTGATGCGGCGGAGTGTGCAGTTGGGCGTGTGTAGCTCGGGCTCGAGCGCGTTCCGCGAGGGCATGGGTGGTGCGGAGAAGGTGGGTGAGTGCGTGCTGGAGGCTGGGAAAGCGGGAGTCGAATAGAGGGATGGCGGTGGTGGGGAGCGTGCATTGAGCAGCTTCTCGCCGCAGTCAAAGACGAACGTCTCGAGTATGGGGCAGACGTCGGGCTGCAGGAACATGGTGATGCTAATTGGGGAGCCTTGGTATGAAAGAGATGTCATCGGGAGCAGCTCGAGGATAGTGATCTTTGGCACGTACAAGGAGCTATTACAGCGTAAATTCGCATCCAGAACAACTCTGCAGAGAGCGAGAATCAAGAGACAGCGAGGTGGAGACTACCCAAGTGTGGACACAAGAGGGTGGGAGTGAGTCGGCGGCAAGGCTCTGCCAGATGATGACGAAGCTTGATGAGAGCATGCTCTTGAGCGCGCACATTGACTGTTGCAGGCGAAGAGCGCAGGAGAGTAGCAGAAAGCCAGCAGCGAGGGGGAGAGACACGGTTTGAGGCTCGAAGCTGGATGTGAGCGTCGACGTCGGGAGGCCCGCGTGGCGGTCGAGGATCGCGAGCGCGAGCGGCGCGGGCTGCATGCCGGAGTGGCCAGAGTGCCTCGAGCTCTCGCCAGAGAACGAGGACATGGAGAGTGAGATGGACGCGCTTGGCGCGACGGGGAACATGAGGTCGAGCTAGTGAGGACACAGTGCCACAACGCCGAGTCGCAGCTGCACCGGGACGCGCAAGTGCCACAGTGACTTGCCCTAAACCGCCTAAGCGCCGGCGGCCACGTCCTTGCTCTCGTTAGCTATCTTTCCCTCGACGCGCGCACCCTGTCGCGCACGCTCTCCCTCGACCAGATCGCCGCCCGCGCGGAGCACCCACGCGCTCCCGAGCTCGAGCTCGACCGACACGCTGCCACGCCACCCCAGCGTACCCCGCGCACAACACTGCCCTTCCTGCACGCGCCGCCTCCGCCTCACGCGGTCGTCTGGGAGGCGATGCCGACTCACCCGCCGTGCGCGTGCAGACCCGTCGTGCAAGGTGTGCCACCCTCGACGCCGGTGCAAGTACCACCGCGGCCTGCAAGAAGGGCGTTCGGAAGCGCCACAGGGCGATGGGGACAGCTCGAGGGCAAGGACAGGTGAGTACAAGCCCTGCCCTCTAGTCTCGAGCGCGATAACACGCGAGCACATGGCGATGTCGAGTACGCAGGGCAAATGCCGCACGTGCAAACGTAGCCGACAGATACGGGTACACTGGGCAAAGACCGAGTATGGTCGGAGCGCAATCAACACGCAGACCCCCCGCGCGGAACACGGGCAAGCGAAGGGCGACGGCACACACACTGACTGCGAGTGCACTCGGCGAATGCCCAGCACGCAAGCACGGCCGACGAACGGACCCCACGCGCGTGAGCAGAAGACCGGCGATGGTGACGTTGGGCAGGGCCGGGGTCGTCGCAATTCCGGGTTCCAGGGGTAAGGAGGAATTTCGGAGGCCTCTGCACCTACTCGGGCACTCCCCTCGAGTGCAGCGGCGTCCAGAACCTCCTCGGTGCGCCGCGCACCTCGCGCTGCAGGCGCGGATGCGATCATAGCTCATCCGGTGCCAGGTCGGGTGAGCGGGCTCATTGGTCAGCTCCGTGCCCCTATTCTGCTCGAGGACCTAACCCTGCGCACGGGCCCAACGCACAGAGCGATTTCTCGCTGGCGCCCCGCAGGTACGTTTGTCAATCCTCAGCATCCCATCTTTTCAGGAAGCTCACGGCCGTGCACAGATACAGTACAGCCTTATAATTGACTAGCAAAGTGCTCGTTCAAAGGCTCTGTATCTCACGTACGCAATTTTGCTTCCAGTCAGTCATAATACAGGCTAACGCGGCGATGTACCTTAGTCTAGCAAGTCTGTGCATCGCCGCCGCGTAGGGGGAGTGCTCGCCTGAGCGCTCCCCGTCTTGCTGCAGCACCTGTCGGACGAGTGACGAAGCGGAGGCACGCACAACACACGCCGACTGCGAGCGTGGAGGGCGAATGCCTACTACGCAAACATGGCCGACGAGCGGTCAGCGCACACACTGAGCGGACAACCAGCAGACAGCGCACACGCCAACCAGCGAGCACGCAAATATGGCCGACGAACACACGCAGGTGGGCGGGCACACGCAGGCGACGACGACATGCATGGCAACGACGAGCACGCCGGGCGAATGCCCAGCACGCAAACGCAACCGACAAACGGACCACGCGTGCGTGACGGAAGAACGGGCGAGGGCACGCGGAGGACTGGGCACTGACGGGTCATCAGCGGTGGGCAGGGCCGGCACGCGGCAAGAACGGGCGGGCGTGAGGGGGAGTGAGCGGGGAGGGTCGGAATGGGAGGGCGTGAGCGGACAAATGGGGAGGAGGGCGAGAGAATGGCGGGGGTGGGTGCAGATGCACCAACCCCCACATGTAACCCCGCGGTAGGTAAACTCGCGGTTCACCGCCAACACCGGCAGTGAACTTCTCCAAAGCGAGCCAGTAGCGATAGCACTCAATAGACAGCTAGATAGTATGTAGAAAATGGCATTGCTATGGTTCGTGGGCATCATGATGCAAGCCCCGGTACACGAAAACTCTGTGAGACTCCAGTAAGCGTGTCAGCAGCTACATATCACGAGCCGTTAGCAAAATGCGCCTTTTGCTAACGACTGACGAATGTGAGCGTTGAGTGACACGCTGACGGTTTGTAACGCTTTTGCGTTAGCATCCGTCAGCGTGTCAGCAACGGTTAGCAACGGTTAGCAAAATCGGACTTCTACTGATGTGTGAGACGGTCATGCGTCCCAACTCGTTATCCCACTTCTCCACGATTACGAACCCTTTGGGTTTGCAGCAATTCTCGTATGTCTTGGTCGACCTGCAGATGCACGCGAAGGTAGGAGGATATAGATGGTCACCCGATCCATGGCACTCGGAAAGTGGCTTTCCTGACCAGCAAGGGCATTTACGCGGTGGTCGCGGAGCTGACTCGCCGCTCGCCAGTCGCGCTACGAGCTCCCTACAGAGTGATGCTTTTGCAGGGTCGACAACCCACATATCGCATGTTGGAGCCGGTTTTTCAGACAAGTATGCAAACAACATCAGGAAAACCCCTTTTCCGGAATTCGCACCAATATGTATAATGTTCGCAGAATACGAGGAATCGTAGGAACGTGAATGTATTCTCACTCAGGTATCAATGTTAGGTAGAACAAGCTTGAACAGCATACGAATTCAATGACAGAGTCTCTACGACAGGAATTTTTAGTAACTATGGGGGTCCCTTAGTACAATTGAGATGGAGACTATGCTGTGCATATCGTCCTACCAGTCACTCACATAATTATGTAGCACACGTCCAGATATCGTTTCATTAAATGCTCGCTACTGCTACATCACAGTTACGTGACTACCATTCGAGTACTTGAAGAGCTACACTGCGCAAACGGGGGCGTAACTACGCATTCGCTGTGTCACTACGCAAAGTGGATGGTACCGCGCATGTAATGTACTCCCACCGTCCGTCAGCTAGGCGTCATGCCTGCTCGCCGCACCCTCACCGTCGAAGTCTGCCGAGCGGTAGAACCAGCCTGGCGCGCTGGACGGTCAGCCTGCGTGCTCACCGTTGTTGTGCAAACTCGGGGCTGGCTTGAGGACTGAGGAGACTCGGACAGCAACACAGCTCGACCCATCGAGCAAAAATCCGTGAGAGGGGCAGAGGGAAAGGGCCACCGTGTTCACTGGGATCAGGAGCAGAAGCTCGTGATGCGGGCGCATGGGACATGCTTGCTGGTCAAGATGAGGGGGCCCGTCGCGGCCGAGCGAAGCCGTTGCAGTCAATCGAACGTGGGTACATGTTGGACGAGTGGCAGGGGCGCGGCGCAGGCGCAGGTGCAAGGCCACGAGATGAGGGCTAGTCAATGTTGGGACTGCATGCAGGCAGGAGCGCGTCGGCAGAGGGAAGTCGGACACGCACACAATGCGCACACAGGGGAGAGAGAATCGAAGAGAATAACTCACCTGTGCCTTATGCACTCCCCGTCCTCGCGCAAAGACCAGCTGCCGAACTGGGTGAAGAGCTTAAAAGCCTCGCACATCGCGTTGACAATTGCCCGTCTGTCATCGCGCTGCGCGCAGGCACGGGCGGGGCGATCTTTGTTCGTTGCATCAGTGGGGGTCGGGCGGCACGTACGTGGCGGGGCTGGTTGGTGTTCACGTGGCTTGGCCGGCTGGAGGCTTGGATGTCGGCGCAACTTGACGCGTTGAGAGGGCGCACGAGTATGAGAGTAGAGGGAGGAGTGTGTTCGAACAGGCGGCGGACAGTTACCAGCTGCAGGAGGTTGCCAGTGAGTGAAAGATGGACTTCGACTCGCTCGGCCCACTTCGGGAAATTCCGAAACAGGCGCTCATCTCGTAGTCACCCCATCTTTTTCTGCTACTTATTATTACTTGTCACGGTCGTCGACTCGTCTTGCTCGTCTGAGTCGTCGCTCCTCCTCCGCCGCCGAACATTGAACATGAACACCTGCATGCCGTCGGCCGCCCATACCCTTTGCGCTACTCGATCTCGCGGACGGCTTCAATCTGATGCCCTCGGCTATGTAGCCCGCCCGCGATGATAACATTCTCCTCATCCTCACTCCCTTCTTTGACTTCATCCACTGACGCCTTGCATTCACTGGCAGTCCTTATGGCTGACACTCAGTCTCATTACGAGGTGTGAAATCCACTATCTTTCGCACTCGTGATGTTGACAGTATCCTCAACGCTCGTGCAGGTGCCCAGGTCCTACCTACCCTTGGAGCTGCATGCCGTGGGCAAGCTCGCGCAGACCTGCCATGTAGCCCAGCGACACATCTCTATCGTGTCGCATGATCCGCCGACGTTCATGCACGTAGTCATCCGCTACCTGTGAGTGTCCTGCCTCATGCCCCGCGAACCATTTGCCTTACACACCCGCGTCCGTGACGTGTATTCTCTCTCCAGTGACACGGTCTACCGCTTCTGTGAGAGCGGCGATGCAACCCCACACGCCAGTGCCCGTACATCGTGAATACGTTTCGCATGTACGAGTCCTCCTCCTGTGAATGTCTAGACCTCATTGAGTGCGAAGTACATCGACGGACCTTTTGTGCGGGTACGTGTCCGGGGGTATTGTGCACCTTTGTCTGCGCTTACACAACTCTGAATTAGGCACTTGTTTGCTGACATACAGCGGACAAGTCAATGTCAATACTGCTGGGCTGTCCCATCTCCCTTCGCATCGAGGACACCACGTCGGATGGGTGGCGACGTCGGTGTCCGTGTAGGGTACTAGTAGATGGTGTGACGTGGGCGGGGTGGTTGATGGTGCAACAGAGGGCGGTGGATGTGAGCGGCGACGCAACATGAGCGGATGCGGTGACTCACGCGACAAGCACGCGATCTTCACAACTGTAACGTGCGATGTTTCACAGCCTCGCTACACTGTTATGTCTCAGCTAATGGCCTTCATTCAGTACTGGCCATAATCAATACATACCGTCGGCATCAGGCGAGCAGGATAGTTTCGACTCGAGTTAGATATCGGATGAGTAGCTAGCTGTGGCAAGGACAGGGAAAGAACGTTCGGGGTGCAACCTCTATAGTATGGCCTGCTAATACTAGTGCTTCGTACGCTTTGTTGGCTTGTAGTTGCTCTTTATGGACTACCTACAGTACTTCACAATCAATCTTATATTCCTAAAATGCTCGATGTGATGCACGGCTTCAAGGAACGAGTAATAATGCACGCAATTCCTCAGATTCTATTGCAGAATACAAGACAGATATATGTAATGAGTTCTCATTCTCGTTCCATTGTCGTGCATGCCCACAGGGGGGTAGCGAATTCCCCGGAATATATGGAACAGTCGAATGGTGATTATTACTAGACATTCTGTATACTACTTCAACAATTCAGCACATTCTAAAATGAGGCTTTTCCCGATGAATGTACATGGGGTTCCATGAAGAGCGAACAACTCGAGCAGTTCTAGATCCAGGGACACCCAGGGCCCGATAACAAGGTGTGGCCATGGGTCAGGCGCTCGGCGGAGGTTGATATCGGCATGTTGTTCAAGCAAAATTTGCACGATGTGTCGCCGACGAGCAAGGGTGGATGCGGCGAGGCTTTCATCCTCGGTGCCACCATGGCGCAACTGACGCCTGGCTAGGTCTTGCGAGAACCCAACCAGCTCCTGCATAGCGCAGAAGAGCGGTGTCTGGCCCTTGACGTCTTGACAGTTGATGTTGGCTCCAAGACGTATGCATTCGTACACGAATGGCACGTCGCCTAGCCTGGCTGCAAGGTGGAGGTACGTGCTTGCGCTCCCCGCAGGCATGATCGTCGGGAGAGACCAGTCGGTACCATTTTGACCAGCCCATGATTCGTCAATCGTCGCATACGCGTCACCTAGGCTGAGGACGTAGTGTCGCATGATCAAGTGGCGCATAGGGAATGTCCTGGCGTCCGCCTCGTCGCGTCCGAAGATCAATGATCGCTCGGAATAGAAATCTGGATCGACGAGGAGTTTGAGGTGTTGAGCAGGCAGCTCCACGCAGTGGTGCGCCCTCACAACTTACCTGCAAGGTTGCTGATGCTTGATGCACACGCAAGTACTTCGACTGAAGGTACTGGGGATTGAGCTACGCTACTGGGGTCCTTATATACATGAGGAGACCGCTTATCTAAGCTACTGTATAGTACGTTCCCACGACATACAAGGTAAGTGGCGTAGCCATGTGATAACACACAGATGACATCATAGATGACATCACGGACCCGGAGCTTCCCATAGAACCGGTCCGGCCTGTGATTGAACCCGGCAGCCCGGTAGGCGCCTTCCTAGTTCAACACTCCCCCTCGCTTAGTGCGTCGTAGACTCACATAAGCGTACTAGGCGCATAACGCTGCCAATGGTGCTCTAGGACGATTCATAGAATCTAAGTCCGAGCATTCCTCTAAACTTAAGGAATTTGACACGGCCTAAGTTCTTGGTGAACAGGTCTGCTGGATTTTCATCTGTACTGATGTAGAAGAGCTCGACTTGCTTCTCCTCAATCAGTTCCCTGATGTAATGGTAGCGTATGTCGATGTGCTTCGACCGCCTCTCAGTTACAGGGTTGGAGCCGATGAATATCGCTCCTTGGTTATCCGAGCAGATAGGGAGTGCGCCAAGTAGGTAACCGATCTCCTTGAGGAGCATCTTAACCCAGACGACTTGGCGGCTACAGTCGCTGAGCGACATGTATTCAGCCTCAGTTGAAGACAGTGCAACCGTCTTTTGCCGTCGAGACAGCCAACTGAACACTCCGTTCGCCAACTTCATAAAGTAGCCACTCTGAGACCGTCTCATCTCTGGGTCATTGGCCCAGTCAGAGTCTGTGCATGCCGAGACACCTTGTCCAGATTTGCCGCTGTATACAAGCGCATAGGACTTGGTACCCACGAGGTAGCGGCAGATATATAGCGCTTTATCCAAGTGGTCCTGTGACGGATTCGCAGCTTGTTGCGCGAGTTTAGTCACGGCAAAGCAGATGTCAGGTCGAGTTCCAAGCATGATATATAGCAAGGAGCCGATGACGGTCTGATACCGGCTTCGAAGCGCAGGATCAACCGGGCCAGTGTGCGGCTCAGGTTTGTAACCCGCAGGGAGTGGAGTAGGCGCAGATTTTGCATTCTGCATGCCACAGCGCTGCAGCACAGTCTCAAGGTAGGCAGTTTGATCGAGATGAATCTCGTCGCCTTTCCGAGTAATGCGCATACGCAGGAACTCCTTGACGTCGCCTAGGTCGCGACACTCCCACTTCTTCATGAAGCGGTTCTTGAGTTTGGCTACAAGGGCCTTGTCTTTGCCACAAAATAGGGCATCATCCACATAGACTATGACTAGGACGAAACGTCCGTCTTTCGTCTTATAGATGAAAATTCCGGCGTCGGATACAAGGCGTGTAAAGCCGAGTTCCTTGAGAGACTCATTAAGGGTGCGCCACCACGCTAACCCTGCCTGTTTGAGTCCATAGAGAGCACGCAATAGCCGGAGGACTCTGTGCTCTTGGCCTTTGACTTTAAAGCCTTCAGGCTGCTCCATGTAAATCTCCTCGTCGAGTTTACCATAGAGGTACGCATTACGGACATCGAGTCCGGAGATGTGCATGCCCTCGAGCGCAGCTAGCGCGAGTATAAGGCGCACGGTCTCAAAGCGAACGACTGGAGAGAAAACCTGATTGTAATCGAGGCCTTCAATCTGGGAGTAGCCTTTTGCGACTAGTCTAGCCTTCTTTCGACCGTCAGTTTTGACGTCGAAGACCCAGCGGTTTTTGGTAACCCTACGTCCCTTAGGACGGTCAACCAACTCATAAACACCACGCTTGCGCAGAGCCTCTAACTCTTCGCGACACGCAGCTTTCCACTTCTCTTGCTCCTCTTTAGGTAGCTTCGAGATATCACGGAATGTCCATTCGCGTACGCTGGACTTCGGAGAATCTTGGTCAACTAGTGGTAGCGCTTTTGCAAGCAGCATGTTAACCAATCCTACTCCCCCTTCCCGGCATAGTTGTGCCATGAGTAACTCTTCGACTTCGTCGTCGTCAGAGCCCGAGGAGGATCCAGAAGGTTGGTCTGGCTGTGGATCAGGCGCAGAACTAGGTCCGGGAACCGGTTGCTGCCTTGACTGCGGTTGAGAGCGGGAGCTACCCGGCTCTTCTCCGACAATCTTCTTCCATTGCCCCTTCTTTTCGATCTCTTTGTATATTTCTACGGGGGTCCGTTTTTCCCCATAGACATTCCCTGGGCGGGTTACTGGCTTCCGCTCTCTCCCTGAGCGCCGTGGCGCATCATCGCGCGCTGGCTCTTCCGGAGGTTGAGGCGGCGGAACTGGACTGGGCGCCCTAGGCTGCTCCTGAGCATCGTCACGCTCATTGTCCGCTCCCTTTGGAAGGTGATGAGAGGGATGATCGTTGTCATCGTCATCATAATTCTCCTGAGAAGTGGGTTGGCGACCCGCTTGGTCAGGTCTAGGTGCAGATTGCAACCTAGTGTTGCCTCGCCGTTTCATGTCCGGGCATTTTGGGAACATGAGTTCATCAAACAGAGCGTTCAATGAAGTGTAAAGCACATTATTAGGGCTGCGCATGAATCGCGCCCCATGCCCACCAGGGGCAACTCCGAGGTACACCATTAACTCAGATTTCCGAGACAGTGTATTCTGACGCACGTCTTTCGGTATGAATACATATGCGCCACACCCAAATATTCTTAGGTGCTTGATGCTGGGAGCCTCGCCATTTAACATCTCATAGGGGGTACGCCATTTTAGACGTCGGACAGGTGTCCTGTTGTAGAGATGAACAGCATGCTCAACCGCAAATTCCCACCAGGATTCAGGTAGACACGCTTCATGGCGCATGGCCTCAGCTTTGTCCATTATTGTCCTGTTGAGTCGCTCCGCTCTGCCATTCTCCTGAGGAGTGTGCGGCGAACTTTGCAGGATCTGGATACCCTCGTCTTTCAGCATTTTGTCGAACGCTTCAGACTTGTATTCTCCCCCAGCATCTGACATCCACTTCTTAACCTTCTTGCCGTACTGGTTTTTGGCCATGGCTAAGAATTGGCGCGTGGCCGTGATCGCAGCACTCTTGTTGCGCAGATTCACTGTCCACGCATTGGAAGTGTAGTCGTCATAGTACAGGATGTAGTACCTATACTTATGGTAGGAGTCGATGGGAAACGACTTCACATCAGAGTGAATGAGCTCGAAGGGCTCTGTCGCTCTCAACGTAGATGGCGGGAATGCTTTGTTATGCATTTTCCCTTCCGCGCATCCTGGGCATATAGGATCCTCCCTAGGGAACTCTATCGAAGGTGGGAAACCCTCGGTGTGTTTCTGTGCTTGCCGTAGTACGTCCTTAGAAGGATGTCCTAGGCGGCGATGCATAGTGTGGTAATTGACAGAATAAACTGTCTGATGGATACTCATTGCGTCCTGTGAAGGCAAGGACTGTATTTTGAATATCGTTGAACTGGGGTGCCGCGGCTTGAACACATATAGTGGTTCACGCGCTCCTTGTTCATAGAGGTCGACGTGCTGCGCACCACCGCGCACTGTCATTCCTTCACGGAGGAACGTTCCCATGGATAGGAGACGTTGATGAAGACCTTGGAAGTAATAAACGGGGAATAATCTGGTCGTCGTATGACTACCATCGTCATTCTCGAAGTTCAAGAAGACTGTCCCACGCTTTGTGCATATGGCAGAGCCGTTTGCGGTCGACAAGACGATTGGCTCACTGAGGTCCTCAATCTCAGCGAAATCATCTAAATTGTTGGAAAAATGTAATGATGCTCCAGAGTCCAACATCCAGGAGTCAGACGACTCAACCGGCTCTGGTTCATGCCAAGCCTTAGCTTTTCCCTTACATTTGGTGCACGCAGCGAAATCGCGCGAATGCCGACAACCAACTGATTTGTGCAACGAACTACTGATATATTCATTCGTTATACTGCGACTACGACTGCGAATACTACGTCTCTTTAAAGTAGACCTAGTGCGTCTACTACTACATGCGGCTGTATGAAGCGCAGGATTAGTAGGTCGCTTGGGAATAAAAGCTGAAGGGACTGACCCAGCATCAAAGTCCTCTCCTAAGCCGGCGGCGTTAGCCAGCTCGTCGTCGATGTCATACTGACCATCTGATCCCCAATCAAGTGGATCCTGAGTCGTAGGACCTTCATCCTCGTCGTACGAGTTGTACGTCCCGTCCATGATCGCGTCGATCGCATGGCCTACTTCAGAACCATGACGAGAGCGTTTGGACGCCCGAGACTCTGACTCCGAGTCGGAGAGGTACTCCTCAATCCGAGCGGAATTGTCAATGACCTCAGACAATGTCGTGAGACGCTGTGAGGTGCCAGAGACGTCGATGTCTTTGGCGAGCTCGAGGGCACTCTTGAGCCACCGGTGAGCATTCTTGCTGTGGCCGGTTTTGGCGGGACGGGTGGTGACGGTGTGAGACTTGCTGCCCGAAGGCGCTATCTCGACGACTTTGGAGGTGGTAGGACCCGCTATCGACGCCTGCGAGGCGAGATGCGCATGGTCCGTATGATCTCCCTGGTTGGCGCGGGACTTAACTTGCTTGCCGCTGCGTTTACCACGCTGCTTGCCTTTGCCCTTGCCTTGACCTTCCTTCGCACCGCTGCTGCTGCTGCCATCCTGGCGCTGCTGCTGCTGGTTGAAGTTTGGTTCGCCGTGCTTACGCTTAACGGCGGAGATCTTCTTCGCGCTCTGCGAAGATGACGCCTGCTTGCCGCCTTGCTCGTAGGCAATGACGACAGACTCCCGGACGTAGTCGATCTTCATCTCCGTAAGCTCTTTGGCTTGGAGGATCGTGGTGACGACGGTGTCGTACCGGGAGGGCAGCGCATTGAGCGCTATCATCGCCCGCAGTGAAGCGGGGATGTCGATCCCTTCGCCCGCAAGCTTGTCAAACGCAGCTGCGATGTTAGCGAACGTCGGGTTTGGGTGCTCGTTCGGAGGGATCCGAGCATTGATCGCTGTCCTAAACTCCTTGTAAACACTGGCGGGGGTCTGCTTGTCATAGAGCGCCTTCAGCTCGTCCCAGAGGGCCTTGCTGGTCGTCTTGTTCTTGACAGCCGCCTTGACAGACGACGTCAGGCGAAGACGGATCGACCCCTGTGCCTTTTGATCGCGCTGCAGCCACTCGTAGTAGACTGAGGGATTCTCTGTGTCCAGAGTAGGCTGGGGCCAGGTCGAATTGACAATTATCCAGACCTCCTGCGCCATGAGGAAGGCCGACATGGATTCAGCCCAGGCGCGGTAGTTGGAGCCATCGAGGATGGGGACAGCGGTGAAGAGGGTGTTGGAGGCCATTGGTAGAGGGTTTGAAGTGATAAACTCGGTAAATGGGGAATACTGACAACAATGTCGTCAGCCCTCTACTCAATGACGAGTGCAGCCTTAGAGGCGCAACCACCGCTATGGTGCATGTGCTGGGGGTAGCAGCAACAGAGTTGCGCTAAGACCTGCAGCGATGTACGCGCATAGTCCCCCCCTGGCTTCAAGCCGCTAAGGCGAAGCCACAGGTAAGCTGGTGCGCACACTGAGACGCAGCCAGTGAGGCGCAGTACTCAGGCAGTGACCAGGGCTCATAACCTGTTGAGCAGGCAGCTCCACGCAGTGGTGCGCCCTCACAACTTACCTGCAAGGTTGCTGATGCTTGATGCACACGCAAGTACTTCGACTGAAGGTACTGGGGATTGAGCTACGCTACTGGGGTCCTTATATACATGAGGAGACCGCTTATCTAAGCTACTGTATAGTACGTTCCCACGACATACAAGGTAAGTGGCGTAGCCATGTGATAACACACAGATGACATCATAGATGACATCACGGACCCGGAGCTTCCCATAGAACCGGTCCGGCCTGTGATTGAACCCGGCAGCCCGGTAGGCGCCTTCCTAGTTCAACATGAGGTTGTCGAGGAGAGCCTGAGGCAAGCATGCGGGCAGATGTGTTTTCGGCATGAGGGAGAGTGGTAGCCAGTCTCCGAGTATTGACCCTCGTGGCGCGTAGACGGTGTCCATCAGGTCCAGTGAGGGTGGGCTCTCCAGCGAGGACGACCGTAATATAGCGGAGGTTAGAAGATCAGCGCACGTCGGTGGTTCGATGAGAGGCGTACAGTTTACGAATGGTTGGCTGAGCCTCTCACGACCACCGTGACCTACTGCTATTACTGGAATGGCAGCTTCGAAGTCTAACTCGGCTACATGGCTGGCATGGAAGACTACTTGATATCGAGTATCTGACTCAGTACGCATGGCATCAACAATACTCACACACCTTACAGTCCATGTCCTCGACCCCCATTGTGGTTTGACATTGAGGGTCTGACTTACCGGCCAATAATGCCCCAGGATCGTGTATGTTCGACATTCATCGGGATCAGATCAGATCTGAGATACAATTTGGGATCGAGGATCTGTGGCTCGCGAGTGTACTCAACTTTTAGTGATTGCCAGAGAGTCGCGTCGACAATCCTACAAGACGAGCCCGCTGCATAGCTCGAGCACTCAGTCCAGCGGCCTATCCATATTGACCGAATCCTTGGAAGGCCCCAGCAAGTTTCGGTATGACCCGTCAAGGCAAAGCCAACGCCCATGATTATGTCCGAGTCACCGCCGCTGTACATGTGTGTACACTGAGCCCACTCTGCGAGTGAGCCTACTTAAGTGCAGTTCATTCTCTATTTAATCTTACCTTTCATGCTCTGTTGCGCTGCAGATGTTTTACCTCTCGCTCGTCTCGCGCCGCTTGCGTACAACCCATTGGCTCCTGTTCCACCTAATCCTTCTCGCCCATCGCCAGGCCTACTGTTACATGGCGAGACAATAGCTGAAGGGCACTCTGTTGTTGCTTGCGTAGGCTGCGGCCCTCATGTTCGCATCCAGAGCGTACCGACAGTTACTGCCTGCCCACGACCAGGCCTCCAGTATCTCACTCGCGATTGCGGCCCACTCGAGTCTCGCACCAAGGTATCCGCCCTCCAGATCCACATGAACATGCGCGTGCTCCATTGCAAGGACTACGTGGACGCCCCTCCCGTGATCGTCGCGTCGACTGTCCAATCAACGATATATCCGACAGCTCGAAATCGGTACTTGCCTCGCTACTCTTGCAGTCTATGCGCATGTAAGTCTCCCCTAGGCAAACCAGGGCCTGCCTTGGATGGGTGTATCCACAGATATCCGCCGTGAGAATGGATGGTGTTCCCACCCCAAGACATCCATCGCCTGCTCGTGATCGTCCCACGAAGTGCCCGGGTCACAGTCAGTCACGGCTAAGTCACAAAGTAGTAACGAGCTCGTAACGGTTGATTGAGGCAGAGCAAAGCGCACGCCGTTGCACACTGAGTACATACTGAGTGCTGAACACGCAGCTCTCGCGAACAAGACTCGGGACAGCGGACCTGTCCACGACGCTTTTCATCTGCCACAGCCATTATTCAGCCACGACCAGCATATCCATCCACGCAATGCGACACGTTGGGACTCGGACTACCGCCTCAGGCTCCTTATGTCGTCTCACGCGCTCCGGGAAGTGATCGACTCAGATTCGGGACCTTAAGCTCAACGCAATGAAACTGACACCGCAAGAGTGGTCTCTCTCAACGAATTTGCGAGACATGTTAGTGTGCGTGCATTTCGTAGACTTCTGACGCCGCGTCTCCCTGACTGTTGTGCACGGAATATCCACGAGCTAGTTCAACGATTTCAGCAGAACAACGTCCCACTCATCATTGACGTCTTTCCCGCATTTGCAGGGCCAGCTTCAACGCGACCTCATCGCTATGGTCAATCTACCAACATTACCTAATGTTTGTCGTGTTGCCGCGCACGCAGGCTATCTGGTGTCGCGCAGATACTTCTCACGCTTGTTTGTGGAGTGCGATGCGTATACTACGGCTATAGGTGTGTACTTATTACATTCATACTCAACGAAACACTGATTCTCTGCACGTAGTCATGTGCCCTGACCGCAAACTTCATTGGTTTGTTCAACATCAGTGGCCGGTTGATGCTATCGAGATGGTTCGCAGGCGGGCTATTGATAACTAACATCGAAGGTTCAAGCCGCCGCTTTCCACGCAAAATCAACCACTGGTAGGACAATCAGGCAGTTCAACGGTTCCGACTGTGGCCAACAACATTGTAAGTGCCGTTACCAAGGTTGTCCACAGTCACTCATAGTAGATCGCGGCCATTTTGTCACAGGGCGTGAATCGCTGGCACTTCATTGGTATTCCCGCGCGACACGTCGGTGCTGGAGTACTGGAACAAGGAGCTCGCGGTGACGCCAGGCTTAGCGAAGATAGGCCTTGCATATGCTTCCGCGCCCGGTGAGTTTCAACATCTGACTTGTGAGTCGATGTACTGAAAAAGAGCGCGCTCCACTAACAACCACAGCCGACGCAGAGCTCGCGTTTTCCGAAGGCCGCAACCAGGTCGCTTGGAACCAACGCGCCATGTCTTCGCAGACGTTTCGTGCGAAGATGAGCCTCGGCGCATGGGCCGATGCCCCATGGTTCGATTACAATGTCGCCGAAGACATAATATTGCTCATTTAGCGCCCTCTGCGCCCTCTGCGACGGTCTCTGTCGGAGGAGCCATTGTCATGAACTCTGCACCATTCAAACTTGAAGGAGCAGGAGAGTGTAGAATATGATTATATATAAATTTCTGTACCCTTCTTCGAAGTAGCTCTACATACATCGCTATCTAATCACGCCGGACTGGGCCCACTCCTGTACCAAATGGCCTATGCTCGAAGAATGTTGAGTTGCGGCGACGACGACTTAAGCAAGGCCGACACTGGGCGTGACGGCGGGTCTTACGAGCGCAGCCTTACGTGATGTCACACCCAGACGAGCGTGGGTATGGATGGTTTATCCGTGGATGGTTTTCCCATGGATGCGTGGATGCATCCGGATGACATCCAAGGCAGGCCCTGAGGCAAACTCTAGGCACGGCCTTCTTGATGGGAGGAGCGCGATTTTATATGACACATGTCCAGTGAGCGGGAGATAAGGCGTACGGCAATATCGGACCGCTATACGGGACAATGAACTGAAGCCAGCTCCTGATAGTAGATCTAGTAGCATCGAAGTGCGTACGTTCGACGTTCAACGTTTGAGACATGGCTGGTGGCGAGAAGCTGCGACGGGACACCCTATGACCGAGGGGTGTTCGTTTCTCAGATGCGTCTCGTCTTAGCTAACGCGTCATCGAGCACTACCATGTACGATGCAACGACAACGTTATCTCCCTGGGTCCACGTTGAACGTAGATGACCACGACTTCATGGTGCAGACTGGTGTGTCCTCGCCCCACTGGGTCGCTCAAGATACGTGGCACCGCCCGAGTGTGCATGGTGCAATGCGTAAAGGCTTTGAACAGTGCAGATCCAGGACGGGTTGCCCGACGACTCCGTGCTATTCCGTCGCGAGCTGCTTCATAGATGCAACGCGAGTAGTCCTGGATGTGACACAATATATGTGGCAAAACCGTCGGCGGGTCGTGGTGGACATCAACTTGTAGCGACCGATTCTGGACACGCCCATGACGGACCTTCGGTCCAGATGATCCACCTGGGTGGGAAGAGGTTTGCAGACCGAAGGTGGTCCTCCGAGTCGATACTAACCCACAGAGTAGGACCACCGATTCTGAACTGCATATCCTACAGGACAAGGTCTGAGTCAATAAATAGAGGTTCGTTGATCTCACACCAACGATATAGTACAAAAGCGATAGCTTACACCCAGCTACACCCATAATCCAAGGTCCACATGCTCTCGAGCCCAGCCATAATCATCTCCTGCTATCCTTCTTGAAGTATTGGCTGTTGACTGCTGTCCCCTGTATCATATCGAAGATCGTCTCGCCGACACCGAAGTAACGGTCCGCTATCGAGCGCATAGTAGGATCGGGCAGCAGGCTCTCTGTATCAGGTCTACAAATAGCACGTCTTAGTCAAACGTAGAGCTGGTCGAGCCCGACTACATGCAACACATACCTGAATCCCGCTGATCGCCTGACCCCTGCTACAACAGTCGACAATAGGACCGCGTCTACCGCATAGTGAAAGAGTCTGCCGAGCGCCATGCTATAGAGTGCGTGCAGAAGGCTCGGCGAGGGCGATGAAAAGAGCAGCGGTGAGTGCTGGGATAGGATAGGGAGCGGCGAGCAGGGGTTCTGTAGGCAGTCGGCGGATGTATGGCCCAGTGTCAGTGAGAGCGACGAATAGGGTCGGCGGCAAGCCGTGTCGGTAGCCACGTGAACGGGTCGCACACTCAAATTCAAACCGCGGCACTCCTTGCTACTTGCTCCTCCTGTTCCTCCTCCTCCTCGGTCGTCGCGAGACTCATTGCTGTGATGTTCCCGCTATGTTATTGCCACTATCTGTTCTGGCTGTGTTCGAAGAACGCTTTGCGCTTCAAGTCCGCGTGCTATGATTCACTCCGATTATGAATCTGATCGACCCATGAGATCGCCCATGGCCATTTTCTTTGGTGTAAATGCCTCGACGGTGACACAGGTGACTACAACACACGATGGCTGCCTGGACGTCTTCAACTGCTCCTGGATTCGCGTGCATATGCCTATAGGCTGAGTACAGCTCCAAGGATCGATAGAGCCATGCCGCAAACGCTAAATCACTCGGCTCGCACTTCGACTCGCGAGGGACACTAAAGCTTAGCTCGTGCGTGTGTGCTTTTGCCTTAGCTCTACATTTTGACTGGATTCATGGTGTGCATGGTAGCGGCGTAGGGCGGTATCGGCCAGCTTGTCCCAGAGCGACACATTTGTCCGAGCGGCATTGGTCCCAGAGCTTGCTTGTATGCATACTGGAACGCCGTGTATCTGTGTATCGTTCAATGGACCTGCCGTACAGCGATGGGAGCTGGGCCTTCCCGCGTTGCTTGGGCCGCTCGAAACCAGTCGGAGACCAGCGCGGTGACTTCTGCCGTGCCACCTCTCCGTATGCATCAGTGCATCGGTACCGCGCAGTACTCGACCCCGGCTCCACATGTCTACCTAACGCACAGTTCGCGTCTGGTATTTGAGAGTCTGGGATGACCGAGATTGATGATAAGGACAGGACTCCGATTCCTTTCTCATACATGACGCGAAGAATGCGGACCGCTGAACTCGTCTCTGTAGACTAGTAGGTACTCGTACCTCATTCGTCCGAATATCTCGGCTCTTCTCGGGCACTGATACCATCGTACGCGCAGTCATTTGTGCACTTGCATCCTCGCATCACTACACTCAGGGTCCATGCTCGAATTTGCTGTTTTGAGACACCGTAACGTCGGCGTTCAAACATGTGCGTACAGCACTCGATCGCGAGTTCCTCCTACCTCACAATGGTTAGTGGATAGATACCCACACAGGCGCACCGGAACTCGCTTGTCACACAAGTGGCTGACTCGGGTTCCGACTAGCCCGCTTTGGACCGCATATTCGTGTCCAGCCCAAGTCCAGCCTCCAGCCTAACGGAGACGTGTCAGCCACCTCCGATCCCTACGTCAGCCAGCCGTCCCAGAAGCAATTGGAGGCTGACCCAGGTCCGTATATAATATGCGCTCACAGACCACCTCGAGTAGCAGCAGTCTCTCAGCCTCTCTCATCACTCTGCACGCCGTTGTCTTTACCTCTCAACGCCTCCCGACTCCGTTCAGTCTAAGCGATGGCAGGCAATCAGGCAGTGTCGATGAATCCGCCCAATGCGCAGGAGAACCTCTCGACCCATGGTTCGGATTGGTTGTGGGCAGTATTCTCTATCATGGCTCTTAGCACTCTGCTGGTTGCTGGTGCGACCCTCATGGTACGTGTTATTCAGTTGATGCTGCCGTGGTCAAGTGCTAACCACAGTGCAGAGGCCTCGCGGCACGCGTCTCTTTCACCAGTTGGCGGTCATCGTCCTCACGACTGCCAGCATCGCGTACTTCTCCATGGCCTCTGATCTTGGGGCGACGCCTATCGCTGCCGAGTTCCGCGGCGGTGGAACTCGTCAGATTTGGGTGAGCCTTGTCTTCATTCTCCTCATTCGGTGATCTGATCTGACGGCGGGGCTTGTAGTATGTCCGCTACATCCAGTGGTTCATCAACTTCCCCATCCTCCTACTCGTCATGCTCCTGGCAACCGGTTTGCCTCTGTCCGACATCGTGACCACGATCTTCATGTCCCTTGTCATCGTCGTCAGCGGCCTCGTCGGTGCACTTGTGCATAGCACCTACAAGTGGGGTTACTACACCTTCGGCCTCGTCTCTCTGTTCTACATTTGGTACGTCGTCTAACAGCCGGGCATCTGCACTGTTGCTCACAGCATCCCCAGGTACGTCCTCCTCTGGCACGCCCCCGCCTCCAGCTTTGCCGCGGGCGGTGTCGTCCGTCGGGGCTACTACCTCGCCGCGGGCTACTTCTCGTTCATGCTCATCACGTACCCGATCGCCTGGGCCTGCGCGGAGGGCGGCAACGTCATCACGGTCACCTCCGAGATGATTTGGTACGGCATCCTCGACATCCTCACCGGCCCGGTCTTCCTCGCGTTCTTCCTCTGGGAGTTGCGCGGCGTCGACTACGAGGCGTTCGGTTTCCGGTCGGGCAGGTATGTCGACAACAACGCGACCGCTGTGCGTGGCGAGAAGGGTGTTCCCCCGGCGGTGGCTGCCCCTGCTGCAGCCCCGATGATGGCCCCTGCCCCGATGGTGGCACCTCAGGCTGCTCCGGCTGCCGCGCCTGGGCCCGCCGCTGCTTCCGCTCCTGAGCAGACTGTATGAGCGTATTAGAACCGCTTCCCTTCACTCGGACCTATATCCCATTTCCATATTGTACAGCCTCTCATCCACGTTACATCTACTCCATCCTTTGTCCGAACATCTAGCCTACTGTATAAGCCTCATACATCCCCACATCGTACACATAGGAGCCACATATCATGACACTTGCTCAACGCTAAGTATGGGTGAGATACATTCGGTACGGCTTTGGAAGAGATGGTCAATTTGAATGCCGTTGCTGAACTTGAGAGCGCCCACTGGAACCCGGTGGCGTCGAAACGGCAGACGCCGAGGCGGACGCTTCTGTCCAGTGCCACCGCGTTCTCTTCTCCTCGAGTTCAGCCTGGGCGGCGCCTCGCCGCTGAACAGCGGGGACACAAACACGCAGAGTATGACCACCTCCAGGCTCCGTTGCAGGTTCTTCGACTAGTCCGCCCACAGGTGCGAGGGCATGGCAAGCCAAGAACACTGCGTTCCAGGTGCGTATCCCATGCCCGCTCCCCAGCGCAGCTCAGCCTCAGTAATTCCGAATGCAATTCGGAATTTCTTGTACGTACACCCTTCACGATGGGTCCACGCTACTCGGCACAATAGCATCGAGAAGTTCCGTTAGCATGCTCGCGGGACTTCAGCCGGCCTCCTGACTCGCCGCGCGTGCCCGTGCCAGTGTCCACCCCTCACGGCACCCTCTGATACACATATAAGACACGGAACCCGGACGCTTCTCGTCATTCTGGTCACCCTGATACGCTTGCGCTATGCCAGAAACTATGGCTGGACTCAGCTTGCAGCCCGGCCCTTCCACCGCGAAAGCAACGTCTGCACCACAGATGGACTTCTCACAGGAGGTCCCGCACTCTGACCTCCTCATCATTCGCGGCCACCAACCGTTCAACGCGGAACCCAAGGCATCCGCGCTGGTCCAGTTCCCCATCACGCCTGAGGAGCTAGTGTACTGCCGAAACCACGGACCCGTGCAGGAGTACGATTGGGATGACTTTGAGGTGAAGATCAGAATCAGGGATCTGAAGGGCGACGGGCCATCATTTGCTGCCGAAAGAATCGTCACAGCGAAGGATGTCCGAGAGCAGTTCGAGAGGGTCGAGGTCGAGGCAGCTTTGCAGGTGCGTCGCGTCAAACAGATGAAGATGAGCAACTTATCAAACATATCGGTTATGTAGTGTGCAGGGAATCGGCGCAAAGAGATGTCGACCCTGAAGCCCGTCGTGGGCGTGCTCTGGGACGACGGCGTCATCGCGAACTGCAAGTGGGCAGGCGCGCGTCTGCGCGATGTGCTTGCTGCTGCTGGGCTGCCCGGTAGTCTCCTCGACCAAGCATCTGACCTCGAAACCACCACTGGCCCGTCTGGGCTTTATGTTCGTTTCAATTCGAGCGTGACGCCAACCGAGAATGATGCTTACTACGGCGCGAGTATCTCTTTGGAGAAGGCGCTCTCGAATGACGCTCTACTTGCGTACGAGGTATGTTGAGTCGTCCTCCCTATCATCTGCAGGACACGATATATATCTTTCTGTAGATGAACGATGCCCCGTTGAGCCCTGATCGTGGCGGACCACTGCGGGCGGTCGTCCCTGGTTATCTCGGCGCGCGATGGGTAAAGTGGGTCGATGAGATTGAGATTTGCCGAGAAGAGAGCCCGAACTATTACCAGGCGAGAGATTACAAGGTTCTGCCACCAGAGGTAGGCCCAAATTCCGACCGCGTTGCTGCCAATAGTGCCAATAGTAATATGGAGCTAACGTACGCGCTCTTAGATCGAGAACAAGGAGCAAGCGAAGGATGCATGGACCAAATACCCCTCAATGACTACGCTTCCGCTCAACTCCGTCGTAGCTTCTATCACCCGTCGGTCGCCGACTGAGATCTTCGTGAAAGGATACGCTATTGGGCGAGGCTCAGCCAGGGTCACAAAGATCGAGGTTACGCTTAACGAAGGGACGGCCTGGATGCCTGCGAAGATTACGTACCAGGGCGGAAAGTGGAGCTGGACGCTATGGTCGGCATCCGTCGCGGTAGAGGAAGGGATGCACGGAACAATGCACATCCGGGCATCCGACGAGAAGGGGAACGTGCAGCAGCAGACGTGTCCTTGGAACATGCGGGGGGTAGCGTATTGTCCCTGGGGCGTGAAGACGTTCTGAGTTGTGTCCCTTGGAGTATTAGGTCGAGTACGTATTGTGATATCGTATAGTAATGTCAGACTGATTTTGTCAGAGTCAAACCACGGCTGAGTACCACTGCCTGGTGTATACTGGGCTTCCCTCCGATCTGTGATAACCGTAGATTCAAATTTCTCTCGGTAAGTCTCACTTACGACAGTTCACTCAAGAAGGTTATTGCTGGATACGTACGTGTGAGTGGCATTCACATCTAGCCCGGTTGAACGAGAACCTGAGCCCCTTTGTACTTCTCAGCCGACGAGCCACGAGGAACCCGAGTTGGATTCAATTGCAGAGTCAAGGCATACGAGAACTTCCTGCACGAAAAAGGCCAGGAACTGTTTGGTCCAGATGCTAGTGCTGTCAAATCAGGCGGTCAGCACCTCCGCGACATCCCAGAGCGTGTCCCGTGTGGTGCGACACTGCGAGCGATCTGAAGTATTCTGCGAGTCATGCGCACAGCAAGGCACAGTACGCTCATCTCTGAAGCCCTCGCAGTCTATTCGACGCACAGCGACGAGCATGCCCAGGCACGTTTGGTGCATGCGGCACCGCCAGCAATGAGCATCCGTCACATGGTAATCGCGACACAACATATCACCAGGTCTCCGAGCATAGAACCTCACCGTGTGTATAGGGGCTACCTACAGCGTGGTCCTCCGCAGCTCCTGCCAGTGATGCTGGCACACGTATGTCCAGGCTTGTTCCAAACCTATGTCCAGATCACAGCGCGGTAGCAGGCATGGAGCTACGAAGGCACCCCATTCGGACGTCGTTCTATGATTCTAGACTCGCAATGACCGCGGAAAGGCTATTGTCGTTTCGGCAGCGGCGGGGTCTAGAGGTGTGAAATGACCGACAGTACAAGAGCGGTGGTGCCGGAGCCCGGAAGACAACATCTCCGTCGGAGGTCCCAAGTGAGTAGTTGATCTACTACGGCCACATCGTATCTCAGGTCGAGATTAACGAGATTAACATGACACAACCTTGGGTTGAATCGGGCGCTGAGCCGGTCCTTGGCATGCGTTCAAACGTTCAAGGTTCAGATGCTCGAGCCAGACACACAGAGACATACCCTAAGCTCAGGTACATGTAGCGTAGAGCCAGCTGCAGCCGGATGCCTGAGAATTGACATATCAGCGCCGCAGCAGTACCCGTGTAAGCAAAGGGGCGGACGATGTGTAAAATATGGTACGTGCCAGAGCATGGAGCGTACAGCTTGAAGTATGCATGGGCCCGGATCGAAGAATAGACTGCCTGCGCCGTCCAACTGTCAGTGTCAAGGCGAGTTGAGCGTCGGACCGTGTCGCGGCCTGTCCCGGGCTCGACTAAGTCACTGTCCTCTGCCATTTGTTTGATTGCGGCGTCACCGACCTGATCCAGAGTAAACTCTGAACGATGAAGTGACATGATACTACTCAATTGCATGGTGGCTACCAAACGCGCCCTCAAATCCGCCCTGGCCCATGTGGTCCAGATGATCACAGTTCTGTGCAGGCGATGAAGTGCACATGGGAGCCCAAGCAACGGATATGTTGCACGACAGCCAGGAGTTTCGAGCTGACCTGGTCTGTTTTCAATGTAAGTAGTAGTAATGCGTCGGTGAGGGATAAGCCAATCAAATTAATGTCAGGATGCAGGTAGTGGACGATCGCAAGAGCTGGATCTTGCGAATTGATCTGCAAGGCGACCGGATATGGGTAGTATGTTTGTTAGACGCCCCGTGCGCGTGAGGGCGTGAAGGTTGCCATCTTGGACTCGACTCTCATGGCGAGCCATCCGCCATCTGCTCTGCACACGCCTCCCACGACTGAACTGCATCGTGAACCCCTTATCTCATGAATGCTAACCATACGAGGATGTGTCCGACCTCTCGAGCACCGCGAGGCTTCGACTATCTGAAATGCACGAAGATCAGCCGCGATCAATGTAGAGTGCGAGCAGAGCAGCGCCGCTCTCCGCAACATGCGAGACACACGACAGGGAGACAGTACATCAATTGGGTCGCTGTCAGACGTGCTGCCAGCGAGGTAGTATTACGCGTGTAAGTCGTTCACACAGACTCGAGTCCATCCAAATGTGCCTTATCACGCACCCCGAATGTTAATAGGACAGACTGAATTGCTCACAGGAGATACGGAGAATCGTTCTGCGATTATCATACTCTTTTGCATTCCGTTCTCGGGGCGCTGGAACGGAAGAAGCTGCGTCTAATGCCGCGAAGTGCCTTAATGCACGTCTCACTCACGGTCCTCTCTAAAGTACCGAGGCTTATCACGAAGACAAGCTTCTGCCGGTCTGCTAAGTATGCAAGTCTCAACCGTTGATACGCTGCCAGCTGATGAACTCCGCATGGTCGTCCGTTCCTGCAGAAGTTGCCCCGAGCTCGCCGCTCGATAATCACCCCGCTTATGCTACACGCGGGCACATTCCGCTCGAGAAACAGGTCCACGCGTCACGGTCGTGCTATTGTAGGTTCCTGCACAGGAGCTGCGCGCCGAAGCTCCTGGCCTACCATGCAGTGTGTCTCTGTGGCAGTTTAAAGGGCATGCGAACTGCGTCCGTTTCCCTCACCCCTCCTCCCCCGCTGTTTCAGCATGGTTCTCAGCCGGTCTTCGTCTGCTGCCTTTTGGCTTGGCTTGTCGGGTCTCGTGGGCGACCTTACCTTGGTCCATGCCGCGTTCTCGAACAGTGCTTCAGACAACGTAAGTATTAGAAGATCCGGGTAGTAAGGTACAAAGCTGACCGAAGTTCCCGCTGCAGCTCGCTGTGTAAGCATTCATGAATAATCTCCGCATATGTAGCTCACGCTGTCTCAGTTACTGGGGTCAGGACTCGTACGGGGCTGCAGGTGGTAGCAGCTCTGGCTACCAGCAGCCCATCTCGTACTACTGCCAGGTAAGTGCCGTTCGGTGTCCTTTATGATCTGACTTGACTGAACTTGTGCCCAGGATGACTCGATCGACGTCATTCCTATGGCGTTTATGAACGTCTTCTTCGGCGAAGGAGGTGAACCCTCCCTCGATCTGGCGAACGTCAGTCTTGCGTCTCACACTCATTGACCCTTTATACTGAGATCTTAGTTCTCTTCACCAGACTTGCAGCACCGCTAACGACCCGGTGTTCAATGGTACTCAGCTGCCAGAGTGTACCTTCTTGGCGTCAGACATCGAGACGTGCCAGAATGCGGGCAAAATCGTCACTATGAGTCTCGGTGGTGCAACTGGTTCTGCTGGTTTCAGCAACACGAGCCAGGCGCAAGAATTCGCTCAGACAATCTGGAACCTCCTTCTCGGAGGGTCGAGCAGCATCCGCCCTTTCGGTAATGCAGTCCTTGACGGGTATGTCTGGACACAATGTGGACGTAGAAATGCTGACGATTGCGCGATGTAGAATTGATCTCGATATCGAGGGTGGTTCCTCTGAATATTTCACTGACTTCGTCTCGGCCCTCCGCTCTTTAATGAATTCTGGCTCGAAGACGTAAGTCCATACCGCATTAATCGAGTCGTTATAGACGATGAAACAATCCGTATGACAGATACTACCTCACCGCTGCACCACAGTGCCCATTCCCAGATGCATATATCGGCAGGTCAGTCCAAGCATCTGAAGTCGCATCCGCATCCCGCACTAACTGCGTATTTCACAGCGTTATCAACGCAGAGTCCTTCGATGCAATCTATGTACAGTTCTGTGAGTTCCCCTGGCCCCGAGACTCTGCCAAGGCTTTCCTGACCACTTCGGCTAGATAACAACTACTGCGGGTTGACCAACTACGACAACTCCAACGACTGGAACTTTGGCACCTGGTGAGTTCGACGCATCCAAGGATCCTCTTACCACCTAACGCGAATATAGGGATAACTGGGCCAAGAACACCTCTCCGAACCCAAATGTCAAGGTGTACATCGGGGCACCGGCCTCGTCCACGGCAGCTGGTTCTGGCTACGTTGACGCTGCGACCCTGGGAGCCATCGCCCAGGCTACGCGCCAACAGTACTCTTCTTTTGGTGGTGTCATGCTCTGGGACGCCTCGCAGGCATATGGTCAGTCATTCCCATGACCGGGAAAGTAGACGCTAACTCAGGATATCGTGTGCAGCGAACAACCGCTATGATGCTGCGATCAAGGGCTACCTGACTGGCAGTTCTGTCACAACTGTAACTCCCAGCAGCACGGCCTCGACGACCGCGGCTCCCACGACATCCTCGGCGACCACCACTTCTGCTTCCACCACTTCTGCTTCCACTACCACGACTGCGAGCGCTGGAGACTGCGCGGGAGTCGCGACGTGGGTCGCCAATGTCGCAGTACGTTTACATCGTATATCTGGCTCGCCCGACCCTGACGTAGACATCGTATCATTAGTACACGGGAGGCGACCAAGTCGTATACAACGGCCAGCTCTGGACGGCGAACTGGTGGAGCTACGGCGATACCCCTGGTGGTAAGACCGCCTTCCAGTCCTGCTGCAACCCAAACGCTGATGTGCGACCACCAGGAGACTCTGGCGACTGGGCTGCTGACGGCACCTGCTCGACCACGAACGGCAAGGTCCAGTACCAGAGCAAGGAGGCCCCTCTGACCGCCACCCCGAAGGCGGGCACGGTGCCCAACCCCTCCTTATCCGCAGCCATCGCGGCCAAAACGGCCGCGGTCGCTCGGAGTAATTCCCGCTTCTTCAAGTTCTGAGCCGCGAGCTTCCCCGGATCGGGCTCTGCGTCGTCCATTCACTACATACTTGCATCGCACACGACGCACTCACGGTATCTATTCTGACCCGTCTATCTCTGTCCTTCCTCCTGCATTCGCGCCTTTTGGGGTTTGACACCCCCTTCCGGCTCTCTCTCTCGCATGTCTGCTTTGTTGCATATCCCGAGGCTTGTATTGGCTGTATCCATTACGCAGTGTGAATCAAAGTTTGAAGCGGTATTTCCATGTCGGGGAAGCTGCTCATTCCCAGCAGTCTGCTCCGCTGGCTCAGCTATGACGTTGAGTCTCCACGACCCAACGGGAAGTTCCACAGATCACTTGCATCCATGACTTCGTTAGAAGTCCTAAAACTTGCCATTACAACTCTCAATCGTCTACTCGCGACGTAAGGGACACTTGCCTGGCTTTGTTTGACTGAGCATGAACTTCTCGCAAGAACCGAAGCATTCCGACAAACTACATGAATTAGGCGCACAGCCATACAACGCAGAGCCGGACATTGCAGAGCTTGTCCAACACCCGTACACACCAGACGAACTCGTATATAGTCGGAATCATTGTACGTCACTCGCCAACTCCAGCTGAAGACTTGAATAGTTCATTCGCATGCAAGTATAGGTCCGATCCGAGCCCTGGATGCAGCGACCTTCAGCGTCAAAGTCGACGGACGCGTCCGGCACGAGCGAACGTTCACGTTGAACGATTTGAAGAGAGATTTCCGACGCAAGGAGGTGGTCGCCGCACTGCAAGTAGGTACTCACCCCATTCCCGAGAGGTCGGTGCTGAATAGGCACAGTGTGCAGGCAATCGGCGGAAGACGATGCAGGAACGGAACGGCAAGGAAGTCGAAGGGCTCCTCTGGGGCGAAGGCACGATCGCGAACTGCAAGTGGGCGGGCGTGAGCATGCGCGAGCTCCTCGAGCAGGTGGGAGCCCCGCCTGCTGCGGACGAGCGCATTCGCAGTCTGCACCTCTGCTTTGCGTCCCACGTCGTGCCATGCGAGAACGACGATTGGTTTGGCGGATCGATCCCGCTGGAGAAGGCGCTGGACGAAGGTGAGGACGTGCTATTGGCGTACGAGGTGGGTTCACTGGAACAAGCTCAAGGTTGGCGCTGAGTACTGAGGCGGTGAACCCGGTAATGCGTGCCCCATTGACAGATGAACGACCGCCCGCTGTCACCAGACCATGGCTTCCCGTTCCGTGTGGTCGTGCCAGGATACACGGGGGCGCGCTGGGTGAAGTGGGTGGACCAGGTCACTGTGGCTGACCGGGAGTCGGAGAACTTCTACCAGAAGAAAGACTACAAGGTGCTTCCGACGAAGGTGTGGAGCTCGCGTCCTTGTGCATACGCCTGGTAACGGGGTTGAGCAGGTACAGACGCACGAGATGGCGGACAAGGAGGACTGGTGGTCCAAGGTCCCCGCACTTCAGGCCAATCCATTGAACTCAGCAGTTGCCTCCGTCAAGGTTGTGCGGCCAGGTAGGCTCCAGGTCAAGGGGTACGCCGTGCGCGGCTCCACCGGACAAGTGAGCGAGGTGGATGTGAGTATCGATGAGGGCAAAGCCTGGGAGCCGGCGACAATCATCTACCAGGAAGGCCGGTGGAGCTGGACGTTGTGGGAAGCAATACTGGACGTGCCGGAGGTGAGCAACGGGAGAGGAGGCAAAGTCTGGTGCCGGGCGGCGGATATGGCGGGGACGACGCAGCAGCCAGACGCGGACTGGAATCTGCGGGGAGTGGCATACGATGCCGTAGGCGAGAGACTGTTGGATGTATCATAGTAGTAGACGCACCTCGTTGTGCTCCTTCCTGGGCTGATTTCTCCATGTGGGGAATGAATAGTAGCCCGCACGGCGACATTGTCTCCCGCAGCAGAGAGGATGGAGCAGGGAGTTGGCCGTCGAGGGAGATGGGGAGAAGAAAGGCTGAAAACGCCCGAAATGTGCATTTCTGGCGCTCCTGGGCACGTTGCAGCGGGCAGGCTGGGGCTCGAGGTTGGCTTACGCCGCTCTGCCCGCAATCTTGCACTCCCGCTGATAACCGTGTGGCCTCCGAAAACATACTGGCAACCTTCCGAGGGCCAAGAACGGTTCTCGAGTTCATCACAGCGGCCAGAACAAACCTTACCCGTCGATGACACGCTCGGCCGGTGCATGCCTCGTTGCAAAGCCCGCCACGGATGAAGATACCGCTCATCGCTGATGAACTCGCTTTGGACTCTGCTCGATTGGATCTTGCCCTCAGTACGATTATCTGACGATCTGGAGGACCGTTACCTGACCGACGACGGTTACTCCGTGGCCTCGACACTCGCCGCACCCAGGATACGTGGCCAATACTCACACGAATTGCGGCGGGACTGGACGAGGGAGCGCGACCGCGAACGAGAGCTGGATCGCGAACGCGCACGCATCGCCATCGAGGACAGGGAGAAGGAGCGGCAGCGCGCCCAGCTCCTCGAACGCGACAATGCCGCCCTGCAGCAGCGCATCGCCGCCCTCGAGCGCGACCTCCAGTCCGCCCGCCAGTCCCTCGCCACCTTCTCCGTCCTCTCCTCCCCAGCCCCGCCCACAAACGCCCTCAGCGCACAGCCCCGCATATACCACACACCCTCCCCCAATCCCGTCGACCTGCGCACATCCTACGACTCCCTGCTGTCGTCGTACAAGATGGCCCACCGCGCCCTGCAGGAGCGCACGGAGGAGGTCGCGAGTCTCAAGACATTCCTCAGCAAGACAGACGAGTGGTCTGGTGCACAGCTCCTCCAGGCCCTACGCGACCTCAACGCAGAGATCGTCCAGCTCGCTGCGTCTGCGGCGGAAGAGTTTGCCTCGGCACTGGACCGCCGCGTCGACCTCGTCCGACAGTCGGACCGCGAGCTCCTCAGCAGCGCCATTGGCCCTGTCATGACGAACCTGCTTGTGACGCGCGACCATTCCACCGACCCGACGCTCGTGCAGTTCGCCATCCAGGCATGGGAGGTGTTCTGCGTCGGCCGCATAATGAACGCCTTCTGCTTCGGTCTCCCTTACGACATCGACCAGTTCCTTGGGAACCTCTTCGAGCAGATGAACCGAACAGGTCAGTCCGCACTTGCTCACTCTTCCTCCTTACTTATTCCGTGTTGCAGAGCCACAAGCCGCCGCTTCACGCTGGCGAGCCCTCACCAACAGTCACTCGCGCCGCTTCCTCCCCCAACGACCCGATGCGCCACCCAACTCGCCATCCGCCCCTATCTTCCAGCTCAACGACACCAACCTCCGGGGGCTCCTCGCCATTCTCGCGCTCTCCGGGTGCACCGACAGCCGCGGCGTGCACCGCGACCCGCTGCGCTCGCGCTTCGGCGCCGCACTAGCGCGCATCAGCGAGCGCGCAGAGATCATCGCCCGCGCGGTCCGGGAGGGCGTGATGAGCAACGTATTCGAGGTCACCTGGGTGAACCCCGGGAACGTGGGCAGGAAGGACAAGGACGAGCGGTGGTTCGACTGGGCGGCGATGGAGAACGTGTATGCGGGCCATGGATCGGAGCGCAGCAAGGTGCTGTGTACCGTCGAGTTCGGCCTCGTATGCATCCGGCACGGGTCGTGGCCTGAGGCGAATGGCGGGCCGAAACCCAACGGGAGCGCGTCCACCGGTGTGAATGGCAATGGTGTTGCGGCGAATGGTGGGCCTGAGGGCCCGCTGACCCGCAGCGTGCTGCTGAAGCCGAGAGTGCTCTTGGAGTCGGTGATGGACATACTATGACCGCCTCTGGTATGTTCGTTTCTGTTTTGAATAACTTTCTATGCTGTCAGCTTACGACTCACAGTACTTATAGCCTGCTACCTGTCGCCCTGAAACGCCATGCCCACATACCCGGTGAACACTGCGCGGACTCTAGGGCGACCACCTGGCGAGAATGCGATTCTCGCCCTCAACGTCAGTGTTGCGTCCGTGACACGGTGCCCTTCCAAAACACCTCCGAGACACCTTGACTACATCCTACCATCTTCTCTATCCTGCGTCCCCTACCTGCTCTCGGAAAATAAACCGTCACCTTGATGATGCGACGACACACGGGTTATTTGTATTGTGCTTGGATCCTTGCTATCTACTGTTGTTTATGCTACTGTATACCTCTGTATCTAATGTGTACTACACTGTTGTCGAACTTGATACAGTTGTACAAGAATGTCCTGCTGGCCGTAAGCGCGTGGTTCAAACGTAGATATCATGTTCGCCGGGTATGTTTTGATCGTAGTAGGCATAACGGTCTGTGCCAATGGTGGGTAACAAATCTCGTGCACCTGCGGCCATGGGACTATTCGCGCACGCGCAATCGATAGCGAGCACCAAGATCGAAAGACGGAATTGTCATTCGTTGTGATTTGGTTTCGATGCATGCGGCACGAAGGACTCAGGCAGTATATACCGCGTTTACACAACATGCGTGCGTACGAACTTGTAGAAGGTTGGCTAAAGGAAGGCTAAAGGAAGAAAGAAACGAGAGCCCTGCACTGCCACAAAACCAATATGCCCAGGGCACACACGATCCCTGCGACACCGAGGACGATGAGGTGGAGGTACGGGGTGCGCCCAGACTTAGCCACTCGCCAATCCTGCATGACATTGAGCACCGTATAGACGTGCTCAGGCGTCAACTTCGGGGCCTCAGACGAGGCCGTGGGCCCCTGCGCGGACGATCTGCGGGCTTTCCATTCAGCCCATGCTATGGACTTCGCCGTGCTGACGACGTTCTTGATCTGTGAAAGGGAGAAGTCAACGACGCTACGCTATGGTCATCAGATCAGCGAACGAACCTGGCGTCCGTTGAGCGGAATCTTTGCGAAGCGTCGACTGATCTCTTCGTCGGGGACGCCGGCCTTGAGGAGAAATGCCTGCCAGATGGCCTTGCGAGACGTGTAGTCCAAGTCGGGATACTGCACACAGAAATGGATTCGACCTGCGGACATGAACTTTTGTCAGCCACACGCCCACGCTCTGCGCGCTCGTGAGACAGACGCACTCTCGAAAGCGACGTCGATTTGTTTGATCAGGTTCGTGGTGAAGATGAGGACACCGGTATGGTACTCGACCTGCCTGAGAAAGATTGAGACTAGCGCGTTCCTTGAGATGTCGATGTTGTCTCTTTCCCGCAGGAAGACGTCCGCCTCGTCTATGAGCACGACAGCATTCCAGCGTTGTCCGACTCGAAGAATCCGCCTTAAGTGTATGTCGGTGGATTCGGGACTAGTGCCTAGCTCCCCTGCACTGACGGCATACAGCGGTTTGTGGGTGAACTCCGCCACAGCCTCCGCTGTGAGCGTCTTGCCGCAACCGGGATTCCCGCTCAGGAGTCCAACAAGGCCTCTTCCCTTCCCTGCAACCACGTCATCAAATCCGAGCGAATGTGACGTGTGCTCCATAACGAGAGAAGATATCAGCGATTTCTGCGCGTCCCCAAGCACAAGAGTGTCGAAGGGCTCGTCCGACCATTGAATCTCTGTAGTCCTACCAATGGCAAAGGCACCTGTACCATGTGGTCAGCTTCAAAGATCAGTCATTCTTCGTGCGAGTGGTCAACGTACCCCATGCTTTGGTAGCGCAGCAGAAGCCAAGGAGCACCGGCGTACAGAGAAGATAATCCTTCTCCAATAGTTTCGTTGGATCGAGGCGACGATACACGTGGCGTATAAATTTGCTATGTGGTTGATATTCGTAGAAGGACTCTACGTCAACCATGATCCGCTCTTGTATCTACGGAGCCGCGTTGATAAGTGGCATCGCTGTCCGAGATTACAATGAACTCATACCTGAAGTGTTTGACCCCGGTCTTTGCGCTCTTGACCCGGCATCAAGAGCATTGTAGGCCCGTGATCGTCCGGGTCGCTAATGTGGACGGTGCCGGCTCCATGGTGCTGGTAGAAATGGAGGTTCGAACCAACGTAATCTTTCCCTCGGGAAACGGCAGCCTTGTATAGGGCATCATGGTCCGGGTAATGTTCTAGGGGATATATGGGTAGGTCGAAAATCGACCGTGCACCGGGGAAGTTGTCGACCTCGAATTTTATCCTAGTGAGCCCCAAGTCCAAATCGTCACGGATGATGATGTCGCATTCTATCTCAGCCCACTTTCCCCTTTGCGTGCTCTCGTAATACTCGAGTGTTTTTGCACACGCGACATAGCGTTGATCAATATCAGTGTCGTAGGCGTGCACGTAGCTGTTTGGGCGAAAGAGAGCCCAGAGGAGTTCGTAGGTTATCTGCCGCTGACCTATGAGAACGTCGAAATCGGCTATGCTATCCTTTAGATCCTCGTCAATGAATCGTAGGGCCGCGTAAATTCCTTCGAGCGTCTCTTGGTCTTCGGGAATGTTCGACTGTTCCAATTCACGTCGCCGGGTTTCGAGCTGTCTATAGGAAAAAAAGAATACATCTTTCTCCAGCTTCGTAAATCATAACCGTCGCTTCAGTAATGTGTGACGATGAGCCGCTAATATGACTCACAGCCGGCTTTCTCGCAGTAAGCTCGAGTCCTTCTACGTCTCTGTTTATTGCCAGCAAAGTATTGCGCAACGCCTCCTGATGGATTTCCATCACCGTATTCTCAAGTTGACCTCGAGAATTAATTAGACGCTTGACGACAATGATGGCCTTTTTCTTTGGGGTTACTGGCTTGTGCGTCTTGCGAAGTTCGTGTCTTAATGTACGCCTAAGACGTGGTCAGACTGCGTGTTTGTAGACTGTGTCCACCTCCTTGCGACACGTACTGGCTGAAGCTATGGACTGGTTAATGCAACATCATAATGACGCAATGTTCTGGCACGTACAACATATCGTAACGAGCAATCTGTGGGCGGGATTCAGGCAAGGCTGCCTCTGGTATCATGACCTGATCATTCTCGGCGCAAAGCTGAGTGTCTGCAGCATCAGAAATGACACCGCTCATTCTGGATGGATCGGACTGGAGGTCAACGACGGCGATGGAAGGATGAAAGCGCAAACGTTCAGAACACATCAGACTTTATGCACGTTGTCTCTGCGGCTGTACATGGCTGCGGTGGTGAGGATCAACACGTGCCATTCTTCCCTGTCCATCCAAATTGCTGTCATCCTGCGTCCTCTGTGTCGTCTGTACCTCCAGGCTGTGCATCCGCTGTCACTGGGGGCTGTGGCACCTAGGCCTGACCTGTCAAACCGATCATTTGGGTCATTAGATGCATATGGACGAGTGTGGTACCAGCTTACTACAAGAATGAGTCACAGAGTTTGAACGCGCTCCGATCGGATGTTGGCGGACATCAAAGGGCCAGGTCCTCTAGGCTCTCAAGATGTGGTCTCGTACCCCTCCGTGTGGACGCACCCCACCACCGCTCCGACACGGTGCGTCCACACGGAGGGGTACGAGACCATCAAGATGAGTCTGTTGTCTCGATACTAACCGGAACCACTGGCAGGGCATACGTACTTGCGATCGTCTTCTGTCACGTGCTGTATCGCTCTTTCATGAGAGTCGATGCGGATGAGCGAGACACCATGCAGTGAACTTCGCGGCGGTATGTGACACCTTCAAGTTCAAGTTGCACTGCAGTAAGTAGGGTGGCTGAGATCCCAGCCCGATATAGTAGATCTGTGGCGCCGGTTGGGCGCCCCCTGCGTATCCTACTTGGCGGCGGCAGTGCAGGGCGCTGCGCTGCATACGCTGGGACTTATATCTAGGCCGCAATGCATTGGACCCGGATCCTTGTCCACATCTACGCCGATGCGAACCACAGGCAACTGTGCATATATACGTGAGCCTCCCTACCCGTCTCAACCTGTCTGATCTGCTCTGCTCATGCATGCCCCGGCGCATCTTCTCGTTCAGCACGTTCCAACAGCTCTGTACTGCGGCATATCACAGGCCATGGCTGTTCCCACAGAAAACGCTGCTACTATAACGTGAGTACTGTCATTCACTGCTGAGGTGTCCTTCAGCCCGAGGGCATGGCGATGCCACACGAGACGGCTAGTACACCCGTGCACTGAGAATCCGTATGCGTGATTCATCACTGTTCAGCAGCACGTACGAGTTGTTTCGAAGAAGTTCTGCACGCACTAGCCATGTGCTCGCATTGACGGACCGATAGTGCTGACCATCATCTCTGTTCCCTTAAAACTTTGGGAGCGCTGTCAGTGCATTCTGGAATGACCAGCACATAGTACCGTCGTTTATTCCCCGCTCCTGCATTCAGCGGAGCGATGCAAACGCCTCCACGCGGTGACGCAATGCAGTTGCTACTATCGGTTGCTAACGACTATGTTCTCAGGAAACAACATCCCTTCCAGCGCGCCTTCGAGGCATATCTGAAAGGCCTCGACGAGAAAGCCAAGGCCAAAGACTTCTTCGCCCGATATTGCAGCGAAGATAAACTACAGGACCCGCAAAGCGTCAACCGTGATATGAAGGAAAAGGTTGATGAACGCCGGTCAAAATCATCGGCCACCGGCAAGATTCTGCAAACTCTAGCGGGTACCCAGAAAACCTTCGACGGAGTTGTGAATGCTCTGAGTACGTTTCACTCATTGATCTGGGATGGTTCCAGCAGCCCTCATCTTCGCCACATAGCATCACTCGATCCTACAAATGTGTCAGGGGCGGTGTGGGCGTGTGTATCCGTTCTCGCGAAAGTGAGCATTGAACATATTCTACTTTGCTCGGAACGACCTATGTTAATCTACGCCTCATTCATGTGGCAAGACTGTTGATTCTTATGTCAAGGTTCCCGAGAAGATATCCAAAGCGCTGACTCTCCTGGGCGACGACTTGAAAAGGATCGCAACATACGGCCGCATCCTCGGTGAATCATTGGATCTTGAAGATGCATTTTTTCAGTCTTTCTTCGACATGTTCCGCTTCTGGAGCAGGGTCTTTCGGGAGCTTGGCCGTCATAGTAAGCATGTAGTCGACCATGGGTGAAACCTATCGTATCATTTCGCTAACCTGCTGCTACTCCAGGAATCACTAGCATCTTATCGGCCCTTGTTCTCCCGGCAGATAGGTTTGATGATATCATTGCTGCCATGCGGACGAATGCCGAAATCTTGGAGAAACAATTCGAGCGTGTCAAGGAAGAACGTGAGTTCATGGAGAGATCAGGTTAGTCAATAGCCTCTGCACATTCGCATTCGTGAGGCTTGTTGACCATGAATACCGTTACGTAGAGAAAGCAATACGAAGTTTCTTGGGGCAACCTATCTCTACAGGAGGACCCACGTTTGTTACCAACAGCCGCCAACTGTCGGCCATCGAGGATCAGTGTTGCGCATGGATCTTTGAGGATCCTACGTACCAGGCATGGAGGAAGGGTGAGATGGATTCCACAGTCCCCACCGCGCTGTGGGTCTATGCGCCACCAGGATCCGGCAAGACTACACTCTGCGAGAGGGTAGTACGTGCCGTCCGGGAAGAGCAGCCCTCCGTTGCGGTGGCATCACATTTCTTCCGATTTGATCAAACCTTCACGACTCTTGATATCCTGAAGTCCATCGCTGTACAGCTCTGGGAATTCTGGGCATCACAGCACTACCCGGATTCACATTCGCTCCTCCCCACGCTGTCCCGTCTCGCAGATGACAAGACGAAAGATGCGGCCTCCCGGGTTCGGTCGATCTTGGACACACTTGTTCAGGCACTACCTACAGTCTACTTCTTTATCGACGGAGTAGATGAAGAGGCAGCAAAGGCGGTGAACGATACTCTACACCGAGACACTTTGGCTGCTCCTGATGCTCGGAGTATTCTGGACGTGATCGAACGCTTCATTTCATCCGATAAAAATCGACGTGTCCATCTCTGGATCAGCTCACAGGACGTCTCCTACACTAGGAAGAAACTCGAGAACTATACTCAATTCGATATCAAACACGCAGTCCAAGCGGGAATCAGGTGCTACCTAACCCGATCTATCCTCGACCCCGCCGTTGTGCCACTAGCAGCGGCCGAGCGAGAGTCCATCCTACAACGACTCATGAAGCGCGTGGAGAGTAACTTCTTATGGGCACATCTCATGGTCGTCGAGCTGAAGAAGGCTACCAACTCAGCGGAGATTAACCAGATTTTGGAGGACGGGAGAGCAGATGAGCTAGACGAGTATTACGCAAGGTTTCTTGACAGCTTGAAGCTACTGCCGAGCAACAAAGCCTCAATCTCACGGTACGTGTGACTCTTGATATATTCGAGACCACGGTCAGCTCAACAATGATGATTCAGCGACGTTTTATCCCTAGTAACATTTGCGAGGCGACCACTGACGGTCGGAGAGATACAAGAAGCCATCGCAATACTCAACAGCAAAGTTGGGTATCTTGACGACTCGCGCAAGCCATTTCTGTCCACGCTCCTCAGCATTCTCTCGCCTCTGATCGAGGTCGGGCATGAACGTCACCCGGGTGGCGTACGTGCTGGTTCAGCTTCACCGTCTCCGAGTCTTGTGCCTGGGCCAGGAGACCAAGGCTACGACGATCTAAAGAAAACGTGCCGGCTGTTCCATTCTACCCTCTTCGACTTCTTACACAGACAGGCAGAGCTTCTCTACGATGGCTCAGACATGGACGAGGATAACCGACGCCGCCACGCCATTACTACTCCGAGTCCAAACTTTCGCATTTCCCCGCTACGAATCGCAGACGCCTGTCTCCTTTACCTCACTCAGACCAGGTACTTGCAGTTGCTCAGGCGGCGGGATGACACATGGGTCGACGCAGGAGATCAACCTGTATCTGCCCATCACTTCCTCACGTACAGTGCGAAGAACTGGGACAAACACCTCGATCTAGTCAGTCCAAACAGCAACAACTATGACTATGATCCTTCACCTGGCGCCATTGCTGGCGAGGTCCCGCAGATCATGGAACAGTTCCGCTCACGTGTGGAGGACTTCATTCATTCGGCGAAGTTCCGCACCTGTATGCAGGTACAAAGCCTATGGATTGATGCCTCGTTCAGCCACTACAGTGTACGCAGCGACAAGGACCACCAGCTCTGGCTTCGACGCATTCTTCCCCGATTCATCGTGGCCTCCGATAGCAAGTATCACACGTACTACCATCGCTTCTGGTGGGATTGGTATCCATTTCTATCGTGCGCAACTTGCGACAACCCTAGATGCCACTTCCGGTCGTGTGCAGGAGAGATAGATCGTTGCTGGTGGAGGTGCCTTGGTTCCGGCGGGGACTTCTTGACTACGCTGGATAGCCGCTACTTCTGTTTCCGATTTGAGGCGACGGCGCAAACGAGGGAATCGCTGTCCGGAGCCTACGTCTGCGACTTCCAGACTGCATTCGCCACTCAAGACAGTGTACGCATTTTGCAACTCACGTACGAGGCCTTTCCTCTCCTGCCGTAATTCTCCAACTGACCCAATGTCTCATAGATCAGCAGCAGATGCCAGTCAGCTCCGTTTCCATCTCGAAACATGGAGCTACAGCACCGACAAGTCACCAATATTGCAGAAATCCCAAGACTTACTGATTAGCGACACTATGTGCGATGCGGCGCTCTATGCTACGTCCGACTCGGAGTCCATGTCCAGCGGTGCGAGATCATTCAGCATCTGCGAACCGGGCGGTGGTGCCCCGCTGGCTTCTTTCAGCAACAATGGTCAATATCTTCGCATTGGCACGCAGATATTCACCGCTGAGTGCACTGGCGAGTACCGTGCGTTCATTGGCACGGGCATGAACAACATCGGATACATTGAAGAGTTCGAAGGCCATGATGGCATTGCCGTTGTTGCTAGCCGGCGACGGCGGGTGGCGCCTACTATGTCCAACGCTCGCAGGCACTCTTTGTATCCGGATGCAAGCCTGGGCCAATTGACAGGTATTCCCTGTGCTGCCGTCGAGGACTCTGACTCGGAATCGCCCGATAGTGACACCGAGGATGATGCGTCCATCTCATCAGAGTCTTCTGGCAATTACGAGGATGGCGGATATGAGACTTGGAGTGAGTGTTCTTCTGCACTCACCGGGTCCGAAGACGATTTGTATGCGGAATATCCCATGGATCATGACAGGGCGCACTTGACTCTGAATGAAGATGGCGATGACCAAGTGCCCTCCAGTGGCTACGACTTACAAGATCACGGTTGGCCAGCAAGAACGCATACAATCGGATCCAGTATCGGAGACGTGGATACCGGCTCAGCAAGCTCAGATGAAGCATGGCTCGACGAAGGCGAGAGCGAGTATGCTGACAGCAACGAGGGTATCGAACCATCTGAATTTGCCTACGGTCAGCTACGTCGCTATGCGGAAGAGGACCGCTACAGATGCCGCCAGCGGCGTCGCAACGCTGCTAATGGCTCTGGGGCCACGCAGTGTCCGAGAGCCGAGATGCGCATTTTCACGTCGGAGGGGAGGCTTTTCCGGTTCTCAAGACGTACACCAGCCCCGTTGTCGGACTCTCCTCCAGCCTTCCACCCTAGTCAGCCTTTGGTAGTGTGGCCCTTAGGTGGACTGCGGGCCCAGGTTCTGTTTGTCGACTATGAAGATATCACCTATTTTATCCGAGAGATTCGGACCGGCGTGTCGGAGCCCGGTGAGTAGATCTCTTCCTTGAGCCTACAACCGCCCTTTGACATCATGTGGTAGATTCCGTGATCCTCACAATGAGGTGTCATTTCACTGACAACGGACAATATCTCCACATCGCCGTGGCCGAAGGCCGTCCTGTGGTGCATGGCATGGCAGGCGACTCAAATAATGCGAGCGACGATATTCAAGTCCGGCTTTATTGCTACCGTCTTTGCACGCAGAAGCCCACGCGAAGTCCGCCTCATCTGGTCCACACCTCTTCAGTCAATGTGGGCATCTTTGACCGTGATGCACTCTCCCCTCGATGCCCTTGGACCCTGACATGGACGCACACGTACCTATATGTAACCTGGAGCCACACGGCACTACTGGTCTATCGTATCCCTCTGTTCCACCAAAGGGACACCCCGGATGACGTGGTAATCCAGCGGCCTGGAGAGACAGTACTGTTGCCAGCAAGTGCTAGATATCGTGATGTTTTCTTTTTCCCCTCAGAGGGTGACCATCTGGCCCAGGTCATTGTAGGCGGGCCAATTGTCAGGGAGAAACGATACGTTCCGCCGAAGGCAGGCCTAGCAACTCCAGTTGGTTGCATCCTGCGCACCGCGGACCAATTGGGCGGTTGGGTTGCTACAAACCATGCTCCGATGCCAAAGCGGTACATGGAGGCTGGCCAACTCAACGTGCCGTCAGTGGAGCAGTTTGACCCCGATGTGGACTGCGTCCGTGAGTATCTAATGTCTCTGGAAACTTATTCCGAGGAGCTGATTAATCGACCGAAGTCGAACCTTTCCTATGGCAGGAGTAGAGACCGGTATGAATCCATGTCATCGCTGCCTAGATGACAACTATGGAATATTATTTGTGCTACATAGAACCCAACATGTCTGTCCCGAGGCAAGAGAACGATTGAAGCAGGTGCAGCGCTTTGTGATGTTGGCGCGCTCACAGGGTAAGCTTCGTCGCCCAGAGTCTTAACTCTCAATACTGTCGGGTCGGAGTGACCCTTGCGTTGGGTGGATAGGACGTCGAAACTCGTTCCCGTCGTACTGCAATGTGCGGATCACTGTGTCTAGTACTGTGCGTGCGGAGCGGTGCATCTATTTGAATTCATGCAAACATCATCAACCGCGCTAGGTACTTTGCAATTATTTCTAACGCCGCATGCCTGGACTGCACTTCCATCATGAACGCACATCTCGATCGACCACGCGACGACTTGCTTGCGGACGAAGCCATTCTAGGCGGACTCGACCAAGTAGAAAAGCCTCCATACCGCCGCCCTCCCCGAGCAAGACGGGCATCATGCAGTCGAGGTTCTGCTCAGGGCAAAGCAGACGATGAATGTCGAGCTAGGTTTGCAGTCGGTTTGCAGTCCCGCCGACAGCGGCACCCTCACGCGCGCTGTTTGTGACGAGCGAGCCTGAGGACGCTGATGTGTTCGTTGTATATACCGTTCGACTTGGGGAACATAGCAGGCGGACCCCGCGCCGTAGGGATTGGACGCAACGAATACTGTAATAGATCGGTGAACTCGAATCTGGATTCGTGTTGGACATTCACTTACCTTCCAGAGCTATCGACACAGAAGCAGCCGGGTTTGAAACCAGCAGCGGGGCCATCGACGGGGACACCCTTTGCCCTCAGGCTCGCGGTGGGCAGGATCTCATGTGCATGGTGCTCAGATGTACCGTACGCAACGAGGTGCACCTGATGTGATGAACTCGAGGATCCAAAGCGTGCTCGAGTACCCGTAGTGACTACGTAAGAATGGACACTGAGATTGCGTTGGCCTGCTCGTTGAGCGCGTCAGACTCAGTAGCGATGGCGTGGTTCCTCAACCGTGTCGTGGTCGGGGACTTGTCCATGAGGTGCTAAGAAGTTTGTATGCATCCCGCGTCGCGCGAGTACAAAGCGGTCGCCTTGATTGTGTCCATGCGACAGTCTTGGTGCATCCGCAGATGATTTAAACACATCACTCGTGTTCATTGTCGGACGCGAGTCCACTGAGGGCAGCGAGCCTGGTATGGAGCTCGATCTTGAGGCCACAGGTCTAGTGTAGTGGATGCGAGGTGGACGAGCTCGTATATGAGTGCCTGCGCAGTAACCTCGATGTTGACGCTAAGCAATGCACTGACGAGCCCGAGGTGCGTCCTGTTGAGCCGAACGCCCCTAGTAGTTCAGGTCGCTATGGGGAACGTATATCCTGACGCTGCATGCAACGAGCAGAGACTCGAGCGCACGAAACTTCACGCCCTTGAAGGCCACCGTACAGTTCGTAAAATCGACGACACCGCCACCGATGGTGAGCATTTTTGCTGCTGATGTAGGGCATGCTGCATGCCATGATGTCGATAGTCGACTGCGCGTATTCATATGACGGCGCACCGGGGTCCGGGGGATACTCCACATCAATCGGCGAGCTCGCGCGCGAAGCCATACAAAGCGATGGCGTCGTAGGCGACGACGACGGAGGCACCGCGACCAGCGACCAGTGGCATCTCCCAGTGTGACTCGTCCACGTAGTCCTTGCATTCGGGCGCGCGCGTCCACGCACATCTACGGATGCCTTGGCGCGGGTGGACCGCGATCGCGAGGTAGATGCTGGAGGTGGCCAGGTAGAACGCAGTGGGGGCCGCAAAATGGCGATGACAGTAACGACGGCTGACCTTGTGTACACGTCGCGAGGTGGGGATCATCAGCAGCCTAGTCATGGGAGGCAGTAGCTGTCGGTACACTCTGGATGCGGCCACGAGGCCCGCAGCCTACGCAAACATCAACAGAGTGCACCTAGGCTCCTGTCTCGCCATATAGCCGTAGGGCAATGGGTCGAAAGAGTGGGTGGAACAGGAGCCATTCATTGGGTTGTGCGCGGAGGGTGCGAGGCGAGCGATCGGAGGTATGACATCTGCGGCGCAACAGAGCACGTAAGGTAAGATCTAGTCTCCCCTAGGCAGACCCTAAAGAAGACCTCTTGGACGGACAGGGGGGGCGGTAGGTAAGATCAGATAGAGAATGAACTGCAGTTAGGCTCACCCGCGGAATGGGCCCAATGTACACAGCGGCGGTGGGCGTTGGCTTCGCCTTGACGGGTCATACCGAAACTTGATAGGGCCTTCCAAGGATGCGGTTAACATGGGTAGGCCGCTCGACTGAGTGCTCAAGCTATGCAGTGGGCTCGTCCTGTAGGATCGTCGACGCGACTCTCTGGCATGCACTGGTTCGATCATATGGATGCCGCGCCCCCGCACGAGTTGTAGCTTCCGACCCTCAGGCTGTTTCTGTCATAGCCGGCATGATACAGCGACCATGGTAGAAGTGGAAGACGTTGACGTGAGGGGAACCTCAGCGGTTGGCTCGAAACATAAGCAAGAGCCTGAGAAAGCTCGAAGCACGCATCCGAGTCCAGGTTGCGGCGCGTCCACGTCGTCGACGAGCTGCCTTCGCGTGAACTCCTCAAGCGCCCAACGCGTCACCGGCCCGGGGAAGCCTCTCCTACCCTACGACTCAATTCTAAGTCTACATTGGCCTATTGGTGCATCGTATTACGACTACATAGTTGTTGTTCCTCAATTATATACAGTCACCGGCTCTTGAACGTCTCGATCCGATTGTATAGACGACTAAAGCAACCACAGATTGTCGATACCTATGAACGTCTGGTTGTACTGTTCGGAATGGTATCCACGATCGTTCTGCTTACACTGCAGGATATGCGCCGCGCCTTCCGCGTCCCTCCAAATCTCGGACTGAAAGCGAGGATCACCGCTAGAATCCGAGAAGACGGGCGTGCTCAGAGTCGGGCGATACGCCAGGAAAAGCCTCGCAAGACAGCGCCAGTCCGTGATCCACAAATCCTGTGTCGACGCGACCGTTTGAAGCGTAAGCTGGATGACGGTCCTCCTCTGCTCAGGGCAGATCGAATGTTGTCCCCGCCGTAGAGAATCGCATTCGAAGCGAAGTGACATAGGTGTTGGAATGCCATAATGCGAGGTGCAAAGTCGCCGCTGGAGATGGGCCATTCATCCGGCTGAAGATAAAGCCCGGCCCCCTGCGATGTCCCCGTCGGTGAATCATTGTCAAAGCGGTCAGGCCGGGGAAGGTTGACGCAGTGGTCCTGCACCGACGTCAGCCACGCCGTGCAAGGCCAACACCTGCGGTGGCGCGTTTCGCAACGCGGAGACCAGCTCGTGCATGACCTCCTGCTTGATGTCGTAGCCCGTCCACTAGTGTATCTTGACATGCGTGAGCTTCAGCGCGGCGGCCAGGGCGCCAGATGCAATGGCGACCTAAGTACGCATGCGGAAGAAATCGTCGCTGGACTGAGACATAACAATGATCCGTTCGACAGAGCTGAAGACGTTCCGTTGCGCGAGGTTCGCTGTGTCGAGTGACTCGAGCGGCGCGGCACCCGCGAGCGCGAGCGCACGTGCGTTGGGGAGACGGTGAAGTGGCTTCAGCACATTGGTCATGAAATCGGCGGTCGGAAGCGTGCACGGGACAACGCTGGCGATAGAAGGGCACGCCAGGTGGGCAGTGTCCGGGTCTCCTGGCGCATCATCGCATCCCTGGGTGTCTGCAAATGTACAGTCAATGACGCGGAGGATGCGGAGATGAGCGAAGCACCGCCTGCTCTCGTGCAGAGACCCCCGCTACTTCCAGCAACACGGGGTGCCATGAGACGACATTGCGGATGGTCAGGTCGCGCACCGGATCTAGAGATGGTACAAGAGCATCGCTGTCATGTCTGAATCAGTCATGCGTTTCGAGTACTTCTGATTCAAGCTGAACGGCGGAGTGACTGTGCTGAGCACCGCCGACTGTATGCGTCCGCGCGTACCGTCAATGAAAATCAACGGAAAGGAAATATAGACCGCACCTGTATGTTAGTCGAGGACACAATGTGTAGTACACGACAAGTAGCGCAATTCACTGGCTCTCGGCAGAATGGGGAGACTTGACGATTAGCTGTGTGATCTCTGGTGGGAGGTCGAGGAGGAACAATTGCTAGAACACAGGGATGGAGGGACCGTTGAGGTAGTCTCTTGCTTTGTCTACATGTTGAGTTAACACACGAAGACGATCATTGACTTAATGCGCTCAACGAATATGAGGACGCACCTGCGAATTCGGACAGCTCCTCATAAGGCATGCCTTGTGCCAGGTACTTCGATTGGAACTCCTCCGCCATCGAGTGCGGCCGCATATGATATTCAAGGTATCCGGTGGATTGCCGCCTCAAGGTAGCATGCTGTATCAACTCACAGGTACCTCGAAAGACCGATCCAATCTCCTCTTGTGGGATAGACAACGCATCTCGCTTCGCCCTCCAAGGTCGAGCACGTCCTAGAGGATGGACACGTCATTCAGCGACCATCTACGTACAGCACTCGAGGCTCACCTCGTGTAACCCTCCTGATAGTGTCCATAGAACGCCAGACGCGCCAGACACAAGAATAATCGCAGTACCAGTCCAGGTTTCGCAGGACCTCTTGAGAATGACGCGTGGTACATGTTGCAATTTTTGTGCAGCAGGCTTCGTACGCAGCTCTCTGGCACTTGTCATCTTGCTCCTGGTAGATTCGGGCATACACCAGCGGCGTTCGCCAGACTGTATGCAGATCAGAATGGCGCAGCGACGCAATTTATCCAAAGTAGCGAGATCATCCGAGTCGTTAGTACCCTGCCTCGGCATACGCACATAGCAGCATGGGTCTTCATGCATTGGCTTCCGCCGCGAGGTCCTTTCCGTCGTCGGAATCCATGGACAAGACCGCCTGCCTGAGTCGACGTGAGCGTAAGAGACGAAAGGGCCCTGCCACTTGCGAGCCAGAGATCCTCGATCCCAAGTTGTACCTTAGATCAGATCCCGATGAATGTCGAACATGGACCGTCTGGACGATCCTGAGGCATTATTGGCCGGTACGTCAAACGCCTCAACGTCAATTCACAGCTATGGGGTCGAGGACATGGACTGTAAGGTGTGTGACTATTGCCGACGTCTTCTAGTCTCTCATGCCGGCCCTGTAGCTGTTAGAAGCTGCCGTTCCGTGAGAGGTAAGTACCTGAGTAACATGTATGTAGCAGGTAACAGTACTTACCTACCGCACATTTCTAGCCACTGCACAGATACTCGATCCGCAGTTATGCAGAATGTCTCAGATCTGTTTCCGATGAAAGCTGAACACAAACGATCCTCCGTCAATACGGACGTTTACGTCAAACGCCACCGTAACATCAATTCTGAGGTTGAACTATAATCTACTACTATGGTAAACTATACATCTCGTGTCAAACCGCCGACACTGCTCCCCTTGCCTCTGCCGTACTACTATGTCGTCCGAGTCCTCGCGCAGGCCGCAGCAAGCGCTCCTAATGGACGACCTCAGGGCGTACCCCGGAGCCACAGTCCCCGGACTTCTTCCCATGTCGGAAGATGCGTCGCCAATCGAACAACGGTGGGCAATCCTTTCCGCCATGCCCAAAACACATTTGCCCGTCTGCTTGCCGCAGGCTCTCCTCGACGACCTCAGACTCCGGATCGATCCCGACTTCTATTCGGAGCGGTCGCTGGTCTTCGGGCGCGACGCCTTGCACGCTAGGACATTCCCTATGCGCCATTTGATCCTACGACACTACGTTATCCAAGCGGGTGATGCATATGCGATGGTGGACGAATCCTGGGCGAATCACAATGACAACGACTCGTGGTCGCTCCCGAAGAAGATATCCCCGGAGAGCAAAAGCACATACCTCCACTTCGCAGTCAGGCTTGTAGACGTGCCATTTGTCTATGAATGCATACGTCTTGGAGCCGACGTCAACTATGTTGATGCCGAGGGTCGGACACCACTGTTCTGCGCCATGGAGGAGCTGTTTGGGTTCATTTTCGAGACGGCTCACATACAGCTACTCGGCGGAACTCGCGACAACGAATTCGACGCATCTGCGTATGCTCGACTCCGACACATGGTCAAGATTCTGGTCGAGCAACATGCCATTATGCACATCGTGCCCACTGACTCGGACACTCTGCCCTTCCTAGGCGATCTGTACGAGATCTGCGGGACTGGGTTGTTGGCTATGATGGCCTGGTTGAGTCTGGATCTAGAACTCCTCGAGCTGTTTGCTCTTCACGGATTCCCACTTTCACCGCTTTTGGGTTTTACGTATCTGCTCGACCAATGGGACACAGGGAAGGTAGACCCTGAAAAGGCGTCACTCTGTAAGGAGCTCGTGGTGCGACTCGCTTCCAGAGACGAATCCGAACTGTTGCCGCGACCACCGCGAAAATGTCCTTGCTGGTCAGGCAAACCACTACACGAATGTCATGGATCGGGCGACCATCCATACCCTCCTACCTTTGCGTGCATCTGCAGGTCGGCAAAGACGTACGCAAATTGCTGTAGAACCAGAGGATTCGCATTCGTGGAGCAGTGGAATAACGAGCTGGGACGCATGACCGTCTTACAGCTCTGTGAGGCGGAGGCCGAGGGGCAGGCACCAACCTACGTGTCTTTCCGCAGCCATACGCCAGGGGTGCCATCGGGGCTAATTTGGCCAGATACCGGGAAGAAGAAGTCTTGGGAGCTTCTCATTATGGCCATCGAGTATAACGATACTCAAAGTGAAGAGAAGGCCGACCCGGCGTTTCGAGCTGCGGCGTTGATATCGGAGTATCTGCCTCTGTCCGTATCCCATCACATTACAGATGATGTAATTATCTGACATGTTGATTTGACCAGGCCTGGAGTGGACTGGGGCTCGAAGGTTTGGGGAAAGGAGGTCGCCAGTTTCTGGAACCGCACTGTCGATGACTACATCGCACTCGGAACAGACACGCGCAGCAAATCCAACATTGGACGGGCCGCCAAGCTGGATCCCTTTTTTCTGCCCCTTTGGAAGAGATGTGAAGCGACCGGGTGCACGAAAATTGATCGCCCGGGCCTCACGATGAAACGTTGTCGTGGATGCCAAAGGGTTCGTATTTCTCACAAATGCGACTCTGCGTTCGCTAACGTGGTGCTGTAGATATTCTATTGTGGCCCAATGTGCCAGAAGGCGCATTGGAAAGAGCACAAGCCAGCATGCCAGAGAGGAGACCACCCGCTACAGCTCCTGCGATCACAGACGATCTATAAAACGATTATCAAGGAAGTCATTGAGCCCGCCGAGGAACGTCTACTGCACGAGTAAGCACATTTATCAATGTCGCCCATCTTCAGTCTCTCAGCTCTGCACGTTGTCTATTTGATGCAGTGCCATCGACTCAGAGAATTCGAAGTCTGACGGCGCCGACTCGGAGAGTTCGAACTTGAAGTCTGACGACGCCGACTCGGACAATTGATTGCCGTACCATGTCCCTTTTGCGGTGAGTTTCGAAACGTCGCCACAGCGTCCTCGAATGGTCTGACATTCCGCGTGGCTATCAGTGTTGTGCAGTGTAAGATAGTCGATGTAGGACGGATCTGCCATGTAACAGAAATGAATCAACAGCGATATATTTGCGGTGGCTTGCAAGTGAGTCCATCCTAAGTCTGATTGATGTATGGTTAGGTTCGACACAAGCCCCTCGCACGTGGAGGGTCTTGCGGCGAGACTAGATGTAAGTACGCAAGTTGAAGATGCACGGTAACGGTGAGGCGCGACGTCATCGCCGAAAGAGGTAAGGCCGGAGTGCGGGGCACGCCACTCGATCGAGGCTAGCGGGGCCGCCGCCGTGACCGCGGGCAGCGTCACGGTCAGGATGTCGCCCACCAGCCCGACGCCCCACCGCCTATATAGCCCTTCCGCATCCGCGTCCCTGCCCCCATATAAACACCACCGCCCGCCATGTCTGCCCAAGACTTCCCCGCACCGACCCCATCGAGCGAACACAGCGTATACTTCGACGCACCCATCATGCACTTCTTCTCTCGCAACAAGGACGACAAACCATCCGACGAGCCCACACAGGCTGCGGACACAAACGTCTCGCAAACAAACGTCCCGCAACAGGATGCTGATCGCCAGCCGTCGGTGGCGATTGCCCCTGACCCGGTCGTGAATCGTTACCACGAGAACCTCCACGAAGACGAGGAGCAGCGGAACGACGACCAGAAGCCGACGGGGGCTAAGCTGTCTGCCATCTCCACGGGCACCGACAAGCGTGCGAGCAGCCCGCCGTCGGACTCGGGCTATGGCTCGTCCTCGCCCCCAACGACGACGCGCCCGCCCGAGCGCTCTGCCTCCCGCGCTTCGCGCTCCAGCCTCAAGCCCGTCCCCGTCGTGTGGAAGAACGGGCAACCCGACGCCGCAGGGCACCCCGACACCGACGAGGACACATACGGCGACTCGGGGCTCGACCGCCGTGCTCGCCGCGCGGCCTCCATGCGCTCATTCCGCACGTCTACCACCCGTCGTGATCGTGACGGCTATGACCAGGAGAGCATCCGGAGCGGGGCTGCCTCGCGCTATTCCGAGCGCCGCCGCCGTGTCAGCTTGAGTGGGGGTAGCTTCTCCGGTGGCGCAGGCACCATCGGTCCGGGAACGACTCCCGGTCGAGACGACACCGAGTCGTTCTTGGCAAGAGCAAGGACCGCCGAAGCAGAGCTCACACCCAAGCAAAAGTCCAAGATCGAGAAGTCGTCAGGTATGAATCCGTCGTTCACGAGAATCAAAAGCCACGACTCACCGGGGCCGATACACAGCTAAGGAAGGTAAACGCCTCTCCAAAGTACTCAAGTCTGAGGCCAAGGCGGAAGCCAAAGCGATCGAGCAGGCAATCCGTGAGCTCGCCGACATCCAGAAGATGCAGAAGGCCTCCCTGAAAGAGGAGAGCCGCGCGGTCGCGACGCACGCAAAGGCGCTGCGCACTTTCCACAAGGAGGAGCAGGAGTACCTCGCTGCACGCGCGCGATACGAGAAGGCGCAGGCTGAGCTCGGAGCGGTGGAGGACGGAAGGGATGCGGCGCGTGAACATGCGCGGGAGATTACGGATATGATGCAGGAGAAGAGCAGGGAGATCGACTGGTTGAGGGCGCAGAAGGCTGCAGACGACGTGAGTGCCTCTCGTTGGCGACTGTACTCTGTGCGGTGGGACTGACTAATACTCTTCCGCAGCGTGAACGGCAGGCGAAGCTCGTTCAATTGACGGGCAAGTCATAGTGGGAATATCCCTAGTGTTCCAAATTTGCCTCGAAGTCAGCACGTATTTCATCATATCAGCGGATACCCATCATTTGCTTTTGGATCTATAGCATGTATACTGTATCTTGTCAATGACCGGTTCCAATTATCGAAACTGAGTCATTTTGAATAAAGCCTGTGGTGACTATTAGTATGCTCAAGTCTCGCGAAACAGCCGCACATCATGTAGACATGGAGCGTAATGTGTGACGGACGATGGACGAAGACTCAGTGAGAGAGCAGACACTACAGTAAGATATATGTGGCAGTCGGCGACGGCGGTCGACGCGAGGACATCGTAGCGTGACGCGACGCGACCCACGTGATCGTAACGCGCGCGATATTATTATCATATGAGCGCTCCTATCCAAGCCACCATACTGTGTTTCACTGCCGCCATCTTGTAGCCGATATACGAGTGAAAGTGCGCTTCACAAGTGGAACTTCCAGACAGAATGGATTCTGACGACGAGCGGATATTGCAAGAGGAGGAGGTGGCACTGGCGCGAGACATGTTCGAGCTTCGTGAGTGCTCGTGGCTCTCCTTTATGCGGACGAACGCATGCTGACCTCGTGGAACCCCTTATCCCTGTTCCATTGTGTATGCGGGTGCAGCTCAGCGTCCCGCGGTCTGGATTAGACCCTACGAGCGAGAAGAGTTCGTCGTGCGCCGGGACTATGTGGTCCGCGCGTACAGTGCGAGGGACAAGGGCATACCACTGGACAATAGTACCGATGCTCGGGGAATGTGGCGCATCCGTCGGCTATGGACGAGCGTTGCTGGTTTCTACGAGGTACGTCGTCCGGCATCCCCTTCGTTGACTACATCCGTGCTGACCGGCGCCACCGCGTGGCTGATGTCTAGGGCAATGTGGACCTTGCAGGGCGTAGCGAGAGGCGCTTCCACTCGCTCAAGAAACGATTGGACAAGTTTTTGGACGACATTGCATCGCTGCGCACGCACATCGTCGAGAGCCCGCCCGCGGTGATGGACGATGGGCGTGAGGCACTGCTGTTCCTCGTCTCACCATCCTCCGTCCTTGACAACTTCAGGGCCAAGTACAAACTAGGCTACGTCGACCTCCCGGAGATCCTCGCAATACCTGGTGAGTGTGCCCTTGGACTCACGCCCGCTGCTGACTGAGAGCCACGCCTGACACACAGAGATCATGCGTAGCATGTATCCTGGTAACCCTAAGCCAGTGTTCCAAAAGCTCTTCCTTACAGATCTTCCCCCGGAATTGCTCCTCTATATCTTTGACATCGTTCATATAGACGATGCCCGTGCTCTTGGCGTCACATGCCGAACTCTCTATGAACTGTCCTTTTCCTATGTGTACCAGGTACGTCGGCTTTCCAGAACAGCGCACTTACCTGATCGAGAACCTTGCAGAGACGACGCTTAGTGCTACACGTGGATCCGAACTTCATCGAGAAGACCCTGGATGATATCTCGGACATAGACAAGCGCTACTTATGTCGTCTCAGCGTAGAGATGCGCAAAAGACTCCTCAGAGACTTCCGCTTCCTCCTAACACGGGATGACATTCTCAAGCGCGTCGAGCACCTAGGCATCAAGAACTCCTGGACGCCCGACATGGCCTCCGCCGCGGGTCTCAACACGGCGTTCGAGCAACAGACGTTTTATGCGCCAATCTGGAAGGAGATCGAAGCCACGCTATCTGGCGCAGCGAACCTGCAAGAGCTGCAGCTGGAGAAATTTGCCATGACGAAGGAGATGATCTGTGCGATGGCATCCTTGCGCTCACTGCAGACGCTCAGCGTGCACGGCTGCCCTTTCAACCGGCTCCCTTCATGGGATAGTCTCCCACCAATGGCGACTGTAGTGAACCTCATTCTCTTCCCGCAGGACGTTCCAGGCTCCGAGATGCTCGAGCTGGTCGCGCTTGTCCCGAACGTCCGCTCGCTGACTGTCATGGGCCTCCCCAGTATGCCCTGCGCGCTCCCGCAAGACGACTTCATCATGCGGCATAACCCCTTCCGCGTCTTGGAGCGGGTCAATCTCAGCCACATCGACGACGAGGAGGTTCCTCTGCTGTTTCACTGGATCCGCGATGCCGCGATGACCCCGGGGCAGCCCCTTCACATAACGCACTTCCGGCTCGAGCTTGAGTACGGCCTCCAGGAGGATGAGGTCTTCCAGCTCATCAACGGCCTGGAGGGCGCGCCGCTCCGGACGCTCACCCTCGAGGGCCTGTCGTATGTCGAGGACGACCTTTTCACGCGTCTTGCCGAAGCGTTCCCAGACCTCAACGCGCTGACGCTCATCCACCGACAAAACATCCTGCAGAGGGCGAGCAGGCCGAGCAGGTGGCCGGGCGCGACATGGGAGTACGCGGCGCGCCTCGCCGCGTTCCCCCGCCTGAAGCACTTCATGTGGAACTTCGACATGCGGCCGCTGCAGTGCGGCACGACGTTCGACCTGCCGTACGCGGAGGCGGGCTACCCCGCGTCCAAGATCCCCGAGCTGTACCGCGAGTTCGACGAAAACTGCTTCGAAGTCACATGGGACATCCTGCCGCGCCTGTTCTGTGCGTACTGCCCGACGCTCGAGACGCTCATCTTCTCGATGCTGCATCTCGCGCTGCTCGAGTTCAAGATGAAGCGCATTGAAACGGGTAAACTGGTGGTCTACATGACCGACGAGCCGTCGAACACCGAGCAGTTCATCAGTAACAATCCGATCTGGCCGATAAACACGAGCTTCGACAACCCATGGCATATTCGGCAGCGTCCACTCAGACCGTAGAACGCATATACCAGACGCGAGGAACGATGTAGGACATGGGGGTATATTGGCTTGTGTACTACTAGTGCTGCTTTCCTTGACATGAACTAGGCTCCGCTATTCTACTGTAACATTTTGATTCCGGTTATGACGATGCTCTAAGCTCTTGTATCTATGCCACCATTGCGTACGCTTCTTCCTGAATCACTGTATCTTGCTTAGTCCCTATAGCTATAGGCAATCCGTTGGAGTACAATGACTGCAGAATCGGTCTGAATCTCCTTCAGACCTCGGTGTAATATACACGATAGCTGCGCGGTAGTCTACGACAATGCTGAAACAATAATCCAGACGACAGCCATGATCCTGTAGTCCATTCCACCAGATTATAAGTTAACCGTCATGCGATAAATAGCGGACACAGGAAAGACGGTACAGCAGGGCTCACGACACATGGAACTTCCCCTGGATGACTCGCTCTTCGTTGGCGAGTACTTCGTGTCGACCAGGATATATCGCCGTCACCACCTCGCGCTCATACCATTGAGTATCTGAGTGTGAGCTCGACCCCGGAGTGAGCGTGTACTCGATGGAGAGAGCAGAGAGCACTCCGCCATATGCATGGGATATGCCTGGGCATTTAGTCCCATCCGTCAGTATCAGGTAGAACATAGACAGCACCATCGAGCGCACCTGTGTCGATGATGATGATCTTGCCGTCACATCTCGACGCGATGTGCTACGAATCCGCATTTCAGCCGACGCCAGTGGACGGCTCGAAATGAAGACATGTTACCTCGAAGTCCGGCGTATGGCCCATGACCATCCTCCGCGTCCCCGTTCTCTTGAGCACATCATCCACTTGGCTGCACACCTTGTGCTCCGAGTCCAGTGCCCAGCCGCGATACCATAGCGGCCCATTGCCACCATACAGCTCCCTCTCCGCCTCCGTCGCGTCAGGCGGGAGGCCCGTGTACGGATGCGGCGGGGAGGGCGGTGGAGGCGGGTGCGAGTGGATCTTCCGCATAAGACCCGCGCCGAGCTCGTTGATGCGCGATGGGAACGGGGTCAGGTCATGGTAGGTCGGCGAGAGCCCGCCGTGCACGAAGGACAGCGCGGCGTGGGAGAGCGCGTTGTGAGTCGTGGGGTCGTAGTCGGTGTTGGGCGGCCCGAGGGACGGGTGCAGAGGTAGGCGGGACGTGACGGTGTAGTTCGCTGTCCAGGACTTGCCGATGCGACCCGTGGAGAGCATGCGTTGGCGCGCGGCGACGCCCCCGAAGGTGGTGATCTCGGAGGGGCGCACATACCTGGCTCAGGTAACTACGAGAACGGCAGGTATGGCTGTGGAGACGTCTCACCTCCAGTCACCTGTGGAATGCTGAGTCTCGGTGAGATGCGAGGATGGAAGCTGTGCGTACCAATAGCATTCATCCACTCATGGTTTCCCAGGTGCGAGAGGACAGTGCCTCCTGCTGCATGGGCCTGCTCACGGAGCTTGTCCATCCAGAGGTACAACTTGATGGTGTCATCACCACTGCAAGCATGCCTATAAGCTTCGAGGCTACCGATGCACGTACAGTACTTGACTACTCACCGGTCGATGATATCCCCCGTCTGCACAAAGAAGTCTACCTCGCCCGACCAGTCACCGTGCTCGTCAACCACTCCTGCCATCTGTAGTACCTTCTGCGCGTTTGGCATGTCGCCGTGGAGGTCGCCCACAGCGACGATGCGCCTTGTGTACGGCCGCGCTTCGTGTCCTCCGCCGTGCAGCGCGTCCTTGCCATGGCCTGCAGGGGTCGTAAGGTCTACGTGCTTGCTGAACGACCAGAAGACGGGGTGCTGTGCGGCGGACTTGAGGAGATGGATTGGCGGCGGGAAGACGAGGAAGAGAGCGAGGATGGGCGTGACCATCGTGAGCCAAATGATTGGCCGCGGCATGGTGGGCGTACGCTAGAGACTCGCAGGTGCACGTCGAGCCGAGCACGTCGCCCGCGCGAATGTCTTCCGAGTCGATCAAATCGTCTCAGGCGCCGCGGTGCGAGTCTGCGCGCTCGAGTCCTTGCCTCCTCCCGTCACCTGCCCGCGTCTCTTCTCGGACTCTCCGCGTTTCCCAGGTGCGTACCCTGCCTTATATGTTTTGTGCAAGTACATAAGGAATTCTGGAACACTACAGGCATCCGTGTGCACGGCGAGTAACAATACTGGGCCTCAGCACGCTGCATACTGATAACTTCGTGCTCTCTCGACTTCGTCTGCAGGAAGATGTACTCGCGGATGCGCTCGCCCGTTCAGACGCGGTCTCGCCGCCGCACAGAGAACCCCAACCCCGACATGATCAACGTGCTTGCCAGGGTGAACGCCCATGCCACGGTTCTCGCGCCTCGCGACCTGAACGTGCACGAAGGCGGTACTGGACCGACGGCTGCGTACACCTCGGACAACACTTACACGCCGGCAGACGACCAACCGCAGATGCGGTGCGAAGAAGCAGTCGCCCCGAGGCCCACGATTCACATGCAAAAGGCCGTAGTCCCTCCGCACCGGGCCTACGTACTCGTTCCGCCGCCTCCGGGTGCGCCCCAAGCCCCAGCCCCGAATGACCTCCTGGACGCACGCGCTCATCCCAATTCCGCGCCCACTGCCCAGGCAGCGAATGCGGAGCCGTTGACGAGGGGACGCGCACATGTGTAAGTCCTGGAATTATGTGTTTGACGTTGTTAAACATACTGGGGATCTGTTTAGACGCACCTTCGCCGTGTCGCCTACCACAGTGGACAGCCAGTCTGCTCGCAGTGTCCCCGTTCCTGACCCATCAGAGCGCCCTCCTGCGGAACCCAAGACAGAGGTGCAGGCTGCGACCATTCCCGCTGCAACAATCCCGACCGTTGACCTGATTAAGATGTCCAAGATGTCCGAGGCGATGATGTCCCAGTCGATTACGAGACGCCGCAGGCGTTCCACTTTATCCAGGACCCGAGCAGCCATCAACCACGTACCGGCGGCCCAGCTCGACAACCTGCCCCAACCTCGTCCTGGCACTACTCCTGCTATGATTCCTCCTGGGATCCTGCTGACTGGTGATGGCTCCCCCTACGTACCCCCCGGCAACATTCACTTCACGCCTCCGGCTGTGCAAGCCGTTGCTACTACCTGCACTCTGGTGACATCTAGCTCGACGAATACTCTGGGCTCGATGGATACTCTGGGATCTGGTCTTGGGTCTGTGGAGCCTGTTCAAGGAGATCCAGCGCATCCTGACATGCCTCCCAAAAAGACGCGCTCTCGCGTACCGGCTGTTCTCTTGAACATCCTTCAAGGAATACTGTTGGGTTTCCTCACTCTTATCATGACTGGTGTTTTCTGGTCTGCTGTTGTACTGGTTCATGCCGAAATGTGATCGCAGAAATTGTATCATAGAACGTCACCGTAAAGCTTGAAATGAATGCATCTCGTCAGATTGTGAAATTCCGAGCGACTACTCAGGGCTTTGGCCGTAAGGCAGCGTTCCTTTTGTGAAGCATACATAGATTGGTATCGTACACACACACTGATTCACATCTTCGCTTGCGCGGTACACCTACCTGGAGAGCGCCCATCCGACGGTGAAGGCTCTCCACGCAGTCACAACAGCTTCGCGATCTCCGCATCGATAGCTTCGGGCGTGGTGGTGGACGCCCAGCGGCCAACAACCTTGCCCTCCTTGTCCACCAAGAACTTCTCGAAGTTCCACTGCACCGCCAACCGCGCGTCAGCCGTCGTGAGACTCGTGCGACGCAAACAACCACGCACCTTGATCCTGGTCATGCCGAGCAGGCCGGCCTTCTGGCTCTTGAGCCACTTGAAGACCTCGTTCGTGTTGTCGCCGTTCACGTCGGACTTCTTCACGAGGGGGAAGCTCACGCCGTGGTTGAGCGTGCAGAACTCGGCGATCTTCTCGTCGTCACCGGGCTCTTGGCCGCCGAACTGCGGACCGCCAGTCGGTCAGAGGGTCTTGTCCGTGGACACAGCGCGACTCACCTGGTTGCAAGGGAAGCCAAGGAGGACGAAGTCCTTCTCCTTGTATTTGTCCCAGAGGGCCTGGAGACCTGAGACGCGCACCGTCACTTCATGCGTGGGTCTCGGACTGTAGTGGAGGGTTACCCTTGTACTGGGGCGTGAAGCCACTGTGTACATTCTCTCAGCTCCCGAGTGAGGTATGATAGTGAAGCCTCGCGTCAGACGTACCACTTCGAGGCCGTGTTCACGATCAGCACGACCTTGCCCTTCAACTGGGCAAAGTCGTACTCCTTGCCTCCGGGGAGCTCAGTCTTGAGGTCGTAAAACGAGGTCATACTCGCAGGAGTGCTAGAATCGGCTTGACGTGAAGTAGTTGTTGCAAAGGTGCGCGCTCGGCTTGGGCTGGAGATCGGTTTTCTGGAAATCCGAGAGGACGCGACGGAGTAGGCTCGCTGGGCACGTTGCGGGCTGGATAGGTAGCTGCAGAGAGGCCGATATCGAGGTAGCTGGAGTGCGAAGGAATGCGAATTACGGAGAGCGAGCATCTGAGCTCAGCTGCGACGGATAAGTATACAGGCACACTGTGCTGCGCGGGCATGTGCCCGAGATGGCGCCATCGTAGCGACCTGGACACGGTATTACTTATCACGCTCTCCCGGTGAACTCGAGAAACTCGGAGAATACAATCCTCAGTCATCGTCTTGGCAATGGAAAGGTCGTCGACATTGTAATCGTAAATCTGTGGAATGAGATTCATGATGAACCGGCGGCCTCGGGCCCGGGAGGCCCGGGCGCTGTGTGCAAGTGTACGTAAGTACAACGACAGTCTAAATTGCATGTTGTGTCTAGACCAAGTCTGCTACACACCAACATCGATTGTACAACCAATCATATAAGAGCAGCGTCTGAGGGTGAAGTTTACTACACATGCTGAAACGCGCTCGGTCACTTTTGACGAGGCATCAGAAAGCGAGTGCGCTCAAGGTTGCGAGTCCATCCTTCGCGATACCTCGGAAGCTCTTGCGAAGGCGACGATTCCGAGGTCGCGACAATTCCAGCTTCAGCCACTTGATAAGCTGGCAATGGGTCTTTGGCTTTCGAGACAGGACGGTGTAGAATGCATGGGTTCCGAGCCTGTTAGGTAACACGATGAGTCGGTTAGGTAGCTGACCGGAATCACACAACGTACCATATGACTTGATCCTGGTGAACGTCACAGCGTCCACCACTGCGCTTGGCAACCTTGTTCGAGGACTTGTTCCGCATGGTTGCGAAGGTGTACCTGATCATTTGTTGTATCGTACCTGCAGCAGACGCACGAAGTTAGCTCGCAGTCCCAATTGTCGACGTCGTCTGTGAGTACGCACCACGAAGGAAAGCATGATTTTTCTTGACGTTGAGGCCCCACTGGCGGAGGTAATGATGCATCTTCATGGCAGACAACAGGAAATTCTGGTAGACGTTGAGGTATATCGTGTGCCTGGAGTTCAGCCCAACATCAGTGAAGAGGATGTGGGCCTTCGCCTTGGTCAGCCTAAATCGACGAGAATGAGCGGGTTCAACGTATACGAGCATAAGAAACGCACTGCATCATCTTGTGAACAAAAGTAACACCAGGACGTCGGCCACGTTCGACCGTCAGTGAGTCTTGAAGGTCTGCGAAGCGCACATCAGCGACATCCAGCACGCCATACAACACGCAAAGGCACCTACAGGTCTCGTGGTATCGAGTGTAGTCCGCAGAGACGGACAAGTCGGTCATGTTAATCATGTACCCACACCAAGGGAAACCTGTGAGAACATTAAAAACCGCTACCACTACAACTTGACGACGTGCTCACTCTTCTGTTGAGGCTCAGTTACATTCATGTCGGGATCGTAGTCGAAGTTCGTCAACGTCTTCTCCCTGGAGATGAAACAGCCGTACTCCGGATGTCCTGGACGAAATTCAGGGATGAATCGTTCGAGATGCGAGAAAGGACATACCTTGAACCATCATGCCCAGGAAACGTCTCGCGCGCTGGAGGTCGGTTGTTATGAACAGGTAGTCGTCAATCAGTCTCAGGAGGAGCTGGAGAACAACAATGAGCCTCCGCAAGTAGTGCGCAAGAGCGTACTCACGCTCTGGACATCATCCGTGAATTTCAAGTGTCTTTTTTCCAAGTCGCCGTAGAAGAACGAGCAAAGCAGCGCAGACAGCACGGAGCCCTGAGGAATGCCAACCATTTGGCGGTAGTAGCAATCACCGATCTGGAATGCTGTCAGCGGCCTGAGTCGTCCGGTGGCGAGAATCACAGACTGACCTTAACGATGTTCTCGGTTATATGCTCCTCTAGCAGGGCCATAATGTCTTGTCTCTGCGCGAAGGGATATACCACCTGCAGCAGAAGCCGACGATCACTTTCACTACGCAACGACAAGGTTTAGAATGCTTCTTCCTACCTGGTCCACAAATATGGTATGTCGGAGTGCCGCAGCTAGTTTCGCCGCAGAGTCAAGGAAGTGCGGATGATCGTCTTCGGCGTGTTCTGTCAGAGGATCCGTGAACCGAGAAACGGGCAACACGCACCCTCTGGCTGTGCTTTCTTCGCGTACTTGCGCCTCACCCGAGAGCTGACGCAATTCACTTGACCGTATCGTTGGATAACATACCCGTCCTTGCGATAAATGATTAAGCGGGGTCGAGGATGAACATTTGCTCTGGTATCGTACCTCTGAAATCGCATCCTTCAGAATCTCCAGCAACTTGGACTGCTCGATGGTGTCGAAGCACGCTTGAACATCAACCTTGACGAAGTACAATTTTGGCCTGTATGCCGTCAGTCAGTAGCCTGGTTTGATAACTCGAGACACCTACAGCTTTCCGTCGCCACTTTGCTCGAGCAGGCGGGTCTTGAAGGCCCTGAGCTTCGTGTACACTTCGTTTGAACCGAAAACGGACGCCCCCAGTAACTTTGGCTGATTCTCCTGTTTGACGTATATGCTCTCAGTACCAGACATACCGTGGAGATCAACGTTCCTGACCTTTTCGTACGTCAAGATCTGGAAGGCAGCCTGGAGGATTTGGTTGATGGACTGTTGAGGGCGATTTCTGCCATCCTACATTGACAGTGGCGGATGGAGAGATGTTCATCGACTGGTGTTTGCTGACAACATGCATAGATAACGCACCTTGCTCGACACCTTCCGCCGACGTAAGTTCACGATTGGACGTACCCCAGTCTCTTTCGGCAGGAGCCTGACGAACGAGAATCCGAGCTTTCGTTGCCGTAGGATCTCCTCTGCCTCTCGCTGCAGCAGCAGACTGCAGTCAGCATACGATCAACAGCTGCAGACTGGCAGTTGAGAACTGACCTGCTCTATCCTCTGGAATGTACCAGAGCTTAGCCTCTCGACGAGCGGGGCACACAGGGCAGACCAGTCATCCTGCCTGAAATACAGGACTCGTCTTCGGAATGCTGATGACTCCGTAATATAGAAGGTCGTCTAGTTTTGAGGAGATCATGAGTTCACATCAGACATGATCGTGGTGTTCTGTCTTACCTTCAGAAGAGGAATGAGGAACGAGTCAAAGTACCAGAACAAGAATTCCTCGAGTAGCTCGCGCCGCTTGATTGCGTCCGTATGTGAGACTCGCGGTTGTGCGTTACTGGGCGCAAGCCAGTCGCATTCAGTGACACTGAAGCCCTGCAAGATGTTATGCAAGGTCGTTGTCTCGTATCGCCTGGACGTGATGAACGACTTGACATCTGGGGAAGTATCAGCGTTGGCCAAATGATTGAATCTATGACTACTGACGTTCGTTGATCAGTCTGCGATTCTTCCTACAGCCCCAGATGACTCTGGGGATGATAGCGTCTGTGGCCAACATCACATACCGATATATCTCAGGTCGTGACTGTCAGTACGGTGACAGCGAACTGAGAAGCCAGATATCTACCTCAGCAAAACTACATGCGAACTCAGCGAAGCGAGGTTTGTACTTGAAGTGTTTTCGTGCCTGGGACGCCCCATGAGGGGTAATAGGATGGCCTACGGAATCTGTAGACATGTTCACTCCCCTAAGTGATGGCTGTGAGCGGAGCTGGATGGACTGCTCCGACATCATTTCCTGAAGTACAATTACAGCTAATCGACAAGAAAAAACGAAGTTCGTTTGGAAGACTCACGAGAATGATACTGCTATCAAGAGTCGATTTGTCCTCGGTTTGGATCTACAGAATAAGTTCAGACACAGCATGCTTCAGTCAGCACGAGACTCGACCTTGGAAGGGCACACTAATTCAAGCAATGCCTTGTACCTGCACTTCCGATGTTTCCACAGCACCTTGTCGAGTATGTAAAGAGCACATTTCACTCGTTTTGGGGTTTTCTGCGCCCCAGCCCTCTAGTAAAGTAGTGAGCATACCTGTGGAGCCAAGATTGAATAACGCACCTTGATCTCGTCCTCCCTATCTAGATAGTCAGCCGACTTGTGCGACTGGAAGGCAGCCCGCTCGTTTTCGACAAATGGGTGGGACAAGCCATATTGACGGGGGAACACATATCTCGCAAGATGTCGCACATGCTGTACTGGTACATGTGGGCCGGTATCGCCGCGACTTTCCGCACTGATGTTGCGATGCGAGTGGTATGACGGGTAGATAACGTTCAGAATATCTGTCGAACCATGGTCAAACACAATGATAGAGGTGTTGAAACTTTCGCTAACTACGCTTTGGGGGCAAACCAATAACAATTGTACTCTTCTGTGGGACGAGGTATGGCCAGGAGTAGAATATGCGGGATCGTGGTATGACGATGTCGGCCGGGGTTCGTCTACCGGGCCATGAGCGACTACCGATGGTTAGTAAGTGTACGTACGCACTTTACAGCCGTTGTCGCAACAGCCTTCGTCGCGGAGGCCGTAGAAACTGAGCGGACGATCGAGTCAGCTTTCAAGCGCTTCCGGGGCCTCTCTTCTAGCTGCGAGTCGACGGGTTTGCGCTTCAGACCTTTCTTTTTGTTCTGCTCCAAGAGAGGCACATTCTGGGGTGCATGTAGACTCAAAACATATGGTGGGGGTTTGAGATGAATGATAGGTTCGCCAGTGACCTGGCATAGACAATCGTTGGGAAGCGGGATGAACACAGTCGTTTCCGTCAACAGATAGAACATTGCATCTTCGCCAATCCTAGTAGATACATCAATGATGCGCTTGATCAAGGCACATTATGATAACATACCTTTCAAACAGTATGCGCCATTCCGCCGCTTGTAGAGCAGTCACGATAGTATTGAGGAAGTAATTGACGAGGGGTGCGCGTGTACCAATGCGCCCAATCCCTTCATTTTGTCTGACCTAGGAGGTGTCAACGTACAGTCATACAGCCTGTTCTATCACGTACTGGGCGATAACCTGCCGCGACGACATTCGCTGAACGGCCTTTGCCCTTGTGTATGAGTCGTTCTTGTGCTTTGTCAATGATCTGATAAAGTTCATTTGCATCATCGGTCCTGAAGTAGAATGGAATAGCTCACTTCGCTGAGATGTACCATAGGCGGCTTCACAATGATCTTCCTGTTCCCTGCAACAGGAGCATTCAGTGCAACGTAAGAGTTTCGAAGGAGAGCAGTGAAGTTGGGGGGATCGTTCGACTCGACGAGAGATGAACCATCTTCGAAGACCAAGAAGCCGTGAAGGCATTCGTGCAAAGTATCGACTGCAGGGTAGTACGCCTGTAGAATGGACAATGTCACGGCCATCGAAGACAGGACGAAGCCACAGTCGGAGCGCGTTCAAGTCGCGTCGCCGTACACGCCCACGTGCCCGTGGCCTACCGCGTAGCGCGTCTATCGAAACGACAATCGCCTCGTGCCTTGGGATCCGGACGCACCCAAGCGCGAATCAAACATCCCATAAAGGGGCGTGGGTATACCGATACACAAAGTACATCAACCCGTATGCTACACAAATGCAACGACAACTACGATGAGAGCAGAAAATAGATTTGGTACAGCTAGAGATGGACTACGGCACTAACATTGCAACGATGACCGACACACGCTTGTTGACCTACAAACTTGGGCAACAAGGAGATTATGCATCGGTCCCAGATGATGTCTTCTTCTCCCGGTTCAAAAACCCTGGCGACAAGAATCGGTATTCTGCAATGAGACTGGCTTAGAGTAGTCATACCTTTGAACTTCTGGTTGTGGATCTTCTCTCGTTCCTTGTCCATCGCGCGCAGTCGTGCGAGCTCAGCGTTGATCGCAGGCGCATCTTTATATACCATGGATCAGAATGAATTGCACTCATAGGGTGTTGGGTATGAGCAGAACTTCGTACCTGCGTCATTCTTTTTCAGCAAGTCTTCAAGAATCTTCTCCGCCTTCTCGAAGTGGCCCATCTCCCCAAGAGCTTTTGCCTTCCGGAAGAGAGCTTTGTAGTTCCCCTCGTTCAATGCCAGAGCCTGCGTCACGTCAGTCAGCCCGTTGTCGCCTTAGTTGCACTTCATACGACCCGCCTTGTCCGCAGTCTCCAGAGCGCGTTTCCAGTTGCTTTGCTTCAGGTGGCAAGCAGACATATTGGAATAGATCTTCTCCATCATATCATCCGCCTTAGCAGAGTATTAGACTGGCTACAGTAGACTGAGTATATCTACTTGCCTCCGTCCTCTGTTTTGATTGAGCGGCCCCGTCAATGGGGGAAGCTGTGGCGGCGGCCGTTATGGGAGACAATGCGTTCCTATCGCAGTGCAATGTCAACGCACTGAACGGCAAGTCCTGTTCCCGTCTGTACTCACTTGTCTATCCCTTTCAAATACATCAACGCCTGTGACGGGAGTCCTGTTCGTCAGATCATGCCGACGCTCGAACTTGGCATGAAGATATACCTCATGGTATGATCTGAGAGCTGTTCATGAGGATAGCACATTCAGAAAGCTGGAAAGAGATGCTTGCATGCTGCAGATGAGTGCGCACCGCTCTTCAGATCACCGCCCTTGAACGCTTGATCGCCTGCGTCTTTCTTCTCCTTGGAAATGTCGAGTTTCTTAAGCACCTCAGGGTTTGGTTGCTGAGGCTCTTCGGCTGCGTCAACTTGTGCCATCGTGTAGTAATCAGATATGAGTTGCACTTGAGCTAGAGATGTGTACGTATGGTCAAAGGGTTGCGAACCTACGAGCCCGGAGGGCGTCTGTGCATGTCCTCGGTATTCCCTAGTATTCTCACGCTTAGAAGGTTACTGATGGGCATTTGAAGGTCTTGAGTTACAGTAGACGGGTCCAACTCGAAGGTCTCCAGCACACCTATCCTTTCTCCTCACCGCTCGGGTACGAGACATGTCGCTCCTCTCGAACATACTCGGCGGCATGACCTTTGGTTTTGCCGCACGCGTCGGCCAGCTGGCCATCCAGAAGCGCAACATCTCCGAAAGTACGCCACGTCCCTAGACCCTCGTCCGCTCACGTCCAATCGCACCGGGAGGCTAATGAGCTCTCAGATCTTGCTGGGCACGCCCTGTCGATGGCATTCTTTGGCTTCGCGGGATACTGGGCATACCAGTGGGACCAACGGGCCGCAGTGCTCCTCGCGGAGAAGCGGGCTCAGATCGCTGCGCGGAGAGAGGCCGCTGCTGCTGCCGCACAGTCATGAGGATAGACAGTTGTCACAGGTGTGTATACGAGCTCATATTGCAATGAATATGATGTGTTGATTCACGTCAAAGTAGTCACGCTGACTGCGATAGTCAGCTACAAAGCCTGTACACTGAGGGAATGTATGCGACGGCGCGACTTCCGAATAGACGGTCACGACGACGAAGCTGCCCGTACACCCGCCCTATTTTCCTGAGTTGTGTAGACAACATGCATGATGCTTCCGAAGTGTTCAGTCGCAACTACATAACATATTGAGGTTCGTGGAAGGACTCAATGACACCTAACGGTATCCGACTGCCATGGACACTGGAGTCCGACATCTTCCTGAGGGTCGGGTATCCTCCCGTTCGTCCGTCAAGGTCCCCAATGTGATAAGTAACGGTGATGTCTAGTATTCCTTCGCTTCAGTATATGTGTTGCTTTGTACATCCTGCTACACGTACACCTATCTTACCACGACGGCAGCATAGAAGACCCAAGGTTGGAAGTACACGGGAATGAAGGAACGCGAGAAAAGGAAAGCTTGCTGTGCAACAGCGTCCACAGCTGACACGGATGAATGAAGGTGACAAAGCATCCCAGGTATTACACTGGGAGACAGCAAATATACGCAGAAGAGAAGCGAGCGAATTCGAAAGAGCGGCGGAAAGGTACACTCCCATTGCAATACACAACGGGGTCAGAAGGCAAAAGGAAGCAATCAGCCATATGGTACACGCCCGAGGGCATACTTACAACATTTCGGAGAGGAGGGGTGAGATACAGCAGATTGTGAGACCATGCCGTAACGCTGTTTGACGAGTGACGAGGTACAGGTAGGTTGGGCGAGCCGAGCCGGACAAAGGAGCGGTTGTGTACACGGGTAGGAAGGGAGGGTCGATTTGTACAGAGGGCGACGAGCGATGCGGGAGCCGACCGAATTGCCCTTGCTGGAACGTTGATGATACGACGCGAGCAAGAGCGCGGGTTATGAACAATGAGGGTGTGGGGCGTCGGCCGTGACGCGATTTGATGAAGCAAGCAGATAGTATATCCAGCATCCGGGATACGTGTTGTTGTTGATATAGCAGTAGATTAGCGATGTGGATGTATATGCCGATGTACATTGGGTACCGGGGGTGCAATAGATGGGGCGCGGCGGCCCGTTAATGGGATGAACAAAAGGCCACCGCGCATATTAGCAACTCTCGAAACGCCGTCGGTGAGCGAGCACATCCGGGCGAAGGCTACCCGTCAGCTCAAGCTTACACCATTTGGAATGCACTACCGAGGCCAAGGCCCGCGCCCGAGGAACGAGAGCTGTTCTCCCGAGCGGGAGAACCAGGGCTGCCAAAGGATATCTTGCGCGCAATGGGACGATGAGGTAGCTTGTTGTCTTTAGTGCGGCGAAGAGCTTTCGAACTGGCAGGGGTAGCAGTAAGGGTACTTTCCACGACGGGAGTATCGGGGGACTTCGGAGAGAGGCTATGGGTCTGACGGTCAGCGCGAGGTGTGCGTCGAACTGGGGTGGGCGGTTCGATGCTCGACTGCAGGTGCGGCAGCTCGCCTCCTAGTATACTGGGGTTGCGCTGGATATTGGCACGGGCCTTGGTCGGGCGATGCGCCGGCGTCTCCTTGCTGTTTCTTGATGGCTTAGCAGGAGACGACTTGGGGGGCTTTCGCGTTCGGGATGATTCGGGGCATTTTGCAGGAGAAGTTGGTGTGGAGGCGGGGGACGTAGTCTTGACCCGAGCCTTCTTCGCTTTCATACTCCGCAGCTTCTCTTCCTCATCAGATGATGTAGCGTCTGAGTCCCTACCGCTCAGGCTCATCGCCCCCGAGCTCCGTTTCGAAACAGCACCAAAGGAAGGTGCACGCTTCAAGCCCTGGCCAGGCCCGTACATCGATCCGGCGAACGATTCGTTGCGCTTGACACGGTTCATACGAGGATCGACGGCGGGTAGGACGAAAGAATCCGACGAGTTTGACATGTCAGACATAGATCTCCGAAGACGGGGGATGCGAGAGCTGGAGTGGCTGGAATTAAGGGTGGTCGAGCTAGGCGTGGAAGGAAAGAAGGGCTGTCCGCCTGGAGTGCGGAACGGAGAAGTCGAACGAGACGAAGGGGCTGCATATGATTGGAATGATGAGGTCGAAAGGAAGCGGTCAGCGTTTTGTAGGCGGTGGGATAGACTGAGAATCCTGATGTCAACAAGGAAAATGGTTGATGAAATTCGCCATGCACGCACCGGCTGATGTTGTCGTTATCCGCCCAATTACGCGCTTCCGCTTGCATAAAGTCCATACTTGACTGCCGATACAGCGGGCGTTTTGGGGCAACGCGCGCTGTCTGCTGTTGTTCGTCGGTGTCACTCCCTTCCTCTTCTGCGATAGTGTCACTGGCTCCATCATTCATCGTCTCCTTGGCACGAGCTCGCGCAAGCTCGACAATCTTCGCACGCGTCGCGCGCAGAGAATGGGGCCAATTGACGGGCCCCTTGGCGTCCGCTACGCCGCGGGCGATCTTATCAAGGAGGTTTGATGGAGGTACAGGACCGTTGAACGGAGTGAGTAGATGCGCAGGAAGAGCGTCGAGGGTCTGGAGTGGCACGGAGGGTCAGAGAAGGGCGGAGTGACGAATTATGGCAGATGGGAAGACGGAATAGATTTCCAATGCTATATGGGAATTTGGACTCACCCTAGATAATAGTCGCGTCTGCTCCGGACTCCATTCTGCCTCGAGATCCTCCGTCCCATCATAGTTCGAGCTGTTCCAGCTGTCGCTGCTGTAGCGCTTCTGCGATGACACGGGCATGAAGGGCAGAGGCGTGTTGGAGTTGGGAGGAGTACGAGGCGACGAGTCCTGAGACGCGTGGGATAATCTATGGCGGGGGAGGGGAGGCGGCATGGCGGGAGTGAGCGACGAGACGGCAGCAGGGGGCCGTCTTTGCATACTGTCCTAAAGAAACGAGAGGAAAAGGCCAGATAATGGAGGTTTAGAGTACGACACGACGGGCAGCGATCAACATCCGCGTCCGTGCCGGACTCGTTGCCACGTTCTCGTTCAGGGCAGGCCATCACGCGCACAGCTCTCCCACGGCCAGCCACAGGCGCGTCGACGATTGTGCTGGCAACCCACGAAATTTGTGGGCAGATACTACGCACCTTGGCCTCGACCCGTGCCCACCATCTTGTCGACCGGCCCACGACGTGTCGTCGAGCAGCATCTCGGGGGCTACGATGTAAGCAGGGGCCAAAGAGCCCGCTCACGCGGGAAATTCATGTGGCGTCGACGAACATCACTCACCAGGCCTGTCGTCAAGTCGAACGCACGGCGTGAACATTGAGAAGAGACAATACCAAATACTTCAAGGCCTTCGAACATCTCGAGATCGCAGATGACCCAGTCCAAGACAACAGCACAAGCGAGTGAGGGGACAATGGGGAGCCCCCTAGTGTGCAGGTGGACCACCACGTCGTACCCTCAGGCATGGCAGATGATTGTTAGAGGAAGAGGTGTGAATCGCTGTGTGGACATCGTGTCGAAAGCGAAGGTGAGGGACGTAGAACGGGGGCGAAAGGATGCCTGCGCCACCATCATCTGTTCGGCAAGAAGGAGGTACCTGGAAAGGATGTCATGTATGCGCGCATGCACCGTATCCATCCTGATCAGATATCTGGGTGGGTCCTGTGCACAGCGCAACTCAGCCGGCTGAATCCCCGGTAATTGGGCGGGAGTCCGTCCACGCCCGGAGGGTTATCAGGTTACTAGTGTATGTATGACTTACGGAACTCAGCCGTTCCAATTCATTTGCGACATCCGGTAGGGAACCCGCGTCTCCCGAGGATGCCATGCATGATTACTGAGATACAGGTATGCTATTTACGCATGGGAACATATCAGGGAAATGAAAGACATGCCCAGACATATACATAGGCGATGGCACAGGAGAAACCGGAGCGAACGGCGCCGTGTCTGTTCCGATTCGAGTTCAGAATCAGATTCACTGCGCGCGGCCTCCAGATTTTAGGCTGTACATAGTCGATAACAAGTCCGAATTTATGTTGTTCTTGCTGTGCGGTCCGTCGCTATATGTTGCAATTGCAGTGCATCTCAGTATCTCGCATCACTAGTTGCGGGGAAGCACGAAGTAAGTGCTGCGCGCTATAGTATGCGACGTATGAGCGCCGTCGTACCTTCTCTGGGACACGGCATACTGTAATTGAAGACCGATGAACACGCCCTTATGTCAAGGACTACTCCCGTTCCAGCGCGAAGAGTTTATCGACCGAGTAAAGGCCAGGAACCCGGAGCTATTATCTGCGCTGTCCGTCGTGCCATCTTGCACTTTCCTACAACCTCTGGAAACGGGTCAGCCAAATTGACGAGGGGGAAGCATGCCCGCCTGACATTCACCTCGAGGCGCAAGGCCATTAATACCGACATTCAACGGCCTATCAAGGTCGCCAGTTGAGTAAAGCGTTTCCACGCATATGGGGAATTCCCTTCGCCCGTAGAAGGAAAATTATTGAAGGGGAGGAGTATGGCCTAGTCTCCGTTGCTGACCAAAAAGAGATGATCTCGTTTGTGGTATGGCCGAAAGGGAGCGAACAAGCAGGCTGTCGATGTTCGCTCGCTTCTAATGTTTTGAGGGCGGCCAATGAACAATACAACTGCGTGTGCAGACCTTTCTGTGTGACAGGCACCCTCGACCGTGCTGCCGACTGCGCTGCTTTCTTCTTACTGCCGTCGGGGTCCGTATATCCTAGAGCTTGAAGAGCATAGTGCACGAGCACTGCAGGTGAGCTATCCATGGCAGGAAAATTCTGTGCACTCCGGCGCCCGTCAAGAAAGAGAATTTTCGGCTGCCCCGCAGCACGCTGGCCGTGGAAAGAATGATGTACCAGTTCAGACTTCCGGCCGTTCAGTCCGCCAAAGTTCATCGGCATTACATTCCTAGTCCTGAGACGGCGGACAGACGGATTCTGGCCGTCGATGATTGAAGATTTTGTGCGTCAGTCCCGAGTTGCGGTTGTTGAGTCCACCATTACTCACCATTATCTCAAGGCGTGGTCCCATTATTTTCGGAGGTACGAAGCAGAAAGGCGAATGATACGCAACCCTCAAGCTTTGAGGACCGACGTACAATTCTTCGCACTAATATGTACCCCTGTCAGCAATATGAGTTGACCGCTGCTCAGTACGAACAGCAATACGACTCACCGAATGTTCCTATTTTCTGGCCCTCTCACCGACCGGATGTACAGGGTCGAGTAGCGGGCCCTATGATGAATCATGATCCTCGACAAGACTTCACGGTAGCGATCTAGGCTCATCACTATCTAGCTGTCTGGGAACGTCTCCCCGCCGTCAAGTCACCCGACCTTGTCTGCCGGATAGTCGGAGCAAGACAGAGAACCAAAGCATGCACTCACTGTGGGGGTGGGAGCACTTGAGGGGTGTACGGCCGACCCTTAAGAGAACGAGAGAACACGGCGCCCGATGATGATCGATACGGCAGTTTGCGGTTGCATACCCAGAAAGTACAAGGCGAACCCACAACAAGAGCACCGCCCATATATCCAACGCAAATAAGATAGCACGAGCAAGGACGACAAAAACAGTACAAGGGCACAAGAGACGAAGGACGAAGGACAAGGATACGAGCGCTCACGACTTCGTCTGAATCTTCCTCGTCAGAGTCCTCAGCCGCTCCGCGTTCTTCTTCCGCCGCTCGATGTCGACGTCCACGCTCATGCTGCCCTTGGAAAGGCCCACATTCGAGCGCGGTGCGACGGTGTAGCTGCCGAGCTCGCGCTGCGGGATCATGACCGCGTTCTTCCGCACGCGGTTCTTATCGCTCTCCTTCGCGCGCGCGAGAATCGTGTTGAGCCGCTCTGGCCCGCGCGCGGCGCCGTCGCCGTCGCCGATCTGCGCGGTCGGGATGATGCGGTCGCGGTAAGACGCGCTGCGCTTGATGATGGGCCGCGACCAGGCGGAGACGAGGTCGTTTGCGAGCCGTTGGATGTCCGGCGTGACGCGTTTGCATTTTGTGTAGAAGATCACGACGCGACCGAGCTGGGACTCCTTGAGCGCGCTAGTGTCGATGTACTCCAGCTTCTTGAGAGTCGGGAAGAACTCCTTCTGAATGTCGAGGGCAGGCAGGGAGTGGTCCGGCAGGGGCTCAAGCCATTTCCGTACACCCTCCAGAAGATTGTTGTCCTGGATGGACTGGGCGAGCGAGTTCCTTGTAACTTGACGTTAGAACGCGGGCACCGTAGCAGCCAATGGGCGCAACATACTTTCGTAGCACCTCCATCACTTGCGGCAAGAGCCGCAACTTGGCCGTAGCGGGGAGCTTCTCCCTATTGGCCTGCTCATCGTCCTGGGCGGCCGACAACATCGCCTCTCGGAGCCGCGAGACCTCTTCGTCCGCCACTCGGTCCAGTACGTCTTCATCGTCCTTTCTTTTCCGTTTCGGCCGCGAAGCCTTCTTTGGCTTCAGGATCGCCTCAATTTGCATGTCCAGTTTCACCTTGTTCGCTGCGGTAGCATGTCAACTGGCTCCTCTGTGCGACTATGGACAGACGCACCTAGCTCAGGCGGCAGCTGGCTCAAGTCGATGTCCTCCAGCTGCTGCTTGCGCTTCCTCTTCCGCTGCTTCTGCCTCTGCCCCCCGTCCTCGCCCGCACCCGTGCCCCGCCTTCTCCGCGTCACCCTCGCCTTGCCCTTCGGGGCGCGCTTCTCCTGCACGTATTCGTCGCCCGAGTCTGCTGAGGACTCTTCCTCGTCGCCCATCGGCGAGGCCCGCTTCGCGCGTTTCTGCGGGACATCTGATAGGTTTGCTGGGGTGAGCGGTCGACCGAATGCATGAGGCGAAGTAGACTCACCATCGTCGTCCGGCGCGGACAACTCGTCGTCGGACTCCCCACCGAAGATAGCTCGTTCCAAATCCTTAGAAGAGGTCAGATACCACTACTTTTGACGACTCAAGCTACCGACTCACATCCATTTTGTCCGCCGTCGACATGTTGGCCAGTATGTAGTGCCGGTACGAGTGATCGGTCGTATGAAGCGCACAAGCCTGAGGCGCACGCCGCACAAGGTGGCCACCACTCAGCAAGGCGTGACATGACACTGTGACAATCGAGGTTTACTCCCCATTTGGAAGGTGTAGTGGTTCGCGGCAAACCGTCCGGGCGGTCGGGCAGCATCATCGTCATGTTGAATCCACATTTATTTCGTACAGGCTGTGTTCTTATAGCGCTGTTTTTTTGCCGAGAAAGTTGGTCAAATTGCATGCGCATGTATCAGTTTAATCTTCCCTCTGCTAGTCATTAGTACAGTACTACCGCCGCCACATCTAGTCTGCGTGCTCCGAGTCCCTACCTGACATGCTTATTCGCATCCAGCACACCAAGCTAATCTACCTATTGAGGTCGTCATGTATGACTAGGATTGTGCCTCGAACTTCACCGGACGTCCCGCGCCAACGAACAGTGCACAGACCCACGTCTATTTGAACGAAACCGTGGCTATCAATAATGAAACCAGAGCGGTAGATACTCCCAAGCACAGCAGCCTGAGAGTCTGCGAAAGTCAGTGAATCTGACGCGATAAAATCCGAGTCCAGCGAAGCTCTAGACTGCGCCTTCCGTGTGAGTGCGAATTTACGCACACATGAGAGTGGTTAAGTCCTCCGCCTTTCATGACATACTGGTATGTAGAGAGATGATCGATGATCAGCCGTACACCTGAGCCCTCAATGGTTCGATCAAAGTCCGATATACGTAAGACGGTGCAGCAGCGATGAATCCGTGATTGCGACTTTGAATCATCGCTGAGCTCACTGTCGTCATCTAGAACGTGCGTGAGCACATCCATAACGAATCCTGGATGATAGGATCTTCTTGCGTTTCCTTGACATCCGAGGATGCACCGCTTGGATCCGAGTACTCACTAGAACTATACCGCCATAAAATCAGGCATTCGCGCCGCAACGTCTATTCCGCTGCCGTGTATACCGGGGTAGACGTATGCACTCGATATGGCTCAAAAATAGAGTCAGAAGAGCGGGGACGGCGATGCATGAGAGGTTATAATGGAACTGACAGCTTCATTGGATGCTTTGAGCGGACAGCGCGCGATGACCGGGAGCCCGTTGATTCTATTGAGGTTCCTGGATGCGAGTTCGGATCTGTCCACCCAGACATAACTCACTGTCAACTGCTGGTTGAATTTCTGGCATCCTTAGAAACATTTGTCGCGCCCTGCGGTAACGACGAGCGCAGTCGGCCTGCCTGAAGGAAGGAGCGTTGGGCTTCCCCATAAGGTTGGTGCTGCGCTCTGTGAGCTTCGAAGCGCAGCTATGCGACCGGCAATGCTCGCGCAGCGACAACTATTGCAGCACAATCATTCTTCGTGTGCATGCCCACCTATGCCCACCTGCTGATGTTCAATAGGTAATGCCGCATCCTACAGAAGCACTTACGATCTCTGTGACAGGAAGGCCCGTTGCGCTCAGAGCCCACGGAGGCCGGAACTGCAAGCTGTGCGTGAGAGCTGGCGAAACGGCTTCCTATTGGCCTGTGCAAGCCACGATCTAACTACGGTGCATCAGATGGTGAGAGACTGGGAAGGTACCTGCTTCCTCCGATCACCATCTATCGTATCTTTGGCATCTTCCCGACTGCGACAGGAGTGAGCACTTGCATGGGTGTTTGAGCGGTGCCACGGACCTGGAGGCCTGACAAGCTCGAGACAAGGATGTCGACTGTCGCTGATGCGCCGCTGCTGGCGGGCGGTGCCGAGGACGATGCTCAGGGCGCTACGTCATGGGTTCTTCGGCCTCCAAAGCGCCGAAGCGGAGTATTGTGGGTTGAAGACGCGCGGGCCTGCTGACCGCGCCGCCTCCGCGACCTGTCTTCGGACGAGGCACGCACGGGTGCAGCGCGCCGTGCTGTCTGGACGACGTGCGGCGGGCGACGCTGGCGGAGAACGCTGCAGGGCGCGTGGATCGCACTGAGGCACGCGCACGCCGGGTACGGAGATGCAGGCACCGAGGTCGAACGATCGGTGGCAAACTTCGCGCGAAATGATTTTCGTGCTTCTGTACGGCCTGTCCGTGGCCGCCACCCGCTGCGGCTTCGCTTCTTTGTACTCACCGCCGCGTCGGGCAGGCGGCGGACGCGTCGAGCGTCGTGGGTGGTGTCGCGAGCGTGGGCGCGATGAGCTCACAGCTGGTAGCCGAGGTGGCTGCGGGGTGGGCGGTCCATCGGGGCTAAATATGAAGACATGCCGGGGGTGCCGGCGCGTGCGCCATTGCCATATGTATGTCGCAGACCCGCGTCCGAAAGGTCCGCCCTCCCCCTCCCCGTCCCCATCGTCTGCGACAATGGCCACGGTGGTCCTCCGCGCCATCGCCACCGCCAACGACATCCACTTCCACCCCTCCTCCCCGCCTGTCGCGTCCTCCTCCACGCCGCCAAGTCCCACAAACCGCGGCCTCCCCCCCATCTCGCCCAAGGGCAAAGAACGGCCCCTCCCGCCGCTCCCAATCCCGTCAAAGGAGTCCCTTCCAGGGCGCGCCGCATCACCTGGCCCCAGCGTATTATCATCCAGGACGCTGGGCAAGTCACCCGAGGCAGGGCCCTCGCGGTCTCGTCCTCTCTCGCTCTCATGGTCCTTCGCCTCCCGCCGCACGCTTGGCCGGGCACTCAAGCAGCCACGCGTTCTCGCATGTCTCCTCGACGTCTCCAGCTGGGGAGACATCCACGCGCTCCTCAGTACGTGTAAAGAGTTCCGACATGGCCTATTGCGCGATCCGGGATGCAGAGAGGTGCTTTTGTCGTTCTATGTGCCTGGGTACAGCTTCGCAGCACACACTGCGGACATGCAGCAGGTCCGCGGGGTCAAAGCCGACTTCCATGACCTCACACTCCTCGGTGCGTGTTCTGCTGCAATCGTCATCTCCGAGGGCCTCATGTTCCGCGATCACAGTCCAATCGCAGTTTCTCCCGCTGCACAAGTACCCGATGCTCTCCCTGTCCATTCTCAGCCGCCTATCGCAGAATGTGGACCAGTTCGAGCTCTACCAAGCTACAGAGAGATATGTCTCCCTCACCCAGGCGCACTCCCGCCTCGTGCTGTTGCTCCAGGCACTGGTCCACAGCGCTCCAACATCGTCCTTAGCCGATGACTTTGACGACAACATGAACTTGCTTGCGCCACAGGGTACAAGGGTAGCGCAGTTCGCCGGCATGCGCGAGCTCGTCTTCCCTGCTCCACTGGCCTACTGCGAACCGGGCGACCAAGGTTCGACCGAGACACTGCCCAGCATCGCGTTCGGACACAGGCGCGCGTCGACGCAGCTGTCAGGCACCGGACAACCATCTACTCGCGCGCTCTCCTTGAGTCCCGCCCGCGCGTCCGGGGACTTCCATGCGCTGCTCGGCCGTGGCGGCCGGCCGGTGCGCAAAGGCAAGGTCCCACGCAAGTCAATCTTCGGCGGCCCGAGGGTGCCCCCACCCCCGCCCGCGGCGGAGCCGATCGCGAGCCAGTACGTCAAGGGCTGGGCGCGCGTGTCTCAGCAGGTGCGCCAGTCGCCGCCGGGCGCCTGGGACCAGCAGCGACGCCGCACGGGCGTGACGTCTGTGTCGGAGGACGACCTCAAGGCGCCGAAGCGACGGTTCACGTCGACGACGGTGTCGAGCGAGTCAAGTCTCGTCGGTCCGTCGAGCAGCAGGAGCCAGACAGAACCGTCGGGGTCGAGCGACAGCACATTTTCACCGCGCGCGAGCTCAAGAGAGTCAAGACCGCTGCCACCTCCACCACCTACGGTCGCAGTACCGAGGGGAACGTCTCCGCATGACCTCTACCTCGCGACGTCGCGCACGCGCGCGCCTGTCTTGCGCACGTTCGTGCCGTGCACGGTCCTAGACGACAACGCGGTCGCGGCGTGCGAGGAGCAGCTCATGGACGCGGGCCTCTGGGAGCACCTCTCCGTCGGGGACGTCGTCTGCAACTTTGGGTACGTCCCGCCCGTCCCGGAACACGGCGATGGCGACGCGGAGCCCAAGCAGGAGTGGCTCCTCTTCGACGGCTCGGGGCTCGCGCCATACGCGCCGCCCGCCCCGCCCCCGCTCGAGGACCCGCTCTCGCTCCCCTCGCCGTTCTACTACGCGCACATCCTCCCGCCCTGGTCGAACCCACACCACGTCCTCTCCCTCCCCGCGCTCCCGCGCGGCATGCGGCCCGACTCCCACACCCCCGCGCACGCGCGCGTCGGCCGCCCCGGGCGCGCGCTGAGCCACGCGGACGTGCAGCTCACGCTGACGTACGTGCCCACGCGCGTGCGCAGCCCGCACTCGCCGCAGGGCTACGCGGTCGTGCGCAAGTTCGTGTGGATCGCGCGCCTGCCGTACGTCGGCCCCGGCACGGACGGCGGCGCGGGCCTCGGGCCCGGCTGGCAGGGCGAGTGGATGCTCGAGGGCGAGGGGACGCGGGAGGGCCGCCAGAGCCTGCTCGACGCGCTGAGCGATGGCCCGGACGGGTCGGGGTTGACGAGGAGGGGCAAGTGGGAGGTCGTCCGGGACAAGTCTGGGAACGGGCGATTGTGGATGAAGTGAGTTTGCTCGTCTGCATCGTGCTGGCGGGGACGCTAATTGGGGGATGCAGGTTGTTGATCCCGAACGTTGAAGAGCCGAGCGAGTCGTCGGGCTCGTGTAACGTCGATCGAGCATCGTACTGAACAGACACTGCTGGGTATACGAACCCTAGAAAAGTCTTGAGCTGTGCTTTCTTCACTACGCTACGCTTACAGTTCGCTACTTCACTGCCCCTGCATTCCTAGACGTCGGACACTATTGGTATACCCTCTCCCTCGCGGTCTCTCCCTGCCACAGGTCTTCATTCCGTGCCCACTTCTACTGCTGACCAAACACACTGACACTTGCCGCGCACGCCTAATGACACTACCCACCACTACCACTGCTCGCATCTCTGTTGTATCTACTCTACTGACCTGACGTCATTGGACACTCGATGGACCTGTACGATGTAGGAACATCCGTCTGCGCGCTGAACGTGACACTCACTATGCATGCTACCACATATATCGCTACACCAAAAGACTCTGTCACATATTTCTACCACGACCTTGCTTAGGGATACAAGCCTCGGTGGTACATACTCATACTGTTTCCCTGCTGTAATACATAGTAAAGTCTACATATTCTTACTCTTCCTCGCCTTGCGGACGAGCACAGTTACACAAGCTTCGCTACGTCGCCGTTGACGAAGCGCCCGACGTCGAACCCACTGCTGCTGGGGCTGTTGATGAAGCCTGCCTTGGTGAGTACGTCCAGGGTGTCGGCGATCACTTTCGTCGGGATGCTACTGCAGTCGTGCGTCCACGCTACGGTCTGCAGCCAAGCCTAATTTAACATTACACAGTCAGATGTTGACGACCGTGGAAGGGTGAGTGCGTGCGCACGGACCTTGACATCGTCCTCCGGGTACCCGAATTTGTCCTTGATGTACTCCACGTCCGCAGCCGCACGCTGGGCGGGGTCGTCGAACGTGCGTACGTAGGTGGTCAGGGTGTCGAGGAACGTGCGCAGCGCTTCTGGCGAGGCTCGCGTCGGGTGCGCGGCGATCAGCCAGGAGGGCCATGGGGTCGGCACGGATCCGATCTACCAGGATAGTCAGTGGACGTAGGAGCAGAGGGGGTTAGAGTGGACGCACGAATTGCGCCTCGCCCGCGTCGACGAAGGGCTTGGTGGTGAACCACTCCCACATGAATGCGCTCGTCGTCCCGTCGTTCACCGAGTGGATCAGGCCGCGGATGTCGTTGTTCACTGGGTGCGACTTCTCAGCGCACGTTCGCAGACCGCAGTGCTTCCCGGGTCTCACCTTGGAACTGCATCTTGTCCGTTGGCCAGCCCTGCTGCAGGGCCATGACGTACGCCATAGTCTGGCTGCCGCTGGCGGAAGGAAGGATAGATCTGTGAACGGAGGCTCCTCAGAGCAGGAGCGGGATGTGAGCCAACCTGCCGTATCTCGAGATGCCGATAGTCGTTTTCTGCAGATCCGAGATTTCCTTGTACTGGGTGTCCTTCCCGGTGATGACAGCCCTGCATCGGAGGTGAATATGAGTGCCGTTCCATGCCCCTCCGGGCAAACGCACCAGTTCAAGGGTGTCGTGACATAGCTGCCTACGAGTTTGTAGTGCTCTGAGCCTCTGGCTATGCCAGAAATCAGAGGGTCAGTCAACGCACTAGCGGGCGTAGCGTCCGAGTCAGTGGTACGAGAAGCACAGAGTGATTAGAACAGCCAACAGTATGTCCACTGTTACACTCACACAGCGACGTCAATCTCGTCGTTCGTCAAGCGTGTGATGATTTGACCAGTCCCGCCTGCGCAGAAGATAGCGTCAGAGCAATTCGCAAAACGTGAAAATCCACGAGAACAGAGAAGACGTGCTCACTTGGGCATTCTACAAGAGTGAAGGTCTTGCCACCGTCTGCTTCGGCGTACTGCAGCAACGGCGAGGAGAAGTGTTCCCGAACTGCCCATGTTGTCACGTTCTATGCGAGAATCACGCTACATGATTTGGCCTCACTGTAACCGACTCTGAGCGGCATGTTGATGGCTCAAACACTGGGCGACGCTACGCTCGGTGGTGGCTGAGAGGACGGAGAGCGGGAGGTCGATAGATCGTGGATCTGAGTAAGATGCACGACGTCACTATCGCGATCTGCGGGCCGATCGCATTCCTACAACGAAGGCATCCCAGCACCTGGCGTCTCGTGCACGCAGTCCCAGTAGAGGACGTGGGGCACCCTGGAGGCTAGTCAACGTCCTAAATCCTTGGGCTGGTCCACCGAAGGTTACTTTGTTCTCAGCGGCGCCTTGGGCGAAGCTCGGTGCACGCGCGCAACTCTACAAGCACGACAGGCTCGGGAGCGAGGTCCAAGTCAAACAAATAGTATAACACCGTGAATTGGAGCCTCGTATACTAAGTAGGCAGTCCGCGAGATTACTCGATGACAATCATCCACGCCAGTATAGAATAGAATAGACTGCAACACGGTCATCGTCAGCGTACGCTACCGAAAGACGCGACCAGCTTACAGAAGAGGGTAAACAGCGAGCATCGTCCTTTGCTTTTCGAGCTTGGTACCGTCCAGGAAGTTCACAGATGCTTGAAGGGGCATTCAGTTGCGACGACGCAGCTGGAAGTAGGATCAGACGTACCCCATATACACCAGACCCACGCGGCAAATGTCACTGGTAGTCGGACGTAGATAAGAGGCACGAACACCGACACCAATGCAGCGATGTTCAGAGGTGCGACGCAGTAGCCGAACACACAGAGCCCTTGGAAGAAAGAGCTGTCCAGATGCTGTCAGGTTCATATGCGAGTTTTGTCGTGATTGCCGACTTACACTCTGCCGCCGAGAAGCTGAGACGAATATATGGTTACTGTTTGCTGAGCATCAAGTGAGATAAGAGAATCTCACCTTTGCTTGTATAGTCACTACAAGAGAGCCACTGGTCATGAGACACACGACGCTTGTGAAGATGGGAAGGGATTGGTCGGGAGCAGCCTTTGAACCGTTCAGACATAGGCAGCCAGGCAATGCACAACTGTACTGACCCTGATACTCAGCAGAATACCAAGCATAAGGCTGATGACAAGTGGGCCCCAAAGGTCCCAATCTCTGCAACGTGTCTCAGACACGGTAACATACGTAAAACAGCAGTCATACCTGAGGACTTCTCGATGACCCGCTTTTGGAGGATAGAGCACTTGAACAGTCTTGGTATAGATGGATAATAGGTCCCGTCCCTGCAGAAACCAACGTTAGCCGGACTGGTCAGCATGATTCCCGCGTTGCGCACGGACAATAGTTGTGGATATTGGCTCGTCGAGCGTGTCAAGCCCTGTATTGCTAGTACAGCAGCAGAATCAGACATCTCATTGAAGCACCAGTCTGAATGCTTGCGTACCGCATCTCAACCTGTACTCCTCCGACGGTGTTCCGTGCTGGTCGGGCATTGCCATTGCTTGAGCTACCTATAGTACCAGAGACGGGACTATGGGGATATGCAGAGGCAGGCGCTGGTTGTTCATCTCGTGCCTTCCCCTTGCCCGCCGAGACGGGTGAGCCTATGGAGGGGTGCGTGAATCCAGGGATGGCCTCATCGTCGAGGTCGTCATCGTTGTCTATGGCGCACACGAGCTCGAATCTCAGCAGGATATCACGCTTCAGGCGTCGTGCAACATACCGGCCTCAATAAACTGGGACGTGGAGGTGAGAGGTGTCTGAATATCTGAGTTGTCGAGCCGCTGCATGCTGCGAGTCGGAGGCCAAGCTGGCGAGTTCAGCGCGCGACGACCGAGCGCACAGGCCCACGTGATTTCTCCCACGTGGGCGAAACACTGACGCGTCGCGTCTTTCGCTGCTCAGCTCAGCCTGCGGTCCCTCTCCCTTGCTCACTCCGTCCACGCTTCCCCTTCCCTCTCTTCCCGAGATCTTGCACCACTCAATATGGTGTGTTTCAGCGTTTACGAAGCGTAACGAGTCGCGCTCACATCTTGTCATGTAGGGAAACACTCCGTCAGGACTACCCGGTGCGCCGCCTGGCGGCCAGAAGCCAGGCGACCAGAACCAGAAGAACAACCAGGAGCAACAGAAGAAGAAATGGGAGCCCCCCTTGCCCACCCGTGTTGGCAAGAAGAAGAAGAAACGCGGCCCCGACGCTGCCTCGAAGCTGCCTGCAGTCCACCCGACTACCCGCTGCCGTCTGCGGCTGCTGAAGATGGAGCGCATCAAGGACTATTTGCTCATGGAGGAGGAGTTCATCCAGAATCAGGAACGCCTTAAGCCAGAGGCGGCTCGGGAGGAGAAGAACGAGGAGGACAGGACAAAAGTGGATGACCTGCGCGGTAGCCCGATGGCTGTGGGCACACTGGAGGAGATCATCGACGACGACCATGCCATCATCAGCACGGCGTCAGGTCCCGAGTACTACGTCTCCATCATGAGCTTCGTTGACAAGGACCTCCTTGAGCCCGGCTGCCAGGTGCTGTTGCATCACAAGAACCAGGCGGTCATTGGGGTCCTCCAGGATGACGCGGATCCTATGGTTAATGTCATGAAGCTGGACAAAGCACCCACGGAGAGTTACGCAGATATTGGTGGTCTGGAACAGCAGATTCAGGAAATCAAGGTACGGAGGAATTGTTCAGAGGTGGGAGGGTCGCTGACGAGTTCGCAGGAATCCGTGGAGCTGCCGCTGACACATCCGGAGTTGTACGAGGAGATGGGTATCAAGCCACCCAAGGGTGTCATCCTCTATGGTGTGCCTGGTACTGGGAAGACGTTGCTTGCGAAGGCGGTGGCGAACCAGACGTCGGCGACATTCTTGCGTGTAGTCGGCTCGGAGCTCATCCAGAAATACCTCGGTGACGGTCCGAAGCTCGTGCGGGAGATGTTCCGAGTAGCAGAGGAGCATGCGCCAAGTATCGTTTTCATTGACGAGATTGATGCTATCGGTACCAAGCGGTGAGTCGGAACAGCCGCGGAGAGTTGCGGTCGAGCTGACGTGCCCTCTAGGTACGATTCGACATCAGGTGGTGAACGAGAGATTCAACGAACCATGTTGGAGCTTCTGAACCAGCTGGACGGCTTCGACACTCGAGGAGACGTGAAGGTGATCATGGCGACGAATAAGATCGAGTCGCTAGACCCTGCGCTCATTCGACCTGGTCGTATTGACCGGAAAATTGAGTTCCCGCTACCTGATATCAAGACAAAGCGACACATCTTCAAGTAGGTCTTACCTTCGTCGATCGTATCTCCTGATGCTGATCCTTCTTTGCAGGCTGCATACATCACGTATGAGCCTTGGCGACGATGTCGATCTTGAGGAGTTCGTCACGGCGAAGGATGATCTGTCGGGTGCCGATATCAAGGCAGTATGCACCGAAGCAGGTCTGCTCGCGCTGCGAGAGCGGCGGATGCGGGTGACGAAGACCGACTTTGCATCCGCGCGCGAGAAGGTACGTGGTACAATCTTTCCTGTGTGGCCGATCACTGATTTCGGATCGTAGGTGTTGTACAGGAAGAACGAGGGCACACCGGAGGGCCTCTACCTGTGATTGTATCGTATTACTATCTTCCGGTTTGTTCTGTTTTGTGTTTCGTATGGACCTTGCATGTCGCTGCGGATGGATCGATGAACCTGTTGAGAAACAAGATTGGCCATGAGGTAGACACAAGGTAGACGGGCGCGCTTGGTCTCACGTGTCGCCGTCGCGTCTGTGGCAAATCGCGAGCGTGCGCCTTCGCGTTCTTCACACTGAAATTTGTGGCTGCTGGCAACTTCGAAACGTTTGCACCCAATGTACACCGCATAAAACTTGCTTGGTTGATGCCAACAACTGCTCGTCCCGTCATGCGCCCTCAACAAGAGGTATCATCTGAGTACTTACTAGATGTTCCAGTTTCGAGTTGCCGGTACCATCGCCAAGTGCATGTGAAATTGCGCGCCCCATCCGGAGTGCTTCAGCCTGAGGCTTGAGGCGACGAACCGACCACTGTGCTGCTCGTGTCTTTTTCGAGCTCTGACCTTCCCGCAGTAGGGCTCTGCATTCATCCATCACTCTCAGTTCATTCACCATGGGACGACCAACGGAGAGCAACCAGGACAGTCTGACGGTGCGCGACAACCGTACGGGCAAGACGTACACCATTCCGTAGGTCTTTCAGCGATCTGTGGCCGAGCGAGTCAGTGGCTGAACTGTGTCAAGGATTGTGGACAATGCGGTGCCCGCGACTGCGTTCAAGGAGATCAAGGCCCCAAGGAAGCCTGACGAGCGGGAGGAGAACGAGACTGAGAAGGGCCTGCGGGTGCAGGATAAGGGCTTCCTGAACACAGCTGTCATCCGGAGTGAGATCACGTATATTGACGGTGAAGCTGGAGGTGAGTGAACGCGTTGTATATCCCGAGGGCTAACGGTTGAGACTGCACGTACACGTAGTGTTGCGCTACAGAGGCTACCCTATCGAGCAACTTGCTCTGCACTCGTCACATCTGGAGTCGGCGTACTTGCTCATATATGGCTCACTTCCAACAAGAGAGCAACACCTGCACTTCGAGACGGAGGTAATGCGTCATGGCAATATGCACGTCGACTCTGAGGAGTTCTTCCGTTCTTTCCGGTGCGTGTTTCGTCTCGCGGCGGCATGACCATCCAGTGCTAAACCACTTCTACTCGAAGGTATGACGCGCATCCGATGAGCATGCTCACGAGTGCATTTGCAATGCTCGGATCGTTCTACAGCGAAGCCAACCCTTCTCTGCAAGGTACGCCTCAGTTATGTCCCCCGGTGTAATACCCTTTCATGCATGTCCACAGGCCAGAAACTGTACACGAATGGCGACAAGGAGTCGCTCGCTACGATGGACAGACAGATCTACCGACTGATCGGGAAGGCGACTACACTCGCCGCGTATGTTTCGCATCCCTGCGTATGACCGGAGGCTCCCGTCTGACAATGCCTGGCAGCATGGCATACCGTGTGCGGCAAGGACGCGAGTTCGTCACACCCCCAGTCGGACTTAGCTACACGGGCTCGTCAGTTGCCTCACCCTGTCTCCAGAAGGCACGCTGAGCGTGGCACTATGTAGGTTCCTATACCAGATGGACCACCTCGGCGAGGAGGACTACAAGCCCAACCCGGTCCTGGAGAAGGCGCTGGACGTCCTGTTCCTCATACATGCAGACCACGAGCTGAACGCCTCATGTACGACTGTCCTACAAACGGGTAGCTCGTTGGTCGACCCCTACTCTGCCATTGCGTAAGCATACACATGCTGAGAACGTCGGCCAGTATTGACCGTTCGTATTACAGGGCTGGCTGCGCGTCACTATAGTATGTCGGAAGTTCTGCACCCCGTTGCTGAACTTACTGTTCGCGTCTCAGTGGACCATTGCACGGTGGTGCCAACGAGGCCGTCATTCGAATGTTGGTCTCAATAGGCAGGTAGGTGCAATTCTCGCGTTAAGCCGACCATACCTCATTCATTCGCCGTTACAGCCCTGAGAATGTTCCTGCGTTCATTGAGGCCGTCAAGAGACGCGAGAAGACGTTGTCTGGCTTTGGTCACCGGTACGTCGCTACTACTGCTGCCTGTGTGAATTAGTTGTTCACACCGTGTTGTGCGCGTCGTCAGCGTGTATAAGACGGTCCGTCAGATTGCGTAACTTGCACTATGCTGGACGATGGCTAACTCCGAACGGTAGTCTGATCCTCGGTCTTTCATTGTGAGGAAGACAGCAGACGAGGTGTTCAAAGTGTTAGTACATTAGCTGTCATAGTTGCATCGTTTGCTCATGCCAGCTGCAGCACAGGAAGGGATGCACTGCTCGAGACAGCTATGGCATTGCATGACGCTGCTATGAAGGACGAATACTTTATCAAGCGTAAGCTTGCACCCAACGTTGACTTCTGGTATGTTGCGCCCATCATTACCTTCGCAAAGTGTGCTCAACACGCATGTTCGCAGGAGGTACGTCTTGTCGGCAAATTGGCAGTGCGTATGGCTGATGGCTGTCCAGCGGCCTGATCTACCGTGCCATGGGTATGTAATGTGTCACTGTCCGCTCCCATGAAGTGAAGTCGGTGCTAATAGGCCCCCGAAGGATTCCCAATGGACTTTTTCCCGGTGTTGTTCGCCGTCCCGCGGGTGGTTGGATGGTTGGCGCACTGGCGCCAGATGATGTTGCAAGACGGCGGTGTGAAGATCTGGCGTCCCAGGCAGGTGAGTCGTCGCCGAGGCGGCCATGCTGTCCCCGTCCGCCCAGCTGATCCGGGCGCCGCGTGGCTGCGTGCAGGTGTATGTCGGCGCAGGCAAGCGCGAATACGTGCCCATCGAGAAGCGCGGTCCCGTGCAGGGGCTGAAGGAGACGCCGTCGGCTGTCGAGCATGGCGGGTGAGTTGCATGCGCAGTCTGCCGTGGCGTGCGCGAGCCTCATGCTGATGGTTGGTCCTGATCTACCTTCTGTTTTTGGCAGTATTACGAAGAGGACCATGCTGGCGAGCTTCAAGGGGAAGAGCAGGCTCTGAGGGCGGTGTACTGTACCTTCTTGCATACCCTGTCTGTGTTGTCGAATGCGCATTTCATTACAGCCTCTGTTCCTGTTATGTCGCGAAATCCGTTCAGCCCCCGCCGTAACTGCCGCGCCGTACGCTACCGGGGCGCAACCGCCTTGGCCCAACTTGGCGAAGGCACCATATGCTGTTGTTTGGTGATGTTTGGCGTGGAAACAATTCGACGGCGACGGTCGCCTCCTCGCGTCCTCCTTGCTCATCACCTCCGTCGACCTTTTCTCTCGCCGCATCCCGTCCGTGAGCTCCCTGCTCCTCTCGTTCCTCGCGCATTGCCACAATGTTCGCCACACTCATTTCTGTCGCTCTCTTCTCGAGCCTCGCCATCAAGGGAGCCCGCGCTGACTTCACGCTTGATACCCCCGCTCTTGTCCAGGTCAGTTTTCGGACCTTGCAGGCTAGTTGAGCCATGTCTCTGACTCCGTCTCGGGTTCATAGTGCCAACCTGCGACCCTTACGTGGTCCAACACTGGCTCTAACACCTACAACGTCATTGTCGTACCCAGCGACGATGTCTGTGGTGATGAACTGTACGCATGCTCGCCACCTATTACTGCGTAACGTGGCTCTGACAATGCATGACTACCAGTGCTGACCTCGGTGACTTCACGGACACGACTACGACTTGGACGGTTGCCGTACCCGCTGGCCAGAACGTAACGTTCTCCGTTCAGGATCAGTGGGACAACGAAGCTTGGAGCGGTTCGGTCAGTAGGATGCACTTAGCCTCCCACGCATCTTCAACTGATGATATGTACAAAAGGCGACCGTTGGTCCCAGCGATGACGCGTCGTGTTTGTCTGCCGTCTCTGGCGCCTCCTCCGCTGTTCTCCCCACCGCCGCGAGCGCCTCGTAAGTGGACCTATGTCACGACAGGATTTGAATCCTGACGCCTTCGTTAGCCACCACGCTTCCACTGCCAAGGCCACTGGCTCTGGTGTGGTCAACGCCGCCCCCGCTAGCAGCAGCGGAGCTGCTCAGGTTGTTGGTGCCGCGAGCTCCGGTGACGGTACCTCCGCAGGATTCTCCATGCACCAGCTTAACGCTCCTGTCATGATTCTCAGCGCACTCGCTGCGCTCGCCATCGCGTTTTAAAAGCGCGTAACAATATACCCCCAATTGACGCTTCGCGAAATGCCTGTTGTATCGTGCTTCATGGGGCTGGGTGTGCTATGGTTTTCTTGATCAGTTCTAGGTGGTCCGCTACGTGGATGCCCCCGTAGTTACGTTTACGCCCTATTCGGTCGCTGGCCGCTGGTTTCGGCTCGCGCTCATCTCGAGTCGTTGCAAGCCGGCCTGTTGCAGCGTGATCAAGCTGGATGTACCATGACATATACCTATGTATTGGCGATCTGGAATGATTATTATCTTCTATATATATACTTGTGCTCTCCACCGTCCCTGTCCCTCATGTGTTTGTTTGCGAATATATATCGAATCCAACTGTCGGTGTATCTTGCCTAACGCGTAATCGAGCGAACCGGTGACCGCCCGGGTGTGTGCCCGTCCCCCGACGACCCGACATCTTCAACTGAATCACGTTTGATTGCAGAACCATATGTTCAAAAGAATGGCCCTCCTATTCGCAGTAATAGCACACTGCCCGTCATGCCGCCATCCCACAGCACTCGAGTGGTGCTCGCAGAGCGTCCGACGGCGCAGGTAACACCTTCGACGTTCCGCCGGGAGGTCGTGCCGTTTGACTTCAAGGCGGGTCCTGGAGAGGTGGTCGTCAAGGTCGAATATGTCTCGATTGACCCGGCCATGCGAGGCTGGCTAAATGATCGGAGGAGCTACGTTGAACCCGTGAAGATTGGCGAGGTTATGCGGGCACTTGGACTGGGTGAGGTGGTTCAGGCCGGGGAGGGGAGCGGGCTCGTCCCGGGAGACCGCGTCACTGGAACGCTCGGTGAGTAGGCATGTATGCGTGCCATACTACACATGTGCTCAAACGAAGAGTCTTCTAGGATGGCAGGAGTATGTTGTGCTGGATAGCAAGGCGGTGCGGAAGGTAGAGTATGTCCGGAATGCGTCGTCCGGTATCACAACTTCGGCTGATGGTCTGCATCGCAGTGTGCCCCGCGGGGCGGAATTCCTGGACTTCCTGGGGCCGCTGAGCATGACTGGTATGCCATGCATTTATATTGCACCATGGAATAGCACTTATATGACGACCTAGGCTTCACCGCGTTTGTGGTATGTCAACGGTATCATACCATTACTCGCTGTTCTCACTGCCTCCTATGCGTAGGGCCTCCTGGACATTGGTCAACTTAAGGCGGGCGAGACCCTCGTCGTCTCCGGTGCAGCAGGTGCGACCGGTTCGATCGTCTGCCAAATCGGCAAGCAGAAGGGCGCGAAGGTCTACGCCATCGCGGGGTCGCCGGAGAAGTGCGCCTGGCTCGAGAAGGAGCTTGGCGTGGACAAGGCGCTGAACTACAAGAGCCCGACGTTCCGTGACGACTTTAAGAAGCACGTCGGGTACTTCGACGTGTTCTTCGATAACGTGGGCGGGGAGATCCTGGACTTCTCGCTGTCGAGGATGAAGAAGAACGCTCGGATTGTGTTCTGTGGTGAGTCGTGTTGGCGTCGCGCGAGCACTGAGCAATGCGGCTGACGTTCTGCGACCAGGCGCTATCTCAGATTATAGTGCGTTCATTTGTCTTACTTAGGCAGGGACTTTTTGACCGCGATGTTCGTGCAGACGGCAAGCCGAAGGGCCTAACAGGGTACCTCAACCTTATCTCACAGCGAGCAAGAATCGAGGGCTTCATTGTGTGCGTGTTTGTGTTAAATGTGCCCACAGAGAGGCTGACCGGCATGCTAGTTTCGACCACGCAGACCGCTTCCCAGCCGCATTGCAGTATTTCGGAGAGATGCTTGCAGAAGGCAGTCTGAAGCGCAAGTTCCATATTGTGGAGGGAGTCGAGAACGCACCTTCGGCGATGAACCTGCTGTTCACAGGTGGCAACACGGGAAAGCTGTCAGTCTCTTTAGTCTACCCCGTTCAAGTTGTCTGGAATACTAATCTCTGGACACAGTGTTGTGAAGATTGCGAAAGATTCGAAGGCGAAGCTCTGAGCCATGGAATACCCAGATTGCTTCGCCGAATATCATGTCTATATTGACCTATGAGTCTTCTCTTTAAGATATTCGCGGCGAACTGAAATACAATGCGTTTGAGCGTCGAATAGTGTGGGGACCGTGCTGTATGTGGGGAGCACCGTTATGTGCTTATAGCAACAGAGATTACAGTAATTGCTACTCCACACAACTGGACGGGAGAACCAACTCGCCGATAGCTGCACTCTCGAGTCTCGATGATCGTCCTCGACATCTGGGGCATCTGAAACACTACGTCATAGGTTGTGCCATCAGTGGATGTGTATTCTAAGTCCATCCCGCGTTGTAAGCTATCGTTACGTCCATGAATACAGCATAGAAGATAGCCTAGTGTGGCTGATAAGCGGGAGGCAGCGTGCTCTCGATCTCAGCGTCGAGCAGTCCCCCCGCGGCGTCTGTATTACATTTCGACCCATGCGTGTTCGTCGTTGTCGCTACGCCTCATCTCCTCCACGCCCTCTCTGCTGTCAATGACTTCTGTCTCCCAGAACGGCAGCACCAGCCCTCGCTGGGACAGTCGCAACCAGGGATTCATCTCGCCCTCTCAGCTCCAGCAATGGAAGCAACAGCACCAACAACAGGAGCGCGTGCACGATTTCTCTCCATCACCTCCTCCGGATAGGCAACCTCACCCAGAAACACGCCCCGCCGTGCTCAGGAAGAACTCTACAGCGCCGTCGAGCCCACCGTCAAACGCGAATCATGGCCACTCGCGGTCGTTCTCCGCGTTCTCCCTCTTCAAGGGCAGGCAATCTCAAGAGCACCCTCCAGCCGACGATGACCCCGTCAAGTCTCCCCGCAGCCCTCCGCCCGCATTTCATGAAAAGCCACCTACTCCTGATCCCGACGCCTCTGCGCCTCAACCTGCCGTGAACAAGGCCGCGCTCAACCGGCTGTCTACATCCGTTGATGCCCCTACACCCTCGCTACATCCAGAGATACGCTCGATCGTGCAGCTCACACTTGCTCACGCACACAAAATCTACTTCTCTGGCCCGCTCGTGAAGCGCGTGGAGCGGCAGCCGGATGGACACAAGCCAACCAGGGACGACGGTTGGCGAGATGTGTGGGCGCAATTGGGAGGGACGACTCTGAGCGTATGGGACATGAAGGCTATTGAGGAGGCGAGCAAACAGGGTAAGCAGGTACCTCCTACTTACATCAATGTGACCGATGCTGTGAGTCTTGTGGGTCTCATGTACATCGCATTTTCTAATGCACCATGTTACGCCCAAGTTTGTGAACGTGCTGGGATCTGTAACGATGCCCGCAACACCCAACGGACCTCCCACCAAATTTTCCAATGTCATAACTGTCAATACTGCGGGGTCCAACCTACTGTTGTTTGCGTGCCCCTCCCCACAAGTGCTAGTCTCGTGGGCATCTGCATTCCGGTTGTCCGCTTGGGAGAAGTCAAGGCTGGAGGAAATCTACACTGCCCATCTCGTGCGGATCTCTTTGAATGAAGGTAAGTTCTGTCGCCCAAGGCCTATATCGCTGGATCTTGACGCATATACAGGGAGAGATGCCCCGTCGCCACTTATCAACGGTAGGATGGAGGGCTGGGTGCGTATCCGCATCGCGGGTCAAGTTGATTGGAAGCGAATGTGGATGGTAGTGTCAGCAGGTGGGCACCCTTACGACGGATCGTCCACCTCTTCTGTCGACCACCGGCCAGGCTCTCCACATACTCCGCGTCGCAAGAAACGCATCTCGGACCTCTTCGCTACGAGAGAGCGTAGTCCACTGCGATCCGCCCCTCCCCCGAAGCCGACCCTTCATCTTGTAGCATCGCCCAAGCCGAAGGATCGGAAGCAGCCTCTGCTTACCCTAAGCGCCATTACGCAAGCGTTCGCAGTTTATCCTGAACGGCCTGAGCTCATTAGCCGGAGCACGCTCATGAAGCTGGAAGGCACGTTCGGGGAAGAGGACGTCGCGGGGAGCATGAAGTCGCGGGAAGGATGGCTTATGGTGCTGCCAGAGTTCGAGGGCCAAAACATTCGAGCGTCCGAGATGCTTAAATGGCTAATCGGTATGCGAATAGCTTGATCTGTTCCCGCCAGTTATTGACAGTGCTTCTGATAGCAATCCATGACACGTTCGAACTCTATGGCCGGCCGCGCCAGTATAGCTGGGACCCAAGAGATCCGCGCAGTATGATGTTCGCTTATCCAATAGGACCGCAGCGGGATGTGCGTGTGCGACGGTCGAGTGGTTCGCATGGGTCGCTGACTGTTTCTGGCAGATGCTATTCTTGGACCGTGAACTGGCGGAGACGCTTGATGTCCGGGACGAACATACATCGTCTATCCGTTCCCAATTGCAGAACATACTCGCCGATCGGATGCGTGGGCCGCAGGAACAGGGTTCTACTGGGGACAGACCGCCCGTGCTGCCCCCGCTCCCAGATGTCAGCTCGGAAGACCTCAACGCCGATGTGAGGCCAACCAGGGCGGAACCTCCTGAAGGCGCGATGCCACGCGAGGCGCTCAAGATGCAGCTGCCTCCGCTTGATTTCACGTCGTCTGAAGAGCCGCCGACAGTCCCTGAGAAGAGAGCATTGACACCTATCACAGAACGCAGCACGTCGCGTGATGCCAGTCGATCCCTTTCGACAGAGGAACCCCCGTCAAAACAGCCATCATCGCAAGTCAATTCCCCGCCCAGGATTCCAGAGGCAATAGAGGAAGACAACAGGATCTTAGGAGAGGACATCATGACAAGCCCCACGGGAGTGACATCCCTTCCACTTCCACCCATACCTGTGCAGGACCGAGGCCGGCGTAATCCGTCATTCGAGGTCTTCCGCCCTCCACCTAAGACTCAACGCCCGGAGCTTGACAGGCCTGCTTCGAAGTCTTCGCTGGGATACTCTGCTGGAGCCCCTCAGGCACCGAGCATGCATGCTCCCATATCTCCTCAACCCGAAGCGCGTCCTACTGTCACTGCTCAGGCGTCCCCACCACCTGCGATGGCTCCCACGACGCCTGCGGCACCTACATCCTCTGCTGACAGGCCGGCGTCGACTCGGTCCCCAGGACTTGCCTCGATCGCCTCTTACTCGTCAACGAGGCCCACATCGCCGCAAGTTCCGCCGAAGTCACCTCCCGCACCCTCTCGGGGCCCATCTTCCCCCACTATTACGCAGGTCCCTGTACCTTCGTCCAAGACGCTGCCGCAAGTTCCTCCCGCTTCCGCGAGAGCGTCACCCTCCGTTGTGATACCACAAGCATCTCCTGGCCAACCTCCCAGGCCCCCACCTTACAGTGCCTCAGACGACTTCTCGCACGCAGCGGGGGCTCTGCTGTATATGCAACAAATGCAACAGGAACCGGTGCAAGATACCCCAGGACAGTCCAATCTACCACGGTCTGTCAGCAAGCAAGACGACGACTACGACTCGCCATCGGAGTATAGCCAGTCATATACCTCTCACCAAACGAATACCGGCCCCATGGGCATCCGACATACTACCAGCCCACCCAGCTCGTTCGCTGAGCGTCCATCTACGACACGTCGCGACACCGCAAACTCGTCGACTTCGTCGCGGTCGAATTTCGCCGGCGCGCGCAACGAAGCGCCCGTGGCAATCACCGCGAGCCCAGCCAGATCTGGGATGGGACGTAAGCCTTCTGGCGCACGTGCTGCCCCTGCGAGCAAAATCCAATCGTCCAGGAACTCCTTCGCTCCAGACCAGACCCTGCAAGAACGCGACGACGACGAAGACAACATGGTCGACCTCCATGATGCCCCGCCCCAGGTCGCCAGAGCGCAGCAGGCCCTCGAAGACCCCGATGCTGATGCGCTGGCGGCGCTGACATTCCTCGAACAAGGCGAGGACGCGGACACGGACGTGTCGCAGCGAAGACCGTCCGCCCCTCCTTCGTCATCATCGACTTCTATCCCGCAGGTCGTCGAGCCCGCTTCCACTTCCACAAAGTCCTCTGCATCTCGCGAGTACAGATCCTCGTTCGCGCCGTCGAAGCAGGCCGCGGAACGCAAAGCCAAGGCACAAGCACAACAGGCTGCGCAGCACGCCGCTGTCAGTCGGCCCGGAAGGGTCAACGGTAGAGGAAGGGTGTCGAGTCGTGGCGCGTGGGCTGAGAGCAGCGATGAGGAGGACGAGGAAGAGGAGGAAGAGGACGAGGACGCGGATTCAGACGAGGAGCCGGCGCGGCGCATGGGTTCCGGCCAGCAGTCAGCAACGGGCTCTATTGCACTCAGCAACTCTGGTAGCACTGCCAATCTATCGGGCAGAGGTCCTTCCCCCGCAGCACCGGAGGCGAATGGCGGCTTGTATCCGCAGGTGCGCCGACCTCCGCGCGAGTTGCCTCAAGTGCCGGGTCCCGGACAGCCTTATCCTGGGATGCAGGGTACGTTCCCCAAAAAGCTTATATCATACTGTTCTCACGGCAGCGCAGGAGGCCCACAAGACGAATACCTCAGCCCACAACCGCGCAGGTTCATGTCAGATTCGTATACCGGCCGCCAGTCTATGGTGCCCGATCCTCCCCGTCAGGCTCCCTCCCCTCAGTCACATCTCCGGCCGATGACAGAGGCGCCTCAGCCAACGACACATCGGCAAACCATCTGGAGCCATGCCCTCGAGTCGCACAATGGTACCCCTCCTCCGTCGGGACCGAGCAGGGATACGTTTATCCAGATGGAACCACCCTCCGCAACCATGACCAAGGCATTTACTCCGCATGGCCTCCTTTCAGCGGGAATCCAGGACAAGCAGGACCGCTCCGCGAAAAGGCAAGAGGAGCTCGCAAGAGAGACCGGTGCATCACTCATCAATGTGCCGAACAAACCTCCGCCGCCGCAGACAGGGCTGCTTGGCGCCGTCACCGCGCACGAGCGAGAACGCAAGCGTGAGGGTGGCATTGGCGCTGCTCTCACTGAACGCGAGCGTGAGAAGCGACTGGCGGAGGAGCGGCAGCGCAAGCTGGACGAGTACCAACGACAGCAGCTCGAGCAGATGCAGCAAACCGGGTCGATGTACGGCGGCATGGGCATGCCAGGCTTCAACCCTATGATGGGCAACCCAATGATGATGGGGATGAACCCGATGATGACGGGCGGATGGGGTTACCCTGGGATGATGCCCGGCTTTGCCAGTCCCCAGCACATGATGGCTGCTCAGCAAGCCGCCATGCAAGCGTACCAGCAGGCGATGATGGCTTTCTCCACGGCGGGCTCGCAGATCGGTGGCGACGGCGGTCAGGCTCCTCTTAACCCGATGATGACCGGCGGGAGCATGATGGACCCACGCATGTCGATGATGGGCATGCCGATGATGAGCCCTAACATGGGCATGAACCCTGCGATGGGGATGGGCATGAACTCGCCGATGGGTGGACCAATGGGTGGGCCGATGGGTATGAATCCGGGGATGGGTATGAGCCCTGGTATGAGCCCTGGTATGTCGCCGGGCATGGGCATGGGCATGGGCTCGATGGGTATGGGACAGATGGGCATGCAGATGACGGGAGGCGGCATGTCGCCGCCTGCGTTCGAAGGTGGCATGCAACCCCTCAGCGAGAACAGCGGGAGCGGTCAGAACAGCTCTGTCGGTGAGCGAAGGTCACCCGCACCCCATGGTCAGGAGTCGTCAAGAGGAAGGACGGCCGCTCCCTCGCCGCTTCGGTGATGAGCGTGCCATGGACTGCGTCTTTGTGGTATCACGATTGGTCATGGACACCTAATTCTTATGCAAGGACAGCATCGCACGTACGCCTCTCGTTTAGTTTGCATTTGGTCTTACGTGGTTACATTATGTCTTCATTGATTGCTAGCGTTCGCTCTACTCCTCTGTTGGTCCGCTCTTTCCTCTGGATATCTACTCATATTTGTATGATTGGTCGTCTCGGTCGGATACGGAAAATCGAACTAATTGATGCTTGTGAATTGCTTGTGGACGTTGTTGTTGCAATCAAGGTGTGCGATCGTGGTCGCATAGGTGCACTGAAATCATGCAAAGAGTCGCCAACAGTACTATACGGGTGCATGCCTACGCTTTGTATATAGTACACATGATGATAACTTCTGTATCTATAATCCGCAACAGGCATACTAAGTACACATGCGACTCGAGAGTTGAGATACGCGCAACGCGTCGGTCACGAGATCGTGATTCATATCCCGGATCCGGCAGTCTGAGTTAGTCATTATTGTGGCTCAGATCCTTGTTCGCGACTTGACTAGCATCCACGACCACTAGACCGCGCATCTCTGAATAACTTATGAACATAGGACTCATATAAGCTCCCTGAACGGCCTCGAGTATCGCTTCTTTGCCAAGCATACCCCCGTTGAGCCCGCGACAAGATGGGTGTGAAGTCACTGTGGCAGCTTCTTGACCCAGTGGGCAGACCCGTGCTGTGAGTTGCTTAATTCACTGTGAGGTTTGCTATGGCTGAGGGGCACAAAGCTTAGAAACGATGGAAGGCAAAGCTATGGCAATAGATTCAAGTATATGGATCTACCAATTCCAGGCTACAATGCGGGACAAGGAAGGTCGTGGTCTGGTGAATGCACATGTCCTCGGTTTCCTTCGTCGAATCAGCAAGCTCTTGTTTTATGGCATTAAGCCTGTTTTTGTATTTGATGGTGGTGCGCCTGCTCTTAAACGAGTGACGATTGTGAGTGTTTACCTTCATCCTAGAGCAAAGTATTTGACCTATGTCCATTTTCTACCCGGTCAGTCCGAGCGTAAGAAGAAGAAGAGCGGCGCCGCAATGAGCCACGCAAAGGTCGCTGAGAGGTTGCTTGCGGCGCACATGAGACGGGAGGCTCTAAACCAAGTGAAGACGAAGAGGTGCGCAGGCTAGAGGCTTCGACCCGACTCGCATCTAACGCGTGTATGCAGTGGTGACACCTCAAAACGTAAAAACAAAGTTCCAGATGGTCCTGTAGTGATCGACGAGAACGCAGTCTACCTCGAGGACCTTGATGATCCTGTCCCTACCACGCCTGCTAAGAAGGTTCAGGCAAATACAACCTCTCCACCGTCCTCGAAGAAGAAATCAAGGTGGCATGACCATGATCCGTACAAGCTGCCATCAGTCAACATGGACGAAGCGGTCGCAAACGCCACACGGTCGACCGCGCCAGATCCTCGTCTTGCAACGGAAGACGAGCTGCGCGCGTTCATCGAAGAGATGCGGCCGGAGGACTTCGATGTAACATCGCCTACCTTTCGCGAGCTCCCTACTGAGGTGCAATACGAGATTATCGGTGACATGCGACTGCAATCGCGGCAGACATCATACAAGCGCTTGCAGAACATGTTGCGGAACGCCAAAACACCGCTTGACTTCTCAAAGGAACAAATCAAAAATCTGAAACACCGTAATTCCTTGACGCAGCAGCTTCTGACCACCACGGACAGTATTGGTAAAGCTCACGTCGAGATACCAATCAGGATTGCCAGCGAGCGGAACAAGGAGTACATTCTTGTCAAGAACGAGGGTGCGGAGGGCGGCTGGGTGCTCGGTATCCGTGACGAAGGCACACGGACGAAGCCGATCGAGATTGACCCTGTCAGCGACAAGGAAATCGAGGACGACGAGAGCGATGCTGACATGGAGGAAGTGCCTATGTCAGTAGATTGTATCCGTGCTGGCCTGCGGTCTCTCAGTCTCTGACTTCTTCAAATCTAGTTCCAGTACTTCAGATGTCGACCCAGACCTGAGAGAATACCGAAGGAACCAAGCTTTGTCTGCTTTAGCTGACAGGTATTCGCCGAAGAAGCTCGCTCCGCTAACCACTAGGACGCGGAGGAAACCCAAGAATACCCGGCTTCTGTTCGCACCTGAAGAAGACGACCTCCCTATGGATAGCCTCGCAGACCAAGGCGACGAGACTGCAGATCCGGAACTGGCAGCTGCCATACAGGAATCTCTCGAGGCTGAAGAGGAGGAAAGCCTTCGGCGAGCGATGGAGGCATCCAGGGCAGAGGCCAATGCTGCCGCCTCACGTATGAGTGAGAACGGCGCCTCGAGCTCGAGAGTCACTCTTGACGGCGAACATCCGAGAGCAAGTCGTATCCCTCCATACCTCGATGAGGACGACGACGATCTATATGCATCTCCATCGAGGCTCGAGACTGCTCTAGCAATAGCGGGTGCAGGGCCTTCCAGACGGCCTCTATCAGAGTCACGGAAAACGTCTGGGTCGTCGCATCCGCAGTCGTCGATATTCGGTACTCCCAGTCTGCTGTTGCCTGAGGCCAGCCGCACGTCTCTCGCGCCCCCGGTGGCTACTGCACCGTCAGTGGTACCGTCAGATTCCGAAGACGACATGGAGGAAGTATCGCTACCACCCCCTCTTCCGACAACGCCGCCAAAGACCACGAGGGTAGAGCGGAGACTAGTGGAGGAAAGAGCGACGCCATCGCCGCGCCCAGCACAGGAGTTTGATGGCATGTTTGTTGAAGATTCAGACGAAGACATGGAGGAGATATCGGTTTTGCCTCAGATCTCTGCATTGCCTGACCAGGTTAACGGTGCAACGTACGAACTGTCTCCTTCGCCCGTGCCAATCCCAGAGAACCTTCCATCCGACGATGCACAGGAAGTGCTGCCGTCCAGCAGTCATCAAAACTCGGAGCCGGAGCCGCGCGACACCGAGGATATGGCTTCTCTATCACCTGGGAAAGAATCTGCTCCTGCGAAAACTCTGCCTAAGGCTGACAACGCGGATGTCCCTAGAGCCAGTCCTTCGTCAGACTCCGAAGACGATGGAGCGGTTCCCTGGGATCGCCCGCCGTCACCGAAAGACGACTCATCTGGAAGCAAGCCAACGGCAGTTGCATCTACAGCCGATGGTTGGGACGCTGCAGACGAGATGGACCCCCACGCGGAAGAGGGCGAGTTCGCTCGGTTCATCTCCCAGGTGAAGGGGAAGGACATCGAGTCCGTCCGACGCGAGATCGACGACGAGATTAGGGAGCTCCACCAGCAGAGGAAGGCAGCGATGCGCGACTCAGAGGACATCACGCAGCAGATGATCTCGCAGATCATGGTGAGTGTCCTAGCCGGCCTACCGCTGGGTGAATCACAGCTAACGAGGGTCAGATCATGTTGCGCCTGTTCGGCATACCATACATAACCGCACCCATGGAAGCCGAAGCACAGTGCGCAGAGCTCGTTACGCTGGGTCTAGTGGACGGCATCATCACAGATGACTCCGACGTCTTCCTCTTTGGTGGCCTGCGTGTTCTGAAGAACATGTTCAACCAGTCCAAGACCGTAGAGTGTTTCCTGCTGAGCGATCTCGAGCGTGAGCTTGGGCTGGACCGCGACAAGCTCATTCGATTGGCGTACCTTCTGGGCAGCGACTATACGGATGGCCTCCCGGGCGTTGGGCCTGTGGTTGCCATGGAGCTGCTGAAGGAGTTCCCGGGACAGGACGGGCTGCATAAATTCAAGGACTGGTGGCAGAAGGTCCAAAGCGGGCAGGACACTGCTGGGGACACAGGCACTGCTTTCCGGAAACGATTTGTATGTTCCGTATTACCTTTGTCGTCCGGCTGTTTTCTCACATGCTGATACAGAAGAAACGTTTCAAAGAGCTCTTCATCCCGGATGACTGGCCCAACCCGGTAGTGGTGCGCATCTCGTTCCTTGCCTATTCACACCGTCTGACACATTCTCTAGCGGGACGCATACTACCATCCCACGGTCGACCAGTCAGAGGAGCCGTTCAAGTGGGGTCTCCCAGACTTGGATGCCCTGCGAGAGTACGTGTAGTCTTCAACCATCAGTAAACTATCCTGACACTGCACTCCAACAGCTTCTTCAATGCGGAACTCGGCTGGAGCCAGTCAAAGGTTGACGACCTGTTGTTGCCCATCATTCGCAAGATGGGCAAACGCGGACAAGTAGCTCTACACTTCCTGCTCCGCTCCGTTACAATGTCACTGACACATATCTTAGAGCAACACCAACAAACAGGGCAACCTCGCCGGCTTCTTCGACGTCCCAGTCGGAGGAGCAGCTCCGCGCAAACGTCAAGCCTACGCCAGCAAGCGCCTTCAGCAGGTCGTCTCTGATTTCAGGAAGGAGCGTGCACGAGCGCATTCAGCGGAGTCCTCCGGCACATCCTCTACTGGTGGCGAGCGGAAGTCTCAGTCCGATGACGAGTACAGCGAGGTCCCTGCGAAGAGGAGGAAGATCAACAAGGCTGGCAAAGCTGCTGGCAAGGAGCGCGCGGCGACTGGGGCAAAGACCGGTCGAGGAGGCAAGTCTACGCGCGGCGGTAAGGGCAAGCGCGCGGTGAGGAAGCGCAAGGCAAGCGAGGACTCGGAGAGCGAGGAGGATATCCCTCTTGCGAACATGCGTGCAGAGAGCGCGTCGCCTCCTCCGCTGGCGGTGAATTTGAGGCCGAGGCCTAAGCCTAAGCCTGCGTACAAGGGCGCCGTAGTTGCTATTGCTGCCGCATCCGGCGACGAGGGGAGTGCGTGAAGGTCCTAAACGTGCTCGTAGCATATTGTGCCCACCAGTAGTAGATTATTGTATATCTATTGTTCATGTCAGCAGTGTCACGTACTACTTGAGTGTCAGACACCGTCGAGTCAACCACGCATCTGGAACGACTGCTATGCCTGGAAGAGTCTCAAAATACTGACAGATTTAGGGAGGCTATTCACGGTGAAAGACAGCAGACCGGAAGGATCGTGCATGCGATGATTGATTATGCACTTCAAGGACCGACTCCCAACCATGTCGACATGCACTGGCAGCTGTGAGCGCGTACCTGTTTCGTGACCTACTTCTCGGACGGCTGATGATCTCATCCATGAGTGAACCTCGCGTGCGGTCGCAGAGCAGAAAACAGCTTCTTGCTTGTCACAAGTAACAGGCAACTCGTAATGTGTTCATTCCTCCTCCTCTATGGATTCCTCCCTTGCCTGTCACGCGAGTTAAGACTATGCTGGTGGTCCGTTTCCTTGGTAGCTCACCTTGTTGACCTCCAGACCTCCCAACTCGGTCACCAGGCCCGAGAAGGGATACTCCCGCGGAACTGCTGGCCTCGCGGGGACGAGAGTGTACTTGCAGAACACACCGAACGCAGCGATGCCGGAGAAGGCGATGATGAAGTGACGGAGCGCAGTCGATGGCGGGACTGTGGGTGCATCGGGACCCCACATGGAGAGAATCTCGTCTCGCTCATGGAGCTGTCAAGGCATCAGAGCCGTCTTCATCTTCTGAGCAGCCGCTGCACTCACAGGGTCCCCAAAGTTGCGGCGCATCTGCTTGTCATCCCATCCCAGCGCAGGCAGACGTTGGCGCGACACATAGGGCAGGTCGGGGTAGTCTCCGAGCTGGGGGTCATGCTCTGGCTTGAAGTTGACGGGGAGAGCGTACGAGCGCACTGCGTGGGCGCGGTTTGTGCGCAGGGCGGCGCGGATGCCGACCCTGCGGGCGGTGAGGATGGTCGAGCTCATTGCGGTGACGGACGACGCCCGCGGCCGGGAGTGGACTGTGGGCGGCAATTGGGGATTTCGTGCGATAAGGGGTTGTCGGGGGAAAAGGTTGCCGGCGGGATCGGGGCCGGGTTTGCTTCCGCGGGCGGCGATGAGAGAACAAGACTGGAACAAGACATGTTGCCATCGGGCGATCACAAAATGGCCCCAGAATCAATTACTCACGCGCTGCTATGACTGCCGACATAAGCGCGGGATTGATGAGCGGCGGACGTGACGAGCAATGTCCTTGCCCCTGTGCCTAACCGTTGCCTTGCCAGGTCTCTCTCTTCTGGCACATGCAGTCCACCACCTCCCTCGGGTCGTCCAAGAGCGGGGTCAGCAGGGACGTGCAAGATGAACTTATGAGCAAGGGCCGCAAGCGGCTGCGCGACATGGGTCGTGCTAAGAAGTGGTCGCTACCCTACCCGCTGGTTCCGACAGACGAGCAGCATGTCTTGTGCGTCACCGTACGCGATCCTCGTGCGCGTTGAACGCGTCTGAAACTTTCGGCAGTGATAACTGGAATTGCCTCTTCCTCGGCGGCCTGGTGCGCGCCGTCTCCATGCACCACTTTGACGAACCGCCCTCACGGGTACTCGAATTGGGCTGCGGCACTGGAGTCTGGGTGCTCGAGGCGTGCAAACTCTGGCCGGTAAGCGCGTTTCGAGGCTGCAGTCAGTTCACTCGCTCAGCGCGTCCATTTGTAGAAAGCGTCCTTCGTGGGCCTCGATATCATCAAGTGTCAGCCGGATCTGTCTTCGCCTGACTTTGAACGGACAGAGCTGGCACCCAGGGTGACATGGGTGAACGCCGATTTGTACGTCAGTCCGAGATCACTGTTCCCGCAACCTAATCACTTCTACAGCCTCGAACCTCTGCCGTTCAGAGACGGCCAATTTGATTTTGTTCGCATGTCACATATTGCCCTCGCCGTTCCAGAGGACGAATGGCAATACCTGTTCGATGTGAGTTCTTGTCAATTGATTGAGGGGTGCATAGGCTCAACGACAGTAGGAATGCGCGCGGATCCTAGAACCTGGCGGTATCATCGAGGTGCGCATCTCACTTCTTAATCACTTGTGCAGATCATCCAACTTCAGTCTTCAGATTGTTGAGGACGATCTCATCTTCCCTTGTGGGCGCGCACCTAAAAAAGCCAAAGATGAGCGTGCCAGCCATTCGACTGGATCTCCTAGTGTTCCTCCCAATGGCGCTTTCGGGAGCGTCTCAACCCTCAGCTTCGCGTCCAGCCCTTCCGTACAATCATCGATCCAATCATCCGAACACAAATACGTGTCTCGCACTTCAACACCTCCGCCGCCCTCTGCCATCACACACTCCTCCAGCATGGACTCAGCTAGTTCGCAGCCGCGGCAGGCCGACCAGTACACCCAGAAAGACCCTGATAAGAATGTCAACAAAAAGGACCACACGCGACTGATCAAGGCTTGGGACGCGATGCTGCACGGCCGGTTCCTCGCGCCGCAAGTGAGCTCCATCCTCCCGTTCTACCTCTCCACATCCTTCCGCGACATCCGGATGATGCCCTCGCTGCACATCCTGCTCCCGCCGAGCACGGAGCAGCTGAACAGCAGCAAAGAGTCGTTCGACCTGCCTGGCCAGGGAAAGGAGTCGCCGGAGGACCTAGCAGAGCTTTATTTGAGCTTGCAGTTGCATGGCAACAGGCTCTCGGTGGACCGCACCGCGGGCGCATCCAAGGCCCCGAAGCAGCCGTGGAAACACGCGACGATCGCGTCGTGGGCATCCATCCATCTTGCGCGGTGTCTCAATACCATTCGAGCTTGCAAGGACGCGATGTGGGACGCATATGTCGAGGGCCGGGGATTCGGGGCGCGGCCGGAGGCGGATGAGGGCCATCTGCGGGATGACTTCGAGACGGCGTGGAACAACTGGGAGGCGTGAGCTCCGGTGTTCATCTGTACATCGATGCTCTGACTAACCTGAGGGCTCACAGCGACATGAAGGATCGCATGTGCATGCGGGCGAAGCTTCACGAGGCCTTGGCATGGGTAGAGCCTGGGACCAGCGAGCAGCCAAATTGGAAGGTCTGGCGCGAGCGCGCGAATGAGATGGAGATAATGGAGTTTTCAGATCCCTTCGGGTACTACATCTCTCCAGAAAACCTTTGCAGGAGTATCAAAGGGTTTGTCGGATACAAGCCGAAGGCCTGACGCCAATTGTCGCCCTTTCGTAGACGGACCACCTTCGCCTTTAGTTCACATCTATGCCTATGAAACTACGATCTATTATTACGATATGTATATAGCTATATTCGATTGCTGCCCAAAATTACAAGACTAGTGCGCAGATATCCTTTGAGACGGTGGGCCAGCTCTGGTTTGTCCTGGCATGACGCGCCCGGTACGCGTCAACGGTGCATGAGCGCACGTGACCCTGTATTTTCGCGTCCCTCGAGCTCATCGGGACGGTCGATCGCATCCATAATTCCACCAACCTCATACTCGTCCCCGTCCATCCTCTGTGTATAAAGTACCATGTCTGAGGAAGTCAAGCCCACAGAGGAGAAGCCCCCAAGCACCGCCGCGGCGGACTTCACGAAATACAAGGTGCAGCCCTGCCGATGTCTTCTGCTTGACGCGCGCCCGGATGAGTACCTGACGAGTAAAACGAACATCGCGTAGACTGCAGCGGATATCACCAATGCTGTCATAAGAAAGCTCGTCGCCGCGTGTGTAGAAGGCGCGAAAGTGTTGGATCTCTGCATTGAGGGCGACAGGCTCCTCGAGGAGGGCACTGGCGCCGTGTACAACAAGCCCGTCAAGGGTGTGAAAGTTAGCAAGGGTGCGTATCATTCTCCTCAACGCCCAATGAATCGGGTTCGATGTTGGATCCTCAGGCATCGCGTTCCCAACAAGTATTTCTGTCAACAATGCCGTCGCACACTTCTCTCCCCTTCCCTCCGACCCCGCATCCTCCCAAACTCTCGCCAAGGGTGACGTCGTCAAGGTCCACATCGGCGCGCACATCGATGGCTACGCAGCTGTGACTGCGGAAACACTGGTCGTCGGCGCATCTGAGAACGAGCCCGTCACTGGCCGGCGCGCGGACGTGCTCAAGGCGGCATGGACCGCCGCGGAGGCGGTGATGCGCCTGGTCAAGGTCGGCAACAAGAACTGGGCTGTTACGGATGCCGTTGCGAAGATCGCGAGCGCGTTTGACTGCAAGCCTGTCGAGGGTGTGTGCAGTCGTTGCCTGTTCGGGAGGTCTGAGTTGATGGGCAAATGCAGGCATGCTTTCGTGCGAGCAGTCGCAGAATTCCATCGATGGGAAGAGGCGTATCATCCTCAACCCCAGTGAGGAACAGAAGAAAGGTTTCGAAACCGTCACGTTCGCGGAGAATGATGTCTGGGGTGTCGACATCCTAATCTCGTCCGGAGAGGACGGAAAGGTGAGATCTACGCGAGCATACCGATCGCCCGTTCATGTCTCACATCGATCGGTCGGGTACTAGGCGCGTTTGGAGGAGTCTAAGACGACGATTTACCAGAAAGAGTCGACGGTCACGTATCAGCTGAAGATGAAGACCTCGCGTGCGGTGTTCTCTGAGGTGCAAAAGAAGGCGGGAGCCTTCCCCTTCAACGTCCGTGTCTTGGAGGACGAGAAGCGGGCGCGGCTCGGTTTGCAGGAGGCCGTGCAGCACGGACTCGTCAAGCCTTACGAGGTGATGTGAGTGCACTCGCGTAAATCGCTTCTCGATTGGATCTGATCGGCATACATCGCCCAGCTACACGCCCTCGAACACGTTCGTCGCGGGCTTCCACTTCACGATCGCATTGCTTCCTGCCGGCCCCGCCCTGGTCACGCATCCGCCGGTGTGGTACAAGGCGGACCTCGTCAAGACGGAAAAGGAGCTCGAGGATGCGGAGTTGAAGGAACTGCTGACGCAGCCGCTGCGGGAGGACAAGAAGTCTAAGAAGAAGAAGGCGAAGGAGGGTGCGGAGGAGAAGTAAAGGCTGTAGTCAGTTACAATGTATAACGACGCAATGTATCGCTAGTGTAGCGCTTACGATGTCAATCTCTTGCCGCGAAGAATGTATACTTGAGCTCTATGCTGCTGTACCCTTTTCTGCGTCCTCGCCGAACTCGGCGAGAGTTCGGATGACGAGATCGACGTTTTCGAGGAACGCATTGACTGTCAACCTGCTGAGCCTGACGGTCAACGTCTTGAAGGTTCTGGTGCGGTAAGTCAGATCACCAGATGCGGAAGGATCTTTCGGATACTTACGCAATGAGAATGTCGTTCTCGACCGACAACTCTCGTAGAACTGCTTGAGGTTGCAGCTCTCTGTCTACTTCAATGACTTGCTTCGCTATGGATGCATGCTTTTCCGATTCAAATGGGATGCGGATCGTACTGCATGTCTGTCAGAACGAATGTTAGGCACAGGAGCGATGATTCTTTACATCGTATGCCATGACGGGTTCGAGGAGGACATATCGAAAGCTTGAAATCCCTAGCTATTAGTAGAGCCTGCAGATGTAGTTTCAAGCTTTCGATAGCGGCAGGGAAAGTGTGGCTGAGTCTGAGATCTCTGCACCCGATGTGATCTCGCCACAATATTGATGGCGACTTACGGGCGCTTGCATAACGGCTTGAACGTTCCCGTCATGGTGGCCTGCGACTATCTCGCCTGACTTCACGGTTGTGCACCATCGTCCGCGACAATGCTGCGAAGCATCTTTTCTCAGAGCCTGCGACACCGGATAGCTAGCTCGAAAGCCTCTCTCGACCCGATACTCTTGCGATTGTCGATATTACCTGGCGTCACACCGTTGAAGTGGATCCAACTGCATGCGCAAGTTCCTGCAGTGTTCGCCTGTCTTTGTTTTCATTGAAAACGGCCACGGCTAAGAATTTAGGAACTTTGTAGAATTGGTGACGGCGCCGAACGAGACAAGTTATATCGTTGATATGCATATGCGGGTGTAAGTAGCTCGGTCGACGGTATCACCGCTTATGACACTCCATTCTCCAGTAAGTCCGATACTTGTGCTTGGAGTATGGGCAATGCTTCACCACTCTACCCATTGCAGGTGATGGGCCGGGGGCTGTAAGGGGGTTCTCGACCTTCGTCGCACGTTAACAGCTGCATTCGATACCATAGGCGTCACCCAGAGATAAGTGCCGACAATCCCGTCGCAGATACGGACCCTTCGCTTTCATAGCGCTTACCTTTAATTGAGTGAAGCTGTCAAAATGTTCCTTGGATGCACGTAATCTGATGAGTCTCCACTGTGCTCCTGCGCAATTCAGTCCCGATCAGAAAGTCCCTGTGCTGTCCACGTCCTTGGCGTATGTTCTCTGTCAACCGCTTCACTTGTAGTCGACAACGTTGGACCAAAGCCAATCGGTCGATTCATGTAAGTTTCGGTATGGCGATCATGGTTGTGTTAAATCAACGAGCTAAATATCGTAGGCCCGGAACGTATGTTCAGATACGTTGCAGACACTACGTGCTATGGTCATCTGCGCTCGTCTGTAGTCGTGCTGCGTGGCTTTGGAAGCAAACACAGCCCCCGTAGCCCCTGGCTGCTCCATGCTAGTATGAACAAGGAACCTCACACCACCTCACACCGCTCTTAATCACCGCTGGGCCAGGTTTGAGGATTCGTCAGGCACTTCATGTCGTTGTTGATCTTACAGGTGTCGCAGAGCCCCTCTTTGCTTCTTACAACCATCTGCGGCAACTTTCCCACGGTCTAAGCCTCATAGGGGGGGCATACAGACGTGCGGACAGCTTTAGTGGAGATCTAAAAAGAACTCCATTCTATACATAGAGACTCTGAGGCAACCTTAGAGTCAAGATGTCTAACCCCGGGAAGGGGAATGGGACGTCGAAGACTGCTAGAGCGACAGCGTCACCGACGACCGCCAGGGCGCCTAGCGCCCGACCGACCAGCACAGCCGTGAAAGCAGGGAAGACGACGGAGAACCAGGACGCGAGAGGGCGGACAGACACGCTAGCGAAGGCGTATGAAGTGCTGAGACGATACACCCTCATCCCAGAGGGCGATCCGAGCATTGACGCGCTGGTCAGCGGTCTACTGTTCTGTGCAGAACTCACGACCCAGGCCCAACTGCGCGACTCCCTGTACGCATTCGCCACCTACGCTACTGCTATCCGCGACAGCGATGCCCTCGCCAAAGGATTCGACAAGCTCAAGCCGATCCTGGACGACGCGTTCAAGGCGGAGGAGAGGCTCGAGGAGCTCACGGACAAGCAAGTGCACCTCGAAGCCCAGGTAGATGGCGCACTTGGTCGACTCAGCACGGAGGTGAGTAAGCTAGTCGAGAATCAGGGAAAGTTTGCGCGGGAGCTGGAGGCAGTGGGGGAGGTCCGAAAGTCTATGGAGGAGACACTGCGTAAGACGCAGGAGATGGTGGATACACTGCCCAAGGCAGTCGAACAGGGCGGGGCAGCCTTCGGTGCGGCGAATGGCCCCACTGTAGTTGAGGTTGGGGGACGACCCTCTTATGCAGCGGTCGTCCACCACCAGCTGCCTATCTCGCACGCGTCGACCTTGACGCGCCAGGCGAATCACGCCCGCCAGGTTATGATTGACGTGAAGAAGTGGAAGTCTCGGGAGGAGATCGACCTGACCGAAGAGGTTCTCGTCGCGAAAGCGAACCAGACCATGGAACTGATAGCGGACGACACGGTGGGGCAGCCCGCGGATGCGAGCTTTCTTTCCGTGAGGAAGCAGCACCACGGTGGGCTGCTCTACGAGGTGAACTCAGTCGAGACGATGAAATGGCTCATGGAGCAAGCGAACATGGATGCGTTCGTGCGCTCGTTCGGGGCTGAGGCGCAGATACGGGTACGCCCGTGGAAGCTTACCTTCCCCAACGTCCCCGTGATGTTCACGCCATGCGAGAAAGAATACCGCGCGCTGGAACGAGAGAATGGTTGGACTGATCGCGCGGTAATGGTCGCTCACTGGATCAAACCTCTGGACAAGCGAAAGCCTAACCAAAGGACTGCGTTCCTACTGATTCAATTCCGCACGGATGAGGCTGCTAATGCAGCCATCCGCGACGGGATGCTGTACATGGGTCGTAGGATCAAACCAGACCGCCGCAAGAGGGAGGTCCGACGCTGCCTGAAGTGCCAGCACTTCGAGCCGGCTCACCTCGCGGCAGCCTGCAAAGGCGAGGACACCTGCGGGACTTGCGGTTCCAAGGAACACAAGACCCAGGCCTGTTACGTCCCAGAGGGACCCGAGCGCTTCTGTGTCAACTGCAATGAGCACGGCCACGCGTCGTGGGAACGCGAATGCCCGACGTTCCCCCGGGAGGGCTCGACTTCGTCGATGCCCTGCGCAGACCTCCTCGTGGTCCCGGGGGGTTAGTAGTCCTTCGGGACGAAGCTAACATGCGCTATAAGGGATACGCGTCCTCACGGTCGCCGCCCCTGGATGATTTAGTCTTCTACAAAGACTCATCCGACCCTGCAAAGGGATGGAGGCAACTCCAGACTCACAAGTCAATCCCATGTGTGCCTCACGGCCCATGGTATGATAACGAACACTGGTAGACACGCCTTTCGGCTGCATCTACGACCAACCATCCCCCACAATGAAATGGGTGACGACGGGCAGGGTGGCAAAAATTACAATCTAACTGCATCCTCTCCTCACGGATCCCTATAAAGCGAGCACCCACCTAACTCCAATTAAAGTACCCGCCACCCTCCGGTTGAGGAGATTGACTATGCCCCTGTCGAGCATCCTCTCAGCGACCAGCGACCCGACGACCTCCCCGCAACTGGCGCCTAAGTGATGTCAACGGCGTCTATATTTTAAAGTTACAGCCACTGATCAGTGACTGTAACAGTCCATCCCGGACAATCCCGTTTCACCAGTTTCCTATCCGGGAAGGCTCCCATATCCAGCGAGACGCGACACACACAGGTTGCCATGCTCCATTGAGCATGGCCAGAACATGTTATAAAACGCTGTCCCCCTCGCCCCGGCCACGGGTGAGGGGCCCCAAACATACTATGTGTGAACTATGTGTGTTCCCTGACGTAAAAGAGAGAACGTCCGTGCAAGGAATGACCTGTCAGAGAAAGCGCTTGAGGATACGTAAAGACCGTCTAAAGCGCTCAGACTTTCGTTAAATTCAGGAGGTCTGAGTGAAAGGAAAGCGCTCACCGAAGGAGCCCCACAAGCCCGAGACACACCAGTCGCCCCGGCCTGACATGCCTGCAGAGCGTAAAAAACGTTCAAAACGAGCCGCCGCCGAATCGTCCACACCGACGACCACCAGGAGCATTGCCGCGAAAATGCGACAACCATATCCCCTGCCACCCTTTTCCCTCCCTCCTACAAACGAAACGACAATCGACGTTAGGATCCTCCCCCTCCCCATCGTCGGAAAAGGCATTGGACGTGGACTCACCTGGACGCTGGACAAACGCCCGGCGGAGCAGCTCAGAAAGGGAATGAGCGTCAGATTCTGCACTGATGTCCAGATGTCCGGTTTAGGACGTCTCTCTGCGATCGCAGATCTCCGCAGACACTGGGTCACGTTCCTGGTGTCGGGAGCCGATCAGCCGTGCAACCTGCGCGTGCCAATCCCATGGGCGTCCCTCGGGGACCTGGAGGGATACACCCACCAGCATCACTACTTCAACCTCGCGAAACTCCCTCCTCCTCACCCCTCCTTCGCACAACGCCCTGCTTTCCAGAACGAGGATGAAAATCCCTATGAATTCGACATAGAGGACGAGGAGATCCCCTCCCTATCGAATAGAATCGCCAACATCACCAATGCGCAGGAGGGTAAATGAGCGGGAGATCCCGCGCGCAGACGAAGCCTGGCATGTATGTAAAGCAGTCACACGAATGACAGAATCGAGCTATTTACAGTCTGGATCAGGTCAGGTCCCGGCGTGACGGGCGCTGGGAAGTGCTCATGGCAGCGGTGTCTCACGCCGTCATCTCCTTTCCAGGTAATCGCCCGCACTGTCTCCGTAAATCGGTCCTGCCACAACGCTAAGCGAACCAAAATGCCGAGGCGGGCGCTCGGCCCATTGACATCCCCCCCTCACGCACGGCGGTGTCGTCGTCGGGATTAGCCCTACACAAACGATACTGGATGGACTCGAGCTAGCAACCTCCGCGAAGTGCACACAAAACGCAACACGCCGCTAGCATGCCTAAACGAATGGGAGACGTCTGGGCAGCGAAGGTATGGCGGTAACCTATCCAAGGAATCTACCGCTCCTCATCGCGACGACAGCCCCTCCTCTTAGCGCCATTACAGCACGGCGCGACCCTGCACATCCCGTAACATCCTGTGCCCTCGGCAAACCTTAGGGACTAGCTGCTCTGGTCGGGCGCGAGACAGCTGAAAAATCCCGCACCGCGAACAAAACGAGCAAGCGCACGCTCGATCCCGCCCAAACCTCTCGCCCAATTTCCTCCCAGAATTCTTCGAATTCCTCCTGCTTCAGCAATGCACCCTAGCGCCTTCCAAGTCTCCCCGCAGTCCAACGCGAACGAGCAGCCGGTGGCCGCCCCGACTCAGCAATCGCGCCAGGACCTAGAGCCGATCAATAATAACCCAGCGACGAACGCACCAGCCGCTAACACCGTCATGGGCCCCGAGGCCAATCGCGCCTCTCCTACCCTGGACGACCCCAGGAGCTTTGCGGACGTCACTGCGGGGCGCCCGGCCACGCCACTTCCTATGGTGACCAACGGTATGCCTCTCACTCCAAGGCTTAGGCCGATCCCTGACCTGGGCCCTGTCCCTTTCCTCGACCTCGCAGCCCCAAGCGAAGATGCCAACTCGGAGCAACACCCCCTCGTTCAAGGGGTGCTGCCGGTCATCGACGAGTACCCGCCCCTGGTCCTCGTACCTGAAACCCCGACGCCGGCCACCGAGGCGTCCAAAACGAAGAAGGCGTCCAATAAGCGGGCTAAGGGCAAGCACCAAAAAGCCGCGGACACTGACAAAGGCCCCCTGCCGATGCCGGTGCCCTCGACGCCGCTCCTGCCCCAGGAGAAGTCAGCGGGCGACGGGCGCAGACGCCGCCGAACGCAAGCAAAGCGTGTCGAAGAAAGTGACGCGCCCCTCCAGCATCAGCCCTCCACCAGCAATGTGTCGTCCTCGAACGCGCCCCCCACTCCCGCCGTCGCATCCCCCAGCGCCAACGGCACCCCTACGATCGCCTCGATCGCGGCGAGTCAAGTGTACAGCCCTGCCCCCGAGACGACCCGCAACGCGCCCAACAACCCCATACGATCCGTGCGCGACCTTGTCAACCAACCGCCGCACCCCCTCCACCCTTTCGCCGAGTGGGACTCGGTGAACGGCGGCTTCGTATGGAACCCGCCGCCAATGACTGCTGACCCTCTCTGGCGTCCGGAAGCGGTTCAACGTGGAGCTGAAGCTTCAGCCCCCAGCGACTCCCAAAACAGCTACTACGCTGCATCCTTTGATGAGATGATCAGGAGTTACGCGAGCCCGCCCCCGGGTCTGTCCACACTCTCCCCTGCGCCGCGTCCTTTGAGGGAGGTCATCGCTGCCGAGCAGACTCGAGTCCACTCCCCCCTAGCCCCCAGCATGAGCGTCAGTAGCCTGCAAAAGCTGTTGGAGCATACAATCTGTACGTCCGCCCGGCTTCGGCTTTACTATACCATTTCGACTTCTTTTATCACGGACTCTTACGGTACCGCCATCCCGCCGTCCCGCCGTTCTTCTGTTGACCCGCCATCGCGTTATCATCTGACTTACCATTTACGGTATTACTCTCGTTCCTGTCCCTGTCCCGTCTGCCAGATATACCGCGCTGCTTTCGTTCGGTCACCCTCAGTCTTGCTCTACGAGCGTGCACTGAGGGTGAGTACACGTTTATTTTCCGTGCCCGCATACCATAGCTCACATACACGTTAGCCTGTGATCGTCGCTACTAGGTATGCTATAATACATCAGTCTTGCTCTACGAGCGTGCACTGAGGCCTGTGATCGTCGCTACTAGCCGACCACCCGCACGCTCGCGCTGCTGCGTGTTTCATTAGGTTATGAGCCCTGCGCTGTAGCCTACAAGACTCACCAATCGCCCGCATCGCCTATCACTTGCCGTCTAGCCCAACGCCGCCGCTATGACAACCTCGCTCGCTGATTTCAGCTCGGCCTTCGAGAAGCTCGATTCGACTGGGAAGAACTGGTTGACCTTCCAGCAACGTTTTGAGATCGCAGTCCGCCAGAAGAAGGTCTGGGGACACTTTGATGGGACGTTGACCGTTCCAACGCCCGCCGCTGCGACCGCGCCTACGCAGGCCGAACAAGCTGCGATCGATGCCTGGCAAGAGAAGGAAGATTTAGCTCGGTATCTCCTAACGCAGAAACTTCCCGATATCACCTTCACAAAACATCGCCGCAAGGGAACTGCAGCTGCCATCTGGGCAGCCATCGTCCAGGAGTTCTCCCAGAAGTCGATGATCCTTCGCGCACGCTACCGGACCGAGTTCCTCAATATGCGAGCCACGCCGGGCGCGAACCTCCACTCCGAGCTCGACCGTCTCCGTGTGAAGTACGAGGAACTGTTGAACATGGACATCGCAGTCGCCGCCGCCGAGTATGCATCCCTCGTGATCAACTTCTTACCCGAGGAGTTGGCGAGTTTCGTCTCGCAGATCTCGGCCACTGCGAAGCTGGCGCGTCGTTTCCAGAGCATGAACATCGCGCCGCTGATGGCGGATGTGGACGCAGCTACCGAGGAGGCCCCTGTTCTGGATGCGGATGCCTTGATGGAGATAGCACTGGAGGAATGGGACCGTCGCCATGCGTCGAAGGCGAAGGTGGCGAAGGCGAAGGACACAGGAGTTGCGGCGAGTGTCATCTCGACAGAGAAGCCGAAAGGGCGAGGACGTCGTGGACCGCAGAGACCAGTTGGAGTGTGCTGGAACTGTGGAGGGAAGGGCCACCGTCAGGACCAGTGCCCAAGCCCGAAGCAGAACGAGGATGGCAAGGCGAAGGATGGAGCTCAGGCTGCCGCGTCAAAGAACGATGCTAAGTCGCAGACCAACACATCGAAGTCGAAGTTGGGCGGCGCAAACGTTGCCACGCCCGCTGCCAACACCGCTGCTTCGCTCGATGAGATCGCCGGCGCCTGGACCGTCTTTGCAGCTCCTGTCGACTACTCCTCGGAGGACGACTCGCCTCCCGATCTATTCGAGGACACGCGCTCCGACATCACCGCACTTACGGAAGTATCCGACACGAACTCTGGTTCGATGCCGTCGCTCCAGACGGTGTCGACCTCGTCTGACTCTGGTGACGAAGACCTACCTGCGTCTACGCAAGTCCCTGCTCCCTTTGCTGACCGTGTCACTGCTGTCGAAAACTGGGTCGACGATCTTCTCGTGAGCACCGATGCCGAGCCGGAAGGAGTCACTGTTGCGACATGGATGCGCGCTGTGGAGCAGGAGGAAGCTCGTCTGCGAGAGCTGTGGTCTCTGGAGGATCAGGTTGACGAACCTGGTGATACCAACACTGTGTACAGTACCGCTGCTCCCGCTGCCTCCGCCGCTGCGCTCGTCGCGACCGAATCGAACCGCGTTGACTTGTATGATTCCGGTGCGAGCGATCATATGTCGCCCTATCGCGACGCCTTCCTTACCTTTCGCGAGACTGTGCCTCGCTCGCTGAACGCCGCGAACCAGCAGATGTTTCAGGCCACTGGGGTCGGAGACATGGTTGTGAACATACCGAATGGTTCTGCCCGCACGCAGATCCGCCTTACTCGGGTCCTCTATACGCCCGCGCTGGGATTCAACCTCATCTCCATTGGCCGCATCGACGATGCAGGTTACTCGACAACTTTCGCAGGAGGGAAGTGTGTCATTGCTGACCACGACGGGCAAACAATCGGCACGATTGCGAAGACGCGTGGTCTGTACCTTGTTACGCAGACACACACCATCCACGGATCCGCCAACGCTGCTGCTAAGGCCGAGAAGCTCACCCTTATGGACCTCCACCGCCGCCTAGGTCACATCGCGCCGCGCGCGATACGGGAGCTCGTCTCAAAGGGCCGGATCGCCGGCGTAATCTTGGTGCCTGCCGATGAAGTCGAGACCTGTGAGGCATGCATACGCGCGAAGTCGACGCGCAAGCCGGTCCCGACTGAGCGCGAAGGAGATCGCGCTGAGGAGCTCGGCGAAGAGATCCATTCTGATCTATGGGGTGCTGCGCGAGTCATTACCCTAGGAGGACGCAAATACTATGTCAGCTTCACAGACGACGCCACCCGCTGGACCTTGCTGTACCTCCTACGCCTGAAGAGCGAGGTTTTCGAGGCTTTCAAGGCTTTCGAGGCGTGGTTGGAAGTCCACCATGGCAAGCGCATCGGCGCGTTGAACACCGATCGCGGTGGCGAGTACCTCAGCGAAGCCTTTAAGGCCCACCTCAACGAACGCGGCATCGTTGCGAAGCTTTCCGTGCACGACACGCACGAGGAAGCAGGCGTGTCGGAACGCCTCAACCGCACGCTGATGGAAAAAGTCCGCGCGATGTTAATCACGTCTGGACTGCCGACGTTCCTGTGGGGTGAAGCGGTCATGCACGCGGTCTGGCTGAAGAACCGCACCTCGACGAAAGCTCTCGACGGACGCACCCCATATGAAGCCTTGCACGGGCGTCCACCTGTGCTTACAGGCCTACCAGTCTGGGGAAGTCGTGTGTGGGTGCATGATACGTCCACCGGGAAGGTTGGCGAACGTGCCAAGCCGGCAAACTGGGTCGGGTATGACGCGCAGAGCAAGGGCCACCGGGTCTACTGGCCAGATGCGCGCCGGATAACCGTCGAGCGCAACGTGCGTTTTGTGGAGGACCAGCTTCCACCTGCCGAGGACGACGCTGAGCTTGAGGGGGAGGATGTGCCAGATGACAAGCTCGAGTCGACCGTTGACAAGCTCGAGGAGTCAGCGTCTGACGGTGCTAGTGAGCACGAGGACGTACCTGATGAACCGCACACGCCGCCCATGCCGCCGCAGTCGAGCAACCCATCGCCGCCGCCTACGCCGCGTATCTCGCGCGTTCGAAAGCCGTCGCAGAAGGTTAGTGACATCCTCGCGGGCAGAGGAGCGGACAAGAACGTACCGCGTGGCGTGCAAGTTCCAAAGGAGGACGCTCCAACGGAATCCGACCTCGTTGAAGAGGTGTCCGGTGCCGCCATGGCTGCGTACATCGCCGACGTCGAGGGCCTAGACCCGCGCTCACTGGAGGAAGCCAAGCGCAGGCCTGAGTGGCCGCGCTGGAAGGAGGCGATGGAGGAGGAGCTCCGTGCACTGGAATCGCACGGTACGTGGCGCCTGGAGCAGCCGCCAGCTGGTGCAAATGTCGTTAGCTGCAGGTGGGTGTTCCACGCGAAGAAGGACGCGTCTGGGAACATCAACCGTTATCGTGCACGCCTTGTCGCGCGTGGGTTCTCGCAGGTCCCCGGCGTTGATTTCTTCGACACATACGCACCAGTGGCGAAGATGGCTTCCATCCGCACTATCCTCGCTCTCGCCGCGCGCTACGACCTCGATGTCCACCAGGTCGACATCAAAAGCGCGTATCTAAATGGTGAATTTGAGCAGGATGAGGTGATCTACATGGCACTGCCACCGGGAGTGGAACTCACCAAGGATAGGTCACTCGCTCTCCGTCTACTGCGTCCGCTATACGGTCTTCGCCAGAGTGCGCGCCACTGGCACAAGAAGCTGCGCGCTGTGCTACAGAAGCGCCTTCGCATGACGCCGTGCGATGTGGACCAGGCGGTATTCTTCCGCGCCGAGAATGGCAAGTTAATTGTCATGGGTGTACACGTTGACGACCTGACTATCGCCACGTCAACCGGTCTCATGGACGAGGTGAAGGCGAACTTACGAAAAGATTTCGAAATCACCGATGAGGGCGCTATCCACTGGATCTTAGGCTTTGCAGTCGAGCGCGATCGTGAAGCGCGCACCCTCTCGCTCTCGCAGCTCTCGTACATCGAGTCAATCCTTCGCCGCTTCAACCTCGAGGACACCCGCCCTGTCTCGACGCCGATGGACCCGCACGTCCAGCTCTCCGCCACACAATCGCCGCAGACTGCTGCAGAAGCCGCCGAAATGCGGAACGTTCCTTACCGAGAGGCCGTAGGATCGCTCATGTACGCGTCGCTAGGCACGCGACCGGACATCACGTACGCCGTCTCGATCCTCGCTCGTTTCTCACAGAACCCGGGACGTGCGCACTGGGAGGCTGTCAAGCGCGTCTTCAGGTATCTTGCCGGGACGAAGCATTTGAAGCTTACCTATGGCGCAGACTCATACGACCTCGTCGGCTACACAGACGCGGATGGCTCCATGCACGAGGATCGTAAGGCCATTTCGGGCTACGCGTTCTTGATCGATGGAGGCGCTGTTTCGTGGTCGTCCAAGCGGCAAGAAATCATCTCACTCTCGACGACCGAATCCGAGTACGTTGCCATTACTCACGCCTCGAAGGAAGCTCTGTGGCTTCGCTCCCTCATTAGCCAGATCTTCACGCCATTCACCGAACCAGTCCCACTCAAATCCGACAACCTCGGAGCGATCGCGCTCACGCAGGATCACCAATACCACGCGCGCACCAAGCACATCGACATTCGTTTCCACTTCATTCGTTGGATCATTGAAGACAAGAAGCTGAAGCTTATCTACTGCCCTACGGACGACATGGTTGCCGACGTTCTTACCAAGGCCCTCGCGAGTCCGAAAGTCAAACATTTCGCCGTCGCGCTCGGGCTGTCCTAGGATTGAGGGGGAGTGTTGGAGCATACAATCTGTACGTCCGCCCGGCTTCGGCTTTACTATACCATTTCGACTTCTTTTATCACGGACTCTTACGGTACCGCCATCCCGCCGTCCCGCCGTTCTTCTGTTGACCCGCCATCGCGTTATCATCTGACTTACCATTTACGGTATTACTCTCGTTCCTGTCCCTGTCCCGTCTGCCAGATATACCGCGCTGCTTTCGTTCGGTCACCCTCAGTCTTGCTCTACGAGCGTGCACTGAGGGTGAGTACACGTTTATTTTCCGTGCCCGCATACCATAGCTCACATACACGTTAGCCTGTGATCGTCGCTACTAGGTATGCTATAATACATCAGTCTTGCTCTACGAGCGTGCACTGAGGCCTGTGATCGTCGCTACTAGCCGACCACCCGCACGCTCGCGCTGCTGCGTGTTTCATTAAAAGCGCCCCCTCACACGTCTCCAGGAGCACCCGCTCGCGAACGCGGCAGCGTCGAGCGACCCGAATGGAAGCATCCTCGCTCCCCCGTGGCACAAAGAGCCCAGTCGACGGAATCTCACTGCAGACGTGAGGTACAGGCCCTACCCCGGCCCATCCGGTCGTCAATTGCCCATCGTCGCTCCTGTAAGCTGGGCAGAGTCTATCTCATCCGTCTAACTCTGTTTCTGACGCCAAACGACCCTACAGACTCCGCGCAGGCCCTCATACGTACCTCCGGTGGCGGCACCGGAAATGCAGTCGACCCCGAGACCGCTTAGCCGGGTAGCGACCCCGCGCCCTGAGCATCATCTCCCCCAGCGTGGAGCGTCACGGGCATCTGTCCTTTCGTACGTATCCAACAGACCGGCGAACGACAGGCACCCCTCCCCCATTGACGTGGACGCGATGAGCATCGACGGCGACGGCATCGAAATCATCGAGCCCCCCCTGTTCCAGCACGCACAGCCGGCTAATGTAAACAACGCTCCGCTGCATCAGAATTACCCGAACCTCGCGCAAGTGCAGACACCGCCACTGCCTGGCCCGTTCTCACCTGCCTTCCAGCCACCCGCCGCTTTCGATCAGCATGCCGCCCCCGAACCGCCCATCGACCAGGATGAGCAGGACCCAGACGCCCCTGACGTTCCAGACGATGCTCCGGCAAGTGGGATCGACTGGGCAAACGTCGAGTTTACCGCGGAACCCGAAGGCGGCTGGAGAAAGATCCAATTCCTCACGCCAGACGGCCTCTTCGAAGGCCAGTCAGAAGCCCAGCTAACTCAGTGGAAAGCCCTCGCCGCGAACGCAAACTGCGTTATGATCTGGTTTGCGATGCACGGCGCGTGCGACAAAGATCCGGAATGCTGGTCGAGAGTTCAACTACTGATGGAACTGCTGAAGTACCGCTTCGAAGTAAAGGACAAGCCCCTCCTCGCCCCCGAACCAGCCCCTGGGAGACGATCATCCCTCTTCACCGCCCCCTGGTGCTTCCTCCTCCCGAACGTCACAGATCTGCAGCTCGCCGTCCTGGTGAGCCAGGGATGGTGCTCGTCACGCTACCTCACCGTCCATTTCGCCCGCTTCCCGCCGCCGCCCCCCGACCTCCTTGTAACCCTAGACGCCTCACTGGCCTTCATGACAGACGACCCGGTGGCGGCGAGAAGGATCGTTGTCGCCACCTTCCGCCGCGAGCCCCTGTACTCGGCTACGATCGACGCGATCAAGGACGACAAGGCAGCTGGCGCCAAAGGAAAGTGGGGCAATACCCCGGTCATGACCGCTTGGCGCACGATCGTCGACTCCATCGACGTACGCGTCTTCCCACGTAAACTCGAGAAAGGCTCCCCCAACCCTCTCTTCATTGTCTACTGCGAACCCCCGACGGCGATCACACGTAACTGGCTAACCTTCCGCGACGCGGTCCGCCGCCAACCCTTCCGCACGGAGGGCGGCTGCCCGGCCATTGTGTTCACCGGCGAGCTCCAGTGTAAGCTCTGCCACTCGATGGATCACAAGGTGGGCCTCTGCGACCTCGTCCATCTGAACGACTGGTTCGGCCCGCGACCAGCAGAAGACGACTCCCAGCCGAAGCCCACACCCGCTCGTGGTGGGAACGGCCACGGCAAAGGGAAAAGGAACGGGGGACCGGGTAACGATCGCAACAGGCCTCGCAACAACAACGCGAAGGCCAGCGGCAGCGGCCAGCGTATCGATGCGTCTACGCACGCCGCCCTTGCTCGCGAGACGGCCAAAAAGTGGTACGGCAAGAAGTAGACCGTTAGCCACTTTAGCTCGTATCGACGTCCTCACGCGCGGTCCTACATCTCTACCTTTTTGTACAATCCTACAGTCACGAGCTTTCTTGAATACACCGCATGTGTGCGCATCTCGGTTTGACCACCCCATCAGCCCCGACGAACGAACGGAAAAGAGCGACGTCACGATTCATACGGCGTGTCTGCTCGGCCTGATGTTTCTTCACGATGTGGATGCCGGCGCGAGCCCGCACATCGTACAAAACGTTATGGATCGATAAATGGTTACTGACGCGTCACGGTGATGGTGTGGCCCACACTTACTGACCGATTCCGGGACAGGAAAGCCCACTCACCGGAGACTGCTTTTCACCCCTTCAGCGCGGGCAGTTCTAGACATGCCCAGCCTTAGTATGGCGAAGCCTCGCGTAGGCGTGTCCCCTGATGTGCCCAGGAGCGGCGCACGATCCCTGTAATCGTTGTAACAGGGTATTGTAGAGCAACGGCGAATACACAAAGAGAACAACCAAACACGGACGACATCTCGGCAAACGGCTCACCTCTCCACCAACGGCGAGTAGCGCCCCCGCCTCCCATCCGGGGACCCTCTGAGGACCCGCTGGTGGAACCCGGTGGTGGGACGACCGCCCCCTGCCCAACTGGACAGAACCTGGGCGGCCGGTCTAACTCACAACCCGAACAGCAGAATCCTAACGATACCCCCGCGCCTGCAGATCGCCCTCCGCAGGCAAAGAAGGGACGCAACACAAAAGCGTCCCTCACAATTGGGTCCCTAAACATCAGCGGACGAGGTAACCTCAACGGGACCCGCAATAATAAGTGGAATGAGGTTAATCAACTCCTCCGTGAGAAGAAAATAGGTGTCCTAGCCTTGCAGGAAACCCACCTGGACGACGCGCTCACAGCAGACGTCCACCGGCTATACGGAAGACGAATACGCATCTTCAATAGCGAGGCAATTAACTCCACTGGAGCTCAAGGCATTGCTTTTGCGCTAAACCGTGAATTGATGGACGTGTCCAACGTGGATATAATGGAATTGGTCCCAGGTCGGGCCCTGTTGCTGTCCATGAATTGGCACGCCGGCCGTTCGCTCACTATCTTGAACGTCTACGCGCCAAACAACCATACCGAGAATGCAGCCTTCTGGTCGAGGCTCAGGGACCAATTTCAGAACTCCAGGGCTAAAAAACCAGACATTATACTGGGCGATTTCAACCTAGTCGAAGAGGCCATTGATCGCCTCCCATCAAGAGAAGACCCATCGAACGCGGTCTCCTGCCTGAGAGATCTCCTAGCGGCGACGGGAGTCGCGGACGGATGGCGCTTATGCGAACCAACCCGGAAGGACTACACCTTCCCTCAGCGCGGGGGAAACTCATGCTCGCGACTAGATCGCATATACGCGAACAAGGACATCCTGTCAAGAGCGCTGTCATGGGAGATTCTAACCACGGGAGTCCCGACAGACCACCGCCTGGTGACAGCCGCAATAACAGCCGCAGCCGCCCCTTTCATAGGGAAGGGACGATGGGCCCTACCGGTCACTCTACTATCTGACTCGGCTTTCATCGAGTCCGCGATCTGCATTGGCGAAAAGAAATGGAACAAGGCCAAGGAAGCCGTCGGCGAAGCCAGGACGGAGGAAACGAACCCGCAGACCCTGTTCAAGGAGTTCAAAGACGAGGTGCGGACAATGGCACGTAAGAGAATGCGTGAGAAGGTGCCCAAGCTGGTGGCCGCGATACAGAAGACCTCAGACCTCATCCGGTCGTTGAGCTCGGCAGCCACCTTCAGCGACGACAATGAGAAACAGCGTGAAGTCGGGATCCTAAGGGACAAGCTGCACAGCCTAGAGCGAAAGCGTCACGGACAAATCCAAGCATCAACTACAGTGAGATACATCCTGAACGCGGAATGCCCGAGCAAATATTGGTCTGCGGTGAACAAGGAGCGTAAACCTCGCGACCTCTTCTACTCATTGCAAGTCCCGAACTCCTCCCCCGCCCGCTACATCACGAAGTCCCGGGATATGGCTGAACTTGCAAGGAACTATCATAACGACCTACAAGGTGATCCACCCCTCCGGCGACACCTGGAGGAGAGGGAAGAGGCTATCACCGCTGCTCTCGACCCAGTAGGGACACCACTCCCAGAAGACGATGCGGCGACCCTGGCCCTGGCCCTCTCAGAGGATGAAATCCTCGACTCAATCAAGAAAGCTGGCCCTGGCAAGGCTGCTGGATTGGACGGCCTACCATACGAGTTATGGCTTACCTTTCACGAACGGTGGACATGGTGCACGTCCCGATCTGAACACAAATTCAACTGCCTGGATTTCATGCGCATGTTATACTGCGACATCGACAGGTACGGCGTCAGCAGCCAAACAGGTTTCGCTGAAGGATGGATGTGCCCTCTATACAAGAAAAAGGATAAGCGCATCATCGAGAACTACCGCCCGATCACGCTACTCAACTCTGACTATAAAGTATACACCAGAGCTCTTGCCGGAAGAATAGGCAGAGAGGCCCAAAAGATTATCCACCCCGACCAGGCGGGCTTTGTTCCCGGTAGGCTGATCACTGACCAGACACAAATGTGCCGTGTCATGGTCGACTACGCTGAGGCAACCGAGGAGAACGGCGCGATTGTAGCGCTCGACCAGGAGAAGGCGTATGATAAAATCAAACATGACTATCTCTGGCGCGTCTTAGAGAGATTCGGCCTCCCAGCTGCCCTGATAAGACGCATCCGCAGCTTGTATGAGTTCGCAACAACGGTGGTGATCGTCAACAGCGAAATGAGCTCACCATTCCGAGTCATACGCGGGGTCCGTCAGGGTGACCCGCTATCATGCCTGCTCTTCGACATAGCCATCGAACCACTGGCTTGCGCCCTCAGACGCTCGTCGCTGAGAGGCTTCCGAATCCCAGGTGTTGCCGAAAAACTAATCGCTACGCTCTTTGCTGACGACACGTCAGCGTTCCTGTGTGAACACGATAGCTGGGGCCTACTTTGGATCATCTTGAAGTCCTGGTGTGTGGCCTCCGGAGCGAAATATAACGGTGACAAAACAGAGGTCATCCCTGTAGGATCGAGTGAGTACCGGGAATCCCTGCTCACATCGAGGTGCATCAACCCCGCTCGCCCGGAAGACACGATACCAGGGGATGTAAGAATCGCAATGGATGGCGAAGCGGTACGCATCCTAGGAGCGTGGATCGGTAATAAGGTAGACCACGTAGCGGTCTGGACACCGACCCTGCTGAAAGTGGACCGCTTCCTGGAGCGATGGGGAAAGTGCCACCCCTCCCTCACGGGCAAACGCCACATTGTTCAGATGGGTCCCGGAGGGATGACACAATACCTGGCGGCTGTCCAGGGCATGCCGAAGCAGGTGGAAGAAGCCCTGACATCAAAGATCAGAGCGTTTGTATGGGACGGAGCGACTACGGCTCCAGTGGCGATGTCCACACTAACACGCCCGATTGTGGAGGGCGGCCTCGGCCTACTCGATGTTGCTACGAGGAACGAGGCGATTGATCTGATGTGGATAAAGCGGTACCTAACACTCACCGAAGACAGGCCCCGGTGGGCCTACGCAGTCGACATCCTACTCGGTCGAGCGGTGTCAAAGGACGCTGGCGCAATCAGGCGGAGCGCGCAGCTCAATACATTCCTGCAGTCCTGGTCACCCGCTGTACATAACAGCTCACCTCTGCCGAAGTATCTCAAGCGGATGCTAACGACGGCGAGGAAACACAACGTAAGTTTTGCAGCCATCAAACTAGACTCCAGTATGAAAGAAGCCTTACCGATCTGGTACCACCTCGGAGCATCCAAAAAGCTCCGCTCCCTGAACAACACGAGAGTCAGTGACTGCCTGCGAGACAATCATGACGTACGTTTGGTTGCGGATCTCCTGCCGCTGGCCCGGCGCGAATGTTACAACATCGCAAGAGCCATGTCAAATGACTTTGTTCCGGAGGAATGCGCCTGCGACCTCTGTAGGTCTGACTCCACCCGTGGCTGCAAGAACCCAATGAACTGCTGCAAGGCTGCTGCTTTTTTGTTAGCCCAAGTGCAACCGAAATGGCATCCCGACCTGGTGTCCCCGAAGGATGGGTTAACCCTGACGCGAAGAAGGAAGGAACAGAACATAAAGGCCCTGGATGAGGCCCAGGGTGACATAACCTTCGACCCGTCCCTCACCAGTAGAGGACATGTCACGGAAGCTTTCCGAGCTTTCGTTGACCCAAACGTTCACGACGAACCTCCGGCGATCAGGGCTAGACGCGGTCGCATCGTAGAGGACGAGGCAGTCACGGCTTACGTCGTCGGCCCTATACAGAGGGCGTCCCTCCCCCGAGGGGCCGAGCCAATGCCCCTGGACTACGGTTTCGTCTTCTATCCCGAGGCCGGCGGACGCGCCGGTAGGGGCGCGCTCGTGCGCCCCTTTGATGTCATCCCAGCGACGAGTCACTCCATCGGAGAAGCGGTCGCAGCCCTGAAAGTGGTGACAGACACGCCCCGCGACGCCCCCCTTAAAATCATCCTGTCTACGCAGGCCCTGGCAAAAGACATGACGGAACGCCTCCAACGATGGGAGGACAGAGGCTGGATTGGAATCGCAGGGAGCCAGGTTCTGAGGGCTTTGGTGAACAAACTCCGCCAGCGATGCGCGCCGACCATTTTCGGTAAAGCCTCTAACAGCGCTGAGTATACGATACGGAACAATGCCTGCGACCTGGCTAAAGAGCAGTTCCTAGCCCAGACAACCACCACGATCCGCCTGTCAAGCGACAAGGCCTTCGACCTGACAGGCGCGAAGCTGTCGACGCTTACCCAGGCAATAGCGTACAGAGGAATACGGGACCGACTCCGGGTGCAGGACCGCCCACGAACAGCCGGACAGGTTCAGCGGACAACTGACAACTCGAAGGGGCCCGGGCTGCGCGCCGCGACGACGGCAGAACTGTGGACGAGCATACGACA